TCTGTATCGATCATTGCGCCACAAGGCAGAAATTGGTCTGTTGATGGCATTCAGCCATCTTCAAGTTACAACACCACACACCTGTCTCCCCGTTTCTTCACCCACTTTTTCAGCTGGTGGTCGCTTTTCTCTGGTGTCATGTCTCTTCCCGTTCGCCAGGGTCCGCTCTTCCCGGGTATCACCAAAACAAGCAAGAAGTTCAACCGTCACTTGTCGACTGTCAAATACAAGATTCTGCTTGCCCCGTTGTTTTTAGCCCATATCTATAAGCACAAGGACCGTGAAGATTATGGCGAAGATGCGGTGACTGCCACTGGTCTCAAGGTCCGCCTCGACAGCTTGAAGCTTGATATTCATCAGCGTCGCGAACAGATCAAGACCCAGGCCCGCGGCCGCTCCAAGCAGACCCAGACAAGTGCAATGCGCATCAACCAGGCTCTTATTGATTTACAATCCGCCGACTTCCGTGCTGTTTCTGCTAGCATTGAGGGCACATCACCAGAGGACATTGACAAGAACAGAGATGACATTATATCATCTTTCCAGCAACCTGTGGCCTCAGTCGATCTATCCCGGTTTACCATCCCTGATCACAACCTGGACTGGATCGATATGGACGATTTTGTCGAGCCAGATTGGATTCTACCACAGGAGTCCAACCCGAAAACACATATTCTCCCGCTTGCATTTACCCCACGCTTCACCTACTTCCGTCAAACAGACCATGGTGATGTTGGGCCAGAAGAGACCGGTTACAGTACATTTGGACACGAGCCCACTCATGAATGTGTGATGTCTGAGACCAACGATCCTCGCCGTGTTCAGATCGAGTTGATCAAGGATCGTCTTGCGACTGTTGAAGCTCAGATCCGTAACTACGATCGCACCATTGGGGAACAAGAGCTCAAGTTGATGAAGGACGTTGACCATGATCCCGACTTGAAGGCTCAGCATGAGACTTTTGTTCGCCAAGCTGAATCCCTTTCAAGGCGCCGCAAGTTCTTGACATCAACTCTGAATCGACTTGAGAAACTCCTAGCACGCGATGAACGGACACCTCATCGAAGCAACCTGGGAGTTAACGCTGCGCCCAGCGAAGCTTCCTTCCGCACAGGACAAGATGCTGACTCGACTGCTGATGGTCGCGCCTCTGGTATCGATGGAATCTACTCGTCTGCTTCTGATGAGTTCTCCAGTGACTTCAATAATCGCTTCATGATTCACAACGTGCAATTGAAATGGAACAACTCGCTTCGCAATATCATTCTCCGATACAGTCACCAAGTGAGCCAGCGTCGAGGATTCGTCTACTACATGTCTAGACGAGCTGTCAAGTTTATCCTCGATATTGTGGACGAGCAAAATAAGAACAAGAAGAAGAGCCACAAAATGTCCAAAGAGCAGACTCGCAGTGATAACGAGGATGAAAATGTGGAGGATCGGATCGAGCAGCTTCTGAACGATGCCAAGCGCTACGTCAATGCGGAAGAAAGTGAGCCGCAGTCAAATACCGAATCACCACAGGATTCAGATGATTCTAGCGAGAACATTGCGCCCGAGTTCACTCCGCAAAACAGTTACTACCTGCGACTCATTGCTCCCCAGATCCAGCTTCTGAGTGAGAAGAATCAAAAGTCGGTACTGCTGGTGGCTGCCAAAGGAATGGAACTTAAGGTCGTATCGATCATGGACAAGGAGCGTGTTTCAGATGATGTGAGCGGTTTGGTTCAACGCCGTTTCTCACTTGAGATGGACGGTGCTCAATTCTTCGTTGCGACTCAGAAGAACCTGATGGCGAACCTGCAATTGTATGCGGGTAACAAGTATGGCAATGCGCCGGGATCAGCTTGGCCACCTTGGTTGACCCTTGAGGCGATGTTCGATTTCGAACTCAACCCCTTCGGATTCTCTCGTATCGTGCAAAAGACATCGGCCAGTCTGCGCTATGACAAGTACAACAACCTTCGGCTGAAGTACAACGAGGAAGTGGCTAAGGGTCACCATGGATCTCGCCCTAGTGAAGAGGCCCGCATGGACCAAATCAGTGTCGATTTCCCTCATTTCCGCGCCATTTGCGACTCTGCTGAATATTACTCTATGTACATTATCGTTTTGGATCTCATGCTCTACAGCGAACCGCTCGAGAAGGTCCGGAACGAGCGCCTAGAAAGGATCATGCTTACATCCGACTTCAGTGACCTCCGCGGTGCTCCAGAGATGGTCTTCAAGTTGCAGTCGCGTATCCGCCAGTTGGAAGAGATCAAAGATTACTTTCAGATTAATGCCAAGTACCTGGACAAACAAGGCTGGGAAGACCGGCTGGCGTTGGAACGCGATCTATCTCAATGTGAGGATGAGTTGTTCTTCATGATGAAGGCTATAACCACCTCTCAAAGACGCGCCGATCCCAGTTCAACATCCACGAACGGCGTGCTGCGTTGGAGCATTTCTGCGAGTGAGGTTGTCTGGCATTTGATGAATGAGGAGTCTGCACCATTGGTGGAATTCCAACTCCAGAACGCTGTATATGAACGCACAGACAATACTGATGGCTCCAATCACAATCTCGTGGCCATTGAAAAGCTAAGTGGTTTGAACCTGTTGCCGGATGCGATCTATCCCCAGATTATTGCACCTTACTTAGACCAGCCACGGCCATTGGATGATTACATGCTTCGAGTCAAGTGGCACATGTTGGAAGCTGTTGCCGGAATCCCTGTGGTCGATAACTTTGAAGTTTCTCTATTCCCGCTCAAAATTCAGTTGGAGCGTGAACTTGGTCAAAAGCTTTTCGATTACATCTTCCCTAACGTGGGCTCTGGTGAGAATGGTGGTTTCTCGCCTTTCATGATCAAAAATATGAAAACGCTAGATGGATCAGACGATGAGAATGATGACGGTTCCAACCCATCTCTGGCTCATTCGATCAGCGCCGATGAGGACAGTGTATCAACAATGGACGATATGTCTGCCTCCAAGGGCCCTGGATCTATCGAGCTACGCCTTCAGCCGACTCTTTCGCTTTCCGAGGAGGGCAAATCCAGTCGTCGCCCGAGCCATGTCAAGGGTCTTGCTATGACTCCTATCCACAGGAGTAACACTCGGTTAAGCGTACCCGACTCCTCCCGGCAGACAGGTCGCCCTGCGACCAGCGGCGGCTTGTCGAAGAAGAAGTCCGCTGAAAGCATCCGCATGCTGGTCAAGTCTTCCACTGATAGATCTCTGTCCAGCCAAAGTGCCGGTGAGGAAAAGAAGAAATTTGTCCTGAGTAAGCCGAAGGGCAGCAAGTCCAAGGAACCCACTGATGACTTGTCCCAAATGATTTCTCGAGCCTCGAGCTACATGACTCTTGCACGTGTTAAGGTACATGACGTGGTTCTCAACATGAGTTATAAGGGCAAGGGCGAGCACAACATTGAAGATCTCCACGATTTCGTGTTCCGCCTCCCGGTTCTGGAGTACGGAAACAAGACATGGTCGAATCTAGACCTTGCCCTGCGTCTCAAGAAGGATGTCATCAAGGCCCTCATCTCGCACGCCCCCGCTATTCTTGGAAACAAGTTCTCCCATCACCGACCTTCCAAGCAACAACAGAAGAAGTTCCGCGAGCTTGCATCCTCTTCTCAGCTACTTCCCAACTCGGGTAACCTGATAAACAACCCCGCTCGAAGCAACCCGGCTAGCCTGAACAGCTTTGATTCTAATAGCGAGTACTCTGAGTCGCCGTCGCGCAAGTCCATGCAGTCAAATGCTTCGCCGTTGGCGAGATCCGTGTCTCTGAGCTCTGAGATCCACGATAATCATGATCCTCCGATCTGCGACTCACGGTCTGCTAGTGGAGTGGATGTGGATTCTCGTTGGGAGGTTTGTACTATCCCACGCTCGACTTCGTTAGCTTCGTATACTAACTCGTGCCTTAGGAATCACGCCGCTTTGTCAATGCACCTGGCAGACCTAGGACTGCCGGTCACACAGTGACTACCGTCGAAGCCTCCCGCTCTGAGCACGATGACAGGTAAGAAAGAGCCCAACATCCATTCCCCATCGCATGGGACAAATAACTCATTCTGTTTACGCAGCCACAAAAACAACACAATCCGCAATCTCAGTCGAAAATTCACGTTCCGGAAGGGATAATCTCTCAACTCTCACTTCCACCCATCCCATCCCCATTTACCTCATCCAATCCTCTAAAACTCGACTCCCCATTCTAATCCAATCCCTGTGGCTTTCAACCTCCAGCCACTTACCTACCCATCCCAATACAAGGCCCCTCACCCTGACCCCCCCTTGTTTCCTATTCCCGTGTCTCCCCTTAGATACCCTCTGTCTGCACTGGGGCCGTATATAGGCGTTCAAGTTGTGTTTATGATTGTTTGTATTTGCCTATACGGGTATCATTTGGATCTGGAGGTAGGAGAAGGGATCATTTCGTGTTGCGGTTTTTTCTTTTCTTTTCCCACTGTATTTTGGTTCGTCATATTTGGCCCTTTTTAGCATGCATTGAGGGAGTGGAGGCTTTCTTGTTCTCATAATTCATATACCTTGTGTTTGCTGCTGCGCAATGACCTTGAAGGCGTCTGGCAAGCGTGATTGAGATTTATTCCCAATTGATGTGATTCTTACCTAATAGTATTGTGTAGACAGAAGCTAATATGGCATTCCCAAGTTGTGTACGAAGCATTTGAGTATGCGTAGGTTTTCAATTTTTGGTGTGAATAACACCACAATGTAAGACAAGGATCAAGGGTATCTATATACAACAGACTGAAACTGCTAAGACGAAAAACAAACATGAAAAATCATAGCACCAATGCCAATGTCGCCTGCGTCCAAAGTCTATGAGGAATTGCTGGACTAACGTGCATCATATACAAATCAGCATGGGGAACCAAGATATCAAGAATATCCAAATATGGCACTTGATAGGCCAAAAAGCACGAGTAAAGACCAAAATAAGAGCATATCATCAAGTCATGCATTGGTACAGATTAGCTTTTTCAATGACTGGTTGGCTGATCACCAGTGGCAGCAGCAGTATTTGAAAGAGTTGTCTCGCGAGTCGTATCTGTATCGGGCAGCTCGGGCTTTTCGTCATGAGTAGTGCCGTTGGTTGTACTCGCGGTAGATTGATCGCCAAGAAGGATATGCTCAGGTCTATGACCATTTGCAGGGACCTCAGGAGCACCATCGACGATGTGTCCAGTATCCTTGGCACCATCCTCCGCACCATCAACGGAAGGCGTCGACGGCGCACTCTGTTTCTCTCGGGTCCAAGGCAAAAAGTTCGGCAGACGTTCCTGGACAGAAGCAAAACGCGTCCGAGTCGGCGCATCAATATCGTCCACCCAAGGAATTCCACCTTGACCTCTGTTCTCAGCCCAGGCCTTCTTCTCGCGGCGCAGATCACTCTTCACCCAAGGAATGGTAATGGCGGTCCATACCAAAGCCCAGGCGAACGGAAGGGACCAGCCGAGCTATGTGTGACGTCAGTATGATGCATCAGGGGAAGGGTATTAAGTTTCGGACTGATTAATTGACGTACAGTGAATGCCACGGGTTCAGAGACCGTGAATATTACAGCGGTGATGGCGGCCGCGCAGATTATTGAGCCACCGCTCCAGAAACAGTTCATTTCGAAGAGCATCCGTCGGAAATATGGGCTGGACAGGTATCGGGTTCGGAGGGCGTAGCGGTAGATTTGCCCGCCTCCGCCGTCGACGGCGACAACATCTTCGATGAGGGCGTATAAGGCTGTTGGCATGGGGGAGCCTTTAGGTGTAGAGGAAATGCGGAAGGGGGCTTTGTGGCCGGCCATGCGAAGGACGTCGAGGGCAAGGTGGACGAACCCGAAGTAGAACATGACACTTGGGAGGACCATGGCGACGAGGCGCACTGTTTGAATGTTAGGGGACGGACTTTCACATTGTTGGTTGTCAATTGGTCTTACCATATGGTTCTGCAGGTACGGTTCCACTGATGTTTGGTTAGCATTGTTCGAACTGGAGTAATGGTGTTGTTGACGTACACAATCAACTCGACGGCCAAGATGAGCCAGACAATAGTGAAATTGATATGGAAAAAGTCCAGCTAACAGTGGTCATTAGCATGCGCCCCATATTTCTTTCATGAGAATCAATCATACCCGTGATTTCTGAGAGTTTAACGGCCGGGCGCGTGAATTTTTGCGGAAGAGGTTATATAGACGATAGAAGTATTCAAAAACCGAGATACCTCCCAAACAAGCCGTGACAATGGAAAACACTGTAAAGCATCAGCGATTGCGCCCTCGGAGATCTTCTCCGCAATTCATCCAATGATAAACATACCCAAGTTATGCGACAGGTTGGTGCCGTACCATAGTCCCCAATACAGGCCGACCGGCTGGCCTAGCGTATCGAGCACGAATATAATCCAGAAGAAAGCGATTGACTTCTTCCGAGTGTGTAGTGAGTATGGGAGTGGTGGGGGTTCATTATGTACAGGAACAGTGTTCCTCTCAGGGTCATCCATCAGCGTGGCAATGGTGGCGGACCGCGCGACTCGGGGGACTCGGGTTTGAATTCCAGGGGGTGTGTTGTGTTTCTTATCGGTATAGATTGTGGTGGACTTAGGACATGGTGAGTTCGATTGAAAGGAATTCCGAGTTGGAACCTGATTCAGGGGATAAGAGAAGAATAAAGAAAAAGGTAGGATGATCAAGTTAAAACGAGATTTTTAGTTTGAAGGCGCAGTGCCGGAAACGACGGAGTTATACGGGTACATCCGTCCACATACAAATTGACGTGTAGACGGAGGTACCTGACGTAAGTTGTGCTCGTGATGTCATGTATTGAAGGGGATATTTTGACGCTGACTTGCATGATTTCTATTATTGTTCTTTCTTTGCTCTTTTCAATTCCGGTAAACAGTATATCCATATGACTTTTAATTAATATTTGGCCTATCCAGTGTTTCCAGTGGTGCGTGGTCTTGTAGACCTTTGTGCTAGCTTGTATTTGGTCCTATCATAACCGGTCGATTTGACCTCGGAGGATGAAAACAGGCCACTCGTGTATAACTATGTAATAGTGCGCACCCTGAAAGAAGTGGGGGGTGCGTTATCCCTTGGCAAGGCGCATGAGAAAACAGGAAATCCGGATGCTTGGGACTTTGCGTCCGAGTTAGCTCGGGTGCCGATCCCAGCCAAACAATCCGGTCGATCTTCCGGTCCAGCCCAAGTTTGTTTACTCTAGACAAATGCTCAGCAATGCACTAATTCCTACAGTATAACATATCTTACAGTAGCATCCGAAGCATTGGAACAAACGAAGATGCACTGCAATAAGGTGTTTTTAGTCGCCGCCCAATCTTATACCCAAGTATATCTGACTCAGCGGGTCAGACACCTCAAAAGCTCCAACTCTATACTGCAGGATCTTCCAGTCTAAATTTTAAGGTAGAATATGCCGTACACCCGAGTATTTCAAGGGTCTCTAAGGTTTCTGTGCTATCTGACGACCGAGATGCCAACGTGAAACAGATAATGGCAAGGCTTATCCACAACCGAGATATTTGCACACATGGAAAATACAGGAGAAATTAAACGATACCAATCCCTTAAAATATATTAAGGAAAGGAAAGCATATCTAGGCGAAAGCAGCAACACATGATGCGAGCCCAAATCTCGTCATTGGTAGTGGAGTAAACGGTTTTCCTGCCTGAATAACAGGGTGTCAAACGGCTGGTCACATGGAGATAGGAAAGTTTTTTTTTTTTTTTCTGATAAGAGCAAATTCCCAAGTGGCGCACGTTCGATTCGCAGTCTCTGCTTCGAATTCCATCCCTCTTTTCCCCTCGACTGCACAACTGTATCCCATACAGACTCACTCTCTTCTATTCATGATCCGAACTAATATGGACTGATCATGGCACCCAGCTTACAGGAGCTGATTGCTTTCTTGCTGAACGAGGTCGCGCTATGCGGTAACCAAGGTGCGTATAGCTCTGCCTCTCAGACCCACTTTACTCAGCATGGCTCTATCCTTTATCCGGACTGGCATCGGTCTATAGAACCCCCACAGTCTTTGTAGGGCCTCAGTGATACTTGCGATGATCTTTTACATTATACACTTGCCATTGTTCTCTCTTGATAGATATGGGCAATTCAATTGCAACTATGACATGCAACTAACTCATCTGCAGGCGCGACCTTGCTGGATGTCTTAAACTACATTGATATCTTCTATCGCAATTCACCGCAGAATGAATCTGGGCGCCGCCAGCTCGTGGACCGTCGTTTTCAAAACAAGGTCTGGTCATGGCTGACACGCAATCCCGAGGTATCCGTGGGTTTAGGCAACAAGTGGAATCATCTCAGCTTGGACGAAATTGAAAAGCTTGATCTACCTGCTCGCAACTCCCAAAACGAAGTCGAAGGGGAAACTGAAAATGGCAGAGAAAATTCTGCATCATCTGCTGCCTCAAAAGTCCGTGTCTTCGTTTCTAAAGAGAGGACCTGGTATGCAGTTGCCGGTCACGAACCTGATGACAACAAGCTTCCCGCATCAGAGTTTTTGTTATTATCCATCATAGCTACTCGCAAATCAGAGGGCATTCCGCAGACGGAATTGGTCAAAATCAGTGGCCAAGACAAACGATCGGTGCCGAAAAGAACAGACGCATTGGCCGCCAAAGGATACATCGAGAAGCGTGCTGTTCATGTCAAAGCGGCACGCACAAGTCTGCTGACTCTTCGTCGATTTATAAATGTGCCAACTGCTCAGCCCAGTAGTGAAAACACAACCGAGGCAAAGCCGATGATAGATTTCGATGATTTTACGAAACAACTGTTCGATGCTCTCAGAGAGAATGATAACACCATCACTCGGAATGATCTGAAGAAAGTGTTAGGATTTGAGGACCTCTGGAGATCGAGAATTCTCTCCCGTACCGTTCGCAAGTATGAAAAAATCGGAGTCTTGAAGCGAGTGAGGGTGAAGTCGCAGTACAATCTGATGCACCCTTGCATAATGCTGATGCGAGAACCCACACCGAAGGACTTCGAAAAGTTCTTTGAGTTCAGCAGACATGGGTTTAAAAGAAACGAAGACAATCCAGCAGATTTGGATGAAGACGTGGACTTGGAGGCTGATGCTTCAGAGCAGAACATGGCCGACTCTGGAGAAGGCGACTCTCAAGTCAAGAATGAGCGTGTCGTTGCGTCTGGACGTATTGTACCCATCTGGACACCTGATCGCGTTTTGAGCAACCAGCTATTTGACATCATTGACAAAGCGGGCACGTCTGGAATAACCAATGATCTTATCAATCGGACTTGCTTTGGAATCTTTTACAAGCGACCATCTGAAAACATGGTCCATCGTCTGACCGACTGCTGGCAAATTTCCCAGCCTCCTCACCTTCGGCACCTTGCACTTGTCCGTGATTCCGATGTGCACAAAACCATTATTCACTACGTTCATTATTCGGCGAGAAATTTCGCGACGAAGGTCATCGAGGGTACCGCATTTTGGGAGGCTGTCCAATTCCCAGTCAAGAATCACAAGTCCTTGAAGACCGCGCTCCCCCGAGTTGATGCACCCGCTGAACTTGACCAATATGGACTTCCTCACAACAACATACCCGTGGGCATGATGAAAAATGGGAACGTCAGCTTATTTGAGGGTCTTGCAAGCTGCAAGCCGGCGGACTACAGCCTTACGCGCAAGGACCCTATGAGTGTCCTCCAGGCGGATGGTTCATACCGTAAGTATTCATATTCCTTTTTTCTTCAGTTCTTTTGAGCTCACTAACAGCAAATCCATGCAGGGGTTCAACCCGGCCACTCAGTCCCTCTAGAGGGCCTGCAACGATCAGGAGTAAAGCTGAACAACGGAAAGGGCCGCCCTAGGGGCCGCCCGAGCAAGGCTACATCGAAAAGGATAAAGAGGGAGTCTTCGGTCGTCTCAGTTCCTGATGATAGCGACATAGTTATGGAGGACAACCCCCCAGTGCCTCTACATTGGGACAAATCCCAAAGCCAAAAGAAACGGGAAAAATACCAAGGCATGTCCAAGAAAGAGCGATTCGAAGCAATGGGCTGGGATGAGACATGGACCGAATACAACGCTCTTGTCATGGAAAAACCCACGCCTGGAATCTATGTTACGCCTCATGGAAAGCGCAGACCTGCGGGGAAGAAGCAGGGTCGTCCGAAAACGAGCCGAATTGCAATCTTCAAATCTCCAAGGCTTTCCACTTTGCCCTGGTTCTGCAAAGACGATAATGATTCAGACTATGGGGAAACGGGCGCGGGAGTAGCGATGACTCCGACAGCCGCTGCCACCCCTAGAATGATGACCGAGGAACCTGCATCACGTCAACCAAGCGAGACAATGGAGTCTACACCAAGTCGGCCGAGAAAGGGCAAGCGAGCCCATCCGATTGCGGACCCCTCTGACTCGTTAGCCCCATCAGAAAGTGCTACTACAGCCAAAGGCACCAGAGGAAGACCCAGAAAGCAGGCTCGCATTCGTGGGCCCCGAGACGATAGCCAGGCTGATCAGGTTGCCTCTAAGTCTCCGGGGCCTAGCAATGGACAGACTACCATTGACTTGACCCCGGAAGATGCCAACGTGACGAAACCATTGAATGGTGTGGCCGCCGCAAGCCGAAGCCAGAGCGCTACTCGACCTGCAGAAAGTACAAATACTTTGGAAACCACCATGGGCCCACCTCCTGCCCGATTGGTCACACCAAAGCCACAAACCTCCACAGTGCACCTCATCCCCATGCACGGCACGCCCGTAAGCGGGAAGAGTGAGAATCCAAAGGTACACGGTTCAGCTAATCGAGGTGGATCTATACCATTCTTGCGCAGAAGAATTGTTATGGACATCGTCGAAAAGGCCGGTGGGGCATACCCTGGTGGTGGTGAGCTCTGGTACCCATTCACGACTGCATGGATGAAAATGAACCACAAGGAGAAACCGGATATGCGAACCGTGAAGACAACGATCAAATATTTGGTCGATGCCGGCCAACTTCAGCAATTGACATTCAGTGGCAGAGATGGCAGAGGCACGATGGTAACAAAAACCATTTTGAGGAAGCCAGAAATGTCACCAGATGATCCTTTGATTAAGGACTTACAAGTCCAGCTACTGGCTCGTGACCGCAATCCTAAGAATTCCTTCTCACCTCACATTGAAACGAGCCAAACAATCTCGCGAAACGGCGGTAGTTTTGGTCCGAATGGCGTGGGTGGCCAAAAGTTCCGCAGGTTCTCATTGCCTACTGTATCTGATGCTACCGTTCATCTCCATTCAAAGCCTGCTTCCGTTCTCATACAAGAGAAGAAACGACGCGTAGCGGTACATAAGAAGTTGATGAGAAGGATGCTCAACGAGGGAGAGTCTGATACTGATTCAGAAGATGACTTGGAGCTGTATGAGGACAATTTTGACCCGAGATTCCAAGTTCACCGACTCATGAGGTTCCCGCCTCAATTGGATCAAGGTTCTGAAAATAATGGAACATACATCTACCGCCCCATGACAGGTGGTGACATGGTGCCGACTATGTCCATGTTTAGAATCAGAAATCACCCATTCGGCAAGACGAGACGGCTTCCGAGAATCATTTCCAGCATGGAAGCGATGAAGATGTTGATGAACCCAGGTCAAATTCTCCATGGTTCTACACATACATTTGCTACGGGATCTATCAAACGTAGCTGGGGAGGAGGAAAACACGCTACGTTTGCAGATACCCGTGTTAGCAGGAACTTCAATTTCGCCGATGCTATCCAGGAACTGACCAGCCTGGCACACCAATCCGATGACTGGATAGGGCCGATGGGGCCCAGCACAACAGACGCCCGAAGATTCGCGTTCAGAATGGACAAGATCTTGGAATGGGAGCTCGAAAACGATGGGCTGGCTGATTCGAAACTCGACGATCATCTTTTTATTACGCACACTGTCGACAAAGGTTTTATCGAAAGCCCAATCAACGGCCCAATTTGCTTTGAGATGGACCAGCCTGTACGATCTGCCAAATCTCGCAAATTGCGCATGCTGACCCGAGGGTTTTATGCCCGTCGTCAACGTCGCCGCAAGCTCGAGCTCGGCCAGGCAAATGGGCCCAGCTTGGATCGGAATCGCAAAACTGGACAAGGAAACTTTCCTCCACGGCGCCGGACTTTCAAACCACTTCCTGAAGGGGTGATTCGGAGATACATGGTCGCCATTACCGCTGTTCGAACACTGGCTGGTGGACTCGAGGGAAAGATTGTCGATTGGGACCTTGTCCCTCTTGCCTTCCCCAACAGCGATCCGGAGTTCGTGCTGCACCATGGTAAATCGATTCTCGGCCGGAACCGGACAGAAATCCATAAGATGCAACGCGATTTCCAGGAGCGATATCTCCAGGCTTATGAGAAGAAACAGGTGCCTCCAATTGACTATAACAATCTAGCAGGGTACAATTGGCCGGCCGTGGTCGAGTGGGCGAGCATTGAGCTCGACTTTTCTACATCTGAAAAAGCTCCCACTCTCCCTGCAACTCGCGAGCAATTTGACAGCATGTTCGAGCTGCGCGAAGAACCCGTCACCACTGCCGAGGAAGCGCATGTCACGACAGGATCTCTCACGGTCGCCAACAAAAAGCGTCTCTTAAGTCGCATACCATTTGTCGTCGAACAACCTCGCATCGCCACTCCAATAACCCCCAGACCAGACGCCCAGAAGCTTGAAATCGCGAAGACATGGGTTCGTGCCAATATCATGACACCGACAGATCGATACAATGCTGCTGCGGCCACCGAAACCCTAGCTCCATTTGGGGAATCCCTTCTCGCCTCTGCGACGCAATCCCTGATGACTGACCGCATCATTTGCAACGCAAACCGCGGCCGTGTCACCCCAGGCCGCAACTACATGCCACACGACGTCTTCCTCCAAACCATGGAACGTCGTCGTGCCATCGACAGCGACCAGCTCGCACGTGCAGCCGAATTCAAAATGAAAGTGCTCGACCCAGCTCTCAAGACCGAAGGGACCTTCAAAATCAACTACCACGCTGGCGACGGTGACGCCCTAGCCGTAGACGAACTCTTCGCACACGGTCAAGTCGAACTGATCCCACTCAACCTGATCCGCGACAAGTACGGTCTCATAGATGGTACATATCTCACCCGACAAATGGATAAAAGCCGCCTGCGCTTCGAAATGGAGGTGCGTCCGCTCCCGAAGTACGTGTACGGGAACCCCATTCACGATATCGTGCATGATACGCCGCCTCCACTCCCACCTGCGTCGCGCCATATGCCGCTCTGGTTCGACATCCATGGCTGTTTGATGCAAGATTGGTGGTACAGATCTATTGCAGCGGTCATGGGTTGTCTCGTTATTCGACCTGGTGTGTCGATTGAGAGTATTACTTTTATGATCAAGCCTGGTTTGATGAAATGGGAGATTGAGCTCCTACTGGAAGATTGGTTGCTTAAGGTGGGTCTCGTGGAGAAGTCAGGGACTCCGGATCGACCTTGCTGGAGTGTGAAGGAGTGGTGGTGGATGGCTCTGGGAGTGGAGACGGTCAGCCCCGGCCCAGTTCTGTAAGAGAAAAAAAAAAAAAAAAAAAAAAAGAAGAAAAGGGCTTTCTTCATATGTATCATCATCTGCAATTCACACTGAATAGTTCTGACATGTACATCAATTCCAATAAAAATCATATCCATTCAATTTACTCATTTTAGTAGGCATTTACAGTAAGACGAGAAGGTGTTGACATAACCAAATGAGATAAATCATAACTTGCTCCATGCATAACCGATCTATGAAAACAGAAACAGAAAAAAAGAACAGCTAGCACCAATTCCACATTCCGAAGCCCGCTCCGAAGCTCTTGTTTGTGTATACAAGCCCCTTAGTTGGGGATGCAAACACCGTCGTTCCACTCAGTGGCACCAACGCATTGCCATCCGTCGCAGCAAGCAACACCGCCGGTCTGGCAAGCGACCTTGTAGTCTGCAAAAGAGAAGTCAGCTATCTAAACCTCGTCACATAGATACTTGATATACTAACTGCCAACACAGGTGCGCTTCTCAAAGGCATCGGGGTAGGGGGAGGCGGCGGCAACGGCGGCCAGGGTAGCAATGATGATGGTGGTGAACTGCATTTTGATTGAAGTTGGTTGATCGGGAGATCGGTTGATTGATTGTAGATTGTAGATTGGAGTGGATTGGATTGAATTGGATTGGATTGAGTTGATGAATGGTTTTAAATTTTCGAGGAAAACAACAGCTATTTATGCTTCAAGTGAGCCATCAAGAAGTTTCCTATTCAGTCTATCTGGCTATGAAATTGCCTCCTTGTCTATACATTTCCCAGATAGCTCTGTGATGTTTCAAGATCCATCAACGCCACCATATCTTGGCGTTGTTAGACCGAAATACGAGGATCCACTTAACCACCTTCAGTAGGCGGTGGGAGATCTGACATCTACGCTTTTACCAAAATAGGATGCAAGTGTACATCATCATTCCCTAAGTTGGGTGCTTTTTAACATAAGCATGCCGATCTTCATATCAAATGAATTTGTTTGTCTAACCATCTGCATACTGGATAGAGTAATTGCGACTATAACAATCCGAAAAATAGGTAAAAATAAACTATGTACAGTCCAAACACCGTTTGCTATCCCGATTCCGTGAACGCCGAGCTGTATGTATGAATGTAGTAAAGAAAGAAGCCCAGTCCTGCCACTAGAGATCCTCTACGTCCAATGTCTGACGTAAGATCAAGATGATCAAGGCGAAAACAACGACCACAATTGCTCTGTCTAGCCACGGGCTGTTCGCCGGCTCCGAGGCCTGTGTGATTGTTGCAGTTGCGGGTACAGGTCGAGGTTGAAGAGCTGTAGATGACTGAGCTGGCACTGCCGACGAAGAAGAAGCAGCAGGCGTGGATTGTGTAGCTTCGACCGGCGCAGCTACCTGTGGCTGTATTTGTGATTCCGATTGCAACGGCGCAGAAGTTGTTGCTGTCGTCGAAGCGACAGGCTCAGCCTGCCTCTCCACATCCGCAGTTGCATCAGCAGGTCCAGCCTGCTGTTCCCCATTTCCAAATGAACCATTACCGTCAAACCCTTCAACATCAACCTCAACCCCCTTCTCTACACAAATTCCCCACCAATCCTTCATAGCATCCCCATTACTAACCCCACACTCCCGACAAGCCCACTGCGGACTAACCCTCGCATATTCGCGCCTTAACTCTGCACTTCCCTCAACACCACCCACCTGCCCTTTACTTTCGCTGCTGAAGATCTCCGACCGGATCGCTAGTAATGCTGTCCTCACGCCCCAGGCTGGTTGCCACGTTTCCTCATGGTGGCCGGAGATACTGAGACAGATCTCGCGATTGACCTCGAAACGGCCGGATGGGGTTAAGAAGCGGAATGAGGGTGGTCGGAGTGGATATGTTGGTGGGAAGGTTATGCGGCCATGGTAGAGGCCACCTGCGTAGGGGGTTGGTGTGGGGGGACCGGCGAGGGTGAAGTGCCAATCGTGGAGGTTGGTGTCGCTGATTGGAGCGGCTGTGAAGTAAGGGCTTGGGTTCTTGTAAAGGTCTGTTGATTCTTTGAGGAGGCGTTTTGTAGAGGGGCTAGTCATTGTCTTTTCTTTGTCTTTGTCTCTGTAGATTGCGATGTTGCGGAGATGTTGGGTATGATAAGATGATAGTGCTAGTTGATTAGATTGAGTTGGCGATCCTTTATAGACCACGTGACTACAGGCCAGACATTGAACTTGAGTAAACACCGACATTATATGAGCCTCTTGTAGGTACATGGAGTTTTTGCTTTGCCCAAACAATTGGAATGACTGAGATGACCATCCTTTCCCCGTAAAAGCTGAATTTCCAGTCTTAGATAAACATCAAGTCATGGACATTAAATTTGATTCCAACCATATACAAAAAGCTTGAAATATATCGCAGGTACTGCACATGTGCTAGTAATACACGAGAAACCCATGAAAATGCCACTGGCCTCCGGTTCGCTTTGTCGCTGAAACGCCAAAATAATGCTATCAACCGTAAAGCATGGGATATAGATTCCTACCAAGTCAAGAATGAGTCGAAAATCATTCCCAATCACGCCACTCATCCGTATCCCGCGCACGCGCAGGACGAGCTGCAGCCTCCGGATCTAAAAGTCCATTGCTTTCAACATCGGGCTCATCTTCGAAGTCGCTATCGCCTGGCCGAGGGCGGGGTGATGCGGGCGCGAGCGTCTGCATCGAAACGCTAGTTGGTGGACGTTCGTGTGCCTCTTGGCGATTGCGGTTAGCGATCCAGCTGGGCTGGGCTGGGGACACGCTGGTACCTGTACCGGCGTTCATGTTGTCGGTGCCAGCGCCAGCGCCAGCTCCGCCAATCCAGGCGTGGCTATTATTCATGTTTCGTTGGTATAGATCGCGGAGATATTGCTGTTCATCACGCGCCTCCTGTGCACGGCGGAGACGGAGGCGTTCGCGGGCTTCGAGGAAACGGGGACTAGGTTCCCAGCGCCAGCCGTCGCCAGTGGTTGTGCAGACGGGAATAGCCCAGAGGAGGGGACGGTCGCCAAAGAGGTGTAGAAGATTTCGGCGCCAGCCGTGGTCGAATGCGCTAGGTGTTTTCTCGCTGTCCTCCTCGTTGAGATACTGCTGGTACCGGTCGTGTTCGCGCTGACGCTCCATGTCCGCGTATGAGCGGGAGAGAGCCTGCTGGGCTGGGGAGAGGTTGTTAGGGTTGTTTTGCAGGTCTGCATGGTGGACGTTCGGTCCTTGGCCTGGACCATAGGGCGCGGGTGAGAGGCGCTCTTCGCCTTCTTCCGCACGGGTCACACCCGGAATGGCATTGGCGTGCGCATCAATGATCTGGTTCCCGTATCCCTGGAGCCGGTGGGCGAAAGTTTCCTCTGACGCGTCGCCATTGAAGCCGTTGGGTCCAGACTCATTGTCGAATCGCTGTCGTTCAAGTGCTTTGCGTAGCGGTGAAACATACCGCGTCTTCTCCAGACACTCGATGGTGGTAGTTCCGCGCACTGCGAGACTAATATGCCAGGCGGTAAATCCAGTCAAAACTAGGCCGATGATTCCACCAAGAATGGCTAGTAGGACTACGTTGACTGGCAGGAAGTTGTCCATGTACACCGTATCGTCGAGGACTTCCTGCCAGGTCCACGTGCCCGCCACACCGAAGCATACCCAACAGAACAGCGAGGTGTAGATCAGAAAAAGGAGAAAAGCTTTGTAATTATGTAGCCCGACGCAAGTTGCTAGCCAGGGACAGTGGTGGTCCATCTTGAGCACACACCGCTTGCACGTTGAGCAGTGATGCGCGCGGTCAGGTTTTGGACACTGACATTTCTTACAGTATCGCGACCCTCCCGTAGAGCTGACAGTGTACGACGTGAATTCCGGATATACGGACTCGGTGACAGGGAGCGCACTGTAATTGTGTCGGTCATTCCCTCGGCGCGTTGACAACGGGGACCCAGGATCGGTGAAGACGGCAATCGAATATGAAGCATTAAGAGCGACGTATAAAAGAAGTCCGAGGAAACTACTGGGTAAACCTGCACAACGCGAGAAAACTGTCAGCTACATTCAACCGAACACTCTGCCCAAAACCTCGGGATATCCGAGCTGACTCTCAAGGGTCATTTGTCAAAGCATACCGATCCATTTACTCTTCGATCCTTTGAACCCAAGACTGGCCTCCACGTAAACTGCCCATGTCGTAATTCCATATACAAATGCAAGCGGGAAACAGCTGGCGGCTGCACAGCAGTATCGCTCACAGCGGAGCATCCAAGCCCGTGAGCTCCGTTTTGGCCATGAAGGCGAGGTCGGAGGGGACGAGGCTAGGGTGGCCATGACTAATGCTGGATGGCGCGGACGCTAAGAGGAGAGGGAGGGCATTTGTGTTGATAGAGCTTCGAATTTGCTGTCAAAAAACAGACCTGCATAGTCGAGTGAACGACTGGTAGGTTGGGTGTTTGAAGTTCCGGCCTTGTCGGATGGCTACTTAGTGACGACTGCGTAAGCGGCCCTGACTCAGCCACGTTGCACTCAGCCACTTGTATTTTTAGGTTATGCGGAGTCCCGTGAGGCGGAAGTGGATATTGGTTCCTGGAGACCTATGCCTGTAGAACTCGAATTTGGAACTCAAGGTTTTGGTTGTATGTTATTTGTGGGTTGCACATTTGGTGACTGGTGGCGCGATGCTATGTGTGCGATAACTATAGACTTCTCGAAGCAACCTGCGCAAGTACTATCGTCACGAATCTATAATTTTCAAGTTCTTTATTTACAGTTCTCAGATTTGACGGAATACATAAATAGACGCCTTATGCAATAGACAAAAAAATATAGGCGTCTACGAGCTACCGGACGTGCTTGTAAGCTGTAGGGTGCCCTCCTTGCACCAACCATGAACGGGCTGTAGAAACAAAATTAGCAAATATTCATACCAATGATAGATGGAATCACATACCAGACAGCTCAAACGGTAGCACCAAGAGCAGTTCGAAGAGGGGTATTTGTAGAAATCAATAATAAGCAGAATAAATCCAACCAGCACAGCAACAAGAGCGCCAGCGCGGACTAGCCACCATGCCCACCAGAGAGGCTTCCGGCCTTTGAAGAACGCCAACGGACCCTTGGGTTCACCGGCGTTATCACTGTTTGATGCGACCTTCTTGCCCTTGTTCTTGAAGAAGTCTGCAAGCGAGGTGGTCTTCCTGCCCTCAACGGCCTCAGGGCCAGCACCGCCAGACATGGCAACATAAGGCTGGCGCGCTAGGCCAATGCGTTCCCGAAGGGCATTGGGAGATCGCAGGATAGTCAAGCCCAGGGCGAGACCCATGATGAAACCACCAATGTGGGAGAAGTTGTCGAGACCGGGGAGAAGACCAAGCACAAATGAAATGGCTACACCCAGAATCATGATGAGGAGCTCCACCCAGGGAGACGGGCGATTGGGCCAGTCGTAAAGCAAGTCGAGTAGCTGGAGAGCAAGAATGCCGAACAGGGCACCTGAGCAACCGTCACTAGCCTCCAACTGGGCGGCGTAATTTCCACCCAGTACGAATCCGAAAATACCACTGGCAAAGTAGATCAGGGTGTATCTCCACATTCCAATCATACGCTCCATTTCCGCACCCATGGTCATCTGGACTATCAAATTGCATCCAATGTGAAGGAATCCGGCGTGGATGAACATGGGGACGATGAAGCGCCACCACTGGTTCGGAGCGGGCGTATCGTCAAGAGAGCCATAGGCATGGTTATTAGGGACTCCATTAAAGCCGCAGGCCTCGGAGAGAGTGCACTCAGATGAACTTGTCGTGGCGTTCGGACACGGGAAATAAATTGTTTCATTGGCGTTTTGAATTCCGGGAATATTCTTCATGCAGGGGTCGTAACGGGCGCCCATCCAGATCTGAACATAAGATGAGGGACCAATCATCGGATTAAACGAAGGTTTCGTTTCGATAGGTGATCCAGTGAATTGGGCTAGAGACAAATTAGCTATTTAACGTAGTTTCAGACAAGCCGCGGTCACTCACCAGCCTTAACTAGTTCCACAATGAACACAATGACTTGAACCAGTGTTAGAGTCCAGGTCACATATGCAGGTTTCTTCTGAAAGAAACCCTTCTTCTTCCGCTTGTTCTGTCCCCGTCGAGAGTCCTCCAGGGCCCCTGGTGATGCGGGCGGGTATTGAGTTTGTTGATGCATCCACTCCGGATTATTCCCGAACTGTGTTTGAGCTTTCAATGGGATGTTCTCTGCGTAGTGATCGCCTTCTCCGACTCGTCCGGCTGTGTGGTAAGCACCATTGTCTGATGCAAAAGATTGTTGACTCTCGCGATTGTGATAGGGGGCGGAAGGGTCGTCACGGTTAGAGAGGTTGGGGGCGTAGCCATATCCGGGGGCGGAAGAAGTGGCATGGTCTAGTTTTCCAGGATTGGCCTGCTCGTAGCTAGGTGGACTGGGGATATTGGAGTGATAGTATTCGTTGGCGGCCATGGTGGGCTAAATGCCGAAGTTTGGCGGGTTGCAGCGATCGGGGACCCTAGTCGTAGATATCGTGACAGCGCTTACAGAAGAAGTCGAAGGGAGTGATCGAGAGCCCTAGAAGTGAAAGGGCAATTAAAAGAGAGTTGTGGAAGATTGACTTCCAAAGGTAGAGATTTGAGTATGTTGAAAGAGAGAAGGCAGTCACATTAATCAGGTCAAAAAGTTATTTTTGGGCGATCAACACAGCCGCGCGTATCGTCATCTCCGTATCGCGGTCTATGCCCTTGGCACTTAAGACAAGATCTCATTTGCTACGGAGACCCATCAATGTATTATTTCCCTTGGCAACGGGATTGAGGTCTGTTTTGGCTCCAGACCGTGTCTTCTCTACTGTTTTGCAAATATGCTGTCCCGTTACGCACGCAATCTGAGCCGCAGTGCCAAGCGCGCGCTATGTAAGCCTTGCGCCACAGACTAGAATGAAGATTACGTACTAGAAAAAGATAGGTTTGAACATTTGACATTATGTATTTAGGACGAGTAGTAATAATAATCTGTGGGCCGCTTTAAAGTAGCCCCCTTGCCCGTGCGCATGCCCGGGGAAGAAAAGGAAAGGATTGAGCGTGGATTTATATGTAGTGCTCGGGTATTGTCGATCGCCGCTAAAAATAAGGGTGCATACCGTGTCTATAGGGCGAAGGTCGTGTGACAAAGGATGTGGTATATGCCACGAATGCCAGAGGAAAAGGGCGAAGATGGTGTGCACAATGGATGCCCCTCTGAGAGGGCAATGGAAGAATCGAAACCGCCAAATCGGAAGAATAAAAAAGCAAGTTGAATCCACAACAGTCAGCCAGGTGTATACGGGTATATACAAGGAGGCGATGCCGCTTGGTGAGCAAAGGCCTGTCACAAGGCGACGGTTAGGCAACTGATGAAGGCGACATATACTTCCCGTGCTTGTCAATGATCACCGGTACCCTGACTCCTGCGTCGCTGTGGCCGGTAAGTAGCCACACCAGACGAGTGAGCTTGTGGTACAGTATTGACGGGAAGTAGAAAGCTAGTGCCCATAACAACAGCCCCAAGACAGTCAACACAATGATGTTGGTGACACACTTCTCAGCCCATGTCATCACGTAAAGACCAAAAGTCACCTCGTATCGGTAGTATCCAAGTCGGACGCAGTCGACCAAGCGCTGGAAGGGGTTACGCCGCCGTTTGTGTAAGACGTTTGGCTTGCCGGTGAACAGTTTTTGCATCGCCGAGGTATGGGGGATGTGTGTCGGTATCGACGTGGTATATACGGTTTGCGTCTCGGTCGCCATGACTGTTGGATTCTGATCTTCGCAGATCCCAGATATCGCGGGGAGTCTCCAAGCTGAAAGGATGTATATGGGGTTTCTTCTGATGCAGGTCTCTCCTTGGTATTTGATGTATTCCCTTTTCGGCTTGTCCTTTCAAGCAACACCTCAAAAGGTCAGGCAAAAGACGGTTTGGGTGTAAAGGTATAGGATATGAACTGGTCTATTTAAGCCACTGCTCAAGGGTGGATTCAGCTGCAGAATGATAAAGTTGCACAGATGAAACAGGCGAGTCTTATGGAGAGAAGAAAGGACGATTCCAACAGGATGTATAGAGAAGGATATAGAAGAAGTCCAGAGATGAGGAAAGTACTAGGTGCAAGTATGCATCGGAACAATCGGCATGTGTTTTACGTAACCCCCTCCCCAATTTCAGGTTTTGCAGCCCTATTAATGGGACTAGAGCTACAGCATCGCCGTGTTGAATTAAATATGACATTGGAATATCTATTGCTCAAAATTCATGACCTGATCCTCAAAGTTCGTGTAAAGTCCTGACGAAGTATATGATCAAAGCGGATCGCGCCTCCGGGGGGCACAACCATGGTCGGTGCGCAATGGACTAGTGTAATGTGGCAGTACAAGTATTTACTCAGGGACAATCACTGAGAGGGAATTCTTCATTACTTTTCGAAATCAGCTATATACCTTTTCATTCTTCCATCTTGAATCCCGAGCAAAGGACCGGTATGCGCTAGTCCTATGGAAACCTACTCCCAGTCCGCCTCCCAGACCGCTTGCTCAGCCAGTAAAAGGAATCTTACAATGTGATCCCGATCATTAGACCATGTAATTTATACTACTGCCCTACAAATTCGATCCCTTCCATTTTGCTTAACGACTACTCTTATCACTATCAAAATGTCTTCACTAAGAGTTTACGGAAGCCCAATATTACCGTCATGACTCCTAGGCTTCCTACTTCGAAGCTTGATTTCTTTCGTGACTCAATAGATACCTAGACTTTCACCACGTCTCAGGTGGCCGCCGAAGCCGAATGCAGCAAAGCCATGATCATCAATATTCGTAGAAACCCGAGTCAAATTCAATTGCAATAACTTCTAGAAGAATAGTTCAGTACTTAGCCTGATCCTGCTCATGCGCCATGGTCTTATCGTTGATTGGCGCGAACACCCAGGCATTTTCAATCTTACGGTTGACGTGCAGGATTTCCATGGGATTCATATTCCTCGTATTAACGCCGAAGTTAGCTGCACCACCGTCTGGCATCTTTTCTTCAAATGGCCACCAATAGCATCTACATTTAGGTGAAGGATATTAGCTTATCTATAGATTCCCATAGATAATGAGCCGATCGAGACTTACACGCATCCACAATTCTCACAGGAATTGAATGACTTCTCTCGATCTCCCCAAACGTACTGAGAGAGTTTGGCGCCTTCTTTTAGGTCAAATTTGATTTCATTCACTTTATAGTACGCCCAAGCGGCTGCGTAGCGCCGACAGATTGTACATTGACATTCGTTGATTTCCTCTGGTTGATAAGGCACGATCACGGTGATGGCGCCACAATGGCAGGTGGATTTGAGGGATTTGTCCGCCATCTTGATCGCAAGTATAGAATAAAGTAAAATGGAGTAGAAAGTTGTTTAAGTTAGGCATATGGACTAAGAACCTAGTGATTCTTCAATAAGTAGTACGCAAAGGCGAGAACTAGGCTATACATGGGAAGAATGAGGGGCAAGACACAAAACGTGGCTGACGTGAGAGGGAAGCTACTATCGTCCACCACTAAGCGGGCCACACGAGCGAGCGGGCTACCCTATAACAGTATAGTATATCTAATAAACCATAACTTGATATTTTGACAACGATCAGCCCAATCTATACCAAAGCCTTCTGACTGACTATCTAGGATAGAAATAGCCCGGTCTGCAAAATTACCTTGAAAAACCCTGCACAGGTGAAACATAGGCATTTCAAATTCAAATAGATCTTTCACTTAATCACCGATTAAATCCCAAAGATATACTACTGGTAGGCCTTAAAAAGACTAACCGCGTACAAGGAAGATTTTTGGGTTGTTGAGATATCAAGGTTGAATTATATCGCGTTTACTATATGGTACAGGGTGTCGCTCGTGTGGCCCACTCGGTGGTTAGCGGGCCAACATTTGGTAGATCTGGCAAGTTTTACAAAACAATTCTGGATGGATCCATATAGTATTACAGTGATATGTCAATGAATCGTATATGGCGATACAATCATGACAATGACAGTATTGCCGGAGATACGAGGCGGTAAAGGTGGTTAGCGTGTCCCGGAATCCTTTTCCGGTAGTCAAGCAGTAAGAGTATGGCGGTACAGCTGATTTCGAACACTACTGTATGATCATAAAGATTGACTTGTTGAAATAAATGATAGGTATGGTGTGAGATTTCAAGTGCACCTATAATCTAATAGAGTCTTGGAATTACCTCCACTTACTTTAATATAGTACTGTAGCGATAGCTAGTAAATTGGTTCCTGGTACCTGGTGCCTGGACAGGTACAATCTATGACGTAGTATAGCAAACGAGAAGATGTGACTGATAGAGGTAACTTTGGATTTTCCAGTCCAGTTTGACGCTCACCCCTTGCCTTTTATTGCGCTTAAATATGGGCGCAGATTCATTCTCTTGCGATCGTTGAAGAACTGCAGAATCTGACTCAGAACTCTGACCATACCTATGCCACGATTCCGGTTCGTTCCACCTCAAGATCTGACAGAGCCTGCTGTAGAGCAAGGCCTATCATTCTGTCTTTCCTCCTTTTTCTTTCTTTTTTTTTTAATTTTTTTTTTTTACTTCCGTTTTTTTATTTTCTTTCTGGCTCCTGAATCATTGACTTCCCAATGCTGCTTTGCCGGAGTTTAGGAGTTTCTATCCAAGGGTGCAAAAGTCAAACTTTTTTTGAAGCGCAATCCTACAGTCAAGACTTGCTTCTATTGTGTGTCGCTTTTCCGAGCTTATCTGGAGAGGTAGGGGGGATACAGTAGCAGAGAGGCGTCAAGGCAAGGAGATGACACGAGTAGCGGTGTGACATGTCAATCCCAGTAACAACATGAACAAGACATGTTCTACATTTAAGCATAGATACTTCACAATCTGTTTTGGAACCCCAATTTCTGAAGATGGTTGGTCTGAATAACCAGTGCCTGTTCCCGCAAAGATTTCCAAATGATCCTATCTTCACTCAGCTTCAGAAGCTTAGTCACACATTTTCTGGAGTGATAATTCATGACGACTATGGCATCGATACAGACTACAGAACTCTTGTTGCGGATGTAACATATCTGAGAGCGCTTTTGAGGGAGAAGGTTCCACGCGACTGGCTCGACAACAGAGGCTTCCTCAAGAGCAATGCGGGCTCCATAGGAATCATGACAGCCAGCTGTCACCATCTCGTAGTGGGCTTCCTTGCTACTGCTGCACTTGGGGGAAAGTTTGTACCACTACGTAGGTTTCAATTTGGTCCTAGGCATACATTTACACCCTATGCTGATTCATGATTTGTAGCAATTAATCCAAAGCAGGAGAATTTTGTCTATATGATTGACAAAGCCAATGTCAGAGTCATCTTAATCGACAGCAGTGTGCCGGAAGAGCCGTCGGACATTCAAGAACTGCTTGGTAATGGAAATGGGCCAGTTCAGATGCTCTCCATTGAGCGATCAAACCCAAACATGTATTCAGACATGGAGATAGACGAAGATACCACCATTGCTGCAAAAGAGACCGCCCTGATATTGTTTACCTCCGGCTCGACTGGACGCCCCAAAGCCGCCGCTATTCCGCGGTCACGGCTATATTTCAAAATCCGCATGGATCCCGACGAGCTCTATCTCATGTATCGACCACTGCACTGGGTAGGAACCGTGTTACCGCCCATAGGCCTTGTCTTGCAGGGAGGAAGAGCTCGATCCCTCAAATCAGGCGCTTATGCCGCGGAAATTTGGAAAGTTCTGAAAGAAGGAACTATAACAGGGATGTTTATCTCTCCTGTCTATGCAAAGACGCTGCAAGAGCACTATGAGGCCAATATTCGTCATTTGTCGGCTGAGGAACATGATCACTATGTTCACGGAGCTTCTAATTTGCGGAGGGTAATCACAAGTGGCTCTGTGATGGATCCCTCTGCAGTTGAATTTTGGAAAAGCCTCACCAATATGCCGCTTGTCGCACGATATGCTTCGACTGAGACTGGAGTCTCTGTTTTTGCTACCTCTCCAGGTGATCCATGGGTGGATGTACGTGTGTTCCTCTTATATAATGAGTAGGCTTTGCTGACGGTTTTCTTAGAGATGCCTCGGGGAGCTTGTAAACAAGGCTTCCATCAAACTGTCTGACGGGGATGAAGGTCATCTTTCTGTCAAGATGCCGGGAATGTTCACACAGTGAGAACCTTTTCATATATTTTTGCTATGATTTACCCTTTAACATGGCCCAGCTACGTCGGCGACGAAGAAGCAACAAAAGCTGCTTTTGATGAAGAAGGATTTTTCCGAACGGGGGATATAGTTCGTCGAGTAGGAAACAAATACTTCTTTCAGGGTCGAGCCTCATCCGACTGTGAGTATTACCACACAATGAGGTCTTCATATGAACAAGGCTCATGCTTGTCTAGGGATTCGATATTCGCTTTACAAAGTCACGGTATCAGAAGTCGAGAAAGAACTCAAAGCCCTGCCCTACATATCCGAGGCCTATGTACTTCCGATTATGGACTATGAGGTGAGAGAGTTAGTCGGGGCAATCGTTCGTCTTCGGGGTAGCAGCAACTACCCAGGACAGGAAAGTGGACATCGGAACCCCGACATCAACCTTTGCAAGATCCGTCAGGACCTTTCCTCCAAGTTGGAGATTTACAAGTTGCCCACAATTCTACGAATCCTACGGGAGGGTGAAGAGGTTCCACTCTCTGTTTCGTCGAAAGTTTTGAAACCTAAACTACGTGAGATGTACTTCAGGCTATCGGGTTACCGGCCTAAGAATTACTCGGAACCGGGTGTGGAGTTTTGGGAGAAAGGTGTCGATCTGAAATATATTCATAATGCGGGTGGCTTTGCGTCGTGTTGAGATGGTATGATAATTTTACTATCGGCGTTGTGATTTGAATGTCTCCAATGTCAGTAAGTCATAGATGCGCCAAAAATAATGCGCGGCTTGCAAGGGGTGAAGGAAAAAGAGGGGTGAGGGTCAATACTCGAAAATAACGTCTTCCTTGGTATATTCTATCGGAAGGTTGGCTGAGTGCAATTGAATTCCATGACCAGTCATACGCTATTATAGGACAAAACTGAGTACAGGTCTCCTACATTCCAGGATCTGCAACCCCAAAGCTGCACGATGAAGCGAAAGTAAACTGCAGCAGATCGCCATCTCCGTGAAAGTCAAAAGAATAAACAAATAGAGAACCAAAAATTGGACAAATTTACGAGCCAGGGGAGTTTAACAGGAGAACATAGAACCGTATTGTGCGACTATTGCTCAAATATTGTAGTCATTTTTTCGAAAGAGCAGCAAGCTTGAAATTGCCAGAGCTTTGTGTACTAATTCAAAGATCGTAACAATGTTGGAGGACAGAAGAGATTGGAAGAACCTTGGAACCCTTGCGGTATGGTATGTAGCCAAGAAATTGTATCTCCATCAAAATATGTATGGAGATATATATACCCACTGTACGTGGCACTTGATCGGCATCCTAATACGAGCCAGAACCTTAATATAGCATGAAAATACCCGAGGGATCTCCTTGCAGTTCTATTCACAGTTTGTGATTCCCGACCATAAAAAGCAATTGTGCTATGTTACTGCGCCTTACTTGATGCATATCAAATAGTCACCGCCACTCTCTTCAGGTGAAACAATGCGTGGATAGGTTGATAAGACTGTAAAATGTACCAAGAAGCGAGTCTGAGCATGAAAAAGGAAATGGAATGCTGTGGTAGTCATATGTGTCATGTGTTGCATAAAGCGATAAATTTGTCTCATCGATATTGAGTTTATATATGCCTCGAAGCCATTGGCAGAGACATCCATCACTTCGGTAGAATCTCAGTCTTTGCCTTGATTGTATTCTTCCTTGTCGCCAGGATGGAGATTTTTCTCGATGCCATTCGCCGAAACAGGAATTCGACCTATATTGACCGTCGATACAGTACTCGGGAGGTGCCCATGAAGGTCATCATGCTTGGATTCCCTCGTACAGGCACGGTTTGTAAGTGCTCACCACCAACATATTTAAGTCCTCGGTTGCGACTCAGCTGACCAATACTGCTTTCATAGCCTTGACGAGTGCACTCAAATTCCTCGGATTCCAGCACGCTTACCATGGCCGAGATGCTTTGACCATCAATCCTCGAGACTGCGAGCTATGGTGGGAAGCATTGCAGGCAAAATACGAAGGGAAAGGAAAAGAATTTGGTCGCAAGGAATTCGATCAGCTACTGGGTCATTGCCAGGTTGTCTCTGATGTTCCCGCAATTTGCTTTGCCGAAGAGCTTATCGCAGCATACCCGGATGCCAAAGTCATTCTGACCGTAAGAGACGTGAACGAATGGCAAGCGTAAGTAAAATTGAAGGAATGTTTGGACTATTAGAAGTAACGAGGCTTTTAGGTCGGTGAGAAAATCAATGTTGCGACAAGTCGACGACCCATTGGCGCTTCCGATGCTTCTCTTAGATCATATTCTCTTCATGCCATGGCGCTGGGTTCGGCCAGTATTCCTCAAGTCCCGACGAGTGCTGTGGGGTAATGATTTCGAGAAGAATGGGAAGAAAGCCTTTGAAGACCACTACAAGAAAATTCAAGCCATAGTGCCACCAGAGAAACTGCTCCTTTACCATGTCAAAGAAGGATGGGAACCTCTCTGCAAGTTTCTCGATGTCCCAATCCCTGAGAGGCCAATGATGAAAACAAATAACTTCAGAGTTTTCAACCAAGCATTTGTGGCAAAGAAGGTGTATCATTTTACACAGTACGCTTGGAGAATTATTGAAATTTCTGCATTTACGTCGCTATTCATAATCCTCTGGCTATTTTACCAAGGTGGACCAATGCCTTGGCATTGAATGGTCTTTAAGGGAAACAGCCATCGATATTACACATAGAGTGAAAATCATATTTCCTGTTGTCTTCTTAAAATTCTGGGTTTATAATACATAGCCAAAGCTTTCCCAAACCCGATTGAAGGTACAGTAGAAGCCACACGGGATCGATGCCTCACCTGACATAGAACATTCCACTATATGTCCCAACAATGGGCTTGTCTGAGTCCTTGGCAGATCCTCGTATTTGCTTCATACATATGATCTACCGTTTTACCTGGGAGACCTCTTCACCGCCGAGGACAAATAGCCCTGTCAATCCAACAGGGGGTGTTATTGGCCCATCATTCGGTAATTTTGTCCCAGAAAAGCCTTTTCAGCACATCTCACAAACTTAGAAGCCCAAATCTTAGATCACACTCAAATTGTCTCAGATAAGGCACGATCTGATCCTTCAACACACATGCCTCATTTGCCAATATTTAGATATGCACATCGCACTTATGTGCTGCGTTAGGGCCACAGGTGCATGTGTCTCCCTGCTTGGAACATGTATTATACTGTTTACCTGCTGTACTGTGCTATTAAATCAGTGCCCGGAAATCGTCATCCGACGATCGGCTGGATAAGCCAGAATATGTAACATGTAACATTCAATCTGAATTAATGAATCCATCATCACCTCATGTAAAATTAGTCCTGCAGGGTACCACATACTACGTTGTGTATCCAGACCAGCTTCATGACATTGTATCTTACAGTGCCTTTACATGACCAGGTGCCAGGGTCTCAGATATGAAGCAGCGGTGTGGTTATCATCGCAAACGCTCTCATCTCTCACTGTTGTTCAGTCGAGGTTTGTTGTATCAGACTGATGACCACTACTTTTGCTATTGCTTAGCGTTGTTTCAAGGTATCCGTAGTTATGTGAAATTGAATCAGAGATCTGGAATCTAGTACGCATTCAAGCTTCATACTTTCATAGTACTAGTATGATTGACATCACATAGATCATCGTTTTCCTATTTGATTATGCTGCAGAAAAGATGCGGTGTAGCGAAATGCCATATCTGCCGCGAATTGAACCTTGTTGAATATAGAAACTTTTATATGTAAAGCATGCCGTTGTTCTGAGGACCCCGGTCAAGATCCTTCAACGCAACACCATACTTTGCACTAAGAAGGCCAACATGACAGTTACGTTGCAGCCCCAACAACCAGATATCGACAATGAGCCGATCCGACAAAAATGGCTAGACCGCACAGCGCGTCGACTCAGAAATGAAAATCTGAGCAGAGAGCTACCTACAGGCTTTCCCAAAAGACTTTTTTCTGGTTTGGTATGGGATGGCCAATCGTTGCCAGCCATCTATGACTGGACATATCACCTGAGCTCTGAAGATCTGGAGGAGATCAAGCAGGCCGTGGCCTACTTTCGTGGTAGGGCTTTATCATCAAGCCAATAAGTTTCCGAGCACTTGCTAAGTACCATTCATAGGTCTTGATAAACCTCTGGGTCACATTGGCCCCGATACCTTCCCTCTACCAAACCTTCATGATAAGTTGCGGGATGTCTCAAATGAAGTCCACAATGGCCATGGATTCAAGATAGTTCGTGGTATCCCTGTTGATGAGTTCTCGCGCGAGGAAAATATTATCATTTATGCTGGCATTTCCTCTCATGTCGCATCTGAACGCGGCCGTCAAGTCGTCATCAGGCCGTCTCAAAAGGTACTCACTCACGTGAAAGATCTTGTCGGCCCATCGGAAACCAAGAAAGCCCGTATTGCAACATGGTCCTCCGATCGACTGAACTTCCATACTGACATTGGAGACATCATATCCCTGTTTTGTCTTGAAACAGCTGCTGAGGGAGGAAGCAGTCAATTGGCCAGTAGCTGGCAGATTTACAATGAGTTGGCAGTCACAAGGCCCGACTTGATCGAGACATTGGCGGGAGATTGGCCACATGACACGTGAGTATAGACACAGGGAGCCTTCTCATCAATTTCATCTATTAACATTCTAATAGACACGGTGCTAAGCCGGGGGGCTGTAAAATGTTCCCAGTCCTCCATTATCAACCTGCAACTGGCTCAGCTCCTGAAAGGGTCATCGTCCATGTTATACGCCGCGACTTTACTGGAACCCCTGACGCACCAAGATCAACAAATATTCCTCCAATTACTGAGGCTCAAGCAGAGGCTTTGGACGCCCTCCATTTCTTGGGCGAAAAGCATCAGGTCCGTCTTGACTTCAAAAAAGGCGACATTCAATACGTCAATAATTTTAGCATCATTCATTCTAGAGAGTCATTCAGAGATACACCAGGACAACAGTGAGTACAGAACCTATTATGATCCTACTCAATATGTACTGATGATACAAGGCGTCATCTCCTGAGGTTATGGCTACGTGACCCTGAGAATGCATGGGAGATACCGGGCCCTTTCAAAGAGCGACTTGGAATCGTTTACAACAACGTGGACAAAGATACGCAGGAGTTCCCATTGGAAGCCGAAGGCGATAACAAACTTCGTAGCTAGATGACCATCCAGGTCAATTGGACTATCCAGTTCGGACATGATGATCATAATATTGGGGTGCAAGTGAAAACGCAGAGTCAAAGATTCCGAGGATCATCGCGCTTTGGAATGCGTTGCCGAGGTCATGTGCTGTCTGGTCATCGGGATTGTGCCCTTATCTCTTTGGAGTTTGAATACTTCAAGGCTGTGATACCGGCATATGTACATACTAAAAGTGTCTACCGTGCATCTACCATAATAAAATTGGTACTCATTTATATACTTCCAGAGATGATCGGGGCTGTTGCTGGGTGCCATCGATGCCCGTAATTATACATAATCCACAGTAGGCTTGATGCCCCGAAATATACCAGGGCAATTATTGTCCCCATCCAGCCCGTTCCGACAGCCTTGATCAGTGGGGTGGCCGCAGCTGCTGTCCCAGCAGCACAGAGGAAACGAAATGAATTCATGGCAGCTAAGGCGCTGGCCGGCTGTTGCGGATTCAAATGGAACATCAGACCCGTCAGCAAGGAAGAGGCACCTGTCAGGCTATTTCCCAGCAAGAAGAGCATTATGATAGGGCCAGCGACATGCACCTTGGAATGCAGTATCCAACCGTAAGCCACAGCGCAGGCACACCCCAGGTAGACAATGGGGATTATTACTTGCAAGCGGGCTCGATCGGTCCTCATGTGAGCCGAACCAGTCTCTTCAGTCACTTCAGCCAGCCGCTTGTGCCTTTGGATGTTGGCATCCGACAGTGGGACAAAAATCCACCGCGACGTGAAGCCCCCTAAGGCGTAGGCTAGATGAGCAGCGCCAATCTCAAGAAGGTTGAAATGAAATTTTCTGGCGAATAGAACAGGGATTGTCACGATGAGTGCAATAGAGCCACCGAACAGCGTTGCTTGGAAGAGAATGAGCAAGAAACCAGGCATTCGAAATGCAAGCTTGATGGTTTGGAAAGGAGTCAACCTGCGCTTCAGTAGCACACGTGTTTCAAGATTTGGAGGGGCCGCGGGCTTTTGCCAGAAAATGTCTATTAGTGGGCGGTTCCATTGCTTCGGAGGTACGCTGCCGTTTCCAACTTGGGCACGACAGGTTTCGTGGTGGAAGGAGGCCACGAGAACCAAAAGAAAGCCAGCGAGGACGCCTTGAAAATAGAAGATACTTGGCCAACCAAATTTCTGGGCCAATAAGCCGCCTAATATAGGGCATGTCACAGGAGCAAGTGTGTAGGCCAGCGAGGTGAATATCCGGTAGTCCTTGCGTTCAACGGGGCGAATGATATCGTTGACGGTGGCTATGGCGGCAACGGATACCCCGCTGGCACTGCAGCCTTGAAAGCAGCGTAGGACCATAAAACCAGCAAAGCTGGTCTGCCGCGCTAAACTAACGTTTATAGCGATGCACATAGTCAGGCCCGCAAGCAGCACAGGACGGCGACCTCGCTCATCAGAAAATCCCGCAATCAGCAACGGAAATAAGGCCTGGCAAATCTACCGGTAAACATGAGTTTCACGACTTTCACAATCAGAGATCAGAAGATTGATATAAACGATACCATGAATGCTGTGACGGCCAAGCTGATTTTACTGTACGAAACTTGAAGATCTCTAGCAAGGAGCCCCAGTGAAGGGTAGTAGATTCCCGCAGAGGCAGGTCCGACGAAGGTAATCGCGCATACCAAAATGATTGTTGCAATTTTCTGGGGTCGCGGAAGTACTGAAGGCGCAAGAGGTTTCCTCTGTAAAGCTTTTGGTTCTACCTCAGCATTTCCAGGAGGCCTCACAGATACAGTCCGTTCCACCATTACTGAGAACCTTCATGGAAGATTTTTAGTAGGTCAACTCCACTTAAATTTGCACTCAAACGCCCACTTGATGTAATGCAGGGCACTGTAATAAGAAATATTGCCCTCTCGAGTGGAAGCCAGCACGGGCCACATTTGATGTAAACACAAGGGGCACTGGTTATTGCCCCTGCATATTTGCGTCAGCCAGTATGGTTCCTAGGCAGGGAGTGTCGGTACGGAGCAGTGTTGATCAATTGTTTGAAGATGATCACTTCACAAAGTAGAGAATCTGCACGCTTGTTCTCATTCAAGCGTGAATGCTTTCCCCCTTGTGACTAGACAGGAGTATGACCTCTGTACATGGGGCGAGTCTGGCTCCAATGCATGGTAATCTAACATTCTCACTATAATCAAGCATGGTCTAATGGCGGCATATTATGCTGCTGTATGAAGGTATGTTGATTGAAACCTTCTGATTCTACATGATCAATTTCACGGGATGAGTTTTGAATCAGCAGCCGGCCTTTTAGCGTGCAAGCCCAATGGAAACCTCACTGGAGAAAGGCTAGGAGGAATTCACAGTACGGACACGTCCCGTTGACCATTATTCACTAATCGCGGAAAAAGAGCAGAAATTGAAGAGGAATACAGCAGCTTGAAGGGGCTCAGAAAGCCGACGAAACCGAAGCAGTTCGGCAGAATGGACGATTATCTCGGCGGTAAGATCGTGTCTACACACAACATGAGCAGTATAAGCATTGTCTTTCGCGTATTGTTTGATACATGTCCTAGTGAATCTTCCAGGTTGACCAACTTCCCTTCATTCTGTCCACACTCTGTCCATTTCACTTATGTAATTTGAATCCGTCCCTGTCAAGCCACACGCCACTTGTGGCTAAGTAAGTGATGTCACTCTCCGTACCTTTCTTCCCCGCGCGGGACGTCTAAGCCCCAACAACTTCAACTGTGACATACAATCCCATCATGGACGCCGACGCAGAGAATCCGCTCGTTCAAGCCCTGCCTCCGGCTACCGACTACCTCACCTATCTGACACTCCTTGAATATCAACTTACCCCCGAACGCCTGCCACTGCTGCACCGGCTCCTTCAAGATGAAAAGCTTACTACCAACATCGGTTGGGATCTTGTTAAACTCCTCCTCCCAATGCTGCCAGCATCTACAGACTGTCTTCATGATGTTGCAAGACTCGGAAATCCCCGAGAGGTGATTTTGCGAGTATCCGAGGCCCTGATGCAGCTGCAGCCAGAAGACGAGGATGAGGAGGACCTCGCAGACGACAAATCCGACAAGCGCCTTCCAGCACACAGCCTCCAATTCAATTGTTTGTTGGCGATGTTGTCGGAACTTCATAACCGCATTAAGACCAAATCCCCGAGCCGTTTCGTTGCGACCTCGCTTCAAGCGGCCTTAGAAGCCTACACGTCCATGCCGAGTGACGAGACGACCTTGGCCTTCCTCGAGTTCTTGCGAGACATCTCCCCAAAAAAGCGACCAGCCCCACCCCCACGATCCGACAGTCAATCGGCCGTTCTGCGGGTGAATTCGATCTCGTCCGCTCCAGACCCAGAAGCAGAGGGGGCTCCGGCCGTAGCCAATGAGGCCATCCTGGTTGAAAAGTTCCTCCAGTTCGGTCTAATCGAAGTACTCAAAGTATATCTGCTGAGTCACTCAGGTCCAATGGACCCAGGGATGTCTTGGACGGTTCGGATGCAGGAGCACTTCCACCCAGCGTTGAAGTTGCCTGAACAGTCCCAGTCAGAGGCGTATACCGCCACCACGGAGTTGAAGGAACGTGATATGATCATGGGGAAGATAGTGGTATGTGGAATATTATGACTTGTCTCCGCAGTTGAATAATGGCGAAAGTATTAACTTCTGCCCTAGGCTCTATCGCGCGATTTTGGAATCGAATCTGCCGACCTCGTATCTATCATTTCCAGCTCTCCTGATAGCCAGCCTCAAATCCTCGACTTTGATGAGCCCACCACCTCCGCAAACGAGATCTCACTGGAGCGTCATGGCTCCTTGTTGCTTCTTGCAGCTCGCACTGCAGGTTCAACTTTATTCAGATCTGGTGAATCTGTACCGAGGATACCCATCTTCCCCGACCTAGCCTTGATTTACAAAAACTTCCTGGGAGATACCGAAAGCTTGGACGAAGTTGCTTATGGCCAGCCGCAAGCCCTTATCGATTCGCTCTTAGCCTTGACTGTCTTCGCCTTACAAGAACCAACTACCACACCATCCAGCCACGCCGAGTTCAAAAACTTTGTTATCACTTTGACAGGCTGTACTTCTAACAAGGAATATGGTATTGTGCGCCAAATTCCCGCGACCATTGTACACAGCTACCCATCTACAACTGCGCGTTTCAAACTCATACAGACAATTCTGGAAGATGATCGTCTCCAGTCCGCCCGAGATAGCGCTGTTTCATGGTTGAAAGATGAGATAATCGGTGCTACCTCGCCTGACACAATATTCCAAGACCCAGTCTACTTCTGGTCTCTTTTCCCACTCCTCTTTAAGACGGCCAGAGTTGCTGCGTCCACTAAGCTCATAGATGGCTGGATCAGCCTAACCCAGACCGAGGGTCCTGCTCTCCACTCCGCACTGAATCTCTACTTTTTACTCCTCTCTTCCCCTCTCCGGGATCAACTTCATTTAGAAAAGACAGTTCTTTTCTTCCGTAGCGAGGTACTTGCTCCTCTGCGGACCTTGTTCCGCACATTTGAGGCGGATTTTACTTCCAAGGGCGGCGATGGAATTGTGGAGGCGGCAGTTGGAGTAGAGATGTCTCAGGTTGGCCTTTCTCGGTCCCTAGGGTTGATTGGGCTCACGCTTGATCAAATTGAAGATGCGATTAGTGAGGCTTATGGAACAGATGATGCGGATTTGACAAGCTACTCTGAAGCGGAGGAGGCCAAGGCAGCAGAAATTCGGCAAGAAAGCGACTTTTGGAAATAGGAATAAGTACATAGATTTTCCTTTTAGGTCCATTGCGTTGTGAATACTACTTTGTTTTTTTTTAAGTGAGCTTCCATACTCATGCAGTCCGACGGAGTTACCTAATTGGGGTTAGCGCCATCTCCGACTTCTTGCCTTCGGCATCGTGAGATCCCGAGTTGCACCAGACATCAATTGAGCCGGCTCTATAAATAATGATACACAGACAGGGGCCAAGTCATTGAGAAAAATCATGTTCAAGTGTACAAAATGCGATAAATCATATCAGAGGAAGACACATCTGCACCGTCATGAGGCTACCCGTGAGTTACGGCTTATCCCTTACCATGAACGTTTCCCCAATTGACCGCTGCGTAGATATGCAGCAAGCTGCTTCAAGCTGTCCATTTTGCAATAAATCATTTTTAAAGCCGTATGTAAACTTTCAACTCCTCGGAATCTGTTGCTAACCTGCGCTTAGAGAGGTCACCAGGCGACATAGTAAGACGTGTGCAAAAAAGCATGATCTACCACTTCCTCCTGCGGCAAAACCAGGAAGAAAGAGACAATCATGCGACGAATGTTTCTTGGCAAAAGCAGCATGTGATAGAAAGTCGCCCTGCACTCGCTGCGATGCTATCGGTCGACAGTGTACCTTTGGAGCCCAATCTTCAGCACTCACCGTTGGCCCCTGCTTGCCAAAGCTGCCAGCTTCATTATCTATCGCGGCACCTCGTACAGTCTCAAACGGTAATAACCCATTCTTCTTCCTCCAACATTTTGCCAATCCTGCCGTTAAAAAGGACCGGCTTGCAATAGGAGAAACTGCGAAATTCTCTATTCGGAGGAATCTCGAGTCAATTTATTCTCATCTAGAAGATGCACTCGTACCATCTGACCCACTAGCGGCCTTTGCCGAGGATTTCAGGGGAGCCGAATTCCCATTCCTGCTTCCACCTGCTACAGAAGACTCTCTGCTTTATCAATACCCGCCTGACGCGCTTTTCCCTTCAAAGCTTTCCAATCAGCTGACGGAGTTGATGAATGAGCTAGTGGAGACCTCTAAATCTATGGCACCTGGTGGTGCTGAAGATAAACCGCTTGATATAATGCAACTGACCGCGTTATTCGGAGTATCCAATATTTCGGCCTTTATATCGGCCTTTTTTCAGTCACTCCACTGGCATTTACCTATTATCCATTTCTCAACCTTTGATCCCGGAAATGCGTCAAATCCGCTTCTGCTCGCGATATTCCTGTCGGGTGCAACATATACAACACCACTGGATGGTGCAGTTTTATCGCCTTCGATATTCGATGTGGCGGAGGAGTATATTTTCCGGAAGATCCTGAATCTAACGACCCAGTCATCAAAGGATCCGGAGCATATTCTACCTACGGTGCACTTGGTGCAAGCTGCTCTTATTATGGAAATGCTCCAGTTTGGTCGTGATGATATGCAGACGAGGCGTCGCATTCGTATAATGCGACATCCATGCTTGGTGTCCACTATCAGGTCATTAGGGATTTTTCAATTAAAGCGCCGCACAGCACCTAAAGCAAATGATGATCGGACGTGGAGGGGTCTGGTGGCCGAGGAAGTGTGTATTAGGTATGCGGATTCACAACATATTGTTTGCTGGATGTTTGCTCATGCTGGACAGAATCGCGTGCTGGGTTTTTCTAGCCGATGGATTCCTTACAGTCTGTTTCAAAAACCACCCGGCATTGTCCATTTTTGAAATGGATTGTCACTTGCCATGGTGTGCCGAGCTATGGGAAGCCGAAGATGCAGACTCTTTTGCTCGGATTGCAGCAAGGAAATCCACTGAGCATCCTATACCACCTCTGAAAGATGTGGTGACACAGCTGCTAGAAACCCCCGAATCAGGAGCCCCGATACCTTGGGGCCTCTCGCTATCTGCAGAGAATCTTTTGATTCTCATCTATGGTATGTTCCCTGACAACAATTTCAGAGCTTGACACTAACTTTAGCTTAACAGCTATGAGCTCCCTCGCCTTCCAAACTAGGACAGGGCTTCTGAAGTTCCTTCCACTCGACACAATAAGTCGTGGCGCTAAGAACTGGAAACGAATATGGGACTCGGTGATGGCTTCAATAGACCAAAAGCAGTTCCTCCATCTCGGTTATCCCAAACATGCCGAAGAGTTATGGTGGCTTCTAACGGCTACGTTGGATATTGCTAACCAACCAGGGGCAGGCCTTGCCTATCTTAACAACACGGCAACTGATGAATTGGGCAACCTCAATGATTTTATGCAGCATTTGAGTGAGGCCAACAGAGTACAACGAGAATGAAACCTTATTAAATATTAATGATACATATATACAATTCTAGACTTTCTCTTCCCTCAAATATTTTTCTTGGCACTCTCCAAAGCCTTTGCAGCCTTCTCCTCCTCATTCTGCTTGATTTTGAACGCATCTTCTTCGGGTGTGCGGTACGTTCCTCCAAGGCGATCCCACAGCGTAATATATTGCCCATAGTTATAATTGAAGTGCAAATGATGCATCGTATGGCACGCCGCACCATTGATAATCTTCGAAGTAGACAAATACTCGGCATCATCTGTAGCATTGAATTAGCTACAAGCCCAGCAAACAGAAGCAAAAAGAAGCGGGGCAAAGGGAACTCACGAATCAAAACAGTCCACAAAGTAACAAACATGAACAATCCCAGATAAGCACACTTCTGCAACGGGAAAAGAAGCGGGAAGACGTGATATGGCAAACTCTGTGCCCACCCATCCAACGGGTGAAACGCATAACTAGCATATGGCGTCGGCACCACCCATTTGTGATGCGGCTTATGGCACCAGCGATACACCCACGGGTGGTGCAAACCACGATGAATCCAGTAGATGCCGCTATCGGTGAACAGAATGAAGAGCGGATACTGCAGAAGCGTGTAACCCCAGAAGGGAGACTCACTGCTGAAATCGTATAGTTTCGAGAAACCTCTGATTTCGGCGACGAAGAAGGGGGCTGTGAGGAGGGATATCACTGGGATGGAGGAGAGGCCTTGGGCGATTTCCTGGGCGACTTGGTTTTTGAGGAAGCGAGGGTGCTGCATCATTCTCTTGTCGAAGATTGTGTGGTAGAGGACGAAGCTGCCGGTGAGGTATAATGCCCAGGCGAAGATTCTATAGTTTGTTAGGTTATAGTGTTCCAAAGTTGGTGGAAACACATACAATGCAATTAAGAAGAATGATACTCCTTGTCTGAGAATATCATCTCGCTTCCATAGACTTGCGTAGGCCAGGTCGGATGCTTGCAATGGATAATATACGCCAACATGTTGATTGACTGGTGGTTTGAAGTCCAAGGTGGAGTTTCCGAATGATGGATCCGGTAAGAGTGATGCATAGCATCGATCAAAGACATAAGTGTCAAGAATATCTAGAACGATATCCATCTTGTAGATATTCCAAGATTGTTTTGTTCGTGATATGCAGGAACAGAAATAAAGAATTGGGTTCTTATAAGTTCTGCACGGGGTATCCCTACTGGGGATTACCTACATGGGCCCACAACGGGGATTCCCTACCGATCAACCCACCACGGGAATAACCTACCCCGGCGAATACCTACGTACCGGATTTCCACTCCCACTTCTTGACTTTCCTTTTCCAAATTAGCGCTAGATTCTCGCCGCTTTTTGCTCACTGAGTAAACCTGAGCATGCCCCTGAGCGCACTGATCCGATCAGTGATCATTATATAAGCACAGTGATCTGCTCACTGATGTTGATCTGAGCGCCTTGATTTGCTCACTAACTCTGAGCTAAGCCTAGGTACCAGCTCAAAATCATAAAATTTATGCTTATATCAGCATACGAGCTCCTGGCCGCTATATCATGCCGTAGCCGCGTGCACGGACGGAAAGTGTGTAATTTGATGTACGAAGTGGCACGACATCGTGCACGTACTAGTCTCTATGTATTGTGATAAGATTGCTTGCATGACTGCCTACAGTAGTAGCCTATGAAGCCAAAAATATCATCCACTCAAACTATCAGCGATATAGCCTCAAGATAGCCAGACTCTTTATAAAGATTCCTGGGCAAATTGGAGCCATTCTTTGTCTTGCCCCAGGCGCTTAATAACATCCTGCTCCAGGGCTATCAGCATCTCTACACCCTCCCCCTTTTTTTGAGGTAACACAAGGACCCAGCCATCCTTGACTGGCGCGTACGCAATGCGTATAGCCTTCGCCTTCCCCAGCTGATGTCCCCAGTCAAGTTCGAGCATATCTCCAACCGCCGCGATGTTACTGACCTCTAGATCTGGGCCTTGAAAGTTGTCCATATCGGGCTCTATTTTGCTGACCATTTCACTAGATTCAATTGCTCCAATCAGCTCCCAAATACGCTCTGGCGTCCACCAGTCGATCGCATGGGTGATTTGTGTTGCCAGCTTGTATAGCGTTCCAGGCTCTGCCGACTCCACATCAGAGACTGCTGCAGAAGTTTTGGCGTGCACGAGTGCGTTGCCTACATATTCCAGCGGAAGCGGGGGGTCCATTCGCCTCCTAATATTAATGGGGTTAATGAAGGAGGTTGTCGTAATGCCCGAAGAGGATAACTGTCGCGCTCGGGAAATATGACGCCACAGCGCCGCGCATAATACTGCGTGGTCTGTCAAGACGGGCGAATCTTTAGTTTCATGTAGCGGCGATGCAACCTCTCTCATTGCGAGCAGCGACTTGTTCGAGACAACCCAATGCGAAAGTTGGAGTTTCTGCAACAGCTGGGGCTTCTCATCCCTAGCGACAAAAGCCTCAAGCAGCGCGCGTTCTCGAGCGAATCGGTAATTTTCGCTCCGTCGGTAATTCGGAATGTCGCAGTCCTGTTTGCCTCCGCTACCTCCAAAGAGGCTTGATCGGTCAAGTGCTTCCTCTGGAAATACATCCTTCGACGAAACAAACCGGCCTTCTGATAAGGCCGCAAGATGCTTTGCAAAGGTCTTAATCAAAGGTGTCATTCCAGTACCGTCACTCACAGAGTGGTGATTATTTAATGTCAGCAGTAGTCCGCCGGTGATGAATGTCGCGAGCACGGTGAGGACAGGACTTCGTTGCGAGCGGTGAAGCCGTGGCTCTGGTATCACCGATGATGTCCACGGGAATGCCGAACATGGAAATCTTCGTTGATCGAGCGTATGATAATCGATTTCTGGCATCTCCTGGGAGTGGAACCATACTCCAGCGTCTTCCGATATTTCTAGTTGGATTGATCCCTGTTCGTCATCTTCCGGCACAACGTCTGCCGCCAAAAAGGACAATTCTCCAATCGTGTTCGCCAGACTGGTTTTCAAGTCTCGCAATAGCGATTGCCGAAGAGCAGGCGAGGGCATTTGGAAAATCAGCACCACGGGAACTATGGCACGATTCTCGACTTGGTCTAGAGCAGGCAGCTTCATCCACTCGGGGGTCAAAGGGACGGTCGGTGTAACAAAAGCACTTTGGCAGTTCGTGGGCAAAGGAGTTGGTGAGAGCAATTCTGCGGGATAGGTACAGTCGTCCTTGTGGTCGTGAAGGGGCATGCCGGGCCCATTGGCAGCCGCAGGCTGAGGAGAAGGTTGGACAAGCACTATAGTCATTTTGGGCTTGTGCGTTTTGCGGGCATGAAAGAAGGGTAGAGGCGCCCTGTTATCTTTTTTTGCTAGACTTAGATCTTGGGAGGCCCGATGGAAGACGTGTTCAGGTTATCGGACGAGATTATCGCAGACGACTAATGGCCTATTCTAGCCAAATTCGGCCAATCCTTGAGGGAAGGCTTACATATAAGTGTGATCTATAGCCCCGCGCGACATGCGACTTCACTGCCAGCACGAGAGTCTAAGGCAAGGCCCTAGGCGATACACTAGGGAAGACACGTTGACCCATAGTGGTCAATAAGCAAGGGACGGAAATGATTTGCATTCTTAGCTCAGACAAGAATCTAACCCTTCGCCCGCCAACTGACACAAGCAGCGTGGATTTCTTAACACCCACAAAGGGAGGGATAGCAAGCTCGTATTCTTCTTGGTGAGACTGGCGGTAGGACCTGATGGAGGCATTGAACAGAGACACAAGGGAATGAAGTGCTGCTAAATACATGCATATGTTGGCAACAGTGCGTCAAGGGATAAATTCTGCGATCCACTAGCGTCAGTCTCTCGTCGTCATGGTCTACGAAAGTAATGCAAAACAGGATACGCGACTGTCTACGTCGCATAGCCAATTTCCGGTCTTCAGGGATGCCTATGTGATACAGCGAGTTTAGCTTTGTCCAATTTAGGTGAAGACATCCAAAAGATAAAAACTCAAGACGCCACAATTCGCCAACTGAACGCAGATAGGACTAGGCGTTTCGTCTTGTTCTTCTTTTTATACCGAGAGCCTCCGTCCGCTGCATAAGAGTTGCACCTCCGTCTGCCGACGCTTACAACCCCAAACTTGACGTGGCCGTCTATCTAAACGAGGTCTATAAACTAGCAAACCGATCGTCTTCGTCCGCCACTTTACTATTGGTTAGCATTATCGGAGTTCTTGCCCGCATCCCCGGGTAACGTTCGTTCACGAACGGCCTTGTCATCGGTCACTGACCCCATCAGACTCTGACAGCTGCTAGGCGTTCCTTATCCTGCTGCCCATTATGGCCGCCTGCCAGGGGAGCAGCGCAGACGAAAATGACCGAATGCCCATAGCTGTTGTGGGAATGTCTTGCCGTCTCTCAGGCATTGCCACCAGCCCGGAAGGCCTGTGGCAGATGCTATCAAGGGGGCTGACAGGCTGGTCACGCAATGGTGGCAGCCGCTTTGAGATGGACGCTTTCTGGCACCCGCGGGCTGAAGCTAATGGCTCGGTGAGCAATGAATCCCTTCGGTGACGGCTCAGCGTACCCTCAATGTATTGACAGGGGTAATCCTTAGTTCAATACTCGTGGGTTCCATCTGATCAAAGAAGATCCCGCATTATTCGACACTCTGTTCTTTGGTATCAGCAATGTGGAGGCAAAAGCGATCGATCCCCAGCAAAGAATGCTGCTTGAAGTTGCATACGAGGCGTTCGAGAACGCGGGTATAGCTCTGGAGAGGCTAGATGGCTCAGATACAGGTGTATATTGCGGAATCTCGAATCACGACTACGAGAAGATCTTGGGCAGGGATCCCGAGTTATCCCCAGGGTGAGATTCAGGTCGTGCGGAGGATTGCGTGAAAAAGCTAACAATGTGCAAGCTACCGGTTTACCGGCACCGGAAATGCACTCGTTTCTAATCGCATTTCGTATATTTTCAATTTACATGGGCCAAGCATCACTCTCGACACCGCATGCTCCAGTGGACTCGTCGGGATCAATGAAGCTTGCAAAGCCATTCAGGTTGGAGAGATAACGCAGGCATTAGTTGGTTGCACCAACTTGATTCTAGATCCAGACCAGGTCACAGTAATGTCTTCTATGCAGTAAATACTCTCGATCACATTGGAGAAACGCAGCTAAACATTTCATGTTGCCACAGATTTCTTTCGCCTCACGGTCGCTGCTATGCTTTCGACTCTCGTGCCAATGGTTTCGGAAGAGGTGAAGGCGTGGCTGCCGTTATGCTGAAGAGATTAGACGTAGCCCTGGCCGACGGCGATCCGATACGAGCCGTCATTCGTGGCAGCAACGTGTGCTCGGACGGTCGGACTCCTGGAGTGACGGCGCCATCTTGTGCTATTCAGGCGAGGATGATACAGAGGACTTACGAACTGGCAGGCATAAGCCCAAATGACACAATTTACGTAGAAGCGCATGGTAAGTTCCTGGTTACGGTGACACGATGCAGGGGTCGCTCACACTCTGGATAGGAACCGGAACCACGGTGGGAGACAAGGCCGAAGCCACCGCTTTACATCATTCCCTCTGCAAGGGAAGGCAGACGGGAAATAAGTTGTTCATTGGGAGCGTCAAAACAAACGTGGGCCATACCGAGAGCGTGGCCGGATTGGTCAGCCTGATAAAGGCCGTTTTGATGCTCGAAAAGAAGATGATACCTCCAAATGCCATGTTCGCAAAACCGAGCAGCAATATTCCGCTGGAAGACTGGGGCATGGAAGTGCGTTTTTCTAGATCCTTGTGGAAGATGGAACTGACGCGTCTTGTGTAGGTGCCCCGAAGGATGCTCAGGTGGCCGAAAGATGCCATTCGCCGCGCGTCGGTAAACAGCTTTGGATATGGAGGCACAAACGCTCACGTCATCCTAGAGGCGGCCGATGATTATCTCGACAATGTGAAACATACACGCTCACTGGATCTTCGAGCTAAAACGTGTGAACCCTTGACCTTGGGACCTTCATCAAGGGCGAACCTTGCGAAAACACGTCTTTTCCCGTTCTCGCACCATCACGATGTGGGGGTCGCGGCACAGGCAGCTAACATCAAACGCTTCATTCTGGACACCCTGGATGATACTAGCGAAGCTCTGGACAGTCTCGCCTACACACTTTCGGATAGACGATCTTCCCTCAAGGTCCGTTTTTGTGTCGCCGCTTCCACTCGTGACGAGCTTGTAGATGGGCTTGCGAATATAGCCACAGGCTCAGACCGGGCGACGAGACACGCTGAAGACCTGAAATTATGCTTTGTCTTCACAGGTATGCCAGCCACGAGGACAAGCAAGATGACGCGCATGACGGGCTAACCACAAATCAGGTCAGGGTGCTCAATGGGCAGGAATGGGTCTCGAGTTGCTGGTCACGTACCCCGTGTTTGCGGAGTCAATGAAGCGATCAGAGGATTACCTTGTCAGCCTTGGGACTGGCTGGTGTCTTGTTACCGAGCTGGAAAAGCCCAGCGAGACTTCTCGCATCCACGAAGCGAGCTTGTCTCAGCCTTGCTGCACAGCCATCCAGATTGCACTCATTGATCTGCTCAAGTCTTGGGGCATTCGGCCTGCCATAGTGTGCGGGCACTCGAGCGGGGAAATCGCCGCGGCATACGCAGCGGGTATCCTTTCAGCCAAACACTGTTTGAAGATTGCATATTTTCGCGGACACTCGATGAAGGTGTTGAAGGAGCAGAATCCAAACCTTTGCGGGGGTATGCTCGCCGTTGGACTCTCGGCACGCGAAGCCGAAGAATACATTGGTGAGGAAACCACTTCCGGCAAGGTCGTGATAGCATGCGTCAACAGTCCTTCAAGTGTCACTCTGTCGGGAGACGAGGCGGCGTTGAGCAAAGTTCAGGATAGACTTGCTCTAGGAGAAGTCTTTCACCGCAAACTGGTTGTAGACGTGGCTTATCACTCACACCATATGGAAATGATACTGGAGGAATACCTCCGCGCCATACAAGACATCAAGGCCTCTCCACGTGAGCAGCATATCCAAATGGTCTCCTCTGTCACAGGGGAGGCTGTTGAAGGCGAAGAGTTGAATGCGGCGTACTGGGGCGCAAATCTGACGTCTCCTGTCCTATTTAACGATGCCCTTGCACACGTCCTTCGCACAATGCGAACGGATCAAAAGCAAAGCAGTTCACTCGCAGTTGTCGAGATTGGCCCTCATTCTGCGCTTGCAGGTCCAATCAAGCAGATTATTAAAGCTTCGAAGCCCTCGGGATCAACCACTTGTCACTCGATGCTCTGTCGAAATCAAGATGCGAGTAGGACCGCGGTAGGTCTAGCTCGAGAACTTTTTGTCAAGGGAGCTTCCATCAATATCAGATCAGTAAACGATCCGCATGGCAATGCGAAAAAGGACGTCTTGACCAACCTCCCAACATACAATTGGCACCACAAAACAGCTCACTGGAGCGAGTCCCGCCGCAGTGACCAATATCGACATAGAAAATTCCCTAAGCATGATCTCTTTGGAGTACCCAGCATGGACAGCATACCGACTGAGCCCACCTGGCGTAATTATCTCCGTCTTGAAGAATTGCCTTGGCTCAGGGGTCACTGCATTGGAGGTCAAGTCGTGTTCCCAGGTGCTGGATTTGTTGCCATGGTCTTGGAAGCTTTGAAACAACATGTCCTTAGTGAAAATAATGCCTGGAAGAACATGCGCATCAAATTTCGGCAAGTCAATTTCGGTCGAGCCCTGCTGGTTCCCGATGATTCTGTCGGCGTGGAGACATTGGTCACTATACGACCTTACACGTATACAGCACGAGAATCATCGGCTTCGTGGAAAGAGTTCCGAGTTTTCTCGGTGTCTGCCACCGGAGAATCAACGGAGCATAGCCGGGGTCTGGTAACTGCTATCAAGCATTTGCCCAATGAACAGCAGCTGGGTATGACGGATCCTGAATGTCTGGAGTTCGTTGAGGAAGCTGTTAAGAACAGCCGCGTCGTGCTCAACACAAAACAGCTGTATAAAGAGCTTAGAGGCATCGGCATGGAGTACACCGGTCCGTTCGAAGGCCAAGAAGATATTCGAGCATCCGAGTCTTCATCGATTCGTCGAATCAAGATCCCGGACGTTCAGGCCATTATGCCTTCAAGTCACCATCAACCTCATTGTGTCCACCCAGCAACATTGGACCTCTGCTTCCAAGCTGTCTTCGCAGCCATGAAAGTAGGAGACAATCTTCGGGGAACCTTCGTCCTTAGTGGAATCGATAATCTTGAAATCTCGAGTGAGATTCCGTCCCAAGCCGGGAAGGGCATGTCAGTCGCGACATGTCTGAGGGATAATGGCATCTTCAAGTACGCAGCGGATCTGATCGTCTCAGCTTCTGAGAGCGCGACAGCGGAGGTCTTCATGAAGATGCAGGGGGTCAGCTTCGCCAGGACAAGTGGGCCGTCTCAGCAGAATGCCTTGCAGAATCCGGTTGCAGAATCACTGTTCCATCGATTGGAGTGGTCCCTTGATCTGACTTGCACCGAACCTCAGAAAATTATCAAGCGTTGCGTTCCGGACTCACCAAATGCGTTGAAAGCAGGAAGATTGGCCCTATACGACCAATTTGCCAGAGCTGTGATTGAACGGACACTGGAAGAGGTCTCTCCTGACGAAGCAAACATCACGGGCCCGCCTTCTCATCTGCTTGAATGGATGAAGTTGATGAGTGCTGCAAGCCACAAGCCACTTCAGATCGACGATGTGCTTAAAGACAAGGTCAAGTCTTCAGGAATCTATGGCGAGGTTTTGGTTGATATAGCCCCTCACCTGCCGGGTGTTCTTCGCGGAGAAGTTGATCCTCTGGCCCTTCTTCTTGAAAAAGACCGTCTGCACCGACTTTACAAATACGAAAACACCGACAGGTGTCACGAGCAGATGGCCAAATACGTTAAACTTCTGCAATTCAACAATCCGAATCTCCGGATCCTTGAGATTGGGGCTGGAACGGCAGCTACGTCGATAGCAATTTTGGAAACCCTTTACGGTGATAAGGCCGCTTTAGGAAAGGTCAGGTCGGAGTCTTACACCTTTACTGACATATCGACGGGGTTCTTCCAGAGCGCAGCAAAGAAACTGGAAAAGTTTCGAGAGTCTTTAGTGTTCAAGAAGCTTGACATCGAAGTATCACCCGAACAGCAGGGGTTCAAACCTGGTTCGTACGACTTGATCATTGCCTCGAATGTCTTACACGCGACTTCTAAGCTCGATAACACGCTGAAAAACGTGAAGAGCCTACTCAGGCCAAATGGTCAGCTTGCTCTTCTAGAGATTACCGCTCCCAAAGCCCACCTCGGAATCATATGGGGCATGCTCCCTGGATGGTGGTATGGAGTCAATGACGGTCGGGTAAACTCACCCCTTCTCGATCCATCTGGCTGGAGTGATAGGCTCAGCCGCTGTGGCTTCTCCGGAATCAACCTCGAGATGCCCGACTACGACTCTGCCGAGGATCACCATCTAAGTGTGATGATTTCTTCAGCAACCGGCCACGTGGAGCCGTTTTGTCTGGCTGCACAAACCATGACGAGAAGCACGTCGAGTACTTCGGAACTTTCTGCTTCAGAGTCCGGTTCTGCCGAACTCGGGTCAGCCTCAACAAGCCTGACGGACCTGGAAGGAGACCTTCCGCAGACCATATTGGTGATTAGTGGCAGCGATGCGCACAGCATTGAAGATCACGTAGTCGACCTAATGACCTCTGTCAAGTTTAGTGTCAACGTGAAGAGGGCCACGTTGGCTGACGCGGAAGTTTTTGATGGTCAGCTGGCCATAGTACTGCTAGAGGCCGTAAACCCATTCCTGGCGACATGCTCCGAGAGTGAGTGGGAAAAGGTTCGCCACATACTGTGCAACGCTGGCGGCGTCTTATGGGTTAGCTGTGGGGGTGCGGTTGAGGCCACAAATCCTCTGCACTCGCTCATCGTTGGCTTGACGCGCTGCTTACGATCGGAAAACCAGACCAGCAGCATCGTCACGCTGGATCTTGAGCCAAATCACGGATCAGGGATCGATCTTGCTGAGCAAGTTGTCCGAGTGTTTGACCATGCATTCGGTCTATATGCACCGCGAACCTCTGCCCTGCTGGAATTTGAATACGCAATCCGAAATGGCGAGATCCTGATTCCTCGCCTGATCGGCGACAATCAAATGGGTGAATACGTGATGGACAGCGTGTCGACCTACCACCCTCGGAACGAAAGGGCGATCAAACCAGGCCGTGCTCTAGGTCTCAAGATTTACCAACCTGGACTTCTCGACACATTCTACTGGGCCGACTCGCAGCGGCATTCGAAACAGGTTGGAGCAGAAGAGGTCCGGGTAGAGCTCCAATACGTCTCGCTCAACTTCAAGGACATCATGATAGCCATGGGCGAGCTCGAGGGTCACACGGCCTTGCTACTGGAAGGCAGCGGAAAGGTTGTCGAGGTTGGTGAGCAACTCCGCCATCAGTACGCTGTTGGCGATTCAGTCTATGTCTCTGATACAGACGGCCTCGCAACCACCAGTGTCATAGACAAGTGGAATATCCACCAATTACCCGAGAAGCTATCGATGGAAGTCGCCACAGCCGTTCCTATGGCGTACGCAACAGCTTTGTATTCGCTAAGGACTGCTGCAAATCTCCAAGAGGGCGAGTCCATCTTGATTCATTGCGGAGCAGGAGCGGTTGGTCAAGCTGCCATTTCCCTGGCGCAGTATCTTCAAGCTGGCGCAATATACGTCACAGTAGGCAGCGACGAGAAAAGAGCACTCGTGAGGGATAGTTTCCATATTCCAGATGAGAACATCTTCTCCAGCCGCAGCCTCGATTTCAGCCATCAAATTCTTCGCAAGACTAACGGACACGGTGTCGATGTTGTTCTTAACTCGCTGAGCGGTGAAGCTTTGCAAAAAAGTTGTTCTCTCCTTAGACCATTTGGACGGTTTGTTGAGATTGGTAAGAAGGATTTGATCTCCAATGCGAGACTCGAGATGGGCTATTTGGAGAAGAACATTACTTTCACCGCCGTTGACCTGGCGCTACTTGCCAAGGCAAAACCGGCCGTTCATCAAAAGCTCTTCCACACGGTATTCAACCTTATCAGCCAAGACAAGATCAAGGTTTTGAGTCCTATATCGGTCAATCCTGTCTCAGAGTTGGAGGGCTCTTTTAGGCTGATGCAGGCTGGAAAACACGTCGGGAAACTGCTGCTTCAGTTAGACCGTGAGATGACTATCCCTGTACGTGCCAGTCTTCTGACCAAGACGGCGAGAGTTTTGCTAATTTTGGCTTGTAGGTCCAACCCCAACAGCCACCAGCTCCTAAGTTGCGAGGAGACTGCTCCTATCTGATGGTGGGGGGAGCTGGCGGCTTAGGTAGGGCTGCTATCAAACATTTTGCGAGTCTCGGAGCAAAGCACATTATCGCCCTGTCTCGATCTGGCCCTGGTAGTCAGGCCATGAGAGAACTGGTGGAAGAGATGCGGATGGTCGGAGTGAGCGTTATCGTTTGGAAGGGCAGTGTTACGGACACTGCCACTATTCAGTCGATCAAAGACCATGCGAGGGAATTCCCCATCAGAGGTGTCGTCCAAGGAGCAATGGTACTCCAGGTAAGTCGTAATCGCGCTCGAGAACAGAAGGAGATTTTAATGGAAACAGGATTGTCGCGTGGACATTATGAGCCACGAGCAGTGGCGGGCAGCAATGGAGCCGAAGGTTATAGGAACAATGTGTTTGCATGAAGCATTCGGAGACACTCTAGACTTCTTCATCATCCTTTCGAGTGCTGCTGGAATTGCCGGCTCCTATGGTCAAGGCAACTACAGTGCCGGAAACACCTTCCAAGATTCTCTCGCTCGCCATCGAGCATCGCTTGGCTTGCCTGCGCGGTCCATCGATGTTGGCGCTGTGGAGGGAGAAGGTTACGCGGCAGAGAACCCAGCTGCCGCGGAATTTGCCGTTCGCCAAGGCGTGCGTAAGTACCATGTTAAGGAGTTTCTTGCCACCATTAATGAGGCGATACGGAATCCCTTTGCATTCGACCACTCGGCGGCGCAGCTGCTCTGCGGCATAACTAGAGTCGATCCAAGTTCCCAAGCTCAGGAAGCATCCCTACAGCGTCCAGACCTCAAATTCTCGCACCTATGGATGATGCCGAACCAAGAAGTAACTGCAAAGGTTGAATCGAAGCAGCTGGATATCCAGGCAATGCTAAGATCGGCAACGACTGCGGTTGATGTTGAGGAAGCAACGCAAATGGCGTTGCTAATGAAGCTCTCTTCGCTGCTTGCTTTGCCCGCCGACGAGATCAGCACAGATCGGTCGATGGCGAGCTACGGAATGGACTCCCTCGTCGCGGTGGAACTTCGCAACTGGATCTTGACACAACTAGAGTCGCACATCCAGATGTTTGAGTTGATGAGTTCGACAACGTTCGCCGACCTGTCGAACACAATTGCTAGAAGGTCTCGACTGGCGGCGACCGGTCTTTTTAGTAACGACAAATAGGTCATGATTAACTTAGGTTCGGAATCAATTGAACGGCCGTCTAATTGATCGACCTCTTAAAGTTAGGTAAAGATGTCAAATATACCTTACCGCCAAACTTTCTCTCATCACACAGGTTTTGTATGTAAACTTAGGGCACACCCGTGGACTGTCGCAACAGCCCTCCTTGTCATGCCGAGTAATACAAAATATATAACTGCTTTCTACTAATTAGTGATAGCGCTATTCTTTAGCGACTCTTATATAAAAAACAGGTTCTTACCTAAATCAGGTAAGATCCTAGAACAATCCTGACAAAACGTCAAATCGCTGAAAGGCAGATAATAGAGAAGGTTATCTTAAAATAATCAAGACTGACCAGTTGACTACATAAGCCTGAGTCCGTACTGAGATTTACCTAGTGAGCCCGACTCCGAGCACACAAAAGCGGCGGTAACTGATAGGAAAGCCCCACCCGGGGTATACCTACATGATAACCGCCCACTTTTATTTCACACGGTTATCCGGTTGCCGGAGTCAGCTAACCTGATCACCCCTTTTCTGGAAGACGAGTTATTGGAGATCAGCCCCGCTTTGATTTCTTTTTATGTTTATCCCCGAGACAAGGGGGTCGAGACGCATCCAGGATTGATGAATGACAACTGATTGTACGCTGAACTAGGCTACCATAATAAGAGGGGCTGCAATAAGGAGTATCGCTGTTGCCAGTTGCTGGCTTTGACTAATTCCCTTGTATTTAGTTTTATCGTGAATCCATGCCTGTCTGGATCGTCCATATGGCCACCGCCACTATATGGTGTTTCGAGATCTTTTTTCCCATATGGATTCTGAGCAAAGAAGACAAGATTGATAGGAGAAAGTCAAGTTACCAATGGCCCCCCTGCTACGAGTCTTCTATGCAACTTGGCAGTTACCAATTTCTGTGCAGGGAAAATAAGAATGGCAGTAATTCATTCGTCTAGAATTCAATTTCCCTGTATCTTAACGAATCCATGTAAATAATCAGGTAAATGGGGGGGGGGGGGGGTGGTGTCAGCAAGGTCCGTCTAAACTTAACCTTAGCGAATACCTCGCATCTGCGGGGCAATTTTAGTGTCGATTACCGGCTATTCTTATACTTTAGGGGACATTGGCTTTGATAACAAAACTCCCCGCAGACTTGAAAGCGTACCTTATCTCTACGAGAATTATAAATTCTGACTACTTTTCTTCACCTGATGAAGAACCTTCCAGTAATTAACCTATCAACATTGAGAAGATCGCGGAGATCCCTATATTCGTAATGCACAACTCGAAATCCCACCCATTCGATCCCTTGACCCCAGTGGAGATCACTCAGGTAGCACATCAACCAGGCGCTATTGAGAACATTGCTCACATATTAATTGCAGGCCGCAAAAATCGTGCAAGATGGATTGCCTGGAGAATTGCCCAACTTTCGCGTCATCACACTCCTGGAGCCACCGAAAAGTGAAATGCTTCAATTCCTAGAGCAGGAGCATGATGGCAAATCACACGTGTCACGACCTACCCGAAAGGCCCGGGTCCAGGTCATCATCCGGACCCAATCGGACTCAAACGAGATGGTCGAGTTGATTGTCAATCTTGATCAAGGTGTGGTCTGTAGAAAGGACCATCTACCAGGGAAGCACCCGTACATAGATTCTGCTTATATGCAGGCAGTTGAAAGTGCCTGCAGAGCTGATCCGAGAATCGAAGCTGAGATCCAGAAACTCAAGTTACCAGAAGGCAGCACTGTTGTTATTGAACCGTGGGCATATGCCACTGATGGAATGAGCGATATGACCGAGCGCACGTCGATGGTAAGGCCAATACTTGCAGAAGCAGTTCTACTGGCCAGCTGACGGATACCGTAGTGTTGGTTCTATATGCGTCTTTCCGACAATCCAGACGCCAACTACTACGCGTATCCTCTAGATCTATGTGCAGAGGTATCGGAGCAACTGCAAGTCACCAAGATCTACCACTTGCCCTCATCGGAAGATGACCGTGTTTCCGAAGACGCACGGCCTTATGACCACAATAAGGTCCATTCGGCCGATTTGAGCGAATACCACCCTAGTCTTCGACCGCCACCACGCACTTCTACGAAGCCGTATCACGTCGTTCAACCACAAGGGCCATCTTTCAAAACCGATGGCAATCTTGTGTCGTGGGAGAAGTGGACAATGCGCGTGGGGTTTAACTATCGCGAGGGACTTACTCTTCACGATATTCGTTACGACAATCGCAGTTTGTTTTACCGGATGTCGCTATCAGAGATGTTCGTGCCTTATGGCGATCCTCGGTCTCCATTTCCCCGCAAAGGAGCTTTCGATCTCGGGAACGACGGCGCCGGCATCAACGCAAATAATCTTCGTCTCGGCTGCGATTGTCTTGGTGTGATTAAGTACTTTGATGGTTGGCACAACACCATGACCGGCGAGCCAGTGAAGCTTCCCAATGTGGTTTGCTGCCATGAACAGGATGATGGTATTCTTTGGAAACACACCAACTTCCGGACTCAAAGTGCGGTCGTTACTCGCTCCCGGATTCTGGTCCTGCAGACTATAATTACCGTCAGCAACTATGAGTACATTTTTGCGTTCCACTTCGGTCAGGATGCATCTATCCACTATGAAGTGCGGGCTACGGGGATATTATCTACCTGCCCCATAAATATAGGCGATAGCGTCGGATATGGTACCGTCGTTGCCCCTGGTGTTCTAGCACCCTACCATCAACACCTCTTTTCTCTTAGAATTGATCCTTCCATCGATGGAATGCTAAACTCTCTACAAGTCGAAGAGTCACACGCACTACCCATCGATAACCCCACAATACACAATCCTTTCGGAGTTGGCTACACAACAAGTTCCGAAATTATCGCCGAAGAACGCGGACTAGATCTCGACTTCTCCAAGAATCGAACGTTCAAGATCATTAACGAAAATGCTGCTAACCCTATTACTGGTACGCCGGTAGGATTCAAGCTTCTTCCGTGTTACAGCCAGATGCTCCTCGCCCATCCACAATCCTACCATGCCAAACGGTCTGAGTTTGGCAGCCATGCAGTTTGGGTGACTCGATACAAGGATGATGAGCTTTTCCCTTCTGGGCGACACACTATGCAGTCACCTGGCGGAGAAGGAATTAGTTCAGTTATTCAGCAGCGGAAGGAAGACCCCGATTGTAAGACAAGTGTCCGAAATGAGGATATAGTCATCTGGCACACCTTTGGATCGACACATAATCCCCGCATTGAGGATTGGCCAGTTATGCCATCGGAGAAGATGGTTGTTGGGTTGAAGCCGGTAAATTTCTTTACGGGGAATCCGAGCTTGGATGTTGCTGTTTCTACTCAGGAGAGGAACAGAAGTGTTTTGGTTTGAAGTCTACGGATTGGAGGCATGGCGGAAGACCAATAGGTACTGCGACTATTTTCGAAAAAGGTGTCTCGATGTTCATGAATCTGAACTAGACCATATCTAGCAGATATTTCGCTTGTTTGTCTTGAAAATTCTGATTATCACAAACTCCTATCATCAAGAGGTCCAGCTCCATGGCCCGGTAAACACGATTGCGCAGAGTATCTCCCCGGTTTGCAACCCGATGATTCATAGTTAGGTGGACAGTAAAGCTGAGGGAATGAGACTACCTACTACATGGGGTCTCGGAGCATTCGAATGCCTAGGTGATTTTGAAATGGGCAACATGGATACTAGCACTTCCAAGGTTGATAAAACTTTCAACTTTCGAGGATGGGTTTCAAAAGAGTGACTGAGTTTAATTTGAAGCTAACTTTGAATATCAAAAAGACGACCGGTGAACGATGTTGAATCGTTGGACCAGTATTAGAAACCACAAACAAGAGCAATCACATCTGAACCGAGCCAAAAAATGGACCAGCGATTGATGATTTAAACATGAGAAACACGCAGCAATGTCTCGCACCCTGAAGGTATCCGTATAAAATTCCAGCTATACTAACTGGGATATGCCATCATAAAGAGGCTTTTTAGCCCCAGACGGGGGGACACATTGGTACCTTTGGTCCCCATCGTCAAGGTCTGAAAAGCCTCTTTATCAGGGCATATACCAGCAACTATCGTCGCAAAGATATATGGATAATCCTCGGGGATGATACCTAAGAACTCAAGTCAGAATCTGATATTGAAATCTGGTTGGCGTAGCAGGTCCTGTACTTACCCGAGGGTATTTACTAGAGCGTCCCTAAGACGCGCAGGCGAATGACCACAAGACGCGTGGTCATCGCATTCTTACCACTATCAAGATATACAGCACCCATGATGGCCTCCATGGTGGTGGCCATCAGCCGCTCGTTAACAACGCCCTGGGACGAAGGGTTTAGCTGTATGTAGGCATCTATGCCCAGCGAGAACCCAATTTGGGCCAGATTTTCATTTGTGGCCCGCGTGTTTTGGGCCTTGGTCATGATGTCTTTTCCTCTATCAGCAATGACACAGTGAAACAACACAATAAACGTGAGACTGACGGATGGATGCTTCATCTTCATAATGCAATTCATAAAGAACAAGCCTCAGGATAGCATCACCGATAAGGGCAAGCGGCTTATTGCCCTCTCTGGCCATTGTGGCTCCAGCAGCCTCGAGTGCCTTCCTCAGAAGAGCCTTATCGTTGAACTCGTATCCTAAAATGGCTTCCACGGCGCGAATACGCTCAGCCGTAGGCATTGTAGGCATGTTCTGGGTCCAGAGCTGGATCAATGACCAAGATGAAAGACAATGAACGGGAAACCAAGTTCAAAGACAGATGAAACAAGGAAGAACTACGAATGTTGACTGGAGAAGAGAAAGACGGGCATGATTTCCCTAATATTTATAATGCGCGCTTGTCGCCCCCGCTTTCCCAACTGAACCTCGTGTTGGGAAGTGAGCCTCGCTGTGATTGCGCGGCTGCATATTACGGCCACGTCGACATGCAGTGCCACGCATCATCAGATACTCACTGGTTGAGAGACCTCGAAAATCGCGCAATGTGTATCCATGCAGCTAGGCAAACGAAACTGATAAATGCAGGTTGCGCGAGCCAACAAGGCGAAGCACAGAGATGTGGCTGGAAATGGAGATTATGCTCTCACTTCCGTCCCTTCTCTTCTACGTAATCGATGAGTGTGAATTCTGATTTCCTGCTGACGGCATAAATCTGCTATTCAAAAAGCCAAAGGTGGCCAAAAATCATAATAATCTTTACCAGCAGTCTGTTCATTCGTCAGATTTGAGGGAAATGAGAGAGGCACCTGAAGGAAGTGCTAGGCATTTTGTGGAGAGGTGAGAAACATGATTTCCCTCTACAAAGAAGACTTATCAAGCTGAAGAATCCTTCTCTAGCATTCTACCCATGTATCATGGACCACTGGTCAAAATCAAAATCAAACCGGGCGGTCGCGAATATGCATGTTTTAAAAGCCTTCTTTGCGCGAAATCGCCTGTCTTCTCAGCAATGTTTGGGGGCCAATTCCTAGAGTCCAAGGAACTGACAGCGACCGTGGAGGAAATGGACGGTGTTGTCTCTGAGCGAAGTTTCGAGGCACTTTTTCAATGGTTATACCTTCACGTTGTGAAGTTCGGCATAGAGGATCCGACGGAGCATATTTCGGCTTCTATGGAGCTTGTGAGGCTAGCAGACAAGTACAGGATCGTTGAACTTGAAGATGAAATGGCGCAATATATCAAGGACATAATGATTATCACCCCCACTTGGGGTCGACACTTCGACACTAACACTCACTATTTGACCTCCGAGCATGTCATCTCAGCCGCAGTCTTACATCGAGAGCATCCGGTACGACGCCTCTTCGCTGCAGCTTCAGTTGAAGGTTATCTTCGAAGCGAATATCATAAGTTCGCCGATTTATATGAAGACTGTCCTTGCTTTGCCGCTGACCTTCTTCGAGAGGTAAGAATGGCATTGAATGGGGTCAAACCATCCAAGTACACGGAGTTCAAAGACCCTGTTAGCGGAACAATGATTGAGGTGAACCAAGACCATGACTAGTTCTTGATAAGTGGCAATGAAAAGCATACCCGAGAGATTTGTCTTTTTGACAACCATTGACTTTGAGGACCAAAGAAGTCAATTGTTGGATGACCTCTCGGTCATCTCATACATCAATGCTTATCTCAAAAGAAGGCCTTTTGGAATTTTATCTTCCAGTTTTGCTCAAATAATTTTTGGTGCGAGATAATGGGAGCAATTAGACAATCAGAAACCTTAGTAAGAATATTGTCCACTATTTTGAACCACTATTCACTTCCAAAGTTGAATTCTCTACCTGCTTCGTAAGATCTATTTTCTGTCCACCTTCTGCCTTTTCTGTTTGTCATCATAGGCGACATTTTTCCAAGGTTGTTAAACTACTTGATGCACAGCACACCCTACAATAAATAATAGAAAAAGGTTGGCAGAAAACGCTGTATTCCTATCAACAAGCACGACCAACAAGAAGAAGTATCAAGTAACCAGACAATCCAAAACCATCCAATCAAAGCAAGAAACCATCGAATCCACACAAGATCCACAAAGAGCACCATCAATCGAATGTTTTCGTAAGTACTTTTAGTGAGGCCCCCAAGAAGTCGACAGGAAAGCAATCAACATTGTCCACCACTTTCTATCATCCCCTGTTACCTAGACAGTCCACGAAAGTCGAGAAGATCGAGACCAAGCCATCTCTGCAATTTGCAAAGCGGAGAAGGCATGGTAGATTGAGCCGGAAAAGAATGAAATGGACAGATAACGTCATAGCAAATGGAGTTTGGTCATGTTGGGAGCATCGTTTTTGTGTCGATTGATAATGTTCTCATGAGTATGTTGTGTAGATCAGACAAAAAATGTGTTTGAGCGTTTCATTGCCAACCACGCTGGTGATCAACGGGAACAGATCTAGCAGTGGTATTTGGTTGGATGGCTGAGTGGGGGCGTTCATGTAGAAAATTTACATGATAACGCAGCCACCACCAGGGGAAGCTGTAGACGTATGGTAAGTATGATGTGCGGATGAATTATGTATGTAGGTAGTAGAGATGCCATACCCTTAACGATAGCAGAGTTGCGGATCTGAGTGGCAGCCATTGTAAAGATGGTTGAGTTGCTTGAAAAGCGAAAGGTTGTTTGAAGTTGAGTGGATTGGAAGGTGATTGAGTAGTGGATGAAGAAAAAGTTCTAGTTGGGGAAGATTCGTCGAGGTATATATATTCGATCTTGGGATAGGAGTAGGGTGTGAATTTCATGAAGCTGGTCGGATGATCTGGTACTGTGAAGCATTATTCCATTGAGAAGTGGAGAACAATACATTCGAGGGATTGATGTGGAGTATTTCTTAGGATTGTTCTTGTTGGCAGGTTGATTTTCTTAGTATTGTTCCATCCCGGTTGAGGGTGGCGTTCCAAAGTGGGATGTTCGATAACGACTAGCGAGTCAATTCGAGGACGCATTGTCTATGCTGGCGACTTCAGTGAAGTACGTTAATAATCGTTAATATTGTTCTCAGCAGAACAATATTAGTGCAAACGAAGAGGCGCGGGGCCATGAGGTCGTTCTCTTTCTCTCGAAACGCTGTGGCTACGGGCATGTCAAAGGGAAGACCCGATTAGCAAGATTAGTGGGAGGAACAATACTAAGAGAATGAAAGAAGCCTACGTTGGACAACCACGAATTGGGTTATCAGGGGAAATCATTAGAAAGAACAAAGAACGATGCACTGCGCTTAAAGCCAAGTATTGTTCTTCGAGAACAATACTAAGGATGGCTTGGCAGGCACGTGTGAATATGCTTAATTTTTGAGTTCGGTTGACATGTTTACGATTGCAAGGGACCGAAGATTGGCAAATCTCGCTATTTCAATTTAGATGGAAAGTACAGATCTCGAAAACGCATGTTCGTGAGTCGTGTCAACATGATAAATCCACCACCCATCTCAAGTGTAGATAGGCTCAGTCAGCTCGTTCAGAGTCAAACCAGTCTTCGCAATATCCTCCTCGCCGAGGAACATCAAAGGCATTTCCACCAGGGTACCTTTGACCTGGCTAAGCAGTTCTTTGACCTGCTTTGCGCCATCGGGACCAGGGGGGAAGTTGTCGCGAACGACGTGGCCCCACTGGTATCGTGCCGGTCGGCCGAATTCGCCCTTGCCTTCAGCCTCCCTATCAGCTCCGTGGAAGTAGTACTCGTAGAATTCTTTGTAGGTGGACCAGTTACGCACGTTGTCATCGGGGACAGCGTGGAAAACCTTACGGAAGACATCGGTGTTGGTGTGGGCACGTGAGTTCCAGAGACTTTGCAGAGGCTCAGAGAGAGGATCAGAGACGATCTTGCTTTCTGGGCAGTCAAAGTCAAACTGCTGGGGGACGCCAACGGGCTCGAAGTTAGCATCCGGTCGCTGGTAGTCTTGTGGGGGCACAAGTCCCAGGTGCTTTCGCATCAACTGGCGACGGAGAGACGAGGCGAAACGACTAGCAGTCCAGGGTCGGCCGTTCATAGTCGACTGGATTGGAGTAAAGTCTTCGATGACAAGTGCGATCTCCGAATCATGTTCTCCCAGCTGTGAACGATCGTTCAAGTTCGCCGATCCGCAGATGACCACGCGGTCGTCGGCAATCATAACCTGTTTTGATTAGACTGGTTGGCTGTAATCGTTCATGAATGTTACATACCTTGGAGTGCACATAGAGCTCCTCGCTCACAAATGCATCAATCTCTGCATCGGGGTGACCGTTCCACGGCACGTTACGAATATCCTCTCCACCCAGCATATAGCATGAGCTGACACTATCCCAACGTCCAGCACCAGGTGCCTTGTTACCAGGATCCTGCTGGGCAGCATGCTGGTATTTCTGGAACGGAGCAGTGGGATCGAAAACACTCCGAGGAGCAGAAACAGGAGCAGGAGCGCTCTGTTGGCCATAATTGACAGGAGAAGAAGCATTGTGCTGGCCGTAGTTGGCAGGGGCAGGAGCACTCTGCTGACCATAGTTGACAGGAGAAGGAGAATTCTGTTGACCATAATTGGTAGGCGCAGGAGAACTCTGTTGGCCATAGTTAGTAGGCGCAGGAGTACTCTGTTGGCCATAATTGGTAGACGCAGGGGACTGCTGGCCATAGTTAGTAGGCGCAGGAGTACTGTGTTGACCATAATCGGTAGACGCAGGGGACTGCTGGCCATAGTTGGTAGGCGCAGGAGTACTCTGTTGACCATAGTTGATAGGCGCGGAAGCATGTTGGTCGTATTGATGGCTGGCATCACCATAGTTCACACCACTCTGGTGTTCCGCAGCAGCCATAGCGTTTCCGTTGTTGATTCGGTCATAGTTGCGAAGGTTATAGAATCGAATGTATTCCATGGGGTTGTAGCCCTCCTTGGCAATCAGCTCCATGATACTGTTTCCTCCACGATTGATCGAATTGTACTGGAACTCCATGATGGCTCGCGTGCCAAGGGTTTCATCGTCGTGAAGATCTCCAGCGAAGCAGGGGATCGAAGGAATCACCACAATAATCTTGTACTTCTCACCGGCGCGAGCAGCACGCAGAATACGTTCCACGATAGCAGCACCAATCGTGTTCTTCACCGGATGCTGGTGGCCACCGGTAGCCGTAATGAAGAATTGGTTTTCGATGTAGACAAAGTGCAGACTGTTCTTGATGACAGCGGCGTAAGCGTTGGCAATGGAGTGCTCCAAGGGGCTACCATTGCTCCACTTGGTACAGCTTCGCACGACCTGGCATGACATATGGCCCTGGCTCTGCGATGCAGGACGCCCGTAACCGGTCAAGCGATCTTGGTACTGATGAATCTGGCCAGCCAGCTGACCACGAAGCGGGTTGACATATTTGTTAAACTTTTCCTCGTAGCGCTTCGGCACGAATCCACGCTCTCCGTCAGAGTGCTGCGAATTTGTGTACTGAGAATACTTATCCTGGTAGTGCTGCGGCACGAAGCCACGCTCGCTGTCATGGTGCTGTTCATCAAACCCACGAGTAGCAGAATGGGACTCTTGGCCCGAGTAGTAGGGTGCCTGAGCCTGCGTCTGACTCTGAGTTCCCGACGCCTGATTCTGAGGTGGGTAATAGGAAGGTTGACTCTGAGACTGGCCATGGGGCGCGTAGTTGTCAGCAGATTGGGCTGGTAGCTCTGAAACATTGGACGTTGCGGGTGGGTAGTAGGATGCCTGTCCCTGCTGCTGGGGGTGGTAGGGCGTGTTCGCAGGTGACTGGCTAGGAGCAGGACCCGGGGGCGGAGGCGGGAAAGAGTCTCCAGTGTAAGAGTACTGAGCGGACCCATGATCCTGGGGAGCATTGCTGGAGTATGCAGGAGGAGGGGGCTGGGTGTTGGAGGGAGTTTGGGATTGTCCTTGGGGAGGATAATCGGTCTTTCCGGACTGCCAGGATTGGGAATTTTGCTGTTGCTGACCCTGCCCGGGATTCTGGGGTGTTTGACTGGGATTGGGAGGGTAGGTAGCAGGCTGATACTGCTGATAAGATGGAGTTGTTGCCTGCTGCTGCTGCTGCGGCTGCTGTTGTTGTTGCGACAGCTGCTGGGGCTGTGGGCTGACAGAGGACTGAACTGCAGAAGGATGGGTACTTCCTGCTTGCCACGAGGGCTGGTTCTGCTGGCTCTGCTGGCCTTGGCTATTAGGGGGTGGAGGGAAAGTGGGCGCACCTCCCGTCTGAGCTGGGTACTGCTGCGACGGTTGCTGAACCTGTGGGCTCGCCTGTCCAGACGGATACAGATTGGACTGCTGTTGGCCGCCCTGGTGCTGACCAGAAGAAGAGGTAGGTCGACCATACAGAGCCAGTCTTGCGTACCGTGAGTCGTTTTTAGATTGGTACTTGGCATCATAGATAAAATTCCATCGCTCAACGAAGTGGCGGCGCAAATCCTCCACCGCGGCACCGTGCAGACTGATCGAGATATCAGACCATCCCATGCGAGAAGAAACCCGTCGGTCCAGCTGATTGCTCTCCCACTGAGCGACGTTGTGGAAATCCAGGACGCGAGAGTTGTTGTAATCCTGGCCTGGGAAGACCGTTTCGTTCAAATCCTCTGGGTGAACATCAGCGATTGCGTGCTGGTTCGTGTCCCAGCGACCAAAGCACAGGTCTAGTCCACCCATAAAAGCGATATGCCCATCGATCAAGCAGAGTTTCTCATGATGTGCCCAGTATAGGATCATCTCGTCAGTCGCACCATACACGCCCTTCAGGTTTTCCTTGTTCATTCGGGTCAGACTGGCAGAATCCAATGTCAGGTGCTGGAATGCATTTGCGATCTCAGATGCCACCTCGTGTCCGTCCGGCAAATGGTCGGGATGACGGAAGACCGCGATATTGGGGTGAAGGCTTTCCAGAGCCTTCTTGGTGTGCGAAGAAGAGAGCGTCAATGCTTGGGTCACCTCCTTGTAGACGATGATGTTCACACGCACACCGCGCTGGGCAGCTGCCTGCAGCATGCGATCCAGTCGGTAATTTTCATTCTTAGTCGGGGGTCGTCTGAGGTAAAGCTCGGGAGAGAGCCACCCTATTTACCTGTTAGATGCGGACCCACACCGGAAGATCTGGGGACTTACAATCCAAAATCCAAATGGACTCTCGCGCATTTTCGAGGGCGCGAGACACGGCCCAGAAATAGCTGGCGCCGTCCACATACCACTTCACATCGTTGTGCTCTCGGGGTGGTGCGAAGCTACCGAACCGATGCTCGGTGGTCGGGTTGGTGTGGCCGTACTGGGCATAGGCCTGGGGATCGATGGTGTTACCGATTTTGGAAGCCCATTCTGAGCCATACTCGGTTACAGTACCCTGGATCTTACCCAGGAAACCGGAAAGTTTATCCTGCTTCTGTGGCTGTCCCTGGTACTGATGTTGTTGGTGTTGTTGGTATGGAGGATTGGGCGTCTGACTGCTAGATCCATATTGCGGGGGCTGATTCTGATCCTGGTGCGTCTGCGGTGCGGATCACTATTAGCTATATGTTGAAAATGGAGGGTGAGGTTACCATACTCCTTGCGATCCCGACTGATTGTAAGTCTGGTTGTAGGGCTGAGCCGGTTGACCCGGCTGCGATGAGCTCTGGTGGCCCTTGTAGAACTTCTTAAAGGTGTCACTTAGACCCCTGGAGGTGTCGCTGAAGCCCCTCGAGGAGTCACTGTAATGACCATAGGCCAAATCATCATTCTGCTGCGACATAATTGTGTGAGAGGATAATGGGGGAAAAGAAATAAAGAACTGGGATGCCTGGGCGGGGATTGTTTTATGAAGCTCCCGATGCCCCGCTGCCCAGCCACGATGGAGTCGTGGCTGTGTCGTAACACGTATAGCGTGTGTGAGCCGACAAACACCAATAATAAATTCGGATGGCTGATTTAGGTAACAGATTCGGTTTAACGTGTCTGTAACACTTGATGATCTGTTCAGGTGCCGATGTCTCGCCACATGTACAGTACATGCACAGCGTGATGAGATCGGCAATTGCCCCGCGTCAGCTTAGATTATTTCCATGACCTGCAAACTGTTACACATTTATTTCAGCATTATCTTCATGAATTATCCAATTATTCTTCAAGCAATAGCAAATTTGTAGTTCAAGAATGCGTTCCTGGCATTCAAACAATCAGTCTCATTGGTTCGTAAAAACATTACATCATCGCCGATCGCGCCCATATCGCCCATATATTTCCGGACGATCAACAAAGAGTAGTGGCAATTTCAACAACAGTCACGCCTTTGCCCAGGGGGCTTTCTTACCAAACCAGGACGCACACAATTATCCAGAATAATCTTCGTCCATTTCAACCTGATATCGCGTATCCCGAGGTCCCTCAACTGCTCGGTGTGGTCATGGGTGTTGCTTGGTTCCACCAGAGGAACAGGGGTTCATTCTAAGGTTGAGGCGAGACCTAGCGAGAGCTCCAGAATCTGTGTGATAGTATGGCGCCAGAAAAGGGATCCATATATGCGGTTCCTGAAGAGCCGGCTTCATCGTCGCACCATTCCCAAATCAATTTGGGCGCGTGAGCAGCCGCAAGCCCGATTGGTCCGTTCGACCCATTCGAGTCGTCGTTCTCCAAAGTTATATTGAACATAGAAATCGGAGTACCCCGTTGACTTGACATGACTGAATTGATTTATCAAATTATAATCTTGCAGAAAAATCGACTGCCGTCATGGTACGAGAGCTAGGTCTGGATTCTAAATTCGTCTTGGGCCCCGGCTCCACTGATCGGCCTTCAACCCGTCAGCGATCATTCTCAGAAAAGCGATTGTCTTATCAGCGCTTAAGGCCATGCATGAGTCTTAAATGATACCTGCATCGAGATATGGGTGGGTGATTTCGTAAAGATGATGAAATGTTTGCAATATTGGGGACAGTAATACTAGCCAGAGGGTTTCTGACTGCGATTTACGCCTTGACGTGCAGTAGCTTGGAGTGTCATGTATTCACCTAGTGACCTGCTTGGTTTTGCGTATGAAAAAATACCTGATGAGAAAAAAGATACTATGAGCTCCAATCGCCATGACCTTGTAGCCGAACCAGACTATGCGTGAATCGACCGAAGATTTCGTGGTTGAAGACTGCTAATCATGACGTTACCCGCGTTATACTGGTAGAACATGCATTTCTTTGAAACAGAATCCCCGCACTTATATGATACCCCGCCTAGATAAGGACACATTAATATTTCCTGCTTTCCACATCATTTCTTTCCGATCCTAATTGCAAAATCAATCACAATGTCTCTCGCAACCTTGGATGTATGCATGAGCCTCGCCTGACTTGAATCCTACGCTAACTCCAACAGACGTCGCAACACCCTAATCTCCCCGCCTCGGCGGCCACCCTATTCTCCGCCAAGGCAGCAAAGAAGTTGAGCTTCGAGGAAATCGCGTCGCACATCGGTCGCAATGAAGTTGCCGCAGCCGCCATCTTCTATGGGCAGGCCAAAGCATCGGAAGAGGATATCCTGAAGCTGTCTGAGGTGCTCGACATTCCCCAAGCTCAGCTGGCGGAGCAGCTTGGTGGATTCCCGGACCGAGGCCGAACAGTGGAGATGCCACCGAGGGAGCCTCTTATCTATCGGCTGTACGAGATTGTGCAGAACTATGGATATGCTTATAAAGCGGTGCTGAATGAGAAGTTTGGAGACGGTATCATGAGTGCTATCTCGTTTTCGACGAAGGTGGAAAAAGAGACAGATGCTGATGGTAATAATTGGGCCGTGATTACTCTACGTGGAAAATGGTACGTTGGACATCTTTGCTGCTTGATTTCTTTGTCTAATAATTTCCAAGGTTGCCTTTCTCTCGATTTTGATATCGAAATGTTGAGCTCGGGTGGAGTAGTAGGGGAATTCGATTTATATAGTAGATGTACCTACAGACATAGCTCTGCTAGCCATTTAATAAGCTATTATCTCTACAGCATGGTGCCTGAAAAGTCCCTCTTGGGGGGGCTTTTCTTAACTTCCTATTGTGTATGGTGAAGAAGCAGAAATGATGTATATAAGCGCTTGCGCGCCTGGAGGGACAAGCACGTCAGACCACCTTCCCTTCTATAAGGCACCTTTAGATTTCCTTTCTTGTCTCCCACTACCTGTCTCCCACTACGTCCAGTGGCTGGAGTAGATCTCAAGAGTCGGCTAGTTCGCAATGGCTTGCTCGTTCACAGACAGTACCCCGCTCCACTAGGTAAGCAGATCTTTCACTGGTGCGGAGAAGGTTGGTCGTGGATGGTACGCATCCTGATTACCGATTCTGTTCTTCCATTTGATGTGAATGAGTAGTATGGTTGAATATGCAGTGAATCAGGTGTTTCCAATTCGGGTTGCTCACTTCTTTCTCGGGCGTTCTGCATTCTTCGTGCTGCATGATTCCTTCCTTGTTCTTGTCGGATCGTTTTCGAATATACGTAGCTAGGGCTATATAGCAAAAAGGACTCTTGATCATCTCCAGCCATTACTATTTACCTAGTGATTCTTAGGCTAGAACCACTCATCGTGAATAAGAAAAGAATCACATCAATACTATGATAATTGAGACAAAGATATAGCAAGTACTGTTTTTTTAGCTAAAAGGGTATCGATCTGACGGGCCCGACTCCAGTCGGACTCCAGTCGACGAAAGGCTGCAAGACGCCCGCAAAAAAGCAAAGATGGCACAATGGCACAGAAAAATAAAGATCCAACCAGATATCAAGAAAGAACCTGCCCCTCAAATGATTCCAATAGGCACCACCATTTTTATCAGCTAGGCGAGTAGTCTTGTCCGATCCAGTTTCCTAGATGGACTCCAAGCCCATTTGTGGTCTATCGCTATCGAAAATCCATTCAGAGGAAGCGTTCCCTTTGTCGCGGTCACTTTTACGCCGTCATTAGATCGTAAATCATATGGTTAATTCGATCGCGTCGATCGTTAGAGTGGATCGGGTGGACGCTTAGCAGCAGTCCTCGCAGCACTCGAAGCAGAGAAGACCAGCGCAACTACATTGAATCAGTATGAACGCCTTGTGTTGGGCAAAATGCGGGGGGGTTACTCACACGCCACAGCAGATATCACCGGCACCACCACCACGCAGCTTCATCATGTTCTCTTGGGAGTTCTAAAAACGATTAATTAAGGGAATAAAGATTGATAAGGCCAATGTGATCACATACAGGCTGCTCAGAGACAACGCACTCAGTGGAAGGAGCATCAGGGCTGGTAGGCTGCTGGTTCTGCACAGTAGCAGTAGTGGCGTCCCAGGTAGCGGGGGCAGACTCCTGCTTAGAGGAAGAGAACCAGTTGAAGAGACCGTTGCCGAACATTTTGAGATAGAAAGTTGAAGAAAGTCAAGAAAAGCTTATTTTCGCTTGAGTGATGTAAGTTGGAGATGTGAAAAAGAAAGAGGGAAAAGGCGGGAAGAAGGTTTCTTTATGTGAGGTCAAGCTCCAACTCCGAGACCCATGTACGTAGTGCAAGAATCGGTATACGACGGCGCTAACGGTACCGTCACGGCAAAGCCAAACCCACTCAATTACGCTGTCAACCCCACCGATACAATGTCCCTTGGGGAACCCTGATACGCGTCTCCACTCGGTTGGTTCGGAGGCCCTGGCGTCGTCATGATCATGCGTAATTTGCAATAAGGCATTTGAATGGCTGTTGGTTTGTCGATCTCAGCCACATCTTCTCTGTAAGTTTCTGTTACGAAGAACCTTGGATATCGATCCATCCAACATGTTAAATACTTATCCGTCTATATTCCATGGATGATAAGACACTATTGTTGGTGCCTGAGCCATCCATGGCTCAAATTCCACTTTCCGCCCGTTACGTGTTGATGAAAGGAAACTCCGGCCCCACTCAGCCCTGCGCTAAGCTTCGGGTAAGCTTTGTCATTCGTGCAAATCTTTCGTTTTATTTCTAGCAACTCCTCCGTGGCTCAGTCGCGGTGTATCCGACTTACCGATCGTGGCTCAGGGTTTGGTGGGGAGTTCTACGTCAACTTGAGGCTGTGGTGCTTGTACAGTGTTAGTGCTGGCTTTATACATGCATATCTTGTGCAGGTATGCTGTACTTTGTATCGGTCGGAACATGTGGCGTTGGTGGTTGCTTTCTCCGTACATTTCTCGTATTTGAATAGACAAGTCCCAACCATGCCAAAGGTCGCATTTTTGGGGCTTTTTGTGACATATAGCGAAAAGCATGCCCCTCAAACTTTTGGGAACACAGCGACGATGTGTAACGGCCGAAAGCTTATCAATTTACTCTCAACCTCGTAAACCGTGCGCTGTGCTGACATGACTATTTTGATCGACTGCAGGTGCTCACTGGTATACTCTATGAGTGTAATGTTGAATTGTATCCCTTGAACACCCCCGGTCTTCTGAATATACCTATAAGAAAAAATCTTGTATCTATCTGTCTAGATACTTGCAAAGATGCCTGAAAGCATGTTCAATTGAAGTCCACAATTGTTCTTAGCTAAGGAGTCCCTGCCATGATTTCAACAAGTCGTGCGCGCAGTCCACTGTTCTATGCTTGGCTTCAACTACGGTCTGAATCTGGAACTTGGATGATATTTCGATTCCCGTCTTCAACAAGCAAGCCGGGCTAGCTCAATCGGTAGAGCGTGAGACTCTTAATCTCAAGGTTGCGGGTTCGACCCCCGCGTTCGGTTTCTCTTCAGGATTAACCTAGCATTTCCTTTTTGCTTGGTTGTGATTTTTTTTTCTCATGTGAATTGTAGGTTATGAGTGGCTGAGAGCATATTCGCGGGTTCCACATGTGGCCAAGATGTGGGGCGTTGAGACCTCGGGACGCGAGAACTTCGGCAAGCGGTCGACAAGCCAGAAGCAGTTCCATGGTCATCATGCTGGTCAATGTAACCCCCGAAGGTATTGCTACTGGGACCATATTCAAAGGCAATATCAGCATGGGGCTGTCGTAAATTGTAGAGCTTCCCTTTTTGCATGATATGACAGCTGACATAGCCGGGTGAACACGTTTAGTAGGTATATGTATAAACATAGTATAACATCACCAGAAATTCAAGTCGCGCGTTATGGCTTTACTTCGGAGATCCATCCATTTGGACTAACCTAATGCGAAGATCGCGTGGGGCGCCGTCAAACTAGTCTTTAACATAGACTTTACCAGAGGAAATGATACATAGAGGCAAAGCCCGTCCCACAGCGATTATGTACCAGATAGCGAATACCTACTAGTGATCTCTAGGGATTAAACCCATCGCGAAACCGATCTCGTCAAAGTTCAGGGTCGTCATAATAGTGAAGGAAATTTTTTGGGGCACAATTCAGCCATCCAATAAATGGTCTTCGGATTCTCAAACCTCGAGCGCTTGTTAATGGAGCCTCGAGAAGCAACTTGGCGAAAAAGAGGCGATTTATTGATTTTCAATAGCTTCAATAGCTAGTGGTATCCCAGTTTCTTACTCAATTATTTTTAGAGGATTAGGTGCATTTAGGTGGTATTGTGGGTGGTTGAAGAAGTTCAGGCGTGACGCGGTCGCTTCTTGGGGTCCAGCTCGCTCATATGTCTGGCCTCCTTGTGAAGTAAGGGTAGTGGACTGACTTATCCCTTGGCACAAATCTCATGGATTCTCAAATACAAGTAGCTAATAAAGCTGGCGCTAAATCTCGCCGTATCAAATTACGAGCTTATTCATAAAATCGACGTCATCGGGGAACTACCCATGGCACAGGTGGTAGAGGTTATTGGTACAGAAAACGTACTTTGTGGAGGATCTCTTCATATACGGTTTCTTAGGGAGCATCAAAGTACTACTCAGGAATAGTTTCGTAGAATCACTCACGAACGCTTTAGTCATACTCATTGATATCGCTCTTGTTAGATTAAACACCACCGATTCTTTCCTAGAGATGTATCTCCCTTGTGTTACAGATTTATGGAGCCTCTGTAGCTAACTGTCTGGAGGACCACAGGTTACTATACAAGATAGAATCGCATGACCTGTCTATTGACTATGTCCAACCCGGGGAATTTTACATTCAGATACATGTATATGACAATATAACTGACCCAGGGGAATGAGATTAGGTCTATTCTATGATCGCCCAGGCTAGACTACAAAACCATGTTAGAGAACCTCGGACCTTCGTCATAATATGGTCATTTTCTGTTACAGCTAGGGCACTTGCAGGATGCGGGGAGACATAAGAGAATTCCAGGGTTACAAATGGTAATTAGTACTTCAAAATTTGACTATGAATATCGCGTAATTGACACATAATGCGGTGCTATCGCGATTCTCTCACTGAAAGATTAGGTGTTCATCTATATTGGCTAATGAATAGACTGGCTGGCTAATCACAGTCCAAAAAATCTGTAGTTTAGATCTTGTTGGAGCATTACACCAGTATAAGAACCTGTCCGTTTGATTAATCTTAGATATACTAGATGAATCCCATATTGACCAATTATACTCGACCAGGAAATTCAAATCCCTTGTAATACATCATGACTAGATCATCTATTCATCATTAGAACAGCACCAGTCATAGAAGTTATGGCGACCTTTGAAAAATTATAAAGTCCTGATAGCAAGTTAATTCCAATAAAAATTTAGTAACATTCATCCAAATATACTCCCACACGGCGAAGAAATGATCAAAATCATCATAATTGTGCTTGCGCTGGGTAAGACCATTATCGGAACATTTTGTCGTCTGAGATCTGACATATTATCAAGGTCTAGTCTCCCTTGTCCGGTCACAGAGTCCCGCGATCAAGCTTGCTGAGTGCGCTCTATGGTGCGAACGAGACTATCCAAATCCAGGCCTCACCTGTGTCCTTCCTGCTCTGCGTGAAGAGGGACCATGTTATGTTTGTGGTCCCTTTAAGACCTCTCAAGCCGAAATGCTATGTCGCGGAAAGTGCACTAATACAAATTCTGATGCTAAAAATTGTGGAGCGTGTGGAAAAGTAGTATGTGCCTTATGGTCGTCGCATGACTTGGTCAGATCTAACTCATACTGCCCTAAGTGCGGAGGGGTGGAAGTTTGTATATCTAGCGTGTGTCAAGAAGAGGTAAGTATTGACCATCTGAATTACCAAGCGCACTCATTGGACGTAAATGGAGGCTAACTTCTATGGAACAAACAGCCTGTGAGTATTGATATTCTCTAATGATGAGAGCCTTGACTACGTGGAGATAGAAGCTAATATTGATATGTGTGGAATGAATAGCCTGTGAGTGTTAATCTTGTCTGATGTATAGCTGACGATATAAGGATAGAAGCTGATATATGTGGAATACACAGGCTGTGAGTGTTAACCTTCTCTGATATTGGGATTTTTCACCATATAGAGTTCGGAGCTAATACAGGTAAAACAAATAGACTGTGAGTATTAACTATGTCTGGTAGTGAAATGGCTGACTGCATAGCGATAAAAACTGATATATGTGAGATACGTAGATTGTGAGTATTGGTCTTATCTAATATTGAGACTCCTAACTACGTGGAGATAGAAGCTGATATATATGAAATAAATAGCCTGTGAGTATTGACCTCATATAATAGTGAGAGTCCTGACTGTGTGAGGATCAAAATTGATAGAAGCTGATATTTGCGAAATAAATAGACTGTGAGTTTTAACCTTATTTGATAGTGAAATTCTTGACTGCGTGGAGATAGAAGCTGATATGTATGGAATCAATAGCCTGTGAGTATTGACCTTTTCTAGTAGTCAGAGTCCTGACTGTGTGAGAATGGAAACTGATATATGGCATGCAATAGTAAAAAGAGGACCCTTTATTCTTATTCAGATTCTCCAAAGCTATATTTGATGCATTGATACTAACTTAGGTCCCCAAATGCCTATCTACTTGATGAGAAATTGAATATCAAAATGGGCTTTTATGTGGAGTTCCAAGGATTTTGAAATGTTCTATCCCGCTGGAGGCTGGTGTATATTATTTTTTATTGTTGGTCACTTGGTAAGTTTCATTTATGCCTTGGTATGGGTTTTCCCCTATTATTGATAGGTTTTCCCTATACTCCTATGCAAATGCAAAGGCTGTCTGCTGAAATAATTGGACAATGATCACACTCCTGATCCCCTAGAGACATTTTGAGAGGTAGAAAAGAGCACTAGGCTCAAAGATTCAGTATACTAAGCCGCTAGCGAAGTACATATGCTGAAGTAGCCAGCTTTAAGCTAACATTTTCTGTCAAGAACTGTGCAAGGCCTTTATGGGCGACTTGTGGTTGAAGAGAAGCGGCTTTTACTTGAAGGGGTACCAGAGTCCTCAAACTATGGCTAGGCTACTATGTATAATTGTTACGCGACGCTAAATAGTCACAGTGAGTTTAGCTCGATCTGGGTGATACGTACTTGGATTAAATTTCCGCATAACCTCTTAACCCCAAACCTAATCTGGAACCAGTATTGGGTCGTGCGGACTTTCAACTTGGATCCCCGCCCAGGGCTTCTCTGTGTCTTGAGTAGGTAATATCTTAATGACTGGATATAATTGACGAATTTTCTATCTTTATCAAAATCATTTTATCTGTGACCAAGTAATAGTCCTTACGGCAGCTAATACCGCAGGTTTGATTAACATAACCAGTGAGTACGGTATTATAGTATCCCCGGTCCTCAAATGATATATCAAATAGCTATTGAAGCATTTAGCTCTAAATCCGTTTCCTTTCGTATACTTATTACAAATATGACCTCCGATAGGGCTCATTATAGGAGTCTGGTTGGATACATTTTCGATATCTCAATAATGTTATCTTTCTTCATGATAGACACTCAAACCAAGCTCAATCAATACCCCCCTCAATTCATTAGTCAATGCGCTGAGGACTTGGTTGTAGGGCCAGAAAAGTGTTGCTATGTGTATATTGGTCAAGCCGGTTTTGAGAAAGACCGTATTACGTTAAGCATGAGATGCAGCTTTGATGGGGAATGCCCAGTGCCATGCTGTAAGCCTAATGTAGGATAGACTCGTATACAGAGAAAAAAAGGCTATTGCTTAGTGCAGAGAGGAGGGGAAGTGTGGTATCGTATGCGTATTGGCAGCTTGGTCGCACCATAACGCTGAGTCCTATTGAACTAGCCAGAGCTTATAATGCACTACTCTTGCGGGGACACGAAGTATCAGCAAATGCCAATGTGGGTTTTCTACTGGAGAAAATCGGGTCAGATACGGTGACTCGTCGACGACATTGCGGAGCTCAGAAAGGTAGTCTCGGATTTGGGTTAATCGAGGACGTGCAGAGGCTGAAAAAGGGTGCCCAGGTGTGTTTATTTTGATTGATTTGATCCCGATATATGATTGTCACATAATGTCCACTCAAATCTACGTCTTTCGTTACCCAAGGCATATTTGCAAAATTGAGATAACCACTTTGAAGCATGAAATCGTAATAATGTTGGGTATCGATATTTGTACAAGAGCCCAAAGAATTCAATGTATGGACTTTCCAATCAGCGTGGCATCCATAATTCAATTTTTTACTGCCCAAAGATTAGCGTAGGGACACAAATCCCATCTACCGCAATCTTTTTATCTTCTTGGTTCTTCCTCCTTCAGTCGTGGAACCACTGGCCAATTCCACCAAACCCGTATCATCGCCTACTCTAATCCGCTTCTTTCGATGCCGTGATGGGCCGGGCGATGTACTTTCGTTCGAAATCATACTGTCCCGCTTCCGCTTCTCTGGCTGTGAGCTTTCCTTTTTCCGGCGCCGCTCTTCTTTGATGCGTAATCGTCGCTGGACCTCTTCGGATATGTCTTCTGTCTCGTTGGCGTCTGGAGTGTCGATTGGAAGTTGGTGGGAAGGTATATCGCGCTTGCGCTTGGAAGCACGGGACTCTTCGGTCGGGTTATTTGAGATTCTAGGCTCGATATCCTTGTCGGTGCGAGATCGCTTCCGACGCGCGGTATGTTCTGTGTCTGTGGATTGCGAGGTTGGGGACTCTGCGGCGCGTGTTTTGGATGAAGTGGAGGTGGATTGGAAGGGATTATCGGAGGTTTGTTCTGCAAAACTCCCGTTATTTTCATGCCATAATTTGACTGGATTTTGGGCTGTTTTTCCCGTGTGGGCGTGCGCATCGAGGGCTTTGAGGCAGGAATTTCGACAACGTACTGTTTAACTAAGGCAGACAGTGTTAGCCGTAAGTAAAATCGTTTTGATCGAATCTTCCCAAACATACTGTATGTTTTCGGACAACCTTGAGCTGATTCATCGCTTGAATCGTCTTATTGAGCATCGAGGACACGGTCCGAAGAGCCTCATCGTCTGAGACATGAGCCTTTACTTCATCGAGCATCTGGAGGTGGGATGAGAGGACTGTTTCATGCCGAGAGAATATCTGCACAGATAAAAGATCATTTGTCAGTAATGAGGCTTCTGGTCCGAAAGTGAGAGTCAAGCGACGGGAGCTTGCATTGTGGTCGCGTTTGACGTGGACGCGGAGAAGTCATGACGACATACCTCTGCCCAGGGAATCGGTGAGCCATTTGTCGCAGTACCATGCGGCATGGGATGTTGATTGCTCCCAATTTGATCTCCAGCAGGGTTCATGGTGGTATAGCCTGGGGGTATCATTATGGAAGGGACGATGTCAGAAATCTTGAAGGGATCGGCGGGGATGGAAGCTTCTCCGCGCCAAGAGGATCCACTTTGGACCTACAGATACAGACTCATACGCCGTAGGATGCGCGCCCTTTTGAAAAGTTACAGATCTTACAAGTCTTTGGTCTGAATGCAAGGTTTTGCTAACAATTAAAATTGCGATTGTTTTGATATCGATTATCATGCAGTATCATGTGTACATACCCCAACGCCATCCTAAAAGATACGCCCCTACCCATCGCAAAGAGAAATGCTGCAGTAAACGACTAAATACACATACAGTCATCACCATGATCCAGCATCAAAATCGAATCGAGACAGCTCTTTCTGCGAGTCTTCAACATCCTTCTTTGCCTTCATGCGCATGTAGAAAATGGGACAATCACGCGATGAACAGATAACCTCGCAGTGAAGACTGCCTTGGCATCGCTGGCACTGTGTCCACAAACGACCAAATCGCACCTCCAGATCCGAAACCTTGGTCAGAGTCTTGGTGTACAGCTCACCAAGACGAGGCCGGCAGTTTTCGCAAACGGCGCCGGCCATCTCCTCTTTACCAGACAGCGGCTTCTTGCAGCCCATGCAAGTTTGAGTTTTCTTAGCAAACTTCATGAGACCACCCAAGCTAGGCGCAGCAACAGAAATGGATCGAGTGTGTTCTCCATTCAGGAGTTGGTTGGCCTTCTTCTCACCCAGAATGGGCTCGAAAATACGACCAAGGGGGTTTGCAAGTTGGTTGTCGAGGTAATATTTCGTATCAATGGGAACATTGTTCTCCAAGACGTAGATAGGATCTTCGGCTCGCTCATAGTTTTTGGAGTTGGTGGCACCACGGATCATTACATAGGCCACACGGTCACCGAGGGCCGGGGCGGAACCAGCGTCACGCTTGGCCATGCGCTTGGCAAGTTCGACGTGTGCTTGCTTAGCGGTATACTCCTTTTGCGCATAGGCCTTCGTAATGACCAGCTTGGACATATCAACCTTGTTCTGCAGGAGATCAGAGATGGTCGATTTAACGTATCTATGGCATTGTTAGCATGCATATAACATGGAAGATATAACAATTTTCCTTACTCTTGGGCACCGTCGACATCCCGGTCAATAAGAATCTTGTTCAAAACAGTTTCGATGACATTTTGGACAAGAAGACAGTTGTCGCGTCGCACGGTCTCAATACCCTTGGTATCCATCTTGTCGTGCTTCTTGGTGTTGGTCCAGTACAAACCGGCATACCGCTTTTTGTTGATCAGAAGGTATGGGAAATACACCTTTTCGAACTCCAACTTGATGGGCTTGATGAATTTGGATGAGACAAAGTCTGCAGCCTCCTCACCGAGCTTCATCGCGTCAGCCAGTTCGGTGACACCGAACTTGACCATGACAGAATCAGTATCACCATAAATGACCTGGGCATCGTGTGAATACCCATTGGCAATGGTATATCGTTCCTCCACCTCTTGCTTGGTTTTCTCAATCATCTGACGACCGTAACTCGTTGTACTACTGGCAATGGGCAGGCAAGGAAGCTTGCCAACTGTGGCACCAGTGAGACCATACACACTGTTTGCGCTAATCTTCAAGGCAAGCTGTCGACCATTCAGCACAGCCTTCTTGAACGGGTCAGTCTCGGTGGCGAGTTCCTTCTTTGCACGTTTACGTGCACCTAACAGTTCCTCAAGAATTTGTGTCAGAAGACCCTTGCGAACCTTGGTCGTGCAGAACATATCTCCGTTCGGGGTGACAATGTAGTCTTCATCTTTTACAAGACCCATTTTCTCAATGGCGGTCTTATTGAGGAGGGTGGTGTAACAGAGGTTATGCGCTTGAATGATAGAAGGATATAGCGACGCAAAATCAAGGGTTGCAATAGGCACGCCGTAGTATCCACGCTTGGGTTCAATGACCGTGGCGCCTTCATAATCTTGTTCATCTTGGCTTTTCTGATTTGGAATAACGAGCTGTTGTTCAAGGGCCTTTCGGAACAGCTGACTGATGAATTTGACTTGCTGACCTCGAGAAAGGAGGAAGTTGAAAGGAACACCCGTGACTCTCGCCATTTCCGTATAGTTGACCAGACACATTAGTTTGTCCATCAGTCGTTGCGGTAAATAAGCATCTTTCAAGCAGTACACTGCCAACCGGCGCCGAGAATCAGGGGTTCCATTGAAAAGTTCCGTGATCATAGTGTGGTGAACATCTTCTTTCTGCTCCCCCAGAAATTCGTATGACACAGAGTTGAGGGTGTAGCTTCGCAAGTGATGATCACGTTGCACTAGCTGGAGCAAGTCCAGTTGAATCCGACCATTGGTGTTCGTTGCTTTTGTTTCTCGGTTGCCCATCTGCTTGCTAGAGAAGCTGGACTCTTTTGCCTCGGTTTTCATGGCCTTCAATCGAGTCCAGTAGGGGAATTGGTGGCACTTGAGATGTTTGGCGCGGTCAAGAAGATAGGGAAAATCAAAGTTTGCAATATTGTATCCAATGATCACATCAGGGTCGACCTTCTCCACAAAGTTTTGCCATGCCATCAGCATTGTCTCCTCTTTTGTGTACTCCAACACTTGGGTGTTGACGATGAGACTTGTCTCGTTAAGACAGAACACATTTCTGATGAACGGTTTTTCTTCTCCGTATCGCGTAACAACATTCGCGATCTGGATTACCGGATCCACGTTCGGTTCCGGGAAAATACCCTGTCGGCCAGCACACTCAATATCGAACGACAAAACACGGAGCGGTGCCATCTTTGCCCACTCGCCATTTGGTGGGTGAGCGATCATATCACGGTAGTCGACGACAGCTTCAATCTGGCAGTTCGACAGCTTGTCTTGCTCGGGCAAAAGCTTGTATTTGCCTGCCTTCGCCTCCACCCAGGCCATTCCGGCTAGCCCGGTATCGATCATGAATCGCAAAAGGTACTGAATGTTGTCGAAAGTGAGGACCCCCGAGTCCATATTGCTCCACAAGCCCTTGTAATTCATGCCAGATCCGCCGCCCTCCAGTATGGAGCGCACTTTAGCAATGAACTTGGGATCAGCAACTGTGATCTTGAGGTACCAGCTCTTCTTATTTCCCTGGAAACCATAGATATTCTCTCGCAATGTGACCTCCACTTTCTCGATGACCCTTGAAGGTTGCGCGATCTTAGTCTCCAAGAAAGCCCTGTATGGATCACAATCCGCTTCGGTGAAGCCGACAGGAGCGGCAATGTAGAGGTAGTGTTGGAAGCCGGTGACATGAAGCAAAACCGATTGACCAGCCTAGTCCTTTCATTAGATTCGATGCCCCGCGGCAGGAGATTTTGTATCGCGACAAACTTACCTCTGTGACACCAAAGAGCCGGACAGCCATGACATCTCCGCGAGGCAGTCTTCCTTCCTCAGCATCAATTTGTTGGAAGCAAACATTTTCCTTCGCTGGGTCCCATAGAGGCAGCGGCGGACGTTCCCACTGTTGGTCCTTTTCCGCGTTGTTCTCTTTCAAGTCTCCGATGTCCTGTGTAAATTTCTCCAGCACTTCCGACTCGAACTGACTCTTCTGTGGTTGACTTGATCCAAAGCCTTTCCTTTGAAATGACGCCATGGGCGGCTTCAGCTCTGATGAAGGTTGATTTTCCAGCTTTCGCTTTTTTAGCGCATTAGCAGATGCGACGCCGTTGCGGGCATTTTGGTTCGTATCGACCAACACCCGCTTGTGGGGCATCGTAGCTTCTGGCATTGTGATATTCGGTCAAAGAGACATGTAGAGGCACGAAAGCCGAGAGACCCAAGGTGTATGAAGAAGAAAATGGGTTGGGCGGGCAACTGCTCAAAGCGTGTCGTAGTCGCGTCGAAGCGTGACGCCCTTTACGCGGGTTCGGTCACATGCCGATAAGATAACTGATCGAGCTTTCACGTGACTGGTGTTCTGCATTTGACGACGAGCTGTAGCGCTGCCTACAAAGGAAGAAGAAAATTGAATTAATTAATTCTTCACGCTTTCATCTTATTTCCCCTTCAATATCTTCTTACTAGAGTGTAACTTCCTCGAAATTCGTGATATTTGAAGTATGTACGCTTTCCAAGTGTTAGAATACCATTACAAACCCCTAAAGCAGAAGTATGTGAACAGACCGAGCTCTTTACTTGGTCAAATTCAAATCTTTGACTGCTTCTTCTCAAGAGCCCTGCGCCGTGATTGCAAAGCCTTCGTCTCTTCCTGAAGCGCAAGTCCCTGCATAATCTCTTCACTGCCACCACCGACAACGTGCACCCGAGCATCACGGCTAATCTGTTCAACACGGGCACCCTTGCCGGCCTTGTTATACCCCGCACCCCCAAATATCTGCTGTGCTTCTCGTACACTCTTCTCTAGAGCCCTTGTCGACATCACTTTCAACAAGGCGGTCATGCCGCCGATCTTGACATCGTCCACAGGGCGACTTTTAGTGAGTTCCAGGATGTTAACAAGCTGCTCCATAAAGGCATAGGCGGGCTCAATCATTAAACCAAACTTGAAGATCTTAGATTGGATCGCCTGTCTCTGAATTAGAGGAGACCCGAATGTTTCGCGTTGGATTGCATAGTTGAATGCGTCCTCAGCGCAGACTCGGGCTAATCGAAGAGAGGCGCAGGCTAGTGCTAGGCGCTCTGGGTTGAAATCTTAATGAAGATTAGATAGTGAAAGCCATTGAAGGATGGATGCGACTCACTTGACATGATGAGTGGGAAGCCCTTGTTCTCTTCTCCGATGCGATTTTCCACGGGTACACGAACCTCGTCCAGTTCAATGAAGGTAGATCCTAGCGTAGGGGGTCAGTCGGATCTGAGAACTCAACATCGGTGTTTCAAGCATACCACTCGCGTTCACACCAGAGTTGAACATTCTCCTACAGGTTACCCCCTCGGTTGCGAGAGGAATGACCAGTAGACTAATACCCGACCGTCCAGGACCACCGGTCCGCACAGCAGCTGTGCAATAATCCGCCCAGATACCATTGGTGATCCACTTCTTAGCTCCGTTGACGATATAATGATCGCCGTCGCGTCTCGCCGTAGTGCGTATATTGGCTACATCAGAACCAGCTACAATACAGATAGGAAGATATTAGAATCGCCAGAGTACCACGGCCTTAGGAGGCACATGAACTCACCATCCGGCTCCGTAATGCCCAAACAGAATCGAATATCCCCCTTCGCAACACCAGGAAGCCACCGTCGTTGCTGCTCAGGCGTGCCGAATTTGGCGATGGGCGGACACCCAATCCCATTTCCCGCACCAAGACCCCAGACAACCCCAACGTACCCCACACGCGTCAACTCATCTGTCAAGATGAGCGAGCACCAGGTATCCCATTGATCACGCGGTACATTGCCCGGCAGCGATAGGCCAGCAGCATGTTCCTCAGTAGTCAGAGGATGTACAATGCCGAATCCCAATTCGCAATGGCGTCGCCGTACTTCCTCGGGGACTTGGCCTGCGGCTTCCCATTCCTGGGCATAGGGTGCGATAGATGTTTCAACGTAATCACGGATCCAGGCGCGAAGGTTATGGTGTAGATCGGTGTAATATGGGTTGCGGACGTCGAGTTGGGGGAGAAGGGGCTCACTGTATGGAGCCGTTGGAGCGCGGAGAGTGTGTGCCATGATTGTTATCTAGGTGTCATCCAGTATGGAAAATGGGTTTGGAGCTACATTTTGAGCTTCTGTGCTGAGTTGTTTGAAGCTTTGGTTGATGCGGGGGAACTTGTGATAGAGGGAGATCTGCACTCAACCGAGGCCCGAAAGTGGTGCGTTAATGGGTATATATTTGGAGGCTATCAATTGTACACCACGCAGTCTTATTTACACACCTCACTAAGCATATACATCCCAAGTCTCAAGTATTTACTGGGGTATGTACTTGATGATATTACTGTCGTGAATTTCGTATGTTGCCGCCTTGCCTCAAACCATTAACAATAGTCCCCGTACTTTCGTCTTCCAAGATCTCTCAACCCTTCAGCATGTCTCTATCAACGAAAATGGTCTGATCGAAGACACAAAGAAAGCCTACGCGTTTGAAACATTCATCCGAAACATTCACCCTCTTTCTGGTGTAAATCTTACAGCCGACAAGAAAACTGGGGATTCTGGCCCCAACTTCGCAGGACTGATGGCAGAGTGGAGAGATGCATTTAATACCATGCCGACAAACCACCAGATTGGGCATATTATGTTCGATATGATATGTGGACAGAATATTGTCATTAAGCACCTGATTGGGGTGCTCAGGAAGGAAAGAGTGTGTCTAAGGAGAAAGCTGGTGGCTTGCTGCTCTGTACTATTCAAGGAATATAATGACGCTGATATAATGTAGTTGTAGAATTACTAGATGCTTCATGTACTTGAAGTTTACAAGTATGTGGAATCGGAAGATTTTGTGTTTACTAAGGGAGGGTGTTAATTAAGTAGTAGAATAGAGTGAAGTGGATGCACCAGTATCAGCGTGCTTAAATCCATTTAGTGAAAACAAGACAAGGAACATGTGCGCTCATTATGCATTTCAAATCATGAAATTCCAATATGAACATCCGCAATGCATGAAAACAAGCTATCCGCTCCCCTGATCTAGTTTCTTGACGGATTTATATATCCGACGCAAATGCTCCTTCACATCCTGACAAGTCCACCGCAGCTGTGATTGTGTCGTCAACATTCCTTTGATGCAAGTGATCAGGGAATCAGCCACGAGCTCTCCGGTGCCCAGCTTCGTCTCACCATGATCAATCTTGCAAGAAAAGTCTTCGGGTAGAGCGACTGATCCGCGAGTCAGATCGTTCAAGACCATCTGCCGCTGCATTTTGGTGTTGAGCTGGTAGAGAAGCTCGAATAGAATGACTCCAAGTGCATACACATCAAGCTTTTCGTCAATCCTATATTCGTCCGAGTATCCAGCTTCCGAACTTGATGGACTGGTATTGGTAGGGGGTCTATAGAACTCAGTCCCAACAACACGCTGTATTTGGGGGCCTTCGCGGAAAGGAGTCACCACCCCATCTGCAGAGCCTTCATTCAGACGCGAAACATCCGCGACGAGGCCAAAATCACCAATTCGAGGACGGCAGTAGTGGGTCAGAGGCTCGCCACCAGAGCAACATTTTGAGCAGCTCTCTAGAGCATAACTCTCGGGGGCACAAAGGAAAATGTTGGCAGGTTTCAGATCGCGGTGTACGATCCCTTTTGAGTGGAGATATTCGACTCCGGAGACAATGTCTAGGATAAGTCGCAAAGATGGTACCAGATGGAAGCAATGCCGCCTGGACAGGGTTCCGGTCTTGCTGCTCCTTTCGGGCGATTGTGGATTGAGATAGGCGTTCAGAGAAATCGGGTGGAGCGACATCTGGATATGGAGAATGACAGCTGGCGGCTGGTGACCGGGTCCGTAGCGGCGTTGTACCATCTTCGAGTGATCTTGACTTAGGCCATCCGTGAAAATATCATCAGTCTCCCCGAACGAGGATGTCTGTCCATAGGAAGGGTTGTCGAAATTTCGAGGTACAGATTCGATTTCATCGTCATCCTCCAACTCAACATTTGAACCGTTTCTAGTGTGACGGGAGGACGATGTTGCATGGCTATTCAATCGTTCAATTCTGTCGTTGAAACCATGCTCATCGGGCACAGAGCTCATGTGTGACCCCATAGTGGAATTTTCAGAGTGTTCAAAGATGATGCCCATGCTTGGTTCATTGGTTCCACCAAAGCTGGGCTCATGAATGGCTGAGGGCTCGTATCTTGGCTGGGGCTTTGGTTGGAATGGCACATTGCTCGAGATATGTGCCTGTTCAACCCAAGCGCCATAGTATCGAACGATATTCGAATGCTCCAGGCGAGCAAGTGTTCGAATCTCCTTCATGATGCTCTCTAACTGGTTCTGACCTCCAAACTGTAACTGCTCAAGTCTTCGCTGACTGAGCGGTATTTTCTTCACGGCGTATTCCTGGCCATCGATGTGATTTTTGACCTGATAAACCTCGCCGAATGATCCCCGGCCCAGAATCTTGAGTTCACTGAATTCGACGGAATACCGCGACATGTGGTTATATGGTGGACCAGCAGGTCCGCTGAATAACGGGACGCTGACTGGAGAGCTTCCAAACAAGGGTATCGATGGGGTTGATAGATTTCTTGGAATGCTGGGAATCCCTCCAAGGCCATCAATACGATCGATGGGTGGAAGTTGCAAATTATCTCCTTCTGTTCGCCAAAATCGATTGGTATGTTCGCCTCCTTCCTGATGGTTGAGCGGCGGTCTTGAAACCAGCGCGAGCTCATCACGACCCTCAATGGGTGAGCGCATACTCGAATTCAAATCGATCTTCTCAAGGGCGGTAATACCTAGTAAGTCGAGATTGTCTCGGTATTGTTGTCTCGTGGGACCCAACTCTTCGTTTTCAATGCCTTCTGCCATGACACCATGCGATGACAAGAATTGCGATTTGAATTTGTATAACTGCTTTCCCAGGTATTGCACCTCAGGGCTGTGACGGGTGAAGTTTTGGCTGGAGCCATGCTGGGCATTGAGGATATCGATAGCTCGACTCTGACAGTAAAACTCAAGTAATGCAGCTGTCATGACATTTGCATGGTGATCTATATTGGTCTCCATAGCGCCCTGGGATAGCGCCGAGACATCCTCAAGTGAACTTGACGCGTCCCATCCTTCCGACTCTAGCTTCTTTCTCGATCGTTCACTTGATCTACTCATTTCATCTTGTCCTCCATTGCTGGGATTCGAGTCTGTTTCTGATTGAGAATCAGACTCCGATGAGGATATCTCTCCAGCTGGTCTGAACATGGACATTTTGGCGTTGGACCGGGACCTCGGGAGAGCCAAAGATGAGATAAACCCGGGTTCAAATTATACCTCCGCCATCAATACAAAAAATAAAAAACAAGAACGATAAAGTGAGCAAAGCCGTGGTTCAAATCGAAAAATTGCCAAGGCTTGAAGGGTTGTTGATATTGCCCCTATCAAGTTTGGAGACTGTACGGCTTTGGCGGGGTATAGTGTCTAGAGCCACTCTCAATTCAAAACGTCAGAATTGAACGAAAGGTTCTCTTCTTAGCTTTAAAAGAGCATCCCAGATTCTGTGCAAATTGAACACGTAAACAAGCTCTGAAACCCGACAGGGCGATGATTCACTCAAGCTTCCATCAGATTCTAATTGTCTCTGGAAGGGCGTGTCGTGCGGGTAATGCTGGTGTTGTGTTACCCACTTATACCAATAGACAATTAGCACCCAAGGCAGTGAGTAATAACAACGTTGCCTACAAGACAGGTATTGAATGGGGTTTGCACAAATCAAAATTTGAAGGTTGAGTTGCCTCTAAAGGCGTATTGCTCGTGAGGCTACGACGAACAAGATGAGTCATCTAAATTATGTTTCACCGCCTTCGTATCCGCCACCTGCACACTCTACGCTAGTCCCGATATGGAAGTCACATTGAAGACCAACATCCACACACGTGACACCTGTATAGAACTTACTTGTTGCCTTGAAGATATTTGACAAAGCAGGAGTTATGATGGGAGGGAAGAAGTTGCCGAGCGATCGAGCTATGCTCCATGAAAAGAGAGAGATATATCAACAGAAGGCACCTGACATGCCTTGGCCGCAAAAGTCATTTGACTTTGCAAGTAAATAGTATTCTGATCAAAATTTGCCAAGTTATGATAGTTTATTGGCAATCTTAGCAGCACTTGGGGAGGAAGGACTCTCTTGGCCACTTCCTTCACGGTTTCCAGGACTGTGGGCATCGATAATATGGCCACTCTCCAACGCTGTCGATTGTAGACTGAGATGGCTTCTTTCGCCCTCGAAGAATAGCGCGTATGCCTCTTCACCGTGAACTGCATCGTCACCAACTAGAAGCTCTTGTTCTTTCAGTCGTAATGGTACACGCAAGACAAACTTGATGAAAAGGCATATCAGGCTGGTCATAAACAAGTTCAGGCCAATGATGAACAATGCACCCACAATCTGCAGCCAAACTTGCCTGCCATTACCCTCGATCGCACCTCCAGGGTTCGTAAGGCCGAATGCAGCGCACCCATCTATTGTGGCAAATATACCAGTAAGAAAACCGCCCATGAATCCGGCAACCATATGTGTGTGGACCACGCCCACTGAGACATCTGTTAACCAAACGGAGGACGAGAGTAGGGGCGGATGTTATACTTACTAACGTCATCAACCTTCTTCATCCATTTCATTCTTCCAAGGACATTCATTGATATCCATGGGATAGAGCCTGAACAGGCTCCAATAATAATAGCGCCCCAGCCGGTGACGAACCCTGCAGCGGGAGTAATTGCAACAAGACCCGTAATTTCTCCCTGCACAGCACCAATCACGGACGGCTTCTTGAAGAACACAAAGTCGAGAGTAGTCCAAACTAACAGACTCATGGCAGTGCAGATGTTTGTATTCAATACAGCAACACCTGCATCGGGGCTTGCCGCATAAGGGTCACCACCATTGAAGCCATTCCAGCATACCCAAAGAATCCCCGCACCGACCAACATAAGCAGAATATTGTTTGGAAAAAAAGAATCGCGGTCACGTTGTAAGCGAGGACCTAGCCAGAACGCGGCGGTAAAGCCTAGGTCGAGTGTAAAGTTGGCATATATCACTTGATAATGACTGGGAATTCACTCCTTGTTTACTTACCCGCAGTACCTGAGCTGAGATGGATAACATATCCGCCCGAATAATCCAGAACACCCATATTATATAGGAAGCCTCCTCCCCAAAGACTATAGCGATTGTCAGTCTATCACACCAATTCAATTGCGAACGTATGAAGCCAACCTGAATGCCCCAACGGTGTAGCTGAATGTGATCCACAGTGGCACGAATATCATCCAAGCCAGAAGGTTGATCCGGCCCAGCAAGGACCCACCTAAAATAATAACAGTGATGGCGGCAAAAACGAACTGGAAATAAATCATCGTCGACAGATTAAAGTTGGTAGAGAGACCGGCCGCGGGCAAGGTGGCCTGGCCCAAATTTTGTTGCATTGTCAAAACCGGACCAGGTGTTCCAACCAAAGGGAACTTGCCCCATTGCTTGCCAAAAGCCATTTTGTAGGCCCAAATGACCCAGCATATAAGCGTGGCGGAGAATGCATAGAACACCTTTCTAATGTTAACTTGTCTCCATCAGATACCAACATTCAATCATTCCCGTATCATACCATAAATGCGGAGTTGATCGCCCATTTTCTGATCACTGTTAGCTTTGCGGAGAGAGCTTCAGATACCGAAGTTCCAAAACATACTTTTTTACAAACCCTGCATACAAAATCGCAAGACCCGGAATTGATTGGAGTGCCACCAGTGTACCCGCTGTAAGTTGCCATGCTTGATCGCCCTTATTAAGCCAACTATTCGATGCGCTGTCAGTATAACATCACATTCGTAAACGCCAGACCTGAGCAAGTTGACTTACTCTGGATCTGCATCGGTCAAAGTTGAGTTTGACATCTTTATCTTTTACTGGCAGTAGGCCCAAATTTATGCACTACCGGGATCGATCTCTTGGGGCCAGTGGGGATGTTCTCAAACAGAAATGGTTCTCAAAATGTGGAGGTAGAGGATATATATGCAGCTCGGACCCCTTTTGCAGCAAAGACTCAATCGTAAGATGGTTTCCCAAATCTTCAGTTAACTACGGGTCATATATCGTACCAGCCAAGCCCCATTGTAAGAGTCTGCTCATCATTTGTGGCTTCTTTCGTACCAAATAGCGAGTATTTTGATCAGAATTTAGCTAAATTCCAGATAAGCATTGATGCCTGGAAGGGCCGAGTGATAACGAGATGTTTATTCTTCTGAACCAATGAGAGCTCCTGTGTGCTACTAGTGCAGTTTCAAGTGTCAGGAAAAAGATAGATGACACATGGAAACAACGATAAGAGGAGTAACGACTTCCCTGTTCTTGCTATAGAAAGTTGTGGTGATCTGGTCATGCTATGTGACAGGAAGCTTATCGGCCCCACTAAATTTATCCCCCGCTTTCTGTCCAGAGAAGCTTGTTTGAAAGCTTAGACCTGCAGAATGTGGAGATAAGCCTACACTTTTCTTTCAATCATTGGGTTGTGGTGGCGACATCATCTACCGGCGGAGAGACGGTGACGTTCGCCATGGTAAGAGGCCCGTATTTACTGAGAGCTGATTTGCTGCATGTGCGCCATCCGAGCCCGCTCAACATTAGAGCAATCAAAATGCATTCGCTTATCTTCAGAATAAATCTACATCAAATTCCCTGTTCGCATGAGACTTGAATTACTTGGACAGGGGCATTGCGTGGAACTGCGTCAGGTGAACTCGCTCGGTATATGCAATTTCACTCCAACAAAGACACATCTGTCAAATCACAAGAAATGCCTCATAGTGTAGTCCCCAAATCCTAGTGTGGCAAGTAACAATGTGACTATGCGTCCTTGATGATAAACTTTGATCATATTTCATATGAAGTGCATGCCAAGGACTTCTTGGCTTGCTTGCTTCATTCATCCATTGATCGAGTCGACTTGGCTTCATTCTCCCAGGAAAGTTCCCTGGCCCACAAAGGTCAGTTGAGGCGAGACAAAAGATGACTAAAACAAACAGCCCGTCCAGACTGAGAAACAACAGGTTCTAAGCGAAGAAAACCCCCCCCTTGCTACAGCGAACATAATGCCAAGGATATTCAAAAGTTGGAAAGATTACCACTTTTTCAAAGTACGAGGTACAGATGCCGAAAGAGAAAAAGAGGGGGATGAAGGAAGCGATGTCCTGCTACCTGATAGCAGACAAGGAATAAATGAAAAGCCTCGGTCTTTGAGCTTGGCGACAGCAGATTCCAATCCGGAACAGCCATCGGTGAGATACGTGGGCTTTGGTATCGGCGGCGCGGGCAATATAAGGAGGTGGGTCCGTTCAGAGGCTTGGATTTCCCAGCCTTTCGTGTTGGCTTCTACCGATGTCGTCCATAAGCGGTTGCTCTGACTGACAACTTCCAGGGTTTCGATTCAAGACGGAAGATACGTTGAAGCCGAGCAGTCTCCACATAGCGGTATATAAATGGGATTGACTTTTGCCTGAAGAATGGTATGATTGATGAGTTAACGCTCACTTATGAAATATCTCGCGTTATTGCCTACCCAATGATCATTTATTCGTATCGCTATCACAACCACCAGCCTGATAAATGGAATAGTAGGGAAAGGACGGATGCAGGACTTGACGATGCCTCTCTCAGATATAGAAGATTGAGTGCCCTAAGCAGTAGACAGGCAGTATATAGGCTCTCCGCTTTCAAAGTTGCCTGCTGGTCACTGATCTAGATACCTGATTGCCCGGATATCCAAACGTGACGCACCGTACTTTCCCGCTATACTGGTTATGATAATCAAAGTCTTCGTCTTCTCCGTATAAGCGAATGACACCCAGCAAATGAGGCGATCTGTATGTTTTATATCAAACCCGGGGCTTATCCAATTATTTTGCAATATCGCTCACTGAATTGTTCGAGAAACTTACAAGTAGTCTTGCACAGTTTGCTTATAGGCATTGCCATGGGCTTGGGATTCGATTTAGATTTTAACATACTATGCGTCTTTTTTCTCGGTCTTTCTGTTGCTTCACTAATGGTATTTTGTCAGTTCATTGGTGGGTTGAAATCCAAGTCAACGTTGGGATTGCCGATTTTATCGACGATATTCTTTGCCAGCGTTCTGCTGATGTAATGAATGAAAGATACTGGACAAGCACACCATTAGTTCCGCTACAGTTGTTCAAGACAAGCGGAATTGGTTCCATTTATCTTAGTCGAACTCTTCTTTCCTTCAGCTATGGAGGTGTAGGTCAGCTTGAAATCGCTTCTAACATTCTTACTGATCGATCTTGCACAGATCTGCAATCATATCACAGAATTCTGGATCCGCAAAGAGAACTATGTCAACACTCTTGCGGCGACAACTACACTGCCAATTATATTTCAAAATATTGTTAGTGCAGTTGTCAGTGGCAGGATTGTTCATAGGTATGGATCCCTCCTGAGTGACATAAAAAAGGTGAACTGATTGAATGCTAGGACTGGGAGATACAAGAACTTGCTGGTAATCAGCTGCACAATTGTAATAGCCAGCAATCTAATGATAGCAGCAAGGTGGCCACGTCGACCCATGATGGGGAGATGATATGTTATCCTGGTCTCGGTATAGGCGTGGGTGGCACTCTCGTAAGTGCCTTCACAGCATTGTCAATATCAGTCCTAGACTAGATGACAGCTACTGCTATGACAAGTTATTATCTCTGCCAGCAGCTGGGGCTGGTACTAGGCGTTTCCGTGACATCTGCAGCGAGTCAGGCGCTCTTCAAAAAGTATCTGGGTCAGGAAGTTCCCCTTGGGAAAGATAAATCCCAGGTTAGTATGCACTGCTTGATTTCTTAATTTGAGCATATTTAACATGGCCACGACCCATAGCTTGTTGCAGAAATTTTGAATCATCTTCGATTTGCATTTACCTTGCCTGAGCCGGTCCAGTCAATTGTCAAGTCTTGTTACTTGCGGTCTTTCCAAATCATTCCAGGTAAAGACGAAATTTCCAAACCTGTCCAATTCTCAGCTGACTTGGGCAAAGCGGTATCCTCCATCAGCTCGGCTCCAGCTCTCTTCGTGTTTTTTAGGTTGCCTGAGAAGCCTCTGGACTAGTGAGTAGCAACACCGCCGATCTTTTATAGTGAGAACGCCCCGGCAGCTGAGGTAGCAGTCGAGGTATCCTTAGCGTAACAAGAAATCCAAGCCTTTGTATCAAACCTATGTATGGTATTCTAAAAAGTTCACCTGTGCTATGGAATTGATTAAGGATTATTTTCAAAGTCAAACTTGTAGTCAGCCTGTTGACTCGGCCGATATTTGCTATTCAATGGTATGAAAAGGACCAGCGTATTTCATATAGTTCGAAAATAGTACAACTTCGAGTTCAAAATTTTTCAAGCCCTGATTCAGCTGCCTCATACTACGAGCGTACATACGTGTGAGCGCGTTGGAAGAAATATGCTTAAAACTTTTGCCTATCGTACAGTGTTGAAGAATTTGATATTCATGTGGCGAATTGAACAATGCAAACCCGCAGTAAGGTCTGAGTAGCCTCTTAAACAGTTCCAGTGGCCAAAACATATCCACCATCAACGACAATAGTCTGTCCATTGAGGTATTGGTTGGCAACAGTAAAAAGCACGGCGCCTGCCATATCCTCATCCTTTCCAGGGCGTGAAGCAGGGACCTTAGACTCGTACTTCTCTTTGGGAATCGAGCTCTTCTGTTTGTCATCACTTTCCTTGGCCGTCATCTCCGATGGGAAGACACCTGGGGCGATATTGTTCACACGGATCTTGAGGTTGGAGGTCATGATCTCGTGTGCTAGCATTTTAGTCAAATGAATAGCAGCTGCTTTGCTAGCGTTGTAGGCGAAGTGATGTTGAGCTCCCTTGATGATACCCGAAATGGAGGTAATGTTAATCACAGTGCTGGACCAGCCATGTTGTGTCTCTGTGCTCTTGCTGAGTAAGGGTAGGAAGGCGGAGGTTGTGAAGAACAGCTGCGTGACATTGGTTCGCATCACGTCTTCCCATTCTTCGAGCGTGCTCTTGTTGTGGAAGAGTTCTTCTTGGAGTGCCTTCGGATCTTCGCGTTCCGTCTCATAAGTCGTGGAGCTAATGCCGGCATTGTTGATCAAAACATCCAGCTTAGACTCCTTCGAAGAAATCTCGTCAACAAGCTTCTTAATTGACTCCTTGGAGGTGATATCGGCCGTGATTGGGATAATTTGGCCAGGGATATTTTTTCCGTATAATTCTGCCACCCGCTCGAGTTTCTCACCCGTGCGACCGGTGATGTACACCTTGGCACCGTTGACTGCTAGTGACTGAGTGGCCATTAGACCAATCCCAGACCCACCGCCGGTGATAAGAGCCACTGGTCATAAATTAGCACCGCGCCAAAGAATGCATTTTGATATATAATCAAATTTTGTTTTACTTACCTCTATCCTTGACATTAAAGACATTTTCGAGCTTGAAGCTTTGGTTGGTATCTTGTGCAGACATTTTGAGAGATGTTGGAAAGTTTAATGGAGACTTTGATGGGAAGTTGGTGGAGAAAGTCCTGTGAGAACGTTTTAGAACAAATCGAAAAGCCATTGATGCTCTAGCGGGGGCAGTCAATTGTTAAATAATTCTTTGATACTCTACGTCAGTGATATGCTGCGACCGAAACAAGCGTTGGTCGGGAACGATGGTTGGGCGAATGTGAGGTTTCTCTAATTCAGTCATGAAGTCAATGGTAGGTAAGGATTTGGTCATAGCTAAAATGATTGGAGAGAATGATTGACTTTCAGATGCAAGTGCCTTGTTCTAAGTCGTGCCTTGTTCAAGTCTAAAAAGCAGACGCCGGTTCGGTTTGCCATCCACCAATCAGAACGCCCAAATCAGTATGATTAATACATGGTTAAATGACGTATGCCAAACCTGTCGGGGATAGTCTCATGACAAGGTCGATACAAATTTGTCATGCAGGTATTATGCCTTCTAAAGCATTCCAGGTGCTTGATCTGGTGGGGAAACCTCAGGTCCAATTCAAGAATACAGCAACCGTATGAGCACATAACGGCCCGTGCGCAGTTCTCCAATAACCAGAGACTTATCATCGCGTCAATTCGTCTGCCAATCTCTATCAAGCAGAATGAAGGAATTTATGAAGCAGTATCATCAAGCGCGGCTTGATGTATCCTTTGTGGGATCTCTGTCCTGCCAATGATTTGTGGCCAGCGGAAATGGAGAGAAGAACGAGAAATTCATAAAAGAATTAGTATCACTTTAGCAAAGGATATTGTGGTCATAATATATATCAATGACAACCTGACCCAATATCAAAAGGGGCTTCCTAGCCCCATTCTCTGATTGCCGATCAAAGTCGCTTACATGCCATTCTTTAAGCAATACTCCATCACCAATTAGAAGTGGTGATGAATAGAGTAGCGTGGGACGCGTTATAACGCGTGAACGGAATTCTCGCTGATGTCATCAGTGTAGGCGGTAGACGGTGATCTCATTTGGGTCCATGATAACCATCTGTTTGTTACCATCGCTTATACGAGAGCGCCTATAAGCCCAAGAAAAGCGCGGTCTCTTGAGTCTTCATACCGCTTTCTTATTCCGGAGAGGGTTTCCCGTCCAGAAAGACCCGCTTTACAGCATGCTTTGGAGTGATATACTTGGATTTTAAACATACGAATATATGATGATCTTCGCTAGTGCCTGCGAGATACCTCTATAGTTTCCACTTGTAACTTTTTAAAGTATAAATAAATATTATATTGAAATGGATAAAAACCATGATAATATAACAATAAAACCTTTAAATTTTAAAGTTTGAAGCGCATGTGGGTGCCTTACGGGTATGGCTGCGACATTCATTCGGTAACTATCAGGCAGGGACGAAGGGGGAGAGAGAGCATGAACCCATATGACATATCACTATAGAGTGGTTCGGAAGAGGTATAGAATGCTTTCCACAGAAAAGCGACGAGAAACATCCCAGGGAGCGTCTAGGAGTCTCACGTGACTATGGTAGTAGTCGACGAACTAGTTATTCGATTTGCTCTCCTTAAACACTAGACCTTCTAGCAATGGATAAGGAATTGAATTGTCTCGCGAGGTCTATGAGCCTCAGACCTAGAATTTCTCTCATGGTAAAGGCGTGTGTGAGAGTGCAGTTTGTTTCTGCGCTTCGGGGTCCATCCTACTTATGGATTAGCCTTCGATCCCGTACCTTTTCCAATAGACCCCGCTATCTCGCTTCGGTCCCTGCCAAGCCGAACTAAGCACTTAGGGCCCTGGGGGCCAAATTACCAGGACCCTTTTTTTTTCCTTACGGAGTGCAATTGGCCATCCTTTCGGGAGATCTCAAATTTCCGCTTGTTGATCACCTCACGTAGCGTTTCATTTTCGGGTAAAAGTAATTCGTACCGGTATGTACTCTGAGGCTCAAGTCAATAAACAAGAAATGGGTAAACGACCATGTTGGACCCGGCATGGGCGCCTCTTTAAGCGTAAGATAGTCTTTCTCGCCGCTGAAAACCCTTGCTGGACCCTTGTAGCATCTCCGTAGCCGGGCTGCCGGGGGTGGAGTCACCTCTCCCTAGTCACATTAGAACCTCCAGCCTTTGCCATGGTCAAAAAAGCTTTTTTCCCCTCCTTTCTTTTCTCCTCAACAACAAATTCGCGCTTCTCTCACTTAAATTCATTTATCATACATTTATCAACATGCGCAGCGGGTTGGCCTGCCTACTCGGCTTGGCTAGCGTGGCCTTGACTGATGCATTAAGTCTGGAGAAGAGAGACAACCCCGCGGTTCTCGCAATGCCAATGGTACGCGACACTTCACGTCAGTTTTCGAAGCGATCGAAGACTGTCGATGCCAATCTTGATAATGACCAAGAATACGTAAGTTTGGCGCTTAGGATTGAAACGGTTTACCGGCTGACCTCACTTCCTAGTACACTTCCTATGTCGCAAATTTTACTTTTGGCACCCCGCCGCAGCATTTCCTAGCTTACATTGAGACATGGGGTAATGGGTGCTGGCTTGCCGGGGTGACTGACTACTGGTGCGAGCTCTACACTAACCAGTCTTCTTGTGGTGGATATGGAGGCTACAACCTGACTGCCTCGACCACTGGCAAAGAGCTCGACGAAAGATTTTCATATAACGATGACGGTATCATGACAGGTGGGGACTTCGTGACCGATGTTCTGAATATCGGTAATGCCACAATAGGCGCCATGAAAATGGGAATCATCACGGGTGATGGTATCAACGACAGTAGGTCCCGACTATCTAAACATACTGGTATACCCACTAACGGGGACTCGTTCAGATACCTTGAGTCTTGGGTATGGAAATGCATCTTCCACCTCTCTGACCCAGGCATTAACCGACGCCGGTGCCATCAATTCTCCGGCTTTTAGTCTTTGGGGCCATACAGCTCTGTTTGGTGGTATCAACAAGGCAAGATACGACGGCTCTCTCTACACCTTTCCTATAGTCAACGGATCAGACCTGCCAAAGGCTCTCCGTATCAATATGACTGGCATCTCGATCAACGAAACATCCGCGGCCTCAAAGGAATTTCCGCTGGACGCTGTCTTCGACGTTGCGGCTGGAATGACCTATGTGCCTAACTCTGTTGCCCAAGCCCTGAATGCCCAGATCGGCACCACCTCTGTTCCGGATGAGCTGGGACAAGTCAACTTCTCTTGCAGTGCGGTGGGCGAGAACTCGACAATAGAGTTCAAATTCGGGGATCTGGAATTCCAATTCTACCTCAGCGATTTCATTTCCCACCAATCTCACGTTGCGGAGGATTATGGGTGGGCAGAAGGTGACAACACGTGCTATTTCACGATCTGTGAGAACACCGAGCTCCAGTTTGAGGGAAGCATCGTTTTGGGCTCCAACTTCATAAGCAAAATTTATGCAGTCTTTGATCTTGAGAATGAAGAGATATCTTTGGCCAATCTCAGCTGGGATGACTCTCCAGACGATATTGTCGAGATTACATCGGGCAAGAATGGTGTGCCGGGGGCAAAGAAGGAGTCAGCTGGTACGCGCCTTGACAAAGGCCTAGGGATGAGCAATCTGCTGGTAGGTGCTACTCTGCTGGTCCTAGCTTCTTAAATTCGGCCTTTTTACAAGCATTCAATGTCACTCTATTTCGCGATCAATACCTGACCCACGCTTCTAACTCCTCTCGTGCGATTTTTTCTTTCGGCGACTCAACAAAACCATAATATTCTACACGAATTTTTGTCCCAAAAGCATGACCAGCTTTACGTGAGTGATTCTCACCTATAAGGGAGCGCCGGGAGGCTCACCTAGAAGCTGAAACTACCACCGCCACAATTTAATATGTGAGCACGAAATTGTGATCAAATTTAACAGATACTCTTGACTGTTATTTGAACGCCACGCAGTATTCAAGATTCGCTGAGTAGGAATCTACTCACTCACACTAGACTTCCTCTGATTGCGGAAGTATCGAAGGAGTGATGCCCACTAAGCTGGCGTCTTTTCGCTTTTGTCCTGGCTCTAATTGAACTTTATATTGTAGATTCACCTAGATCAAATGAGGCCATATGTCTTTTGCTGACTGGTCGGCAAGGTACCGTAGCACCTTTCTTCCTACTTTTAAACTACAACATGATACCATATTTTGCTAGTGAGATGTCCAACCAACACTTTGAAGTGTTCAGTAACAGTCGCCAATGTGCATATGAGCCTACCTGATTTAGTATGATGATTTCCAAGAACATTAGGATTGTGTTATATTGAAATGAGAGCTCACTATCGAGCATATTCTGTCCATAGATGCCTAGAAGAGCCCACGCGTAAACGGACTTCGAAAATGTATGGCATAATTCACATTCATGGACTCACTCAAACAACATAGCCAGGTGCGCGAAGACACCGCCCTGACTCTATTGTGCTAGGCCAAGATCAGGCCAAGAATCAGATGACTAAGCATGCGAGCTTTTCGCCATTCTGGGGATGATATAGCAAGGTTCAAATTGGTATGAATCAACTAGAATCACTTTCATCCCTTCAACTTTGACCATTTCTCTTTATCAAAATGCCGCCCAAAGTCGAAATTGACGACCATAAAGACTTGATCACTGGACTTATACAACAGAAATGCAAACAAGAGGATATCCGATCTCTTCTACGTGATACGCACTCCATTAATATTGGGCGGACTGCCTTCCAATCACGTCTACGAGAGTGGGGGCTACAGAATAAGCTCGCTAAGGCTAACAAGGCTGCTGCCATACAGGCAAGAGTCCTTGAGCTACTTCCTGTCTGTAATCCAAAGGAGACCCTTGCCGTACTCGCAAAAGATGGATATCCGACGTCGAATAGAACATTGCAACGGATACGCAAGCGACTGGGCGTGAGGCTTCGGGTCAAGAAACTTCCGATAGAGCGGGCTGAACAGGCGCCGGACATAATCGACGAAGACCAGGCTTACCAGGCGCAGATTGATGCGCAGATCGACGCACAAATTGCTGCGGAAGCTGCCCAGCGTGATATTGAATCTTCTTCACCAAATGCAGCGAAAGGAGTAAGGATAGCGACGCACACAACGTCGCCAGTGGTTTCATCACCATCTCTACCGGTCACAACTACGTCGTCGATGATGGAGCCGACGATAAGGGCCCAAGGGGAGCGTGGAGCCAGGTCTAGAGTGTCGAAGCAAGCGCACATGCCTGTTTTAAGGCCAGCTCGCCGGACTCAGCGGAAACGGATCTTGTAATCACGAACAATTCCAACTGCCTAGTTCCACGGAGATATACGCTTTGTGGGGTTGCTTCAATTTGAGACGGACGTGAATTTCTACACATTATATGGGTCAATATTTTTGAATAACCATACAGCTCATGGAACACGTCGATTGAAGCTTTGTTTTTGCTATGGTAGTCACACTGGGAGCTCTTGATTCTATAAGCTTGGCTTGATTCTCAAGGCCAAAAGATTGCTGACTAAGCATGCGGGCTTCTGGCCTTTAGAAGGCCACCTTATTATAGCACCAAATCAGATGCTGTATCTAAATTTTATTCATATAAGTGCTTCACCGTGGCATCCATAACTTTCTTAGTATGATCCTGATATTGAACCACTAGTAAGCTTTAAGTAATCTTGCAATTATAGCTTCCGAGTTGATGTCATGATGAGCCCCTGACCTGGGTGAAGCAGAAGCTATCTGAGATCTCTACCGAATAGGCATTTTTCTCGCCAAGCATGCTTTTTCGTATATGCCCTGGTACAAGCGTCTGAATTTCAATATGGATGCTCAACCATTAAACAGCACTCAGCCACTGATGTCACACGAAATGGATGCGGATACTACTTTGGACCTACAGAGTCGATATTATACTTGTGTTTGCTGTGGAGTATTGATAACAACGCCGTTTGACTGCTGGTCAAAGTATCGAGGAAGTAAGCTTGGATGATTACTTTTATCGGTCTCTAGAAGTTGTGTCTAATCCTTCATGGTCCATCTAGCAGAAACGAGAGTCCAGCCATCAGATATCAATCGAAATGAGGGCAACTAGATTAGATTCGCGATTGAAACAGACAGTAAGAGCGCTAAGTATCTGGGCCTCTGCTAAACCTGATGATCATAAATATTGTTGCTCAATCTTACTTCAACATATTCCAAGTAAAGATATTGATCTTGAAAGGCTTTTTGTTGTCTCCCAAGATAGATGGGATTACAGGTTTGCACGTTGTGGTATAACTCTGAATACTTTCATCTGCTACCACATTCTTGTAACTAAAGGCTATCTATTTTGTATATGGCGGTCTCATAGATCGCTAAGAGGGAATTTTCTAAGATTGCGACCACTCTTTTGTCGACAGATACCTTTATTATACTTTATTAATCTGGAGTGCGTATGCTCTATGTTATGCTCTAAATCACTTAAGTTTAAAGTATCCGGGCTGTAGCTTTTGAAAGACCTGAGTCGGGTCGTATATTGCGCTGACAGCTTTCAATCTTGCCAGGTTCTTTTGTCCGTAACCGGAGAAGACATCCTGTCCAGCAGAGGCATAGTTCTGGTACACATACTTATTGAGCAGACCCGCAGCAGACGCAGCGGCTTGACAGCCATCGAGTATGTTTTGTGCGGCAGTCAGAATCCGATCGTCGTCAGCAATGTCAGACCAAGATATATCAATTTGCACCACTGTTGAGACGATCAGTACGACATATCAGAGGATATTGAGGGACACGTACGGTTGAGAGGGCCCTGATCATCCAGCCCAAGGGCATTACCGCCGTTCTTTGAGAAGTGCGAAATCATGTCGGTGGTGATAGGCTGGAAAACAAGCGACGGGACAATGCCAGCAACAGTCTTGAGCGGCTCGATCTCATCCATGTAGATGGCAACCATGTCCGCCATCAACGTAGCATTATTCCCAACCATCAGGGTCCGATAAGTTTGTCTACAATCCTGATTTAGTAAAGGCTTATCGTTGGTGTCCTGAGGATTAGAAACATACCGGAAGCCTCCCGGGTTGGTATTATTGAATTCAATGGTTAAATTGGCTTGATCGACGATGCGGAGAGTACTGGCGACGGCACCCTGGACAGCTGTGAAGTTTTGCAGAATAGGTGGGTTTGCAACTGGTTTTCCATATTGTAAATCTGAGGCTATGATATAAGTATCCACCGATTGTGCATACGCGTAGGCAGTGATGACCTGCGCGTAAGGATCGGATGGAGCATTAACACCAAGGTAATAAACTGCATCATTGATGGCTGCTGCCGTCTCGGGGGTATAGATGAAGGTTTCCGAACCAGCCCAGAGATCGCCCTGGGGGAAGGTCATGAGGTCGAAACGGGTAACTATTCCGAAGTTATTCCCTCCACCACGGAGCGCCCAGTATAAATCGGAATATGGCGAGGAGAAGCTCACTTCCCGAATGGAACCGTCCGCAAGCACGACCTCGTAATTGTTGACATTGTCGCAGGCCCATCCATAGCGACCGGAAAAGAATGATATGCCACCGCCTAGAGTCAGTCCTCCTACGCCGATGGCCGAGACTCGTCCGCCGATCACAGTGAGCCCCATGGGCTGAAGCGTGGTGTAGACGTCGTACCAGATATTGCCAGCACCAATGGCCGTCTGGGCCCGGTCAGACCGCACGGTAATTTCGTTCAGATTGGCCAAATCAATTGTCATCCCACCCTGGATGTTCGACGCTCCCTCGAAAGCAGCATGGCCACCACTCTTCACGGCAAATTCGCACTGGGCCACCTGGAGGGCTAGGACTGCAAAGGAAACATCTAGCGCGGACTTGGGGGAGAAGCGACAAGTCGGCTCCGTCAATGCTTGCTGCTGCGACCAGTATCCCGACTCCTCGAGGCTGTAGATGGTGCTGTTCGGATACGAGATCTGCGATGGCAGCGCAAAGTCTAGAAAGCCGCACTGGGGTGGGTCAGCAGATGCGAGCGGCACCGAGCGGAATAGGGCTTTCTAACCGCGAGCGTGCAGCCGAAGGGCAATTGGCCTCGAGTGTTCAGCCGGCCGTTCTCCGCGAGCTTAACGTACGAGGAGAACTGAGCCTCAACCTGATCTAAGGTATAGGCAGCGACCTCGACACTCGGTGCTGCTAGCAACAAGATGCTAAGACTGAGAAACCACATCCTGACGTACAGGTACAGAAAGCAGAGAGGGAATCGAGCAGGATGAAGAATACACAGTGCGCGTCCTTGTGTCCTTGTTTCCTGCCCGCGGAAGGGTAGTTATGACTATTAAATAATTCCCAATCTTACTTCGAGCGTCCTTCGTATTCCGGTACCTGCTATACGCTATTCGCTCGACGCTTGCTCCTGAGAGTCTCCGACCTGATGTTACAGTACGTTAGGCGATGGCGGGGCGGTTTTCCGGCCCCTGAATCTGCACTAGGTCCAGCTCCCAATAACGTATCGCCGTAGCCTAGCTAAGCGGCCCGAGCGGCCACTGCGCGATTCCGAAGGCTTCTCATCCACTTCTTTATCCTGTCAATTGCCCACCCTTCTCACCCCCGGTCGCGCGACGCTAAAGCAGCGCTAACCCAATTCTCGTCCGGGCGACATCCATGTAGACGCTCACACTCGGTACTCAATACATTCCGTACTGGCGTTGGGGAGAAGTGCTTCTTCCATATTGGTTTCGACTGCCATTGGGGGTGAGCTGATCATGCTATAATAGAATGGTGACTTACGTAGCTATAGCCCTGTAATTGTTGGCGTTGATGGATCGCCACTGCTTTAGGGATATACTCCTCTGTGATGAAGCGGTGGCATTCTTCCTCGTATCCGGGCTCCGATTGTGGGCGAGCGTCAGCTTCAGAAGGCGAGTTTCGGGGCCGTGTTGGATCAGACCAGGGTGTTCTGGGGGCTTCAAATATTTTTTTGGCTTTAAAATTATAGACTCCGGAGGCAATTCACTCATGTCTTCTTTATTTTATACCCCTCTAAGATTTACATCTTATCCAGTTGGTCATACCAGAGGGAAGGTCTCATAGGCAGAAAGACCCTACTGGTTCCTGTCGCATCCTTTGAGTTGTGCCCAGTGCTCGCTGTTCGTTCCCCGGTTCGGTGAAGTCGAAAATGATTGCAGATAGCGCCGAGAATAGTGCAAGAGCTCGCGGTCATTTATTTTGTCTAAGATGATTCATTTTTCATGATTAGAAAAGTGCCGAGCGCCCCTCCATTGCTCGCCTACAAATCGAAATGCGCAAATGGAACATGGTAGTATCAACCTCGTGACTGTCTTGGGGATAACATTGTCCTCTATATAGACACGGTCGATTTTATTCGCCATCACCAGCGTCATTCACGCGATTGTCAACCTTTATGGCAACAGCTTTGCAGTTGTGCTGCAGCCTGCATCAAGCGGCTTTCTTGTTCATGGACCGTCTTCATCACCATTTTGATTGCGTTATTTTCGCTGGATGGAATAGACGGTCGATTGATGTTGATTTCAGCGTTCTCGCAGATACAAAAGACGCTGTAAGTCTGTTCACCGAATCTCCCAGGCCATCTAGCAGTCGCAAGGCTGACTGGATCACCAACTTAATGTGACTCGCTGGATCATCCACGGAAAACGCCCCGATTTGTAGCGAGGGGAGTGGGATGGGCATGCCTTCAGCACCGAACTTTTCAGCGGTGTGCGAGAAGATATTATTCATTACCTTCTTTGAAAAGGAGATGAACCTAAGGACCGAGTCGGATACGGAGTATGAAATCAAGGATGCTAGAGGGAAGGAAAAGGAGACCGGCGCCGAGGTAAAATCAAAGGAGTTTGCAGGTTGAAGATGAAAGGTTGGATTATCTAGACAGATCAAATCAGTTCATCATAAGAGAAAATTGGAGCCTTGTATGTAATGAAGCTTTCGACCGCCATAATAGCGGCAATGAGAGTCATTCAAGTATGGATGCCGGGTCTCCGTCCGATACTTTCCCCGCACCGGCAGCCGGGAGATAAGCCCGTGTTCTCCTCACCCGGGCCCCCTCATCGGGTCAACCCATACGGAATCTCTCTCCCATCCCGGGAGAGTGCCCGAACTATACTGGTGCTTATATTAGCCATAGAGCAAGCATCATGAATCTGAATTAATTTCGAAAACAACGAAGATCATCCAAAAGTAAGGCAAAATCGAGGTTCAGTGTTTTGTGTTTTGGTATCATAAGCCGCACCGATTGCTAAAAAGGTCCGCTTCGTAGTGTCAGGAAACCTCGTCCCTCTTACTGTCATCAAAGGCGCCGGCCACGAATTCATTCCCCTCCCACAAGGCGAGAATGCAATTACGGCTGATTTTCACTCTATTCGCACCAAGACCGAGTCTCCTGCCCATTTGACCTCGGGATTTTACAAGATTGAGGCTGGACCTCAAAGACCCGCTCACTACACTTTTGAGGAGACTAAGTATGTTCTCAGTGGTCAGATTGACATTTTGGTATGTTACTCAGAATTTGTATTGCAATTGTGTGATGTTGTCAATATTCATTATTTGCATCGAATAGGACGAGGCTACTGGGATCACCCATCATCTAGTGCCAGGAGATTTCGCATTCTTCTATGTTGGATCTAAGGTTAAGGTATGTCATTAAAAAATCATCTATCCCAGCCCTCATATTCCGCATCCCGTCACTCCAAAATCTCACGGAGTCCTTTAGCTAACATATCTTTACCTTGGTTTAGTTCTCGACCAAGTCTGCTGGACTTGCCTTTTACGCTGTTACTCGTCCCGTTCGAGCTCCTCACCCCAACCTCGTTGACCGAGAAGAGGGCAAGGCCCGTCTATAGAGACTGACGAGGACCCCCCTTATCCATGTTCTATAAGGATTTCTAGATGATAGTAATCAATAGCCCTCGTTAAATCATTTGATTCTCGCTGATTGAATCTATCAACAATGTGGAATATTTTTGGATACGGCTGAGATTGCACCTCATCGATGACGTTTATCATACTACAGAACTCACCACTTATCACTGCTGTAACCATTGCCGCGTCATCTACCCTGACCTTCTTGTTGTGGATGACCATATCTTGAAGACCTGTTTCTAGTTTCTCTTCCAAAATCTATCGCTAGTAGGAGTGCAGGGCCAATGAAAGGTCTTCTTCTGTGTCTTTTACCTGGTCCCGTTATCGAGGCTAACAATTCAGACTCCGTCAATGTATTACGCATCCCCTGGCCTATTTATGGCCAGCTTCTGAGCCTTCAGCTCTGTCTATTTTTCTCTTCTTGATCTCCTTCTCCTTCTCTCTTGTTAAAGACTCGAATTCGTCTGTTCTAGATTGGGAATACACACAGGTTGCCGATTCGACTATCTCCAATTCCCTTGCTGAAGCTAGCCTACTATGAGTAGCTCGCTATTCTATATATTCAAAATTGTCCTCACAGGGAGGTGGCAGAGTATCTGATCAAATTAAAAGCACAGAGTTGAACTTGTATTGGAGCAAGATAATCGACCAGGAGGTACAGTATGTGGGGATTCGTTTGCAGCAGAACGGCTCCGAAGGACCTTGGGATTCTGGAGTCAATATCTAGACTCTAAAGTTGCGTAAAATTCCATGGAAATTGGCCAGAGACCCAATTCTCAGATTTCATCTGTTCAGACTTGGGTAGTCTACTCTCCACTTCGATGCTCAAGTCTCTAAAGGCAGAGAAAGGGTATCTGAATGATTTCGGAGTACCTATTGAGTTCTTGAAGTCTCAGCTTATACTGTAGTGGCATAATTAGATATGTCTTTGCTTCCAAGTTTTCTGATCCTTTCTTTTTTGGAAAGAGTTTCAACACTGGTTCTATATACGTATATGTACGGAGCATCCGGCGAACGACAGCACCCGTGGACTCAGGTGACCCCGGCGCAGAGTGTTAGATGTGGATCCATGGATTGTATTAAAATTGCTTCTCACCAGGTAGATATCTTGATTAGTCTGTATTCCGATGATCATCCATCCTGCCCTGAGCCACCATCATCCGCTTGAAAGGTCCATCTTATGACATCTTCAAGTGTTACGCATCTGACTTGCGTACTTAACTTCGCGCAGGGACCTAAAAATGACAAAGACTGGTCTCGATCGGGAAAATATTGAACAGTACCTGCCAAATCATGTGGTTGTGACTGGGTCAACTGGTTGAAGATAAATAAAAAAAATAAGTTGATTCCTCAGGCAGCCACTTTGGGCCGACGTCACCGGCTTGTGGGGAAAGCTTCAGCTCCTCATCTGTATCCACGCGCCCCGATGGAGAGCTTCGACGACGTGACCCTGATCGGCCCAGTATCAGACCCCGCGGTACACGATGAACATATTTCCTCAAACAACCATGAAACAAAGACAAGGAAACCCGGCGTGGAATCGGGTGGCACGGGCACCCCCACCTCCAGCCAGTCGGTGAATGCAGGCCGTGCCCAACTGGAAGGAGCTGGTTCTGAGATAGTGGAGGCACCAACAATTTCACCAGAGTTTCCTCCCGAAGAGGAAGATGAGGAGCCTCACGTTGCGACTTCCTTTGAGCGCGAGTCATCACCTACTTCTGCGCAAAAACACAGATTGGGATTGGAGGGTGAAGATGAGAGCATCAACCGCTTGCACAAGTTTACTCTTTACGAAACTGCGACGAGGTTTTACATGGTTGGCATCAATCTAGCCGAGACGCGTTTCCGAATCTTGAAAATAGATCGCACCACGGAGTCGGGCGAGTTGAGCATCATCGAGGATGATGTGATTTACACAAAGAGAGAAATGGTTCAGCTGCTTGATGCCATCGACGATGGCAACAAGAGTTCCGGTGGTCTGAATCAGAAATGCAGTGCCTGGGCGTTGCTCGGATTTATCCAATTCACGGGCGCGTATTACATGCTTCTTGTCACAAAGAGAAGCCAGGTAGCCATGCTAGGTGGTCATAATGTTTACCAAATCGATCAGACAGAACTCATCTCATTGACAACATCGGACACATCTCGCCTCAAACCAGAGAGCCAACCCGATGAGGAGAGGTATAAGGCCATTTTGAATAACCTTGACCTCACGCGATCATTTTATTTCAGCTACTCCTACGATATCACGCGATCATTGCAGCACAACTTCTGCCGAGAACGCAAAGCACATCAGGATGGACTACCTCGGTTTTTACCTCAGGATTACAATACCATGTTTGTGTGGAACAACCATCTCCTTACTCCAGCGATCGCAGCACTCAAGAACCCATTTCAATGGTGCCTTCCGATTATTCATGGATATGTGGATCAGAGTAAGATGAGTGTATTTGGAAGATTAGTGTACATTTCGATCATTGCTCGACGGTCTAGACTCTTTGCCGGTGCACGTTTCTTGAAGCGCGGTGCTAATGATCTGGGATATGTGGCCAATGATGTGGAAACTGAGCAAATTGTTTCTGAGCAAACAACAACATCTTTCCACTCCGCAGGGCCAACACTTCATGCGAACCCCAATTACACTTCTTATGTTCAGCATCGTGGGAGTATTCCGCTATATTGGACACAAGAGAGCACCGGTGTCTCACCAAAGCCTGACATCCATCTAAGTCTCATCGATCCATTCTACTCTGCAGCGGCATTGCATTTTGACAATTTATTCGAGAGATATGGAGCACCGATTTACATTCTAAACCTCGTCAAAGCTCGGGAACGGACACCAAGAGAGTCAAAGCTTCTTAAAGAGTTCACCAATGCTGTGGAGTATCTTAATCAGTTTCTGCCTTCGGATAAGAAGCTGATATACAAAGCGTGGGATATGAGCCGGGCGTCGAAAAGTCGAGATCAAGATGTTATAGAAACTTTGGAAGGGATTGCTGGAGATATCATCCCAAAGACAGGGTTCTTCAAAAATGGGGCCGATGTCGAATCAGGCTTACAGCTTCAAAATGGCGTGGCACGTACCAATTGCATCGACTGCCTAGATCGTACAAACGCAGCGCAGTTTGTAATTGGCAAAAGAGCCCTCGGATACCAACTTCATGCTCTTGGGGTCATCGATGGGACAACAGTCGAGTATGATACGGATGCTGTCAATTTGATTACGAACATGTGGCATGACCATGGCGATACCATTGCCATCCAATACGGAGGATCCCATTTGGTCAACACCATGGCCACATACCGCAAAATCAATCAGTGGAGTAGCCATTCGCGCGATATGGTGGAAAGCTTCAAGCGGTACTATAATAACTCTTTCCTCGATGCTCAACGTCAAGAGGCTTACAACCTTTTCTTGGGCAACTACATCTTCTCAGATGATGCCCCAATGCTTTGGGATCTTTCCACCGATTACTACCTTCATCATGAAAATCCCAGGTCCTATGTCAAGAAAAAGCGACCAAATTACATTTCCTGGTACACGCCCGAACATCTGAAAGAGCGAGAGATTCCTCCACCCCCAGCTTGTCCCAAAGAGCCACTTTCCCGCTTCGACGATTACTGGCTGGAATACTATCGCCCACTCGCACTTTCCACGCTCTCCAAAATCTACTCTTACAAGATGAACTCAACTCTCCGATACCTGCCACATATTCGTGGAGGCAATGTTCCCCCAAATCTCAGCCCATTTGTCCCACGCATTACCCCAGACCAAGTCCAGCGCGACCGTCCACAGCGAACAGTGAAGATCCAAGAACCAACAAACAGCCGCTCTACAACATCAACCCCAACAATCACGGGGTCTGGCCAGAGTTGGACACATCAACCACCTTCATCCTCCAAACAACCGCCTTCAGTTGGCATCATCAAAGAACCAACCTTTGAGTTGTACCAGGGAAACCGCATCCCACCCATAAATCCAAACACTTCCACAGTCACCCCGAGCAAAGCACAGATCGCTCAGTGGACACTCGGACAATTAGTCACCGACTCTTTGAACCCGTCTGTCACTGCAACAGAAGCCGAGGAATACGAACGATACATCAATCACCCCCTTAAAGTCCCACTGGTCGTGACGTCCGATAATGAGGTGACAGCTGCCTCGCTTCGGGAACATCAGCCAAATTTAGATCTTTTGGAATATGCGAACAAGTGCAATGTTGAGGATGCAGCTCTTGAAGCTAGTGCAGAGGGCAACTTGGCAGATTATGCGGAGTTTCTCAATGTTTCGGAGGAGGGACTTACCGTCGTCAGTGAAGACTATGAAAAGAAGAGGTACAAGAGGTACAAACAGTGGTTACGAGGAAAGAGTCTTTTCAAGCAACGTGTCGATACGTGATGACCTAGGCATGTTTTCATGTTTTATTTAGCGTGTATTCTGCTCAAGATTGATACCCCAATGTAGAATTGACAAGGCTTGACTTAGTAGATGAGTGCTAAGTTGTCGTTTCTTTTTTCCCGGTTTAAAATCTAGCTCTCATATATTCTTCTATTCCTTTTGGTGAGCGACTCTACTTCATGTCCTGTCCACTATAAATGTAAAACATCGCAAGGGCGCCTCTTTACTAGCCATGGTGTGGGCCGAGTGGAGAATGAAACTATGATAGTATCTACGGTTATTGAAAGAGGTAGAAATATCTCGAGGCTTTCGCGTATTGTTCGTCAGAGAACCTATGAATGTAGATATTTTGTTTGGTTCTCACTTTGTGACTTTGCATCGGTGAATAAAAGACCGGCTAATTCGGAATCGGCATCAACAAGCTTCTGGAGTTCTGCGCTCATCTCCTCTTTGGTACGAAGCTGGTCCGCAACTGGCGAAACAGGGTTTTGCAAAGCATGCTTCAGCACAACAATGGCGCTTCTTAGCTCTTTTGTCAACTTGGCAAGCTGCTTCACGAGAGCAGTGTCCCCCGCTTTTCCTTTGTTCTCTGCAGCAACATGCAGCCAGCACGCACATAGCCCGGCCAATATCTCACCACGCCATCTCCAAATACGAGGATGGGCGTTCAGTATTACCGATTTTGTTGTTGATATGGCGGCGGAGAGAAGTGGAGGGTACGCAGACCCGAATGGATTCGCGAGGGTCATGTTTAGTAGGGGGACGATGTCCTGGAGGTACTTGGTAGTTTCAATACCAAGATCATTGACAACAATAGTGATCTCGTCCATTAGGAAAGTTGATAGCTTTGGGTGCGGGAAGGAGGCCGAGGACTCATAGGTTGGGTTTGAGGAGCTAATGTGGTTGTAAGACGAGATCAGGTTTGACCGAAGGATCTTAGCGAGACTCGCATTGTAAGTCTCAGTCTTTTGTGCCTTTGAAGAATTCTTGCTGGATGCAGCTCTGAAGAGAGCAATCAGGACTGGGTAAGCGGCGCCCAGCATCTGGAGTGATTTTTCTTCCGGAGTGATTGTGGGGAGGGAAAGAAGGCTTGGTTTGATGGCCTCTTCGAAGACAGGAATAAGGTTTGTTCGAATGAGGATATCGGAGCCACTTTCTTGAATCGTGTTGAGTAGCTGATTGAGAAGCTGACAGCCCTTCACCTTGAAGGAAATCGAGCTATCGTCTATTAAAGCAAGGATAGTAGGGACCAGGGATGAGAAGTGCGCTTCCAGATGCTTCTTGTCGGCAGGCTAGAGGGGGAGTCAGTATAATAATACGTAAGACTGCAGGAAGACCACAGGCTAAAACACATACTTTGTACTGAGATACAATCCAGGACAGAACGGTGGTAGCATAGATGTCCGTATTCTTCCATGGCTTTGCCGAATCGTCGAGTGCACTTCCGTCAAAACGAGGCAAAGGCACAGGGTGGAAGTCCTTGCGGCCCTCGTTCGTGATATTAGGATTCCTCTGTTTCGTAAAAAGAGGTCGAATCTTTTCTTTGAGTATCATTTCAATGGTGTCCCACATATGAGTCCAGCCCCCGCAGAAGTACATGTCGGCTGTCATTCCAGTATCATCTGTGCACCATGGATATTGCCCGGACATGAAAGTAGCCATGGTAATTAGAGAATCCGGCAAAGTATCCGGCGCAGTTGAGGTTCGACGCTTTGGTAAAGTTGCATTTGTCTGTGCCTTGAAAAGACAAAGGAACTCCAAGGCAAGTGACCCTTTCAATATACTTTCATGCTGGGCCTTTTTGATCTCTGCAAATTTGCTTTAGCGGAAGCTTGACTCTTTGACCTCATGATTACGCACCTGCTGTCACCTCGACATTGTCGTCAAAACATGCTGCAAATTCCGATGACGGTAGAGCTGCTTCATTGGCCCATTTGAACAGGTTGGACGCCGCCGTGATTTCGTCACCTTCAAGCTGTCGGCAACCCGAATCATCGGGCAGCAGCTGGGGAGGAATCGCCTCAATGAAAGCAAGTGCGGCATACAAGCTTTCGCAGACCTAATTGTATTTCGTTAGTTTGATTCGTACGAAAAACTGGCCGTATCATTTACATTCATGCGGGTGCTGTGGTCGTAGGTTGAAATATTCTGCCATAACTCGGGCAGGCCACCCTTGACTCTCTTTCCCGACGATGGGAGTCGAGGAAGCGCTGACTGGCTCAGAGTCCAAGGATCTTGCTGTAAAACCACGCGGGCCTCTTTTCGAAATTGGTCCATGTTGCTTGAAGATGGGTATGATGAACTACGCTGTTTACTTGAGGAAGTGGGGAATTTGTAGTGGACGCGTTGGGTTTGCGCTCCCGCGTCACTGGATCAAATCTTATTGATGCAATTATCTATGTTTGACTGTTCACAACCCCAATTCTCCACGACGTCGCGAAATCTCTTCCAGAGTTGCGGCCTTGTCAGTGTCAGGATGCAAAAGTTGCCACTCTACTACCATTGTGGTCGCCTTGGTCATCCATGGTCCCTTTTTTCCTCCGAGGTGCTGTATGATTTCACCACCATTCACAACGGGGACGAGAGAGTTCACATGCTCCAGATCATTTTCTACGATGTATGCGATAAACTGATTGTACTCCGGGACCACTGGAAATAAATTAGCATTGAGCAAAAGAGGTGGTTGGAAGCAATCGTACCCTCGCTGAGGTCACGTCCCTGCATAACTTCTTGAAGTATGGCCAAGACCACGCACAGTTTCCAATCCTTGCCCCAGGACCGAATACGCAGTCCAACCTGCTGTCTAATTTCGGCTGGGGTACCACTGAGCGACTTTTCCCTCAGGGCAAATTTACAGGCAGTGATGTCTTTGTAATTTGAGGTTGCATCGCGGAGAATTTGGAGAGTTTTGTTATCGGTGCGGAGACTGTCCCTACCAACCTCGACAGCGCGAGTCGGTAGTGGTTTGTGTTTGGGACCGGATGAAGGGCGAGGCGGAATGGACGTCCATGGAGCAAAAGCAGCTATCATCCAGGTATAGTAGACGCTGGCCTTGTCGCGTACTAGGAGCTCCGCCGCATTATCGGGCCCTAGTTGCAGTAGTCTTGGTAGCGCATTGTAGGCAAGAGGCCAAGTCGATGTGTCAGTCGTTACTTCGTCCTGATGATTCGCGAAAATTGTTGGGTAAAGGTTGAGCCTGTCAATGAACTCCAAGGCACCGCGAGGGTCAGGTCCTGATATATCCATTAGAAACAGATCACTAAACACTTAGCTTCTGGGTTATGAACTCACCTTTCAACATCTTTTCCAGCTCTGTGGCAACACGCTCCTTGCTGATTTTCAGCTTCAGTGCAATTCTGATATCTTCATTCTGCATGGCATTCTCAGCTTCAGGGTCAATTGCGTAACCCAGTCTGCTGGCAAATCGAATCAAACGAAGTACGCGGAGCGGATCATCCTTGAATGTCTGGTATGGTTCTAGTGGAGTACGAATCAGGTGCTTTCCCATATCATCCAGCCCTTGTTCGGTAAGATCTTCTAGCTTCGATTCGTTCAGGTTGTAGAATATAGCATTGATGGTAGCGTCTCGTCGAAGGGCATCTTCCACTGCTGTGCCAAACTCCATCTGTGGATTTCGACTATCATCTGAGTATGTCTCTTTGCGCAGATTGACCAAATCGATATCCAGCCCAAAGATCTTAGTAGTGACCGTCTCCAAATGTTTCGACTTTTCGGGATTGGCTTCGATTTTGTGTAGGCTCACAATTGCATCATGCATTTCCCCATTCGGCAAGGTTTTCTTGTATTTCTCAAGATTTTGTGGATCGTCCAAATACTCCTTCAACTGCATACCGAATTGATATCCGGTCATATTGCTAATGCCCACATCAATATCGTGGCTCTCCACCCCGAGCAGCTTGTCTCTGACCCAGCCGCCCGTAAACCGTAGGACAGTTTCGGCACGATCGCCTCCATCGCTACTTCCGTCAATCAATCCCTTATCATGTATGTATTTGGCGACATCAAGGAGGAGGGTTTGCAAGGTACTTTCGATCGGAGTGAGTTGAAGTGTGGGGTGATCGCGAGCCATTTTTTCAGAAGAACCACCCCGCGCGGGGGAGGTTGAAATGCGTCGTCTTTTGCTTGCTGGCTCTGGAGAGTGCGAAGCAAGTTCGCGGGCGCGCATGGAAGGTCGCCAGGTGGTTGTGTAAGTACGATTTGTGAAGTTCAAAAAGTTCCGCGGAAGTGTCTGAAGGTATATTTGGGTCGCTAGAGGGCGGGCGAGTGGAGTGGGGGGTTTAAGTCGAAGAGCGTCAAACGATGACCCAAGGCAACGCAACCTGTACATCGAAAGCCATAAGTGAGTCAAATGAATTGAGTAGGGGAAAGCGCATAAGTGACTCAGTGCTAATCACCGATAAAGCTTCGCTCTCACGTGGTTGCATCATTACCCGCGATTGTCCCCTCGTAATGCGCCCGAAACCCGAACGATCTACATATTTCTGCGCCTAACCTGCATTGTTGACTGACCCAGCTCAGGTCATATCCTGGTTACTGTACACTCAATCTCGTGTGGTATTCTCATCTACCACTAGAGCCTTACCTGAACCTATCGGGCCCGAGGCGACTTGGCTTTCCCCATCAACAACAAACTTACCCGGACCGTTGACCCTGTCGCCGAACACTGTCGCCCGCACCCGCATTCCTTTTTCGCCTTGACATCCCAGTCCATGGGGTCTGTCCGTTCATTTTATTAAGTCTAGTTTCGCAGAAAAGCAGTTGGAGTCCATGACATCGCCCGGAGATGCTGCTCCGGTCAAACCACCGCCGTCCTTCTCCCCCGGCGTTGCGCGAGGCACCTCTAAATCAAGATACCCCGACGAGGCAGAGTCCACACATTCTATAGACGCCGAGCTGGCAGAGGCCCGCTCGGCGTCTTCTCCTACGCCTCCTCTGTCGGCCACCACTGCGGAGTTGCCCATCCGGTCTTCATCACCGCACGCCCGGTCCGTCAGGTCGTCCACCCCGCAATTAGCTCGCTCATCACTTGGATCGCCTTTTGATGGAAGATTCGATGGCTCGGAAGATATAAGGTCCTTAATAATCCGCGCCTTCTCGCCAACTGTCGCTATCTATGCCTCCGATGATACCGATGAATTGGTGAGGAATAAGGGGTTCAAAGGGGGATTCTGGGAATTGATTAGGCCCTTTGGCGACACTGTATCTGGAAAAGTCGTCATTCGGGACAGTGTTGGATCAAGTCGTGCCTGGGAGGATTACGGAGTGCGGTTCGTGGATTTGAATGGGTTTGGCCGGACCCCCGCAGGTCGAGAGTCCGGACAAGAGTCGTCTCTGACGCAGATGGAAGAAATCCTGGAGCAACAGCTGGAATCGGCAGAAGGGCCTTTTGGAGGATCAATACCCTCAAAGGATGCATTGGGAGTTCCAGTGGCAAGCCCACTATGGAAGTTGTTACTACGACAAATACTATCCGCTACCTCTGCGGCCCCCCACGAAACATTTGGCCACCCGGTTGCCAGTGTGATTGCTATTAGCTCCCGCAACATGGCCCCGCTCGAGACCCTCAGGCAATTGTACGGTGAAAGCAGTTCTGGTGACAAGCGGTTACCAGATTGGGTCAATTCGGAGTATCTTCGATACTATGTCTTGGTCCACGATGAAGAACGTGATGATATTACAGAGTCAACAAAACTATATGATCAGATGAAGCGGCATTTTGGTTTACACTGTCACTTGTTGCGGCTTCGCAGTAGTCAGTGTATCGTGACGGATGATGATAGTGTCCAAGTACCTTCGTGCGAATGGCTGTCCCCACAGGAACGCCTGTCAGGTGTCGGAGAAGCAGGCAAGTACTCTTTGTATTCACTCGACAACTAGAAACTAACAATATAGCAGAGACACTGGTGGACCTTGGTACAGATGGTACGCCGTACCTGTTTGACTCTGACGTTACTGCCATCCGGACGTTCATTCGGGAACTCATGGTGCAATCCGTGATACCTTTCATGGAAAACCGTGTTGCTGTCTGGAATGACCAGATCGCTTCTCGCAGACGTGGAATCAGCGGAAGGTTCATGTCGGTCGGTCGACGTTTTATGACTTTCGGTTCTGGCTCACGATCTGGCGCCACTGGTTCCTCGGGTGGAAGTGGCAACTATGATCCAACAAACAACTTTTATGGGCCTGATTCACCGGAAGCTATCTTACGGAAGATGGCTGATTTTGCTTTTATGCTTCGTGATTGGAAGTTGGCCGCCTCAACGTATGAAATGATCCAGTCGGACTTTAAAAACGACAAGGCGTGGAAGTACCATGCGGGAGCTCATGAAATGTGTGCAGTGAGCATGCTCCTCAATCCACTTGCTATGTCCGCCAAAATCAAGCTTGAGAGTGTCGATCAAATGTTTGAGAATGCTTGCTATTCTTATCTTACACGGTGTTCAGACGTACCACATGCACTGCGTGCCTTATCTCTCGGCGTCGAGCTTCTTAAGTCTCGAGGTGGATCTGCCACCGAGAGTGCAGCTAGATGGGCCATGCGGGTCATGGATTTCGGCTTGGTTGGCCCCATCGGCCAAATACTGTTCACAGAGAGGGTCTCAGCATGCTATGCATCGAAGATCTCTATGGGTGGAGCTAAATGGGGTGGGCGTCGTCGAAAAGCCGGCATGTGGAGCATTTTCGCTGCAAATCAATGGCTGAAAGCTGGCAATCCTACTTTGGCTGCGGCTTGTCTGGAAGAAGGAGAGCGTCTCTACGGCGATGTACTCGAGACAGATGGCGTCTTTCCGATCTCAGAGATGCAGACCTTTGTTGACAACCTGCGGCATTCCGTGAAAGTGGAATACCTCGGGGCAAGAGGATTTGACACACGGGATGAGCCGACTTCAGAGGACCCAGTCCTCACCGAGGAGACTAGTGAGAAGCTTGAGAAGATTGACAAGCGGAATCATCGTCGCTCCCTGATTGGGCTGCCTGGGCAGCTGGATGTGGGGAACTTCAACATGACTTCAGGGACTAGGGACCCTGAAAACTCACCAAATGATGACTTTGAACGAGCGTGAGGCATGATTTTAATATCTCATCATAGCATATAAGCATAGAATACATTTATGGGCATTGTCCAATTCATCTCGCTTCCAATTGTCTCCCATATGCCATCGAAATGCAGATAAAGTCACGTGTGTCTTATCGATAAAGCTGTGGAGCGCATGATGTTGACATCAATTGCAGACCGAAACCCACCTTTCAGTCCAAAGCAACCTCCTCTCTCCTCGCAACGCCCCTGTTTGGGCCTGCTAAACCTTCTGACGACTCGATCTAGAAATACAATACCTTCTCATATTGACCCAGAATGAGCGATCTCCTGAACTACATCCTCAAAAATGAGGATGCATTCCGAAGGTACAGATCCCGGGGGGCACCTGCGACCAGCCCGAATAGAAGTACAAACCAAACGGAGGTTCAAACATAGCTGACAATATATTTTTTTCGACCCCAGAAATCGCCTTCCATCTCTCTATTCCGACTTCACAACCCAAAAGAAGACAAATCCAGACGGCTACGCCGTGAACATCGCCGCATGGGAAGCAGCACTGAACCGTGCCGCGAAGCGCGGATATACCTCATCGCGCGGTGTGCGTGTACGCTCTGGATCAGTGACATCGGATAAGAATGTCTCAATGCAGCGGAAGAAGACGGATCACCTTCTTCTACGTACGGACGAGTCATTGGCGAGAGATCTGGAGCTTCCAGAGTGGGGGAGGCCTGTCGCACTTGGCGCTGTATTTGTATGTGGCGCATATCAATCTCAGTGTCCAGACCGATGTCAGAGGTCGATTTACTGTTACTGATAACGTTTCTCACAGGACGAAGCAATGCGCAAACGCACCATGATTCCCTTGTCGGTGTACAAAACTACTCCGGGTTGCTTGCGCAAGAACCAGTGGCGGTTAATAGATCCCGCAGCCTTGAGTCCGTGGAATGTTATGAGCTGGGGCGTTCGTCAGTTGAAGGGGTTTGTGATTGGAGAGGGAGAATCGGCGCCCAAGATACAGGTGCAAGAGTTGGTGTTGGTGGAGAACATGGAGGTAAGTGCTTATTCGCATGACTTGGATTGGGACGGGCTAAATTTATAACTCAACAGGAAGCGGGTGATTTGGTGATCAAGAAAGCCACTGGCGGCAGGCCGTCCAAATTAGATCTAATCTGGTCCAAAGAAAGCTTTATTGAAGAATACTCGACGATACTGCATGATGCTACAGAACTCTCGGACTCGGACTTTGATGTTCTTTTGCTCTATCTTTCCCGCGACTGCGGGGCCATTGCATATGATGGCAGGGTATGTGGGGTTATATACATTAGATGATCGTCTGCAGATACTGACTGAGATAACTAGACTATCAAGTTCAAGTCAACAGACGAACCAGCTGAGATCACACAGCAGGACACGACTATTGCCTCAATCAAGACGCTTATATCGACGATATCGAAGCAAGTTACCGATATGGAGTCGAAAATTGCGGAGCTAACCCAGTCTGCGAAGACGGCATTGACCAACAAGAATAGGATTTCTGCTCTTTCGGCAGTCCGGTCAAAGAAGCTAGTGGAGCATAATCTTTCTCAGCGGCTCGGTACCCTCGCACAATTGGAAGAGGTATATTTCAAGATCGAGGGCGCTGCGGGTCAGGTTGAGATTGTCCAGGTCATGGAGGCCAGCACTGGTGTTCTCCGTGGGCTAAACGCTCAAATTGGTGGTGCCGAACGGGTCGAGGATGTGGTTGAGTCACTGCGTGAGGAGATGGCCAAGGTGGATGAGGTTGGCAGTATTATTAATGAAGCCGGCCCGGTTATCGATGAAGGCGAGATCGACGATGAACTGGAAGCCATGGAGAAGAGCGACCAGGAGGCAAAGGAAGAACGAGAAGCAGAGGAAACTCGGCAAAGGCTCGCAGAGCTGGACAGCATCAAGCAAGCTTCGGACGAAGCAGCCCGCCGCGCACAAAAGACGAAAAATGTGGACTCTGAGCTGGCAGAGAGCATTGATAGGCTCTCTAACATGTCAGTTGAAGATTCCCCGTTGCCAGCTAAATAAAGGCAGCATCATGGAAACAAGCAACATTCTCTATGGGTTTCCTTCCTCACGTCACTTTTTAGTCTGCTTGTAACACCTCATCGATCACCCAGATCCTCAGCAACCTTGCCCGGCAATCCATTCGGAGATGTCGATGGTGGTTGGTCTGATCCCGAGGATCCAGGAATCGTGGATCTTACTTGGGCATCAGTCTTCTTTCGAGCGCTAGCAATAAGGCGCTTGAAGTCATCATTATGGTTTGCAGACCACCCGGCTGCATCAAATCCTTTGCTAGTCACGGTGTTTCTATCAGGAACCGTCATCACTGAGCCCCCGCCTTGTGTGTCTTCCCAAACTCTCAACTCGCGGAGAAGTTGCATTCTGGACTTGGGATTTTGGGAGTCACAGTTTGCGTTCCACAGGTTGACCCATTCTGTGTGCCGTCTTTTCATGAGATCCTTGGCCCCCTCTGTTGGAATTCCGAGTTCCTTGAACTTTTTTCGCAGCTGGCTCGGGTTCATGAGGTCGTAATTCAAGGTGGGTAGTCTATCTAATTGTTTCGAGGGTGAATTTTGTTGGCGTTGGAGAACTCTAGAATAGCATTGAATTAGACCCCTACCCTAGATTTTCTGGGTGGCACAACTTACCCAAATGCTGTGTGCTTCTGTCTCTCTGTGGCTTCTCTTGCTTCCTGTTCGGCAAGGCACTTGTCGATATGGTGGCTGACAGCTTCTATCTTCATAGTTCGGTCACAAACAGGGCAGACGGCCATGCCATCATCTGTAGCTAAATTAGATCCAATCAAGACCATGCGAAATGGCAGTATCACCGACCTGGTATATATTCTTCTTCGCCTTCACTGTCCTCAATGACTTCCGGTATAACCTCTGGCTCCTGGGGCACTGCTTTCACGCTTCTTGATCTCGTCCGTAGTCGCGGTGGACTAGCCTCCACCGATGAAATATCCTGCGACTGCTCTATTTGATTCGCCTTGCGCTTCTTAGGCTGTGGTTCTGGGACTTGGTTTTCTTCCTGCTCCTTAAGCGCCTTGAACTTCCTGGCAAGTTCCATCACAGCGGGTCGCGCTGTCTTGAATGTATCCAAAAGTTCCTGCACCGCCCAGTTGCGACGCAGCTTGAGTACTTGATCCCCTTCGCGGCAGATGGGACATTTGTTGTCGGCAGTGAGGCAACGACGAATGCATAGTGAGCAAAAGCTGTGAGAACACGAGGTGATCATCGGAGTATCAAAAAAGTCCTTGCAAACTTGACATCTGAGAGAGGACTCAAGCGGCGCAAGAAGCTGGAGAGGGGTGCCGAGCCAGTCGGTGGAGTCGGTGATTTCTAGAGAATTCTCCATCGAAGCGAACGGACAGCCCTGCAGCTGTATGCTAGTTCTTTCGGGTCCGGAGCAACCAAGAGTTGCTTAGTGTATGGAGGGCCGAGCAAGAGGAAGAGCCCGAAGCAGCAGAGTGGAGCAGTTTCACGCCAAGACCGCTGACTGATACGCGTAAAGTGGTTTCGCGTCTCAAACATCACCAAGCTGCTTGTCTGCAAGCTTCAATCACCATGGATCCCAAGATTTTCCTGGCAGAAAATGTACTCAATGAGCGACGCACAGTGAGTTTTGTTACGCGACGACTGTTTTTAGTCACCAGCTCATTCTTTTCAGGTGACGTATCGCTCCTTGAGCCGCGCTCTTAAAGTCCATGCCAACCGCGCCAAACAGTATGGCATTCTATCCCCGGGACTTCGAAGGAAGACCCAGAACTTATTATTTGATATAGAGTCCTATACGAATTCCATCGCAATGAAAACGCAAAGAAACCTCAAAGTATTCATGCGACCTACGTCATCTCTGGTGTCCAGAACCCAGAACCTACAACGACCAACGGCCATGCGAACGACGAAGATGAAGTTATGCAGAGCAGTCCCTACATGCCGAGCTCGATGCCGAATCAAGAAACGGTCTCCCACGCCTCACGCATCACATCCATCTTACTAGCCCGCGAGGAGGACCTGGATGGTAGGCCCAGTCGATTCATCACCCTGGCAATTACTAATTCTGGATTTGAACGCAGATGCGAAGGCTACTTTCCAATCGATATCTACAATGCACGTCTACAGTGTTCAATCGACAATCCTTCAGGATCTGAACGTTCTGACCGATGTCGCTCGGGAGGTTGCGACTGCGAGTGTACAAGACGACCCGCTTGAATGTGGAAAGCAATGGGGTATGATACAGAACCGTCATGTCAAGGTATGTTGCACTCTATCCCACTAGTCTGCGGCTTGTGGCTAACAGTCATTATAGCGAAGGACCGGGGCTCGTCCACCCCCCGCTGCACCAGCATCCAAGGCCAGTGCGCCGGCGCCGAAGGTCAAACTTGAATCAACCGTCCCTGCCAAGCGACCCCTACAAAGTGAAGCTTCCACCAAAGAAGAAGACAAGACTGAAGATTCCAAGCCTCAGCTTTCCTCTGCCAGCAATTCTCAATCATCTGCCAAGCCTACGGTTTTGGTACCTAAGCGTGAGAAGAGTAATCTCTTTAGCTCCTTTGCGAAGGCCAAGCCGAAGAAAGCCGCAGCACCCGTTGAGCCAGTATGTTTATCAATCTGTTTTTATTGTTGACAAGTACTAACTCGAATTCTTTTCAGATGGCTAGTGAGACACCAGATGGTGAGTCAACCGATTTCTTCCTGCGGCTTGGTCATAATAGCTCACAATGTACAGTTGTTCTTGACGATGCTTCGGAAGACGAGCAAGAAGAACTATTCCCCGATACTGGCGATAAAGCCGAAAAATCGGCTGCCGCAATCCGCGAGAGCAAAAAAGAGCGCGAGGAAAAGCTCAAACAGATGATGGAAACCGATGATGCCGACGGTTCGTTCACAACTCATGAAGGCACAGCCACCACGCGATCTACTAACACCTTCATAGATGAAGAAATGCCGGATGCTGATGATGAACCAGAACCGGAACGAGAGCAGACCCCTGTAGAGCAGCCGCCGCCGCCCAAGCCCACGCAGCTTAAAGAAGAGGTCACCGTGCAAGGGGGGCGCCGGCGAGGCAAGCGGCAAGTCATGAAGAAGCGCACGCTGAAAGATGAAGAAGGCTATCTAGGTAAGTTGTTTTTCTTGTGTGAGGTCTGATCTTGCTGGTCTAATTCAAAGACAGTGACTCGGGAAGAAGCGACATGGGAGTCATTCTCCGAAGACGAGCCGGCGCCGAAGAAGAAACCTGCGGTCAATGTGCCCAAAGCGAAGGGGGCTAAACCAGGACAAGGAAATATCATGTCATTCTTTGGAAAGAAGTGACAATCGATAAGTCCATAGTAGTAATATACATTTCATACAGCAAAAGTTTGTAAACTTGGAAGTAGTGGTAGTAGGACAAAGTAAACAAACGCCGATCACTGTACACTTTCTCCGCATTTATGGTGGAGACAGTGCAACCATGCCCTTGGCCGATGTCACCTCGCTCAGAATTTCCCCGCGACATTTAATCTCATTTGTGTTTTCAGGAGTCGATCTCATGCCATGCGGAGGAATGCAAGCATCCCGGTCTGGTTGGGATCGACATTAAGCCTACAAAAAGCCCATGAGCTCCCCTCATCATTAGCCGGTTCCCAGGCTCGGAGTGTTTGACAAGATAACATTGCCCATCATGCCTATCTCGACCTTTCTTACGGCCGGCCTTCTTGCCCTTAAGGTAAATGCATTGTCTGGACAGGATACCCCTTCGATACTGCGACGCGCGTGTCCCGACTACACTACCTACGCCTCAACACAGCAGTAAGTCACACATCCTGGCCCAAGCACTTGAACGGCACCGAACTGATATTGCCTAGTGGTCCTTACAGTGGTGGTCCCTTAAATCTTCCATACCAGCGTCCTGCGCAGGCATGTCGCACTTTCTCGTCCGACTCTGTTGAGCAGGTCATCGAGGATGTGACCTCGCGTCTAGTGGACAAGGACCTTGCGCAGCTCTTCCGCAATGCCTACCCCAACACGCTTGACACCACAATTCGGTGGCACGTAAATGGTAGCAGCTCAACTGCGACCCGTCGAAATCTTGACAAGCGCGATACCTCCGATTGGAGTGGCCTGCAGACATTCATTGTGACGGGTGACATCAACGCAGAGTGGCTCCGTGATTCTACAAATCAAGTCATGAACTATCAAAAGCTAGCGTCGCAGGATAAGGGTCTTCATGACCTAATACTTGGGGCAATCCGCACACAGGCTGAATTCGTCATCCGATCTCCTTTTTGCAACGCATACCAGGCACCATCTGTCAGCGGCATCCAGCCTGAGAACAATACCCAGGTCGACACCGTGCACCCTGCTTACGAAAAGTCTTTTGTATACGAGTGCAAGTATGAGCTTGATTCCTTGGCTCACTTCCTCAAAATGGGTAGAGAGTTCCATGAGAACACCGGCTCGACCGAGTTCCTGACGGATCGTTGGTTCAAGGCGCTGCAGACTGTCCTTAGTGTGATTGACGCAGAGTCAAAACCTACGTTCGACTCCAACAACCAATTTGTTCAGAATCAGTATACCTTCCAGCGATTGACTACTCTTGGAACGGAGACTTTGACGTTGTCGGGCGTCGGTAACCCGCTCAATAGTGGAACTGGTCTCATTCGCAGCGCCTTCCGGCCTAGCGATGACGCTACTATTCTTGGATACTTCATTCCCCCGAACGCCATGATGTCGGTCGAACTGCAGGGTATTGCCAAGGTTCTTCAGGCGGCAGGTGGTCATGACAGCCTAGCCTCAGAACTACAAGACCGTGGCGAGAAGCTCGCGGCGGCTGTTCGTGAGCACGGAATCGTCACCAATGGCAAATATGGTGAGGTATACGCCTTCGAGGTTGATGGCTACGGATCGCGGACTATCATGGATGATGCGAATGTCCCATCTCTTCTATCCTTGCCTTACCTAGGCTTCCTCAATCAGACCGATGAAGTCTACCAAAACACTCGCAAGATGATTACTGATAAACTCGGCAACCCGTACTACCTGGAGGGTCCTGCTTTCCACGGCATCGGCGGTCCCCATAGTAAGTTTCTTTCGCATGGATGCCATCCTCGTGTTGATACAAGAACTCACATTGCTCATAGTTGGTCTTACGAACGCCTGGCCCATGTCACTGCTCATACAGGCCCAGACCTCAGATAACGAGACTGAGATCATGGAGTGCATTAATCTCGTTCGAGATTCGAGCTTGCTTGGTCTCATTCACGAGTCTATAAACGTTACTAATATTAAGGACTATACTCGGCCATGGTTCTCATGGGCTAACTCTGTGTTTGGTCAGACCATTCTTAAGGTCGCTGCTGAGAGGCCTCATTTGATCTTCGGTGAGGGTGCCGAGCCTTATACCGTTGCTTAGGCTCGGAACTTGATGAGTCTTGTATATTGTGGTGCAAAGAAATAAGATTCGACTATTAGTTCAATCACCAGGTGTCATCATTGAGAGTGCTTGCAAAGCAAATTAAAATAAGAGGCATGCATTCTAAAAGTTCGCACAGTTTCAAGCGCGTAGAACAAGAGACGAGTAGCTAGATGCTGTAAAGTCACAATTCTGTGAGATGCGAAAAGGGGACTTTATACAGAACCCCGGAGTGTTCACCGCCCTGGCAAAACGGGAGAATTGGGGGAAACAGAAGCTCTGGGAAATTTTGGCGGTCGAAGATCAGCGAAACCCCTCCGACTTCCACGACCTCTCCTTTTCTCTTGCTTTTACATTCCCTTCGAGTTACGGTTTCGATCTATCTCGATTTTTCATCATGGCCTTTAACGGCCAAACACCCACCATTGTGGTGCTGAAAGAGGGTTCGTGATCATTTACCCCCCGTCGGAGGTCCCGTTGTAGTGGGATGCATCGATGCTAACCATTCGTCTCTTTTCAACAGGCACCGATGCTTCTCAGGGCAAGGGTCAGGTTATCTCCAACATCAACGCATGTGTTGCCGTGCAAGCGACTGTGAAGAGCACTCTGGGTCCCTACGGTGGTGACCTCCTGCTTGTGGACAGCAATGGCAAGCAGACTATTACAAATGACGGAGCTACCGTGATGAAGGTGCGGATTCGATCAGCTTGCATTCTTCATCCGATGTGTGGATCGCAAAGGAACCGCCCATGCTGATTTCGAATTTTGATATAGCTTCTTGATATTGTGCACCCCGCCGCCCGCATCCTCACGGACATTGCCCGATCCCAAGATGCCGAAGTCGGTGACGGAACTACCTCGGTCGTTGTCCTCGCTGGTGAGATTCTTAAGGAGGTGCGAGACCTCGTTGAGCAGGGTGTCAGCTCGCAGACTATCATTAAGGGTCTGCGGAGGGCTAGCGCTATGGCGGTCAACAAGGTTAAGGAGATTGCGGTGGAGATGATCAACTCTGCTGAGAACGAGGAGAAGAAGATTGAGACCCTCCGACGACTAGCCGGAACAGCCATGAACAGCAAGCTTATCAAGCGGAATCAGGAGTTCTTCACAAAGAGTAAGGCGTGATTCGGAAATGTTGATTTAGGGGGTGGAGATGGCTGACGAGATTCTTTACCTACAGTGGTTGTTGACGCGGTGCTTACCTTGGACCAGGACGACTTGAACGAGAAGTTGATCGGTATTAAGAAGATTACCGGTGGTGGTCTTCAGGAGTCCCTTTTCGTCGATGGTGTCGCTTTCAAGAAGACCTTCGCCTACGCCGGTTTCGAGCAGCAGCCCAAGTCCTTCAAGAACCCCAAGATCCTGTGCCTGAACGTTGAGCTGGAGTTGAAGAGTGAGAAGGATAACGCCGAGGTCCGTGTGGAGCAAGTCTCTGAGTACCAGGCCATCGTCGACGCCGAATGGCAGATCATTTACAACAAGCTTGAGGCCATCTACAACACCGGCGCCAAGGTTGTGCTCAGCAAGCTGCCTATTGGTGATCTTGCTACCCAGTACGTCTTTCGGTGTTCATGTTGGTTGGGTGTTTGGGGGACATATTTACTAACGGACTATGTAGGTACTTCGCCGACCGAGACATCTTCTGTGCCGGTCGTGTCGCATCCGACGATATGAACCGGGTGTGCCAGGCTACCGCTGCCGCCACCCAGTCCACCTGCACTGACATTCAAGAGCGTCACCTCGGTACCTGCGGTGCTTTCGAGGAGCGCCAGATTGGTGGAGAGCGCTTCAACCTTTTCTCGGAGTGCCCTGCAGCCAAGACCTGCACCTTGGTCCTCCGTGGTGGTGCTGAGCAGTTCATTGCAGAGGTCGAGCGCAGTCTGCACGATGCTATCATGATTGTCAAGCGCGCTTTGCGCAACACCACCATTGTTGCAGGTGGTGGTGCCACCGAGATGGAGCTGTCAGGTCATCTGCACGGCTTCGCGGATCGGAACGTCCCACACAAGCAGCAGGCGGTGGTCAAGGCGTTTGCCAAGGCCCTGGAGGTTATTCCCCGCCAGCTTTGCGATAACGCCGGCTTCGATGCCACTGACATTTTGAACCGTCTCCGTGTGGAGCACCGCAAGGGCAACACATGGGCTGGTGTGGACTTTGATAATGAGGGTGTCCGTGACAACATGCTTGCTTTCGTGTGGGAGCCAAGTCTGGTTAAGGTCAATGCCATTCAGGCCGCTGTGGAGGCCGCTTGCCTGATTTTGAGTGTAGACGAGACGATCAGTAAGTGACCTGTCATCCCCTCACCACAAGAGGGGTCATGTTGTACCTGACTAACGAAACTCTGCAGAGAACGAGGAGTCCGCCCAACCTGGAGCCCCGAGAGGTGGCCTTCCTCCTGGTGCCGCACAGCGCGCCCTCCGCGGTCGTGGCCGCGGAATGCCCCGTCGCGGATAAACGAGTTAATGCCACGAGATGATGGTTCATATCAACAAAAAATGATTGGAGAATTTGTATTTTCTAATGAATCAAGCTTAGCCCCGGCATCAAGGGACTTTGCTTTCCGTGACTTGAGGATGTATCACACAAGGAATAGAAGCGTTTGTAGACACTTTCTTCCTACAAAGTACATAAGGCACATAAGATATTCTCTCTACCTACATTTGCTTTGGTGTCATTAATTGCGTGTAGAACCCTGGAAACCATATGATGGATCCAATTGTTTCGGCAGTGACAATCAATCAGCGTGCTTGTTGCCCACGAACATACTGCATAGCGCACATTGATAAAGTTCCCGTCTCAATCTTCACTTATCCTGCTTTCCGTTTATTATCATTGGTGTTTCATTCGTTGCTAAGTCTTGTACCCGAACACAGATGGTTATTGATTTTTGCATCCACTAAGACGGAAGTGGAACCGATACATTTGTATTTCTTTTTAACTAGTTCGATCTGTGTAACGTAACCTTCACAATGAGGGTTCAACCATCGACGAATAAAGGATCAGAGCTGGCTCCAATAGCGGGGTCTCGCTCTAAGTTGCAGGGATAGTACGCGGTCTCGGGGCTGCCGAGCTGGGGCTGAATGTCAGATATACATAAGGTGGGACGGATCAGGTTTTGAAGTTGGATTCTCTTTTCTTTTCCCCCTTTGACAAATAATAGCCCTATTGGAGTAGAAGTTGTAAGTGGCAAGGTTTTGTCGATCGCAGTTCATATGCATCGGCGCCATCATTTTTCTTCGTCAATACACCATTTTTACTTTTACCCCTCCGGTTCCTGCATGATCCTTGACTTAAGAAATCACTGGAATATCTTCTCTTTTCCTTTCTCATCATATCTATGTGAACTAAACCCCGAGAATCGTGGTTTTGATCGAGGCTTGGCAACTCCCGTACTTCCGATCTGTTTTGCTGCGGATCGTGATCGTCCCCACCCAACCTCTCCTTCCGTCTTCTCTGACATCTCCGCGCATTTCCCGCATTTCCCCATCTTTCACAGTCGACCATGTCTTACTATCCGCCTTATGGCGGTGCCCCTGGATACCCTCCACCCCAGCAATATCCCCCGCAGCAAGGCTATCCGTATGCTTTGTCTCCTGTCTCGGTCACGCGTGTTGGGCGCTAAAGCTGATTTTACTATTACAGTCCGATGAATAACCAACACCACCACCAACAACAACAGTCTTACGGCGGATACCCTGGCCAGTCTTACCACCAACAGGCCCCACCATCTCAGAACCCATACGGATACAGTCACTCACCCCAGCCGCCTCAGCACCAGTACGGTTCGCCTGCCCCGCAAACTGGATACAATGTACGTCACCAACCAGGACAAACTCCGCTTGGAGCATGGATATTGATATATTTTGCATAACAGGGAGCTCCTGGATATCAACATCAACCGCAGGCCCCCACTGGTCAAGCTGTGTACCAGGGTCAGCCCCGCCCAGTCGGTTCGCATACCCCATTGCTCATTCTGCCGCATGCTAAACACACCTTTCTCCGAACAGTAGAGCTAACATGATCCTATAAATATATAGGAAACTCATACGGTCATTCCGGCGGAGCTCCTGCCGCTCCACCCACTGGCGCGGTCTCGTTCGGAAATGGCGCTCCACAAGGTTACAGCTTCCAGTACTCGCGCTGCACTGGTAAGAGGAAGGCATTACTGATCGGAATCAATTATTTCGGTCAAAAAGGTCAGTTGCGGGGATGTATCAACGATGTGAAGAACATGTCAGCCTACCTGAACCAGAACTTCGGATATGCCCGCGAAGACATGGTCATCTTGACCGATGACCAGCAGAACCCGATGAGCCAGCCTACAAAGGCTAACATTCTTCGTGCGATGCACTGGCTGGTGAAGGATGCGCAGCCGAACGATTCGCTCTTCTTCCATTACTCTGGTAAGTCCCGGCTCAAGTCCATGAAACGGGTAGATGGGGAGACTAATTCCTTCGATCTAGGCCACGGCGGTCAAACACCCGATCTTGATGGTGACGAGGAAGACGGGAATGATGAGGTGGTCTATCCTGTCGATTTCCGAGTTGCTGGACACATCGTCGATGATGAGATGCACCGGATCATGGTGCAGTCGCTGCAACCTGGTGTGCGTCTCACAGCTATCTTCGATTCCTGTCACTCCGGATCCGCGCTGGACCTCCCATACATCTACTCCACTTCCGGTATTCTCAAGGAGCCCAACCTGGCCAAGGAGGCTGGTCAGGGCTTGCTGGGTGTTGTGTCTGCATATGCACGTGGTGATATGGGCAGCATGATGTCCACAGCTATGGGCTTCATCAAGAAGGCCACTAAGGGTGACGAGGTGTATGAGCGCAATAAGCAAACCAAGACTAGCCCTGCGGATGTTATCATGTGGTCTGGCAGCAAGGATGACCAGACCAGTCAAGATGCTCAAATCGCCGGACAGGCTACCGGTGCCATGTCATGGGCTTTCATTGCTGCGCTCCGGAAGAATCCTCAGCAAAGCTATGTGCAGCTCCTAAACAGCATTCGTGATGAGTTGGCTGATAAGTATACCCAAAAGCCACAGTTGAGTTGCAGTCACCCCTTAGGTAAGGCTTACCCTGTCAACATTTTCGAACCAATATAAATTCTTTGGCTAATTATTTTGCAGACACGAATCTTCTCTATGTGATGTAGATCATCAAGCATAATCAAGTTGTGATGGCCCTGAATTCTGCACTTTTGCTTTCTAGTTTTTACGATTCGCCCTGTATCTAATTTCATCCCCTGGTGTCTGTTGATCACTTGCTATGGATAACCCGGTCTCCCCGAATTGTGATTTATCCTTCTGACCTGTTCTTATTTTCAAAATGGGATATGAAATTAAACGATGGAGTGACGAGTCCCTAACCTCACAGTAGTCTAACACCTCGGAAACCTTCCCCACCGATCACCAGTCCAGCTCAAATATGCCTTTTCCCACTAAAAACCCCCGATCCAAAATTTGAATGCAGTCTCTCCAGCTCGATTGTTCATGTCTACATCATACAGCCAATTCTGGGACAATGCCATCCGGTGATCACTGTGTCTTTGTCTCGAGTTAGGTACCAGTATGTTGCTGCTGCGTTCGAGAACCATCCTGCTAGTGCACTGGCGTCTTTGCAGATGTTCCGGCTTGTGACTGCGGGTGTAATGGCTATTCTGTCGGATATTATGTATTAGAATCTTGGGATTAATTGGACTATGCCGCTGCTTGGTGGTCTGGCTTTTGTTTTATGCCCACCTGGGCACACCGTACATTACGTATAAACATGGGCCGCGTAATTGGCGGTCGCGCCGATATACGTCCAGTACTGTCGTCAGGGGTGATTCCTGAGGTGCCAATCTGTGCTGAGATGATTTGTTATATATATATGGCAGACCTTGACACGTCCACAAAATATGCCCCCGGGCCCCGGGGACAAATGAACACTAACCTTCCAAATTATGCTTGGAATCTTCCTAGGTTCTTGAACTACTCATTTACTAACATTTGGTATTGTGCATTCATTTACTATAATGATGACCCCCTTCGCTGCTTGGTTAAATTACTGATATCTACTGAGAAGGTACCGAGCTCGCAACCCTCGTGCGCCACCACGCCTTCTTATTCTATATCAAGTTCATGTATACAACGTGACTCCACCTTTTTGGGCAGAGCTTACGTCTTTCACCCAAGTGAATATATATGAAAATAGTATTGTTCACCATCCCTACTTCAAGGGTATACGTTCACGTGACGACAGGCAATCTGTCTTGCGGCTTCCTGTTAGGCAAATCGTCTTTCGCGTCACATCGCGTCGATAAAAGGTTGGGTCTATCAGGTGATAGATCGGTTAATGAGACTTCTTTTTCCTCCCAAGAGACCTTTCCATATTTCTCATGCTTTTGAAATTTCCCACAGACTTCAGTAAGTCTTCCTCTTTCTCTCGCCTTCATTCCACGCACCAGTACTCTGTCCACGCACTATCACCAACTCTTATCTCACTCTACCTTCACAGTCCGTCACTGACTGAGCAAAACAGTGACACACGATAAATAATTATTATGCATTACGTGGCACAATATTTATTATATGCTCAGACCGACTTTTCGCGGGGTCCGCACTGGAATCATGAGTCCCCATTCTTACCAGTAGACTGGGAAACAACTCAGGAACGGGGTGCTCCGTCTCTAAAGCACGCAGCTATGAAGCGTGTGCTGCGCGATCAGTCCGCGCTGAAGGTAGAGATGTTCGAGCATGTTCCTTGGCTGATTGCGGCGTACCTGTGGGACTGTTTGGGGAAGTGGTACGTTGCGACTGGTTCATTTGATGCCTATTTTATCAGATTTAATTCTCAAAACTAATTCCATCATAGCATGAAACGTACTCTCCACATGTGGAAAGTCATGACAACTGTGTACCCGGAATTTAGAAAAGAATATCCTTGCTACCACATGGAGACTGTGACCTGCAAGCAGCCGCTGCGGAAAAACTATTTCGAAATAATGAACAGCGAGGATTGTGTCTGGCGTGGAGTCCTATCATTCCCCTCCAATCTTGCTGAAGTCGCCGATTTTGTCGCAATTGCCAACGTGAAGAACTTGGTTGCCCTCCAAATCAACTCGACATTCGATGTTGAGAACCCTGCCTGGACTGGTGACAGGGTAATGACCAACGCTGATGGAATCCAAGATGGAGTCATCCGGGGCTGGCTTGAGATGGCAGAAAGCCAGGGGTCATTTCGGCATTTGCGGTTTCTGAGAATGGAGGGACAGAACAAACTGACTCCTCATGTGTTGCCGTTGTTGAAAAAGCTTCCACAACTGCAACATATTGTTATAAGCAAGTGCGATATGTTTACGAAGAAGTTCAAGGTCATTCACAAAGTTAAGGGGCAGGATGTGATCGAAGTCGATGGATGGATTGTACGTCGCCAAGACTGGATCGTCCAAAAAGAAGGACTTGAGAAAGCAAAGCAGGCGGAGGCCATCCAAGAGATGTATGATGATGGTCGTTCTGTGGATTCTCAGCAATTCACGGGCATGGAACCGCTCACACCGTACTCATTAAGTCTGGACACCCCAGTAATGAAACTAGACATCTCGCGAAGGTATGGGTTGTCGTTTGTGGAAAACCCGACGCAGCTTTTTGTCCTCGTTAGGGCTACTTGTGAGCCACAAGCTGAGAAACGACGTCCCCCAGAGATGACAGAACGACCTGGATCAAAAAAGCGGGTTATGAAAGACCGAGGGCAGGACTTGGCGGGAATACTGGGTCAATTTATGTAGATGATTTAAAATCGTCAATAGCGGGTAATAGCATCAGCTTTTTGCCCACTGAGTGCCACGTAAAACTCAGGATCTGCGGCTTCCTGATGTCAAAGGAGCTGAACGGAGGGCATTGCACTGTTGCACGATTTTGCCCAGCCTGGAAAAGGCATTCCAAGGTAAATACAAACTATTTTTGGTCGAGCCGTGAGCGCCCTATCAATCCCTGCTCGTGCTAATTGGCTTTTTCTTTTCACGTTTCATTTTTGCCTTTCCCCAACAAGAACCTTTTCGATTATGCAAAACTTGCTTGGATACTTCCATTTACTCACTCCATAAGCTACCTCATTGGGAGGTGGGTCATCTCTTTCCCAATTATCTGTTCCTCCTGGCCTAACTGGGAAGTTACCCCGATGGCTCACCAAAGAAGATAATCTGATCATTGTGAAAGTACTATATGAGCAAGCTTCTAAAAGGCCATTTATAATTACAAGCCTTGATTCAAATAGAAAGGTGGTGGCAATTAGCTATCATAAATTCAATGGACACAAGATCAACAGGGAAGGAACTGCGGATTCTGTATTCGTAATTTCTCTACTTGTTGCCTGGAATGAAGCGAATACACATACCCAAAGTAAGTATATAGCTTTAATGCACATATCGGGTTAGTAGACAATGATACCGGTGACTTACTTCTGGCTATGATCAGAAAAGTGGTCTGACCGGGTATGAAGAATCCGTTTCATTGAAAGCTAGGCTCAATGTATGTATAGCAACGCAAACATTGACTTCCAGGGAACTGAACCTTATTTTATGTGGAATCTTGGCAAAATTAAACTCTTCACACTGTGTATTGGGAGAGAATGATACCCAATATATTAGTCGGGCCCAGAATGTGTATCCCTCTAACCGTGTGCGTTTCCAAGCTGGGAATAATGGCGAGCCTAGCAGTCTCTGCGTATATTGTAGATGCCCAGAAAACCGAACTATATACAGAGGCAGTGCATTTCTGAGATAATCTATGATATTACTTGATAGATTTTGATGGGGCATTAAGTATAAAATAAGACTTGTACGGGTCCGGGGCTAGAACTGTGATCCATGGAAACACAAGATATGAGGTATTTTTCTATGTGGCACAATTTGTGGCTCGGAATTGTCCACAGGGTATGTCCAACCTATTGGCTGTACTTATTTTGACGATCTTTGTGAGATAGAACCAGATGCCAGGATCGGTACCCTTGACAAGGTTCGAAGACCATGATCTGTTGCCCCTCAATGAACACTACTGTACCTGGCTGGGCAGCAGGGGCCCACAAATCCACGACCAAGTCAAAATAGATCCGCTATAACTATTTCTGGATCACATTCTTCGCGGCTGAATGTACTCCAGGGCTTCTATACGTACGTGGTCAATTGGTGGCTTATACAGGAGTCCAATTTTGATGTTGCCTAATTCCACAATGTCGTAGCCAAAAATATCCTGCTTTGAATATATAATGTCTATATACGAGGTTTTACTAATTATATCACAAACGCGAATTGATGGCAAAGTTGTAGTTGCCTAGGAGTGTGGCATAGGCTGGACGATCGACAGGGCCGCGTGTGCGCCAAAACCTAAACCAATGTAGAGATTGAATACATATGCCGGGAACCACTTTGTAAGAACCAAGTCCCGGATTAGCTTGTTGATCATTATGATTGCTTCATTAGAGATCCACTTTAACTACAGAGATTCGTAAGCCTGGACCGGCAGACATGGGCGATCCGCCTTCTCTACATCATCCGGGCTCCACTTAGGGCTTCAGGCGCCAAGCTATTTTCCACCCCGGCTTTGAGAAATGTCATCATCTGCATTGGTGACTCGGTACTGTTTACAGTACTGTACTCAAGTTTGGGTGATGTAGATCAGGACAGTTGAAACACTTCGTGGAGAACCTCCTGCAGCTCCATCACATTTCTAAGCCATTTTTGTCTCCATTGATGTGCCTCCTGGTTGCCCCAAGGGTTACTGGCTGACGACAACGGCGACGGCTGGACAAGTCAGCCCACTGTGCAAATGGAAATGAGGTGACGAGGACATCTACAAGAGGCGGTTGGAAAGGTATAAAGAGCGCGGTGAATCCCGCCTAATTGTTCGAATCATCAACACAGAAGCCTTCAAACAAAACAATCAGTCTTTCCACACAAGCTTTCTATAACAATCTCCATATCATCATGAGAATTTCCACTGTTATCGGTACGCTGATGGCCGCCGGCCTGGCTGCTGGTGCTCCTCCAGCTGAGCGTAAGTCAAGACTTCAATCCCTCCTTTTGAGCCAAAGCTAACAATGTGCTTTAGGTCCTACTGAGGTCTCTGAGCAGCTACCGCCGCCCACTGGAACTGGAGTTCCTCCTCCCCCCCTCCTCAGAAGCAGGAGAATGACAACAAAAAGCGTGAAGATGCCCCCCCTCCTCAGTCCAGCGACGTCCCGCCTCCTCCTCAGAGCACCGGTGTCCCTCCCCCACCGCAAAAGACAGATATGCCTCCCCCTAAGGATGGACAGAACGACAACAGCAAGCGAGGAGATGCTCCTCCTCTGAGCACCGACGTCCCTCCTCCTCCTCCACAGAGCACCGGTGTATCTCCTCCTCCGCAGAAGACAGACGTGCCTACCCCTAAGGATGGACAGAATGACAACAACAAGCGCGAAGATGCTCTTCCTGCTCAGTCCAGAGATGTGCCCCCTCCTCCTCAGAGCACTGACATCCCTCCCCCGCCCCAGAAGACCGATGTTCCTCCCCCTAAGGATGGCCAGAGCGACAATAGCAAGCGCGGAGATGCCCCTCCCCCTGCTCAATCCAGCGACGTCCCCCCTCCTCCCCAGAGCACCGAAATTCCCCCTCCTCCCCAGAACACCGAAGCCCCCAAGAAGGCGGCTCAATTTCAGGCCTAGATCTTTGGCCGATTTCTGGGACTGTCTAGAAGCTGAACTGTCACAATGAACTTGCGGGTCAAGGTGTCCTGAACCATCAGGGCCAGTATCATTAGAGACAGTGGACATATTCTGGTCTACAATATATGACTTTTCTTGTGCTCTAACTCCACCATTGATGGTAGAATCGAATTAGGAACTTAGATAAATACAAGCCATTCGTTAAATGGATTGTGAACAAGACTCTTATGCTCACAGTAGAAACAATCTTCGATTCAGCTGTAGGTATAGATGGACTTTCTTAGAATCGACCTCAATTGAGCCAGGAGCACATCGTTTGAATACTGCAAATGCTGTTTCCAGCATTAAAGAATATACGTATCCTTTAGCTTGACTGAAGTCAACCTGCAAGATAACGCTTGCTCCGGGCCAGAATATAGGTAAGAAAGGTTGCTGGCTCAGTGGGTAATTGTGCATCACTCCTTGATCACCTTCACATTCCAAGCTATCCAGAGGCACCTGAGTATATACTCCATAATATTACTACTTCTAATTTCGAGTTCTGCGCCTTGCTTGATACCGTTAATCTGGATATAATCAAAAATTCCCTTTTGCCCTACTTTCATAATTAGCGAGGTGAGCAGGCTTAGAAGACAAAAGCCACTTACTGCAGAATTAACATCGGCTGATATTAATAGACTAATGACATAATATTATTTCCTCTTTTTAGAATCCGATGATCTTCCTGTAAGCGCTGGTGGACATTGGTAGAGATTGCTGCGTAGGGCCAACGATCCTAGATCCACATTCACCCCATTCTGAATTATAACAATGGCTTTAAGCCTTGACCTTGAATGAGCATAATAAATTGGATAGAAAGGGAAATGGGTCAGGATGGACAATCTAAGTGCCATACAAACTCCAGCTATTCTAATGGCTAATACATAGTATATAAATAAACAACGCTGAACGATCTGACCATTCCATTCTCTCACGGTGCTATCACTTCTGACATTCTAAAGTATTTTAGAAATATCAGATCAATTGCATTTCCCTGTGCAGAAATTCAATACTCCAACTGAAGGAAAATGGAAGCATTCGTGTTGCGTGGATATACTCCCCACAATATTATGACATAATCATGTGATGTCAGAAAGTCGCGCCCCGTGATTGGCTTACGCACGTCGACCCCGCGCCATCACCGCTTCTTACCTCTCCAACTTCACCTACATTGTTTGGCCTTAAATTGTCATGGCTGACCAGCAGATTCACCGGGAAGGTTCTGATACCTCCCTCAATGCTTCATTCGATTCCAACAATGGCTCCAACATTGTTTCCCCTCGATCCAGCACCGACTCCCGCACCTCAAACCGCAATGCCCTCCGGGTGACGCACATGCCTCCTGCAAATCACCAACACCGGCAGAGCTTGAGTGAGACCCTGCGGGGTCCCCCAGGCTCTCCTCGTACTCGTCGCCAGCCCTCCTTAAACCAGTCTGCCCTTCAGAGCCTTATCGACAATCCCCCGCCACCAAGGAATGCCGACCCAGCCTTTGTTGATCGCGACTGGCGAGAGATCTCCATCGAGGAGCTTATCAGCCCAGGTGATCTGCGATTTGTTGAGATGGACACGGGAATTGAAGAGGCAACCAATGTGAGGGAGAAAAATGCCTGTCCTTACTATTAGAAAATTATTTGAGCTGACATCTCTTTTCCAGCTGTTGATTGACTCAGGCGCCGCGGTGTTATTGATTCGGGAAACTCCAGAGGACAAATCTGCCGTCTCCACTTTTGACTATTCGGACCTGAACACATACCTGCTCCTGGCTGCCGGATTGTCGTTCCCACCAGAGGAACACCGCGCATCGTATGATGAGATTGCCAAGAAAGCTCGAGAAGGCCAGAAGATCCCGATAAGGGACGTGAAGGGCCTAGGTGAGGAGAAAGAGCCACTAGTGACACTGCCAGCCTCAGCAAATGTGTTGGCAGCTGTCGAGACATTTGGAGGTGGTGTTCACCGCGTGGTAATTACTAAAGACTTCAACGACGACGAGGTGGTTGGCATTTTCAGCCAATTTAGACTCGTGAAATTCCTCTGGGAGAACGGACGCAGCTTCCCCGTAATTGAGCAGCTTTATCCCCAGGCTCTTCGTGAACTGCGACTTGGCTCGCAGAACGTGATTTCCATAAAGTACGTCTTTTGACCAACGAGTCACTATTCTGTACTAACGATTGATGTCATTAGTGGCGACAAGCCTCTCAGTGAAGCTCTTCAAGTTATGAATAATGAGGGTGTCACCTCGCTTGTCGTGGTAGATAATCATTACAATGTCATCGGCAATATCTCTACAACGGATGTTAAGGTACGCATCATCTGTGGTCTGGAATTGTATATCGCTAACGGGTCTAGCTCTTAACACGTTCTTCTTCGCTGCCACTCCTTCATAACACTTGCATTCATTTTATCTCCGTCATCCTGTCTACTCGTGGATTGATTGAAGGCAAAGACTCATTCCCTGTATTCCATGTGAACCCAAGTTCGACTCTCGCCCATACAGTTGCAAAGATTGTTGCGACTCGATCACATCGGTAAGATATTTGCGCCAGCCAGAAATAAATTGAACACAATCTAACTTGTGACAGGCTTTGGGTGACCGATCCAGCATCCCCATCGTCATCAGGGCCTCCCACACCTTCTCATTCCGCAGTTCATATGCCTCTTCCAACACCCCCATTGGGAGCTGGCCCAGCTGCTTTACCGGTCATATCCCCTCCAGCTTCACCCCTTCCTCAATCGGCAGTAGCCCCGCCACCTAATGCGCCTGCTCCCCACCTCCCAACATCACAGCCCCCATTTTCTCACTCCCCTACAGCCACTCCACCTCTGGCTCCTTCAATTCCAGCCTCTGCAATGCCAGGTGCGCGACTGTCTGGGCGATTGGTTGGTGTGGTGAGTCTCACTGATATCTTAAATCTACACGCTCGCGCCAGTGGCCTCAGCCCTGCCGACCCAGATGACTCCCGACGCCGACGACGGAGCAGCTCAACGTCAAGCATGAACGTTCGTCCGAGCTCCGAGATTGGCCGTGAGCTTTTCAGCCGCGGTGGACTCTAGCTACACCAGATGGCATGCACTGGGATTGTCATTTCCTTTGACAATTGAGCCATTGCAGCCCTTGCAATCCCGGTTTATTCCCGCACATTAGGACACCCTCTTTTCGCATCTTTTTACACAATCATCACCCGGATGTAAAGCCGCTCGAATTGCCGGTGCAAGTACCGTGCCTCTCTTGGTCTATATTTATCGGTGTTATCTGTGTGAATGGGTGGCAATCTGTATTGGGTGACTACTTTCACGGAGATCAGCCCTGAATCAGCACCTCCAATTTTATTCTTTCACATGCGTCTACTGTATGACATATGTCCTTGGATGCTACAATTATCTCATTATCACGAACCGAAAGCATAAACATAACAATGAAACACGATTTTTCCATGACCTGGATCTAAAAGTAAGCCGAGCCATCATTTCCCGCCCAATAAGGCGAATGGCCCTGGCCAGCCAACGGATTATGCGGGGCGCTTAGCGATTAGATTCCACGATACGCTCCAACGGCGACGATTACTTGTCGATCTGAATCGGCCGAGCATACTCTGCCGACATGACTGGTCGAGATACACAACTCCTGACTCGCGTCTGGGTTCGGATATTAATCCACGGGGCTAGATCCACAAACGAGATAACGTGCAAGTATCAAGCTGTGACGTTGGTGCGCGGAGACTATACCAAAACAAGAACGACCACCAAAAGATCGTGGGGCATGCAAATCATCAATCGCATTGCTAGGTGATAAGTCCGTGTCAGCAACGCCAAACCTAAACCTGTTTCACGCAATCTAGGCCCATTTGACACAGAACACAGAACTGGCTGGATATGCGATAGGCAAGGGTTCAATACCCCCTATCTCTACTATCCACTTCGACATAAATTACACACGAACCGTTTCCTAGGTAGTTATCATCCACAAGACTCTAAACTTGGGAAACTCAAACAAATCACATCACATCACAATATCCTTTGTTAGCCGATTGGCCTGGCGGCCGGCAACCAGTCCAATCACAACCAAGCGGCCAGTACCGACTATCGGTTCATGGTTTGCCTCGAGATCCTGACTCGCAGCTGTCGATCCCTCGCCCCTGCATATGTAGTCTCGGGGAAGTCGGTCACCTGCCACAAGGCCCGTATGAGGCTGGATAGACTTCTGCAGCGGGTCTCGGCTATGAATTGATTGAACGAGGTTGGTCTGAGCTTATTTCTCCTTCGCAAGTTCCCACTTTCCTGTTTGGCTGGAGCGTGTCACCGGATGCAATGCCGGGTTTGGAACTGGTTCTGCTGGGCTGACGGTGGCGGCGTGCCTGGTTGGACTTTGGTAGCTGAAGATACCAAAAGACACTGGAACATGTGCCGTATGTTGCCTTTCGGGGAGGTGAGGGGTATGATTTCAAATTCAAATTCACACTGAGTAGATTAGCCGATTCTATACGTGGTGAAACTTGGTACAATTCTATCAATCTCGTTTATTTCTTTGGATTTTTACCTTGAAGGTTATACGCCAAATTGAACAATAGTATTTGAGACCTAGATCTAGTAGACCGGGTACGTACCTACTGTAACTCTTCAGCCGGTGTATAAGAACAGAACCTGCCTGCCTACTTGGGCATGGGGATCGCAGCAATGGATACATGAACCACAAACCACAGTACGAAAGACAGATCAAACCTGGAGAATACCAACTCCCCGACACTCAAATGATTTTCAATCCTTGGCACCATCGTAGGTGGATTTCCAGTCCAGCCCGGTCCTTCCGGTAAGTTGCCACCGGGCAAAGTGGGTCGACCTAGCGAGTTCCAATGGCAGCGAGAATTAGTATGTAACTTTAAATCCCCTGTCCAGGCCTACGCTAATTGGATGATCGTCCTACTCCTTTCGAGGGAAATGAAATTGATATGCTGTGGGCTCTGATTATCCCGGCACGCTAGCCTAAGCCTTGTGCTTGTGCAACGGGTATGTCGGTATTTCGATATACTTTGGCGCTACTTAGTAGCGTGGTGTCTGTGCGATAGCAGTACGTAGGTGCCTCTTAGAGACTTTACTAGGGCGAAACTTATCCAAGAAGTAACTTGGAAGTAATCTGGACTCTGGACCTATCTATCGAAAACGAGGCGATAAGACCTCCTCACTGACCCCAGGAATGAATCCGACTACCTCGGGGATTTTTTTTCCGTATATAGACTTTGCCTACAATAACCTCCTACGCATAGGCCTTGTCCACGAGGCCTCAAGGACAAGCCGTTAACCAGTCCTAAAGAAACAAGCTCGCGGATACCTGCATTCAATCCGAATAACGGGTCTAGGCTTATCTTTAGCCACCACAAAAACATCTCATGAAATAGAATTTGGATTTGAAATAGAACAAAACTGAAACTCGCAGGAACACCGGACTTCCGACATTTCAAGATTTCTAATCTGCTCCGAAACTAACAAGGCAAGGACCTCGGAAAAGACCCCACTACGCACGACATTTCCAAATAAGTTAGCCCAATCGATCGACCGGATGCGTGCACGGGGGGATCCAATCATAAGTGCCTAGGTCGATCCAGGGATCCGGTTTACGGTGGGGAATAGAGGATATTCCCTACAGGTAAGGGCGAACCATGGAAGCGGTGGACGTTTCCGTGGCCGGATTTCGATGGGCGCTTGTCCTGATGCGGGATGTGGTCTGTGCGGGAGCTGCAACCTTAACCCCGCAATTTACTTTTATTCACAGATTCTTGCCATTATATCTATAGAAATCATTGGGAACAGTAGTTGAAGGAATAAGAAAAGAAAATGGCATGAGAATATACCTCTATATCAATTCCTAGTAAGTAATTAATACAAAAATAAGATTATGTATCTACATTGAAACCCCACCTGTAATGCAGATCCATACAATCAGTCCTGCCATACGCCCGGGATCACCACATCCATCCAGAAATCCGATTGGAAGCTCCAATAAACCCTGGCACCCATGAAAGCCCTGACCTCATTCTTACTGAAATCCCACAAAGAGCCCCATCCACCTCCAAACTAACCTATTGCAAGCTCGAAATGTATTTATAATAGTTTTAGCTCCAAACTCCCAGCTGATCGCTTCAGGACACCCGGCTCCATCCATAGTTATCCACCCAAGTCTAGCTACCTCAATCAAAATCTAGACCTAGATGATATATACACAGTTTAGATTGAAATTGCTTGGCCAGTAGATGGGAATACGAGAACCTCGCGCCAGCCGCCAAGCGCTTATATACCCCGAATAAGAAGGTGAGCGCGATTAACGGCGCACGGATTGAGGCGTTGAATTATGTGTAGCGAGGCCAGACAGGTCAATTGTGTAGAACAAGCTTTTGATTTCTGGAACCAATTCGTTTCGTTTCGTTTCATGGATTTGTGAATGGAAGGGTAGGCCCGAGTACGACCAAAAGTACGTACTTGTTCTGGATCGTATGCGTGATTTTTCAATCAAGTTAACGACCCTACGTAAATATAGAGTATATTTGAAGTTACACAGAAATGATCCACCGGATTCCCAAGGTTCAAATCATCTTACGTGAGAAATAATGCCAGTAGGACGATTTCCACTTTGTGCTTGTGCGACATGAATCGTGGGGTGGAGTATCTAGCTTCAAAGCTGTAGCTGGCACGGCCCGTGGACAGGAGAGAATTGGATCAGCGGATGAAGTGGAGAGATGAATAATTTTTGGTGTGATGTCGCCGGATTAGGAATGGGATCCGCTCGCAATACAACGCCAACTTAAGGTACACGGTGGAGAAGGGTGTTAATCTTGAATAATGAATTGGTTCGTCAATCTACCACGGATTTGTAGAGGCAAGGTTTCTTCAGTGGATTCAATTCGTTCGATACCATTTCTGCTTCTGATTCTGATTCTGAAATACCATTGTACTACCAAGCAAGTCGGAATCCAAATCATTCCCAACTGGAAAAAAAAAAACCTCCAGACTGATTTTGGGCTGAAATCAGATATTAAATGACGAAGATAGTAAATCAGATGGGTGAAGAAGTAAAGAAATAGAATAAGAATGGATAAGGTATTGTACAGAAGCAATGTACAAGCCAACGCGTCATGTACACAAGGGAATAAACATGGGAATCAGTAAGGATAAGAAAGGGTAAGAAGAAAAATAGGAATGGGATGATCAATCAACAGGAGACGGTAGCAAACTCATCCAGGGTGACGAAATCCTCGAACCCGAATGGCTCCCGATCCTGAAGAGACGAGTTCCCATCCAGACCCAACGCAAACTGACTGAATTCGTTGAAATCCGGATCCAACTCTTCATGAGAAACCATAACGCCCTCCTCGTTCTTCACCGGCTGAGCAGAAACAGCCGTAGGCGAAAGTGGGGTGTTAGGTGTTGGGCAGTAGTCAACCGTAGACTGCGTTTCCGCCGTCAGCGACTCGATCTTTGGCGAACTGTTGCTCGACACAGCCATAGGCGTCTGGGACAGGTGCGTTCCCTGCGTAAGGAGGTGCAGATTGTGGAAATGATTACTGGGCTGGGAATGGCCACGGGAGTGCCCACTGGGTCCGGAGATGGAAGCAGTAGGGTGGTGTGGGTGCGAAGCTGGTGGTTGGGGGATTGCGTGGGTAATCGGGAACTCAGGAGCAGAGGCTAGACGATCTCTGAATTGGCGCATATGCATAGTTGAGGCTGTGTCGGTGGGCATTTGTGCTTGCTGCATCATTTGCTGCTGCCACATATGCACGGAGTGGGAATCTGTGGGGGTGTGGTTTGGTGTGGGGACGTGCTGTTGCATTGCCCATGAGGGTGCCATTTGGGGTTGATTCCAGGCTGGCGTGGGTGTCTGGTTGACATAAGCGGGCACGGGACCGGATGAGGCGCTTGTTGTCATCATGTTGGGGTAAGGGCTGCTTTCTGAGCTTTCAAAGGGCATATAGGACTGGGCGCCTTCGAAGCTGGTGGTGGATGGGGACAGCACATATCCATCGGCTGTCATGGCTGGGCTGGTGAGGGAGCCCGAGTCCATGGCGTGGGGGAATGGTGAGCGGAGATTGGTGAGGTCCAGGCTCATCTTACGGGATGAGGATGCCCCATCGACGGATTGCCGGGGCGCAAGACTGGCTCGACGGCTTGCGATAGATGAGGCGGCTGAGCCGGAGCTGTTGGCACGGGCGGCGAAAGCTGCCAAGAGATGACGGTGGAATTGCTCTTCAATCTGCATGTTCTGGGCTTGCAGCATACGGATACGCTTTTCCTGGTAGCGCTCATCGACTTCTTCGTACATGGCTTCTTTCTCGACAATCTCCTTGGTGATATGGAACGCCTTGCCAGTACGTTTCCTGTGGAGCATGGAAGCGCGGTTGGCAGATTCCAAGCGAGCATCAAGACTGCGGTCCTTTCGCCTTGAAGCGGCAATAAATGCACTGCAGGGAATTAGTTTAAATTCCAAAGTATGGGGATATACAAACGTACCGCTCCTGGTTCTCCTCCCGCGAACGGGGGATAGGCGCGATATCCTGATCTAGATCTGACATCGTGTAAGCTGTGAATAATAGGAGGGGCTCGACCACTGGAGGAGCAATAAAGATATAAAACACTTAGAGGGAAGGAAGTAAGTTTAAGTAGTAAGGGAGGGGCAACCTGTCAGGCCCCGAGCGTAGCCTTCTTAGCTTGCAGGAAGTATCCATGGATCCAAGGCGATCGCAGTTTGGACGCCGAGAAAAGTCTCGTCTGGCATGAGCCATGGATCCGATTTCACGTCCAGTCTTACGGCCAGTCCGTTCGATAACGCCACACACGCCAATACGAGTTGGAGGGGACTTTTGGTCTATCGGATACCTTTTCCTATAATCCCCGTTGAGACTGCATTGTAATCTTTCCAGTTTATTTTACTATTATTTTACTGTTATTTTACTATTATTTTACATGGGTTTTCCTTGTAGCGATGGCCTAGAGCCTAGACCGGGTGGAGACTAGCGATTACTCCCCCGCGATGCGACTGTGCACTGCGCAGATCCGCTCCTAAACCGGATTCCCTTGGGTCCTTTCTTCATCAGATTTCTTTTTATCTATCTGATGGAACCTTTTGAAAGTTGAAAATTTTCACTTGGTAGCGTTCCTGCAGCAACCCTGGAGAAAGTTTCCGTTCTATTCTCATGTCTACTGTCGATCCCCGAATATCTCCAAACGGGCCCCAACCGGGATCGACCATTGGCACGATAGAGATCAAAAATGAGCTCACATCGAGATCCGATGAAGTTCCGCTCCGAGGAGGCGCCCCCGAGCCACACCGGTGGACGATAATTAAGGCACCGCCACTCGGGGAATCAGGAAGGAGAACCTTGCATCCCACTCGCAACCCCGTCGGTACCGAGTGTCATCCCATACCCCAAGACTGACCTTCTTCACTGGGAAGACCATGCGAGCCCTTCCCCTCAAAATACCCAAGCTTCATATGCTCGGCATGTGTCAAGTCCCTGGGACTAGACCCATCCCCTTGGTACGGAGCACTTTGTGCATGGTATCTTGAACAAGGACCAGCCTTATGATTGGATCTTGACCTACAGATCATGCCCAGACAGCTCAGCCCCGTAAGCCGCATCTCCTCAAAATCCCCCAAGCGCCCAATCTAGACTACTTAGCGGACTGTACACAAATCTATTCTCCTGCACGCCCTGGCATGGCTGGCAGCGTGTCCTGGGGTTCGCCACTTAAGTCCCCGTCCATGGTCTAGGCGTGCTGTTCCTCCCTTATCGTCCGGCCGAACCTTTTCCCCTTAGAGAGAGCTGGATTGGTGGGGGTTGGGGTTGGGGTTGTCCCGCCACTTGATTACTTAGCTTTTCTTGTCCTCTTCAGCTTCTGTGATTGGAGAGTGGTGCTTTTGGGTGATGGGATCTGTTCGTGGGAAGGTCCTAGCGATTTGGAGTCAATTGCATTGGCCTTGGAGAATGGGATTTTGGGGTAAACGGTTGGCAATAACGTCTTCCATTATGTCTGCTGTGGAAGAGACTTATGCCGTGAAGATCTTTTTCATGGATCAAGTAGAGCTTGCGAATAGTGGAGTTTTCGTAGATCAGCATGGTCGGAGTCCGATTTACCGAGGGCACGTTCGTGGAAACAGCCGACTGGAGGGCTGTTAGACTTACGTGGATCGTCGATAGGGTGATCGGAGATCATATTTTAAATCAAATCAGTTAGACACGAGCTAAGTTCACATTGACTAAATTATAGTACGCTTATACCAAGTGGAGAGATCGTAGATCACTTACGACGATCGATCTAAGCGGAGTACACAATTACACAAGTGCATTAATCCACCACCGTGAGCAAAAGACAGCGATCAAACCATACAACCTCGACTTCTAGAGATAATCAGTAACTCATCATCATACGATACCTGCCAAGAAATAGCATTGAAATTTCATCTTTCATGACGACGATAGCTAGAAATCGGAGAATCGTCGGTGCAAAACCAACTTCACGATACTCACGAACCACAGTCATGAAGAATGAGAGATGATGTCGCTCCTGACCAATCTCTGACAAAATCAATCCAGACCGAGCCCCCACGCCCAAAGTGGTAAACTGGTGCGATCTGCCATTTTAGCCCTGTCAGTTCCGCCATTATTCCGCGCCTAGTGACAACATCTGTCGTTCGGGCTCTCCGAGACCCATGAATCGGCCCGGAAGTTTTGCGTGCGATCGGCAGTACATCATACTTGAATCGGTAAGTCCCTGAACGTTTGTGGCTGTGGCATGAGGCAAACTTCTCCGCGGGAATAGGCTGGTTTGAAATGATCGTCATGAAATTGATTTGCAATTGTGAACTTAATGTACCTGCATGGGTGGGGGGGTTATTTGTGATGAGTTTGGGTTATTAGAAGCTTATCACGCACAGGCTACACATCTATTTGCATTGAAATATTATGAATTTCGTTGAGATAGTGCTTGATTGACTTTCACTGGACTTGTATCTGGAACGATGCACGCAATGGATTCGAAATCTTTATAAACAGCATAGAAGACGCGCTAAGTTTTCAATCGGAGAGAAACACTTCAAGGGATGAAGGCGGGGGGTCGATCCACTCATGCAGGGACTATGTCTTCCCGTCGGAAACCGATTTATGCAGAAATTGTGGTTCCGACTGCCCGAGCCCGGGAAGAACAGGAAGCCTCGCATCAGGCCACAGCCTTGGCATTAAACCGAAAAAAAGGGTTGGAGGTTTAGTAAATGCCCAGAGAGGGGACCATGCCTTGCTCCTCGCGAGCTTCGGCTCCGAGTCTGTAGGAAACCTTAAACCGAATTTTCACCGAGTTGCCTTTACCGGAGTCAACGCCATCCAGGAGCATGTCTTGTTGCACCCCATTCTGCTGCTGAGGCGCAATCTCTCGGCCAGACTGGGGGCGAAGCTGCAGTGTGTAGGACTAGGAAGGTGTTAGTGTTGGGAATATACCGAGGTATGACGGACTTTTGCTTACCTTCTCCACTGCAACCTGGAAGTGAAGCTCTCCAATGGGTTGGCTCGTGGTGTTGGAGAAATTAGCTCGGAGGTAGATCTGGCGCGGCGCATTTGGCACACGACGGGCGTGGAATTCGACCCGGAGCTGGTTGTTGAGAACCTGCACTTGATTTGTCGAGGGCAAGGTGGTACTCTGGGGAAGGGAGGATGCAAAGTTCCATTCGTCATCTTCTGGGGCAGCCTGTCCGGCGGACTGCGAGGGTGGGCTGGGGCCTCCCATCAGGTCAAGCAGAGACGAAGAGGCTGGAGCAGATTGTTTCTGAACATGGGACTGGAAAGCAGCGCTTGCAGGTCGAGGGCTGGCGGAAACCAACGATGCAAAGGGATCAGCCGCAGGCGGAGTCGCGGTCTGTCGAACCTGAGGTGATTGGGTGCGAGCTGGGGTCGAAGCCTGGGACGCAGGCCGAGATGTGTTCATTGATGAAAGAATATCATAATTTGCCTTGAAACCCGGTGCTTGTTGCGGTGCAGCTACAGGCGGAGATGGCCCAGAAGGCATCGAAGGAAAGCCCACTGGGTCAGGTTAGTGTTTTGAGTTTCGAATACAGCACGATAAACTTACTGCCTCCCAGTGAAATGCCACCACCTGGCTGGGGACTCTCATCACCAAGGGAGAGTCCAAGCAAGTCATTCTCCAAAGTATTGCCTTGGGCACTTTGCGAGGCTTGAGCGGCATTGCCATTGGAGCTAGGCTCTGGGTCAAAGTCAATCAATGAGAGCTCATTGTTCGCATTCTTAGACACTCCGGTGGTTGTGCCAAGGGTTCCCTTGGGGATTCTCGAGGCAGCATCTATATCACCCTGCTTAACCAGCTTATACCGCTCAATGGTGCGATGTATACTGTCGTTGATCTCCAACAGCTTGTGAACGGCCTCGGGGTCATCTGATTCCTCTTCACACATCTTCTGAATCTTGGGATGCGCACTTTGCAGCGCATTTGCAAGTTCCTGTATAATCAATCAGCAAACCGAACCGGGTGTATAGAGATTACCGATGACCTACCTCAAAAACATCACCCTCGGGGATTCCCTGTCCATTCTGTAGCATTTCCTCCAGGATTCTGGCCTTCTGTTGTACCTTCGATACCTCCTCTGCAGCCTTTGCCCGATAATCTGTCTTGTGTCGGTTGTCGTATCCTGCCATAACCTTCATCAACCGATTCGCTTCCTGCAGATCGGCAGGTGTGCCTCTCCGAATAAGCTCTTGAAGCTTGGCGGACTGAGCTTCCTTCTCTTCCTCCTCCATTTCTTCGGCCGACCGAAGATTCTAAACAGCGTCAATAGCTTTCCCATATGTTATGATCTCCGGGGTACCTACGTCACTCGGGTTCAACACAGCCGCATCCTCGCGACGAACCTCAGGGAATGCGTAACCTTTGTAGAGTAACAGCCGATGCATATCCCGGATGAAGCCCAAATCCTCCTTGTATCGTGATGTCTGACAGATCGTTTGGCGCCACTCCTCAATCGACTCCAGGATGCGTTGTTGGACCCTCGAGGGTCGCATGGCTGGTCGCTCCGGGAACCTTCGGACCAATTCATTGAGGAATTCTTTTGTGCTGATCTGAAGGTGAAATTTGTATCCGCAGTTCTTCACACACATATCGAGAAGCTAATGGGGTGTGGCGGAGCATCGTCAGTAACCCCGCGCCAGGTTGTCCTCTCCAGTTCTGAACATACCGCCAATGCCAGCAAGGCAACATTCTGGTTCCGAGAGTTGATAAGATGAACAATCTCGATGGCCGATTCGCGAGGACTAGGAAAGATATCAGTATGCGCGATGCATGGGGGCTGTGGTGTCCGACTCACGCATTGCCCTTCTTGGAGTTGACAAGATCGGCCACTTCAAGGTTCAGGGCCAGATTGGGCTCGTAGTTTTGTGGATCGCATGCATTGCCTATAAACCCCAACTCATTAGCAATTATATTCCCTTGTTGTTGCTAGTATCAGTGATGGGGTTCTCACGAATCGCCCGCTGTAGCGGTGTTTGCCCCGGCTCAGCATAGGCACCGAAGCGGTCCCTAGCCGCCATGCGTGCTGAGGCAGCCTCCAGGTTGGCGGTTTGGAGAGCGAAAAGAGGAAAAGGAAAAGGAGAAAGGAAAGGGGGTATAATCGACGAGCTAGGAGTTGGGGGTCGAAGCGGGAAGACGCCGCGATGGTTTGTTGTAGATTGGAGAGCGGACCAGGCGGGCGGAGAAGCACGTGTGGCGCTTATGCTTCCACTGGATTTTTTATTTCTTCCAACATCGCGCTGCACGCAATCGACGTAGAGTTTTGCTGCGCTTCGCTCTACATTCGAAGCTCTTACAGATTTCACCATGGTCCGTCATAAGAAAGACAATTTCTCTCGAGGAGGCAAGAAATCCTCTCACCCCCGCTCGCGACCGGTGCCCCGCGATGATGGAGATGAGGCTGGCGGCGCATCATCGCGCCCTGCGTTTAAGGCTGCTTGCTGGGACATGGGCCACTGCGACCCTAAACGGTGCTCTGGAAAGCGCCTGATGAAGCTGGGACTAATGCGAGAGCTCCATATTGGCCAGCGCTTCCCTGGTGTGATCGTCTCGTATGCAACATCCCACCTTGGCTCAAATTCCCTCACTGATCATTTCATTAGGCCTAATGCGAAGAAGGTTATCTCACCAGCGGACAAAGAGCTTATGGAACAACACGGTGCAGCGGTCGTGGAATGTTCCTGGGTACGAGTCAAGGAAGTGCCTTGGTCGCGGATCGGAGGAAAATGCGAACGACTTTGTATGTGCGCCGCACGGTGGGGAATACACATTTATTAACTTGGTTTTGCGTCTAGTGCCCTATCTCATCGCTGCTAATACAGTTAACTACGGCAAACCATGGCGGTTGAACTGTGTCGAAGCGCTCGCGGCCTGCTTCTGCATCTGCGGACACCAGGAATGGGCGGAACAGATCCTGAAGAATTTCAGATACGGAGAGGCCTTTTTGGAAATCAATTCCGAATTATTCAAGCTCTATGCTGCTTGCAGTACCGAAGAGGACATCAAGAGGACCGAAGAGGAGTGGTTGGCCAAGATTGAAAAAGAGTACGAGGATAGTCGGGTGGAGGGAGAGGATATCTGGACTGTCGGAAACACCAATCGCTTGCCGGCAAACGGAGGCTCGGATGATGATGAAGACGACGATGATGAGAGTGGAGAAGAGGGCAGTGATGCCGAGGAAGAAAGCGAGGAGGAGGAGGATAAGGATCCATTTGCCATCTCTGACGACTCCGAGGATGAAGAACAGATGGCGGAAATTCGGCGCAAGATCCTCGAGTCAAAATCTTTCAAAAATCCGTCAGTGTCGGACAAAGAACTTCCAGAGAAGATCGCGAAGCCCGAGCCTGCGTACGTCGACTCTGATGCCGAATCTGGCTCGGCAGGGAGCGAGGACGGGGACTTTGACAACATTATCAACGCCACTACCGTTACAGACCGTACTGGTATTCAAGAGATCCAGCGCCGCAGAGGACAGGAAACTGTTAGTGCTTCATTCTCTCGGGCTGAGATCTCTGCGCCGAAGCGATGGTGAAGCGAAAGGCGGCGATGAAATAAAATAAACGAGTCTCGGTTCATGACTTGATGAAAGGAAATACATGACATCTTCCCTTGCGGGCATCCCAAAACGAACTTTCAGATATCGGGCAGACATTCCTTATCATGCTCTTTCCCCCGGAGCCCAATATCCACAAGGCACTGTAACATGACCCCAAATTTCGTGATTTTCAACCGTATTAAATGGTGCCTTGATGAAGTCAATACCGTGATCAGCATGATCGGAAGGGGAATTCTCACCAAATATTGTGGCATATGATTCTGACCATCCTCGTCATAACAGGATAGAGATGGTGCAATAAAATATATCCGGGAGCTGAGATTGAAAGTAAACCTTTCATAGCAAAGGGTCTCATGATATTCCTCTGAAGATATTCATGTATCGAAACTCCTCCCGTCTCTATACCTCGATTTTACTGCATGTACTGTACTAGTTGATGGAGCCTCTGTACATGGGAACCTTCGACACCGTGGGCAATCCACAATCGTATGCCTGGGCAATGTATGTGTCAAAGAGTGTGCCGTTGTATCGTATATCAAAGGATTGGCTTCGTTATAGCATGGAAGCACGGGAGGTCCACAGGATGCTTGTCTTCTTCCTCTGCGGCTTCTCGATAAGCGCTGATATGACTGTTGTAGGGATGGAGAATACATGAGTGTATATTTGGCGAAAGATTCAAGATAAAATAAGGATGCGCAACACTTAGGCCCCGGGACGGTTTTGACGAAATGCCGGCATGAACCTTAAGTTTAACCCCACGCGCAGAGTTGAAGGCAAGTGGGACCTTCCATCAAGGTAGGAGAGCAGTATTTATACCAACTCAAAAATCGAAGAAGGGATGCTTTCCACCACTACCGTGCGTCATAACGGCAGGGTCTGTAAGGGTTGCAAGTCTAATATCTAGGTTCGGCTGAAACAACTGCAAGGAGAAACGAACCCCAGGTGGCAGTGTTTCAGGTTGAGGCTGGTATATGCTTGGAAATTGTTAAGCTCTTTCAATCTGACTCTATATTGATATATCTATGAAGAGAAACTGGTAAGGAACTATCTCTATAGTTGATTTGCCGGGCGACAGTAGTATACTCCCCCAAGAGCAGTCGTCGAACGGGCTACGAAATACTTACAATTTGTTGGCATGCTGTGGACATAATTCAGTGAGAATATAGTTTCCCTCCAACAGATCTCTCGAAAGACCTCCAAGTCATTCCCCCAGTTCCGGTCATCTACCATAACTTCTCTTACAAGCTCTCCCGCAGTTTCATTTTCCCAACCACTAAGTGCTACGAGTCAAATCAAAGGCTTCGGGAATTACTAAGTAATTGCAGTATTTTAATTCTTTTGCTAGGTCACACGGTTTGCCAAAATATCAAAACCAAACACTTGAGCCTTTAGCGGTAAAGGCCACACGTGGGGAGGTGGTTACATAAGTCTCTTCACGAACTGGTGGGAGGTTTCCGTTGTCGATCCTTATCGATAAGTGATGGAGCTTAGATAACTTTGATTTAGTTCACCGCTTGGTTCCTCGCTTCACGCCATATAACACGCTCAGGGGTAGTAACCACTTCGTTTGCATCCCGACGTCCATGCCTCACCCGCCTCTGCAACTCGTTAAAGCGGACGTTGAAGTCGACGTTAAAGCCGGTTACTCTCTCATAATCAATCATCACAATCCCACAATAAAAACCATGTAATAATCCACATATCGTGCAACGCTAAATTCTTGGTCCACAACAGTACATTTGGTCATTCATTTCGTAAATAATTGTCGCTCTTGCGAGCACTCCATGAGGTAATAGATGAAATTTGTCCAGCTCTAGTGTAAGCTATATTCACAGTAGCACCGCCCCATCAACAGAATCGCTGTCACTAATACAAAGCAGGCTGCAACAGCATATAGTACTCACCCAGCAAGCCAGCAGTAATGGCCACACCCACCGACCAAAATCCCTTGCTAAACCACCACCAACAACTCTGTGTGCTGCTCAGATCAACCATCAAGATGATCACGCAGAGAGACCCGATGCCGCCTCCGACCGCAACAACGTAGTATACAGCCCCGAACCCGCTAGTCTTTCCACACATAACCAGCACTCCCGCCATAGCGACGAGTAGCGGCCACAGCAGAGTCTTCGTCTGGCCCTGGAACAGCACCGCTAGACTCTTAATACCAACCTGCAGATCCGCCTTCAGATCCTGGTGCGCATACAGCGTGTCGTAGATGATAGTCCACAACACCGACGCCATAAACAGATACACTGTCGTCCATTCCACCTCCAGTTTATTATCATAGGTAAACAGACGCACGTCCATCGCTAGTTCACCCATCACAACACCCCAAGCCAAACACACGCCCAGCACCAGCTGCGGCATGTGCGTGTGTCGCTTCGCAAATGGATAGTACAGGGTGACCAGGATGTTAGGCAGGGCATACAGGTAGCCCGTGGTGAAGCCAGCAGGGATACCTGTCAGGAACCAGGCGGCCATGGCACCCTGCGTAAGAGCGAAAATGAAAGCAGCCCTTTTGGAGATAGCACCGCGCGGAATCGGGCGGCGACTGCTTCGCTCAACTTTGGCATCAAGATCGGCATCGATAAGATCATTCCATATGTGTCCGGCGTTGGAGAAGAAAAAGCTGCCGGCGAACATCAGAATGCTGGCATTCAGAACATCCAACGGGGCCGCTTGGGTACGGACTGCGGCGTGCAAAACGCCGAAAAGGTGGGGGAAATAGATGAGGAATAGGCCAGCTGGTGGGAAGAGGCGGGCTAGCTGGATGTAGGCGTGCCAGGAGTCTGGGATGATACTGAGAGAGGCAGGTTTGTCATTTCCTCCATATCCGTGATTCAGTGACTCGGAAGGAGTCTCGTTGACCGGAGCAACACCCATTGTATAGATTTGAATGACGACTTTTGTCGTAAACCCCGCGGGTAGTATTCGTTGTTCTGTGCGTGTGTCTTGTCCTGCTTGAATCAATTCATTAGCCAACTTCATAAAGAATGAATATTTCTGTAGGATCAGGGCCAGGGGGTTCAGCCTGATCAGGGGGAGGAGGTCTTCTCTCACTTTCACAAGATAGAACAATTTGAAGATAAATTCAGACTAAAAGTGATCAATTGATGACCTGATCCCTCCGCGGCAGGTTGAATCGAGCACTATGACACTGTTGAGACAGGACAAAGCAACTTCGCCAATGAATCGATGCTGCTGATATAAATCATAGAAGAAACCACAATCCGAAAAAGGGACATGATGCCGGATGCGCGGACTACACTAAGGTGGCATTGAGTGGCTTGAGAGAATTTCCGAATCTACACAATATTCGGAAATCTAATTACAATCGTATTAATCTCATACTTCGAACCAATCAAAGTTTTCCAAAGTTCCCGCTTGAGCGTTGTGCTAAGTATAGGACCAATCATAAGCTATGTGGGGGTTATCAGGTCCCGCTTTGTGATAAAACTTTGGCAAGTAAAGAACAACAATCAATCAAGTGTCTTACTATGTCGATCTGTTTGGAGTATATAGACCGATATAGCTATTCTCATCAACAATATTATGTCAACGTATCATATATCTCGAGCTTGTGGAGATAGAGAATCAGGGGTATGCTATACGGGATCTCTTACTATAGAATCCACAATGTGGAGTTCTGAAGGTTGACAAACACATTACTAGTCTGTAATTATCCAGAGTGGGAGATATACTTTTTCAGACAAATTACTCCGGAACTTTTTCCTCTCCTGGATTCTTAAGGCCGTGAAGTACGGCACAACGTGCATACATATGCATGAACTCAGGTGTGTGGCGTATTATGAAACTTGGCCTAGTCATGCACACCGCTGTAAATCGTCTACGGCTCCAATCAGCTAAGGCCGTCCCAGCCGCGGTGCATTAAAGCCGGCTGACTAGCAGGGAGTTTATTTTTTCGCAGCTTTCGCAGGATGTTTAGCTAGGATAACGGACGAAACATACTCTCCGTCTTTAGATTGATGGTTGCGTATACAGGCCATCTTGGTAGACAAGAGAATAATTTGTCCCAATCAACCTGACCGAGGCCGAGGCGACGTGGGAAATGCAAAAATGCTGTGGAGTCAAAATACGCCACATGAAAATATTCTCCATTTCGCGGACATAGCGGACGCGCGCTGAAAGATGGCTTTTTGACCGGCTTATGAGGATCGAGTAACTTTCAAAGGTTTCTTGGATACTCAGGTTGAGTTCCTTTTACTGGAAGAATAGATTCGATTGAATCAAAAGCTGTCTCTCACTTGCGGTTTAAAGGGGGTTGGTATTGCCCAACAGCTTGGTCCGTTTTGGGAGTGATTGTTAGATACGACAACAATGGTGACTAGTTTCATTAGCTCTAAAAAGTCAATACGGGAGGCCATACATTAAGGCACGTTCTTCGGTTTCTCTTGCGTGACCAACAGTGGGTACTCGGGATATGACTTTGCTATAACCTGATTATTCACTTCCACACGCCACTTTATGAGGAAGTGGACATAGGAGGCAGGTCTTCTTTATGTACACTTTCCTCTGACCACCAAACAATTGAAGTGTTTTAACAGCATCCGGTCATGACTAGTCTACCGTCCTGTAACCATTCTCACATCTAGGACGGATGGAACGGTAGGCGGGCCGTGTTGTACACGGACTGCGGAAGTATCCGGCGAAGTCCGTTCCCATGGTTCGAGCTTCTTGAGCCAAGAGACGGAGATAGAATACGGATTTCGAATTATTTCTAGATCTAGTCGTGGTCGTCTGTAGCGTTTAGTGGCAAAATAGCTTCGGTGGAGACCGGTAGTGGATCAATGCAATATATCACGTGGTCTGTGGAAACAGGAAAGTATTTTTGCCTACTGAGGTGGATTCTCTATAGCATGAGGGTAGTTTCCATGGTATGATTGTATTGTTCCGTGAGTGGGGATAAGTAACAGATTCAAGAATCCACAGACGAGTGGGTTTGAACTTCGGAAAAGAGGGGGTGCTTTATACTCGACAACTAACGCGTGTCCTCCTAAAACAATATGCATGGGTCGCACCTTCCACTTTACAGATTTTGTGTGAAGTGAACATCCAACACTCGCAAGACTAAGGTGAAGAAATGCACGCACGATCCATTTTGGAAGATTTCAAGTGATCCAACGGGTAATCACTATACTTTAGAATGACTTATCAGGGCTACCAGTTTTATGGACTCGTCAAATATGATTGGTTTAGCGGGTTGCAGATTACGGCGGACAGATTCATGAGCGCGTGGAGGTAGATCCGATGTCAGATACTGCTAAGAGGGAAATGCCTTTGCCTGAAGAAGCTCTTATCAGTCAGTATGGAGGAGCTCTGAAGTTGCTCGGCCGATCACGGCCGCGGCCGCAAACAAGCCAGATAGAAAAGAGAGCTGCCAGCAGAGATGCAAATGATTTGACTTTCCACCATTGTACAGGGTGAGATAGTTTTTGCCATCAAGACCAGGCTTCACACATGCGTTCTTCAATCTATCTCTTCACCTTGCTTGTCGGGCTTCTTCCCGCGGCACGGGCAGTCGTCCTTGCGGACCCGACTCTAATGATCAACGGAGTCACATTTCCGACGAGAGCACACTGGATGCGCCAAGCAAATGAGGCATTGAGCGAAATCAGCGGCTCCCCTTGTCCCTTTGCGGCTTTTGGGACAGTCATTGTCAATCATACTGCCTCTGACACAGGCGAAGTCATTTGCATGGGTGTCAATGAGAATTCAAAGACCGGGAACCCTTCTCTTCATGGTTAGTCAACTGTTCCGATTAGATATCATTGCTTTGGCTAACACCCGATCTATTGTTACAGGAGAAATGTCAGCTATCAAGAATTGTACGGCGATTTTGACCGATTCGCATGGCAAATATCGCATGACTGCTTCCGAGGCGGAGGATGCGTTCGCCGACCTAACACTATATACAAACGCTGAGAGCTGCCCGATGGTGTGTTATTCCCATTGTTGGATAGATTGTGATGATAAGCTGACGGACAAAAAGTGCGCTTCTGCAATCCGATGGGCAGGATTTCGGGAATACGTCTATGGGACTTCGATCGATACATTGATTCAGAAAGGTTGGGGTCAGATCCGTATGCCTTCGATACAAATCTTCGAAGCCTCCTTCGACCTTCCGACCCAATCACGGTTGATGGGTAATGTTCTCATTAACGAGACTGATCCTTATTTCCTGTGGCAGTACGACCCGACATACCCGTGTCCCCATGGTTGTTCGCGTACCAGTGATGGGACAAGTTGCGAGGCTTCCTCTTAGTAGATCCCTTGACATTTTCTTTGTTATCAATCATCTCGCACAGGCCGTCAATATAGAGAGAGTGAATTCAAACTACAAGATATGATAGTGAAAGATCAACAATGTAATCTTTGGTGAGCAGGTGTCAGTACAGTGTACAGAGATTGTTGCCTGTAGCGCAGTTCCATGGAAAGATTTCATGGAAAGATTCATATATGTGATATTATAAGCTGATATATTCAAATCTATGTTAAAATCATGCCCCTCCGTTCTGTACGAGCAGCAATATGTCCTCTAGTGAATCAGGTACGCCAAACCTAGAGTTTGGTAGGGGAATATTGCCATACAGCTCCTCCGTATGGGACTCCCGAGACAGAAACTCTGGCGGCTGCATAGTAGACATTGGTGAAAGTGGCCCGCTCACAGGAGGCTCATCAGCCGATTGCCATTCGTGCGCCCGACTTGCCAATGCCTCGTTCTCACAAATATACTTGACAAGGCCACGAATATCCAAGCCTGAGGATCTTTTACCTCGACCTTGTTCGAGATTAAGCAGCAAGCGCAATATTTTCACACCTCTCATGGCAATCATACTAGTCTCGCTCTGGGACAGAATTTCAATCATGTCCTGGGCTACCTCGCGATTCTCTCCCTGATCACAATCAGGAAGTGGCGGGAAGAACAGATCCAAGCAAAGTATTATCTGAGAGTGGGTAAGTATTGACCAATGGAACATTCCGAGATCATTGAGGACTTACACTTGCTGCGACGCTGAACGCATGATAGATCCATAGCACCGGCCCATCTTCCTTTACTAACTGCTTCTGCTCTCTAGTTATGGTTTTTGCTGCTGCAATGCAGGTTTTACGTGTAAATGTAAACGCCGGATTAGTAAAGCTAGACCAAAGAAATTTGCGGTGAATCATAATGATTTTGTGAGCGGAGCTAATAGTAAGGCAATGCCTTGCCCAAGGGACATAGCGCGGCCACGATGGCTCGAGAGCCGTATTTCGCAGGCAAGAAGGGACATGCTTGCTGGCCAGAGTACGCATTTTTGCATCATATCGAATGACGTGTTCATATTTGGCATACAGCGTATGTGATACGGAAATATCATCTTGAAGTTGTGGCATGAGTGCAGCGATATCGTATAGGAAGCGATGGTAGGTCACTGGAGTGGGCACATTGTCCGGGAGAGGGGTCATTTCGATATCATCCATGCAATTTCGAGGCTTTCCCGTATTAAAATCCCGCCGATGAATCAAATAGCTTTCCGAAAATGGAATCGAGAACCAGTCTTGGATGCATAGCTCTGTCCATAATCGTCGACCGATTTCCCTTCGTACTGGATTTGTTGTGGGACCATCGATTTCTTCGCCCAGTCTGTGCATACCCAAGCTCTGAGCAATACGGACAGCTGATGCAAGCTTGACGGAGTGGCTATTAGAATAGCCTAGCAAGTGAGCGCTAATTGTCATGGTCGCGATACACTCAATCCCGTACAGAGAATGACGGGCAGTAAAATCTGCCAGATTTAGGCACACCAAAGCAGCTTTGAAGAAATGATGGGCCAAATTTGTACGCTCGGGATCCTCGATGCCCCATGATGTAGATACTGGGCGCGGTGCACATGTCATTGTTCCTGCCAATACGGCAAATAAAAGAGCAACCCATTGAAGATCGATCTGCTGGTCGTCAATGCGACCATGATGTTGTTTGAGAAAGCGATCAACCTCTTCCAGGAATATGCGCCCGTGGAATGCGGAGTGATACCAAAGAAGACACTCGCAGTGGTAATTGACCATCCGGAGTAAAGTGGGCGGCTCAGGAAGCAACAATTGTAGAAGTGGGATTGAAGAGAGGTCGTCGGTAAAGCGCAACTGAGGCGGATCCGCAGGACTATTCAGTAGTGATACATCCCCAGGTGACTGAGCAGGAGCACAGTTTGGATTCCCAACTAAGCCATCGAAGTCAGGAACCTTCCGTCGACCCCAAGCTAGGAATTCCAATATTGTCGCGGCATCCTCCACCTCTTCGGTCTCGCGACTGGGGCTGATGTCCTCTTCTTCCGATGGCGCTCCAGTCGAGGTCCCTTCATGGACTGGAGACAGCGCCACTGTACTCTCGTTGAAATTGGCGCTCGTACTTTCGTGCGCTTTGACTGCCTGTAGCGTAGCTTGTAGCTCGCTTAGACAGGCAGCAAGGGTTCCAGTTAGTTCCGTTGGGCGATATCCATTTTGCTGGGGAGTGTGTGGGGAAGCTGCCGTTGCCCGTGAATATGCCGATACATTTGGTGAGCGATAGCAAGTGCTGCCTCTAGACTTCCAAACGCGTAAGTTGCCGAGAGCCGTAGCGGAGTATCACTGAAGGTATCTTACCTATTGCGACAATTCCGACACGGCAAAACCTTATCACACTTGATCTTCCGCCGCGTACACTCTGCGCACGCTAACCTCTTTCTTCTCGCTGACGGATTCATCATGCTGTTGATTGTCGATGAGATAATTTGAAGGGCTTGGCTCCAGTAACGGGTGACGGACGGGTTTTACTGGCGATGATCCGTGCCTATATAGTAATCTTGGTTTATCAACTCGGCCGACGCTAGGGTGAAGCTTAAGCCGTGTGGCTGGTCAGCGATAAGGATCATGACAGGGGTATACAGATAGAGAAAGTTATCGACAGTGACATGCCAAGCTTTTACCCCATCACACGCAAGACCGTGCAGCAAGAATTTGGGGAGACGCGAACCTCAAAAGATCGGTCCCACCCAAGATGTTGAGGCATTGTCAACAATGGCGATGCGTCTGATCCAACGCAAGTGCTGGGCCCTTCCCAAGCAAGATAGTAGCATCGCCCCACCACATGTGTGGAGTAATGCCGATCAAGATCCGGTCCCACCAGAAAAATGGACCTGGACTGGGTGGACCTTCACACAGTACTGGCTGTCGGACTTGGTCACTGTTTCAACCTGGTCCGCTGCCAGCTCGGCGTATGCATCTGGTCTTTCTGCAACGGACACAGTGTTGTTGACACTGGTTGCAGCACTGTGCAATGCTATACCAACAGTTCTTAATGGCGCTGTAGGGGCTGACCTTCACATCCCATTCCCTGTGGCAATTCGGGCTAGCTATGGCTCATACTTCGGGTACTTCTGTGTGGCCTCGCGTGCTGCGCTAGCACTGTTCTGGTTTGGTATCCAGAGCTCATATGGAGGACAGTGTGTGACACCGGTAAGTGCAGTGATGTCCTCGATTGTCCATATGTCGTGGCTAACAACTGTGACAGATGATCACCGCTATCTGGCCGAGCTACTCCAATCTGCCTAATCATTTGCCAGCATCGGCAGCCATCACGACACAGGGCATGGTGTCCTACGTTATCTACCATGTCATTCAAACCCCATTCCTCTTCATCCCAACCCATAAGCTACAATACATGTTTATCTTCAAGTCCACACTTGTGCCGCCCATGGCATTAGCTATGGTCATCTGGATATCGGTCAAGGCTGGAGGGGGAAGTGCAATATTCCATGAACCACCCACCGTTCATGGCGCCGAGCGAGTATGGCTGTGGCTTACAAATATGACTTCAATCACAGGTATATTTATACCAATTGCTACATTCCTAAATTCGGGTTCTAATAATATCCAGGTGGCTTTTCAACACTCGCGGTCAACATCTCTGACTTCTCGCGCTTTAGCAAGAGGCCTGGTAGCCCAGTCTGGCAACTGCCAATGATTCCCCTCTTCAAAGTCATCACTGGCCTTTTCGGTATCATTGCTGCGAGTGCATCTAAGCAGGTTTACGGTACCATTCTATGGAGCCCATTGCAGATTATCGATGAATGGCAGGGCTCCTCTGGGGGACGAGCCGCAGCCTTTTTCTGTGCATCGCTGTGGTTGTTGGCACAAATTTGCAATAACATCTCGGCCAATTCAATATCGTTCGCAAATGGTAGGTCCATTTCAATCTTTACACTTTAATCATTACTAATAATTTTCCAGATATGACAACCATGTGCCCAAAATGGTTCAACATTAAACGCGGAATGATCCTGTGCATGATTCTGGGCGGGTGGGCGCTCTGCCCCTGGATTATCATCGAGAGCGGGAAGACGTTCCTCAGCTTCATGGGGGCATACGCTATCTTCATGGCGCCTTTTGCAGGCATTCTTTGCTGCGATTACTGGATCGTCAAACGACGCAAGTACGATGTACCAGCCTTGTACGATCCGCGAGGAATATACTACTACAAGGTATGTGTTACGGACTGCCTTCTATGACTCAAACAATTACTTTCGCTAACTTCTACGGTCTAATTCCAGTTTGGCACGAATTGGCGTGCTTTGGTGTGTAATTTGCTAGTCATTGTTCCTCTTCTCCCCGGATTGGCACACTCGGTGACACCTGATAATGTTAGCATCGACACCGGGTTGCAGCATCTTTATGCTATCAACTACCTTCATGGGTTCTGTCTTTCCTTTTCACTCTACTATGCGTTGAATTATTTCTGGCCCGATCGAGCGACGCTGATTCCAGCTGTCGTTCCGGGGGTGGTTCGCCCTTTGAATGCCATTGACTCGGATTTGGAAGCAGAATTGAATATTCAAGACAAGGGAATGCAATCTGTTGAGAGATCGAGGGATTAGCGATACAAAGGCAAGATTTTTTTTGATTAATTAGTAATGGACATTATTTTATTGCACTTTCACGTGGGCACTGATGGAAACCTACACTTAGAATGTGCCCGGGGTATATTGGAGCCTTGAAAAGTAGCTACTGGAAAGCGGCACCTAAATGTGGGTACTGGGCGGGCTTTTTACTGTTCCACTAGTTTACCTACTACGATTCACGAGCAATAGGCAGTATTCTAACATGTAAGTGTGGTGGTGTGGACTGAGGTTAAGAGTCTTCTGGGCTAATGTGGGGTGCTTGGCTCGATATTACGCATTCTTGGACAGCCACTGTGGCATTTTAGGTGAACAACAAGATAATAAATTTGAGAAGTAATAAGTTTATCTGACTAGAGGAATGGTGGGCCATATGCCTAGACTGAAGGATGGTCTGATGCTGCGATATTGCACTGATGCATGATTCGCGGCCCGTACGACTCAGGGAACTCAGTCTGCGACAAGTTAGAATTTTCTTAGTATCGCAGATATGTAATTACTCACGATACTGTGCCACAATGCCCGGTTGTACCATAGAATGACATCTTGCTCTTGATGAGGATGCGCGTAAATGTTCTCTGGCGACAAGACTGGGCTCATGATCCTGTCGGCGACACTAGTCAGCTCACCATGAATCCGAAATCGTGGAAATAGGGAAACATACTTGTCCATAAAACTTCGGACCTCCTTCAGGTCAGTAACAACAGTCTCTTCCCCGTCTGGCTGATTCTTGAGATACAACTTGAAAGCTCCTTGGCCATGAACTTGAAGAGACTTCTCCCCAGTCACCGGATTAGTCCAGACCATGGGATAAACACAGATTCCGTCCTGTGTCCAGGGCGAAAGCTTATCGAGCGGCATCTCACGGCCCTCCGTTTCGATAAGATGACCGAGTTTGGTACTGCGGGCAGTTGACATCCACTGAAATGCGTGCGGCGCGTATTCAATACGACTGTGCAGGACAATTTCACGCAGCTCCGGGTCCAGAAGCTGCAGCGCTTGCGATCCAGCTACCATAGCAGTTGCACCGGGTGCAATATCCATCGTTCTTCCAGTGCCATCGCCCCAGTGGACGGTCACATCAGGGCCCTTCGGCGTTCGCACGGCCAGCAGACAACCTACGCGTGGTGGAGGGATCTTATACAAAGAGCCATCCCAGTGCCACTGGTAGAAGCGACTCGCGCCTGCATCTCTTTCCTCCTGGGGAATGTGTGGTGGCAAATGGAAGTCGACATGATTAATGCCTTTCACTTTGAATCCGGGCGGGAAATCGAAATGGTCTTCAGGAACTTCACCGCGACCCAAGATATGCACCTGTGGCTGGGCATTGATGGCTGGTCGATTTGGCAGGCCATATATGGTGACGCCATCCTCGGAGAGAAGTACAGGGTCGGCACCGTGGGCGAAGCCTCCAGTTTTCTCTTCGGGGTCGAAGCTTTATGACGTTAGAGGATCAGTAAAATGATAGATGGGCATGGGTGAGTTTATGGATGAGTTACCATGCAGTTAAGCGATATTGTTGTTGTGGCGTTAACATTTGTGGCTGCTCCTTGAAGACAAGCAGCTTGTGGTTATGCAGGGCATCAGAAATGAGGGCAAAGTCGGCCGAGGTGAAATTGTTCAGATCGATACCGTGAATTTCGGCTCCAAAATCCACATTGTTCTCGTGCTTGATCGGTACCACGCGTCCATTGCTAGTGGTCGCCGATGGAGGTTGATATGCTTCTCGAACTGTCAAAACCTTGGGGGCATCGACCTCAGTGGCAGTGGCAGAAACAGCGAACACCATGTTGAGGCGATTGATTTGAAGTGTATTACCTGATTCCCATTAATTTGTTTGGCCTTTATATCCAGGAATGGCTTTAAACCTATCATCTGACTTGATTGGGGTGACAAGGTGACGGCCGGATTGCTGTATATAGACGGGCAGTCTTCGGCCGTGGACGGATCCGCTGATCGGGTGGCCCAGAGTAGGTAAGAGCACTATTGCTTCTATGAAGCATTGCGCTCCTATACCTTTCGAACATCCTCAACGCAACTTACCACGACTACTTCCCTTCGAATTGCTACTGTCAGAATGAATACATCCTCTACATCGTTCTTTTACAAGACGCCAAACGGCACAAATTTGCATTTCACCCAAACAGGCAACTCTTCAGGTCCCCTCGTTGTTCTTCTTCACGGACTGGGTGGATCAACAAAAACATTCCAGCCAGTTCTCCAATCTCTTTCGCCACGGATCCATCGCTTGATCTGTGTTGATCTTGAAGGATTCGGTCAAACACCTCTGTCCTCGCCTAGCACTACCCTCTCTGTCCCTCGATATGTCGATGACCTGGAATATCTCGTGGCACATCTGCAAGGCTCTCTTGGGGCCTCATCTGGGAAGTTACTCTTCATCGGTCACAGCCTCGGGTCTATCATCTCAATGCACTACGCCTCAAAGCACCCAGATCAAATTCGGGGTCTTATCTTGCTCGGGCCAGGTCGCTCAATTGCCCACATTCCCGCCGCAAGAGAGCGAATGCTAGGTCTAGCGGCAAAGGCACGCACAGAAGGTATTCAAGCTGTAGCGGATATGGCAGCTATATCCAACTTTCCGTTAAAAGGCACGGTTCCGCCCGAAACCCGCCAGGTCGTCAGGGAAGCGGTAGCTAGCTGTGATGCAGAAGCGTACGCCAAGGCATGCGAAGCAATCGCGGGCATTGATCATCTAGATCCGGATTACAGCTCTATTTGTGCTCCGACTTTGCTTTTGGCAGGGAGCCACGATATCATCTCTAGCCCACAAATATCTTTTGGGCTACAAGAGTTGATCGGGGATAATGCACAGGTGAAGGTTCTTGGGGGCATTGGACATCAGATGATTCTCCAGGATTTTGAAGGCACCACTGATGCGATTAAAAGTCTTATTGAGAAATAAGATAATTGATTGCTGTATCCTTTACCATTATCAATGTTATTTCTTTCTGATCATACCGGAGGTTCCCTGCTGCTCATTACAGTTTAGTAACGAGACGACGTATTCACCGAACTTCTTAAAAGCAGATCAAATCAGATTTAGGGCATTTGCCTCTTTGGCCTAGACTACACATCTGCTGGCCTTGATCCTATACACTCCTAATGAAACTCGCCGATACTCTCGTTCGCTGTCGAGCTATCCTGAGGGTCTGTTGAGACCGTCTGAGTGAGCCAGAGACCCTCGATTTGCAGTGAATGTACCTCCGCAATCTGCACGGATAATGAAAGCCGGCCGTCAAGATCGGCCGTAAATGTCGGCCGGGGTAGCTTGGCCATGGCTTGCACCCCGCTCGGTGGTCCGTGCAGCGGTATGGGAATAGATCTGGGTTTATCTTTCTGTGCAACACACGAATGCTGATCCGAATCCTGTGAATGGATGAACCATCCATGGGTGCATGTGATGTGCGATGCACAGGGCTCGGGTGGACTCGGCCGCAGACATTTAGGCCAGGCCAATGAGAAATCATCGCAATTGATAAAATACCCCTCAATTGCTCTGGGCTTCTGGTGTATCATTTGACAGGTCGATAGAAGTATATCAATCAAAAGAGTCATATCATCTATCAACACCTTCCTTGCATTGTTACGATCCATCCGGTACAATGGACAACTGCACTTCTTTCACCGTGACACCACTGGAGCGGACACCCGAACAGAAGTTCAATGTGCGTATTGGTCCTGCATGATGAATTATATTTCCAACTCACAATTTGTAGTTTGGAGCTTGTGTAACTGGCGTGGACTTGAATAGCCTCTCCGGTGGGTCCTCGTCTTTCTCGATGCTGGAGGCCCGAGCTAACAGGCGCAAATAGATGAGGATGTCGATCGTCTCAAAGCTGCCATTTGGCGCCACAAGGTTGTCGTTGTAAAGGCTCAACACAATTTGGATCCAAAGAAGCAATGGGATCTGGTGACTCGACTCGATCCAAATGCTCGTGATGGCCACAGTCATGGAAATCTCACTACATTTCGTGCGAAGGGCGGACTCCTTGCAGTATGTTCCCCTACGTGATACAAACTCTTATCGGAAATGCATTCTGACAGCGGTGATCCAGCAAGGAAGGGAGGTTGTTGGAATTCCCGGCGCCGAAAACGTTCGCTTAATTGGCAAGGGCTTCCAAGGTGAGAACCACTTTGGGGTTGAAAATCACACCATCGAACGTGGACTCAGTAATGATTTCCATGCCGTGCCGCCCTCCATGGAGGAGTTTGAACAAGGCATCACTCGTTTTCAGCGTTGGCATATTGATGCGCCGCTATATGGGAAGGATCCTGCGTGGTTCACAACCCTGCGATGCATTACTCTTCCCAAAGGGCCTGATCTTACCGTCGAGTGGGCGGACGGCTCCGGTCAAAGTATGAAGACCTCGCCTGGAAAGACTGCCTACTTCAGCACATCGCAGCTCTATACGCTGCTCTCCCCGGAAGAGCAAGTGTTGGTTGATCATAGCTGGGTTGAATATGCGCCTTATCCGTACAAGTGGATTGAGAAGTGCAAGGGTAATGCCAATGGCCTGGGGCTAGCTGAAGGAGGCGAGCGCCTCACGGATGAAGAACTTGGCGAGTATGATCCGACTGCGGTCAAGAAGGTATGAGCTTTAGCTCGAAGACCCATTCGTGTTATCGTTGGCTAACTTGAGAAATAGTATCCAATGATTTGGGTGAACCCACTCACAGGCGAAAAGGCCTTCCAGGTCCATGGAATCTGTGCCAGAAAGCTTTATCTACGTAGCTCGAAGGAGGAAGAGCCTCGTGTTATAGATGATGTGGCCGAGATTCGCAAGTTCATTTTGGGTATCCAGAACAGGATCCTCAAGCCGGAGTACATCTTGTTGGCCCCTGTTGAGGAAGGAGATGTGGCTATTTGGGATAACTATGGACTCTTCCATTCGGCCATTGATTATCCTATTAGCATGGGTCCTAGGTCCATGCACCAGGCTAACATCAGTGGTAGTATCGGTCCGAGAGGGCTAGTACCGATTCCGTCGGTGGCATAGGGAGAATTTCTTATTCTGCAACATCGAAACCTTGCAACATTGAAGTAGCTAATAGTATGAATACTTGAGTGAGAACACGACAACAAATTATCCGTACATTGCTTGTACAAACTTTAAAATATATACACTAGAAGTTAAGAATACTAATTTACAACACCAGGTCTTCCATTCCCAACCCGTCTACAAAGCCATAAAGCTCAACGGGGTCCTCAAAAACCGTCCAAATCGAAGTCGGAATGTCCTTAAACGCCTCCTCAAACCTCTCATCCTTGTTCTTCACCTCCATATTCGCCACACCCGTAACCTTGCGGATAGCAATAGCATGAATCCAAGTAGGATACCTCCGGTACATCTCCGCATACGCCTCGGGATCACTCTGCGTTGAATCCCCAATACAAAGTACTCTCCGCGCTGGGAACCAGCGTCTAATCTTTTCCATCCGATCAACCTTGTACTCCTGCGTCCGCTCCGTGAGTGACTTGATCAAGCCACTGATGTCGAAGAAAGAGTACTCGCGCAGCACGAGCGTACCGGGAATGTAGTACTCATGTAGGAAGCTGTGCAGGAACGGATAGAGATTGTGAGGCGACGCAGAGAGATAAAACCAAGTCGGGTTTAGCTCCTCATGTACATGGTGGTAGAATTCCGGCATGCCGACAATCGGGACAGGTTCTTCGGTGAAAGTTGTCCGGAGGATACCTGTTGGATCGACGGTCATGGTCCGTTTGATGGTGTCATCAATATCGGAAACAACCAACCAACCTTCCGGTGCGGCGAAACGTGTTTCCATGGCTGCCATGCTATTTCCGAAGTTGCCCAAGCGAGGTCGTACCACCGTTCCATCTGAGATGTGTGGTACCCCGAGCTCGATGGTCTGGCTGATTATCCCGTTCCGGTCTGAAGGGCCCAGTTCATGCGTCTGTTCTTCGCCGGCTATGTCAAGCTGTAGCGTGACCGTTCGACCAGGTGAAACGGTGTCGAGGAACGGTTGGATGCGATCCACGATACGCTGATGCGTTGCTTCGTCGGCGATGCCTGTTTCACCATCTAGTCCGATGTTGTCGGCTATCGAGGCGACTAGCTTCCCTACATCCTTGCGACCCTCTGTCTCGAGGATACAAGCTACAAACTCGGCGTGCCATGATGCTGGTTGGTCGGGCTGCTCTGCTTCTCCTGGCTCGGGTACAAGCTGGTATGCTGTGTTATCGAGCAGCCAGACGGTGTTGGTGTGTGGGTCCGCCGGATGCGCGATCGGATTTTTGGAGCCTAGGATTGAAGCGACGAATTTCATAAAAGACGAGCTCCGCCGTTCGATGGGAGCTGGCCGTTTTTCAGATGGCCGAGCCGAGGCCGTTAGCTCTGGGGCCACAGATTCAATTTCCGGGTGCTTGACGTTGGGAATCGAAGAGTCGCGCGGATTAGCGTCAGCCATGATGTACCCCGGGCCGTTTATTTGTATTTATCCTCTTTCGGTGGAGTTGGTCGACTGAAATTTCAAATTCCAGTCGAAAAATAAACTCAGATCTTTTGGATATTAAGATCGACCGATGTAAATCACTTTTGGTCGTTGTGCTGTTCTCAGGAGAACGGAATGAATAGGGGCAAGCGCGGTGATCATATAACAAACGATCAACCCCTTTAGCGAGCTCGGTTGTTCCCTACCCTGTTTACTCCCACGCCGCCTGATCCCAACACCCTGTTTGAGGCTGTGAGCTTGGCGCTGAGTGCCTGTTCATTGAAGCACCTGGCCTCGTACCTGGGGCACCGGGGCACATCATTCGGCGATGTCATGTGGCGGAGCAGACTTATGCCCATCTTGTCTTTGACGTTGCTGTGGTGGGCAACTTCTTGAACCTGAAAAGTTAAGAGTATTGAGGAACCCTTTTTACTCTTGAACTGAAGTTTGATTTACAAATTTGTGTGAAGACTTGGTTGTTTTGTATCCTCTGCCGTAGGGCTGATGACTTGCATATGCGCCCAGGACGTGCAGGGTGGAGCACCTGACTTCTATACCGATCCTCTCAAGATTCAATTATTAATATACTTTTGAGTGTATCCACAGAGTGCTATCGTGCCCGTGGGTCAAACTGTTCGAGTAAGTTGACTACAGAAGCGCATACACTGCCAGGTGTATGTTTTTTCTCTTGGCGGTTGGTTTGAAATGATCTTGTAATGGAAGATTTCCAATGCTTTATCATTAGTAAAAATATAAGTATTAATGAATTGGTCTGAATGTGGTCGGATTTAGCATGAGCTGCGAAGATTATGAAAGAAAAATAGTAGGTCTGAAGTTTGGAATGTGATGTTGTCAAACTAATGAGAGGCGTGGAGATACAAGCGTGCTTATCACAGATCACATGACATTGGTACATCGCGTGGCAATAAAATAAATCCACAATACATACACGTGACCGGTCTGGGTAGTATATAGTTCAACCTTAAGATGAAGATATTCATCCATGATATTCTGTTGAATCGGTGGCGGACCTTGCTCCCTGAAATCCTAGCCAAATTTTATGGAGAAACAGTCGATCTGATTGTCTCCGACACTATCTTTCCGCTATTCCCATGACAAGACGAAGCAAGCCTCTTCATTGTACGGGGGCGCGGTTTGCCTCTTGATCTGATAAATGCACCATGGATGATTCTCAGGTCATGCTGACCTAAGGCAAATTATACGTCAATGTTAGGAAATCGCCAGAAGTAACACTCGGCTCATTTAAAACGATGGCAAAGTCGCAATTTCACTCACTAAGATGAAAAGCATACCATTCCCCAAGTAGATACACCATCAGCATATCCCCATTTTCCCATTGCATTACCACATTCAAACTTGCCAAAATGAGCGTCGAACCACCCATGGTGTCAAACAACATTTTAGCAGGTATAACGAACCCCTCGACAGCCTACGGACCAGGAATGAAAGCTGGAAGAAAGTTCTCTTCGGCAACAGACGAAAGCACCATCCCCGCCACAATGCGAGCCCTATACTACTCGCCCGCAGCAGCGCTAAACAACAACACGTATCCAACCACCGACTCCCCACGATTCAGAGAAGATAGCACAGCCATCAGCCCGCGAAGCCAATCCTTAGCCTTCAACCCCAGAGCTGAGTCGAACCCATTCGGGGACGAGAGGAGAAGCCCCAGCCCCGGAACGATTCCTGACACAAGAGCCACCTCCGTCGCGAATCCAAGGGCAAGTGGAAGTTCACTTCCGAGTACCAAGCCAGGCCCAGCGGGGTCTCTTATTCTGGACAACTCATTTCCAACTCCGCAGCCGGCAACGCACCAGTACCTGCTTAGAGTACAAACTGCAGCCTTCTGTCAAGATGAACTGCGTCTCGCGATGTCACTCAATCCTCCCAAGACAACGCCGCAGATTCCGTTGCATAGTATTTGTGGTAGGGTTGTCACGACTCCCCCACAGGACCCTGACCGGCCTCTTGGACCGAAGTACAGAATTGGTGATGTGGTCTGGGGTCTTCTGAGCTATGCGCGAGATGGCGGAGCAGCGGAGTATGTCGTCGCGAATGAAGAAGAATTGGCGCTGAAGCCGTCAAACAGCACATCCGCCCAAGCGGCTGCGCTGGCTTTGCCTGCCTTAACGGCCTGGCAGGCGCTTTTCAGGGTTGCGGGAATAGATCCTGATGCCCCTGTTGATGGGAATGGACATAATGGTACCGAGAGCGTGAATAGGAAGGGGAGTGGTGCTAGTAGCAGCAGAGGGAGTGTTCGGAACAATGTGAATGGAGGCAATGGTACCTCTGAGCAAAGGGACATGATACCAAGTCTCAGAAGCCCCAGAAGGGGTAGTGAGTCTTATGGACGCAAGTTCAGCCTTGCAAGCCTCACTGGCTCCGGCAGTGGTGAGGGCGGACGCAAACTCAGTCTTGCCAGCCTTACTGGTAGGGGCAGTGCTAGTAGCAGTGGCAGCGGCAATGGTGATGGAGGACGCAAATTCAGCTTTTCCAGTATCGGCAGCATGGCCGCGGCTGGCGGACGCAGATTAAGTATGATCAATCCTACTGGTGGTAGCAATGGAATTGGCGACGCGCTTAAAAAGAAGAAACCACTGCGGGTACTTGTGACCAACGCCCGAGACAACGAAGTCGGTCGTGTAGCAGTGCAACTGCTACGAGCCGACAAACTTTTCCCGCCGAAGGTTCGGCCCTGGATCTGCGTGACCTGTACAGTAGCGGAACAGGCCGTTGTCCGTGATGATCCGATGGTGGATGAGACGCTTGTGATCCCGCATCTTCCTACGAAAGAAGAATGTGATCTCGGGCTTATGTTCCGGTCTCGAAGATGGGGCCCTGTCGATATTGTACTGGATTGTACGGGTGGAGAGGTTTTTCGACAGGCTCATTCGAAGGATGTGGTGAGCGACGGTGGGGCTGTCTTGACTGTTGTGGATCCTGAGCCTACGAAGGATTCGGCTCATGAACAGGAGATGGCGAAACAGCAGAAACGGGGACTCAAAAGTCGGTTTGTTCCTGTGAATCCTGACGGTGCGGCGCTAAGGCGGATTACTGAGTTGGTGGAGGCCCGAGTGTTGAGAGGACGAGCGGAACTTCAGGTTGATCTGGGCAATGCAGCGCGGTTGCTTGAGGGCAAGGCTGCTGGTGCAGCAGGAAGTCGTCGCGGGGAAATGATAGTCGTTCTTGTTAATCCTATTTGTTAATTTAGAGGCCATTGTCACTTATTTGGGCATTGTATAATCAGGAATTGAAGTTTCTTTTTGGTATTGAAATCTGCGCTTGTTTCGCAAAGCCTTGAATCGCATTCAAATCAGCATGTCCCGTAGCTACCCATGGATGTCCATATATGAATATGAGCTTCATACCCGAGGGCATCAAGCGGCCCAGCCGGTCTGAACGTATCATGGTATGCCACGCGAAGCCATAAAGTGATGGTAGATCTGCTCACTGAAATTAGATAGTGAACAGGCAAGGAGAATCACAAACATCAGGGGTGGATCAATCAATAAGATAACCCTTACAAGAAATGAATTTTGAGTCGTATAAGATCACAGACGCTTTGCCAATTTCCAACCTGATGACAAACTACATGAGTGAAGAAGATAAGAAAGGAACCCAACCCACGAAGAAAAGAACCGGGTGAAAAGCGCGAAGAGACGAATAGAGAAGAAAAGGCGGAAGTTGAAGAAGAAAAAGACATTGTATTAGGATCAAGCACGGTACATCCGCTTAGAGTAAGGAATCAAGTCTGGTGAAAACGCTCAAGCAAGCGGCAACGATCTAGTCCATTGTTAATATTCGCACATGAATCAGAGTTAGGGAAACATACCTCCAATTGGAGTTCTCGGTCTGGAGACTTGTTGACTTCGTCATTGATTGCCTGTGCCAGGTTGGCACCAATCGCCTGCGAACCACCAGGCCGGCGAGCAAATGGATACTGCGAGTATTCGGCCAGCAGCTCATCCACCTGGGCAAACGCTCTTTCCCGAGCCTCATGGCTCATAGTGACCAGAGCATTCTCCAGCACGTTGGCCGCGTAAGCAGCACAGACCATTGTGACCGTGCGAAGGTAGCGATATTCAGAGTCCTCGGGTAGCCATTGGGAAGAAGGAATGATCACGGTGCGGTTGCTGCAGATGTTGCGAACCCGTCGGTGGAGGTCGTCTTTAGCGCCACCATCGGCGACGGGGTGCGTTGCCATGTCAAAAAGGAGGAAGTTTCGTTTCTCAGTTCGCAGGATACCCTTATCCACAAGGCCCTTGGCCAATCGCTCGCGCACTTGTTTCAATTGGTATCCGATCTTCATCAAATTCCAGGTTTCACCTGTAACGGAAGTAACCAAGTTAGCCAGCCTTGTCCTGTAACGACAACCCCTCCCATCAAACCACGTCAGGGACTCGAATCCATACCGCTCAGCAAATCAATCCAAGAGTTCACACTCATCTTCTCACTCGACTTCATCATCTTCAGCGTCTCGTCCAGCAAGACTTCGCCGGTCAGGGTGTCGTCGACGACCTCGATCACGCGGTCGGCCAGGGGAAAGCGTCGCCGGGAGGAATCCTTCTGCATGCTAATCCGGCCGCGGAGCGCGAGCTCGATAACGATACACCCTCGCAAGGCATAGGAAATGTTCTCGTTCCAGAAGGACAGGTAGCCCTATCAAGGCAGACACCAAGTCAGCATTTCGAGTCCGCCACCTTGGGGAAGTACGACGGGGAGAGTCGCTCCTCTTCATTCAGGGGTCCACTAACTTGCTTGTCCTTCAGACCTAACAATAGCACCTCCTCCATCAAAGTCAGCTTGGGCTGCTTGCTCCGCTCTTCGGTTTCGCTAAGGTCGCGGGGGTCGAATGCGATCTTGTGCCCATTCTCTCCGGCCGTGAACGAGGTCTCCGGGCCGCGGTTATCCATCGCAGAACCGTTCCTTGACACGGGCGACGACACACGGCTGTCATCTTGTTCCTCTGGGCCAGCAGCTCGACCGCCACCTCGTCGGCGAGTCAAGCCCCCGGCTGCGGACATGAGGATGGGATAAGGGTGGGCGGGTTTGGAGAGGGGTGGATAATGACCCTGGTGGGTAGGGCCGAACGGCGAGCTTTCGATTTTAAAGGCCGATCTGCGTGCCGGTCGCAGGGGGCATGAATTGACCGCGGTGTAGGGAGATGTTAGAGGTCGCGCGTGGTGTAGACCGAAAGTCTGCCGTTGCCGCTTCTAAGTGGGACCTCTGTCTCGGTGTCAGGGGAAACCAGGGACCGAGTGGATTGTCAAGCAATCGTGGCTCAAAAAGAATAAATAAACCAATGCTTTCTCTTCAATGTTATTGTCTAAGACAGATGAAGCAAAGCGGAAGAAGACAGATAAAAGGATGATTGGGTCGAAGTTAGTTTGGTCGGCAAAAGGTGACTTGTGGTGCGCCCGTTAGCGGGCAACATATATATCATCCTTCCATACTATCATACTACACCTGGGAATTTCTGAGAAGTACAACCTTGGAAACATACAGTACCAACCTTTATTTTGAATTTTCTTCTTATATTTGAATTTCCCGGTTACAACTACAGGTTTTCTCTGCTACACTCACATGTCACATGCATATATCTGTCTGGGTACGTTTGACAATTGGGGCTTGACGCTTGGGGCCGCTGATGAAACTTGGAAGATCAATCGAACACCAAGCCCAGGTGAAACCTAGATAGGTTTGCCACATGTGCAGCTGTGCAGCTATCTAATAGCTAAGTAGAATTCAAGCCGAGTCAGTCTAATACTTCTAAACAGGGCTAGATGTCTACCTATAGATACCCATGGGCTACTTAGATAGATCTGCAAGGTTTAAGAGTGGTGAAATGGAGCTTGCTCCAACTAAACACTGCGTTAAAAACTGCATTCAAGATGATATACACGATATAGAAGGACAAGGGCAAAAAATCCACTGGTATGGAATTCAGAATACAAAGCAGCGTCAGGATGTCATCGAGATATATTCCCGCACAACGCCCCAACGGACGCCAATATCCCTATCCTTTTCTATCCGACCTTCCAAACACACCGGTCCCAGAAATTTTCAATTAAAGTATTTAGTGGGCTGTGTAGAGATGGTCAGTATTAAGTGAGTGAAGGTGAAAAGTGGAAAGCGACATACCATCGGGCTGAGCCAGGATGTACTCAACAGCCTTCTCAACTATTCGCACAAACGCGTTAGTCTATCCTCTTGCGATCCTCAAGTGATCCAAACTTACCGCTGTGGATCTGATCGGCCTCCTTGTCGGGGATCTCAATGCTGAACTCCTGTTGTTGGGATAGTCAGAATCTTTGCTGCTTATCTTTCCCGAGGGAAACAAGTTCGGGCGCGTACCTCCTCAATGGCCATGACGACCTCGACGGTATCCAAGCTGTCCAGACCGAGGTCGTTGGAGAAGTGGGAAACACCGTTGATCTAAATATCGGAACGTGTTAATGGATGGATAATGCTGACTGGCTACCCGTAGCTCATATTCAAGCCGAAGAATGCCGAAAGGGAGCTCGCGTCAAACTGACCTTGTTGACGTCGGAAACCTATATTCAGAGGAAAGAGTTAGTAATGCTAAATACAAGGTGATGGTGGTCTCAATGATTTTCCAATGAGGATAAAAAAACAATCCCGACGCACCTTGTCGAAGTTCTTAAGCAGGTTGACTATCCGGCCCTCAACCTCGCTCTTGTTCAAACCGGCAGGGGCGGAGTAGCAGCGAACACCCTGGTTGACGAAGCAGGGAGTGAATTTGGAGGCGCGCACAGCAATGGGGGAGCTGCGGATCTGGAAGGGAGCCGGGGTCTTGACAGCGACACGGGGGGCGGAGGCCCGCAGGGAGCGAACAATGGCGGAGCGGAACATGGTGGAAAAGAGGTAGATCAAAAAGAGCGCAACGGCTTCAGATCTAGCAGATAAAAGAAGAAAGGAAGTGGGGGGAGGTTGGAGAAGAGGATGGGTAAGGTCGACGGGAGAGAGGAAGAAGATGGTCGGAAGTGCTGCACCGCTGCAAAATCCTGCCGCCAACCAATCAACGCCCGGCAGAAAGAAATGACCTAAGCCCAAACCTGCAAACACCACTCAACCTCATCCAGCGACCTTCTCCCCTACCTCGAAGACCTCTAATTCGACTTCCCCACCCTCCTCCTCTCTCCTTCATCATCCTCTCCGCTCATACCTCCTTCGCAATGGCCGCTACACGACAGGTCGCAAGGCTGGTCGCCGTCCGTCGCTCTCCCTTCACGCCCATCGGCTCGACGGCAAACTTCTCTTCCTCGGTGTCCCGCGCAGCAACTCCAGCGGGCCCCCCTCAGCCCGGTTTCCGCCTGCCCCCGCCTAAGCGCTGGGACCAGGGCTCCGAGTCCGCCATTGACAAGGCCACCAAGTACTTCCTCCTCGCCGAGATGGTCCGCGGCATGTACGTCGTGCTGGAGCAGTACTTCCGCCCTCCGTAAGTCTTTGACCTCACCGGCAACCCACGCTACCAACAACATCAATTGGTTCTGACCTCCACCCACAGCTACACTATCTTCTACCCTTTTGAGAAGGGTCCTATCTCTCCCCGTTTCCGTGGTGAGCACGCCCTGCGCCGCTATCCCACCGGTGAGGAGCGTTGTATCGCTTGCAAGCTCTGCGAGGCCATCTGCCCGGCGCAGGCTATCACCATTGAGGCTGAGGAGCGTGAGGACGGATCCCGCCGGACGACCCGTTACGATATCGACATGACCAAGTGTATCTACTGTGGTTACTGCCAGGAGAGCTGCCCCGTTGACGCCATTGTTGAGAGTGAGTCTTGACCTGGAGTTTCTTATAGCTCCTAATATGCCCATATTCGTGTGCCTAGCTAACCAAATCTCCTTCTCACAGCTTCCAATGCCGAGTACGCCACCGAGACCCGTGAGGAGCTCCTCTACAACAAGGAGAAGCTGCTCGCCAACGGTGACAAGTGGGAGCCCGAGATTGCGGCTGCTGCTCGCGCCGATGCTCCCTACCGATAATCGAATCATTGTCTTCGTTTCTGGTGATTTTCGCGACATGTATCATCTGAAATTGAGAACAGAAAAAGCTGGTCTAGTGAGGAGGATCATGCCTATAGTGCGCCAGCCTCAATTGGCGTGCATGAAAAACTAGAGCAGGGTTTATGACACCCTCCACTTCCCCCAATCACACACAACACAGAACCTTGTACATATTTACCCATCTTGTGTTTTCTCTGTACTAGTCGATTCCCAACCGAAGTTTTTTTTTTCGTTTCGAGTGGAACATGACTTCTTTGTCTCTTTTATCTTTCCTTTGTTTTTGGAATCTAGCAGGTCTCTTACTTCTTCACGGCTTCAATCAATAAAACAAATGATATCAAAACAATGTCTTTCGTCTATACTAGCTGTTTCTTTAGACTGTACAAATTTGGTGTTTAATGCCTACGGCATCAATCAGCCTAGCTAAGTGTCGGACGACAGAACAACCGCTTTGGAACAGAATGATATTTGTATTCACAAAACGAGACAAAATCGCTACCCATGCAGAGACGTATAGGACATAACGGAGGAAATCATGCCGCCGAAACAGCGCGAACACCGAACACCGCAAACCCCGGATGGATATTTCCCAGTTCGATGTTTAGAAAAACACTTTTCTTCTTTTTTTGGGGAGAACCCAGATCTTGTAACCATAGACAAGAAGGGAGGGGGAGAAACAGAAATGAAAAAGATCTAGACTAAGCCGTCAACAATGGGAAATGGCTCATTTCTTCTTGTTGCCGCCACCAGTCTTGGACTTGAAGCTGCCCTCAAATCCAGGTCTGGACTTCTTGGCACCGCCGCTGGACTTCTTCTTGCCCTTGCCCTTGGTGCCCTTCTCCTCTCTCCGCTTGCGAAGGTTCTCCTCACGCTTGGTTGCGCGCTGGTCCTTCATCTTGGCGACGGTCTCGATGCGGTCGTTCCACTCACGAGCGGACTTCTTCTTAGCAGTCTCCTTGCGCTTGAGAGCCTTCTTCAGGAGGGATGTGTCGTCGCGAACTCGTTCACCGTGGGCGCGCTTCTTGGCGTTGAGCCAGCGGTCCTTCTCTTCGACGTCGGCACGCTTCGTGGGGTCCATCTCAGCCATACGAGCCTTCTTCGCCTCGACAATTTGGAGCTGGGCGGCGGCGTCTCGGGGACCAGCAGCCTTGTGCGCATCGCGGATGTTTGTCAGAGAAGCGTCGCCATGCTGGCCGTCAGCGAAGACCACACGGCCGAAAGAGAAGTTGTTGCTGGCCGAGCCAACGGACTCAGCAGGGGAGCGAGGGGAGGCCAGGAGAGATCCAGAGCCGCCGGGGGAGAAGCGACGGGCCATAGCCTCGTCATCCTTGCGTTGTTCTTCCTCCTTTGCCTTGGCGCGGAGCTCCTTCTTGTGTGCTTTGCGTTGCTCGGCCTTTTGCCGCCGGGCCTCAATAAGTTCGTGACGGTTACGAGCTGGCTTGCCATTTAGGCCGTCGGCATGACGCTTAGCCCGGAGTTCATCCAGGCGCTTTTGTAGACGCTGCTTGAGGTCTTCTGGTGTGGCCTTGAGGGCCTTGGGCTCGGTGGATTTGGTATCATTAGAAGCGGGGGGAACAATAGAGGAAATAGATGAGCTACCCGACTGGGTGTTTGAGGCGTCGGGAGAGTTGCGAGTGGAGGAGGCTGAGGATGGTTCTTCGGGTCCGGCGTCAAACTCGATGGAAAATCCTTCCTCGGCGACACCATCTTCCAGGTCATCAGCTTCTTCGTTGTCTGATGCCTCGGGCTCTTCCTCGTCACCCTTAGACTTGGGAGTATCCTTCTTAGAAGTCTCAGTTGCAGTGCCGTTGGGCTTGTCGTCCTTTGACTTTTCTTTCCGGGCAGTGTCCTTGGCCTTCTTCTTCTCTTTTTGAGCAGCCTTCTTCTCGGCCTTCTTCTGTTCACGTTCCTTTTTGCGGGCCTCGGCTTCCTCAGACTTGGCGGATGGCTTCTCGACCTGCTTTTGCTTCTTGGCCTTCTCGCCGCGGTTCAGGCCCTCCCTGGGGATTTCGGAGCCCATTTCACCATCGGAAGAATCACTCTCAGCAGTACCATCCTCCTTGCGCTTGCGCTTACGGGCGTTCTCATCCATGATGTCCTTGGCGGTTTTGGCGGCTTCAGGATCCAGCTTTGCACGCTTTGCCTCACGAGCCTGCTCTTTGGTCTGTTTCTTGCGTTGCCACTGGTCCTACAGGCAGAAAAAAGATGTCAGAGAAAGGTTTGAGAAAGGCAGATACCAATTAGGACAGATAATGGCCAGCAGGGAAAAAATTGCGAAGTGAGGGAGCTGAGGGCGCACGTACACTAGTGTCTTCACCGTAGTAGTACTTGGCGGGGATCAAAGACAGCAAACCATCGAATGCCTGCGCATGGCTGCGCAACCGATCCTGGAGCAAGTTAATATTCTGGTCTGAGAGTCATTTTCAATCTCACATACCTCGATATCATCCATGCTGCCGGGTGGGATCCGTGCTGGTAGAGGGCGTGGGTCGTAGAAAAATTTGGGATGAGGAAATCTCCGCTCAGCTTCACCGCCCGCGCACAAAAAAATCACTGGAGACTTGGTCTGTGCGCAGTATACATCATATCGAATCTTCTGCCATCTGCCTTGTTTTTCAAGCACTTCATCGTTGAGAATAATACCTTCCTGAATAACAACTCGGATTTCCAGATTTAATTGGCGAAAATGCCTGTGGGAAATCATTCACGCGATTTGACTAAAGCTTGATCGTATTAGGTAATCCGATCGCAGAGGCTGCAAGTCTGGAGGACATAGGGACTATTTTGCGCAAAAGACAAGATGCAAGGTAAAGCTCAGAAGTGTGAAAGGGGAATTTTAACAGATCATAGAAAATCCAGAGGAAGTATACTAAATGATACTGTTACCTCACAGACCATGTCACAGACAACTGTAACCGTTTTGGTGGGATTTGAATAGAAGCGCAACTCTTGATGGTTTAAGGCACCAGAAAAGGGAAATGCAGCTAGAAAGAGGGCATTTGCTCATGTGAATAAAGGAAAATGAAACCCGAATAGTTCCTTGCAGCGGTAAACAAGCGTGGTGAGTGGCGGGATAAGGATAGAAGAAAGCAGGAGTGAGAGACGTCGAGATTGGTGCTGCGGATGCCGATACTGCAGGAAGCCATCGGAAATCACATCGCATTATGCACAGGGCAGTAGATCCAGTCAAAGTGTTGGTGGAAATAATGTCCGAAGTATTCTGTCTGTCTAAGTGGATGCCTACTCTGTACAGGTGGCCAGTGGATAAAAGATCCACAAAGGCACATGGCCCCCCCCCTCTCCCCTCTTGATAATTATGAAGAATTCATATCTGTGCACTAGAGTTGGGTATAACAAGCGAAGATCATCCAGGTGGATGCAAGACGCGTGTGTGAATGTTGCTAGCAGGCTGATTCATGGTAAGGCCGACATCCCCACACTGGGGTAATTCACGCGATGGTGGCTGGCTGACATGGAAACAACGCTGCCCTGAGGAATTGAATGTGGACCGACTCCATCAGGTGGCTTGAAAACTTGGCAATTGAGGGGTATCGACATGATAGCCGAGAAGCTGAAGACTCATTTTCTTTGCTATACACGCAGTGGGTGAAGCTCAAGGTCAGGAGGTCAATTGGTCCGCGCAAGCCGGATGCACGATAAATAATGGGCCTCAAATCCCGAGTATGCCTATAAGTAGACCGTATTTCCCAGATGATTTTCAATTATTCACTTGACAATCCGTTTCCTACAGACCCAAGGTCACAAAAGAGCCTATATTTTCCATTATTCATTCCCTTCGTGTAAAAATGCCCGGCCTACATACTCATGAGAAATACGTTTTTGGTAGAGATCCAAAGGAATCTGACCGGTAAGAGAAACAATCCAACTCAATGCAAGGTACTCGCGATCAACCAAGTACTAATTAGAAGGGAACAAACCATCTAGACTCAATGATCAGCACAGATTGCTCACAAAGGTGACTGAAAACACCTTGATCCACCCATCCATTCCAAAGGAAAACCTGCTTTCCGTTGCAGATATAGCCACCGGGACTGGGTGAGTATTTCAAAAGCTTCTCTTCTCACTGCCAATGACCAGGCTAATGGACTGCATTGTGCCTAGTATTTGGCTGAAAGATGTTTCGAAGGTCTTGGACCCTGAATCTCAGAGTCCAGTCTACTATCATGGATTCGATATCTCGTCCCAGCAGTTCCCCAAGGAAGAAGATAATATCCACTTCTCTGTTCACGACATAACGAAACCTTTTCCCGCGGAACATCTGGGCCGGTATGATCTTGTCCATGTGCGACTCCTGATTGCCGCAATCGACGAGTCTGATTATAAATTGGCAATTGCAAACATAGACGCCATCTTGAGTATGTCTCACCCAATCCAACCTGAAACCCTCTTAGTTCTTCTTTTCCTAATTCATCCAGAGCCCGGTGGCCATCTCCAGTGGGAGGAGATCGATGAAGAAACTTACATATCTGACAACAACCCTGTTATCCAAGAGATTCGGAGATGTTTCGACTCTTCGTTCACGGCCGAAGGGAAATGCTTTCAGGCTTCAGCAAAGGTTTTCCAGGAATGTATGGCAGCCGGATACATGGATGTCGTGCGGTTGGCATATACTTCGGACTGGGATAAATGTATCCGTCACGAGACGGATGAACGGCTAGTAGCAATTATCGAAACGCTGTATGCTGGTCTTCTGGTGCGATCTGGACAAGTGAAAGATGAAGAGGCGGCAATTATCAGAACTGCAGCCTTGGTTAAGCAGCATCGCGAAATCTGTGCGACTGGAAATTCTCCGCCGCTGAAGTTAATGCGAGTTATTGCCCAGAAGCCTACCTAGTCTAGATCTACAGTCTCTGACCACGGCATATTATCCGGTCGCGTATCGCTCGGCTGCTTTGCAAATTTGTTATATATGATATGATTTCAATGCTATATTTAGTGTCCTAGTCGTGACCCAGAATTTATGTCTATACCATCCCTTTTGGGAACGTGTGCCTTTCTCCGAAGAATCCCCACTCCTGCACGGACCCATCCCCCACCGAGGCACGAGACCCCTGTTCCATTCACGGGTTCGAAATGTGGGAGACTTTTTGCTTCTCAAATTGAATACATCTGAAGAAACTTTATTTATCTGTCCTACCCCAATTCACACAATGGCGGACCAAAATCTTGAAGACTGCCACGAAAAGAATGTAGATGTCTTGACAATCGATGCGAAAGCCTTACAGGCACTTCTGAGTGCGGGCGAGGTCACAAGTCTGGGTCTTGTCAGGCAATATGTAGCTCAGATTAAAAAACACGATGAAAAGCTTCATGCAATGATTCGAATCACTCCCAATGACCTGCTCGAGGAGGCTGCCAAATCACTGGATGAAGAACGGGCTGCCGGGAAGACTCGTGGGCCTTTGCATGGCATCCCGATCATTATTAAGGTTTGTTGGTCAGTGCGCGTTTGTTTAGATCTTGCTATGTTGACCGGGATATATAACTCAGGATAACATCGCTACCCATCCGAGCCTTGGTCTTCCCACCACCTGCGGAAGCCTTGCACTCTTGAGCTCGAAGCCCAAGAAAAATGCCGGAATCATCGACCAAGTTGGTTATGACAAAAAGATGTTCCAGAAATGATGAACTTGCTCACAAACTTTTAGCTCATTGATGCTGGCCTTATCATTCTTGGAAAGGCTAATCTTGCTGTAAGTACTTCCTCACAAGTTGGTGCGTCTTGACTTCGAACAGAATCATTTGATTAATGGAATATTTAGGAATTTGCCAATGCTAGGTATGAGCACCTGGGAAACCTACTTTCTTGATGACCTCAGTCAAACATGAGGCTGATAGAGAACAGGGGATCCGACATGCCTAATGGCTGGTCCGCAGTGGGTGGTCAGACACATTCAGCTTATATCTGTGATGGAATTGATCCAAACGATTCACCAGAAGGCCACTCGGTAATTATCTACCTCTATGCTTTCAGAGACCAAGGTCTGGGATTGTTGACCTTGTGTATTTCAGAACCCCTCAGGATCTTCTTCAGGTTCAGCCGTGAGTGTCTCAGCTGGCTACGCACCATTTGCCATTGGAACAGAGACAGATGGGTCGCTTGTTGCCCCATCTGGTCGGGCTGCGCTGTACACAATCAAACCATCGATTGGACTGGTTTCCCAAGATGGTATTATACCGGTTTCCAGCAATTTTGATGCAGCTGGACCCATGACAAAGTCATCGTATGATTTGGCTGCTCTCTTGGATATCCTTATTAAAAAACCTGCGTCAGTGTCTTTCACAAATCACTTGACCTGCTCATGGTCTGATATCTCTGTTGCGTTTCTCGACCCTGATGCATGGAAAGGTTCCGAGGACGACATTAAGCCCGTTGACGACGCGGAGGCTCAGATGGTAAGAGCTTTGCCAGAGACCTTCAAACTAATATCCGAACAAATTTTGACCCTCTTGACTACCACAGAAGCGCGAGATTCGCCAGGCGTATGAGGTCATCAAACCAAAGGTAAAGAAGTTCGTCGAGAATATCGATCTAGTCTCGCCTGAAACGTTCAGAATTGACAGAGAGGGAAGCGAATGGGCAATTATTCGTATGCACCTCTTGGCAGCCCAATACTATTCACACTAACGGCTCTTAGAGGCGGATATGAAGCCCCAACTCAATGCTTATTTTGAAGGCCTTGAAGAGAGCGAGGTCCGGTCCCTTGCAGAGGTGATTGCTTTCAACGAGAAACACGCCGATCTGGAGCTGCCCCCGCGTATGTACACTGCCCGCTTCTTCTTTGGAGCCTGCACCACTGACAGCCCCAAAGATCACCCTAGACAAGACAACTTCATCAATTCCGAAAACCAGCAACTCTCGACAGAAGAGTATGACCGACACCTCTCATACCTGAGGCACATGGGAAGAGAAAAAGGCGTGGACTTGGCACTGAATACTTATGGTGTCGATGTCATACTGGGTTCTATTGACAGCGGTCTCACGTCCTTGGCAACAGCTTCTGGTAAGAGGCCGATAGCAGAGGTCATCTGGAAATCGAAAAGGGGTTTACTAACTTATCTCTTCTTCCAGGCTACCCTCTCTGTGCAATGCCGTTGTCATACCTGGATTATAATGGCCGCCCATTTGGGGTTGCAGCCATTGCAGGAAAACACCAAGAGCATCTCTTGGTCAAGGTCATGAGTGCCTGGGAAGCTACTTTTCCTGCACGAAAGCCTCCTCCACAACTCGTGAAGCTACCTTGAATGTAATTGGAGATGAGATTGATATGGCATGTTCTGAGAAGGCCGAAGATATCTCAGGCGAAGACAGGTCTATAGATCCAAATTTCTAATTGTACAGTGAGCGTATTCCTTGTACTAATTCTTTCGTAGCGTAGATTGACCAATGCGAACCAAGTCATTATTTGACAAAGTCTCCTTGTCAAATCCATGTATAGCCTGGTTCAGCACCGCAGCTGCAAGCTCATCTCGGCTCACATTCGGCAGAGCCCTGGTGAATAAATTCACCACACTAAACGTGGAAGCTAGCAGAGACCTCAACCACGTTGTTGAGTTTGTCACCACACCTGGATGGGCAATGCAAACCTCAGTCCCGCCATACTGTGTCGGAAACTTTCGCACCATGTTTTCTGTCTCACACTGTAGAAATACCCCAGTATTAGCTTTGTAACAAACGTCCACGAGGAAGACAGAAACTCACACGCATGACTTGATAATCTCCCAAGATGAAAGGTCTCTGTGACGGATCTTGTGGGGTCCCCTCGGCACTAAAATAAAGGAACCGAAATGGTCGTGCAGGTCCAGCCTCATAAATTCCCTTGAATCCAGCCAACGTGCAGTCCTGGCATACCCGCTTGACTTCTGCGAAATCGAAGGCTGTACTGCGGAAAGGTGTGACTGCCACAGTCCTAGAGACTTGATAAGTATTTTTGGGGATTCTTTTTTCATGGACGCCATCATACCAAATACATGCGTCTGCTCCGGCCAGCTCGGCCTTGACTTCGTCTGGGTACTCAGCGTAGTCACGAATGACTACACTTTTCAATTTGGAGGCGCTGCTATTATCAAAGGCAACAGGCTTACGAGCCAGCGCAATTACCTCGGTCACATCGCTGTTCTGTAACGCTTGTCTAATAATTTCACTCCCTACCAAACCCGTGGCTCCAGCTACTATCAGCTTCATGATTGTATGCGTTATTGGCAATAGGAAATGGTTGCTGCGTATGAATTCTCGCCTAGTTGACCGATAAGTGACTCCTGAAATAAGAGTAAACTTGCACACAAAGGGTGTCAACTTTGAAATACCCCGGGGTTGTGCCTCATCGGTGTTCGGCCGGCCGAACCCCGATCGCTGTTCGGAATGCCGTTGCCCACTTCCACATGCCTATTTCCCTCCTCAACAACCCACTTAAGTGAAACATCTAGAATGCCAAAAACCCGGTCTTTCGAGCCCATTAAGCTGTATGGGAAGGTATGTACCTATGCCTCACTTAAGGTATCATCTCATAATGATTTACACCCACCCACAGGCCTGCTTGAATTGCTCCAAGTCGAAATGCAAGTGTGTTTCCCAGCCCGGGGGTCATGGCTGCGAGAGATGTCGTCGGCTTGAAAAGCATTGCACCCCTGGAAAAGCAGTGAGATCACGTAATGCTGAAAGTAACAATCCCATACGTCGCATCGCTCAGCTTGAGGACAAGATTGATAGCCTCGTTTCTCAGCTAGAGCGCAGTCGGGTGATAAAGTCTGTCGTGAATACACTATCGACACCTCAAACCTATACCAGCTCTCCCGTCTCATCCTATACAATCACTAAGATTCAGGCTTCGCCTGGCTCGACAGAGCCAACGGTCGACCCTTCTTCACCCGAGCAATGTCTGGCGGAATTTCGGGTGAAAATGCTCAAGTATTTCCCATTCATGCATCTTCCTTACAACGCAGAATGGATGTATACTCATCGACCCTTTCTATTCACTTGCATACAAGCAGCATCTTCTCGATCAACGAAGGTCAAACTCGAACTGGGAGAGAAAATCAAACAAACATTGATCCAGCGCGTCTATTTCGACAACAATGCGCACTCGGTTGACCTCGATCTACTTCTCGGACTCCTAACCTTTATTGCCTGGGGCCATGACAATCTCCTTAATGGAACATCTGCTAGAGTGTCCCGGTTTTCACATTTAGCCATGACATTGGTGTTTAGCCTCCGCCTTAACAAGCCGCCGCCACAGGAGTCAAATATGCTTCCGTTGGAAAAGACAAGCTCCAACACAGACAACCCTGCAAGGACCCTAGAAGAGAGACGGGCTGTTTTAGGATGCTTTGTTGTGAGCTCGGTCGTATCCTCATACTTCGCTCAAATCGACACGATGCAGTGGACGCCATACATGGATGAGTGTATCGAAGTTTTGAGTGAACAGAAAGAATCCATGTACGATGAGGCGTTCGTACAGCAGGTCAAACTCCAACGCCTCGCGGAAGATATTGAAGACATCAAAGGGAGGGACAAATTGCCACCGGCCTTTTTCTCAGCGGGTCTCCGATACAGATTGAATGATATCAAAATGCAGCTGTCACCACAACTACTTCAGGATGGTAAATTGAGCTTCCCAGTCTACCCCTGAACCTATGATCTCTGACACTTAGTAGAAATTATGCTTTCATCAATCTATTACACGGAGTTGAGCATATCCGGACTCATGCTCTGCAATAAAAACTTCACAGACTCCCAGGAACTCGAAAGCCTTTATCAATGTCTTAACACAATCAAATCAGCCCTAGAGAACTTTTTCAGATTACCCGCCTCCGAATATTTTGGAATACCTTTTCCATTCTTCACTCAACTTGCGAGAACTATCGTCATGTTAATCAAGCTCTCAACATCAACGGATGCATTTTGGGATTCGGCACTAGTGACTGGAGAAATCGACGTGCTACAAGTGCTGGATCGACTGTTGAACAATATGGACGAAGCCCAAACAGCGATGGGTGATCAGGCTAAAGATGGATATCTGGATAAAGCTTTCAAGGTATTTACATCGGTCAGATCGTGGTGTTCCTCAAGGCTTGACAGGAAGATTGGAGAAGTGATGTCAGATCCTCTTTGCGATGGAAACTTTGAGAGTAATATACAGTTAGAGGATTTCTTTTTGGATGATGCTTGGTTCAAAGATTATTTGATTTGATGAGCTCTGCAACTCATTCATATAACCACTTGTTTGTTTTCGAGCCAACTTCAAAGCATTTGATTCTCAGACGTCAGGTCTCACTGTACAGCTGAATAACCAGTAGGCCTATGCAACCGAGCTATGATACGTGTGGGTTAACCAATAGGCAAGAGAGAGCTAATAGTAAGCCAATCAGTGTTCCAATGAAGAGTAGTCCTGATCATTTTGGTTTCGAATATCAAGACCCACTGGTCAAAGGATTGCCCAGTGGGTCCCTGCAGCTGAGCCATGATGCACGCGAGATAACCAGTAATGAAGAGCGGGCTGAACAGTAAGCCAGTGAGCTTTTGAATAGAGGGTAGGCCTTGTCATTTTGATTTCAATTATCAAGACCCACTAGACAATTCGTTGACCAGTGGGTCGATGCAGCTGAGCCGTGATGCGCGCAGATTAATTATAGGCACTAGTGAGCTAGCAGTAAGCCAGTAGGCTTTCAAATAGACAATAAGCTCAGTACCTCCAAGAGCTTTATGTACTTATCCTTTATGTAGAGACTCCACCAGCTAGAAGCATTCCTATTGGTGCGGCTTTATCTCGGAATTGGTGATAGCTCCGCTCGGCTTTGTCGGAATAACTATCGGAGATCTCGATCTCCGAAGAAGCACTGGCATACTCGCAGACCTGTCCCCTCCACAAAGGCGCAGTTCAGACAAGTTCTACCTTATGACCGCTGGAACTTAAGGGTACTCGGAGCTCAGAATGCTATCGCCGAATGCACAGTCACATAACGCCGGTACATCTCCGGGTCCGAGCAATGGAGCCAAGAGAAAGCGGAAAGTGTACTCATGCTACGAATGTCGCCGACGAAAATTGCGCTGTGATCGGAACTACCCCACCTGTAGTCGATGTCAAAAAGCTGGTCAAGGTAGCTCTTGTTTCTATGATGGACCTCCGCCCTCCACATCTCTTGAGCCCCTTGCAGCTCCAGCCCCGGGGAAAGCTGCAGGACCCACACAGCTCAGGACGACCCCGGCGCCTGTGGCCAGGGCTAACTTTGACGATCATCGACAACCTGTATTAGTGGGGACATCCTTGTCGAGCCTGGAGGCAGATCGAAATACTGGGACCTGGCAGCTTCTTAGTGAAAGAGCGGCTTCGACGGCCGATTTTCAGCATCAACGGCCTGCTGTAAAGGCCGATAATGAGGAGCCGCCGTTTCCTGGTCGAACCCATGATGCTATTAGGAATGTCATCTTTCGTGGAGAGAATTTCAGGACTCAGTATTACGGTGGAAGTAATCCGGCCAGTTTGATCGGTCATGTAAGATGCCCAAAACCCATGGTATGCTAAGTGCACTCAATCTGATATGTTCTAGTTTCCTGAACTTCGGTCATTCATGAAAGAAGCTATCAAGCTTCAAAGATCACTTTATAAAGTGCAACATGATTTGAAGACTCGGCATAAGAAATGGAAAGCAGAGAAAGTAAATACACTATCAACGCCCCAACTCGATTTCACATACCTTCTTCCCGACCAAAGAACGATCGATGAACTTGTGCACCGCTACTTCGACACCTTTGAATCCGTCTACAAGATCATGCATGGCCCGAGCTTCTGGGAAGAATATGAAAAATTCTCTGCTGACCATCTATCGACATCATCTGCCTTTGTGGTCCTTGTCTTACTGATCATGGCCACCGCGAGCTGTATCTCGCGCAATGAACAAACCCGCTACATAGGAGATAGTTCCCTGGGCCGAGAGCGCGCAGTAATGTGGATCGAAGCCTCGGAATCCTGGCTTAGATCTCATAGCCAGAAGAATGTATACCTGGCCGTCTGGCAAATTCGCTGTCTCTTGGTCTTAGCGAAAATGGTGAATACAGTCAAGAAAAAGCGACACTGGACTGAGGCCGGAAACCTTGTGAGAGAAGCAATGGCAGCAGGAATGCACCGTGATCCGGGTCTTCTAGGAGAAAAGGTTTCAGCGTTCGACCGAGAGATGCGACGTCGATTGTGGGCTACAATAACCGAGTTAGAACTTCAGGCTTCAATTGATCGTGGAATGACCTCCACATCGGCAGGAGCATTTGCCGATACTCAGGGTGTTTTGAACCTCGAAGACAAAGACCTTACGGATGAGCCTGATGCACTAGATACACAACGACCTGTGACCGAATGCACCGAAAGTTCATTCCTCTATTTTTCGAATATCAGTTTCTCTCTACGCGTGTCTTTGAATTCTCTCGTGAATGATATGAGTTCTCCGTTACGATATGAAGAAGTCATGCACTATGAAGAACTTATCACAAAAGAACTCCAAAGGCTTCCGCCGTGGACCTCTGTACGGTCCCATCCGAATGAGCCTGGGCTATCCCTGGCGGCAAGAACACTTCTCGATGTCCAACTTCGACAATTTTTGATCATGCTACATGCACCCTTCGCTCGGCAAGCTGAAAGTACATCCCGACATTCATTCTCCAGAATGGTCTGCTTTGATGCCGCATCCAGCATCATTGATCAATATGCACGACTCAGCGAATCCAATAACCTCATGCTATTGCTTCTTCGACATGATTACTTCCGAGCTGCATTGGTTATCTGTCAGAATTCGTACATTTCTTTGACTCTTCAAAGTGAGTACGCCAGAGACCTGGCCTTGCCTCATTGACTTATAGCCATTACTAACATTATTCAGATGATCTCCTTCTAAGCTCCAACACCTCGGTCTTCATAGACTATATCGAAAAAGCACTATCAATGCTAGAAGACCGCATTGTCCAAATTGGCACAGGATACACTCATCATTGGTATATCTCAGCTGGACGTGCTCTGCTGCGATTGACCCTTTCTTTGGACCAGTCAACACAAGAAAGCGGCCAGGCTGTTGACCGGGTCGCAAGACAATATTACAGAGTGATGTCTTCGCAGGTCGAAATTGAGATTGCGAAAGAAAAAATCATCACACTTCCAGAGAATAGAGTAAGTGTACATATCAAAATTTTCGAAGATTTTGCTAACTCTTGCTAGATGAATGCTATTTATGAACATTCAAAACTCCCAAATGAGTTGCTGGATCCGTTGGGATCGCCTTTTCCTGATTCCAATGCACTAAATGTATGTGTTCACTTGTCATTTCTTTTTTTGCCTTGCGGGCCCCAGCTGATTATCAAAGGCTCTTTTTGAACAAACCGATATGAATGACTTTTTCGGTGACCCAGAGGTGTGGGTATTTGATAGTCTGTACCCGGTGGAGTCTTTGTAGGTTGAAGATTGATGCAAATGTATAGTACTATATTTTGATTGACATATTTATTGAATGGAACAGTTCTAGACCACCCACAACTAAACCTTCGTTTGGCATTCCATTTACTAAATATTTTGACACCACAATATAAAGACAGCTACACGTCTACAGAAGTGCGCTATTAAGCTTTATCTTTATGGAGATCACATATAGTATCACAGGATAATAAGTTCTTTCTGCGAATGAAGGAGTCCTGAATGAAGCGGTGCCTGCCAAATAAAGCTCGCGCAAATATTTTATAGACCTGACCGCGACGAATTACGGCCTTTACCGAGCTATGTGTCAAACAAAATTCACCGGCTCAAAAATCCCCCTATGGAGACATGTCAGATAACATACTAGGAGAATTATGTTACAGCGGTACCAGTGAATCCACAGCATTGGATCATATGGCTTTACATTCCTATGCCCGGGAAAATGTAGCGAGCTAATAGAAATGTGCGGGACTAAATTGCAGCATTCTTGGGCGCAACTCCTTGTGGCCTTATGTATGGACACATTTAGGAATCAGGTCGGTTAAATAGTATAAATTAAGTATGGGGAAGGCATCTTTTGCTCAGTTCTACGTTATTAATTTGTTTGAATCATTTGACTATCCTGCCTAATTGCCAACATGCGCTTCGTAGCTCTCGCTCTCTTTTTCGGTGCCGTTTTGGCTGATCAGTCTTCGGTTGTTATACTAAAGCATAGCGACGGCAATATCGTTAGTGTCCTGGCAATCCATTCTATGAAGGCCAGCCTATTTCTAGTCAACACAAAAATATGCTAACAAACCCATCTATATGTTTAGGAAGAGTCCGATTACCCGTCGAGATGCTACCCAGACCCCTGCAAAGGTATAACCTACCAAAACAAAACTGCCATCTGCGGTGACCCACGTTTGGGACCAACCGAGCTCCCGAAGTACTTTCCTCTCTCAACGGAAACCCAAACCTACTACCGTTTCGGCAACCTCTGCCCCTACGAGTTCCTCCAAAAGTATTCCGTGAACGTCTCGGACCCGAATGCCTACCTTATCTACCCCGGTGCTAACGGCTTCGCCAACACCACCGCCAACACACCCATCTCCGGTACGGCCAAACTGGTTGTCGGCCAGAAGGTGGATCGATTCGGAGATGAGAATGGAACTTATCTGGCTCCGCTTGGTGCGCCTTATATCGAGCGTGGTCTGCCGCCGAAGAATCTGTTTGCGCCGGTGAATAGCAGTTATCCGTATAACTACCATGTGTATCAGGTGATGAAGGAGATCACTGTTACTTTGGGCCCTGTTGCTGGTTGGTTTGAACAGCCAGGTCTTGGGACGCAGTTTGTTTTGACTGGGAAGGATACTGTTGCTAGTTTGGTTACGGATCAGAAGTTGAAGATCTTGCAGAAAATGGAGTATGATGAAGCGAAGGACTTTGCTGCTGATTATCTGCCTACTCCTCCGCAAAAGGCTTAGAATTAGGCTGGTCGTGGTGCCGAATGTGAAATTGATGGTTGTGTTTGATGGGAGTGTGTCTTTGTTAGATGAAATAATACTTTTATTAATGTAATGTCTAAAGGCATGAAACTTTCATTTGAGCCCATCTTTGGCTTTCCGAATTGCAATAGAAAGTCCTGACACTACGAGGCACATACGAGAAGTGGGGGTCTGCTTACGCTTTCTGTAGTTACAGTATTATTACGAATTTGATTAATATTTCAAGTGAAACACGAGGAAATGCGCCAAGTCACATGGGAATTGGAAGACTGTCATGGTTGACGTACGTTTTGACGAGTTTACAAGGGAGATTCAATGGTCATACACTATCCGAAAGAATCATCTGAGAAGTGAGAGGCGTATGCATTCGTCAATTGAAGCTATATAAAACTTTCATATATCATCTTGTGTAGGTATTAAACCGATTCTTCATGGACAGCCGCAGACTCTTCAGTCTTGACACCTCTGGCGATATCAGCTGGGTGACTTACTAAAGCATCCTCGCCGTCAAAGATAACGGCAATTTGCTCTAGAGAGTATCCTTTGGTTTCCGGGTAATAGAAGAAGGCCGTTGCGCCAAATACCAGCAAGACAGCCACGAACACAAAGTAGTATTTCCATGCGATGGCGTCCAGTGCGATGGGATTGACGAAGGTATTGAAGAACATGCCCACAATTGAGGCTAGCCATGTCACAGTCAGACCTCGGGATCTGAGACGGAAGGGCCAGATTTCGCAAGGGTATGAGGTGAGAAAAGGTGTTCTATTAAAAAACGAGAATCAGTACACAATGTCGAGGACAAATGTAAATGCATGGCAGTAACTCACAGCGCAATGCAGTATCCAGCGAAGAAAATAAACAGGAATGGGATGACTGCAGCTCCAGTTGCGGGGTTCCCGTGCACTTGGTATGCGCCCGACAGAGCTGTCACGAGCACATAACTCACGAACATGATGCAGGCCGATGCCATGAAAAGGGGTCGTCGTCCCAGTCGATCAATCAGGATTGCACCCAGACCCGCGAAGATCAGGTCCCACACCTGGAGACAAGCTGAGATGAGTGTCTGATCCTTGACCTCGGTGACGCCAACGGAGTTCAGAATTAAAGAGAGATAGTAGGAAATGACACCGTTTCCAACCCACTGAGCAAAGAGTCCAAGAGTGATGGAGATCATGAGACGGCGACGGTTGCCGGGTGTTTTGATCATCTCAAGATAACTGCCGTTGCTGTTGGCTGCTTGCTCTGCGTGAATGGTGGAGGTAATCTCCAGAAATTCGTAGTTGACCAACGGCGAGTTGGAATCACCATCGGCATGGTACTTGATGAGAATGGCGCGGGCCTCGCTCTCTCGTCCCACTGAGACGAGCCACCTAGGGCTTTCTGGTGCAAGGAGAAAGCCCGGCAGTCCGACCAGGGGGACCAAAGCTTGGAGAACGGAAGGCAGTCGCCAGGCCCAGGAGGAGCCGTATGTCCGAGAGGCGAATACCACGAAGGCGGCCACGGTTCCACCCACGTACCAACCTGACATGAACAGGGAGTTCAGGATGCCACGGTGGGTAGGGTAGGCGATCTCGTTGATGAGCAGAGGAACCGAGTTACCGAACAAAGCAGAAGCACCTCCCAAGAAGAATCTGGCCATCAAAAATGCCGCACTATTCGGGGCAGCGGTTTGTAGGGCAACCCCCAGGGCCAGTAGACCATAGCCCACATACACACCGGGCTTACGGCCGTACTTGTTGGCAATCCATGAAGCAGACGGGTAGCCAATACCGCAGCCCAGCCAGTAGATGGCATTGATCCAACCCAACCAGGCACCTGATGGGTTGTCCATGAATCCTTTCCATTGGTCAAGGGCCTCCAGACCATTCATCAAAGATCCATCGTATCCGTTGGCAGATGAATACATCACCAACGAGATTATGATGAAGTTGAGACGCAAGAGATGGCGCTGCTTATACCATGGTGCAGCGTCGACAGGGATAACAGCCATGAGAGGATCATCCTCTGGAACAGGCACAGTCACACTCGCAGTATCATGCTTGCTGAAACCCATAGCGGACAAAAAACAATGGAAGACAATAGCAATGAAAGGGAGGAATCGAGTCAATTACCCAGGGGCACTGCAAGGTTTTATGCGCCCGACAGATCTACACGCCATTACCCGGGGTTAAATTCTCGGCTTTGGTTTCTTTTGCCGGGTTATACTCGTGCATCAGTTGAGTCAAGAGAATTTTGGCAAAATGAGACAAATGTCTTCAATTGGGCCAATAAAGTCTCCAATTCTTCCGGAACTTCGTCACCTGGCCATCTTCAAACCTCAATTTCCCTGGTCCACCGGCCGGTCGGTAACTCGTGGGATGATTTTGTGGGGAGATATGGGGTCGGAATCGGCTTCTTTCGCTCTAGATTGCCGGGGAGCGGAGAAACGGAGAAAAGGAAAAACGGAGAAGTCCCAAGCCTCCTTGACTGTGGAGCCCAGCCCGGTCCACATATATGTTGTCATCACATTGGTTTTTGGAGACAAGGTACGCGAAATTTGGGGAGTCTGTTTCACGTGCGGGGAGTTGCGGCAATGTGTTTTGGAGGGGTACAAAGGATGTCTCCCACACAGGGAAATTTCCAATCTTCTCATTCTGCCCGACATTGTCATACACAGAAGCATAATGACTGTCAAGGACATTGTTAATAGCGCATTTGCGCAGATCGCAATTGCAGACATTGAAAAGATCATCAAAGAGCTTACTCAAGACGAGAAAGTGTCACTTCTGAGTGGTAAGCTCCAGAAATCGCGAGAATAAGAGATCCAATTAACAAAATCTGCAGGCGAGGACTTCTGGCACACAGTCCCAATTCCTCGACTGAATATCCCCTCAATACGACTCTCCGATGGACCCAACGGTGTACGCGGAACACACTTCTTCAGCAGTGTCCCGGCCGCTTGTCTCCCATGCGGAACCGCAATTGGAGCCACATTCGACCGCGACCTTGCACTTGAGATTGGTCATCTTCTCGCTGCCGAAGCGAAAGCAAAAGGCGCGCATGTGATCCTGGGACCAACAATCAACATCGCACGCGGTCCATTGGGCGGGCGAGGGTTTGAGTCTTACTCCGAAGACCCGTTCTTGTCAGGAATTCTTGCGGGCCATTATTGCAAGGGATTGAAGGAGAGGAACGTCAGTGCGACCCTCAAGCATTTCGTCTGCAATGACCAGGAGCACGAGCGGATGGCGGTCAATTCCATTGTGACCGATCGCGCGATCAGAGAGATCTATCTGCTGCCGTTCATGATTGCTATTGCGCTCGGCAAGCCCGATGCTGTCATGACTGCGTACAATAAAGTCAATGGCTTGCATGCATCTGAGAATCGAGAGCTTCTACAAGATATCCTACGCGAGGAATGGGGTTGGGACGGTTTGGTGATGAGTGATTGGTATGTTATCGGTCCTCAGAATTTACAGGCGGGAATTGGCAAGCTAACCTTGTTATTTGTCTTTCAGGTTCGGAACATACAGTACCTCCGAAGCTGTAAACGCAGGTCTCGACCTTGAAATGCCCGGCCCACCGAGATGGCGTGGCGGGGCCTTATCACACGCAATCACAGCCAACAAGATCCCGCTCGCTTCATTAAATGCGCGCGTTCGCGCAGTTCTGAAGCTGGTTCAAAAAGCAAGCAAGTCCGGCATTCCTGAAAAGGCCCCAGAGACACAATTGAACCGTGCAGAGGACAGAGCTCTGCTGCGCAAAATTGCCTCGGAAGCTATCGTCTTGTTGAAGAACGAGGAAAAGATCCTTCCATTGAACAAGGGCAAACGAATTGCCGTCATTGGGCCTAACGCGAAGATCACTGCTTACTGTGGTGGCGGTAGCGCAGCCTTGAACCCGTACTACACCGTGACACCCTTGGACGGAATTTCCAACTCCGCGAAAGCAGGTGTGGAATTCGCTCAAGGTGTCTATGCACACCAGATGCTACCGCTTCTGGGCAAGCAGCTCCGCCTTGAGGATGGCCAAACTGGCTTCAAACTCAGCATCTTCAATGACGCACCAGATGTAGCAACACGCAAACCACTTGAAGAGCGCCACGAGACTGATTCGATGATCATTTTCATGGATTACGATCACCCAGATCTGCAAACAATTTGGTATGCCGACGCCGAAGGCTATTTCGTCCCGGAAGAGTCCGGAATCTATGATTTTGGTCTCACGGTCAATGGAACCGCAAAGCTCTACGTGGATGGAGAGCTAGTCATCGACAACACTGTGAACCAGCGGCCAGGAACGAGCTTCTTTGGAAGTGGAACATTGGAGGAGATTTCTTCCCTAGAACTCGAGGCTGGCAAGAAATACAAGGTTCTGATTCAGTGGGCCTGTGGAAAGACCAGTACTTTCAAGGTCCCTGGTGTGGTTGATTTCGGTCATGGTGGCTTCCGCTTTGGAGCGTGCAAGCAGCTGTGTCCTCAGGCTGGTATCGAGCAAGCAGTTCAGGTCGCTGCAAGTGTTGATCAAGTTGTCCTGGTCGCGGGTTTGAATGGAGAGTGGGAGTCTGAGGGCGAAGATCGTGCCAACATGAGCCTGCCTCCGAACACAGATGAGCTCATTTCGAGGGTCTTGAAAGCGAATCCTAATACTGTTGTTGTGATCCAAAGTGGAACTCCGGTCGAGATGCCTTGGATCAATGAAGCAAAGGCTGTCTTGCATGCTTGGTACGGCGGAAATGAGACTGGTAATGGTCTCGCCGATGTGGTCTTCGGGGATGTGAACCCGGTAAGTGTGGTTTTTTTTTTTTAGATCAAGATTGGAAGAACAAAGATACTGACATTTTTTTCAGTCCGGCAAACTTCCCCTCACATTCCCCCGCCGACTGAAGGATAACCCCACATATTTCAACTTCCGTTCCGAGGGCGGCCGAGTCCTGTACGGAGAGGACGTGTACGTGGGATACCGATACTACGAGGGACTAGAACTCGAACCCCTATTCCCATTCGGACACGGTCTCTCCTACACGACCTTCCAGGTCTCAGATCTGAATGTCAATGACTCAGAAAATATTTTGAATGTCAGCTGCAAAGTGCAGAATACCGGCTCACGAAAGGGAGCAGAGGTCGTTCAGTTATACATTGCACCAGTCTCACCCCCGATCCGACGCCCGTTGAAAGAGCTCAAGGAATTCCGGAAGGTATTCCTCAACAGCGGCGCCGAGGAAACCGTCACTATCCCCCTTGACCTTGTCCGTGCGACTAGCTACTGGGATGAGAAGAGCAGCAGCTGGTGCAGCTATGAAGGAGCCTACAAAATCATGGTAGGAACTAGCAGTGGTGGGGAATTTTTGGAAAATGTCGTGAATGTGAGTGAGACGACATACTGGTCTGGTGGCTGGTAGAATCAGACATAGGCCATTGTTTTTCATGAAAGGCACATATGAAGTCGTAAAATTAGATTAGAATAGTATAGAAACGAGCCAAATGAACTGTAGAAGTCGGTTTGATACAAACAATCATTCTCGGATACGATCGGTGTCCACCCACGTCGGTAGATGCATGGTATTCATACTTTCACTCCTATCCAACCAGGTCAATACCTCAGAAGACTGTCGCACGTACTCTGCCACCCGTTTAGAGATAGGGTCATCAGGACCAAACGGGCTAGCAAGCAGACTAGCCGAGATATCGCGCACCTTATTCGCAAGATGTAGCCCGTTAGTCTCCAAGCTGAGTGGAGGGAAATGATAGATAATATAGAATAGTCGGCGGCAGATTTCCTCTCTTTCTCCCCAAAGTGCCCTCTGATCGAACATGTGCGAAGACAAGCCCCGCTCTTGTTGATGTGCATGTGTAGCTTCCAGCTGATCCATGGTAAGGCTCTGCAGCCATAGATGTGTAACGTGGATATTCACCCGCAAGGACGAAAACTGGGAGGCAACCATTGTGCGGAGATCTTCGTCTCGCTCTTCAAATTGCCAGGCCTGAAAATCGACTGGGCATTCGTCCAGTATGTGCTTGAGGGTTGCTAATCGGTCTTGGAAATATGTAATCTGAAGCTGGGGGTGGTGTGCTCGAATACACGGGCACGGTTCCTCAGCAGCTTTCTTCGGACATATAGCACGAATCGCGGCCCAGAATATTCGTGAGTGAAGCACGAAGCCGGTTTCGAGGCATGATGCTGGTTCGGCAGGCATTAATACCTCATTCTCAAGGATGGATTCATCTGGAACCTCTAAAGGCATCAGGTCTTCTGGATTGATGAATTGCAAGGTGTCGTTATCCAAGTAGGATAGACGTTCGCCCAAGACACTTTGTGATGTTCCGTGTCTGGTGTGGAATATATGTCAAATTTAAATGCTTCCATAATCAATAGCTACGAAGCCACTCACACATGAGAATAGAAAAGTAACCAAAATCCTTTCTTCCGAAGTTGCGTCTCAATGCAATTGAGGCCTCGATACTCGCCTATAGAGTGCAGGTTCAGTAGTCGAGCAAGCTGGAATGCTTCGGCACTCATCATCCGCCCCCAATTATGATCGCCGAGCTGCAAGAATGCAGCGAACAAAAGGTAGGAGATGGCAAACTTTTGAAAATTGAGTTGATCGTAGTAAGACGGTTTCCGTAGCGCCATAACCTTCTGGTAGCAAAAATGCACCATCTCTTTTCGAGATGAGAACCTCAGTGGTGGATTGCGGGCTTTGTAAGCCTGAAACCTAGCCGGCATGGTCGCCACGACCAGCGCGGCAATCATGACTGTTAGGGCGGAGAAGACCTCATCCTGCTGCTCTTCCTGAAGAGCTTTTTTGAAGGATGGGCGATGGACTATTGGGACCATCGGGTACAGGTATGTCAGATAATCCTGCATCATGGTCTCAAATAGATCTCGGCCGCAAATATCGTCCGTCCAATACTGGGTACAGTGCGTATGATGCTCTGTTTGCTCGGCGGAATTTGCCCTTTGGTCTATCAGAATCTGCCCATACTTAGAATATTCCGGGTCATTCTCCTACCGTTTCTTCGGTCCTCGGATCCTCGTTGGTGATAGAAAGGTGCACGCCAGGTTGAGCCTCTCGCATCGCCGACAGCGGGATAGAGCAGGGCCGGACTGCGGGCCTGAAAAGTGACATTTCACTTTGCGCTTTCGACATATATCACATGCCTGGCTTGAAAGCTCTGCGCGCAATAGCTGATGGGCAGCCTGTGCCATATTGTAGATGGGAAAGTATGAGGTTCGGCCGGTGCTGCGGAAGGAAGTCAATGCGCCAAGACACTAAACCAATCACAATAATGTATCCGAGGATAAAGTTCAGCCACGCTAATGGGAGTACCAGGCGTTCACGGCGAACATGATCGGCAAGTAGTATTAGACATATGTTTACATCTTCTTATCGCGCGTCGAAGGATAAGTAAGCAAGAATGACTCATTCAACTTGAACCCTTGACAAATTGCTTAATTAAAGCTTCGCCGTTTCCTTCCTCACATTCTCATCCTTGGAGAACCGATAGATAACATCTTCGAAAGACCCAGTGGGAAACACGTAAAACCACTTCAGCTCCTTTTCCCCGGTATTCACGATCCCATGCTCGGCATCGCCGGGAATGAACACTGTGCTCCCCTTGCTAACCGTGCTTTCCACCCCATTAATTGCGACCTTCCCCTGCCCCTCAATAACATAGTATATCTCGGCTTGTTTGTGTCTGTGGGGGCACAGGTGGCCTGATCGAGGCGGACAGGCGGCTATCCCGGCAGACATGTCTGAGGTGTTGGTGTTCGGAGCCGAGAACAGGGTATGCCATGTGACTATCCCATAGTCCGGGGATGCAAATGATTCCGAGGGTTTTATTGAGGTGTAGTTAGGAGGAAGGACGACCGGAGCAGGGTTTGATTTGGAATTCGCCATTTTGTTTCTGATTGAGGGAACAAAAATTGATGGTATAGTTCTAAAGGGATACCTAAGGGAGATTTAAGAATGATTCTCACTTCATGTGATATGGGCTTTATCGCTTTTGAAGTTTGTTGTCCGGTTATTGCTCACGACGTTCTACTTACCCCACGTAGACTCATCCTGGACGGGGTAGCCTTTCCTGATTCGGCATGTTGGTCCATGGTTTATATTTAGATGAATATACCCACTTTATGTGTGCCCGTTCTATGCCGAATTGGATTGGAGAGCAAGAGAAACCATTACTGGGAAGGTCGTTTAGGCTGCCTGGTCAACTCCAAACCTGCAATTCTACTATAGCAGTCAGAATGGAGTCGGAAAGGGGGTTCCTGGCTTATATAAGCGTTGAACTTGATTGAGTTTACTAGTGAATTTGACTGATTTTTCTCTCTGTACTGGTAATACTAGTATTTCAACCTTTCTGCCAATAACAGACTGAGCTTCAAGGTCCCCATTGTCCTTGATCTCAACCTTGAATCGCCACACACGCAGCCAAAATGTCCATTGCATCCCTTCCCGTGGAATTGACCTCAGAGATATGTAAACATCTAGATATCCAGCAATGGGCCGCTCTGAGGTTATCATGCCGCGCATTGTACGAACATTCACTTGAGAACTTCGCGGAAACCTATTACAAAAGCATCCGTTTCATTGTGACAAGCGAAAGTCTCCACGAATTGGAAAAACTATCCAAGTCAAATGGTCTCCGCGAGCACGTCCAAGAGCTTTGGATGATACCAACTGTGTTTAGTGGCACTGAAGAGCCCATTGGCATGGTATCTATATCATCAAAAAGCTGCCGTCAAGTGAAAGGTGACGAGCTGAATACCCGACATGCCGTTCACAAAGCGATGGTCGCGGATAATTCCAATCTGCTGGAATCAGAAACATTCAGTGTTCGACTTCGGGAATGCATAAATCGATTTAAAAACCTCCAAACAATAGGACTCGCACATTATAGCACGGAATTCTTACTTGATCCACGGCAGCAGACGGTTCGGTTCCTGGGAAGGCGACAAATGATAAGCCAGCTTGATTTTCGATTCGATGTTCACAGCCTGCAATCCTTGACCCAGACCAATACGAATTCTCAGATAAGGAACCTGAACTCCCTGGCATTATCGAAGCTTTTTCTTGCGTTATGTGGCTCAAACTGCAAACCCCGAAAGTTATATACCTGCGATTCTAATTTCTGTGGTGATATCGGCCCCAAAATTGCCCTCTCTGAAGAACAATTTGACTCTCTACTGTCTGCTTTAAAAAGCCTAGGAGATTTCCATTTATGTATTGATCTTAATAAAGCCGCCTGGCTGAAGCTTATCACGAGCCTTGCACCGCAGTTAGAAAGACTGACTTTGTCGCAAGATCATATGCCTGCCTATCCTGCAAAAAGCTACGTTGGAAATATGTTCCAGAAAACTAACTTCACTCGACTCCAAGAGCTTCATATTAATAAGTCAGATATCTATATTAACACTTTAGAATTACTATTGCTTAGTGTAAAGAAAAGTCTGGTCATTCTTACAATCAAGCGAGTGACATTACGCAGTGAGGAGTTGAGAGCTGCAGATGATTCCGCTCCGCAACACAAGGAATCTCCTAACCATCAAGAAGATCAAAGCTCTACCCCGTTAATGCCTACCTACACACCTGGTGACGTTGGATTTGTTCCCACTCCACTAGGACTTTATCCAACATCCCCATTATATTCACCAACGTCGCCATCTTTTCAACCAACATTGCCATCAATCCAACCAACACAGCCATCATTTCAACCAACACAGCCATCCTACACACCAGCTCTACCAGAAGCCGAACCAGAATTACTAGAAAGCGCTCCCCCATCTCCACAAGATTCCTCGATTTCCTCGACGTCTCAGCCAAAAACAAATGAACATCTAATAGCAAACTGGCCATCCATTTATGACCCATATCCTCCACCTGAGTTTGCCGATTCAGTCTGCCCAACCTTGGAAGCCCGAATGGCATGGAAACGCAATGAACAAAACCTGACTTGTGTGTCTAGTCTTTTGGACACTTTACAGAATGAGCTATCTTTAGAAGCACTGTCTCTGGAAGATATCATCTGTGACGGCAATTATTATTATTTTTTCCAAAGAGGCAACGATGGAATCGAAAAAAGTGGCCGAGTGGATTTTGACATTCACAGCGCTGGTATTCTGTTGAGGGAATGGATTTCCGATTTGAAGCCAGAGGCTCGCTGTCCGGGATATCGCATTATAGACCTAAAGGAAAGCAGAGGTTGGTAGTACTTCCTAATCAAGTCTCTGCAATTACTGATAGAAATCTAGGAATGGGGTAATGGTTCGACAAAATGATGGGAAATGACAGCGGGTCATCCAATAAGTTGGACTGTGACTGCAAAATAGAGGAGAAGCCGTTTTGGGGATGTCCATTTGGATGTTAGGAACATTCGAACAAGACATCCTATATGTAACACACCGACTGTACATTTTGATATACTTTCAGATTCCCAACTTCTTAAAAATTGAATCTTATACTAGTATTGAGAGCACGGAAAACAAAATATTCCTCATGCATATGAGGATATGTCTCCAATTCAAAGCAAGTAGATAATAGCCCTATACGTATTTAGTACGGAAGACCATTCCAAAATCTGTGATGGCCTAGAGGCCATCAGAAGAAGTGCCCTTCATCGCTACCTTTTCCATTTTGACATCACGGATGCTGGATATACAAAGCTCGCATCCATGGCAATGCAGCTCTGTTGGGCTACCGCATTCTATGTCTCCTGCAGCGGTTACAAGCTCTGATTCGACAATTCTTGCACATAAATATGTACTCGGGCAATTCGTGGTTGCAAAACTCGCACTGCAAGCTTCCTCGATCACGCCATGCCCATTGGGTGTTTCTGTGATGCTCACAACCAACCTCTTCATGATGTCGGAGACCCTCAACTATGCGATCAAATGCATTACGACGCTCTGCCACATTGGCATTCGGACGAAGGTCCTCGCCAATAGCTTGATTTGCCATATGGGTGAGCCTTTCCTCTTCCCAGAGGAAGCAATTGCATGTTTTCCACTCCAGCCCACAGATATAACAAAATTGTCGCCCACAACTGTCAATCATTAGTATTCGAATGAATGCAATTGAGCACCCGTGGGATCGGATGATTAATTTACTGACCGGCATTTGATATGGTTACAACCATGTTGAAGCTCCACCATAGTCCGACAGTGGAAGCATCGCTGCCAATTCTCTCCTTCGGCTATTTCCAATACACCATGAAGTGCCTCATCCATTGGGCAGTCAACGCCAGGATGCTCAAAAGAATGGCACGTCAAATGGGTCCTTTGGTCACAGTCTGGACAAGTGCCAATCTCGTCTTGAATCGCAGATGGAAGAATGAATTTCGAACACGTGGGGTTCGCGCAATATAATCGATCTTTGGCTGTCCATTCAATTGCTCTTTGACTGAAGTCCATCAGCTCCCCATAGCTCAGGACCGTTAGAGCAATTGCAGGAGGCAGAACCTCTCCACAGCAGCGGGGAGGGTACAGTTCTTCGTCTCTGATTGCTCCAAGGAACATTTGCGTCATACAATTACGGCAAAACTCATGACCGCAGGAGCTTTTGAACATTGGAGCATCAAATTTCTCAAGACAGGAGACACATTGTTTTGTCAGGTCCGATGTTTGACATGTGGGAACTGAACGCGATGAGCTTTCACCATTGTCGTCGGTTATTTTTATTCGGCTCATCAAATCGCTCATGGCAACAGAGACAGCGTCATCGTCTACCCATGCCAATGTAGATTCATGCGGCATTGGCGTATCGTGCACAGCCAATTCCCCATTGCTTAAAGCAAGAGCATATCGGCGATCTTGTTCCGCAATATTTTCCTCTTCTCTGATAGATGCGAGTATATTTTGATCTGTGGCAACCGCAGTGCTCGTGCTAAGAGCCAATATTCCGTCTTGAACGGAAATTTGCGCAGCCAAAATATCTTCCCTCAAGTGATTTATGGCAACTTCCTGATCAGTAAAATCTCCTGCCGCCTGCTTTCCCTTTTGCTGAGATTTGAGATCTTTCAAATCTTCAAGAAGAAGCTGCAGGGTAAGGGCGTCGCTATGCTCATGTATATCACGTAACATCTTAGCGTCTGGCTTCTGTGTGATAGATGTAAATGAAAGAGGAGCGACAGGGTAGGAGTGGCCGAATGTACCTGTAAAGCGAGCTTTAAGCTTTAGTGTGATCGTTGGAAAAGGGCCACTCATAGGGTAATATGATGATCAGAGTGATGTGGTTGGGTGGGGGTAAAATGAGTTATAGACCTTGTATCTCGATAACCACTTTGATGACCTGCACTCGTTCCTTAGTCGTCATGTCGCATCTGGGATCAAATCATTTTCCCTGGAATGATATCATTTTCCAGTGTTTATTTTACCCCGAGGTTCCAGTGGATTTGAAGCCGTTACGTAACTGGTTTAGGAAGAGACAAGGTATATGCCTACGCACACGCCCGGTGACTTGGACTTCTTAGGCGGTAGACTCTGTTGAGTGAGTACACTAAGCTCCCTCATGAAGCGGCGGTGTCCTGATTGAGTAAGTCGCGATCTCTATCTGCTAACTTAGTCGACAAGCACTAGCAGAGCCCCTAGATCTCGGAACTATATCACCTTTGGTCATAGACAAAAGGAAATGCGCGACTCAGCATAAGGAAACTACAGAAGAAGTCATAATGTTGGAAACACAATATCATTAAAAACTCCAACAATTAACAAAATTCCCACCATATGATAAATAATGTACCAAGAGAAGTGGAGCACCGTATGATCAGCCTCAACTAATCACCATCTGCGCGACATGCTGCCCTTGCCCTCCGTCTGAACACTGTGATCAAATTAACTGTCATGTATATGTATACCCACCCGCTAGTGTAGATGCTATAAAGAGATTTATCGAGGACATAAAGAAAAAGGTCCAAAGCAGAAAGAAAGGTTTGACTTGATGAGACTGAAGTAGAGAAAGATCGCTGGCAAGAAAACCCGAATACAATCCCAGATACAAAAGGAGGAAAGAATGCCTCAGAAAGAAAAATCAAACTCAGGTGGGAACACTATCCGTTTTCCTTCCCAAGGGGAAAGAGAAAATTGTTGGAAAAGTAGAACCCTAGCCAGTTCCATTGGAGATGCAGGTCTCCCTGGGGACGGATAATTCAATCCCCAGGGGAGACGGGGTATGTAGCTGATAGCAGCCAAAACAAATCATGACATGATAGATAGGACGAGAGAGCAAAAAACGTAGGTATCCCTCTCCAGCAAAGACTGGGATAGAAAGCACGCAACAAGATGAATACCTTCAAACAAAATGAACCATGAACAATGAACAATGAACCAGATCTGAGTAGACAAGGGGATGCACCTAAAGACATGTACAAAACAAGATCAAGACTCCATGATCATGCAATGTGGAATAAACTAAGGGAAAGCGTAGTCACATCAAAAGTTCTCATCAACGTTAAAAATGCCGGGGTCGGCGCCGTCAGATGTCTTGACACCGCCCATGCGTAGTTCCGACGAGTTGGTCGGTCTGTGGGATCGCCACGATCCGGCAAGGACGGTGTCTTCATCAACCATATCCTCTTCGTCCTCGTCCTCGGGACCGTCCTTCACGTGGTGATCGATTGAGCTTTCGTTCACAAATGTGAAGCCCTTGAAGTTAGCCTGCATGCCAGGAGAAAGCGGTGTACCAGCAGGCATCAGCCCGTTGGCGAGGGCTGCGGCGCGGTCATTCAAGGAGTTGTTGTTCTCAAGGGCATTGGTGAATTCGGGATCGAAGTTGGAGGTGTCGAGGTCGGACTTGAGCTTAGGCTTGAATGGCGGGATCACCTGCTTCTTGCCTAGTGCCTCCCAGTCAACGTCATGGAAGAATGGATGCGCCTTGAGCTCGGCCGCATCGCCATTGGCTCCCAGGCGGTGCTTGGGGTTTCGGTTCAGCAGACCCTTGACAAAGTTTCGACCCTCGGTGCTGAGAGCATCTCTGGGGAATCGCACTTTGCCGAAGGCAATGTTCTTGTACATCTGCTGGGTATCCTCGGCGTAAAACGGACTCCAGCCACAGCACATCTCAAACACCAAAACACCCAAGGACCAGAAATCGACCATCTTGGTGTATCCTTGCTCATCCAACAAAACCTCGGGGGCGAGATACTCGGTGGTGCCGCAGAAGGTGTTCGTGGTATCATTTTGTGTCAGATTGGCCTTGGACAAACCGAAATCACACAAAGCGATGTGGCCATTAGCGTCCAACAGAATGTTCTCCGGCTTCAGATCACGGTAAACAATGTCATAGTCGTGAAGGTGCTGCAAGGCCAGAATCAGTTCGGCAATGTAAAACTTGGCCCGAGCCTCCTGGAAGCGGCCTTCGCGCTGCAGATGCCAGAACAATTCACCACCGGACATGTAGTCCGTCACAAGGTAGAGGTCTGAAGGTGTCTGGAAAGAAAACTTGAGGCCCACGATAAAAGGAGACGAAGCCATCGCCGTGCGAACAAGGATGTTTCGCTCTCCCAAAGTGTGGACCACCTCTTTCTTCTGGATAATCACCTTCTTCGACAAAACCTTCATGGCATAAACGCGCTCGGTATCCTTCTTCTTGGCTTGGTACACCTGACCAAAGGTTCCCTTGCCGATGAGCTTCAGAATCTGGAAATCACTCGGGCCAACCTGTTTCCGCTCGGTCATTTCAAAAGTCATGGTAAGGTAGATTTCACCCGACACCAGGCTGTCTCCGGCACCACGAGCGACCAAGGGGAACCAGCCCTCCAGTCGGCTGTGATCCTCTTTCAGATTGATTCCAAGTCGCACGTGGCCGAGGAACGCTTCTTGGTTGTGACGATCGTACACGGTGACGTCGACTTCGGATTGATCACCGAGAACATCACTATTACAGGTCAGCATAATCTAATAATAAGAAGGGTGGTTAAAACATACAATACAGCCGCGTGATCCCAATGGGGATCTGTGACAGGCGACTTGCCCTTGTCAGCGCCCTCAAAAGCACTGTTGTTACTGCTTTGACGGCTTCGCATCGGAATGGCCATTGGCCGACCAGCCTCCGCGTCCGACTCGATCTGGCGCCGCTGCTTCTCGTCTTCCTCTTCTCCATCCTTGGTACCCTTGGAGATATATTCGTTCCATTCGAACACGCACACCACATACGGATCCACACTAGGACGCAGGCCTCGGCCTTCGGAGATTTTCACGGTAAGTTTGCCCTTCAGCGGGCTCACGGGGGGTCCATTCTGGGGGGAGGGTTGGCGGGGAAATGCCTCATCAAGCTTCATGGTGATTTCATCGGTGGAGGTGTCCGGGGTCGCGGCCTTGGTTTCCTCATTCTCGGGTTCGGTTTCGGAGTCAGATTTGCGGGGCGCCGAGGTCACTGGGGTCTTTTTCTCCTCTTCGTTGGACATGGTACGGGGGGTGAGCGGCGGGGTATTCTTTAGACGCACCGCATCGGGTGCGGTTCCAGTCAGCTTGGTAAGGTTCTCGGAAGATACTGAGACATGCGGTTTCCCGTGGTCGAGGAAGGATGTTTCGGTGAGGGAACAGGCGTCTTGTGCAGGGAGAGAAGGATTGGAGAAGTGTGTGGCAAGAACGGGATCGTCTGAAACGCTAGAAACTGGTAGGGAAGTTTGACGGCGGGAAGGAGATTCATGTTCATGGGGGATGAGGTATTTCTTGAGGGTATTAAAAATCGACCCCGCAGTCATGTCTGGACTCGAACTGAGATCCATCTCATCTGACTGTAATAGAGAATGGGGGGGTGTAGGCAAATTTGCCTCGATCTTATCAGACCCCTCCTCTCGATCCAAAACGACAAAGGACTCGGAAGAAGCGCCCGGGTCTGGTTGCTCCGACAAGGGTTTCGCCAGACAAGGCCATAGACGCGGTAGACTTAATCGATCACCGGAGAAGGAACCAACCTGGAAGTAGTTGTGCATGATGGAGGGCAGACGCTTGTCTGCGGGATCCGGCTGAGGGGTAGCGATTCCAGTGGGAGTGGACCCGTTTGAACCGATGTGATCTGGGGTTTCGTCTTCGGACACAGAGCTAAGGGATCAATCATGTCAGTCATTTCAACCCATCTGCGGAAGTTGGCGATATATGTGAAACGGAGTGGATGATGGGAGTTGCAGTGCGACCGGGTCATCATGCAAATAGCGGGAAAACCCCGGCAAGCCGGCGCACGGGATGGTTTCTAATCTCTCTTTTGTTCTTTGTACAGGTTCTTCGCCGCATGTTGTCTCACAAGACACGCCAGGGCCTCCAACACCGAGTACGGTGAGGGGCAAAAATCACATTTTTCGACCACGACTCGAAATCGATTTTTTTTTTTGAGGATGGCCAGGTAAAAGAATAGGGAAATGAGACGGTGACTCACTTGTTAGGCTTCATGTCTGCCTCTTCGTGCAACACGGTTCCGTTCTGCGCAGCGGCCATTGTGTTTCCATCCAGCACTGTTCGCCCTCCGCTAGTACGTAGAATTTCGGGACTGAAAAATCGAAGTGGGGTGTGGGGCGGGGGTTTTTGTGGCGGGTCGATTGTTGAAGGAGTCGAGAAAATAGAAAACGTGGAAAGGATGAACTAAGGTGAAAAAGAAAAAGAAACTTTGGTGACGCCGGATGATGAGCTAAGGGAGATTGCGGGATGGTGAACCCGGATCGGCTTCGGGTTTTCCACTTTCCATAACCAAGGGAAAGCAACTGGAAAATTAAAGGGGACCCAAGAGAACCAGACATTATATAGGGTGAGATCATAAGTCAAAAGACCCCCACTGAGATCATACCTATCGGGCATTCTTCATTGTACATTAGGGGCATGATTCCATCTCTAGACTTCGAATTTTGAGATCATTTAGATTGAAACTAGGGGGCGTTCTCTTTCTCTCTTTCTACGTTTGCTCACTTTTTGACTCCAGACTTGTATGATTCAAATATGATTATTTCTTGGTGATAAAATAGAGTAAGACCGACTAAAATCCCTCAGTTTATCGTTCAATAGGCAAACCGCCCGGTGGAGACCATTTGCCTTGATCCGTGAATGGCCGATGGTTTGGGTTTGGGATTATTGATTAGGGGATCTTATCCAATAGATCACTTCATTACCTTGATGGGATATCAATTCACTGTCATTGATTTTTGTTATGTATCGGAGAACGCGCCAAATGACACTAATTCTACAGGACATGTGGGTGTACTGAAGCATGCTCGATACCGGGAATTGTCGCCTTAATTTTTTTAGTCTATGCGCCTGATAGCGCCTTCGTTTGGGTTTCTTATCAGGGTCTGACGCACCATATGCACGAGAATCTCCGCCATCTCCGCTGTATAATAGGCGGGGTACATAGGATCGGAGTACATGCCTCCTATGCATGCAGAGAACTATACGTGGTCTCCTATATACTCAAGGCACTTCAATTCAGCGCCATCGCAGTCCTTTTCATTCTGTGTAACATAGATCGAGTTCGATCGGCAATTCCAACGCGATCGCGATCGTGCATCAGCCTCGAATAAGGCCCGACCCAAGTTTGCCGTACCCTTGCGTCCACATACCTTGGGAAGCTCGAGGCGTTGTGCCACTGCGCTCCCCCACCACCCAGCTCTAGCGGTATGCTACAGCTTCTCCACTATCTGCGTCATGGGGCGTCTACCAGCAGAGTCCCACGCTTCTACTCTTCTTGGTTTGATGGATGAGAACCCCGGAGGTATGAGCGGACGCAACATGCATATTGGCACAGGTGAAGATCACTAAAGTAACCCTGCTCAAGCTCTCCTCTTTGTACAACATTGCAATCCCCTTCTGCATCCCCCCCGAATCCCGATTCCCAGGGCGGGGAGGATCTGCATACACCCCTCACCCTGCTCTTCCAATTAATTAAGAATAGCGAATAGGCAAAGCACAGGAAAAGGGATCCTCTTAACCGTTCATAGAAGACCGGGGTCTCTACCCCTTCGAGCCTTGAACACCCAAGGATTGACACATGGATATCCGATCCCGAGCCTGGCAGCACACATGTACAACCACGCCCCATGCCTCCCCATTCCTTTTTCTTATCTCTCTTTTGTTGTTCATTATTTGCATAAAGCTCCCTAGGGCTGCATGATTTGGCAGGTAAAGTTCTCCATATAGCTAGGCTGATCACATTCGTCGGTCATCTGCAAGCTGTGGTGAAGCTGTGCCACGATCCGCAGCCATGCAGCCGACTCGCCGTCCCGAGGCCTTTGACATGATCAGCATGAAGAATGGAACACAGACTGTTCTGGAAAGATGGGCAAATTGCTGCATTATTACTGGTCGGATAGTAAATCAACCCAAATCGTCAAATCCAATTATTTATGTATGGCTGGCTGGTCATCCTGGTCAAAGCGGTGCTGAGTAGCTTCGCAGCTTACATCTATATAATCAAAAAGCAGGTTTCACGCCTAACTTCACGTTTTCAGAGCATGTGAAATCTGGCTGCAATTCGATACCGATTTAAACAAGCATCCTCTTCACCGGTGGAAAAAAGCGGTCGCACGGATATCAGCCACACCCCAAGGGCTCTATTTTGGGCACATATTGTAGGCCATCGGGAAAGAACGGTGAGCAACCCGATCCGGTGAGCATTTAGGGTGCATGAGCTCATGGGAACTCTTCCGCATTGCCTGAACGGCTTCTGTCACATCCGACATGCGTCGGGCCCCTGCAACAATGATATCAATGTGGTTGGTAATAGAAGGCGGTCAGAAGTCTAGAATGTATATGAATAAAAGGGTGTAAGGAATGCGATTATTGAGTGGTCAATAATTGCCATCTTTGACTAACATTGACCAACTGATGGCGAAAGATCGACTTATGACGTCAGATGCTTATGGGAGAGGGGAAGCATCAAAATGGGAAGATAGGGCATAGGGCTGTTATCAGCCTGAGGCTGAAAGCTCATTCCGATTGTCTCACGTGATCTGCATCACGTGCTAAAGGTTCGGCGAGATGGTTAATCCGGTATAGCAAAACAGCTTCAGGATGGCTTGCTCTTGGGGACATTGCACCGCGCCATTCCGATCACCCCTCATCTCGCTGCCATGCCTCGAAAGCTGAGGGCTGCTGCTCAAGCAGCAGCAAAATCAATGAGTGAGTTATTGATTATACCAGTCCCTATCATTCCCTCGTGATGATCCTCATCCATGAACGCGTTCGCGACTAACATGAACCCCCTCAGGAAATGCGCCCCAACATCCTGATGCCTCTGATGATGAGATGCTAGATGCGCCTCCATCAGAGCCATCATCTCCTGCCCCAGACTACAACGATTCCCCTGAGAACGATCCCGATGTACAAATTGATGCCGAAAGCGATGCAGAACCCGAGGCCGAACCCGAGGCTGGGTCCGCTGAGCCGGCTGAGGCTGAGCCTGAAGCTGAGCCCGAGTCCAAGGCCGAAACGCCTGCCGAATCCAAGGGCGATGAAGCAGTGAGTGTAGCGACACCTGCTGCGGAAGATACGACTCAGATTGCGGCCGCAGAGGATACCCCAACTTTTACTGGTGGCCGTCAATCTGCCATTCCCCGCAAGCGTCGCATTGGTCGCCCACCCAAGAACCGCCCTCCAGACTGGGATGCGCCAGACGGTGAAACCCCGCTCCGAGTCACCACTCCCGTCAAGCGTCGTAGAGGTCGCCCTGCTGCCAGCGGTGGACGATGGGCGCGAAACCGGGGCCCATCTCACCTGACCCAGGTCCCAGTCGACAAGGAGGGAAACATGATGGATGTGATCAATGATGAAGTGGCTGTTCCTCCTGATCCCAAGGGTGCTACCAAGGTCGATGAGAATGGACATTTGCAGGGTGGACGCGAGTACCGAGTCCGCACGTTCACGATTCTTAACCGTGATGACCGCCTGTACATGCTGTCGACCGAACCTGCACGATGCATTGGTTTCCGTGATTCGTACCTGTTCTTCCAAAAACACAAAATGCTCTACAAGATTATTATCGATGATGATGCCAAGCGCGACTTGATCGAACGCGATCTCATTCCACATTCTTACAAGGGTCGAGCCATTGGTGTGGTCACTGCGCGCTCAGTGTTCCGCGAATTTGGCTCCAAGATTGTCGTCGGCGGTAAGAAGGTTATTGATGATTACTACGAGGATGCTGCCCGTGAACGTGGCGATGTGGAGGGTGAGCTGGCTGTCCCGGACGACAAGCTGCCTGGCCCTGGAGAATCGTACAACCGCAACCAGTATGTCGCTTGGCATGGTGCCAGTAGTGTATACCATACCGGTGCGCCGTCCGTGCCAATGGCGGGAGGCAAACCCGTGGATTCCAAGAAGCGTCGGGTTCCTATTACGGATGACAATTGGATGCTCGAGCACGCCCGTGCAGCGAGGTACGTTTCCCCATGTCCTCCTGAATCTGTCGAACTTCTCTAACAACTTGTCTAGCACCTTCAACTCCAAGCTTGCCGAAATGCGCCGGGGCACCATGGGAGGCGTGTATGATGTTCACACAAACCACATACAGTATCCCCAGATCACGCAGCCCACCCATGTCCGATATGAACGCGTGCCCTCACCCGGGGTCCTCTCCGCAGGAGAACTGATGTCCGACCTGTCTTCGCTAAGTATCGGAGGCCAAAAGCAAATCAATGAGCGCCCACAATCCGCCACCGAGGAGCCATCCTCTACTTCCCCCAAACCCACTTCCATCTCCGGTGCCGAACAGGATGCCACCGAACAGCAACCCACAATCTTCCCCCGCGTCTGCAAATCCATCTCCGACCGCTACGTCATCCAGGACATCTCCTATGAAACCCCTCCCTACTCCAATATGGGTATTCCAGGCCCAGACGGAGACATGCGCACCCTCAACCCGAACGGTGTAACCAGTTTGGCTGGCCCACTGCACCCCGAGTTCATGAGTCCTGAGATCATCGCCATGCTCCCTGAGGAATGCAGAGAGGGGCTTTTGGACCATGCAGCTCGCGAGTTGGAGTGGAAGTCTAGATGGTCGACTGAAGCCGAGAATGGGGCGCGAGCCAAGCCAACTAAGAGTTATGCGTGGTATCCCTAAACCCCAGAGTCAGCTTGAATGTCAGCTAGCTAGCCTGCTTGTTTGCTAACGACGATGCGATGGTATTTCGGGTGGTTTTCAATTGTCAAGGAGTTTTTCATCCTGAATGGGCTTTTCTTTTCTTTTTTCGGCGAATGTGGTTTAGCATGGATATGGGCAACCGGTCATGGCGGGTCAAGCCATGGGAGTTATGTTTTCGTTAATTTCCCGATTTACCATGTGGTTCTGTTTTTAGCTCCATGATCTATGAATCGTGATAGTTCCAATTGATATGATAATCATTGTGATAAGATGCAGATGCAAATTGAGTAAGGTCCACTTCCATCCTAATTTACGGTGATTCTACTTGATATCCAAGTCAGATAAATCAAGCATGAATTTAAATTTTAGAATGGGTGACGGTCAAATAGTCTAGCAGAATTCATTGTCCATGGACAAAAAAGCAAAAAGAAAACTAAACCTAAGGAGCAAATAATAAGATATGAGTAACCATATTCATGGTGTATAGAAAAGAACTGGCGCCGGGCACATCAAAAGGCTTGCTTGCAAGTGAACAACAAAAACATCCAATGCATAAGTAGGTGGTGAAAATAAGAGGCCAGTGAAAATCAGGAATGCGAATAAAATGAAAGCTGTAGAGGCAGGAATCTACATAGCCATTTCCTCGCGCAACTTGGCCAATTCCGCCTCCTCGTCGTCTTGCTCGGCTGTCGCTTTGTTTTTGCTTACTGCGGTAGTTGTTAGCATCTGCAATCTATATCTGAATGTACCTGGCAAGGCAGATCGAGTATACGCAGTGGAGGTAAACTTACAATCTGAGGTTCCAGCAGCCGGTAAACGGTCCAGCTGTGAGTTGACCGGTACGGGACCAGTATTGAGCATACGCTCGTCCATAGCCTCCTGCTCCAGTCCCTCCAATTCGGCATCCAGCTCGTCCTCGTCGACCTGGTCTCCCAATGTGGTGGAAGTAATCGCCTGGTTGACCTCGTCGGCCAGTGCGTGTTGTTCCTGGAGTTTGGCCCTGCACGTACATAATTCGTCAGTCATGATGAACTGATAAAGAAAGAAAAAAGGAAAGCAGAAACATAGGAAGAATCCAGCCCACGTACATTGTATCATCAACCTGTTCAATGTTCATTCCACCATGGATCTGCTCCATCGCTGAACCAGCCTGCTTCATCGCCTGTAGAGTCTCGTAATTGATATTCGCTGCTTCGATCGAGTATACTTGTTGCTCGAGCTGCATGATCTGTGCTGATGTCTGCTCGAGTGTCTTCTCGTGGGCCTTTTTCCGTCGGAGAGCGGCTTTAGCGGCTGTACAAAGCGAAACAAGTTAGTTTACAACGTTGGTTTGTATGTTATTTCCTTATCGGTCCTTGTTTTGTGGGGATAAGGAAGGAAGAGAGGACTGTACCATTCTTATTGGTGTTGACATGCTTCCGTGCTGCGGCATCTTGCTCCGCGATCTGGTTCTCGAGATGCTTCTCCCGCTTCTGCAGCATATCCAGCTGTCCGCGCAACATCAGGATAGCGTTCTTGGGCGCCTCCTTGCGCTTCTGGGCGGATGCGCCGCCGAACCAGGACCACATATTGGTGAGATGGGGGTGGGTTTGGGGGGGGGAAGTTGTTCAGAAATTGATGGTTTGTTATTTGAAAAAGATCAGGCAGCACTGGTTGATCCCGTGGCGGTTTATGCAGGTGTGCCCGTGAGTCTAGAGCGGAATACCTAGTCAGATGGAGGCGGACGAGGCGATAGGCACCAGGCAAACAGAGTAAACGCCGGAGAAGACAAAGAGATAAGAAGGGTATTTGACAGCCCGCGGTGAATATCTGCGGTTTCGAAAATGCGGTAAGATTGAAGATCGGCGGATTCGGTGATCGTAGTCTTGTGATGAAGTCCGAGAAATGGAGGGGAGCGGACTTTCCCCTCGCTGCGCCTATGACATACAAGCAGTCACGTGGCCGTTTGCTCGGAAATCTACCAGTTGATCAAGCAACGCTTTCGCTTTGGATACCTTGTCTTCATCCCAGGGATGAACGGGCCGCGTCCCTCAACTCGCGCGTTCTTATGCGATCTGCCATGTCTTGCTGCGGATTCGAAGATCCGGTTTTTGGGCTGGTGCGTTTCTCCTCGCACGTCCCGTCAACGACGATATATATCTAGTTTACCCATTGACAAGGGTCTATGCTTACATTACCTGTATTTAGTGTCAAGCAATATAATGTCACAGTTGGCCATCTGATCCTAGAGCACAATTATCCTCGAAGCAAGTCCGAGCCCAGTGCAGTTTCCGTGGATATCAATGCTGTTCTGGAGAGTTTGAAGGCTGAGGATTTGCGTGTTGGCACTTGGTTGAATGTGCTGGGTTATGTGCGAGATGCTAATACCCCGGAATCTTCTATCTCGTCGAGTCAAGCGGACTCGCAACATTCGACCAGTCAATCTCGCACGAGTGCCATTCCTATCAAAGTTGCATCCCGTCCGGTCTTCATTGAGGCCGTTATGATTTTTCCCGCTGGAGCAATTGCATTGGGCGAATATGAGCGCATCCTTCGACATGTTAAAGATGTGGAAAGTCGGATTAATTTCTCGGATTGAATGCTGACGAACAAGCCAAAATGTACCTGTACGTCTGTTATGTGGGAATGTACTCAGTGAAACAAATAAAGATGAATTATTAAATTATTATTGCTCGTGAAGAGCTTTTGGGTCATTTCAAGCTTCGGATCGACGTTATAGCTATAAAACTTTTCACACCAATGCAACCTTTAATTGAAATGGGGTATCGATGCCAGGGAAAAACCAAACAAACCATAAAATCAGGACATCATTTCCATCCTAGACCTCCTCGGGCTTCTCCTCCTCAGCAACAGCAGCCAGCTGGGCCACTCTTCTCGCCCTCTTGCCTTCCAACTTCTTCTTCTCCTCTTGCATGCGCATAATCATAGTACTCTTCTGTCGAATCTTGTGGCCATACTTGTAGAACACAAATGGAATCGGGATGATAAGCACTTCCAGCAATCCGAGCAAAGTTCCCGCCCAATTCGGCCCAAGGCTGTTGTACATAGCCGTACCAGCAAGCGGCAGCACTCCACCAAGGATACTTCGGATAACCGAATTACCTGCCAGCGCGGACGCCGCGTACATGCCATAGCTACCAGTGAGATAGTTCGAAGCATAGATAAAGACACCGGTGTTACCTGCTCCGAAGGGGATGCCAGCGAGCAAAGGCACGACCCAGTGGATGGAGGCTGGGGCACAGGTCCAAGCGAACCAGAGCTCGCCGATAGGGATGAGAACAGAGCAGATGCAAATGAAAGAGACCATAGCCTCTGGATAAACCTTGCCAGTCTCCGGATCCTTTTCATGCTTGTTGATTAATCGGCGGACGAGAGGTTCTGAGCCGATGGTGAGTACAACTCCAATGCCGATACCGACGAAAGAAAGACCAGATAGACCGAGGGACCAGCCACGGATTTCCTGGAAAACGATAGGGTAGGCAACGAAGCAGAGGTAGAGGATACCATAAACGATAGCGACATAAATATCCCAGAAGATACAGATCGGCTCGGTAACAGCCATCACAAATGGACGACTGAGAGCCAGCTTCAGGATCTCGTATAGACTATCCTTTCGGTCATAGCGGGACCACCATCGAGAATCACCAGTTTCCTTGCGCAGTCGAGCGGCCTTTTTTTGTAGCAGAGTTGGGCCGTAGGGCTCCTTCAGGATTAGAGCGAAGCATAAGCCCACGCCCGAGAGGATCAGTACGATCCAGCACATCCATCGCCAGCCGAGGTATTGGGTTACGAAACCTCCAATCACGGGTCCCACGACTGGGCCGTTAAGAGGACCAATACTCCAGATTGAGATTGCCAGTGCGCGGTGCTCGTCGTCTACCATATCGGCTACCATACCCGGTGCTGTGGAGATCATGACACTGCCGAAGAGAGCACCGATGAATCGCACGACGATCAATGTGGTTATCGACTTGGCGAGGGCAGCGGGAATGATCATAGCGGTGAAAACAAGCATGCAAGTCACGCAAACAGGTTTGCGGCCGTAGACTTCGCTCAATGGAGCCATAAACATAGATCCAATGGCCAGGCCGATGAGATAAAATGTTAATCCCAGAGTAACGACAGTCTCAGACTGGGCAAACTCTTCCTCGATCTGCGCTGTGGCCGAGGTATAAGATGTTGAGTATAGCACGCTGTATACATCAGTAATAGGAACCAAAGGTGATTTTTGGGTTGATTTTCAACCTACACAACAAGAGTGTTCCATGACAAGAATATAATACCCATGGCCGTGTAGGCCATCGACCAATTCTTGGGGTTCGCGGGATCATCCTCTGAATCCCAATCCACTTCAAAGTTGGGATCAGAGGTAGCATTTGTCGGGATTGTAGTGACGCGCTCTGATAACGACATATGAGAGGTTCGTGAGGCATGCGCCGTCAACGCCCTGCCTAGTGCATCCTGATCAGCCTGAGTGTCCACCGAAGAGACCGTCTCAGCGATAGAGTCGGTATCATGATTATTGTTTCTCGGCCATTTTTCATTGGGATCCGCAGAAGAGTGTTGCGACGACATCTCTTGGAGATGTGCCGGTGATGTATGAATAGAGTTCGTAGTGCGATAAGGTTCTGAGATGGCTGGGTTGGGTCACGATGATAATGCGATACGTAGATGCAGACCTTCCGGCGTTGTGACAGATGTTTCTATTCCTTTACGGAAACTTCAGGGAATACTGATGTCCCAAGCTAAGGATATGGCGAGTCCAAATTTGAGAAGAAATGCCAGTTCCAAGGTTGGATATGGGGACTACCAGTTGCTATGTATCGCAAACTGGGGATTACTGAGTCAAAACTCAAATGAAGATAAAGAAGAGCGGGTAGGAACGGTTATTTCTATTTAATCTGAACTAGAAATTTTTGCAATGACTAGGTGGGGCCAGGGCCATTGATAAGCCTAATTTCTGTGACTAGAGCCCAAACAGATGCCAAACGTGATTAAAAGTACGGATCTCGGAAAGGGTGTTTGGGGGCAGAATCACATCATCCATGTATGTTGAAGTTCCGAGGGTGGTATGATATGAAGATAACCTTGTAGATTCCGTTCATAATTCCGAGTAACGGCTCTCCAGATCCACTCCAGAAAAACTTCCCCGTGGGTAAACACCTTCATGAAGTGGTAATGCCCCTATCTGCTCCGAACGGTGTGGACAAAATGTCGGGATTTACCTAGTGCCGGTTTGCCGAGATAGTACGCAATCCTATGCTGCACTCACGTCTAAATGGGTCAACAAAAGCGTGTCGTTTTAGTTGACAGGTCATATTAAGCATAGGTGGATCGGAATTTTTCTGCGAGCCTCCATTGATATATCATATACCCCCGGCCAACTCCATCAAGTATACCATGATATGTGTACTCCGTGACAGCTTAACTGCGATCGGGAATAAGAATCTCGGCTAAGTGAACATCCCGAACAATATCAAATAGGGCGGCAGATGCCGATGTCCAGGCCCGAGACGATCGATGCCGACAACAATTGCGCATCCTGATGTGAAAGTAAAAAACGTGCCTGATGGACGGAACTTGTTCCGCGAGAGACGGAATGTACGCTACTTCTGCAGGAGCGCAGCAGTCGTTTAAAGGTGGGCCTACCCGGAAGCGAGACAAGAAAAGGATTTCGAAACTTCGGGGAAATCGGGGAATTTTCTTGGATGCCTCAGAAACTAGGAACAAAACCTCGCCATGCCCTTCCTGATTCGATGCTGAGACACGACGCACGACCCAACCATGGCGCGTGCCCATGTGGTGGCTCTCGTTTAAATCTAACCGAGCCGTCCAAGCTCTAAGCGACCTGCCAGAAAAGACAGATTACAACGGTGCTTGTTCCTAATCTGGGTCTTATAGCTAAAAATTTGAATCAGAATTCCAATATATTCATATGTTGTCTCCCTAATGATGTTTTCTATCCTTTCACACACTCTGCTGTATGATTTCTCCAAACGCCGGCAACAAAGCCCCGGAGAATAGATAAAACAACTTTGAGTTCTAGACGGCCTAAGCTCCTAAGTCTCACGTTGTAATAGGGTCTTCCGCCAGAGGGGAATACTCTACCTGCATCCTTACTCCAACCTCCAGTTTCAGGATGACTTACATACTTGTGCCCGCCGCACTAGGCTTGGCAGGTCTATACTTGCGCCATGTCAACACCGCCATGAAGAGAACACCAGAGGAAGCTCTCCACCTTTCTCCTCATCGCTGGACTATCGAAGAAGTCAAGGCTGCCTATGAAAAGGCCAGCGAGTCTCCTGTCGATGTGACCAAAAGCCTCCCACCAAAACAGACCCGCCGTTATGTTGTCGTGGGTGGATCCGGTAAGCTCCTCCCAATGACGCAAGCCTGGAGATTCTCCTTTTCTCCATGAACACGGAGAAAAGCAAACAGAACCAAAGACCAAACCTTAATCCAAGACATTTAAACTAACATCCACTCAGGTCTTGTCGGAGGCTGGATCGTCCAACACTTACTATCCCGCGGCGAAGACCCATCCGCAATCCGCATTCTAGACCTCCACGCCCCAACAAAAGAGGTTCTAGATCTCGGGGTGACACATGTGAAAACAAACATCACCGACAAACTTAGCGTCGACACAGCTTTTGAGCAACCATGGCCCAATTCTGTCGCTGGCCTTCCTCTGACCGTCTTCCACACGGCAGCAATCATTCGTCCTCAAGACCGCCTGGAGGTTTTCCTGCCACTTTGCAGCAACGTCAACGTCGAAGGAACACGGAACGTGGTGAATGCCGCGAAAGAAAACGGCACTTCATGCTTTATCTCCACATCCTCCGGCTCAGTGGGTCTCCACCGACCAGACTTCTGGATCGCGCCTTGGGAAAAGCTCCCGAAGCGTGTGACACAGGTTTGGAACGATGATGCACCGTTGCCACAGCGGCATGATGAGTTTTTCGGAAATTATGCCGTTACCAAGGTCGAGGCTGAACGACTTGTGCGGTCAGAGGATAATTTGTCGTCTAACTTCCGGACTGGATGTATTCGGCCTGCGAATGGTATTTATGGTATTGGAAGTGATGTTGCGATGACCATTACCGGTGTTTACCTGCGTACTGGTGGAAGCCCGACGTGAGTACCAATTGATCTACTAATTCATTCGACTTTGATTGAAATACTGTGGATATGCATACTGACATACTCTTCAGCTGGTTACACCCCATCATCCAAAGCTTCGTCAACGCCGAAAACGTCTCAATTGCCCATCTTCTATACGAGCAACGTCTAGTCGAGCAAAGCAAGCCCGGATCTCAGCTACCCAATATTGGTGGCCAGGCTTTCATCGTTACGGATCCCAACCCGGCTATCTCGTTCAGCGATGTATACACGTTGTTGGTCACACTTGCTAAGACGCCAATCGCTTTCCCAATTGTTCAGCCTATCTACCTATTCCTTCTTGCGTACGTCATTGAGGCATACTCCTTTGTGCAATTCAAGTACTTGTCCTGGCTTTTGCCGAAGATTACGGGTGATTTGGCGCAGGTTCAGCCTTCGCTGTTTGCCATTTCGGATACTTGTGTTTTTGCCGATGATTCGCGGGCGAAGAAGTCGCCTGAGGAGGGTGGTTTGGGTTATAACCCGCCGCTGACTACGTTGGATGGCATGTGCAAGGAGGTTTTGCACTGGAACAAGAATGCTGTTGCTAATGGTGTTGTTGTTGAGGAGAAAATTGGACCGGTGCGGGTTACGGAGAATGGAGTTGATGTTAATCTTGTGGCGCCGGGAAAGATTTGATGGGCTTATGAGTATGCTTGGGGGTTCTTGTGTTGTCTTTAATACTAATCTAGCATAAGTTAGCGTAGGACATTGTATGCATTTGGTTGTTATTGATTCTTTTTTTCATGTTAATTATATCCAGCATGGGCTATGGATTCTGAAGAGAATGCAAGAGAGCTTGTATTTAATTAATAAAAGCTTTGTTGCTCAAGGCCCTGCAGGGCTTGATTTAAGATCTAGAATATAATGCATCCTAGATTTAATCTTGGTTTGGTTAAGAACATTATGTTGCGCCATTCCTTCCAAGTTTCTTTGGCCTTGTCAAGACTTCAGGACGCCGATTTATCTGTACCCGACGCAGGCCAACATGGTGTCTGAAAATTTGTGAGAACGTGTCGTACCTGCGACACTTGCAAAGCGAAAAATGGTTGGCAGCAGACCCGTGAAGTATTCCTTGCAGGAAGGGAAGGAGCAAGAAGACCAGCAGATCAGAGACTTTCACTGGCTGTAAAGCTTGCTTACCATCAAGTGGCCTGCCAACACTTCGAAAGAGAAATCCGCAATGTAATCGAGGAAGAAATCTCAAAGGGATCTTGCACGTGCAACCCCAAGAATGAAAGGACCTTTTGAAGTGTTTCAATCGCACAAGAAAGAGAAGATCGTAGACGATGATTTAGCGCGACTGCTGCTGCGCGGCCTGTCTCCGATGCTCCAAAATCTGCTGCCGAATGCCTTCAGACGCCAACTCCACATCGAGAATAGCTCCAACGCCCCGCTTCCAAGTCTCCTCCAGGCTTGACAGCTCTCCGTACCTAGCCTCTTGAGCAAGTTTCCGCTGCTTATTCACCTCCTCCGAGCTCTCCTTCGTCTCAGCAAGCTCCTTTTCAAGACCGCCAAGAATATATTCGAGCTGCGAGTTGCCGATCAACCACGCGTTCTTGCCATTCTCATCGAGCAAAGTCAAATTCTCGTGGCGCTTAGAAAGATGCGAACTTGATTTGTACGCGCTTTGCAGCGCTTGGCGCCATTCATCTAGCTTGGGGCTTTCACCGGCTGCGGCGCGAACTGGGGGCTCGGGTGCTTCGTAGCGGGTCAGGTCGATTCCACCTGTGAGAGGCGCGCCGGTCGCTTTGCGCTCAAGTTCTTGTTGAATGAGAGGGGAGAATTTCGATTCAGGAGCTGGTGGGATTGAGGGGTGGGTAGTTGAGGTGTGTTCTGAGGATACTTCGGCGTTGATGAGCTGCTGGGCTCTTTGATACGCGGCGGCCGATGGCTCAGCGTCGACGTCTGTAAGGCAATTAGTATCAGCACTGCAAAATTCTTTTGTGGGAGGAATGCGTACAAGGTAAAGAGTCGTGGGATTCATTAATGAGAGGCATGTTGAAATGTGTTGGCAGTGGAGACTTGGAGATTAATCTTCAAGATCTTTGATGGAGCAATTGCAGCGGAAAGCGGTGTGGATACCTAATCATGTGATCCTGGAGATATTGACGAATCAGCAACACGATCTCTTTTGATCTTTGTTATTGGCACCTCAGCTACAGCTAAATCCAATGTAGAGCTATGTACAGTCCAGGGCCCGAGCTGTCTATCGAATGATAGTTCTTATTTCAGGCGCATCATGATGTAACCCTGATGATGCTATTTTGGAACAGCTGCAAGACCCTGACGAGTTACCGCTGATCCAGGTCCCCGAAAACCTGACTCGGTTGAACCTTGATTAATTGATTTACTATTTAAACGACTTGGACATGTGAATATATTGTATTGAAATTCGGGCTCATATCCAACTCCGTGCGGGGAAGGAATGTCGTTTCCCGTTTAGGTTCGGAGAAGGTAGATGACGATCACAGTCCTGCAGCTGCAGGTTCCTTGTCTATCACACATCGCTTAAGTCGATACGACCCTCTTGAAATGCTTCCCCTGTCGAGCTGAAAGATCTTCACTGGCGTCCTTTCTAGTCATGGAAATATCGCCCACTCTGAACTGTACTTAAATATTCGCGTGATCCCTTGCTCGGGGCCCTGTCTTGTCCAGGGTGCGCCCCGGTATCCATCTTGCTCACCTCGTACGCAATATGATCAATCTCCGACTGAGCGCAGTTTTTGCTGCGATCACATTGATCCTTCTGGTCTTTCTACAACTGCTGGGAATGGTGCAACATACTGAGCAAATCCCCGAATCCAGCTTTACTCGAAACTTCAACAGATGGAAGAGCAGAACGAGTGCTGCGGCAGCAGCTGATAACCTGTTTCTGGTGGGTGCCGGAAAGGCCGATGTGACTGGGTATGGTCCCTTTATACCTCTTTAATGAGTCCAATTTTTGACAAGCAACCAGTCCAGTAGTCGAGGTTGATTTCAATGGCTATGCTAGCCTAGATCAACTGGGAACGGGTCTTCGTCAGCGGATATATTCACGTGCTTTTATATTTGCAGACCCAAAGACTCCCGAGGATACCTTCATCTATCTGGTTCTCGATACTCTTGCAGGTGACACTGCTGTACGAGATGGAGTCTTGCAGGGGCTTGCAGCGCTTGGGAGTGACTATGCACGATATGGCGCGCACAATCTAGCGCTGACGGGCACTCACTCCCATTCTGGACCTGGAGCATGGATGAACTACTTACTGCCTCAAATCCCGACCAAAGGATTCGATAAGCAGAGCTACCAGGCGATTGTCGACGGCACGGTCTTGTCCATTCAACGTGCGCATGCAAGCCTTACCACAGGGCGTCTATCCTTTGGGTCCATTGATCTTGAAGATGCCAATATCAACCGTAGTCCATACTCATATGATCAAAACCCCGATGAAGAAAAGGCTCGCTATTCGGCCAATGTGGACAAAACAATGACCCTGCTTCGCTTCGACCGGGACTCTGATAATAAGACCACTGCAATTTTGACATGGTTCCCCGTTCACGGAACATCCATGTATAACAATAACACCTTGGTCACCGGGGACAATAAAGGTGTGGCGGCCTATCTCTTCGAGCGCAGCATCGATGGAGACAATAGATTCGCAGATGATGTGGTCATTGGATTTTCCCAGTCCAACGTCGGAGATACCAGTCCCAACGTCTTGGGTGCCTGGTGCGAGGATGGCTCTGAGGAGATGTGCACATATGAAGACAGTACCTGCGGTGGCACAAATGAGGCCTGCCACGGCAGGGGCCCTTTCTTCCGAGTCAAGGATAACGGCGCCAAGAGTTGTTTCGAAATCGGCCGGCGCCAATACTCGGCGGCCAAATCACTCTACGAGCAGATGAGTTCCAACGCCACAATCATTACCGGTAGCTCGGGTGTCAGATCTTTCCATGTATTCAAGGATCTAAATGGTTACTCCTTCCCGTCTCCGTTTAATGGCAGCAATCTGACTACATGCCCCGCGGCGCTGGGGTATTCATTCGCTGCTGGAACCACAGATGGCCCGGGAGCATTTGATTTTACTCAAAATTCGAGTAGCCCAGCCACTGGAAACCCACTCTGGCTCGTTGCTCGGGCATTCATTCACCAGCCTAGTGCGGAACAGGTAAGATGTCAAGGAGCGAAAGACATTCTCCTAGATGTTGGAACCCTCACATTGCCGTACGCTTGGGCCCCAGACATTGTAGACATTCAGGTTCTCCGAGTGGGGCAGCTGTTTCTCATTATCTCGGCTAGTGAAGCTACGACTATGTCGGGCCGTCGCTGGAAGGAAGCTATTCACAAGGGTGCCCGAGACACGCTGGGTATCTCTGATCCTCAGGTCGTTCTAGGGGCACCGTCTAACAGCTATGCCCACTACGTTGCGACAGAAGAGGAATACCGCGTACAAAGATACGAAGGAGCATCAACCCTGTATGGTCCGAATGCGCTTGCAGCCTACATCAATCTCACTCTAACATACCTGCCGTACCTCGGCAGCGCCGACGATATTGCGAATCTCCCGGCCATCGGCGCAGGCCCTAGCCCACCTGTCAATACCAACAACTCCCTTAGCTTCATCACAGGTGTGGTTTATGACAATGCTCCTTTTGGAAAGTCCTTCGGGGATGTTATTACGAATCCCAGCAGCAGGACTTATGGACCTGGCGATGTCGTTAACACGACCTTTGTTGGCGCCAATCCTCGGAATGACCTTCACCAAGAATCAACATATGCAGCAGTTGAAATTTACAACTCGAGCTCTGGCGACTGGGAGGTGGTGCGAGACGACCGTGACTGGAACCTCCTCTTCTTGTGGGAGCGAACCAGTAGTGTTCTTGGATACAGCGATGTCACGATCCAGTGGACGATCGAGGACAGTTATTACAGTGTGGATAGCCCGAATGCTTTACAGGCTGGAACCTATCGTATGCACTATTACGGGGACTCAAAGGATGTCCTTGGGAATATTTCACCCTTTGAGGGCATTGGGGGATCCTTTACAGTGGCGTCTTCGTAAGAAGACTCGTCGGATTCTTCATAGGGTCAACCGAGTACCCTGTGGCGTACGTGAAACGAGGTCTATGGGGACTGATTAATATTTTAGCCTTATTCTTGATGACTTAGTAGTTAGTTTTGCATTTAATCTCCAGCATGACTTTATTTAGTTCTCGTCTACCAATGAAAATACCCGTCACGAGTTGCAGACGAAATGTGGATCCCACTAGCAGCCAACCACAGCACTCAAAGCTGCAGACAGGGCGGTTCCTGCAACAAAACCGCTTTGTCGCGCGCCTTGGGCTACTCCGTTCTTTCTGGTGAAACTGGACCCGTCTTATAATATACCCCCTGTTAGTGGTAACTTGAGATTAGATGTACTAGCTAGACCTGGTCTTTCAAACGATGGAGACTGCACCATGCCCCCGGCCAAAACGAATTATTATGCATACTAGCCCAACGCCTCGAATGAGTCTTCATTCTACTTTTCCCCTCCACACACTCTTTCCGTCTGACTTTGCTTCATTCTTTTGTTTTTCCTAGTGTTAAATTTCTTTCTATAAACGCAGGTATCACTTGTGCCAAGCCCCTCATTCATTGTGATAGTCTGACAGCCATGCGCCGCCATCATTGATCCTGGGAAGACCCTGGATCTGCCATGCCCTTCTTTGCCAGATACTTGAGCTTTTTGTCCACCCGAAAGAGTTTTTGTTGACTCGGATATCCATTTGGTGCCAGATTCTACTCTGTCGCGCTCCAAATTTGTCTTCTGGATTACTCCAGTCTCTCTCTGAGCTGAGCTTGCAGTTAATTTCAGTGCAGATCAACGGCAACATGCTGTTCATTCGCTTATTTTTCTTATTGCTTATGGCTTGGACTTGCTCGGCTGGTCCGATCACTCGTTCTGCCGTCCTTGATCACCATCTGTATAATGTATCTCCGGCTGAGGCGGCTTTGGCTGCGGGGATCAACAACTTGGGTGCCCGCGATGAGGAGGAGCTGACCATCAATCCTGTTACCCCTTCTTGGGCCCTTTCGGCGGAGAAGACCAAGTCATCTACTATCCCGACATCTATCTCTGTAACGCCCGCTGAGGAGCAGAATATCGAGCCTACGAGTGAGTCTGTGACGCCGTCTACTACGTCTATGCTCACGATTGAAGTTACAACCACCTCGGCACGTGAATCGAAAAGCTCATCGTCTACCTCCCCCTTGTTTTCGATTGAGGATACCGTGTCTACTGCTGTATCCTCAACGCCAATATCGGCCAATACCGATCAAGTGATGACCCCGGTTATGGTTTACGCATCCACGTCGGGAGATAGTACAGCTCCAGCTGAGACAATCAGCTCAGCTCAAAGCACAGCGAGTATCTTTTATTCATCGAACGTCAGTAAGAGTACCTCCAAAAGTGTTTCTCCGATACACAAAGAGGTTGTGCCGTCTACTTCATCCTTTGTTGCATCCCATGCTTCGACTTTCTCTCCGGAGGAAACATCCTCTCCAACTGCAGACAAGACGACTTTTTCAACTCCAATCTCGTCTTCCATGTTATATCATACTATGACCTTCTCTTCGGACAAGGCACATTCGAGTTCAGATATAGCATCTTCTCCACTTTCAGACAAGACGTCTTCAAGTGCAAGATCATCTCCAACTATGGGCATATCCACTGCAAATACAGAATCGGGAAAAGCAACAGACGTCTCGTCCGGAGAGTCTTCTTACAGTGTACTTAATCACAAAACTTCAGTCAGAGCCAAGGCGTCCACGAGAGCTACTGATGATTGTGATGGTTGCTGGACCACCACAACTACTATTTGGTGGAATGCTACTACTGCCACCACGACGCCGTCTGAAGTGACTGCAATATTGACACCATTTGAGTCGTCGAAGACCTCCAGAACAGTAACGGTCACTAAAATAATGACCTCTCCTTCTGGCACGTCAACCTCCTCTAAAGCATTGGTATCGTCCAAATCATCCACGCCGTTCAAGACAGCAACACTGTCCGAAATACCTACGCGCACTAGAACGCCGACCTCGTCCGAAACTCCAACATCGTACGAAAGTTCGACAGTGTCCAAAGCATCAATACTGCCCGAAACCACGTCCACCGAGACACCAACCTCATCGCAAACCGAAATATCGAAATCAACTGCCTCTGTGTACTACATAACAGACAGCATGATCGAATGGGTCTCTTACGGTCAAACGACACCGTACTCTACAGGCATAGCTACTGCCTCCTCCGCTGCACTCTTTAGCACGTCTTTAGATAGCTCATCGCTATCTATAACGCCAATAGAAGCTCAAGTATCTTCACCAACGTCGAAGGCCACATCTTCCATAACCGATGCATCAGGGGCAACCGAAGACTCAGAAACAACCATCGTGGTCCACGCAACCAGAACAGCAATGGTTACAATCACACAGCCCGGGCATACAGTTACTGAGACTGAAACCCCAGTCACAGTCACCGATACCGAGTCCGCGAGTACTGTCACCGCGTCCCCTATAACTGTGGTTATCATGGAAACAATACTGCCTTTGGAAACGTCGACAGTGGGGGAGAGTTCCACTTCTTCGACAGCTGTATCCGAGCAAACTGTAATTGAGACCCCGACAACAGTTATCATATCATCTGAGAAAAGTACGTTCACTCCTACAGATATCCCTACATCTACTTATTCATGAATTGCAGCTACCACGCCCGAAAACACCGAGTCTGTGCAAACTCCTGCGGCTATCCATACTTCCACACATGTAGTGACATCTACAGCTGTGCTTTCATCTACGGTGATGCATACCTCTACAGCCGTGGTGACATCCACGACCATGCATACAGCCACAGCCACAATCACGCACACATCTATGGCTACACATACTTCTACAGCGGTGTTGACGTCAACAACCATAGTTACAGCCACCGAAATCGAGACAAAAACCGAAATGAAGACAGAGACAGCCAGCTCAGGTAGCGGCTTAGCTGTTGTCCCCGTGACACCAGTGGTTGTCACCACAACGAAGACTGTGACTGTGACCGAGGCTACCGCTACGGTGACTACCACGGTGACGAAGGCGTAGCCACAACGAGCCAGAAGGTTACGCGAGATTACGTTGTTATGATTTCTGCCAGTATGTCATTGGATGAAGAAAGAGATCATGAAGACATTTCCTTCGCTTCAAAATGTAACTTTCGTTATGTATTGATTGTGCTTTTTTCGTCTCAATAGCAACCTGAATTGAAAACTCAATTGCCGACGTCACAAGCCTTTTAGATCGTTGCTATACCAGAGAAATGTTTTTCGAGACTGCAGTTGTTTTTAACTTTACGTATGTCCACATGAAAAGCGCTAAAAGGTTATGACTTCGGGCTCTTATGAATATGTAAATACAGCGAACATATCCATTAATAGACTTCGACTGGTCACAGTTCAAAGAAATGACTTCCAGCCTCAGCAAACTTTTGCTGATACTCCTTTAAACTAGCCCACTGGCTTAGTTCTTCTTGATCTCTTTCATAATCGCTCAGATAACTCATCGCACGGCCATTCGCTCGCGGACTGAGATCCTCAGCAGTACTACCGGGGTCCGTCGTAGCAGAGGAACGGCCTTCAAGCCGAATGAGGGTATCAATGAAAGCGTGGAGATAGGACTCTGCTTCTGCGGCTGTGAGGCCATGGAGACCTGATGGTGAGTCCACTGGTGACTGTGTAGATGGGTCTGCGGTTGGTACGGTGTGGTTGGATGAATTAGATGTTGGGTAGCGGGGTATATTGAGGAGGGTCGATGCCACTTGACGAATTTTGCTAGTCTGTTGGGCGTTAGTGTTGATCATAGTGGGATATAGGAAGAGCAGGAGGACATACGATACTGGCACCGTTTGGCTCCATGTTGATTTCATTGACCGTTCGCAAGAGAACGAATAGGTCTTTTATCACTAGCTTCCGCTCCTGGGCCATCATGCGACCAATATAGTCGGCCTGTGCATTTCCGACTGTGCGGGGCGTCGATTCCAAGGGTTCTCCAGTAGCTTCGGATTGTAAACCCACGGAGTTTTCGGCATTGGTTTGCGGTGGGTTGAAAATTAGGGACTTGGCTGGGTTTCCAAATTTGGTATACGTCTCGAATAGGTTCCAGTATTTCTCGACCAACCACGAGCGAGTTGACAGTTGACTGGCGTAAATGTTCGCTTTCTGGATTTCATACTGGATTGCCCGTCGTTCTTGGTTGATATGGTCATCAGGGTAATTAAACACTGAGCCATCTTGACCTATTCCAGCAAACATAGAAGCTTGTTTTGGGTGAAAAACCGAGAGCTCAACAGGAACATCTGAGAGCGCAGATTTAGCTTTTTGAAGACAATCCCAGAGACTTGAGCGCTGGTGCTCCCAATTAAAAATCTGTCCGCTACCAAAAGCAGTCTCCCAGGCCAGAAGGGCATTGTATGACCTGTATACCCGGACGTTTGCATTAAAGCCAGCTAAACGCGAAACCCGGCCTGTGGGTTGCGGATTGACATGGTCCGGGAAAATAAACTCATCATCGACTTCGAGTGGAAATGGAGGGTAGCGTTCCGTGGGAGTTTCCGGGGGTACATGCATCTTGATATCGGAGGAGCCAAGCTGAAGCAGAGATTGATAGCCAACTAAGGAGACATAGAAGAGACGACGACCAAGTTCTTGTGTGATCAGATCGACGGTTTTGTTGTTCGTTAAACTCGGCGAAGAATGATCGTGAGACAACCGTGGAGACAACCCCGACGTGGCTGATATCGGACTGGGTGCACTCATTGCCGATATGGTTGGGAGGTTGTTAGAGATAGGAGTGTGATTGGTAGGAGAGCGGCAGAGGTCATAAACCTGTAGCATACTGCGGCATTCAGCTAAGTAAATGCGGCACCGGCGCATGCTGTATACGTAACCAGCACAGACACCAAGGAAATAACTGATAGCAGCGTCGTAAACTGTTGCATTTCTATCGAGGTATCCAGTACCTCGAGCTTGGATGGCAACATCATGGCACCGTTTCACCAGAGCGATCGAGTTCGGGAACGCGAAGCGCTCGGCTTCAGTGTTGAGTCTCAATTTTGGTCGCCGGGGGAAGGAGGCGACAAGGAAACCAATCATGGAAGCGATAAGAGCCAAGAATGTTCCACTGGTAGTATCTTCTCGGCGCTCAAAAGCAGCTCGAAAAGTAGGTTCATGTGGGATTGGAACCAGAGGGTGAATGTATGTAAAGAAATCATCAAGGAGTAGCTGCACTGTATGCAAGGAACAGATAGCTTCCGCCGAGGTTGGAACAGATGACGGCGGTGTCTCCGGAGGGGGCCGGTATGTAGAAGCTTGCGGAGTAGTTACAAGCGGGATGTCACTCAGGCTAGCCGGTGAAGCATCAGGTGGGACCTCTAGCTTCTGCCTTTTTAAAGCCTCCGCATGCCGATTTGGAGGCCCACGGCGTCTACTTGGCCGCTCATATGTACATGGTATTTCCAAGCTAGCACAGCTCCGACAAGGAGGGCCGCTGGCATCACACTTATAAAATTAGTACACCGGCAGACAGATTCCCGGGGAGGAAAAGACAAACCTTCACCTTGCGGATGCTGCAGGCATCGCAGGCCTTGCGCAGCCTGGTTTTAGGGTCCATCCGTAAGAAACTGGCTTAGCCCACCATGCAGTGAGATTCAGGTCATGATCATATGTGAAGTTGCATAAGCTTTGTCGATACAAAAGGTTCGGTACATGCAGACCCTGCGGGGAACCCTTGAACGGCCCACTTCCTGGGGCAGGTCGCGTGGAGCAATTGTGCGAAGTCGTGCTGTGCCACTCCGTGAACTGGTTCGGGACTTTTGGTCGTACTACGAGTGACTAATGTAGCGCTTTTCTGGGCACTTCACTCCCAAGAGGAACTAATTGACTCGCACAATCCCAACTTTGCAGGTTTTCAGGGATGACCGCCCTAGGGGGGTAGATTTTCCTGCCGGTGGGGTGAAGTTAGGCAAGCGCCTTCTCTTTCGCATAAGTGTTAAGCGCATCGGCGCAAACCCGTTCGGAAGGGAATTGCGGTAGTGTTGACCGGGCCTCGGATGGGGATAGTCACGTGCAGGTAATCCGGGGAAAGCTTAACAAGGGTCCATGCGATTATTGGCACGGAGTACAGACATCCAAGGAAATATTTATCTATTAATGAGGTAGTTGGCATGAAATGATATATTATTTGGTCGTGAGGATGTCGGGGTGGGTCCACATTCAGTACGCGACAAGGAGTATGGGAAGCAACCCATTACTACGAGGCCGTAGGGCCCACTATTCATGCCACATTATTAAACCGTGAAATCATCTTGATAGGCATCACCCAGCCGTGTGGGCCGCTGGCTAGCAATTTGTCGTTTCTGCTCCAGCTCAGATGCCCACAGCGCAGCACCAGCCGCGGTAGTTATCAAAAAGAGCATGGAGAAGGGAGGGATGAGTTGCAGGATCAAAGCAACGGTTCCAAAGCTAAGACTTGTTAGTTTTGCGACGAGAATAAAGTCAGAACGGAAGTAACAAACATACGTAGTATACTGCAGTTGCCGCCGACTCACACTAGCTTTCCGCTCCTGTTTAGTGAAATCCAGGAGCTGGAAATACCGCCAATGGTGGAACGGTCCAGCGCGATATCCGGTGAGGATCAGGAACATGGGCGTTCCAGCAACCGGGATAAAATTGAGCGGCAACAAAACGATGAATTCGACGATCTGCCGCAAAGAGAAGGGCGCATAAACGGCGCTAGTCGTCGGTGTGCCGAGACGGCTGGTCGGATCACCGGCCTCGGGATAAATCACCCGCGAAGCGAGCACAAGCTGCTCCTGGCCTTCATTCACCAGGACGGAATCAAACACATCCACCAATGTTTCATCGACGAAGAACGCCTCGAACAATGCAGCCACAATCGCGGCCCCTTCGCCCAGCACCAGGAATGCACCGCTCACCCACGATCCAGCTCCTTGGAAGATAGCCAAGAAGGCCACTTGTGGGAGGTAGGTGAAGAAAAAGAGAAGGAAGTAGACAAAGCTCGAGAGGAGCACGATAGGCACAAGTCGTGCCTTGAATAAGGGCCAGAGGAAGCGGTGTGTCGCAAAGTAATGGATGCCCTAGTAAAGCAAGGTCAGTATCTAGGGAGACTATTGCAGCGAAATTTGGCTTTCATACCCGAAGTGGGTACAGCCACGCTGCCCGAGTTGGATCCCACGTTCGTGATGACATGGCCCAAGGTCGGTTGTGAAAATGATGCTGTCGCTTATGGAGACCGAAAGGCAACAGCTTCAGTTCTCCAATTTTCCTGTTATCGATAAGGGATCACGTGTTGGCTTAGTCATCGCCGACTATTTTAGGCAAGTTTTTTTTCTCTGGGCGCTTTTCCTTTTCTTCCTCACATAAAACTAAAATCCTCCCTATTCACTCTAGAATCCACCTTGCAATGGGTTCCTCGAGGGGAAATGGGAGGAAAGACTGACTCTGCTGGCTTACCCCGTATGCTTCTTTCTACGTGGAGCATCTGGAAATACTATTCAGCGGTACATCCCTTTTTTCCAAGTCCTCTTGGTGTTGTTATGAATATATGAATGAAAATGAAAAATTTTTTATGAACTTTGAACATGACCTTCCGTATGAAAATGTGATAAATATAGACCGAGCTTCACTGCCCATTATCGATTGTGCACTCGATGCCTGGCCTCGTGTGAACCGAAGACAGACCCTCTTATTCCTGTCGGCCTTTGATCTCCCTAATAATATGCTCCAGACTATGGACAATCGCAGTCGGCTTAACTCCCGGAAGAGCAGCATCCTGCCAGCCTTTGCCAGCTCGATCGATCCAAATCGCATTCAACCCAGCACTGCGCGCCCCGACAATATCCCACGCGTTGCAGCTGATCAACCATATTTCATTCATCTGAGAAGGCTGCTTGCCGACCATGCGAGCGCAATGCTGATAGCTGGCAGGTGCAGGCTTATACACCTTTGCATCGTCTACAGTGACCAGGTCTTGGAATTCACTGGCGTGCTGGGATAAGTCTGGGGAGTGCAGGACTGAGTTTGACATCATGTTTTTCGTGCCATTCGAGAATATTACTGCTTGAAGCGTCGGATCATTTGCGATTCGGTTTAGCGTCGGACCTACATCCGGGAATGTATATAGGCTGTCATATGCTTCCAACAAAGTGTCGAGGTCGGAGTCTGGTAGCTGTTGATCATGCTCAGCTAATGCTTGGCGCAGCGAGTTACGGGTAACCGTTGAGAAATCCTCGTATTTATCTGAATTGTTGTTAGCTGTGTCACTAGCAGATAGTTGCGAGCTGCTGCGACTTACGCATGCTATTCAATCTCCATGTATATTCAAGCTGATATCGGCGCCAAAGGGTGGAGATAGACGAGGCTTGAGCACCAACATGTGTATCCAGCTGTTTAACAATGGAGTCTGTAGACAACAATGTGCCATACATATCAAAAGCTATGATGATTTTGTCCGACATGGCGACTGTAGGGAGATGTTAATGACCAGAGGAGCGCTTGAGCGTAAATTATGGATATTCAGCAGATATATACTGGTGTGAAGTGGGGCGTGAGGGACCCGGATGATGTCAATCTTTCGCACGATTCCGCGGGGTTCAAACTTCTCCAACTCCCCGCCAATTCGGAGAACTCAAGAACATGAGCTCAATATACCAATGACATCGCATGAAAACTACAGAATCTTCCGAGAATGTCTCTCGAGTGCTATTGTCGCGCGCTCTGAGAAACCAACGTCTAAACGCAGGACGAAAGTCAAGCGCAATGGACGTAAAGAGGTGACCGTCACCAAGACCGAGGTCGTATCTTCTGAACGAGCAAATCCAGAGGAGTTGGCTGAGTTTATTGACGTATGAATCTGCACAAGAACTCGCAACATGGGGGTAACAAAGCATTGGAAACCTAATCGCTTGCATATTTAGTTCATCGCCTCCGAAACCTTCGACTCCTTCCCTGAAGATCTAAAGACACTTTCCTTCGCCGGAATCCAACATGATGCGGATCTGGCGAAGAAGTACATCCCCCTTGATAAAGATATACCTCTCGATCGCGCAGTCCTCGACTCGATATGCATAGTCACACCCGTCGATGTCACAGACTCATTATCCGTCTACGGACTCATACCCGACTCGGCCGATTTCCCCGACTTCATATCCCCGGTTCTGTCGGAATATATTAGCAGCGTGACGACTGGGCCGCCAGCGTGGTCATCGACCAAGACAGATGCATGTGAGATCTGCGAGCGGGACTGGATCCCGTTGTCGTATCACCATCTAATCCCGCGGGGTGTGCACGCTAAGGTTTTGAAGAAGGGGTGGCATGATGAATGGATGTTGAATAGCGTTGCTTGGCTTTGTAGGGCCTGTCATAGCTTTGTGCATCGGATGGCAGGGAACGAGGAGTTGGCGAGGGAGTGGTTCACTGTTGAGAGAATTATGGAGAGGGAAGATGTGAGGGATTGGGCGAATTGGGTCGGTAGGGTGAGGTGGAAAGCGACATAATAAGAATACTCAGATCTAGATCCTATCTTGTAGACAAGGTGCATCTATGATTGCCGGGCTGGTATATTGTATTTGGGATTGGAGTATGATACATGCATTGACAATATCTGCATTGCCGGGTTATATCCAATGGTAAAACGCCTGACCCAGATGCAAGCCATGTCGAAAAATGGAGATATTGTACATGACACGGGGGTAAAAGACCCCAGCTGTGACAAAATGAAATCTAGAAATACATTTGCGTACAGATCACAGGTGATCTTTAAAGGTAGCGCTTTTCGTGGATCTCCTCGTAACACTGGATGTGATCGCCAACGGCAAAATCAGACCAGCCTTCGAATCCGATACCACATTCGGTGTCTTTGCGCATCTCGGTAACGTCCTTCTTGACGTTCTTGAGCGAGGTCATCGTTCCTAAAGCAAGTTAGCAAAGTCGAGTTTTGGGGAAAGCGTATACAGGATGAGTATGCTCTTACCATCGTAAATAGTCTCATCACCGCGGAGAACTCTGACCTTGCGGGCTTTGTTGACGGTGCCGTTACGCACACGACAACCCGCAATAGACATCTTCTCACGTCCCTTGATGGTAATTTCGAAGATTTGGCCGATCTCAGCTTCGCCGGTCACACGTTGGGTAATGATGGGAGCCAGGTGTTGACTAAGGTCAGCCTTGACGTCGTCGATGAGTTTATAGATGATGTTGTGGTCCATAATCCGTACACCATCTTGCTCCGCCATGCGCATCATGTTGGGATCAATGGGCATGTTGAAAGAAATGACCCGTCCCTTAGCAGCGGCAGCGTGTTCGACGTCAAATTCTGTTACAGGACCAACTGCCGAGCGAAGAATATTGGCATAGACTTCGTTATTGCCAATGGCAGCCAGGGAGTTCATGACTGCCTCTGCAGAACCATCGACATCGGCTTTGATAATGAAATTAATCGCCTTCGGGCCAGTCGGTTCTGCAACAGCCTTGGTAACGTCATCCGACTCAGACTGCTCCTCAAGTCTGCGCTTTTCGGAGAGCTCTCGTCGTGCCTCGTTGATGGCAACCATATCCTGGCCAAGCTTCTCGGTGCCAACCTGTTCTAGGCGATACTCCACAACATCCTTGGCCTTCTGTTCGGTGGGTGTCTGCAGAATCTCAGAACCAGCAGCAGGCTGGTCCCTCCAGCCGTCAATCTCGACAGGCATTCCTGGCGTAGCTTCACTAACGGTCAAGCCAGCCTCGTTGCGCAAAGTGCGCACGCGAGCCCAGGTGTTGCCGGCAACGATGACATCGCCTGGCCGCAGCGTACCACGACGGATAAGAGCTGATGCAACTCGGCCGTAGCTCTTGGTCGAAGCCTCGAGAACCCATCCCTCGACGTTGCCGGTCTTTTCAGCCCGATGGTCAAGCATCTCCGAGAGCGCGCCAATTGCCTCCTCGAGCTCAAGCATACCCTCACCAGTCTTGCCACTGACCCCGATAGCTTGAACATCACCACCATAATCTTCCACGTGGACACCGTGGACTGACAAATCCTGCTTCACTCGATCAGGGTTGCGGCCCTCTTTGTCAATCTTGCTCATGGCAACAATGATGGGAACGTTGGCCTGTGTTGCGTGCTTGATGGCTTCAATGGTCTGCGGCTTCACACTATCATCAGCGGCCACCACCAGAACCACAATGTCAGTGACATCGGCACCACGACGACGCATCTCCAAGAATGCCGAATGTCCAGGAGTGTCCAAGAAAGTAATCAATTTTCCAGAAGGCATTGGCACAGAGAAGGCACCGATGTGCTGGGTGATACCACCGTGCTCGGTCGCAGCAACCGATGACTTGCGCAGCCAGTCCAAGATAGTAGTTTTTCCATGGTCGACGTGGCCCATGATAGTGACCACAGGCGGCCGAGATGGCCAGTGAGAAATATCTTCTGGCACCTCTGCAGCCTCAATATTATCGGCCCCAGTATCGAAGATAGCCTCGTAGTTGTACTCGGCAGCGACCAGTCCAGCAGTCTCAGCATCCAGCACATGGTTGTATTCGACATCCTCGAAGCCCATCTCCTCCATGCGGGCAATAAACTGACTAGGTCGGACGCCAATGACGTCGGCCAAGTTATTGACGCTAATGAATTCAGGGAGGTACAAAGGCTGAGGAGCGGCGCGCGCCTCTGCCTTCTTCGCTTCCTTTTGCTTCTTGCGTTTGCGTGCCTCGCGCCGCTGTTCACGTTCCTCAGCCTCAAATTCCGCGGACTCGGATCCTCGCTGCTTCCCTCCATCACGTCGCTTAGACTTTTTCGCGTCCTGCGGTACATCTTCCTCCACCTCACCCACTTCTAGCTTCTCCAGGGCAGACATATCCCAGGACCATTGGTCGACTTTCTTCTCGGCCTTGGCTGTAGGTTCCTTAGTCTTAGCTTCTGTAGCCTTCTTTTTCGGTGTGGCCTCTTCAGATTCCGCCAGGAACGAGCGGCCCAGGTTCCTGAACTTGGCAGACTCCGCATTGTCGCGCGATGGCCGTGCTTGCCCTGATGGCAATCCTGGCCGCGATGTCTGACAGAAAGGACAAATCGAGTATTTCTGGAAGACAAGGCGTTGACAACTTGGACAGTCCCAGTCAGTCGGACTCCGTGTCACCGTGCTCCCTTGCCGCGGTTTCCTCTCCCGGTCGTTTCGATGTCTTGGAGCTTCCTTATTCCAGTTGTTCCGTTGCCCCGAGGGTTCCTGGTTATCGTTACGCCGCTGTCGGTGCTGTAGACCGCGAGGATTCTCTTTGGCGGGCGAATCCGTGTTGGGGCGATTAGCCCATCTTTGATTCCGTAGAGGCTGGGATGAGCGCTCACGCTCCTGTGCGGGTGGCGCTGGAGGAGGTGGTGGCTTGCTTTTAGCGACCAGAGAGTCGCGCAATGCCTGCTCCGCGGCACTCAGGCCCGTCGCTTGCGATGTTCCAGGGCCCCATTTGCTTCCAAATTTTGGAGCGCCGAACTTTGTGGCACCAGGCTTGGGCGCGCCGAACTTAGGTGTAAAAGCTGCCGGCTTAGGAGGGGCTGGAGAACTTCCGTCGTTTGGTTTATCTCCGGATTCCGAGTTTCGATGGGATGCAGAGGAACGAAAGCTCCGCTGAGAGGAGAAGGTCGGGGTTGGGGCCGTTACGCTGGTCGAAGAAAGCTCGACGCGGCGTGAAAGCTAAATGCAATGTCAGTATTTGAGTAATTTTCTGTTATTTCCCAGATCAACTCACCCTTGTGACCGCTCGCCTATGCATTGCTGGTCTTGACTGCTCTACTGTTTAGCAATTGTCGAATGCAGAACTGACTGCGGTCGCTTATGTAAGTTCAAAAGTAAACCCACCCGATGTGATTGGCTGAATGGAACCACGACGACATACTTCAAGTTCACGCGCGGACTGATTTACATTATTGCAAGTGCTGCGTACTAAGCCACTTATTTTGCATAATGACACTTTGATTATGTAGGCTTACGTATCCAATTTACTCGGATGCGACAATATGGATGCAACTTATCGCTTATGGCAAACGGCATGACCTGACTACATTTATATATTGCCAAATCCTCATTGCACAAGCATGAAGCAAATTAGATTGTCGTGTACCTTGGAAGTCTCCTGGACTTAGGATAGGCCAGGCGAGCCCATGAGCCTCCAGTGTTGTCATGATTCTAAAGTTGCTGTTATAGAAGACAAGCTGACCAGGAGCGGGAAGAACGAAGTTATAGTATATGTTGAATTTACAATGCTTTAGTTGCTTCTATGAACAATGCAGGACTTAGAGCGTTGAGTCAGTTAAGAAGAACTTATAAATATTCAGATTACTTTTGTCACGGTTGATCAGGTAGCTCCAGAACAAAACAAACAATAAAGAAACAGATTAGAAGACAAGACAAGAGATTCTTTCCAGTGAAGACTTGGCCCGAAGGAATGGCTCTGTCATGATGCAAGTCTTGACTGAATTTGACCTGACAATCAGCTTGGGTTGTGTTTGTAGCTAAGTGATGCCCTTCAGCGAAGACCTGAACCAGGCAAAAATGAAGTTATGGAGGTTGGTTGGTTGGAGGAATGGATGGGCGTTGGTATTGGTTTGGTGTGTCATATCCAAGTCTTAGTTGGTTTTGGCCCCGACGCTTAGCTGGATTTGTTTGTGTTTTATGGTTCATAGCTGAGTGATGCCCTTCAAGGAAGACTTGGATCACGACGGGAACGTCGAATTTGTGCGAAGTTTGAATAGATGAATGTTGTTGCGTTGATGTATCATATCAAGTCTTCTTTAAATTTGACCTGACACTCAGCTTAGTGGTTTGTTTTCATGAATTGCAGTTGAGTGATGCCCTTCAAAGAAGACTTGGATCAAGATGGAAGGTCGGAGATGTGCGAAGTTTGGATGTATGTTGTATTGCTTGGTGAGTGTTGTCATTGGTTGGTATGCCATGACCAGTTCTTGATTGAATTTGCCCTGACACTCAGCTCATGGAGTTGTGGTGTGTAGCTGAGTGACGCCCTTCAAGGAAGACTTGAATCAAGACAGAAGGTCGAAGTTGTCAAGGTTGAAAGTTGAGAAGTTGTTGGGCTGACGTGCCATGGCCAAGTATTGACTGAATTTGTCCTGACATCCAGCTTAGTGGTTGTGGGTTTTAGCTGAGGCACACCACGCCTGTCCAGAGAATACTTGGACCAAGACAGCAGTATGAGACCGTAAAGGGTGGCTGGACCAGCATGTTGTATTGATGGATGAAGTTCAGAAAAAGGAATGATGAAATCCTCAAAATAAGATGGATCAGCATGTTGTCGAGTTGTATGGATGGATGGATGTCATGGTCATGATGAATGGAAGTCATCAAGCAAGGGTGAGAGAACACGTTGATGGAAGATGGAAGAACAATTGGAAACAAAGATGATGTTGTTGTGGTGATGATTAAACTCATGAAGAAATGATGAGGTAGCATGTTGATGAAATACGAGAGACACAACAAGATATTGGATGAGGCATGATCAACAAGGGGAAAAAAATGATCAAGGTCCAAAGCAATGTGGAGAAGAGGCAAGTGGAGAGTTGAGGAAGGAAGAAGAAACTTGATCTGGGGAGAAAATGGAGGTACTTGTACCCCAGAAAACTCGCTTGTTTCTCAGGTTGGGAAATCACAACCAATGAGAAAGCAGGAAAAGAGCCTGTACCTTGGATTCACTTGCTAACCCCCACATGAGATGTTTTGTTAGTGGCCCCTGGCATCAAGCTCCCGAATAAAATCACCCCCAGGCTCGATAATACATCTTGGCCCCACTCAAACTTTGGCTGCTGTGACTTCCTCTTTGGGCCCCTTGACTTAAATGTTCTTGATCAAATACTCTCAGACATGCTCTATTGTGTTGTTTGTCCTTGAACTCCATGTTTTGTGAATTGCATCCACCGTGCAACCGCCGGTCACCGTACCCACTATCAGGACCCCCAGGGTTTATTCTACAGCCTTTGTTCCCAAATTTTACGGAACACATTTATGTATACTCTTTCAATGTTGCCAAAAAATGATTGTATCTTCATATTGTACTTTCCTTCTCGATCTGATAAGAGCCCGACTGAATCATACAAGCCAACGTGTGGTACTGCATTGGGGTCACCATTATCAGTCCTGTTCAGAACAATAATATCCATGCTAACTGCGATGTTTACGCGAACCGTCAGTGTTCAATACTGTGGTAAGTTTGCTACGGCGAACAACACCCCCTTCCCCCCGGCGCAGACGTACGAGTGGAACACTGTGCATGGATCTAATGGTGTTGGGTGCAGTACACAATTTCAGGCCAAGTTGTACACTGAATAGGCGTGGATGGGAGGCTTCCGAATGCCTAACAATCCATTCTCTTTTAGGTATTTGGAAATCTTCTCTCTAGGAATCAAAATCAGCAAAAAGAGCCACATGATTTATTATACAGGTCTGAGGGCCGTTTTTATGCTACATAGACTGAGGAGTTAGGTAAGAACTACATAGCAAGCGAGAAATCCCCGAAGAAATCCTGCCACGCGGTAGGAAAATAGAACAGATTCAATCCGGGAAAGTCCCACTCCGAGACGAATTGCTCCGGTACAAACCATTGAAGATCCGCCTGTGCATCAAAAAGTTCCCAAAATGGTGACGTTGCTGCTGTACCACCAGTACTTGGCTGTTGTGATTCTCGTAAAGCACGACCATATTTCTCAATACTAACTTTGAGAATTTGGAGATAGATATTCCCGGCTCCAGATTGGTTAGTATTTGAGCCTGCTTTGCTCAGCTCATGAACGAGTCGGGTTCCGTGTTCTAAAAGCTCTTCATGCTCTTCGTCACGCTCGGGTAGGAGTCGAGAGAGTTTCAGGAGTAGGAGGAAAGCGAATGCACATTTTGCCCAGACGAAATCCATGGCGTATTTCAGTTTGGCGAGGTAGAAGTCAGGCTCAACTACCATTAGGCGGAGATGTCGTCGAGCGCTTGCTTTTGCTGTGAGGAGGATTTTGCGTTCGGTTGGCGACATAGTTCTTCATTGATAATCAGTTTGACTTTCATTGTAGGTAGGAAGGTCATCACATACGCCACGTTCTCGACGCCCATGGCCCGAAGGGCTTTGCAATTTAGCATCATCTCCGCCCAGCATTTCTGTACTCGAAGAGCTGCTAGAAGGTACGGCTTTTCTTCGTTTGCGGCAATTGAGTTCTCTGTCATGGCGTCAGAAAGATTATGGATAACTTTATTTACTTGAGGCTCACCAATAATCCTTATCCAATCGCTGGTAATAGTCAGCTTGGGTTCGCTCATAGTTTTAGCATGTAACATACTCAAACCATATGTCCAAATCCACTTTCATTTCGTGAACGAAATCGGCGATCCCAGGACCATCGAGCTTTGTTCCTGGACCCAGATTATCATTAATAGTGGCTGGGAAGCAATTAGTGGCCTTGTCCACAGCACGAGATCTTTTCGTACCTCTTAAAATATTTAGCTAGTGCAGAAACTGTTAGCAAATGCCAAGCACATCCGATTTTTGTTCCAACACACCTCAACTTGAGAAAACAATCTTAAATCCAGAACTGTAGTTGAAGGATGGCTAAGAAGAATTCGACTTCGCCTCGAATTCCCAAGCAACCTTATCCCAGGCGGCTTTCCTCCATCAACACGGAATCTACCCAGAGGAAATTTAGCACTGCCGTCAAGCTATTGTCAGGGCTTACTCACATATGCTCTAAAACCAAAAGCCCAAACCAAGTCCTCGACTTGCGCATCAAATCCCTTTCCCGATCAAAGTCATGATCCAAGATTCCTGCTGCGTCCTCGTCATTCTTATACGCCAGCCGCTCAGTCAGCTCCTCAAATGCGTCATGAAGCTCCAAGTCAAGTGCCATTCGAGTAGCAAAAGATAGAATGAGTAGTCGATCTGCGGAGTAGCACGCCACAATTAGCATTGCTTGGACTGACTCGAGGCAGTTCAGTCCTTTATTTTGGATGATCACATTGATCCATTTTTTGAGTTCCGCGTGAAGCATATCCGACGTTGGACCACCGGTTCCTACAAACAGGCATTAGTTGTCATGCATGTCAAAATTTCGGATTCTAGGGCTCTGTACTCGTTTCAACCATGCAGCCAATGGTGCAGATGGCATTCAATAGAATACTGCTTCGAGCTCGGACGGAATCGAAGGTATCGTAGTCTGGGTCGAAAATTGGGATATATCTGTCCTGTTCGAGTTCAAGAAATTACTTTCTATACTCTTTATACCGTTAAGCCTTCATGTTAGTACTTACACATCCTTGGAAGAACCTAAAGCGGTAACGTAAGTGAAACGTCAGGTGTGGAAGAAAGTGAGTGGATTAAACACACGTATTAAAGCATGATACTGCACAATCCGGTGTAATAAGGCCTTTATCAATGAAATCTGCAATTGACTCCTCTCGAATCTCAAAACAGGAGCGTTTTCGCTTCTTAGATTGAAAATTGTCTCCATTCGACGGCGTATACATTGGCGCTACCGCCGTGACTCTAATTGGAGAGACATCTGGAATAGATCTTTGGTAAGACTGTGAGCTATTCATATAGTCAGCTGAGCCTGGATGAACTGTTAGAGCTCCAGGGTCCTCTGGTTGGTGAGGGTGAGCGAATTGGGAACATGACGAAGTGCAGGCACTTCCACGGCGTGGTTGGTCTGCTTGGACATGTAGTTGTTGTGGTGAGTGAAAATCTTGTCCTTGAAATCTTGGGCTTGGATCTGCATGATTCTGGTTGATCAACGCTTGCATCTCATCAAGTTGCCTTCGCAAATATTGGACCTCAGACTCGACGCCCTCAAGCCGTCTGCAGATATGTCAGCCAATTTGTTTCGGGTAGGGATCATGATATCCGTCCACCATACTCCGAGACAGGGTCTTTGGGTATCTCAAAGAAGACGCATTGCTTATCTATCTTTTGACATCTGTAGGCATCATGCTTAGAGATTGTTTATGCACGGCCTGGCAGCGGTGTTGCATACCTCCCACACGGCCGATCTCCATCGCACCTAACCTAGAATAGAATTAGTGAGCTCCTCAGTCGCATTAGCTCCAATAGTGGACGAACCTTAGACTGTCGACAGGCACTACACGCTTTCTATGCAATGGGGCATGGAGCGTCAGAACTCTTCCGGGGGAACAAAGCCGAGGTCCGGTGGCACATACAGGGATACGCTTTTTGCCGATTGGCACGGGCAAAACATGCAAGGAATCGTCGTCCTGCATCGCCGGACAATATGGGCCCTTTCTGTGCCAGTCCCTAAGGAAAATTGGACACAAAATTCGAGATGAAAAACGCGGGGTTCGGGTATTCCTCCGTTGAACGGAGGAGACTCGTGGTTCCCCACTTTTCCCCGGAACCCCAGATCACACAACCGTTGATCACGGGATTTACGTTGTCAAACCCAATTCTCATTTTGTTGTCGGTTTTTCACCCGAACGCCGATAACTATCCCCAATCTAGTAATTACGTCTGCTCATCCTTTCAACACGCATCGCGGCTTGATCAAAAAGTCGGGGTCATTGGTCCACTTGACCCGGAACTTGTCCGTCATTTCAAGAAATCAAGCGATTTGTTCCGTATCGGATGACCTTGAGGAGGAAAGTGGCATCAGCGGCTGCATGAGAAGGTTGACAAGGATGTCCCGAAAAAATCATTGGCTTGGCCCTGTTCAGACTTGAGGTTGCACGGTGCTAGACCCGAGAGATCATAAACTTCGTTTCCCCACGGGGTTTGCATATACCCTATCTCCCCCGACTTTCTGGTCTTTGTCTACTTTGGCTCTTTGGCTATCTTACTGTTATCTTCACTTGCCCATTTACTATTATCTTTTCTTTCTGCCTTTCAGGGCTGTCACTTCTCATCTCTACTTCTATCCTTCAACTCTTGGTCTGCGATGTCCAAGGTAGGAGAATCTTCACAGCCCAAGAACCAGCAGGAGGAGTTTGTCGAGTCCATCGAACATGAGGAGCAAACTCCTCACACTGTTCAGGATGAGCCGCAGGTGAACAAAGCCCAGCAGGACAAGGCTCTGCAGTTGATCGAAGAAGTAGGATATTCGACCATCTTGACTCCTGAGAACAACAAACATGTCCTTCGGAAGATCGATCTTCGTCTCCTTCCTATTATGCTAGTCATCTACTTCCTACAACAGCTTGACAAGTCAACTCTCTCTTATGCATCGGTCTTTGGACTCCAGGAGAATGCTCATCTTCATGGACATCAGTACTCCTGGTTGGGTGCAGTTGTCTATGTGGCCCAGCTGGTCTTCCAGCCCCTGGTTTCTTATCTCCTGGTCAAGGTTCCGATGGGAAAGTTTCTGGCGGCCTCGACGCTTTGCTGGGGTATTGCATTGTCTTGCATGGCTGCTGCCAACACTTTCGCTACCTTGATGGTATGTCGGCTGTTCCTTGGTATCTTTGAGGCTGGACTCGGTAAGTCGTTTCATTTTGTCAGATCAACGGGGTTCCTGCTTCTAACATTCAACAGCCCCGGCCTTTATTGCAGTGACACAGATGTGGTATAGACGGCGCGAACAGCCTGTGAGATTGGGCTCGTGGTATGCGATGAATGGCGTGGTCAACATGGTAAGGTCTTCTGGATACTTGTATCGAGCCACAGCTAAAAGCTCACCGTTCAGGTTGGAAGTTTGATCACATATGGGCTGGGACACATCAATTCTTCAGTCTTTGCTCCTTACCAGGTGAGTCAATCACCTACTCTATTGTTCTACAAGCTCTAATTCTTGCAGGTCATTTTTCTCTTTTTTGGCTTGATCACTGTTGCATTTTCGTCCGTTGTGTTGTAAGTTGGCTTCCTCCTCGCCTCATCACCAAATAATAATATACTAATGCTTCCTTTCATAGCTTTTTTATGCCCGACTCGCCCCTTAAAGCTAAGTTCTTGTCCGAAGATGATAAATTAGTGGCTGTTGAAAGGTACCTGCTTCCGAGAACTTTCTGGGTCTTCTCCCAGCTAACACATATAGATTGCGAATGAACCAACAAGGTATTGAAAGCCACGAATGGAAATGGGAGCATGTCAAGGAGTCATGCCTGGACCTCAAGTCATGGTTTTGGTTTTCTCTGATGGTTTCTATCTCGTATGTAGAACCACCCCTGTCTTATTGCTGTCTTTTTCTAACTTGTGCAGAATCCCGAGTGGTGGAATCACCACATTCGGTCCTTTGATTATAGAATCCTTTGGTTTCAACAGTCTCAACACGATCCTTCTCAACGTTCCGTTCGGTGCAGTTCAGCTTATCGCTACAATGGGAGGTGCTTGGTTGGCTACAACATGGAGGAAAAAAGGTCCCGTCCTTGCACTATTGTGTCTTCCCCCAATTGCAGGCTGTATTATGCTGTTGAAGATCCCTCATGACGATGCTCACAAGGGCCCTCTTCTCGTGGGCTACTACATCATCTCTGTCTACCCAAGTATCACGCCGTTGATCTACTCTTGGTCGGCCGCCAACACTGCCGGAGAGACAAAGAAGAAGGTCACCACGGGTATTCTTCTCGTGGGACAGTGTGTTGGTAACATCATCGGACCCAACCTGTACACCACTGACGAGGCACCGCTGTACCACCGTGGACTGCTTTCTAACCTCTCACTTTTCTGTGTCTTGTGGCTCCTCATTATGCTGAACATGGCTTACCTGTCTTTTCTCAATAAGAAGCACGAGAAGAAGCGTGTTGCTCTTGGAAAAGATGCTAAGATTATTGATCACTCCATGTTCGCAGTTGGGGCTGTACCAACAGACAAAGATGGCATGCCGGTCCAACAGGTGGCTGATGATAATGCCTTCAAGGATCTGACGGACTTGCAGAACGAGGACTTCGTTTATGTCTATTAGACGCAGTTACTGGCACTAAGGTAGTGTTGCTGACGAATTGGGAATGATTATTTATTGTAGTATTTTGAATGCATTTCAGAGACTTCAGAGCTCTGTGTTTACACGTATAAGATGTCAACTTTGGTATTTCGATTCTTAAAAACTGCTAAGTGATAAATCTATATTGCTATTGAACACCTTGAAATAAAAATTGCCCGTTTTCACCTGTAGTTAGACCTAATGGGTTCCTAGGGAGTCTCCTGGATGCTTAATCGGGCCCTATGCATCTGCTGAATTCGGAGTAGCTATTGACCTTCTTTAAACCTAAAGAAAACAGTTTCTTACGGAACTACCGCTTCCCGTACACATACTACATACGTGTCAAGTCCATGGTGAGGTTCCCGGCTAGCAGCTTCGGCGTTTCGTAAAAAGAATTCTTAATACTTTTTCCTAGCTGCAGGCAAGTAGACCCACATAGTTACCATCAAATCGGCGTTTGCTCGCATCTCCGGCATCTCGACATCCGGGGTGGTGGGTCAATAGCCGATCTTGTCCAACAAGAGTCAATTCGGAGATGATCCCCGATCTCCGATGTATACTGCCCCACGCCATGCATGATGGTTTCATTGCAACGCGGGGCAAGCAATTCAAGCAGAATGCTACAAATACAGCTGTCTGCCAGGGTGCTCCGAGCTATCATCTGCGATTGAGTCCACATTTCAATCACAATGCCTCAGAAAGAAAGCTGCCCGCGTGGCTATTCACAAGTGCCCTCGAGCACCCAGCAAGACGCCTCGGTGCTTATCCGCAGTAGCTCCAAGAGCAAGAATGCTTTTGATTTCTCGTTCGAAGCTATCCGCAAGAACCTTTTCCGGGTTACCTTCACCTCGCCGGAGCATGTTGTTCCTCCCTATCCCAGCGTCATCAAGCCCGAGACCGATCTCAAGAACGTGAACGTTTCCGCCAAGTCCTCCGAAACCTCCAAGTCTATCGAAGTGGGTGGTGTCACAGCTACTGTTGAGTGGGAGTCGACTCCTGTTGTTTCATTGGGATGGACTGGGTCGGATAAGCTTCTTCACCGCGATCTCCCTTTGCGCTCATACGTCGCTGATGGAGAGGGTGTTGCGCACTACTCGGTCCATGACCGCGAGGCGCTGCATGTTGGTCTGGGAGAGAAGGCTGCGCCTATGGATCTTAGCGGCCGTAACTTCCAGCTCTCCGCCACCGACTGCTTCGGATACGACGCCTACAACTCCGATCCTCTATACAAGCACATTCCGCTGTTGATCAAGGCCACTCCGGAAGGCTGTGTTGCTCTCTTCTCGACAACCCATGGCCGTGGATCCTGGTCCGTTGGTGCCGAGATTGACGGTCTCTGGGGTCACTTCAAGATCTACCGCCAGGACTACGGTGGTTTGGAGCAGTACATGATTGTCGGAAAGAACCTTCAGGAGGTCGTCCGATCTTACGCCGAGCTCGTGGGAATGCCATTGCTCGTTCCCCGTTGGGCCTACGGATACGTCTCGGGTGGATACAAGTACACAATGCTGGATGAGCCTCGTGCCTCCGATGCGCTGATTGATTTCGCCGAGACTTTGGAGAAGCACGAAATTCCTTGCTCAGGTCACCAAATGAGCTCCGGATACTCCATCTCAGAGCACGAGCCTAAGGTCCGAACCGTCTTCACCTGGAACTACCACCGCTTCCCCGACCCAGAGGCTTGGATCAAGAAGATGCACGAGCACGGCATTCGTCTGATCAGCAACATCAAGCCCTTCCTGCTCGAGTCCCACCCCGATTTCAAGCACCTCATCGATTCCCGCGGTTTCTTCCAAGACGACGCTAAGGATCCTGGATACATGCAGCTGTGGAGTGCCGGAGGTGCCACCGGTGGAGAAGGCTGCCACATTGATTTCACATCCGAAGCCGCCTTCAAATGGTGGTTTGAAGGAGTCCAGAAGCTGAAGAAGGTCGGCATCGACGGCATGTGGAACGACAACAACGAATACACCCTTCCAACCGACGACTGGACTCTAGCCCTTGATGAGTCCATGGTCAACGGTGAAATAAAGAAGGCGGTCCCCAACAACGTCGGCCAGTGGGGTCGTGCCCTCCACACTGAATTGATGGGCAAATCCTCTCACGATGCCCTTCTCGACTTGGAACCAAAATACAGACCATTCGTCCTCACCCGCAGTGCCACTGCTGGAACAATGCGCTACTGCTCAAGTACCTGGTCTGGCGACAACGTCACAAGCTGGGAGAGTATGAAGGGATCAAACGCTCTCTCTCTGAACGCAGGCATGTCCTTGATGCAATACGAAGGCCACGATATCGGCGGTTTCGAAGGTCCCCAGCCCTCGCCCGAACTTCTTCTTCGCTGGATTCAGCTCGGATGTAACTCCATCCGCTTCACGATCAACTGCTTCAAGACGTCGCCTGATAACAACTCTGTTGGTGAGGTTATTGAGCCTTACATGTATCCTGAGATTACACCTTTGGTCCGTGATGCTATTAAGCGTCGCTATGAGATCTTGCCATACATTTACTCGCTCGGTCTGTCAAGTCATCAGACTGCTACACCACCCCAGCGCTGGGTCGGTTGGGGCTACGAGTCTGATCCCGAGGTCTGGACAAAGGCCCTCAAGGCCGGTGACACCCAATTCTGGTTTGGAGACTCCATGCTCGTTGGCGGTGTCTACGAGCCAGGCGTCAACGTCGCAAAGATGTATCTGCCTCGCAAATCCGGGCCGGAATTCGACTACGGCTATGTCAACATGAATGCGCCGTACACCTACTTCCCCTCCGGCCAGTGGGTTGAGATTCCTGCCGAGTGGCGCGAGAGTATCCCTCTCATCGCGAAGATCGGAGGTGCTATCCCTGTTGGCAAGAACGTGCACACCCGTGTTCCCGGCGATGATACCCCTGCTTCGATGGGTGTTAAGGTGTTGGATGATTACCGTGGTGTTGAGGTCTTCCCGCCTAAGGGCTCTTCACATGGAACTGTGTTTGAGAACACCTGGTTCGAGGATGATGGTATTGCGCAGGAGCCTAAGATCTCGAATTACACGCTCAGCTATAGCTCTACTGTTGAGAAGGTGCTTGTGCACTTCCAGCGTGATGAGAGTAGTGGGTTTGTGCCTGCTTGGAAGGAGGTTGATGTTGTCCTTCACTATGGAGATCAGCGTGCTGTTGTCTCTTCTTCTGGACAGGAGATCGTGGCTAAGGGTGCTGATTCCCGCGGTCGGTTGGTGTACACTATTAAGGCTTGAGGTGGGGATTTTATGAGAAATGATGTCTTGCATTGGGTAGATTGGACTACATATATTGGTCAACACGTGACGGTCCACGGGGTTACCTGACATGAACATAGATTTTCATATTTGAACATAGATGAATGGTTTTCTAATGGACATTCCAAAAATGGTTCTGAATTTTGACTTTCGATATTTCTGATATTTGTTAGATAGTTTCTGTGGACTATAAGCTAGATTAAGATATGAAGCCAGTATTACATACTCTGGTCCCTCGTGGATCTAGCATACCATTATGTTGGACCTCGGGAAGATATTAAGTAAAATCCAGATGCATTTATGAAAAAAGACTTGTTAATACACGAAGATGTTATAACACCAACAAACAAGGAATCATCTATACAGTACAAAGTCCGACGCTCGAATGCAATGCCAGACGAATATGAAACTAAAGCCTATCAAGTCATGCAAAGACAGCAAGAAAGACAAAGTTCCACCTTACTTCTGGTTCTCAGCACCCAGAAGCTCACCAGTGAAGGGATCCAACTTCAACTCCCTCGAAGTAATAGGCTTGTAAGTCAACTCTCCCTTCTCAGCCAACCCAAGCCTCCTCTTTTGACCAGCCTCACCCGCACGACCCAAAACACCTGCAATAAGCGAAACAGCCTGCAAGCTATCATCGTTCGCAGGGATAGGATATGTCAGACGAGTAGGATCAGCATCCGTATCCACAATGCCGATAGTAGGCACATTATTCAAACCACACTCGTGCAGCAGCACAACATTCTCCAGCGGGTTGAAGCAAACGACCAAATCGGGCTTCACGGAAGGTCTATCCGCAAGATCCACCTTGAACTCGGGGAGGGTCTCGTCCACCGCATTCACAACCTTTGTCTCGCAGTGGCCGAGAATCTGCTGTCCGTTTGTCAGGGAGCCGGGGATCCAGCGCTCGAAGATGTGGTATCCGCGCGCGAGATCGGCAGCGCGGACAACGGCCGGCTTCTGGCCCTTGCGGGTTCCGACGAAGAGGATGATGCCTCCGCGGGCGGCGACTTCTTCAACGACCTTGGCGGCACGGCGGAGGTACGCGGCTGTTGCGTCGAGGGAGATGATGTGGATGCCCTCACGGATACCGAAGATGTAACGACTGTTCTGGGGGTTCCAGCGGGAGGTGCTGTGGCCCATGTGTGTACCCGCCGCGAGGAGGAGCTCGAGGGTAACTTCTGATGGGGAGATGGGGTTCTGGAGGACGTCGGGTGTGTGTTCTTCCTTGACGGAGGATCCAAGGGAGTTGAATTTCGCTTCTGGAGAGGTGAAAGAGAAGGTTAGTTGGATGGAAACTTTTTTTAATGCAAGCATAATAGTTCATGTTTGGGTACTGTTAGGGGAATCGGAGTTGCTCACTTGACTTTAGTGACCCCTGCCATGCCTCGCGCTGGCTGGGTGGGCGTGTGGCCTTAACAGCTCTGGGAATAGGGGTTGAAGATGGGGTCTGAACTGCTGTGTCGACCGGTGCATCGGAGGAGAGTGAACGGCTGTAGACCGGAGCGCGGCGACTCAAAGCCAACAATTGGCGGCCTGGAGGAATAATCGTCAGTTGAGAAAATCTCAATGGGTTATTCGGAATGATTGGGAATCGCTTACTTTGCCGCACACCAAGTTGTCGTACAATCATGTTGGGTATAGACATCTGAATCGGAGCAAATGCGTGTTCAAGACTTGAGTTCTCCGCGCAACTTTTGTCGGACTTTCTGTGGCCTAAGGCAGAAACTTTAACTTAACACCTGAGGCACCAGTCTCGGCCAATCGAGGCATTAAGGCATTAAGGCTTCTTACGCTTATCCCGATTCAGACACGGGCTGGACTGATCTCTCGATCGGCGTTCCCCCGCGCAGTGGCAAAGTTCCCTACATTAACTTGATGTAATACGTCGATCATTTGTTCAGATCTGAAAAATGCTATTCTGATTCTCTTGGATTCTTGTATGGATGCGAAGATGGTACACGTAAAGGCTATGAATTAAGCCATAAGAAACATAAAATAAAAGCGATTTGGCAAAAGCACTCATGCCAGCCCGTTCTCGCCAAGGTAGCAGACAAAAGGAAATTCATGAGTGTTTAATGGTCATCACGATAGGCAAACTAATGGAAAAGATAAAAGCAAAAATGAAAAGGACCACGGTCGGCCAGGGGTATCAAGACGATAGAACATTCCCCGTTTAGCGCTTGAAGAAGCCACCGAGCTGGTCCATCATGCCGCTGTTGTTGTGGGAAGGAGGGCCGGGGGGACCACCGTAGGGGCCACCGGGACCCTGGGGGCTCTCATCGTGCTTGCGGTGCTTCTTGATAGCGTCCTCGGCAATGCTGCCCATGATGGCTCCACCGATCGTTCCGAGGAAGCCGTGGTTGGCCTTGTGGCCGGCGAAACCACCAGCGGCACCACCGGCAAGGGCACCAGCGAGACCACGCTCGCCATCCTGGGCCTGACCGGGAGCAGACTGCTGCTCATTGTAGTAACTGGAATCAAGTTAGTTTCATGTCGAAGTAATTTAAGGGAGGTGGGGGTGAAACATACCCCTGTCGGGAGGCGTCCTCGCCGTACTGGTGCTGCTGCTGCTCGCCACCGTAGTGCTGCTGGGACTGCTGGCCCTGCTGGCTGTAGTAGTCGTTGGAACCACCCTGCTGGGAGTAGCCCTGCTGGCCGTAACCCTGCTGCTCCTGGTGCCGGGGCTGCTGGTTGTAGTAATCGTTGGAGCCACCCTGCTGAGAGTAGCCCTGCTGACCGTAACCCTGCTGCTGAGGGTAACCACCCTGCTGCTGGCCGTAGCCCTGGTTGTACTGGTCGTTGTTGTAGTAACCGGACATGATGAAGATGTGATGTGAAGGTGTGGGGAAGTTGAGAGTTTGGAAGGATGGAAAGTGTGTGGATGATAAGTAGGGAATGAGGGGCAGAGGGTGGCCTTTTTATAACAAGTGACCACAGGGCTGACGGGGCCAAAAGGACCCCACATGGCCGCGCAAAATCACCCAACGCCGAGAAAGCACTCGGAGGCGCAGTGGTTTGTCACTTACACAGCCAGGCACCGCCACATGTCGCCATCTTCGCATGCATAATGCACCTCGTGGCTATGCAGCCCACAGGGCTGAGTTCCCTGAATACCGAAATACGCTGTACGTGGCCTTCCAAAAATAGAGGGAAATCAGTCCCTTCGGAAGCCCGGCTCAGATCTTCCAAAATGTTCCAAAGTTCGATCGTTACGAAGCGCCAAGACGATCGGGCTCGCGTCATTTTCCCTCACATCCGCGCAAATTCCGGCTGCCTAACGCGCTAAGCCACTACTCTGCTTGGCTGTGTTACGGAGTTCACGGTTAAACCTTTCTCCTTTCCATGACCGGATCTACCGATGACATGTTTGGTACGGGTATTGAGGCTTTGCGCATTTTCAAGGTGCCCACAATCTACGTAACCGTGTATCCCGAGCATAACTAAAATACCCCACATCAGACGGGACCATGCATAACTTAACTCTTTCCTTTTTTGAACTCCCGACTACAAAGATCATACACTTCGGTCTGATGACTGCAGAAGATGACCCAACTATTCCCGAGTCTGAAAACCTAAAGAATATAGTCGTGCTCGTTCGATTGGTCTGCGATTAAATGAGGGGTAACTATGATATTTGCTTTTTCCCTCCACTATCTGATACGAACTCCTGTAAATAAGCAAAAGGCTTATAACTTCATCCTTGTAAGCCTGAAGCCCTGGAGGCTGATTCAAGCATTTGGAACGCCTACCTCATATTGACTCATAAATTTACACATAACAACCATAGTTCAATCCCATAAAGCCATAATGATTCACGATGTAGGAATGAACCCCCTCGGCCATCATTTCCGGTTACGGACCTTTCTGATGCATCTTACTGCATGTTCCCTACTTCGCTGTCGATCTACGCCTTATCATCCCGGCTAGGCCGATCACTCAAAATCAAGGCTCAAGCAAGGGGAATCCTGGTTCGGTCGCGCGACCGACACTTTTATGTCTCTTCATATTAGCAGCCAAACATCCCATTGCGATATAATCGATTTTCTCATATTCAAGATGCTTTGGCGTTCAGCTCTTCAGTTATCCTCCTGCCTCTTATCTCTCACAGCAGGAGTAGCAGCTGTAGCAAGCGACACCCATCACCCGACAATATATCTCATCCGACACGGCGAAAAGTCCGGCGATCCGAACGATCATGAGCTCACCTTCGAGGGGGTCATGCGCGCCCAATGTTTACGTGATGTCTTTGGTGTCGACTCCAAATACAATATTTCATATATCATGGCGCCGGCTATGGAGGAGAGTGAGTAGAGCAGGACTGGTCCTGTCAAAAGTGGCGCTAATTGATTGTCCTTTCGGGTCAGATGGCGAGCATGGTCGCGCTTTGAAGGCTGCCCTGCCTCTTGCAAACGACCTCGGTCTAGAAGTGGATGTGCAGTGCGGCAAGCGCATGGGTGACCTCGAGCTGCAATGCGTTGCTGATGTGTCTCGGTCTTATGATGGGCCCGGTAACGTTCTTCTCGTTTGGCGACATAAGAGTATGTCGACAATTGCGGAGTTGCTGGGAGTAAAGGAGCATATTAAGTGTCCGAAAAACAGGTAAGTCGATTTTCTTGTGGTTTCAAGGTGCATGTACTGATGTTATTCGGTTAGCTATGACCTGATTTGGACAATTCCATATCCATATGACCGAGTCACTGAGCTGAAGAGCGAGAATTGTCCAGGGCTGGACGTGGATATAGAGGGGTTGATCGTTCAATATTGATAGACTGTCATCGTAGACAGGAAAGTAAAGCTGGACCTGGGTTCATCGCATCACACGAATCGCGAGTATGAATTTCGATTGAAGTGAGATTAAGGTTGAATAGAAAAGAAGGGCTGTGTAATTAGTTCAATAGCAAAATCTATTTCGGGTATACAGTACGGTCGCGGAAATATTCAGCTTAGTTCCGTTTCGTGTGGCTGTGCTATTCCACGACTTTCGGCCCCCGCGGGTCTAGGCAACATTGACAGGGTTGTGCGGGGTCGCAACACCTGCTGTTTCGGTTCACACGACGATCTCGTTAATCAACCGCAACTTGATTTCGGTTGCAGTGGCAAATTTCAGCCCTGTTCCCAGGGGCTAGACTTGGGACTTGAGGTCTTTGTTTTCATCCCTACAAGAACCGATCCTTGTCAGTTACGTCATTTTGTTTTCATTCGTTCGAAAAATGGGGACAAACAATCCACATGAAATATCCATTACCGAGGTAATCCGATGTGTGAAGATAGAAAGACAGTGTCAGCAATGGTGGGTGGTGGCACTGGGGAGATGTTACAAGCAGAAAGAGGGACATGGAACCGTTGCACTTTGCTGACGGGTAGTGAAGGACGTTGAATTACGTGAGCTCAACTTGAATGGACCATAGCTACGTCCATGCATTTTAGGCGACCAACGGTCTTTCTCAAAGGTTATCTTGATTCTCAGATATCATATACTGTAGACAATTCAATGCAGATCTATATACAATTAAATAAACAAAACCGTCAACACACTCCAATCAAAATCTCAGAATCAGACAGTAATCCGTCTCGCCTTCAAATACTCATAATCAGGCATCGACTTCCTCACATACTCCTCCACAAGGGCCCCGGTCTCCTCCCCAAACTCCTTCCTCCACTTAACTGCCTCAGCATCAATATCAATAACCTCCGGCGCCTTATCCTTAACAATACCCGAAGAATTCTCCAATGTAGCAAGCATAACACTAGCAGCACTCAAATTCTTCTGAACCTCCTCAGCACTAGCATTCGGATCACCATTATCCCACTTAGCCGACTTCTTAGCGTCATTCTTATCCTTCCACTCAAACTGCACAACACTCTTATCCAAGCCAGTCCGCTCACAGAACTTCAACACAACCTCAGGGTTATGAATCAGATCATGCGCATCGATAATAGGTGGCTGAACCGGTGCATCAGGCTGCTCCATACACCAATCATACAGAAGGCGCGTCCAACGCATATCCATATTCGTAAATGAAGCACCCTTCACCCCATCTTCGTCCAGCATGCCTATTTCGCCCACTTTGAGCATGGCTCTGTACATGGATGGCCAGGCTAGTGCGGGATGTCTGATGATGAAGGCCATCTGCCACGAACGCAGATACTCATCTGAAAGAATGGTCTCGTTGAACTGGGACGATGTCTGGGTGGGTCCGTACTTCTCCGGCATGTCTAAGCGGAAAGACTTGAAGAATTCTTCATCGTGGATGCCTGTGTAGGACTTCAGGAGTGCGGCGGGGCTGTAGAAAAAGTATGCGTGCTCCTTTGTGAACATCATTTGGTGATTGTTTTCGGCTTGTGTGGAGAATTCCTCCAATGTGTTAAAACACTCCTGGAAGGAGTGCTTTACGTGGGTTTTTTCATCGTCGGTCCAGTGATCAATGGATTTTTTTTTGTAATTCGAGGCGGCGGCTTCGATGTATGCTGGGAAAAAAAAGTAACCAGCTTTTTGGTTGGTGACGAGGTTGGGCTGGTTGGAGATATTGAGGATTTTCGCGAGGAGGTTTGAGGCTGTTCGGGGGATGCTGACGAGCAGGAGCCTGCGGGGCGTGGCGGCGGGAACGGTAGTGGTATGGGGTTCAGGACCGGCCATTTTAAATTGAAGTGCTTTTGATAGGTCTTGTAGTAAATAAGCTTAATTTTGCGAGCAATGAGAGTGTGCGGAGATGGCTACATTTTAGGGGCGGATGGCGTGATTATATGCTTACATTGGGGCTAAATGAAATCAACATCTGGGCTAAATTGACCTATTCTGCAACCCTCGGACAATCACTTCGAAGCATGGGCACACCCCTTTTCTTCCAATTCTTCGCTACGATTGGGTCTCTCGGACTTAAGACGGCCTTCAAACGCGAAGTAGCGGGGTAGAAATGCGTGTCATTCGGGATCTGGGCGGGTCCCATTGAGGATCTGCATCCAAAGCTTCTGTTCTAGGTAAATAGAGAAGAGAAAGTCGGCATATCGGTGCTTGGAGCGCCCGACGCCTATCGCTATTATTGATGAGGTGGGCTTGGCTTCAGCAGGCTCCACTGGAAAGGGGGCACAGCTTTGGCGTGGTGCATTCTCTTTCGGAGACAGAAACCTCCGTACATCCGGACCTTGATTTTTGACTGAATGCGTTGTTCATTATTTATGTCGATCACTCGCTTGACGGGCTTTGTTATCGTGGGTTGAAGTTACGAGACATGTTGAAATTAAAAGCGTTGGGATCCTGAGTCCTGCTAGGGTCGGATTGTGCCGTCGGGCATGAATTGTCTTCCAATACGGGAGAGGTCGTAAACTCGCTTGTGTTAACTACTCGATTGGCTGGTCGATGCACGCGTTCAAAATTTCGGAGCTAGCTTTGGCAGCTTGAGCGTTGCAACTCACTAAGGCATGTTGAAAGGTTTCAGGTGATGGTGGCCTTGGAGATAAACAATCAGGAGATCAAGTCGTCATATAAACATAATCGTCTACCTTTGTTACTATACATCACTGACTGTACAAAATAATTTAAAACAAGTCAATCAAGCCCCAGCTGAACTGTCCAGAGGACTCTTGCAGGTGAACGAGGTAGTCACCTCCGAGCTGTAAGCAGAGATCAAACCAGTGATAGCAGAGTAGGCACCAAGACCAGCAAGAGCTAATGCACCCATGAAGTAGAAAAGGTTGAAAGAACTAAAAATGATGCGCTTGGTACCCATGCTCTTGAACCCACGAGCAAAGCGCGTAAAGCCCCGGTCGTGGCGCACGGTCGCACCAGTGGAAGGATCGAATCCTTCACCGTCCGTCAAGGCATATTTCCGGATCCAGAAGAGGGTCGCCAGCATTGGGGGGAAGGTGTAGGTAAACTGCAGAATACAGAAAGCAGCGACGACGGAGGTCAACCCGGAGAAGCTGGGAATACCGGCAGCGAGGACGAAAGCGATGGCCCAGTAAATTGGGATCAAGGCGACCCACATGAACTTGCCAGCTCGGGCAGTCAAAGGCGGGCAGCGGAAGAATTCGACAAAAATGTTATTGTAGATGACCTTCACACCAATGTTTCCGTACAGACCGGCAGCGATGACACCCGACAGCATGGCGAACACGTTACCGGCGGTCTGGATGCTATACTTGCTGATGCCGAGGTAGGTGGGGTTGATGGAGTACTGACCCTGGTAGCCGTACATGAATAGGCCGTAGAGCATGTAGCAGAAGTAAATGAAAGCCTGGGCAGCCCACATGCCAGTCAAGAAATCTTTGGGGCGCTTCATCTCAGCCATGAACTCGGGGAACACCATGGCACCGCCATAGGCGAAGACGGCCTGCATGGCACCGGTGACCGAAGCAGCAAAGTCGGCAGGGTCGGGGAGTCCACCAGTGGTCTTCACGGGAGGGAAAACACCATGGACGGGTATGACGGACGAGCCATCGCCAACGGAGTAGCCCGCGGATTGAGTATAAGCGGTGTAGTTAGGAGGTGAGTGAGCAGCACCACCCATGGTGACAAACATGCAGAGCAGATTGAGCCACACAGCGACATTAGCCAGCCATCCGAATTTCTGCAGGGTGCGGATCTGGCCAAGGAAGAAACCGACCAGGGCCCAGATCAGACAACAGATGATATAGCATAGCTTGAACTTGGCTGCTTGGGAAAGGGCTTCTCCGTTGGAGATCACAATCAGACCGACGTTCAGCAGCAGCTGAATGCTCTGGAGAATGTTGAAGAGGTGTCGCATCCAAGGGCCATATAGTCGGAATCCCAGATCACCGAAACTCCGCAGAGGGAATTGGTATGAGTCAAGACCCATGAAAGTATCCCAAAGCAGAAATCCGGAGTATCCGGCCAGAGAGGCAAAAACAGTATATAAAGCGATACCGGGACTATCAAAGGTCAGTGATGGTTGTATCAACAAAAAGCTGAATTCGAAGCTTACCCCCATCCCATGGTCGCAAACGCGTACGGCAGACCAAATGGACCCAAAATATCAGTAGTGATTAGGTAGAAAATGGCACCACGGGTCGCAGTTCGAAGCGCGCGAGACGCATTAGTCCATTCCAGATCGGAGATGGTCATGCGAGTAGCCGGGTCGCTAATATTTAAGGCGCCGGCATCCTTCTGGTTACCGTCTGTGGATTGCTGGACTCCGCCGTCGCTCTTAGAGGGGAAAATAATCGACAGAACACCTGTCTCAGGTGTTGTCGATTCCTCTTCCTCAGCTCGAGTGAGCTGCGCATAATGGTAGTACTCCTCAAAGGTGACGCTAGTATCATGTAGCTTCCGATGCTGGGGGCGAATACCAGTACCGGGACTTTGGACAGCGAGGTTGTCAATAATTTCACGCTCTTTCTCGTGAAGGCGAGGATCACCCTCGACGGCGAGGTTTGCCAGTTGAGACATTGCCACCAATGCAGGGTATAGGTGGGAAAAGAGAGATGAGTCAAGAGCAAAAAATACCCAGTGGGGGAAAGAAGCATGCGACCGGGCCCTCCGTTATTTTATACGGATCGTGTGGACCCTCTCGCCCGAGGCATCGGAGAAGGCGATAGCATTTCGATTTCCTGAAAGGCCGAGTCGACACAAAGGGCGTGAAGGGGCTGCCGGTAGCCGGAAACGGCCCCAACTGGAACCAATCATGTTTGGTGATTTCATCTTTGTGAGGGTCATCCACTCATTGTGGTAAATGGCGCGGACGAGCCCGAACGAAAGAACCTTCCAAGGAAGCCAAGCGAGCTTAAGCATTCATGGCTGCCTCGGCAGCAGTCACAATCATTGGTTGTGTGTGGGTGGCGTGGAGAATGTGGACCCTCGTTACATCTGCCATATATTGGTCTTGACCAGTCAGAGTGCGCGGAAGACGCCGCGGACCCTACTGTAGATTCAGGGTCCGTTACGGGGCGCGCGAAATCAGCGTGGGATTAATTTTGCGCTTAGTCCAAAAGGGATGGCTATAGCTCCCGATTGGAGATTATATGCACAGTAAAGGGGGATGATCTTCAGTAAGACTGCCAAGCTAAGTATCACGCAAAACATGACCTGGATGACATGTAAAGTCGAACCAATGCAAAGTCATGCAGAGGCTCGCTCGCCACCTTCCTATTTTGGTCAATGTTTTCATGTCACTTTTTCGAAGGGACGCCTCAGATCCACCCTGACCATATTTTTTCGCTTCGCCATAGCCATATCGATGACCACAGAGCGCTAGGTTTGTAATTGACATTCCTAACGAAATGTTTATTTTTCTCCACGTGGCGAATTCTTGAAGCGCGCGTGTTCTCCAGGTTTGTCCCCCGCAAATGTCGATCTTGCACATATGTGTATGTCTGTGATGAATCATACATATAAGCACTTCATTTAATCTGATATCCGCGGCTAGAAACGGGTCGGCAGGCGACGGGTATATGACTATGTGACAAGGCTCCGGAATTGGCCCCCATGTAGCGTTCTACTCATTTATTCAGGGATTTCCAGTAATTCTAAGTGAGGCATTTCTTGTTGGGCCGGTCAGAGACTGTTATATTATCAGTGAGATAGCAAGGGTGCTATGTGCAGTGGCAGGCCCAGCAATGATTGTTCCCGGGGTCTGGATTCGTGACCGTTTTCTTCTCTTTTTGTTTCAATCTTTTTGAGCCTCCCACTAATCTTCTTTGGAAACTGCTTACTTTCTATGTGCTCATCTAATATACCATGCTCTCTTGAATTATTAAGGTCCCAAGAAGATGAAGGAGCGACTGTGGCTGATAATTAACATTGATGATCTAGCTGCTATCTAGCTGCTATGGCAAGAACAAAACAAAATACGGACATGATAATCGATCAGCAAGCATGATTCATCATTCTTCAATGTCCGCCATAACTAGCCTACGCAAAGAGTGCAAAACTCCCTTACTCTCAGCCTTGGTGCTCATAGCCAATCAGATGCTCGGTATTCCATGCTTACATACACAGATGAAATGTCAGCAACTCATCAGCAACTGTGGGTCCACTAAGCCATTTCCAGCCTACTCCCTTAGTGATGATCGATAATGCTTGGATAATCCCAGTCGACAATTTCTACTGCCATCTGGATACTTCAATCACAACCCTATATAAAGCCGATTTCTTCAGCATTGTCTTAAAAATTTCATTCAAAAATCACCAACCAATTTACCTGGTAGACAAAACCCAATATTCACACAATAATCATGTCAAACCCACTTGCCCACGCAAAGATCGCCCTCCGCCGCTCCAGCGAGCGTGGATACGCCGAGCACGGCGGCTGGCTCAAATCCTTCCACACATTCAGCTTCGCTGGATACATGGACCACCGCTTTATGAATTTCGGATCTCTCCGCGTCCTTAATGAAGATCGTGTCGCTGCCCGGAATGGTTTCCCTACGCACCCCCATCGCGATGCGGAGATCTTCAGCTATATCCTCAATGGCGAACTTACGCATCGCGATAGTATGATTAAGAAGGGTGCGGAGGGTGAGCAAGGAAAGTCATTTTACCGCATGCATCGTGGTGATGTTCAATTCACTACTGGTGGAACTGGTAAGCATCGATCCCGTTCCTTTTTGGAAAATGTACAAATGCTGACAATATCATAGGAATTGCACACTCGGAACAAAATGAGTCTAATAAGCCCGTCCACTTCCTGCAAATTTGGGCTCTGCCTTGGAAAAATGGCCTCAAGCCTCAATATCACACTATGAGCTTCAGCGAAGAGGCCAAGAAGAAGGGCTTTGTTCCTATCTTGTCACCGCTCGCTGCTGGCCCTGAGGCTACACCGGCACAGGAGGAGGCTGCTGTGCCTAAGATCCCTGACACTATTCCCATTCATGCGGATTTCGTCATGGGAGCTGGTATCATTGCTCCCTCTACAACCTTCAAGTGGAATATCGGTGCGGGTGAAGTTGTCCAGTCTAAGAAGAAGCGGAATGTTTATATCCATGTTCCCATGACCAAGCAGGGCAAGGCAAAGGTCAAGATTGATGGTCGTGAAGATGCTGTGTTGGAAGAGGGAGATGGTGCGTTTGTCTCCATGGTGAATGCTGGAGACTGGCTTCAGGTTGAAAGTATTGGAGAGGTTGAGGCGGAGGTTATTGTGCTTGACAGCGATTAGTGCATCTATTTATACAGTGAAGATTAACGGTAGCATTTGATATTAATGAATTGAGGATCAACTTTTTTTACTACACACCTTTTCTTGGGTAGTCGGATCTGGAGTCACGCTGGGAAAATACCATACAAGGCCGACTCTATGCTACATTGATTTTCGCCTATCACATAGATGGCACCACTCCAAAGGTGTTGGCCTATAGAGTATATCCAGATGGCACACGTGTCTCTTCTTGCCAGGTTCAATATTAATTTCAGTTTCCGAGAGGAGAGTGCCGTCAAGTCTATCTTCAATATTACACATATAACCCGATACCTACATATACCGATCCCAAATAAGTGCTGCACTAGCCGCTATAGCCATTGCGACTTCAAAGGCTGCAGTTTGAACCCAATGCGGGCCAGCTCGATACATCACAAATGCGGCCACAAGGCGGGAAGGCACGGAAGAAGCCATAATGAGAGTGTCACGCTGGTAGGTCGAAATCAGATAGTATGTCCCCAGAGCAAGAGAGGTCAAGCTGTGATTTTGATATCATTAGTCATCAACAAACAATCAGCATTGGCAATTCAATACTTACCCAATGCATTGGACTGCCCCTTCAGGTGTGCCGCTCAGCGATGAGCCTGGAAAGTTGGCTACAGAAGACGGAAACATGATGCTGTAGAAAGCATTCCCCAGGAGAAACACGCCCTGGGCGGCAAACACAGCGCTCGACGCGCCGCCCATGCGGAGACCGATGTTGTGTAGGACCATTGTTGATTATAAACGTAGAATGCCCAGAATTTATGGTGCTAAGGTTGAGAAAATTTGTTTTTCATCCGGCTTACTGTGGACTCGTGATGCTGTGTCATCTGTATTTTTCGAGGTACAATCCCGCGTAATTCACGGTATTTACCCAATAAGGTCCCACATACTACAATTCTTTAGAGATGACATCAATTAGTCGGATACGGACCGAGAGTCATCCTTGGAAAGTGTTAGAATCTTCAGGGCTGTTGGGTAACCGGGTTCGAGATCTACTGTACTTCAGCTCCAAAATACTTAGTATTTAGGGATTCGCTGCCGCAGGCGCTCATGTTGGCGCTGCCTTGAATGCATATATTCACAAGTTGACATTCGGTCAGATACTAGGCTTTATGAGTAAATGTAACATAGCCCGAGTTAATTAGAAATTTGGAAATAGATAAAGTAGCTGCCAAGCGCCGTACCCGACATGTAGGCCAGCTCTTTGGTGTGAACGAGCGCCCCGGCGCATTAGAGTGCTTCTCAAGCCGCATGCCTCAGCTCAACTCTCGTCCAATAAATGAGTCTTTTGGAGAAAGCAAGACCAAGGCCGACAAAAAAAAGAGAAATGACAAGAGTGGGATTTGAACCCACGCCCCGAAAACGAGATGCGGAAATCTGGATCAGGTGAACCTGAACCGCACGCCTTGGACCAACTCGGCCATCTTGCCTATTAATAAGCAATAGGGTCATTGTTCTTATCAAGTCCATCAGATTGAACCGAATCAAGTACCTGAGGCTTGTCCCACGTTCTGGGCTTTGCATTTAAAGTGTGATGGCTGGTGGGGTCGGCAATCGATTGTGGGGCTGACCGTTCGGCGCGAGACCGAATTTAGTATCAGAATTACAACGAACAGTCCGAATGTGAACAGAAAGCCTGGGATCCGATGATGATATTGGCAATTGTATAGAGAGACGAAGTTCACAGGGGAAGACTAGAGATCGTTTATTCAACATCCATAATACAAATACATGAAAGTAAACCTAGAAGAGCAACAGACTTCCTGCAGCTGGTAAAAACGGCATAGAGACCAACCACCAATCATGCTATCCTGCCTGCTGCCCATTCTGGTTTGCAGAGACCAAAGTCAATCCCCGCTTCAAGGAAGACTTCAGCGAGGGGTGCAAAGACCCGATGGATGGACTCAGGTAGTTCAAGCTTCCACCCGCCTTCTGATCTGGGAACCCTCTCCACATCGGACGACTGGATACGGACTTTCGTGAGGTTCGAGAACCTCTCTGCTCGTTGCGTGGCCACGCTTGTCAAGTTTGCCACCACAATATCAAAATCCTCCTCCCAATAGTGGGACAGGTAGAGACACTCGAGGCTCGATGGGAGAACGGTGGAGAGAGAGACTGTGGGCCGGTGACCGTGACCGAATTGAAGGAGTGTGCGCACTGAAATTCGGAGTTCGCGGAGGTGGTGGAACTCGAAAAGCGATCCAAACTGATTGAATTCTTCATTTTCAAACTCGTCATCGCATCCCCAGGCCAAGCTTTGTCCACTATCATTCAGTCGGAGCACGCGTAGGCTATTCTTCTTAGTAACGAGCGCGTTGTAGAACGCGCCGGAATGAAAACTAAGCGATACATAACGTGAAGGAGTGTCGGTGCAGTGCTGATATTCGAGGATCTCCAGGTTTGCACAGGCGGTAATATAGTCGGCCATTCCCTTAATGCCATTGGACCCTATACAGACGCGTCCCAGATTCATCTCCCGGATCCCCGATATACCGGGACTCGGCTTGGGATAGAGTGAATTGTCCTCATACTTCTCGTACAGCCCGTCGGCATTGAACACCCGCATGGCCGGCAAACTGAGCAACGGGAGGAAATCTGAAGCTAGCAAGTGTATTTTTTCTTCGTCTGTTGACACAGTCACTTTCTCGAGCCTCTGAAGGACCGGTTTCGTGTTGAACGGCGCGGCCCGAATGGCCACTCTCCTCAGCATTGGGATAAAATAATCCGATTTGTCTGAGTACGAAAGGCGAAGAACGGTGATACCTTCAAGATACTGTAACAGCACCGCAAGCCACGCATCTTTGTCCCCCATTCTCAGCCCACGGTTCCATTTTGTCTGTTCTGCACGTGATTCGCAAGCTCGCTCAACGGCGTCTCTCACCATTCTCACATCGTACTTTGGCTCTGGCCGCTGTTCCTCTGGTTCAAAATCCAATCGCACTTTCAGATTCTGAATTGCAGCCCCGATGTTGGAGTTTATCTGAATGCATCGAACGAGAGGGTAGATCATATATCCCCAAACCCACATGCGCTTCGCGAAGAGTCGAGGCAAAAGCAGTGCGTACCATTGGCGGCACACTCGCATCATGCTGAACTTATCTGGTTGGTAGCTGAGGTGATCTTCAATCAGAAGCACAACGTCATTATTGAGAATGGCCATGATGGATCTTAATCACGTTGCCTTAACACTTGGAGGCTGTGATGAAATTCAGTGATCATTCAGTAATAAGCGTGCACCCATGAATCAAGATTTACTTACCAATACTGCTTTGATCACTGGGATACTGAAACGAATCGAGTCAAGCTGCAGGAAGTGAAGAGCTGAGGTCACAAGAAGAGGGGACAAGGGTGGTGATGAGGAGAAGCGACGAAAACGTGGTGAAGATGCGGAAGAGTATAAGTAGCGAAGGGGTGGTGTCGAAGACAAGAGAAGAAAGAGTGGAGAAAGAGAGTAGAGCGGAAGTGGACAAGTAGAAACGGAAGCTAAGGGCGATCAAGAGAGCGTTCCTCCAGATCAATTCATGTGGAAAGACTTTCGAACAAGATGAATTGGTGGAACAAAGTGGCAGGTCACAAAAAAGAAGTTGAGGGGAGATTCAAGTCCTTTTCTTGAACAATCATTTGAAAAGTAACGGTCAGAGTCTTAGAGATAGAATGGCAGAGAATCTCTCAGTCTTGACTGCCATAGTGCAGAGAAAAACATTTCAACCTGCGACTTGCGCTCTTCTCATGTAAGTGAGAGAATATTGATAAATGATCAAGCTGAGCCTAGGCTACATAAGGAGGCCAAGTAACGGCGTATTGGACCGAGCCAAATGCCAAAGCTTATAAGAAACAGCAATTCACAGGTCCGCCGTTTACAAGCATCATGCTCGGCGTACATTTGAGTTTCTTGGACGGCATGACTCAAAGCATTCATCATGGATCACTTATTTAGGGAAAGATTATCTATGTACAGTCATAATCCGTTATGTTCATTTTCGACCTTTTATGGTTCGTTAGAGCGGTTTCCTGGCGATGCACGTCCAACAACACTCTCCAGTCTGTCGGAAGGCTCTTCGCGGTGGGGTGCTCTGACAAATGATCTTATGGACGTTGATTTTAGACTCCGTGGAAAATTCTAACAGAAACAATTCTTGCAAGGAAAGCCATTTGAGCTACGTAGAAAAAATTCGTACTAAGCTGAAGCATTTAAATAGAATAAGTCAAGGGAAATACATGCCATAAACGCTCTTTCCATGAGTTCTTTGCAAGAAAGTGATGGGACATACGGATAACTCTGTTGGAAGGCGGCTTTCGTAGGCTTCCCAGTTTTGGACTTGGAGAATCATTTGATAGTGAAGGATCTAGCTTGAAAAGTGCAAATGATGTGCATGAATCTCAGATGTGAGCAATGTGACTTTTCATGTTCGCTGTTTCTTCTTCTTCTTTATAGCTACTTTCTGTCTATTGACTTGAGCTCAATCCAACATCTACAATTTGGCTTTCAAGTTGCACACAGCAGTCAGGGATCCTTTTGGATAAGTCTTCCCCGTGATATTCATCAACATCTCCTCCTACGTGCCCCTCCTCCCTCCCTCTGCTTGCAGCGAGGCAACTATTTCCAATTACTGAAGGGAGACAATTTACCTGAACTTTCCGGTCTTTCAAGAAGAAAGTAAATGTTCGTCAGCATGCCTACAAGCACCAACCATAGCCCAGCAGACAACACCAGTCCTGCTTTGATCCTCTTTCTCATTCTGGGCTTTCTACTTTTTGGGCATGCAGTACGACCCGACAGGCGACAGCGGTATGGGGCTCTCAACTCTCTGCTCCAACTTATTCATCTTGCCAACCATTTGCTAATGAATTCTCTCGAGATTAGCTCTCGCGTCCGCACCGATGCCTTCCCCGGCTGGCCTCCGAACCTCCCGCCTAACCAATACGCTACGTTCCTTGCCACTTGGTGCGCACACCAGAGACTACTACATGAAAGCCAGCGAGAGCGGGATCGGTATGCAGAGCCTCGGAGACCATTGCATCTGTTGTGGGAATTTGTGATCTCCCTCTTGGAGTGGGCCGTGACAGGAACTTCATCCATACTGAAAATAATTCTGCCTGTGCTCCCATCAATTTCTTCATATATTATTTCGGTGGCAGCAATTACAATCTATGTGTTTGCTCTAGTGGCTTTTGCGTTGGTGGCCACGCTGGTTGTTGTGATTACTACAGGGGCGATGTTAGTGAAAGAGAGACAAATGGGGCAACGCAGTGAGAAACTTTCCATGGTTGATCAAGTCCCAGCCATTCAGCACATTACAGGGAAAGCGTCGTCAAAAAGCGTCTTTTGATGCCACACAAGGCGTTTTGAGTTTACATAGTCAATTGCTATTTCTATGAATCAATTGTTCAACGTACTTTCCCTCGGCGCCTCGCAATGATATTACATCCTTTACAGATATCATACGTAGGAAGCAGAGTTCTATTGATAAGGGTAGCTCCAACCCTCTGGAGGCTTTTGTTTTAATTTTCTCGAAATTTCTAATCCACACTTGTAGTGCTTATTGAAGAGGTGGACGCTCGTTGGCAGCACACTCGCTGATGTGTGGGTCGATCCAGCAACACAAAACAACAGCGCAAGCTACCGAGCACCAACTATCCAATCGCTCAGAATTGCACTAATACATGGGCTCAAAATACTACCTGTCAGATCCACACGGATTGAATTGCAGACACGTGATACTGTAGTACATGTGCATTACGAACTGCGCATCAGCCAATGTCTAGAGAGTTCATAATCTGTCCAGTATCACATGCATTTCGGTGTACCTCAAAGGCTCCAGGGCCTTCAAAGAAGATTTTAGGATATTGATCTACTCGCATAGCTAAATGAGTTATTGAAACCTGCTGGGCGCTATATTTGATCTCTACAAGTCACCTAAGTGATCGAACACGAGACAACATACTGTTCGTATTGCGCCCTCCTGGATTAACGAGCCTTGCGTACACTGATATCAAGGGTACAGCCAATTTCCCTGGTTTCTGAGCACTAAGTCGAATACACAATACCCAAATTTAGCTTAGTCTCAAAGAGCCACCCGACCGTAAGTGCTGTACACACAACAGACCTGCAACCTCTGGTCCTCCACCACCCGTGAACTCCTAGGAAATCAGCCATCCTTTCAGTGCCGCCCATCATTCGAAGAAATGGAAAAATACGAACGCGCCAAAAAACCGAGACTATTCCTCTCAGCATCATTCTTCATCCACTACATAGTACGATGATGGTCGTCAATTACAATTCAAAGGGTAGATATGGCTAAATTTAATGGAGCAAACAGTTGATTGAAAATATTCGTAGGATTTTAAAATTGTGTATGTAGAGACCACTGCTTTCATGTTACAGGCAGTTTAAAGGAGAAGTGCACATGACCAACACCCTTGTCGAAAGTAACTGACCCCCGGTCAAGACTAGGCAACACTCTTATCTCAATGGGGTCCCGTCTTAGCGAGAGGAGGCTTGTTTTTGAATATTTTGATATATCGATATCATCAATCTCACGCCTCTCTACCCCTCCCCAGACTCGTTGCCGGCATGGGATTTCAACTTCATTGTGCGGCGTTTTGATACAACGGCTCCCATTGAGATAGGCGCTGAGGTTGCTCAACCGACTTCAATAGTTCAAGGTCATCAAACAATACTATTGAACAAGCCCAGCTCCAGTACCGGGCAGCATACCGGTTGCTCAATCTGATATCTCCTTGGTTGGAGATTTGAGAGCTGCTAGATGACAGGGCGCATCCACTATCGGAAGGCGGCCCACTCTCCCCTCATCTCCCGCCAATCGTCGGCCCGCATCTTATATGACCCACCATCAACACCTCCGCGATACGCTTTGAGGGCAAGGCGAACTGAAATCTTACATATGTACGCCAATGAGCTTCCTTTCTGATTATGCGTGTTAATAATGCAGCTGCCAGCTCAACACCCTATTTCGGAGACCTGCAGGTGCCTCCCTCCAGCTCATAAGCCCCGGTTTCCCTCTCCTTGTGACCTAAGCATAGTTCTTCAATTGTCGGTTTTGATGTCGAGGGCAATCAAAGCACCTGCCACAACGTGTGCTGAGAACATAGCTCTCAGCTTTTTTTTTTATCAAGTCCCTGCTCCAGTCACGCGAAATGCAATTAATCCGTCGTCAACCGAGCAAGAACATTACGTCTTACCTTTTACTAAAGAGCGTGGGCTAACTGAAGTTCTTGCATTTCTGGCAAAAACTAAGGATGGATGGGATCATATACCTGCAGTTTGTATTAAACAGGACGCATCTGGGACAGCTTTAAATGTCGTCTTAGCCATCAACAAAAGCAACTGCGCTGACGGGGATGGCCTTCTACAAAAATTGAAAATAAGTTTCGAAAAAATATTCCGCATACTTCATGTCTCTCAATATGGTTGGTCTTTATTACTATGCATCGAATTATCAACCATAACAATTTATGCAGATAACTCAACGGTCCAAAAGGAGGTTTTTGCATCAATCATCTCAATGTGCTCATCACGAGTACTGTGCCGGCTGCGACTCGAGCGGAACTCGACAAGGAGGCCCATACACCATCTGCTAAAAGAGGCGATATTTAGTATTAGACAGATTCATCCACAAAAGCTTCAAGACAGGCAATTACACTCTGTGTCTTCATCATTCATTTCAGAGGCGAACAAAGTCATTCAACTGGTCGAAAGATGGTTGAAGCACCAAAAATTGGATGAGCTAGGTGTTATCGTCGAAGGAGTAAATCACTTGCAACAAACGGCGCCACACTTTGATCAGCTATTAGCTCTAATCTCAAATAACGACATGGATCCGACCTCGAGATCCAGCTTATCAAACATCATCAGAAAGGTCTCAAGATACTGGGATGCTGCCAGGCAACTCTATCGGACGGCAAAGAAATTTCCATTGGTTCGGAATATGAGAATACAGCTAGTGACCTTGCCCTTCAAAGCATTTGAAGGTCAAATAAACTCCAGCGATCTCTCTGATCTAGGTACATGTTTATCTAAGCTTGGGCTCGTCAAGGGACAACAAAACAGTCTGTCTCAATTATGCCGCAATCTGAAACTTGATCAAAACGCTGCTCAGACCAGGTATGAGTTAGCCAAGAGGTCTCTTACAGCACCCAAAATCCACGCTGAAATTCAAATTATCGCCTTTTGCGAAATGGAAGCCCGAGGGTTGTTTCCACGAGTGGTTAGTTCAAGCAAAGACGCATGTTTTCTCTGCAACACTTTCATTCAACTACACGGACGAATGCATACCCCGAAATCTCATGGTCGGCTTTATCCCGGCTGGAGATTGCCGTTTCTGCCAGAATTCAGAATTCTTCAGCAGGAGTTCAATGAAAGACTTTGTGAAGATCTTCATCGCAATGTCTCATCTGGCTTAGCACGGGGGAAGCTGCATGTTCATCCACTTCCCAATGAGAGCACCCTTCTTACCCTAACGGCTTCGGTAACAACGCAGAGTATGCCAGAACTCCCGTCAGAGACCTCGCATGGAAAGATTTTATCGATTGAGTCGTCTAGCATTGTATCGGACGATTCACAGGAACATGGCCCTTCGTCGGTAATTGGCCAATCTCACACAATGAAACCACTTCAGATAGTTCCATTGATACCGTTCACCTGCTCGAGGAGAAACCGGTGAAAGATTATTTGAAATACAGCAGACCTTTTCGTCTTTTTATTATAGATTCTCTTGAGGTACATCTTAGCCTCGATAACGAATCAACTTCCGCGACTACGAAAGAACCATTGGGGTATATTATCGAAAGGCTGAAAGCCGACAATATCGAATCCTTGAGTGAGAAATGCCCTGTTTTTGATGTGCGGCAGCTTGAGGGTGAAGTCCTATGCCCATTGTCTGAAGAAAGCTCAGTTTGCCTTGTCGCTGGGGATGTAGTATTGAAGATTACTACTCAGAAACCAATCAAGGATAGATAGAAAGCGACTTGTGAAACGCCACAAATACGCTATGATTTTCCAAACAGTGTTTTTAGTAGGCCAGCGTCCTATCTCTTTTATTGGTCATCCTCAATGTTTACAAAAATTGTGCTTGTTAAATAACCAGTATCAAAGACTGCGACATACAGGGCAAATTGATTATTCGTTCTCCATGATCCATATCAATCAACTATCTAGAAACGCTGACGACTGTGAACTGCAAAAGCATCAAGCACGCCAGCCTTGAAGACTGTGGGTACATCAGATACTTGCATGTCACATATTCATTCGAAGGTTTTTGAGCCTCTCTAACAAAATCTCAACTCATGACACCCTTGTGATGACAAAGTGCAAGCGGGTGAATTCTAGCTCTTCAGGCCATTCAAACTCGTCTTTATCAGGAATGTATGATTCAGTGACGTGGACGTCGAGCTGAAAGCCCATATCTTGTTGAACCACGCCCCAAAGCTTTTTCCAGGTTGTTGGGGTTTGGAAAAAAGCACTTCTGCCCTTCATATGAGGAAATATCACCTTCCTAGCTCTTTTGGTACCCACCTGTGTTCCCAAAATTACTGATCCAGGCTTGCTGCTCAGTAGACTGACGGCGTGTTTGGCGGCTTCAATTGTCTTTCCCCATTCCCACACATGGAAGAAATTGCTAGCGTGAATGACATCAAGTCCACCGTGGAACTCTGTTCTTAGGGCTGACTGATCATCGAAAATATCGCTTTGAACAAACCTAGCACCGAGCTTCTCTTTATCAAGGAAGAGATCATAGCCTAGGTCCATAAAGCCGCTGGACAAGTCTGCTCCAAAAACAGTCGCTGGGGGCGCTCCATCTAAAATCTGTAATTGTGTATAAGCGTTGGGTTCGTCATAGCATTTGGAGGAAACTTACCACCTGGCGCACCTCCTGCGCGAAGCAGCACCCTAAATCTAGAAAAAGAGCTCCTTTCTTGATTGACTCCAGATACCGGCACGACCCACGAAAAGCCAAACACCATACCTTAATAAGTAAAGGATTCAAGTGTTAATTTAAAAGGAAGAGTAAATGTGAAGAATGTTGATATACAAAGTCAATCTTGGGAAATCGCTTGAAAACACCATTTGTGAGCAGTCCATACATACAAGTGCCTTCGCATCTACCATATGCAAGTTCAAGGCTATGAAGAGAGAACTTATTTAGAATACGACTGCTAAATGCGTGAAAATTACGCCTCGCATTATCCAGTTGCAGGGGCGCTATGTCATTCTATACGCTCCGGTCTTTGCTTATTCTCGGTGAATGATTGTTATATGACTTATTAGATAGACTGTTTCCATTTACTTATCTGGCCTATTAGTTCGATAGCAGGCTATTTACATGAGGGGAAGGAGGTTTAGTTGAAGATTGGATAATTGAATAATGGCTGTTAATATTGAATTATCTACAGAGCTTGATTTAGTACAGTAATAACTGTGGGTTACACTCTGTTGTATGTTTCCATGGAATGAAATTCGAGTTCTCTCGATTGGACATTTCCGTTTAATCATCTGACGCTTCTACGGCCGTTATACGCTAGAACAACCTTGGAAGATGGTCTAAAAAATATACACCTGATATAGGAACCATTCTATGTATATACATGAAATATTCACGGCCCAAACTGTATTCATCACGTCTCTGGCTCCTCCAACCTAGTTGGATGCTGTCCAGATATCATTCGAAACATAAAGCGGCATAGTATCCTCCCATCGACTCTCAGTCAAAATCTCCACATTGGACCCATCAGCATCCATTTGCATAATGAAAGGGTAAGGCTGCTGGTTGTTGTCGTAAATCATAGCCTCATCCTGGAAACCATACATGCCAGTAGCCCATGTGATCTTTGCACCAGGAGTCCAAGTAGCATGTGCATCATTACACCCCAAGGTAGTCAATCTCTTCAGATTGCTGCCATCAACATCCATAGTCATAACATCGTAGTTATCATCAAGGGGACCGGCAATCGGCCAGCTAGTGCGGCGTGTGAAGACAAGACGGTTCGAACCATCAGGCGCGAACATGGGAGTGTTATCCCATGCCCAGGTTAACGCCTTCACCTCACCGGTCTTCAGGTCCATGCGTCGCAGACCCAGAGCCTCGACTTGCTCACTTTGGTAGCCGAATTCTCGCCAGACAACCCAGCGTCCGTCGGGTGAGATCGTGGGGAATCCAGCGTTTGTGCTGCCGTTGGTCAACTTGTGGGTCCAGGTTCCGTTCGCGGAGACGAGATACACCCAGCCTGGGCTGTAGTAGCGGTATTCGAACCAGTCACCGAGTCCGACAGCGAGGACTTCATCGTCTCCGCGCCATGAGGCTTGGAATGTGCCGTTGGTGTTCGTTGCGGTGGTAAGAGCTGGGAAGCGAGAGCCGTCGAAGATATCGGTCTTTCCGGTGCCGTCGGGGTTCATGAGAACGAGGGAAGAGTTCTCGGTTTGCTGCGATGTGTATGCGACTCGGCCGCCCTTGGACAGGGCGGGGAAGACATCGGTGAAGCGGTATTCCCAGTCCTCATTCCAGCTGTAGACTTTCTTGTCGATGGCGCGGACGGGGTCCCACTCGACGTGCTCATAGACCATCTTGGTGCCATCGGGAGACCAGGATGGAGAGCGGTAGCGGCCTACTAGCGGTGTATTGTATTTGGAGTTCACGGAGCCCTTCCCGCTCACAGTGGTGAAGTTGATGGAGCCGGGGTAAGTATCATTGGTGAGAATGCTCTTCACAAGATAGCCAATGGTGGAATTATCCACGTACTGGGGGAATATCTTGATACCCCCAGAGTCAGCCGAGGAGTGCACGATGCGATCTTTGCCTGTCGCAAAGTCAACTGAGACAATTGCAGTGTTGACATCGTAGAAATCGGGCTCAGATACACGCGCGTAGTAAGTGAGTTCAGTAGTGACCTCGTAGAACACCACACGGCTGCCATCAGGAGAGAACTTCGGAGATCCTAGACAGTAACCGGTCTTGTTCGCAACACGACGGAAGTCACTACCATCCGGCCGAATGGCATAGATGGACAGTTCCTGGGTGTGTTCCCAGCCGCTCACATTGTTGTGTCCACGCCACGGTGTGTTGCGATCCGATGAGAAGAGTAACCAATTGCCATCTGGTGACCAGGCCGGTCTGAAATGTCCATCTGGCAAGGTCCAGTTGCCTGCAACCTCAGTGGTGTTGGTCACATTCCACTGAGTACCTGTTTCCAGATTTTTGATCCAGATATTGCTCTTGTGGTTTTCCAGGGTGCCTGCAAAGGCGACAAGGCTGCCATTGGGGGAGATCACACCGGCGCCCTCAACATGGGGGGTAGTAGAGATGGGCTGCAAGTCGGTGCCATTGGGTCGAACGCGATATAGATCCGACTGTCCGTCACCGGCACGCTCACTGGTGAATGTAATCCACTCACCATCAGGCGACCACTGAGCATGGTAGTCGAATGTAGTCTCGTTGCCGAGAAGCAGGCGTGCATCTGAGCCATCTAGATTGGAGACGTAGAGCTTTGAGACAACCGGCGCAATGCGATTCATCAGCATCACACCCTTCTTCCCCTCGATAGGCATACCGCGGGGCACGAAGCTCGAGCTTGAGCCCGACGCATCGGAGCGTGCTTTCGAGGCATATGGACAGGCAGATCGAGCCTTTTCAGCCTTGTCGGCGTACGGGCATGTCCCGGCCAAAGCAAGGCCGCAGAACAGCGGAGCAATTAAGGAGGAAATCCGCATCTTGATGATGTGGAAAGCGTGCCAATTCTGTTAATCGAGGATCCGGGGGATTGGAGACATGATCGACCCCTTTTAAGACCTCCAAGCTTCTGAGATTTCGCTCAAATCTGTGGAGATTCTCTCATCCGGCCCCGGACACACAATTCATCAGTGGGCCATAATGTCCAATGAAAGTCCGTACATTCGCAATGCGTTGCCGTTTAGGGAAATGAACGTCGCTGACCGGCAGGATGTATGGTGCGGATACACATCTTTCAATCTCGCGCCCCTCCGTCCGCGTCTCCGAGATCATCTTGATCGACACGGGGCCTGCATTAATAGTGTGCGTACATGAAGTTTCAGGCTGCAAGGCACTAGCACTAGCCCCGTGGTTCGGCTTAGTGGTCCTTTTGCATCCTGGCTAGACCAACCGCGGGATCTGATGCACAGAGGCATATCAGATCTTAGAGGGCCCTTCTATGGCATAGACAAGAGATGTTGAGCCTCCTTGAATTTTTTATTTTTTTTTTCAATTCCTTTTTCCAACTTTCGCGGGGTACGATCGCCCACGGGAATGGGAGAGCACCGACATTATTTCCACCCCGGGCTTGGCTGCTGAGTTGGTAAGATGATCGTCCACGGTCAGCAAGTTGATCACCCATTTCTTGGGTAGATAAGTCCGGCCAAACCTTGATTTTCGTTGGTCCATCGATTTCATGGCGTCATGTGGGACTGGGGCGGAGCGTGGGGTGGATAAAGAAGAGTTGAAGGAGTCTTGGCGAGCCGCGACATCGAATAGATAGAAAGACAAATTGATTGACCAGCATAAGCATTCCTCGCTTATCGCGAGGCCGAAATGGAATCACCAATTGATTGATCAGCATAAGCATCGCTTACGTGCAGTTTTCTTGGCTCTGCAAGCCAAGCCGTGACGGCCCGAAGTCAGCGGATGCTTTGGCCCGTGTATCTACCCGGAGGCGCATCACCGTTACATTGTCGATCGGCTTTTCTGACACGAGTTGTTTTGTCATAATAGCCACCCAATTGGAGGAGGGTTCTACTGCAGTAGTGCTGCAAATATTCAGGAACAGGAATTATAACTCCTATCAAGATGTCAGCGCTAGCTCTAGCTGTCCGAGGCGCACCATTTCTCCGAACGCCATCGGGGGTTTTAGCCATTCGCGGGTCGGTTATCAGAATGATGGTCATCCTTTAGGTGTCAAATCCATTGATGATTCGTCGTTTCAATGCTGATTGCAATATACGAATTACTCGGTTCAAGTTACCCGATAGTATCTAGACAGCCACACCCCTAAGGTGGAATGCTGGTAGCTGTCATTATATGCCGCCTCCATATACTGACCCATTGGTGTGCGTAACAATTCTGCACCGGAGATGCTAGCCACTTCGAGATTATGCTGGAGTCTTCCAAGATACCGATTCCTTTTCTGGGTGCCAAGCCTCTATGTACGGATTGAAGAATCCAAAGTGCAAATGAAGCAGCCGCGACTTGCTTATCATGATCGTATAAATTATTAGTGCATGGCTGTAGACTTTGGAAGCTAAATATCAAGAAACTATGCTTTCTCAACTCTATTGGTGGATTATTGCCCGTTCTGAAGGCGCTGTTGCTTACATCTCTAGCATTTCCGTAATCTCGTCAAATCGTCCATCTTCTGTCCCTCTCGCCATATGAGCTATGTCTCTCATCAGCTTACCACCTGTCACTCATCCTCGTTTGAGATGTTCTCATTGTAAGGACAGCGGGTTACAATCTCAGTCCCTTGTGGGTCGCGAAAAGTACCTACCTGAGCTGAGAACGGAAGGCAAGTCACTCAAAAAATTCACTACTGTTGACAGTCAGCTTCAATCGCCTGCAATGGGCTTGCATCGCAATTGAGTTTTCCTCCCCCTCACCTCCTCCAGACCACGAGCAGCAGGTGCTTGCTTCCCAATGATTCAGCACATTGTGGTTCATTCCCACGTCCAGGAATTTTTTGAACACTTCTGTTTGCGTACAAGAGGGAAGTTCCCAAGATCATTGAATGCAGGAGCTTCGTTGATGTCGAATATGCTCCATCCACACATCGGATGAAGGTCTCGGCTTCTCTCGAAAGAATAGACTAGAGGTTTTGACTTGGCTGAAGCACATCTTGAAAAGTCTTTCTCATCTCACTCTATGACCCCTGTTCTCCTAGATTCTTATTCTCTGGGAAGAGCTGCGGTGCCAGTAACAAAGCGCTGCGATTCTCCAGCTTGCGGGGGGCGAAGTGGCATTCCCAGGCCAATCAAACTTCGGCATATACGCTTGGTATATCAGGCGATCTGGTTTAGATCTGATAAACGTTTCAGGAAATGACTTGCCTTTTTTCTTAGCAACCCCGGGGATCATATATTCAGGTCTTCTTTGAAATATCACAGCCATTGACACTGTGAGGCCAATGCGAACTATGTTAACCCGACCAACTGCCAACCAGTCACTGGAGATGTTGGAGCTGAATACGACCTTTCAAGACCAAAGTGAATACTTTCCTTTTCCGAGACTTGCTGGGTCCCAGGTGAAGGAGAATTTATCCCACAGGTTGGAGACCCGCCGCCCCTCCTCCAAACGTTGATCACACTTGTATCGCAATTCCTGTCTCATTCTACAATCCAAAAGTTTTTGTCGAGTCTACACCGTTATCAGCGACCCCACCTGAAGAGTGGTTCGTCAAGGATTCTCGAGAATTATTGCAGGAAGCAGCTAAAAGAGACAAGAATTTTCACTCTTGGAAGCAACACCTCCAACTTGTTGATGGGACCTATTCCGGCCCTGCTAGAGGGTCCCTACATTCGCAAATCACATCGCACGCCGACGAAGGGTAGATTCCAGGTGGCCTCTCCCAGGGACACTGATAATCATACCGGAAGTGGAAACGACTATAACTTCACGGTGAGCATCTCACCACGTGGGGGACTCGACTGGTATTCATGATGTGCTTGACCCTTTGGAAAGTAGTATTGGCTTAGATAGGAAAGCTCCGGCGGGAGAATCCACTATGCAGCCTCATAAGGGAACCATCCGAGCCCCTGTCTCGAAGCACAGAGCTTTTGAGATCTCAAGTGGGGATAGGGGTCCTTCAACCACAAAACCTAGCCAGGACTGAGAAGCTTATTAAAAATAAGATTTCCTATGCAAACTTCCTTTTGATCTGAATAATGTCTCGAGATCTTCTGCTTGGTATTGGCAGAAGAAATTGGTCGCGCAAATCGAAGCCAGATGCGAAACTTTCCGTTTCGGGCTCTCTATGAAGCTTGACCTGAAACAACCCCGGAACCCCCGGAACCACTTTTAATTTCATGCTAATAACGCTTGTTTAAAGTAAAACCCTTATTGTCTCTGTTGCCTACCTCGAGATTCAAAGTGATATAAAAGCCTACTCCGACATTCGGTCCTGCTATGAGGTTTTCTTCTGTATATTGTGTTGTACATACATTTCCTTCGCTACATTCTTTAATATCCCTACGAGGCTGGTTCTCGTTCATTGGAAATTGACAAAATGCGTCCTATTCATGCCTTCGTTCCTCTGATTGGCGCCATCGGTGCGGTCGCATCTCAGCCCACTGATTCATGGGTATTCGGCGACAGTCTCTTCTACCTTGGACCCCCGTCGGGAAATTCTCGGATCACCAAGGCTACCTACTCGATCATGCCTCCTGCTGTACCTTCTGGAGCTAAGGCCAGTACCAAAGACGAGGTTTGGGTCTCTGTCTGGGTTGGTGCATCGTCCACCGCTGGTAGCGATGACTATGATCTCTACCAACCGCTTTTCAATTGGTCTCTTGATCAAGAATCGCAGTGAGTATTGACTGGTACCTAATGGTATAACAATTCAGTTTTCTGATTCTTGTTGAAAATTATAGGGGATGTTCTGCTTCTGTTGAGGAGTGGTGTGTTGCCGCGAGTACTTATACTCCTGGTAAGTAAAATGCCTCTTCTACTGTACTTGCTGTCCTTAAGCTGATATTCCGTTCGCTTAGATGGCCAGATTGGTCAGGATTATGTTGCCGTTCCCCAAAACACTACGGTTGACTTTGAAAGTATGTGCCCACTTTGTACAACCCAACTTTATGTACGACCTGAAACTGACAATGACTCAAGTCGCCGTCGAGGGCAAGAAGGTTATCCAGACCGTTACTATTGACGGCGAGATTGTCTCCAAGCAGAGCGATAGTAAGGGCCCATTGAAAGAATATCGACATGAAAACCCCCGCTGACTGATTCTTAGCCCTCGATGCTGCCCTTCAATACCTCTACTCCAGCAACGAGTGCTACACCGGATCTGGAAGCTGCGGCACCCTCGCTGGTTACAGTATGTATTCTCATATTCGAAAAAACAATCTCAAGATATCACATATTGACTTCTTCAGGCATCACGAACCTGACCGTCACACTGAGCGAGGCTGACACCGGTTTCGCTGACGTCCTGTCCTTGGATAGCGTCACTGACAAGAACTTCAAGAGCACTGACGGAGGTATCACCTGGCACGCGGACTGGATTAAGGTTACCTCGATCGATTTTGACTCTTCAAATGACACCGAGGTAGACGCCTGATAACCTGATTTTGTTCCAAAGCCGTGGATCGGAATGCTGGGGATCATAACCTAAATGATGTTCGGCTCATTTGTATAGAAAATGTAGATTTTTGTTCACTTTCATGTACAATAAAGGTTTTTGAGTGACCCTGAAAAGTCACAAGCATGGTTAACCCCAGAACTGGTTGATGCAAGGGGGTAATAGCCCCACAATTCTAGGAACATGGCTTAAACCATGAGCCTATCGGCCAGAAGATTACCCGAATAATTGTGCTTTGCATTCTTCGGAACATTCCAGTCCTTGAACCCTTTCAAGATTGTCCTTGGCCGGCTACAAACGGTTTAAACAGGCTGATAGCCCTTCGTATGATTCTATGCCCCATGAAAAGCACGTCAAGTTTGGCCTTTCACATCTGTGCCCTGTATCCAAATCTAGTCCAGGGAGCAGATACATACTTCGGGTCAATGGTCTTATAGTATCATGAAGAGCCCGCATGGGTTTGTGAAATTAATCATCAAATTCCCGTTCCGATCGCACAATCTGAATGATTCAATGTGAATGGCTCTGATGATGAGTGGCTGAGGATGTATCTGCTATTAGCTACATCGTGTGCGTATGCACCCGTGGAATCGAACCAATGAATGTACAAGTACAACAGGGAAAGGAAATTCCTTCCGTCATTTGATAAACATTAGGCTTTTCACCCCTTCGTACCGTTATATCATTAAGGGGATAAGCCCAGGGGCATTACGCAATGTGACATTATGCACGTCGGAGCAATTTGTCAGTTATAAAGTAGGTATTCAACATTCACCACACGCTTTCAAGCTTTTATAAAATCTCCGTTCACATATCCACTTCAAATGGATACTGAACGATCCTCATCAACGAATTCAAACACCTCCCGCGACCAAGAATTGCTACCATGTAACTCCAAGCTCGACCCAGAAAAGGCTCCGCTCGAAGATGACTTGCCGCCTATTGATGGCGGTTTCCACGCGTGGATGTTCCTAGCGGCGTCCACCATGATTGAGGCGCTGGTGTGGGGATTCGCGTTCTCGTTTGGCGTTTTTGAGAGCTATTATCGGGATAGTGACTTACTGAAGGGTTCACATATGGTTGCCATTATTGGGACCTGTGCCACGGTGAGCTTCTTTCTTCTGGCCCCTCACCCTCTCTGCGAGACTAGGAAAGGAATGATTCTAACTTGCAACAGGGCGTCGCATATTTGAGCTGCCCTGTAGTAATCGTCATCATGATTCTTCTACCTCGATACGCTAGATGGTTCTCCACGGCGGGCTGTATATTAATGTGCTTATCACTAGCCATGGGCTCATTTTCCACAAACACCACACACCTCGTTCTCTCGCAAGGCGTCGGCTTCGGAATCGGTGGCTGTATAGCCTACAGCCCATCAATAATGTTCATGTCAGAATGGTTTGACAAGCGCAGAGGACTCGCCTTCGGAATGGTCTGGGCAGGATCAGGCGTGTCCGGCATATTATTCCCACTCGTGCTAGGAAAATTATTGGACAGGTTCGGATTCGCGACAACGTTGAGAATATGCTCGGTCTTGCTATTCGTGCTTGCCGCTCCGTTCTTATACTTCCACAGACCGCGACTTCCGATCTCGAAGAATATTGCTCATCACCGATTTAACGTCAGATTCTTGCGGAATCCTGTCTTTCTTATGTATCAGGCTTGTAATGCGCTTGAGGCTTTCGGATTTTTCTTACCGGCTATTTATCTACCGACTTTTGCGCGCTCGATTGGTGCTTCGGAGTTGCCTGCTTCTTTGACTGTGACGGCGTACAACCTGGCGTCAGTCTTCGGGAGTATATCTATGGGGCATCTGTCTGATCGTTGTCATGCTTTGAGGTGCATTACGATATCTACTATTGGGACTGTGATTTCGATTTTCTTGCTGTGGGGTTTTTCCACCAACATCGCAGTCCTGATGGTGTTCTCCGTTTCATATGGAATTTTCGCCGGGAGTTACTCAGCAACTTGGTCGGGGATGATACGGGAGATCCAAAAAGTGGATGCCAGGTCTGACGCAACTATCGTGTTCTCAGTCATTGCATTTGGACGGGGGATTGGGAATGTTGTCAGTGGGCCATTCAGCGAGTTTCTGCTCCGTGTTGATGACTGGCAGGGGCAAGCGGCTGGAGCATATGGTACTGGGTATGGGCTTCTCATTGTTTGTACAGGCCTTACTGCCTTGGCAAGTGGCATGTGTTTGTTTGCACGCTATTTCAAATGTATAAAGGCTGCTTAAATGTATCTGAACTTCACACAGGTCTTATGAGTGTAGAGATTTGATGATCAATCATTCCGTGGCCTGGTCCTGAGGCGGCTTGATGTCAGATAACGTTAAACCTGCTTTCTGTTTGAGCAAAGCATGGGCAGTCCTAACGAGCTTCTCCACTTCCTTCTTGAGAGGACATATCTCTCCAGTTGCACAGTCAGGTTGCAAATATGTCTGTAGCAGAGTAATGGACGAGGTGATTTCAGAAGCGGAGAGCCTCCCAAATGGCTTTGAAGATGGCCAGTTCAAAGTCTTCTGTAGAGTGAGAATGTATTGCGATACTCTGTAATCGCTGGTGCAAACTTTAGCTTGTAGGGAAGCAGTACGACAACGGTCGCAATATTGGGCCATAGCTGGATATGTTCGTCCGCACGACCTGCATTCCTTTGTTAGCATGCTGTGGCTTGCTTCATGGGCTCTTAAAGACTCTGTAACCGAAAAAACCTCTTGTTCTATTGAATCAAGTAGATTTTCAATGCCTTCGCTCAACTGCACTACTTTACGTCAGGTCGTTTATCATATTGCGGTCAGCCCTTTGGATGCTTACATGTAACAGTATCAGGCAAGCTGTTCAGAATTTCAGACTTCTCCCACTCGAGAGAAAATGCAACAGGTAGCTTCAGCTGGGCTTCTCTGCTGAGTGCAGTAAATTGCTTTGAGTCGCGGAATAGATATGCCGCAAGAAGCAAGTTGCCATGATTTTGCGGTGTCATAATCTCTTGCTTATGGTTTTGAAGCCAGATGTGGGCGCGAGGCCAAAGTGCCTTGGTGCAATTGTATTTGTCGCAGTGAATGGCGAAGGTGACAAGCCACTGAGTACTCATTTTGCTTATCACTTCGGGCTCCTGGTAGTGCAAAATTGTAAATATCACGCCCATGATAGCAGGACTATCCTGATAGAGGGCAATCTCAGGGCGGTAGGTTTTGGCGAGTTGTTGACCCTCCAGAAATCTTGGTCCGAGCAGTTTGAGGAAAACGGGCGAGGCTAGACCCAGCACCTTTGTGGAAACCAAGAAGCGCCTCGTTTTATCAGGCGAGCTACCCTGGACGACGATGATGACATCCCCTTGCATGTCGATGGCTTCAACACTCGAAACACACTGATCGGTTGGTTTGCTCATTGTGAGATAATCAGAAAGGCTCGTTGACAGTTAAGAAGATGGTCAAATTCCCGAACTTCATGTATTGCTGCGTATGGTAGCAGTGGGCAAGTCAGTATAATATGTACTTACTGAATGTAGTAAAGAGTTCTGAATTCTGAAAGAGTTGAACTTAATGGAGCGAGTTTAAGTGGTGAGAAGTAGAGTGAAGAGGAAGAAAGATGGAGGAAGGGGTTGAAGAAGAGAGTGAGAAGATGAAACAGATAAGGATGAGAGCTACTTGCTAGGAGAGAGTTGAACTTATTTATTTTCAACTTCTTCAGCATAATGCGAAGCGATAGATTACAGTGACAGTTCCAAGGTAACTTCTGGTCTCTAGTAGAGTAAGAAGAGATCAAGGACAAGAGGGAGTTGCCCAAGAGCAGCAGGAAGTCGATAACAGATCAATATATCGGATTCAGTGTTCGCTATTCACTGTTGTGAGATAATGAGTCTCAGTGGTATCAAAGCCTTACTATTAGGCAAAACTTGGTATCCAGTGGTGTATCAGCGGCTTTTGAATCCCTCATATCTTCTCCGTCTCAGCCTTCGTTGCCATTTAACTGAATCTAAGAAAGAATGCAAGGGAGACTTGATAGATCAATTTAGTCCACATATATTGACATGAATGAAGAAAAATGGGTGGGTTCTAGAAGAGAAATGCGTTATATATTCCTGACCGGGTCGGAGTAAGCTTGATCCTGCATGTTGATCGCTCTGTGTATAGTAATCGCGCCCCTCACAATCCCCACACAAACTATCTTTGCTCTTTGCATTTTCCTAAATTATGTACCTTCTTACCGACATTGCCATTCTCAGAGTAGATAGATAACGCCATCGCTATGCTTGATCTGGTAAACATACGGATGTTCCACTTCCCCACACCCCCGCTACCCCACTCTCGGCCTCGGAAAACGCATCCCCAATTCAGCATCAGATTCCACATCATGTTTCAAGCCTGATAATGCCGAACTCTGAAAATCGACGTACCTCAAAGGCATGTGATCCGTGCAAACGACGGAAGGTCAAGTGCAATGGTCAGGCTCGATGCCAGCAGTGCACGCACGCCGGTTTACCGTGTATATACGCGACCAACCTACCCGATCAGCGGCGGAGAGCTGTACGACGGGGTACGGTAATTGCCGAATGTCGTGCATTGGTGTCCAAGTCGAGCGATACAAGCTCGCTCCTATCTTCCCGGACCTGTTCCATTCAGATTCCCCAGTCAGTCTCATCGACCGAAAACCCATCATTCTTCCTGGAGCTCTTGAGCGATTACGAGCGTTATGTGTACCCGATGAGTCCAGTAGTGCCAGCAGGTATGGTAAGAGACATGATCACAAATATGGCCGACGGCGCCGATGCCGCATCATTCGTCTACATCTTCGCGGCGGTGACATTGAGCTTGGCAAGAAGCGAGCCCGTTCAGGATGCGCCCGCAACCCGCGACCAGATAGCAATGCTACTGACCCGCTCACTTGAGCTGCGTCGCCCATTTGGGCTCGAGTCCCTGACTACTGTTGTGCATGTCATGCGAGACGTTTTTACAGAGATGAGCTGCATGACGCTGCGCCGGCCTGAATTAGGCCACATGTATCTTCGCGAGGCGATCTCATTGCTGTACATGTTGAACGCACACTCCGAGGATGATATGGCCAGACTTGATATTGTACAACGTGCTCGCCTCCAACGGGCGTATTGGGAGTGTTTTATACATGAGAGGTTCACTGCGTTGACATACCACCGCCCACCATCTTTAGATCCCTTATCTGCGTTGCCAGATTATGATGCGTCACTTCCTGCGGATGTCGAGATTGGCTTTAACTATTGTATTAAAAATTTCCTTCTTATCGATAGGAAATTTCTTGATTTTTGGCTAGGCGATCGATCAGGAGTCACGGCTGGATGGGTCGAGGAGAAGCAGCATCAACTCGAGGATATTGATTGGCATTGTGAAGTCTCCCGATTGCCAAAAATGCAGCAAGCAGATCTCATTATTACGAGGCACTGGTTGCGCACACTGACATGGCAAATGGGTTTGTCTAATACGCTGCTCTCCTCGTCACCTGGTTCTTCGATCTTACTTTCGCTCTCTTTTCCGCTGCGCCTATCGAATCAGCTTCGCCAGTTCCTTGTTACCATCCCACGTGATCTTGTGGGGATCCATGGATCTGGGATTCTCAAGAAGCTTTTTGAGATTGCTAGCACGATAGCTGATGTTGTGCTTCATATGCCATACACACCTGGTGATGATACGGTGCAGCGCATTCATGATATTCTCTTTCTCAAGAAGTTTCTTTATTCTTTTGCTGGATTGCAGAGCTTGTGGCCGGAACTTTTGACACAGAAGTTTGAGATGATACGGGATAAGTATCCGGAGATCAAAGAGATGGAGCTTCTTGTATGATCATGAAGAGGATCGTATTTTAATTATTTTTTTCTATATAAGGCATTTCTATGCTTTCTGTACTTTGGTATAGAATTATGTCCTTTGGATTGAAGTTTATATTCAGTACGTGAAGTTGCTTGGTCATATCCCAGGTTCGTCCGCCCTGCATAAAAGCTTAAGTCCAAGAGGACCATGGCGCTGGACTCGATCACGTGTAGCCTCAACCCTAAAAGCATTAGTCTGAACTACAGACTTTGACTAGATCAGTATGCCCGTCTTGCAGGATGGAATGTTGGAAGTGGAGGGGGATGTTTAATGGTATCAATTTGGTTATCGGGTAGTAAAGACCCCATTTCTAAGTGGTAACATGTAACGCCTCTAGACTGACGCGTCTGAATTATGCCCGTTTAATAGTAGCTCACATCTAAGAGTCTCGAGGAAACCTTATTTTCCCACGAGGTAAATACGACCTTCATAAGGCTGTAATGAATCCAGCACATCCTCCTCATAGTTCTTAGCCAGAACCTTTCGATTCGCATTACCAAGTCGCCCAGCCAGATCAACCGACTGTTTCTCACTAGAGAAGTTCAAAGCCACCACCAGTTTCTCGCTATCTGAGTGCTTTTCAAAAACGAAAACAGCACCGTGAGATGGATCGGTATCCTCAAAGACCCCTTGCGCAAAAACTGTCGGATTGGCACGACGCACACGCAGCAGAGCCTTCCAGAATGAAAGCACAGAATTTGGATCCGAGCTCTGCCGCGCTACATTCAATTCTGGATAATTATCATGCACGCGCATCCAAGTCTTAGCTCCCTCGCTGGAGAATCCGGCATTGGGCGTGCCATCCCATTGCATGGGTAGTCGGGCATGGTCACGCGCGAGATGAGCGATAGCAACCTTCGTCGCTTCTAATGCAACGGGATCATTCCCAGATATCTTCTTCACATAATTGTAATAGTTAAGACTGTCCAGATCTTTGTATTCAGACATATCCCACTCTAGAGGTGCATTGACCATGCCGATTTCCTGGCCTTGGTAGATGTAAAGTGTTCCTGAGAGGCTAGCAGCGAGCATAGCGAGCATCTTTGCGCTAGTAGCCCATAACTCTGGGGTCTCTTCGCTACCCCATCGCGAAATTGAACGGGCTTGGTCGTGGTTCTCCAGGAATGTCGTGCTCCACCCGTCTGTCGTGCCATCCATGAGTGCCTGTGTACGCTTGACACTCGCGCGTAGCTCGGGAAGTGTCCAGTTTCGCGGTGTTGTCTGAAATGTAAAGTCTTTGCCCCTGCCCACATCGACAATATCAAATTGGAAGACCATACTCAGCTGCTGTTCTTTTTCTGAGACGTACGTTAGGACATCGGCGACTTCCGGGGTGGAAGGGAGTTCTCCGACTGTGACGGCGTTGTACTTGAGCAAGATGTCGCCCATCTCGCGCAGGAACTCGTGGATCCGGGGCCCATTGCAGAAAAGTGAGGCGTCCAGTTGATGCTCATGATTAGGATCGATAATAGGCGCATCGCGATAAGATTGATCCTTGCTGTACATGTTCACTGTGTCAACCCGGAACCCATCTATTCCCTTTCGCAACCAAAACTCCATCGCTGACTCAAAAACAGCTGCTCTCGTCTCGGCATTCTCCCAGTTAAGATCTGGCTGCTCGACAGCGAACAAATGCAAATAATACTCCTCGGATACCTCATCCCACTCCCACGCACTTCCACCGAATATGCTGCGCCAGTTATTAGGCGGTCGTCGCACACCATTAGCATCATATTTAGCAGGTCGCCAGATATACCAATCACGCTTAGCACTGGCCTTGTCAGATCTCGACTCCTTGAACCAAGCATGCTGGTCGGATGTATGATTAATCACGAGATCGAGTAAGATACGCAATCCCCGCTCGTGGCAGGCTGCAATAATCGCCTCCACGTCGGCGACTGTCCCATATGGGCCATGTACATCTTCGTAATCCGCCACGTCATACCCCATGTCGATTTGAGGGGACTTGTACATAGGGCATATCCAGATTGCATCGACACCCAATGACTGGATGTAGTCCAGCTGACCGAGAATCCCGGGCAAATCACCAATCCCATCGCCATTGGAATCCTTGTAACTGGCAGGGTATATTTGATAAATTGTGGCGTTTTTCCACCAGGGCGTTAGCGGGGACATTGCAAGGAAAGTTAAAGTATATTCAACTTTGTATCAAATAGCCGACGAATGACTGAGACTACCCTTGCGAATGGTAGAGTTTTAAGTTGTAGAGAAATTAAATGTCGGATCCTGGATGGGAATTATTCTGTTGCTTATTCCTCTTCTTTTATCTCGGCCCTCACCCCACAGCAATGCGTTAATTGGCCTTTCCTCGGTCCGATACGCTTACCCCTCCAGTCCCCGTGCGACTTCGAACATGCACAGTGACGGCTTCTGATTGGTCCATTGTCGGCCCGAGATATGTTTGATGCTAGTCCATTTGTTTACAGGATCGGTAAGCCACAGGAACTCCGCTTCTTTGTCTTTGACCTGCGATATTTTCCCATGTTTTCCCCATGGAGAATTATGTTTCCCCATGAGGATATCCCTGTCAGATAGTCTTCATCTTGCTCTTATTCTCGACAGCTGATTCGTTCAATCCCATTTCGACAGCATTAGCATTTACCCCGGAAATGCCCCAGATTGCTAAAATCGACCTAAGGAAAATCCGGGGTACTCGTTAGTACACTAGCATTATACGCAAGCAGTTAGTCCCACATGCCTCGGGAAACGGGGCAACAATGGCGTCGGGCGCCGACATAAAAGGCGTGCTGTCGCTCCTGCAGAACCGAATTGCTAGTGAGAGCAGCGGTCTCAACAATCCTCGTCAATCTATTTGCAACACCAACAATATGTCGACAGTTTCTCCAGAGCAAGATGCAGAGAAGATCCCTACGTCCACCCCGGTAGCCACCCTGGCTGCTGAGGCCAATCGGGCCACGAAGACAGAACACAAGATGGGTCTTTGGCAGGGTATTCGTACATACCCACACGCCGTGGGGTGGTCGATTCTGTTTTCATCAGCACTCATCATGGAGGGATACGACAATGCACTGATTGCGAGTCTATTTGCATACGGACCATTTCAGAAGACATTTGGTGACAAACTAGCTAATGGAACATACCAAATCACCGCTGCGTGGCAGTCGGGCCTCACCAATGGCGCCCTAGTTGGCGAGCTTATAGGCCTACTCATCAATGGTATAATTGCCGAGCGCTTCGGTTACAAGAAGAGTATTATTGGCTCTTTGATTGCCTGTGTGGCTTTTGTTTTTATCATCTTTTTTGCCAAGACATTGACAGTCTTGCTTATTGGCGAAATCCTTATTGGAATTCCTTGGGGTCTTTTCCAGACTATTACTACTACATATGCGTCCGAGGTGTGTCCCGTTGTGCTGCGGCCATACCTGACGACATATGTTAATCTTTGTTGGGTTATTGGTCAAATCATTGCCTCGGTAAGTCCACTACCACAACATTACTAGTCTCTCTCTCATTGATATAATTTTTGCTGATATGATCTACAGGGAGTACTCAAGGCAATGACCAGTCGCACCGATGACTTGGGCTACAAAATTCCATTTGCACTACAATGGATGTGGCCCGTCCCAATTATGATCGGTGTAGCATTTGCTCCCGAGTCGCCATGGTGGCTAGTCCGCAAGGGACGGATCAATGAAGCCCGGCACGCATTAGAACGGCTCACCGTACAGGGACAAGATCCGGACTTCAATGTTGACGAAACCATCGCCATGATACGAAGCACCAACGAGCTTGAAAAAGAGATCTCTGCGGGAACGTCTTATCTCGATTGTTTCACGGGCGTTGATCTTCGTCGCACGGAGACCGTTTGTCTGACTTGGATGGCACAGCAGGTATCCGGGTCTGCTTTTATGGGATACTCGACTTATTTCTATGAGCAGGCTGGTTTGGCTACCAGCAATGCGTTTACATTAAGCATGGTACAGTATATTATCGGTGCGATCGGTACGCTGCTATCCTGGGTGTTGATGGGCAAGTTTGGACGTCGGACACTGTACGCCTATGGTCTTGGTGCTCAGATGACTGTTTGTTTTATTATTGGTTGTCTGGGCATTATTCACAGAGGTAATGTGGCTGCTCAGTGGGCTATCGGCAGCCTCCTGCTCGTGTACACATTCTGTTATGATGCGAGCGTCGGACCCGTTTGCTACTCGCTTGTTTCGGAACTAAGCTCTACACGCCTGAGAGCAAAATCCATCGTCCTTGCGCGGATCTCCTACAATGTTAGCGGTGTCGTTGTGAACATTATTACCCCGCGCATGCTCAATCCTTCGGCTTGGGACTGGGGTGCTAAGTCTGGATTCTTTTGGGCGGGGACTTCTTTGCTTTGTCTTGTGTGGGTCTTTTTCCGTTTACCTGAGCCGAAGGGCCGAACATATGCCGAGTTGGATCTGCTGTTTGAACGTGGGGTTTCGGCACGCAAGTTTAGCTCGGCATTTGTGGATCCGTTTTCCGTGCACGAGAAAGATCATGGGGAGGAGGAAAAGGTTGTCCAGCCTTCAGTGGAAATTATGGAGCACATTTAGGACTTACTTTCTATTCCCTTCACATATTATGCTTTATTTCAATGCCTCGTCTCTAGGATTTTCCCCCTTAGACAGGCTGTCCCCTCACAGCAAGGCACTGCAAAACATGCACCCTGTATATTGATTTTGTGGGTAATAGCCGCTCGTCGTCTTGTATTGAACTGATGTATGGCATTCAGCGGTAGAGTGATCGCGTGTATTCGCACCAACGAGCTTTCAGAAGAGATCTCTGCAGGAACGTCTTATCTCGATTGTTTCAGGGGCGTTGAGAACACAACTTCCTCGTCGCCTGAAGGTAGGGGTCATGGCCACACTCCAGTCTGATCTTAGCCCTGTAAGTCAGCATCAACTCGGAGCAGAGATAGTAGGAGCTCGCTGCATTTCGCCCAATGTATGTTTTTTAGTCTCAGGGCCTGCCACCAGTCTTGACGTGCATCGAATCGAAACAATTCCAGGGCGTCTTATAGTAGTTATGATATTCGGTGCTAGAGCCCGTCGGAGGATCTAACCATCTTGCCCACGTCGCTCGACACGATGTTAATCTATGGCCGGAAGCTTGAACACCCCTTCGATTGTGGGTTCGATCCAAACTCCTGGCAGGCAGGGTTCCCTTTGTCTCACTCACTTGCTGATGTGTTTGCCTCAAAGTCACTCAGGCCGAGAGGAGAACAAACGCATTGTTTTATCTGCGAGGCGCTGGTCGAAGCTGCTAGTGCTAAAGCTACCAGGCATGGGAAGGCGCCGGTCGGGTGTGGTGGAAGGAGAGAAGGGGGGAAAGTAAAAAAAAGTGATACTCGCATGATATCAATGGTGCTGTTTGAATGGGTTGTACCATTATGGTTTTCCAATGTTGGCTTATTCGAAGCTCTGTTGATCAGAACATGATGCTTGTTCACGAACATTAGAGGAATGCAAAAGAGCAACCTCGGACCGTGAAAAAAGGGAAACTGACGGGCAGCAAAGGCAGCAAAGCTAAATGCGACAATCACACGTTCTTTCTTTCGAAACATCAGGACATCCGGTTGACTAACAGCATATGCAAGTCATTTGATCTTCGTCTCACCATTTACCGGGATGAACCGTGAAGAATGCATGGATGCTGCCACATGCCCAAGTTCGGGCCTAACCCCGGAGCAGTTGTCCCAATGAATGGAAGCAAAGAGCTTGAATAAAGTTCAAACTACATCTCGATGCAGCTTTATAGCGGATCTTATCTCGATTTAGGGCTGCCGGGAGCGAAAGTGGGACTCGGCCGAAGCATCGGCAAATACTCGGAGCCGTTGAGGTTCGGGGTTTCTAGCGTACCTTTAATGACTAAACGGCAATGGGGGTTCGCCCCTGCTTGCCCATGATTCGCTCAGTGTCTCTTCAATCTAACTAAGGATGGTCGTGAGGGTCTAAAAGTCACGCACAGGACCCAGCGAGAATCGGAGTTCTGTTGATCCACTCACAGGCATACGTAGTTATAAAAGGCGACTGCACCTGCCTTTCCGGTGACGACCGAGACTTTTCCTGCTTTGAACTCTACTGTCCTCAACTCCGGTATTCAATAACCTTATCTTCTTAAATATATTCCTTGTGACAATATACGGACGCTTCGAATCATATCCTTCATGACCTCTCCGCTCGCTCGGGCATCTCGATCGCTTCTTTCTTCTTTCCGCGCGAGACCGATTCCTGCCCGACTTATTCACGCTGCGCCTTGCTCGACGATCGCGATGGAAAATACTCGGTTTGGAAAGTTTGAGGCTGCGCCTTTGCAAGCGAACTTTATCCCTAGTTTGCAACAACCGACTCAACAAGTTCTCTGGATTGGATGCTCGGATAGCGGATTTCAAGAAACGACAATTCTCGATCTCCTTCCTGACGAAATGATGGTACACCGGAATATTGGCAACATGATTATTGAGGGCGATTTATCTTCTGAGACTGCTGTGAGATATGCTGTCTCTGTTCTTGGAGTGAGTAAATCACATTGATCGCATGATCCAGACCCACTACCCGAAAGATGCACTAACCGTTCTCAGGTGAAACATATAGTCGTCTGTGGACATTACGGATGTCAAATAGTGAAGGCTGCGTCAAGGAATGGATTGCAGGGACCATGGCTAAGGTGAGTTACATCGATATTTGTGGAGGCAATGAATGGAACTAACAGCCATACAGCAAGCTTGATTCTCTACACTCGTCCCACAAAGATACCATCGATCGACTCCCCGAAGCAGAATCCGATCGCGCGTTTGTCAAGTTAAATGTTCTGGATCAGTTGCGCTCTTTGCGTCAATTCCCCGAGGTTTACGATGCGGCGAAGTCGGGTAGCTTGCAATTACATGGAATTGTATACGATACGCATACTGGGGAGGCAACTCGGTTGCTTGAGGGCCCCGAGTGTCGGATTTGACGATCATGCATATATATGTATATATATATATGGCGATAGACGAAAATGTACATATTAATGATAGATCGGATGGCTCGGAACCTTTGAAATACCCTCCAGAAGTTAGTCATGTTGTTTGGCCTCGGAATCTGAAGCAAAGGTCAGTTTGAAAATAACATTGCTTTCAAAGCTCAAGTGGGGCACATTTGTGCCACTGAACCTGTCTGCATCTATATTACCCTGCATGATGTGGCTTGGTCTTATTCGCTGCAAGTTTATAGTATAAATAAAGTAGAGTTCATCACGGCTTGCTAGGCTTCACGGAGTCTCCAGTGGCCATCTTCAGGTTGATGAGGAGTCTGAGACTATATGAAATGGTGGAGTTTTCAGGTATAGTGATCTCTATGATTAGATTTCCACGTCTTATCCCAGTTTCATCGGACATCTTCGGGTCGGGATTAATTATCCTAGATAGGAACACTAAGTGCGCTCCGCAGTGGAATCATTGAAGAGCATAATTCCAAGCTAGTCCTCGTTTCAACGATAAGAGTAATGAAACACGTGTTTTCCGCCGATGTTGTCATGGGGACTGGATTAGATCTGGAAATTCAGATATAGCGTCAACACTTATTGGTCAGATGTTCTCCATGCGGATACACCATGCAAGTACAATTTGTACATTAGTATACAAAGGAAAGGAAATCTTGGAAGACTCAAAAATATGCACCTCCATGTCTTGCATTCGCCCCTCAAGCCCCTAAAGCCTCGAGATAAGACATTATAGTGGACCCCATCCCCAATTCTGGAGATAGGTACACCTCGTACCGAGTGCGAGACCCTCGAAGCAGGAGACTGAGCAAGCCCACGAATCATGAGTGGAACTCGTGGAAATTCCAAATCGTGTTCGTCTGATGGAGCTGCAACTCGATCTAAGGAGCCGCGAGAACTCGATCGCCTGGTGCGATTGGTTGGGCGGTCAGGTTCATACCCCACTAGATCGGGTTTCAGCTGGAGGCGTTTTGTCCCACATTTAATAGTTATCTTGATGACTGGCCACCATTCTATGCCGAGTAAATTAAGCCGAGCTATAATGCCGTTACTTCCGAGTTTTGGTTCCTTTGTGTTGTACAGTCGGTACAGGCCCATAGGATGATGCGGCCATTTGCTTGGCCGCTTGGACCTATACTGGGGTCGAACCAATCCCCGAGCGCTGATCCTCATTGATCGCTGGAAAGTATATTGCTCTTCTATTGCTTTTATTGTGGCCTCTACCGTGAAAATGTTTGACGCTAGTACAAGTTCATGTTTTTGAGTTGGTGGCAAATGGTGATCGGGGAGGAGCAAAAAACGTGGGATTTGTGTCGGTGGAGAAGTCTTTTTCTTTTTCTTTTTTTAACTTCTTCTCATGCTAGTTTCTGCGCCACCGATTGCCATTACTTGATCCCACAGGAGGCCTTTTGACGTTGCGCGCGCTTTGACGGTCGCATTGGGGGTGAAATGGTTTATCAGTAGGTGAGAGAGTCCTGCCTCATCTCTTGTCCTCTCTCTGAAACATACTAGTGCAGCTTGATATCATACAAATGAACCAACAGTGTCGGTCTGCCCTACGGAGTATCCGGTACTACAATCAGCATGGCGCATTAGTGCATTCAGAGTGAAGGGGCAAGAGCGAAAAAACCTAGTGAAAAGGGGCAATGACCCACTAAGCCCCCACTGGACTAGACTAGGTTTAGACTAGCGCTGTAGTTCACGAACCGTGTCCCCGAAGGATGTTTATTGAACCTTTTGTGCGCAAATAGCCCTATGCACGGGGGAACCTGACATGTCAACAGATGCAGGTACAGTAAATAGTTCCATACTGATACTTTACGAACGCGTGGCCGGGGTATTTGTTTCTAGGGGGAATCAAGAATATAGAATTGATGTTCAAGGACATACAAATCGCTTTAAAATCCCTCAGGTCTTTGTAAAGCGGATCTTTAACTGTTCGGGCTTAGAGAGTGGAATTGGTTAGTCCAACCCCTGAACCGGCCCCTGTCACTTCTCCGCTCAGCACGAGCAGAACATGCCTGATGTGGGGGTTGATCGACCAATGCCTTTACGGGACCCTAAAGTGACTTGACGTGATATCCTTTCTTACACTCTAGAGATACACTCTTCACACTTTGAACCTGCACTCGGACTTGAAGTCGAAGTTGAACGTGGACTCGAAATCGCTATTGAAATAGACGTGTTGTTTGTTTATGCGTCTGGCATTCGTCGATCTCTCGGAATTACGACACTCCCGTCCGTGGGTCGAGAAACCTCCCTACATTCCGGCGCTTCCCCCGCCTCCCGTTCTCCGAGCACCTTATTCTTTTTCGGTCTTTTTTCTCTGGCTTGGTTACCTTTGTCGGCTCTTCTTACGCGCTGTTGACGCCTCAGATGCCAGGCGAGTCAATACACAATGAGTGTCGTCGCCAGTAGACCGGATAGCCCTGCTGTGCCATACGCCATCCCGCAGGATTGTAAAGATTGGACGGTGACAGTTCAGCCGGTGTCATCTCGAACTTCCTCCATTTCCTCCTACAAGTCTAATTACACCACCTCGACCGCGCCAACCTCTAACCCGCCCACATCCCCAACTCCTTCCTCTCGCCAGAGTGATTCCATCGGATCAATCGCGAAGACCGTTGAGCCAGTTCAAAGACGACTACCTCATGAGGTATACGATGTTATCATTGATAGTCTCGAAACTTTACACAAAGCCCCTCACCAGACAGGCTGCACAACATGCTTTCAGCGTGACTTGCATGCCTTGTCCTTGACCTGCAGGTCATGGGAGAAGGCTGTCCGCGCACGACTGTGAGTGAGACTCGTTATGCTCGCAAGTCAAATGAAGATACTAATTTCATGCCATTTAGATACACACAAATACACATCGTTGGCAACGACTCTCCCGCCCAATTGAAGAAATATCGACTCAAAAGAGGCAGTCGCTTGAAGCTGTTAAGACGCACCCTGCGTGAACGGAAGTCGCTGGCAAATCAGGTCCACGAATTACGCGTTCCCCAGATGGATCTGCTCTTCACAACAACAAAGCAAAGCGCGCAATGGCAAGAGTATCGCGATCTAATCGCGTCTGTCGTCATGGTTTGTCCAAACCTCGAGCGATTACTCGGCTTGACGGTCCCTTATCACCATGAGTTTGACCGCTTGACACATGCCTTGTCGACTCGAAAGAAGTTGAAAGAGCATACCTGGGTCCTGGGTGAAGCGGCTGAGGTGACCGAAATGTCTCCACGCGGTGACTCCTGCCCGGACAGCCTGGGTCCATCCCAGATGTTCGAATTCTTAGATTACCATGTCCAATGGTCGAATTTGGAAACCTTGATGCTATACGGATTAAATGGGAATGGTGCCCTGGAGCCCAGTCTCTTTTTGCGCATGTTCGACCTTCTCCCTTCTTTGAAGAACCTTTGCATTTCTTCCTTCAACGAGGACGCTTTCGCTGATAGCACATTGTTGTGTTTGCCAGCGCTGGAATCTTTGCGATTGGAGAGCCTCCCTGGAGTCACTGAGGGCGGTCTGACCCAATACACATCTCGCCCAGAATCCCTTTCTCTCAAGTCATTTGTCTTGGTGGAGCAGAACATCGAGTCTCTGCTCGTCATCTCCAAGATTCTCTCCTCACTCCGACAACTCGAGCGCTTCAAGTTTGTGCAAACTGCTAAATGCCCCATTATGCCGAAAGAAGGCATGGTGTTCCAGCCCATCTTGGCTTCTTCGACCTTGAAATACCTACACTGGGATGTAGCTTGTCCAGACCCCGGCACAGCCCTCACCCAACTCGACTGCCTTCCCTTCCAGAGCCCTAAAAAGGAGTCCGACACCCCCAACTCTCATCTCGCTCAGAGCATTCTGTCCGCTGGCTTCCCAGAACTCGAAACCCTTCGTGCGCCGAACGATGTGGAGCCTCCCGGGGCTCTGCAAGCCGTTTGTCGACCCATTACTAAAGGCCAGGCCCTATTACGACCAGACCGATACAGTCTGCCTCGCAGCTCCCATGGTTCTGTCAACACTCGGCCTCTTGCTTTACCCGCAGGAAACAATTTGACAAACTCCCGGATTCGTGCACAGACTTTCATCGACATGGCTGTCAAGGACCCAGAAGCTGGTCTGCAGGTATTAATCCAAGATTTCTCTGACAACTTTGTACCGGACAATGCCCTAGCCGCACAATTCGAGGACGATCCGGAACCGGAAATGGATGACTACGGCATCTGGGCTGCTGCCGAGCGGTATAAAAACCGATCGACCAACCCCGAGGACGAGAACGAAGGGCCCAAGACGGTCTATGATTTCCGTATGCCAGCCTACATGGGCCGCATCGGCATGAAAGATCCGCTGACGGGTGCATCAATTCCCCACTTCTTACTACGCCCTGATATCCCTGGTCAGGAATCAGAAGGTGGTTTAATCGGATGGAAGCAGCTGCTTGCATCAAATCAATCATTATCATATGCTGCTGGAATGGGCGTCCATTGTTTCGACAGCCGCAGCACAGTCCCTTTGCCTTTGCCGGTAGAGGAATTGACATCCCCTTCCTCCACCACTACCTCGCGATTCGGATGGGGAAGCCTGAGTGGTCGATCTACGGGCACTCCTGCAACTCCCACCACTCCTACCACTACCATGAGCGGTTCATTTAACTCTGCCCTGCCTTGGGAAAAGGATTCCTGCACTGGATCCTGGAACCATAAAACTGGTAGGGAGTGGTGGTTCCATATGGAGCGCGATCGCCCAGGAAACTCTGAGCTCATCAATGCTCAACAACTCTTTTAAACATATCTCCATCCTCTCTTTGTCTTCTATCTCGATTCCCACGCCATATACCCCGCATCTGGTCGATTTCTTTGTCATGGTCTGATTTATTTCATTTTTCTATCTTCTTTTTATCGCACATACTACCGTCAGGTTAGCATTTGGCGTTCACGGTCTTAATGAGCATGACCGGTGGCTCGACTGTTCATGTACAATTATGTCGGCCTTTTCTTCTTTTGTCTGTGACCTACGCGTCGTTGTCTGTGGTCTGCTGTCGGTCTTTTCGATCGCATCTCAATTCGCCACATGATCAGGCGCTATGGTTCTGGTTGGCATTTTTTTTTATTCTTCTGTACTATTCTGTACCATCATTGTACCTACATTTTCTCTATATGTACATTATATACATTATCGGTAATATACGATACCTTCCACATGTCTCAAATCTGATCTATCGCTGTAAATTTATCCCTGCCACCTCCTTGAATCATACTGTATATTACATATCATATGATCTATCAATGGTGGTGATAACATTGGAATGTTTATCTTCGAAGTATATATATGACTCATCCGGGGTTTCATCGGCCCGATAAGCGAATGGGGACTGATAAGAGGCATCGCAGCCCCTCCATAAAAATTATCTTCCCCGCCATTGAGAACTCATTATTTCAAGAATGGATCCGGCAACGCCTGTTGACTTGCCAGAGCGGCCAAAGGTGGCCGTTCAGGAAGCTGCTCCTGCTGTTGACGCTGACCCCGCTGACCCCGCTGCCCCCGCCGGTCCCTCCAAGAAGCAGCTGAAGAAAGAACAGAGAGAGCGGGAGAAGAAGCTCAAGAAAGAGCAGGCCCAGCTGAACCCCAAGCCCGCCAAGGAGAAGCAGCCCAAGGCCCCGAAGCCGGCTAAAGAGGCCGCCGCTCCCCGCGACCCCGAAGCCCTGTTCAAGACTGGTTTCTTGTCCGACGTGTACCAGGAGAGACCTATTTCCGAGACCCATCCCAAGATCCGCACCCGTTTCCCGCCCGAGCCCAACGGTTTCCTTCACATCGGACACAGCAAGGCCATTGCTGTGAACTTTGGCTTCGCGCGCCACCACGGAGGCGAGTGTATCCTCCGTTTCGACGACACAAACCCCGCCGGTGAGGAGGAGCGATACTACAATGCTATTCGCGACATTGTGTCCTGGCTAGGCTTCAAGCCCGTGCGGGAGACTAATGCCAGTGACAACTTCCAGCGTCTTTACGAGCTCGCTGAGGAACTTATCAAGCGCGATGGCGCCTACGTCTGCCACTGCACTAAGGCTGAGGTCAAGGCTCAGCGTGGCGAGGGTGAGGATGGTCAGCGTGGTGGTCAGCGCTATGCTTGTAGCCACCGCACGCGCCCCATTGAGGAATCTCTGACTGAGTTCCGTGCTATGCGCGATGGCAAGTACAAGGCCGGAGAGGCTGCTCTGCGCATGAAGCAGGATCTCGAGGACCCCAACCCGCAGATGTGGGATTTGTTCGCATGGCGCATTCCGGAGAGCGACAAGGAGCACCACCACGCCAAGGGTCTCAAGTGTTTCCCAACCTACGATTTCGCCCACTGCTTGTGCGATAGTATTGAGGGTATCACTCACTCGCTCTGCACAACCGAGTTCGAGCTCTCCCGTGTTTCTTACGAATGGCTTAACGACAAGCTTGATGTCTACCGTCCCATGCAGCGCGAATATGGCCGTCTCAACATCACCGGAACCGTTCTCTCCAAGCGCAAGATTATCCAGCTGGTTAAGGAGGGCCATGTCCGTGACTGGGATGATCCTCGCCTGTACACCCTTATCGCTCTGCGTCGCCGTGGTGTTCCCCCCGGTGCCATCCTGAACTTCGTCAACGAAATCGGAGTCACCAAGGCCGTCACAAACGTGCAGATGCACCGATTCGACCAGAGTGTCCGCCAGTACCTCGAGACCACCGTCCCCCGTCTGATGGTCGTTCTCGAGCCCCTGAAGGTCGTCATCGACAACCTCCCCGAAGATCACCTTGAGCTGTGCGACGTGCCCTTCTCCAAGGACCCCGCTTTCGGCACCCACAACGTCCCCTTCACTAAGACAGTCTACATCGAACGCTCCGACTTCCGCGAAGTCGACTCCCCAGACTACTTCCGTCTCGCCCCCGGCAAGACAATCGGTCTCCTGAAGGTCCCCTTCCCCATCACAGCCACAACCTTCGAGAAAGACTCCAACGGCCTCGTCACAGTCGTGCACGCCAAGTACGAAAAGCCTGCCGAAGGCGAAACCGCCCCCCGCCCCAAGACATTCATCCACTGGGTCGCCGAGTCCCCTGCACACAACAGCCCCATCCGCGCTGAGGTCCGCGCCTTCAACCCGCTCTTCAAGTCTGAGGATCCCTCCGCACACCCAGATGGCTTCCTAGCCGATATCGACCCGGACTCTGAGCAGATCTACCAGGATGCCATGATTGAGACTGGATTCGAGGACATTAGCAAGTCTGCGCCTTGGCCTAAGGATGCTGCTGAGGATGATGTTGAGAATAATAAGCACTCTATCCGTTTCCAGGGTATTCGGTCGGCTTATTATGCTGTTGATCGGGAGTCCAGTGCTGATAAGTTTATTCTGAACCGCATTGTTACGCTTAAGGATGCTGGTAAAAACTAAGCTTTTAGATATACTCATGGGTTGTGGGGGTTGAGGTGGTGTTTTATATGGTTTTAGTCTTAGCCATTGCATTTTTTTGTTTCTGCTAGCCTTTAAAATGAAGACATGTGCATACATCAAGACTGGTACCTAATTTTCCTCTTGATCAAATTCTTATGGTGACTTTGGATTCAATACGTCGGATTGTCTTTGTGCGATGCCACTTTGAACGCCTCAGTATAGTTTAAAATATAGAAGACATTTCCAAGTTACATATATGTATATGCATGTAGCTCGTAAGTTTTTGTTTAGGCTGCAAACTGAGAGTCTACTCTTTGGTAATCATCATACGAAAGGCATCCAAGATTGATATCAGTCTAAAGTCATCATGATATTTAGTTTAGAGGCACCGCCCGCATGCATAGCGTATTACCGGCCTATTCATGCCTTGAACCATACATACATGACACGAGACGAGGAAAAGGAAAATTCATAAGAGACGAGAAACGAACGAACCATTCTTAAATCTAGACTTAGACATAGATACCCATGTTGGTATCCTTCTTCTTAGCCTGGACCTCAGCGATGGCGTCGACGTAGTTCTCGTGGCCAATCTTGCTCAATCCCTTGCGCAGCGCAATCATACCAGCCTCAACACAGACAGCCTTAAGCTGGGCACCACCGAACTCATCCGTCGACCGGGCCAATTCAGCCCAGTTGACACTGTCCTCGACGGACATCTTGCGAGAGTGGATCTGCAGGATGTTGGCACGGGCTTCCTCGTTAGGCAGAGGGAACTCGATCTTGCGGTCAAGACGACCGGAACGCAGCAGGGCCGGGTCGAGAACGTCGACACGGTTGGTCGCGGCCAGGACCTTGATACGGTCATCGGAGGCGAAACCGTCCAGCTGGTTCAGAAGCTCAAGCATGGTTCGCTGCACTTCACGGTCACCGGACTTCTCGGAGTCGAATCGCTTGGTACCAACGGCGTCCAGCTCGTCGATGAAAATGATTGAGGGGGCCTTCTCCTTGGCCAGGGCGAAGCAGTCGCGCACAAGCTTGGCGCCGTCTCCGATGAACATCTGCACGAGTTGGGGACCGGCGAGTTTGAGGAAGGTTGCGTTTGTCTCGGCGGCACAGGCTCGGGCCAGGAGTGTCTTACCGGTACCGGGGGGACCGTACATCAAAGCACCTGTAAATCAAGGGTTATGGTTAGCTTTGTCAAAAGCAAAAGGCAATTGAATGGAGATGGGGCGTACCCTTCGGGGCCTTGATGCCCAGCTTCTTGAACCGCTCAGCCTCCTTCATGGGCCAAACAATAGCCTCAACGATCTCCTCGATCTGCTTGTCCAGACCACCGATATCTGTGTACTTCTCCGTCGGCTTCTCGTCGACCTCCATCGCCTTCACGCGGTTGTCGTATTCAGCCGGTAAGGTGTCCAGGATGAGATATGAGTCCTTATTGACACCGATCAAGTCGGCGGGCTTCAGCTTCTCGTGGTCGACCAAACCAATAAGCGGGAGGAAGATAGTCTGGCGGGTGGAGGTCTTGATGACAGCGGATTTGCCCACACGGGTGGCATCCAGGTCGATGTTAGCTCCTTCCTCTGCTGCTTCGGCCTCCACATCGAGGTCCAATAACTCGACGACGTTTCCAACGAGGTATGGTAGTTGTCTAAAGTAGCGCGAAGGTCAGCATTGATGAAGCATTTGTCATCTCATCCAGATCCTCGTCCCGAGATGCCTGGAGGCCGTACCTGTTGTTCTCAATCTTTTCTTGATTATCCTTGACCTTCTCTCTCATTGTACTTTGCTCGTGTGTCAAACGCTGGAACTCGCTCTTCATAATCCGCATCTCGTTCTCCAGCATCCGCCGCCGCTTGACGATGTCTGCGGTGCTTGAGTGCAAAATCTCCTCATCTAGAAGCTCCTCTTCCTCATCCTTCTTGTCGGCATCGCCCATATCAGCATCCTCGTTGTCGTTAGGCTTCTTCTCGTCGCCATCTCCCTGGTCCTGCTTCTTGTCTCTGGTCTCGCGCTCGAGGTCGTCGAGGTCCTCAAGGGTCGACATGATGGGTGGTGGATTATCAAAGAATTAAAAACAATTGTATCGGAAGAAAAAGGCCCTATTGAAACGCAAGTGGCTTGGTTCGGAGAGGATAGATCGAAGGTGGAAATGGGGAGGTAGAAGGTTGACGAAGAGCTTAGGTGTGACCGAGCTCCAACAACGTCAGACGGTCACGTGAGGAATATCAACACCGAATGGATTCTACTTTGGTCTACGTCTCTTGTATATCCGATATTTATTTTAATCGTATTGGACATGGTATTTGAGTATTTTGATCTGTTAATCATATTTTCATTTTAGTAGATGGCAGAGATGTTAGAATTTGGGTGGCGTTTAGCCATCGTGGTTCCGAGATTGTTCAAAACCCTCTCTCGGCCATACTTCAGGAGTCGGAGTCGTGAGATAAAGTCGTCATTATTCACTGTTGAAACGATTAGCATTGAAGCCCCTTCTAACTGGTTATGAATAAGCTGTCGCCCTATCTGTTACATACCGTAGCCGCCGCACATTCTGCGCTTCCCAGTGAACTCAGAGCGACCATGCAACATTCTCCAATTGTCGAAAACTGGTGAAGATAGAAGTCAGCTGGTAAGTCTATGCTTCATAATTTGACAATGCTTACTCAAAGCTGTACCCGGCTCCAACTGAGTCCATATTTGTCTGCTTTCCTCATTGAGAATTTCGTTGAATCGTCTAGCCGCCTTATACCAGCGTGTCTGGTCCTTGATTTTCCAATCATTCTTTGGCGCGCGGTCGTAATTATTCCAACGGACTTGATAGACTCTTTCAAAGTCAGGGTGTATAGAGAGAACAGGGGCGCGGAAAGAAGGCTGGATGCAGACGTCTTCGTTGCCGCTCGCATGCCATGAATGTCTTTCTGTGGTCAAGCAGAGATAATCCTCAAAGCTTTCTTCTTCCAACTTGCGAGCAGCCGCAAGCGCATCTACCAGTAAGCTTTCTCCTCCGCTGCCATCTGTGTGAGACAACAAATGGAAGAGCTGGAGCCTTGCAGGGTCAGTGAAATAGGTGTTATCCGTGTGTCCGCCAAGGAACTCATTGGTATATGCTGTATCCTTGAAGGTTAGATCAGCGGTAAAGTCCCAAAAGCCACCTGGAGAAGTATTAGAATTAAATAAGCGTAAATCAAATGGTATATAATTACCATAATGGGTGTTTCTGATGAACGCAATCCGCTCAATCAATTCCTTCGTTGCCTCAGGATTCACTGGAACCCCCTTGATGAAGCAAAATCCGTTCGAGTACTATCAAGTTTAGGATTATTAGTATCACTAAATATGAAACGATCAAGTTCTCGGCAAACTTACAATTTTGCGAAGCCAACGTAATACACCTTTCTCTTCGGACATCACCTGTTCGTATGATACCTCTGGGTATTTGGTATCTCTGGCATCATGCATATCAACATGCCTAAAAACAGAATTAGAATAAAGCCATGACACAAAATGCAGTAACAGACCGTACTTGGTTCTTAGTTGAAGATGCTCTTTTCGTCTAGCATTCCACGGCTTGTCATTCCACGGCTTTGTATTCTGGTGTGCGACAAGCCAGGCCCACGAGTAGAGACTCTCATGGCCATCGGACCCTAAAAGTGTTTGTTAAACCTTGACCTTACCATGGACTTAACCTGGTTTTTAGGAACAACACTTACAACCAATTTTGACGTCCGTGGGACGCGATTCGATATTTGTCACGTCGATATCCTCGGGGATCTGGAGTTCCAATGAGTCTCTTTAGCATAATAATTGAGGGCATCTCGTATGTTTCACATACCGAGAAAGTGTCAACAATTCTCTGTCTCGTGTCCGGATGAACACATTTGGGACATTGGCAGTTTTCTCTGTTGAGTGACCGTCAATATGGGTTTCAAGAAACAACATTCTCGTAAAAGCTTACCTGAGAAGAAACTTTCCACTGTCTTAAAGTTAGATCAGATTCAATTGTTTCTGCACAAGTCCACGGACTCACAATACTAAGAAGGGTTTCTCATCCCAAGCACCTTCTCCTTTCAGCACAAGATACCCCTTGGAGTACATAGAAAAGGCTTTCTTGAGATCATGATTGGAGTCAAATTGTTTGAGTATGACCGAGTCTTTTGCAGCTTCTGGTATCAGAAACTCATTCTTTACCGGTGGGGTCTTGCTCTTAAGAGCCCCGCTTTTGGGAGCCTGTTCATTAGAGCTCCACCGCAAGGGAACATGTACAACCCCTCGAGGAATAGCAGTCTGTATTCAAGTACATCAGATATTGATTAGGCAATCAATTTGTGTGCATAGAAGTTGGTCTCGTAACATACCAAGCTACCCCTCTGTGGAGCTCGCAGGCGGGTGAGTGTCGTTCTGCTGATTGATTAGCCGAGGTGACTTGGTAGCTTGCAATGGGACCACACATACAGGTAATTCCTCCATGACATAGCTGGTCGGATAGCCATGACTCTGTGGAAGCTTATGCCGAGGACTGAGGTATAATTGAGTGTGTTGAGCTGAGCTAGTAGGTAGTGCCATCTGGGGAAATGTCCGAGCTCCGTAGTTTAAGCCTCGGGAATGGCCGACAGTCACGTGGGTGCCCTACTGAGGGGAATCGGGGGTTTTGCCGCAACTTCGAGTCATTGAATTGGTTCAAGCTGTAATATCGTGGGAAATGATTTTTTGAGGCTATTTTAGCGCTTTGAGAAAAGTATTCAGCCATGGTGGTTGGAACAATCGCGGAAATCAAGTGGCGCCTTATAGCAGACAGTGCCATGCTTAGGCCCCATCAACCGCGGTATTATTAAAGGGTGAAGGAAGAGCGGGAACAAAAATCATTAAAAGAAGTACTTTGGCTTACATAGTCTAAGCTTGTGGAGTATCTGAGAACAAATGCTGAGAGGTGTTGATTTATAAACATGAATGCATAAGTACAAGTACTATAAGAATCTAGCACTCCATAATTACAGCTTGCTCTTGGGGTTAGTGACCTTCAGCAAGCAGCGACCGTTGCTCAAAACAGCCTTGCCATTCTGATTCTTGGTAACAAATCGAATCTCCTCAAAGCCATCGGCCCCAGCATTACCCAGGCGCCAGATCTCAGTTGTCAGGGTATCGCCAGGACGAACCGGGGATGCAAAGCGAGCCTGGAACTCCTTCAAGTTCGCCGGATCACTACCACCAAGGAGGCGTAAAATACCGTGTGCAGAGGAGTTCCAGCTGAACAGGCCGTGGATAATGATGCCGCCGAAGCCCATCTTCTGGCCCGGCTCTGGGGTGGCGTGGAGAGGGTTGTAATCTCCATTCAGACTAGATAGGTGATCAGTACATCTTGCATGAAAAAGAAAGGCCTAATTATGTTAGAATGGGATCTATACCGGTATAGGTGCGCAGTCTCCATGCTACTCTGCACGACGTGCACAGCATCGGGGGTCTTGCCCTCGGGAGGGGGGAAGTTGACGGTAGCGGGACCTAGATCATTTTATAAGTACTTGCTTCAACGGCTGGACGTGTGGTTTTGAATCACCCTTGGGACCGCCCCAGTTACCCTGTCCAACCAAGAAGCCACTAGACAGGACCTTGGAGTAAACCTCGCCGGTCGCCTTATCCACAATAGACTGCTCTGTCTCAACAACAGTACCGGGCTTGCCTTTGTCATAGACACCAATGACCTTGTTGCGCAGCTCAAACTTCCGTCCAGCGCTAGTAGGAGGAAGAGGCTTCAAGACAGTGATCTTACGCTGGCCATCGACGCCGTGGCGGTGATCCAGCTTCGGGACACCGGGAATGTGAGTGGCCTTTTGGCGCGCATAGAAATCAGTCACCTCACCATCGGTGAGCTTGAAGGCTGCATAATTAGGTTTGAGTTAGTGTTGATCCTGGGTTCCATTCGATTCGCTACATACGGAGAATGAGCGGGTAAGTGGGGAAGACCGAGAAGTTAGGGTGCAGCTCCTGTTCGAACGATTAGAAAACTCGACAGGAAACTGTTGGTCAAGTGGACCTACGTAGAGAAACTGGAGCTCGTCGGCCTTGCAGCCAATGCTGTTAGCAAATAGGAGGACATCGCGCTTCTGCCAAGAGACTTCTTGGGCGGGAAATTCGTGGCCAGCTCCGGGGGCAGACATTCTGATCGATTTGAATACTAAAAAGGAGGTATGAAAGAGCAGGAGTTTGCCAAAGTCCACGGGAAAGAAGACGGGGCGAAGCTAAAGTAGGATTGAGCAATTGCGGGGCGACCCTGAGCCGAGGATCTGATAATGATTTGCTCCCGTAATTACCGACGACGCGCCATCCGCTTGGCACCATTTACCGCACTTTCTTTTCGGGACTTTAAGGTGGATTAAGGTGGAGTGTGGATAAAGAAATTTGAAAAAAACAAAGTTGATTCCTTAAGGACATGAAGAGAGCGTCGGAGTTGCTAGACTAAGCATCGACTCGGGGTATCTACTTGGAAATTCCAGATGTCGAGGAGCTTCATAATAATCTGTCCGTATCGCGCCATAAATGCCTTTTACCTGCCACCCAGATGAAAAAACGCCAGTGAAACAAACGAGGCCGGAGCCATGTTAAATAGCCCTGTGCAGATCCTTACCCATGCTATGCCGCATTGCATTGGCAACGGAACATTTTCCCGAAAACGTGCAACTGCGTCGAATGATCGTAGAAAAGAACGAGCAAAAATTAAATTCAGTAAAATTAGCACCTAAAAGAAGTCAGTATACACTAATACACATCAGAGAAAGATTGGTAGAACTCACATGCGGTAGGAGCAGCTGCCCTCAGCGAAGCGAGTAGGATCGTTAATCTCGAACTTGTAGGAGAGGTCAATATCCAGATCACGCTTGTTCTTGTCGTTGGGGCGGTTATCGATCCAGCCAGAGACTTGCTCGCCCTCCTCAATGGTGAGCACGTCCTTGAGGTAGAAGACGGTCTGCTTCCAGTGAGTGTACTTGGCGTGGGGGCCAGTAGAGAAGTAGATGGGCTTGTGGCAAGCGCTGAACTCAATGTCGAACCAAGAGATCATGGCGTGGATGAAGTCACTGCGCTTGGCAGTAAGGTTGTAGGGCACACGGAAGGCAAGGTCAGCGGCGGTGACAGTGTTCAGATCAAAGGTGATGATAGGGCAAGGGTCGGTGACAAGCGCCTTCATCTCGACGGTGTCGACGAGGGGCTCGGTGAGGGCGGTCTGCTTCATCGGGCTGTAATCGAAGCCGTAGACATTGTCCCAGACTGAAATCAAGTTAGGACCACAAAGGGTATATTTAGAAGAATTAGAGAATCCACTTACATCCGATCTTGTCATCCTTGTACTCGCCGTCCTCGATGGCAGCCACGTACATGGTAGCCTTGTCGGGGAAGATCTTGCCACCCTCAGCAAGGTAAGTGTCACGAGCGTAGAGGACAGTGTCCAGCATGGACTCGTAGAGGAGGAAGTAACCCATCCACTCGGAGATGATAATGTCCACCTTGGGGAAGGGGAGGTTGACCTCCTCCATCTTGCCCTGGAGAAGAGTGATCTTGTCGGACAAGCCGTTAACAGCAACAATCTCCTTGGCCTTCTCAATGATGGAGGACATGTCCACACCAATGACGTGCTTGGCACCAGCACGAGCAGCGAACCTGGACAATATGATCAGCATATCTGATCAAAGAATTTATATATGAGGCACATACATGCTCAGGATACCGGTACCACAGCCGACATCCAGGACAACTTTGTCCTTGAAGATGTGGCGGTTCTGGTAGATCGAGTCACGGTAAGAGCGAGTACGGACATCGTCTTTCTATTTAGGCCATTCTGCGGTCAGCAATTGATTCAGACTCATAGGACAATACGGAAAAAAAAAAAGAATTTACGTACCAGCATCTCCTCGTGAATACCTGCGCAAGAATAGAACGATCGTCAGTAAACCTCCACTAAACTCGCAGACTTGTATATATGTATTTACCGTGGTGATCGTAGCTGCGATGATATCAATTAGCCTCTATCCACTCTGCATCGTCAAGACAAGGTATCAACGACTACATACCTGGTGAAGTAGCGCACTTCAGCGTGCTCCATGCCAACCATGCGGTCAGCGCTGCTGGAGATAGCCGCATCGGCCTGGGGGGCTCCGGTTCCACTCATTATGACAATGAATTAAATAACAAGGGGTCCAAGGAAAATGAACCGAAAAATAAAGAAAAAGGAAGATGGTCCAAATGAAAGACCAGGCAAGTTGCGCCGCGACTTTTTTTTTCGGAAGTCCAAGCGCCAAGCTTTCCTCAAAAAATCTCCCCGCCTGCGACCACGCTAAGCCCTGTTGGGTAGATAAACATCACGTGTAGATTAGAGTCACATGTTTCTAGAAACCCTTTGATCACGTGTGATAGTTAGGGTTAAAAGGGTTGTATACATAACAAAGGATCCATGACAACCAAGGCGATATGTTTGGACAATTACTTTAACATCTTTGTATGAAATATGTTGTATATACTGGGCATTCACGCAATAATTAAGGCTACCTATGTCGAAATAGACAAAATTCTACTCCATGACCACTTGAGCAAAGAAGATAGATCTCAAGACTATTGGAGTTCAACCTTGGCATCAATAATTATCATACAATCTTTCGAACTATTCTTTTCTAAAATAGTGTTAAGCGAAAATTGGCTTGCTCTCCTGAAAGTATGAGTGCATTGACACTAGTATCAATATTCCCTCCATTTGGAAGTTAAATCTTGAGATCAAAGCTGTGCTGTCATTGCCAAGACTACCGCGCGAGTGCTGCCCAGGCCTCCGGGAGCTCCGCCTAACTGACCCTTCCTTCATGCTGACGCGTGTCACGCCATAAAAGCTACAGACCATCATGAATTTGGGTGCCTACAGAGGAACTCTTTCCGCCCTTCTTGCCATTATTCTTCTGGCCTGTCTGGTCGGTCAGTCCTCGGCGTCCTTAGGTGACCATCTCCCTGATTTTAGAGAATGTGTCAAGGTAAACTTTCCCCCCATGCACAAGATCCTTGTACACATCTAACTTCCTCTCCAGGTTTGTCAAACTGAGAACTGCAATTCTGGCAATTCGGTGTTACGTAAGGCCACCCTGCTCAAAGCTCCAGCTTTCATACTAATCGTCCGTAGCTCTGCACCACCGCCTGTTATTATGGACCTGCCCGGCTGAATGCGACTATACCTGTCAACATGTCATTACCGACCGTCGAGTCTCGCGTGACCCCCCAATGCTGAACCCGATCGTTCAATTCCACGGCAAATGGCCTTTCCGTCGTCTTCTGGGGATGCAGGAGCCCTTCTCTGTGCTTTTCTCCTTTTTCAACTTCGCTGCCCACTGGCATGGCATGACCCGGGTCCAGGAGAACATCCCTGCATGGCACTCACTCCGGCCATACTACATGGCTTTCGGATACTTTGGGCTCGCTAGTTGGACATTCAGCATGCTTTTCCACACCAGGGATTTCCCTATCACGGAAAAGCTAGACTACTGGGGTGCTGGTGCAAGTGTCTTATACGGTCTCTATCTGGCCGTGATCCGGATCCTGCGTCTAGACCTTGAACACCCGCAGCACCGCCCCACCCTGCGTCGGCTGTGGACAGTCATCTGTCTGCTGCTGTACACCATGCATGTCTGTTATCTCACCTTCTGGTCTTGGGATTACACGTACAACATGGCGGCCAACGTCGTGGTTGGTATCATTCAAAACCTGCTGTGGACCGGGTTCAGTATTTTCCGATACAAGAAGTATCTCAAGTCCTGGACTGCCTGGCCAGGTATGATTGTGGCGTGGATCATCCTGGCTATGAGCTTGGAGTTGCTCGACTTCCCCCCGTGGCATGGATTGATCGATGCGCATAGCCTTTGGCATCTGGGTACTGTGGTCCCCACAGCCTGGTGGTATTCGTAAGTCCCTCGCTTCATCCCTTTTTTGTGCATATTTTGGTTGTGCATTGACTAATGCATCGCTTCTGCCCGACAGTTTCCTTATCAAGGATACGCAGGATGACATTGCAGGCCACAGACTCAAGGCGTAAAATAGAGTGGGAATAGACTCTGTACCATCTATACCCCCCAAAATTCGGTGAGAGACCTAAGGGATTCTAATATATTTGGTGTATAACAGCCGAGCCCTGGAGGTTCCGGTAGATCTATCACAGTAATAATAAATCAACTGTACCTTTCTACCCCCACTTCCAAGATCATCTTGTATCTGAGCGCAAGTAATTTCCACATCCCAATAGGCGGGCGGGCTGTTATTACCACAGCCCGAGAACGTGGGATGCGTTCCCCTAATATAACGGTTCCCCGCCATTGGCTCACCGCTCAGGCCGTCGCATTAAGCCCGTGTCTCACCCCGAGCCCCTCGTTTCTTGTTTCTTTTTATTGGTTTCAAATAACTCCTTCTCTCCCTCTCTTCCTCATTCAAAACACCAAAATCGTCGCGCCTTTCTTCACAGGACTCTGACTGCTACTTTGTTCAGCTCCCAACTTGATCGCATCACATTCCCGCCACAATGGCCTCTCCGGCTGTCAAGAAAGCAATCTCCGAAGCTGCGCTGCAGTATACAAAGCCTGAGGGAAAGGTCTTTGAATATGGTACCGCAGGAGTAAGTCGCACTGCCACATGGATCCTGTCAGGAGCTTGAACTAACGGACTGATTCGCGACAGTTTCGCATGAAAGCGTGAGTCCCATCAACACTGATCAGCCCTGTCTCCACACCCCCCGCGATCGTCCATTTTTTTTTTTTGTTGACGTCGGTGGTTGCTGATTATCTTGGCCTTGAAGCGACCTCCTCAACACCGTTGTTTTTGCCGTAGGCCTGCTGGCTGGTCTGCGATCCAAGAAGCTTAGCGGTCAATGGATTGGTGTTATGGTGACCGCGAGTCACAACCCCGCGGAGGACAATGGAGTTAAGCTGGTTGACCCGATGGTAAGCAACCTGTGACTATGTGATAATATCTTCGACGATTTTTTTCTAACGCACTTGAAATCAATAGGGTGAGATGCTTGAAGTAAGATCGACGTACTCCTGCAATCAAATTGATTTTCCAAGCTCACCATCATTTAGGCCGAGTGGGAGACATACGCAACCCGTCTGGCCAATGCCCCGTTGGAATCTATCGCCGACGTCTACGATGAACTTGTGAAAGAGATCGATGTTAAGGTGACTAACCCGGCTCGCGTGGTGTTTGCTCGCGACACTCGCGCCTCTGGTTCTCGTCTCGTGGGTGTGCTCAGCGCCGCCATGACCGCAACCGAGGTCGAATTTATCGACTTCAAGTACATGACCACCCCTCAACTCCACTACGTTGTGCGTTGCAAGAACACCCTCGGAACACAATATTCCTACGGCGAGCCATCTGAGCAAGGCTACTACGACAAGCTTGCCCAGTCCTTCAAGAAGGTCATGCGGGGAGTTAAGGTCCAGGGTTCTTTGACCGTCGACTGCGCCAACGGTGTCGGTGGCCCTAAGCTGCGGGAGCTGATCAAGGTCCTGGACTCTGGGCTTGACATCAAAGTGATCAACGATGATGTGATCAACCCCGACAGCCTGAACTTCGATGTATGTTTTTTATCTGGACTATATGGGTGTCAGACCACTGACTGTTTCTAGTGCGGTGCCGACTATGTGAAGACAAAGCAGCGTGCTCCTCCTTCTTCCAAGGCTGCTCCCCTCGATCGTTGCGCCTCTCTGGACGGTGATGCTGATCGTCTGGTTTACTACTTCCTTGATGAGAGCAACGTCTTCCGTTTGCTCGATGGTGACCGTATTGCTACTCTTGCCGCTTCCTTCATTGGTGACCTTGCCCGCAACGCTGGTATTGCCTCCAAGTTGAAGATTGGTGTCGTTCAGACCGCATACGCCAACGGCGCATCCACTGACTACATTGAGAAGGTGCTGAAGCTTCCCATCATCTGCACCAACACCGGTGTCAAGCACCTTCACCACGCCGCGCTCCGCTTCGACGTCGGTGTCTACTTTGAGGCCAACGGCCACGGTACCGTTACTTTCTCCGAGAATGCGATGAAGGTCATCAACAACACTGAGCCGCAATCTCCCGCTCAGAAGAGCGCCTTGGAATCTCTCCAGGCTCTCACCGACCTGATCAATCAGGCCGTCGGTGACGCTCTGTCTGACATGCTACTTGTTGAGGCCATCCTCTCACACAAGGGCTGGAGCCCCAAGGAGTGGCTGGGCACCTACACTGACCTGCCCTCCCGTCTTGTCCGTGTCGAGGTCAATGACCGCTCGATCTTCAAGGCTTATGACGCTGAGCGCAAGCTTGAGTCCCCTGCCGGTCTTCAGACCAAGATTGAGTCTCTGCAGTCCCGATACAACAAGGGCCGCAGTTTCGCCCGTGCCAGTGGTACTGAAGATGCCGTCCGTGTCTACGCCGAGGCCGCTAGCCGATCTGAGGCTGATGACCTTGCTACTCGCGTCGCTAATGCCGTGCGCGAGGCCGGTTCTACCGATGGCCAACAGTAAACAAACCGAACGACCTAGACATGCGAACAATGTTCGCAACAAAAGATCACGACAGCGTTTTGCAACTGGGGTCTCCTGTAACAAAAAGGGAGCTACAGCCCCAGTAAAATACTCTCGATATCATTTGATGCAGTAATGAAACTCATACCTATGCTCATTGAGCATGACTCTTGAACTTGAATTTGAACTTGAATTATAGACCTGCATACGTAAATCGTAAGCTTTTTTATTCTTCGTGCTTTCATCTATAGGGGACATTGAATCATAGCAAGAAGGTGTCCGATTAGCAATCTAGGGCGTACACATTTAGCGATACATAGTAATCCCCGTGCTTTTTATCCACTAGGGATGTTAAATCATACAAGAAGCAAGTCATTGGGCCGATGGGCCAGCCATCAATCAAGCACGTCATTCCATCAACCGGAAATCTTTTTAACCTTCCTCCTTGTCCATCTCATCACGACCGCGTTTACCCTTTCCAAAGGTCTTCTTTCCGGCCTTGTTACCGTGCTTCTCATCGTAATCCTTCATCTGCGAGATGGCCTGTCTTTGGGCCTCGCTCACTCGGTCGGCAAGAACCATTACCTCGTCCTTCTCTGCATCGTACTCGGGAAGTGTCTTTCCAAGTGCAGCTTCGATACGTTGCTGTTCATTCATTAGCATTCCATCTTCCAGCAAGAATTCTCAATGGTATATAGACTTACCCAGATCTCGATGTCGTATTGGCTGACGAAGGAAATGGCGATACCACTCTTACCCGCACGGGCAGTTCTTCCTACGCGATGAATGTAGGTCTTTGAGTCTGTTGGCAGATCGTAGTTGAGAACGACATCCACGGAGGGAATATCGAGACCACGAGCGGCGACATCAGTGGCAACAAGAATATCACGAGCGCGGGAGCGGAATTTGCCGAGAGCACCCAGACGTGCGGATTGAGAGAGTTGTCCCTAGAAGAGCGTTAGTATCCGAGTTGATATGAGTGCTGTATTATTTCGGAGACATACATGGAGAGGGATCGCAGGGAATCCAAGCGCGCGCAACAGGTAAGCTAGTCTCTGGGTTTCGTGGACGGTTCGCATGAAAATGATGCAGCTCTGTCCAATGAATTCGTTCAAAAGGTAGATCAGGTGAACATCCTGCGAATGGTTAGTACATCAATTGATCGACGTAACCCAACAACGAAAAGGAACCATAACGAACCTTGTGCTTGTGAGGTCTCAAAAGGTAATATTGCTGCAGCGTAGAGACCGTCTGGTACTTGCTGGAAGAAACGGAAACACGCAGCGGGTTCGAGAGGGAGGCACGCTGGAGGGATTCAACCTTTGAGCTGAGAGTAGCTGAGAAAAGGAATGTACGGCGCTCGCGAGGGAGAACCTTCAGGATCTTATCCAAGATGGGACCAAAGTCCATGTCCAGAAGTCTGTCGGCTTCGTCCATGCAAAGGTACTTGAGGCTGCGTAGGGAGAATCCCTTTGTGTTCTCGAGGTGATCGAGGAGACGACCTGGGGTTGCGACGATAATGTGGGGCTTCTTTCCTAGCGCGATGCTTTGGGGAACCATGTCCATACCACCGACCAGAACTGCTGTGCGGACGCCGATTGTCGAGCCCTATCGAAAATTAGAACTAGGATCGACTGGGAAAAAGGAAGGGTCCTTACGAGATTCTCAAAGGCGAGCGAAATTTGATAGGCCAGCTCTCGAGTAGGGGGAGATAATCAGTCCATAGAATGGCTGGGGCTTGTCCATGAGTGCTTCATATTATTAGTTTATGCTTATCGAGTAAGGTCGGTAGTATGACATACTCTGAAGAATTGGGAGCGCGAAAGCTGCAGTCTTTCCGGAACCTGTTTCCGCAAGACCGATGATATCGCGGCCTTCCAAAGCAGCCGGGATCGACTCTGTTTGAATGGGTGTGGGTGCCTTGTATCCCATTTTTTCGCAAGCGGTACAGAGCTCTGCCATAATTCCGAGGTCCTTGAAGGATTTCTTCTGTTCAGTGGTCTCCGGGACATCGTCACCAGCCTCGGAGACTGCAGAGCCAGCATCGACTTCTTCAGCGGCAGGCGCCTCTTCGGCAACCTTGCGTTTCTTGATTGCAGGCATTTTGGCTGTGTTAAATGTTCCAGAAAAAAGTTGTATTGCGGTCGAGATCTCAAAATAATTTAATGTGGGTCCGCAACATCGTTCCTCCGCGCTCTCTTCTCCGCTGGGATTTTTTGGAGAAAAAAAAAATCGAAGACAAACCAGTGAGCTTGAGCTTCCCATACTCACACCTCTTTCGATCTTTTCTTTTAAGGCTTTGATACCATATAGCCCATCATGGCCAAAGCACGTGTTAAGAAGCGCACCCACCTCCGGCCGCAGAATGCCTCTTCGTCGTCAAACAAGGCCGGCGCCGCTTCAATGAACAAGACCCCCAAGTCTATGGTCATTCGAGTAGGCGGATCGCAGGTTGGTACCAGTGTCAGTCAATTGGTCAAGGATGTCCGACGGATGATGGAGCCCGATACAGCAGTGCGATTGAAGGTATGGTATATGGCAAATCTCCTTTATGCTTTTGTTGCTAATCTTATATACAGGAACGCAAATCCAACCGACTGCGCGATTACACCGTCATGGCCGGTCCCCTCGGTGTCACACATTTGATGCTCTTTTCCAAGTCCAGTACCGGTAACACCAACATGCGTCTTGCAGTGACACCTCGTGGCCCGACTATGCATTTCCAAGTTGAGAACTATTCGCTCTGCCGAGACGTGGAGCGGGCAATGAAGCGCCCTCAGAGTGGAGGCCAGGACCACAAGACACCACCTCTGCTGGTGATGAACAACTTCACCACTGCAGATGCGACCGAGGACTCCAAGGTGCCGAAGCGCCTCGAATCTCTCACCACCACAATTTTCCAATCTCTTTTCCCTCCTATCAACCCGCAAGCTACCCCCCTTCACTCCATCCGCCGTGTCATGTTGTTGAACCGTGAGCCCGAAGCTGAGAATGACGGCTCTTATGTCTTGAGTCTACGACACTACGCCATTGCTACGAAGAAGACCGGTGTGTCAAAACGTATTCGCCGATTGGACCCCAAGGAAATCCGAAACAGAGAAAAGAAGAAGGCCGCTGTTCCGAATCTTGGTAAATTAGAGGATGCTGCCGATTATCTACTCGATCCCTCTGCGGCGGGTTATACATCTGCTTCCGAGACTGAGCTGGACACCGACAACGAGGTTGAAGTCCTGGAGAGCACAACCCGCAGAGTTCTCAACAAGCGCGAGGCGCAACGCCAAAAGGCCGCGGAGAAGGGCGAGAAGAAGGCTGCTGCTGTGCCCGGCGTGGAGAAGCGGGCCGTAAAGCTGGTTGAATTGGGACCCCGTCTGAAGCTTCGATTGATGAAGGTCGAGGATGGTGTCTGTGATGGCAGAGTTATGTGGCACGACTATGTCACCAAGACTGACAAGGAGAAGAAAGCTCTGGAACAGAGCTGGGCCGTTCGTCGCAAGGAGAAGGAGGCTAGAAAGAAGCTGCAAAGAGATAATATTGAGAAGAAGAAGGCTGAGAAGGCCAAGGCCAGAGGTCGGGGCGAGAAGGTGGATGACGATGAGGAGGATGAGGAGATGATTGATGATGAGGACGATTGGCTCAGCGATGATTTCGGCGAAGAAGCCGATGAGGGCGATGATTCTGAGCCTGAGCCTGAAGCCGGGGCTGACTCTGATGAGATGGAGGAGTAAGAGCCTAGGTGTTGACTTACAAAATGATCCCAATCTATACCCACGAGCCTCATGGTGGTTTCCGGTGTACATGTACATGGAGTTTGCGAATCAATGGTTTTGAACGGAAAAAAAACATGCATAATGCTTTCTTGAATTTCAAATATATCCTCGTCACGGGCATAATATTGTTCTTATTTCTAGATTATTCTTTTATTTCTTAAGCTTTTCGTCGACAATGCGAGCCACCATCTTCTCGAGGATAGCGAAATCCCCTCCAGCAGTACCAGCAAAGTAACCCTGGACACTCTTCTCGACATATTTTCCCACAATATCAATCTCAACGTTGACCTCGTCGCCAGGCTTCTTAGCAGCAGTGACGACCTTCTCCTGCGTGTAGGCGATAAGCATAACCTCCCAGTAGCCTTCCTGACCATCGACAACTTTGGTAACAGTCAAACTGGCACCATCCAGAGTGACATATCCCTTTTCGACAACGTAGCGGAGGATATCCCTCTCCCGCGGCTGCAGGCGGAAAGTCAAAGCATTCCCATCCGGCGTGACAGAAAGAATCTTCGCAACGGTATCAACATGACCCTGCACGAAATGTCCACCCATCCGGGTATCCGCCGCGACAGCACGCTCAAGGTTAACGAATGACCCAGCCACCAAAGATCCAAGATTTGTGCGGCGTAGTGTCTCTGGCGCAACTCCAACCTTGAACCAGGTCTTGTCGAACTCGGTCACGGTGAGGCAGGTTCCTGGACAATTGATTTCGTCAGACACGATTTCAGGACTCAGAAAGGGTTTGAGATAAAGTTATGTACCATTGACGCTGATACTGTCACCCAAGTGGGCGTCTCCAAGGATTTCCTCGCAGTCGGAGATCGTCAGTGACGTTCCCCCGCCCCCGCTCGACGAGGTATCGAGGGGCTCCAGGGCCGTGACGGCTGTGGTTAAAACGAGTTTGTTAGCTTCTGTGATTTTCTCTATCTTGTCGGCTTCCCTAGAATGCGAAAACTCACTTCCAATTGTCTCAACGAGGCCGGTAAACATTTTGGTATGTGTTGGGGAAAAAGTTAGGTGGTCGGCGATCGACCTCGGCTTTGACTCCGCACCGAGCGGTGTCGGCGTTTCAACGGAGCTTCCTATGTACCGCTGTTAGCGCTTTAAACGTCCCCAGATTCCACGGCTGGAGTGGGTTGCTGTTATTTCTTTTTTCTTTTTATGTCAAGTGCTGCATACTTGCGTGGTTTCACTATGGCTGTCGCGCTTCGATTGAATGTTTTGGCTCGACGATCGGGACTAGCTTGGTCTAGCAATGCCTTGCGGCGCATGCCATCTAGCAGGGGCTATTCGACTCCAGCTTCGAGTGCAGATGGCTCACTGCCTTTGGCTGGTATTCGAGTGCTTGACATGACTCGTGTCTTAGCAGGAGTGAGTTGCTATTCTCTCTAGGGATTGGCTCTATTCTTGTAGTGTATGCTAACCTGGCTCTTTAATAGCCATACTGCACTCAGATTCTAGGCGATTTAGGGTATGTGGAAACATTGAGCGCTGATTGTGACATTGTTGATCTCTAAATTGTTTCATCTGATGTCTAACACTTGTCTCTATGGCAGAGCCGATGTCATTAAGGTTGAACACCCTGTGCGAGGTGACGACACTCGTGCCTGGGGCCCACCTTATGCGAAGTATGAGGATGAGTCTAGGGAAGGACCCGGAGAGAGTGCCTACTATCTTGCCGTAAGTATGCCCTGGAATGCTGCACGCAGGATTCATTAAGGATACTAATTGAATGACAGGTCAATCGCAACAAAAAGTCCCTTGGGTTATCCTTTCAACACAAGTCCGGAGTTGAAATTCTCCACAAACTCGCAAAGGAATGTGATGTTCTGGTGGAGAACTACCTCCCAGGCGGTCTTGCCAAATACGGCATGGACTACGAAACCCTTCACAAGATCAATCCCAAGTTGATCTACGCCAGTATCACGGGCTATGGTCAAACAGGACCTTACAGCAACCGTGCCGGGTATGATGTCATGGTGGAAGCCGAGATGGGACTGATGCATATCACTGGAGCTCGAGATGGTGCTCCAGTCAAAGTCGGCGTGGCAGTCACCGACCTGACGACCGGTTTGTACACCTCAAATGCCATCATGGCAGCCTTGCTTGCGCGAGTTCGCACAGGGAAAGGCCAGCACATTGATGCTTGTTTGAGTGATTGCCAGGTTGCCACTTTGTCGAACTTAGCTAGCTCTGCATTGATAAGTGGTCAGAAGGATTCGGGCCGCTGGGGTACAGCACACCGTAAGTCGACTGCTTATGGACCCAAACGCATTTCAATGAAGACTAATAAGCATCTAGCATCCATTGTACCATACCGGAGCTACAAAACCCTTGATGGAGACATTCTTTTCGGCGGTGGAAACGACAGATTATTCGGCGTGCTAAGCGATAGACTCGGATTCCCAGAGTGGAAGACCGATGCCCGCTTCGTGACGAACAGCGATCGTGTCAAGCACCGAGCGGATATTGATGGATTGATTGAGACTACAACACAACAGAAGACTACACAGGAATGGTTGGAGATCTTCGAGGGTAGTGGAATGCCTTATGCGGCTGTCAATGATATCCAGGGCACGCTGAACCACGAGCACGGTATGTCATCTGATCAAATATTTTCTTTGCGATCCATTTATCTAATTGTGATGATAGTTCTGGCACGAAATATGGTCACCGAGGTTGAACACCCAGCCTGTGGTCCTATCAAGCTGGTCAATACTCCCATCAAGTACTCTGAAGCGACCCCCGGAATACGTTCACCTCCCCCTACGCTTGGCCAACACACCGACGAAATTCTTGGCAGTGTCCTTGACTACGGTAAGGCGGATATTGCTCGATTGAAGGAGCAGGGTGTGGTGGCTTGAATATACTTGCGAAATGATATCTATATAACGTCATAGAGCTACACTTTTGTATATAGGCAGTCTAGAAGGCTCAGTAGCATGGGAATGACAACAATATGCGGATACTGGAAACGTATATGGATTCGAGACATCAAATTGGTGCTGATTGAGAAATAAACTCGTGGTTTATAATGCCTACATATTATGCATCTCGGTCAATGAGATTGAGCGCATTGCAGAAGAAGCTCGTTTTCTGGTCATGCCGATCGAAGACCCCGCAGTCATACAATCCAGACGGAGGCAGCTGGCTTGGGACCCATGATTCCTGGGGGGGTTTTTTCCCCTTCGTCTGTAACGTAATATACTTGTAATATGACAAAATAATTTATAATTTACTGCATCTCTTGCATTGGAGTTGTACATGTTTCTGGAAGTAGAAACAAGGACGTTGCATGATCATGCAGGAGTATAGATCCACAACAGTTGATTGGTGGACTCGCCAAGACGTCACGTGAGTCTATACAGATATTTGGGTCACAGACACTTCAACTTGAAACCAAAGAAGCGACCAGATATAGATGCTAGACTGGGGGCGTGCCCGCTCAAATGGGAAATAGTTAGGGCAAGCTATTCATTTGTCTGACTCACGGTAGGGAGGGGACGTGTTGTGTTGTTGTGGCCACACTCAGAAATATCCCTCCCCTCTCTTCTCTTCCTTCTCTTCTCTTCTATGTCCCGCCCCATTTCTTTTGTTTTACTCTACTTCGTACCAGCACGCCAGAACAATTTTTCCCCATTTCTTCTTCATCCGCCAACATGCCCGCAATCAAGCGGGAGATGAGCCACCAGGGTGTGACCAATGTTCCAGAGACCCGGACCAGCAGATCTGGCCGGGCTCTCAAAGCCCCCGCCATGTACGATCCAGCTACAGCTGCCTCGCGCAAAGGAAAACGTGCCACCAAGAAGGAGGCCAATATCACTTGTGTCAAGTGTCACCGGGGTAGCTCCCCCAGCAACAATATGATCGTATTTTGCGATGGTTGCAATGAGACCTGGCACCAAAAATGCCATGATCCAATAATTGACGATCATGTCGTGCAAGTTGCAGATGCCGAATGGCGCTGCCACAAGTGCAAGCCTGCACAGGAGCCGGTCACAGTTCCTCAAAAGGGAAATGCACCAGCTCCCCAGAAGGAAAAAGTGCCAGCTCTTCTAAAGGGAAAGGCATCTGCCCCCCAAAAGGAAAAGGCACCAGCTCCTCAGAAGAGAAAGGCATCAAACCTGCCAAAGGAAACGGCACCGGCTTCTCAGAAGCGCATGCGCAAGCCCTTCGCCCACCCACGACTTGGACGGGCTGGAGTCCCTCCACGATTTTGCAAGGGTGAGGAGTACTCCATCGACGCAAGACGTGCGTACTTATCTCAACTCTCCCATGCTGAGCTGGTTGAACTCGCTGTCAACGTGTCCGTTGAAAATTCGCATGTCGCAATGTTTCCCCGGGACATGGGTAACTACTTCGACGTCGATTACAAATTCCCTGCTCAACACCACCTCGCTACGTCTGCTGCGTCAAACAAAAGGCGCCTTGAAGATTTTGAAGAGCCTAAAGAGGCCCCGAATCCCGTAAAGAGGGCGAGAACCATGCCTCCCCCTGCCACCAAACCTGCTGTGAGGCCGAATACTCGCTCGCAGTCTACCACTGCTTTAGATGGACCTGCAGGCAAGACTGAACGCAACCACAAGAGGGTTCTCACCACAACCACTATTCCCAAGACCCTACAAGACCGCATTGACCAACGGCTCCGTGAAGATGAACTCCATCGGGAATGGAGCATGGCCCAGGAATCGGTATCTTTATCGACCACAAAGTCCACCAAATCAGAACTTTCGGAAGCGAGCCTTGCCGGAATCCAAGATCACCGGCAGTACCCAGCGGCCGGGAATGGCTTTTCTCTGCCATCGCAGCCTGAAGACCTCGATATTCTTCAGGAGGCTGAAGACTGCCCCACATTCAGTTATTCGTATGATGCGGCAAGAAAGAATATTGAATATATTCGAAAAATGCTGAGAAATACTGTCGATGATGAGCGTATCTTATGAAATATTCGCAAGCTACGTGTGGGTGTTATCCCACCAAGGTTATGAACTCGGAAGTCAAGCTGCAATCGTGTCAGATGTTGTCGTCCATGTCTTCGTCATGTCTTCGTCAAGAAAGTCAAGCTGCATCTGTGTGCTATCTCACCAAGGTCATCAACCCGAAAGTCCAGCCGCGTCTGTGTGATGTCGTCCGAGTCTAAGGTCCCGACAGTTAAGCTGCACCTGTGTGTTGTCCAAGCCTTTGTCAAGGGAGTTAAGGTGCATCTGTGTGCTGTCACCAAGTCTATCAACCCGAAAGATAAGCTGTGTCTTTTGTCTCCCTGTGTTATGCCAATGGCCCATCAATTGCGGCCTACGAAGTTATGTTTCAAGATTATGTTATATTAAACGTTTTTATGTTTGGAGTATATGATCGAAGGATGGATGGACGGAAAGAGGAGTTCAGTGTTTGGGATTCGGATTCAATTTGGCTTTGATTTTATTTTTATCTGTACACATATCTTTACAGTAGTATTCGAAATCAGTTCTACCTCTATTCTCTCTCCCTCTCTCTCTCTGAATCCCAGGGCTCCACTTCAAGCGTACTCGTCTGTATTAGGATACTATTCCGCCGGTCTTGGATTTGGTTGGTATCTTTGATGAGTCAGTATACATTACAGTGACGTATTTCACAAGAGTCGGTCGTCCCAGCATTTCAATAATGTCTTGCCGAAGGCATTGCCAAGAACGATAACATGTTTCTGATTTTCTGGGTAATCGCTCATCTTCACTCTCGCTCTCGCTCGCGCTTTCTGTTTCATTTTAGAAATGGCCCAATCCTTGGTTCGGTGGTAGGAACCGAACCATCGAGTCGGGAGAACCACGGGTGATAACATACCATCATTAAGCAAACCCTGATGGCGGGCGCTGAACTGAAAGCAACCAATACGATACAGCATTGATGGTCGATCCAAACTAGTTTAATAGTCAAAGGAGTTATTGTCCGAACCTTCCTGGGCCATGCTAGAACCAACGTAGGCCAAGAAGAAGCAATTGCTAACCGAACTACTAAGAATATCCTTAAACACGAACACGAACCGCAGATATCCGAGTGATGGGAAACCAAAGCGGAAGGCCAGTGCCACTTAAGTCTTGGCGAGTCTAAAACCAGGTTTGCCTCGAATTGGCACGGCAATGCCAAGATCCCCGCCAAACCACGCGCTCATAATCAGGCCGATCCGCTCGGAAAGGGCTTGGCAATTTAGCCTCTCAAATATCTGACACTCCAGGATATCGAAGTCATGTTCTCCCTGCGGTTGTGCTACCACGAGGATAGCCTGGTGCTTATGTAGCTAACAAGTACTTAAACAAACCCCTCACAATGAATCACCAGTTGACTTAATGTCTACCCTCAGCAACAAAGTAAATACAATTTTACTTTCAATTTTGCAAGATTGTAGCGCAAATTGCTTGAGCCATAGCCATTCGACGATGCTTTAGCTACATTTGAAAAGAAACCGATTTCAAAGGAGAGGACGAATAGTTAAAGAAACATCAGTCGTTCGAAAGCTTTCATACCCCGCGGGAACCGGGAATTTTTTGTGATATTTTCTAACTTTAATCGCAAATTCAAAGCCAAAATTGAGCATAGACAGTAGCTGATACATGTGTTCTTTTTGTGATTTCGCAAGCAATATCTCCTTAGCTTTTTCTCTCCATATAAAGTTAAAAGCCAACTAATGTGACTCATACAGGGCATGGGTTCGATGCACCAGCTAGAAAATAGATTGGTTTAGTCTCTTTGTGGCTGTAATAAGCAAGCCAGGAGGCGGTCCACTTACGGCACCTTCGAGGTTTATCTTCTTCTTTGACCCATCCCTTTGGGGCGCTATACCATACTCCAGAATCTGCATATCTATAGCTTTTGTTAGCAACTTAGTTGAGTTTCACATGTGGCACGAAAGACTCACTGGTATCTGCAGTAAGACGTAAAAGTGGCTCCCAGAAGAGACGTGCCATTAGAGGGGCTTGAATCGCAAGGATACTTGTAGTAAGGATAGGTTTGCTTGACCTCACAAACGTTCTTGTCGTCGTATCCGTGATAGTCGTAGCCGTCGTGGTTTCCGTAGCCTCCATGATTGCCTCTACCTCGCTCCTCAAGGGAACCGTCATGCGGTTCCGCAATCGGTGTTGCTATAGCTAAGTGGGTAACGAAGGGAAGAAGCACAAGTATATAAGATGACGACTTCATATTGGAGGAAGGAATTAAGCGTAGAGAAATAAAATAAAGATAATAAAAAGAGTTGAATATAAATGTTGCAAGATGACTAGGCCCGTTGTTTGGATTGCATGAAAGAACAGTAATAGCGTCTTGTTGTCTCTCTTAGGATGATTAGGATCAGATGGATCTACACTCACTTTATATAGGAACCAGTGGCAATCTTTGTGGAGTTGTAAATACCTCAGTGATCACAAGGTAGGTATTACTGAAGTATTAGCTACCCTAAGTTCAAAGAAATACGAGAGCATAGCCCCAACTGCTTCTTTCCGGCGAATAAAAGATCTAGACCGAATCAAGCTGTCATTTCCTAACGTTTTAAGGATCTCCTGCGCAAATTGTCGACACGCCAGGCCTAAGACATATACGTCAGTAATGCATGGAAAGATCACGACTAGTATCTGGAATCAGATCGCGTTTTGTACCACTCGTCATCAACAGCAAATCGGAGTCAGGTTTTGGCATCGATTAGTGGTTATAATATTAACATTTGATAGCGTATTGGCAGGTATAGTTCATGAAATCAGTAAAATCAGATCCTCACATTCTATTGGCTCGCATATTAAGATGATCGGGTGGAAAGCTAATATTCACTTTTGCCAAGTCTTCACGCCAAGTAAACATGAAGTCATAGCTACTTGAACAACGGTCTGTTCCCTGGGTCTGTTTCACTTCTATGTTTTACCATATCTTAATCTCTCCAGGTCACAAGCTTTGTAATGTTGGAAATTATTTGTACTATGGTCGGTTCCTTAATAGCTAGCATACGGATTAGTGTGTTGGGCTGCTGTAGACAGAAGCCTGGTATGAATACGAAGTACGGTATAGATACGACGTAGTAGGAGGATATTGCCAGACGGTCAACCCCCCTCTTTGCTCTGGTTAGGCTGTTTGCGTGAATAATTATACTGGATTTTACGGCTCGTGGCTGTGCTATCGATTACTAAAGGGCGGGCTTAAATTTGATTTTTGTCTTACGATTTGGGGCTTGAATTGATTCGAAAGAATTTGAAGATGATAAAACTACCGGAAATAAGAATTGTCAAGGGCTGAACGTATTTGCTAATCGAGTTGGCCAAGTAAGCCAGCCGGCCAACCCTAAATATATAGTGAATGCGATCAATTACAAAAATTTCTCTTAGATTCCCCTTATTAATGGGCAATCTCAATACCTAAGTATCATCAATAGGACATCTGCGGGATTTGATTAAGAGATTTCAAGTGATGGAGTCAAATGTACTAAACAAAATCAATACTAGCGAAATAACATCCCAAGACGGACTACCTATACGCTTGAAGTGGGGCCTTGGGTATAAAGAGAGAGAAAAGAGGTTAAATGATTTCGAATATTACTGTAATATCTTCGACTTTGTCGTCTATTCCATGTTTACTCTTCTACCTCTTCTTCTACTTCTACTTCTTTCTCACCATCGTTGCATTACCCAAAATTAGTTGGACACCCCCACTAACCGCGTTTAAAGTAACGCGGTAATTGTAATTCAGAGAGAACGCTAAATCAAGTATCTAAGAACATACGTATCACCTCGCTTGAGTCAAGTCAACATGCAAGACTACACTTCATTAGAGCCAGCATAAATGTGTATAATAATTACATCCTGAGTAAGACAAGGGCTGGTTCAGTTGGTATCGCTCCTTGATCACCTTCACATTCCATGTCAGTCTACCGAGTAGTGTGACCGAGTAGGTGCCTGCGTATGTACTCATAGTCATTCTGTCCTGAATCTCGAATAATGCGCCTTACTAATACCGTCAATGTGCTTTAAAACAAGCACTGCGTCGTTTCCAATTGTCAAGCTCCGTTATTAAGACGTGTGCCTTGGGCGCAAGAGTTGACACTTCAGTCTCTGACCATGGTGGATTCTCGCATGGCCCAATTGTCGTACAAGTTCAGACCAAACGGATCTTCATGTTATGCTCCAAGGTATTCCCTATTCCCGATTGGTTCATTGTATACTATAAATAACATTAAGTTGGGTAAAACGTGATATTCGTACATTTCTTGGCTAGACTCCCGTATCTTATCGGCCCCACAACCGCGCATCTCCTCGACATCTAACATCTTCAATGACACCGATCCCTCAGCGCCCACACTCTCCGACAATTATACTCTAACCGAAGAAAATAATGCTTCGAGTCTGAAATCCTCAGATTCTTATGACTGGGTAGCCGACCCGCCATTGCGACGAGCCCGCATCCTCAAAGCCGCATCGCATCCATCCACAACAACAAATCGCCAAAGCTTTACCAGAGCCGCAATTGCAACAACCAACTCAATCGGGAGTCCAGCTCAAAATGTCATCACCACCCATAATAACGACAAAGAGTGTCCTTCCTCCTCCGCCACCACCACAGCCTTGGATACACTACTTAACTCTAGACGCCCTCCTCAAAGTCCTCTACCGCACTCTTTTCAATCCTTTCCTCGCCTGGGTCCTTGTCCTCTGCCTCCGTGCGCAGGTCACCCCACCTACACACCCGGCTTGGATCATTAGCGTTGGCTATGCCGTTTTCCTGACCTTGCTCTTTGTCGCGAGCACGATTAACCACCGCATTGCGCATGGCCTTCCAAGGACGGTGGATCCCGAGCACGAGGTTGTGCTTGTTACAGGTGGGGCTAGTGGGCTGGGGCTTCTTATTGCGCAGCTTTATGCGATGAGGGGTGTTCGCGTCGCGGTTTTGGATATTAAGGAGGTCGGGGAGAAGGAAGCCGAGGAGATCTTTGGGGAGGACGTTGATGTTAGGTGCTATGCGGTTAATGTTGGAGAGAGGAAGGCTTTGGAGGATATTCGAGGGAAGATTTTGGAAGAGGTAAGTCTATATTTGACTTTTGGTTACGGTGGTAATTCAGGCCAAGGTCTTTGGTTGAAATATTTGCTTTTTTGAAACTAAAAAAAGAATTTTGCTAATGCATGCATGCTATGGTACAGCTTGGGACTCCGAGTATCATTATCAACTGCGCGGCGGCAAGGATCAATGGTCACTCGCTGCTGGATTTGTCTGCAGATGCTTTTGTAAAGACAGTGCAGACAAATCTTGTCGCGGCTTTCCACTTGTATCAGGTTTTTGTGCCCGGTATTATGAATGCAGAACACGGTGGCACACTGGTGACAGTTGGCTCGGTGCTGGGCCAGTTATCTCCGGCGGGGTTGTCGGACTACTCGGCCAGTAAGTCTGGACTTAGTGCGCTGCACCGAACAATGGAAGCGGAATTGCGTGGTCATGAGCAGGTCAAAACACTGTTGGTGGAGACAGGCCAGATGTCAACACCGTTGTTCAGCTGGGTCCGCACTCCGAGCCGCTTTTTTGCGCCGATTTTGGAGCCGGTGGAAGTGGCTCGGGAGATTGTGACTGCAGTCGATAGTGGTCACGGTGGTGTGCTCAGATTACCGGCGTTTGCAAAATTGGTCAATTGGTATGCCGTGTTGCCGGGTGCGGTGCAGGTCGTAGCACGATACCTGAGTGGCATTGACAAGGCGGTGTCTTCCGGCCTTCAAAGTCGTGACACGTCCAACAGTGGTGGACGAGTTCTCAGGAGCTCGAAGAAACGGACCGATTGACGAAAACATTGCCCATGTATATATACCCCGCATACCTGTGGATTCCCGTACATAACCCAATCCATGATACCGCTGGTCTGAGATATGGCCGAGACTGGTGCAGTCCCGCTTATTGCTCGCGGGTAAGAATCATCTTCTCACGCTCAGGCATTCTCGGCTTCAGATCCTTCTTACTGGTATGCTTGCGCACGTTCTCCTCACGCCTCTTAATGGCAGCCAGCTCCTCACGCTTGATCTCACCAGCCTTCTTAATAGGCTTGGGCACATGACGCTGGCGCTGGATGCGACGGATCTCGGGCATGTGCGAGTAGCGCTTGATGAGGGCTTTGTCATACTCAAGCTTGCTGCGTTGACGTGCACTCACGATTCCACTGCGATCAGATGCGTTGGCACGCCACAGCCGAACGTTTCCGTCGTCTGAACCGGACAGCACGTACTTGCTATCAGGAGTGAATGTGGCGGCGAATACACGTTGCATACGCTTCGTGTGGTAAATATCCTTGGATCTGCCGCTCTGCCTGGACCAAAGGCGAACAGTTCGGTCGTATGATGCAGTGACCAGATCCTCACCAGTGGGACTGAACTCGACATCCATAACAGCAGCCACATGGTCCTTCAGAACGTTCAGAGCCCGATCTGTTTTTCTCATATCGAAGATGTAAGCGTTGTGATCCTCATTGGCCACAGCGAAGTTGAAGGTCTCTTGGGGGTTGAATGTAATCTTATTAGAAGCCAGCTTGAGGACCAACTTGTGCACTGGCGACGAAGTTCGCAAATCGTATAGAACAACGGACCGATCGAGGGCAGTGGAACCCAAAACGGAGGTTTCAGACTGGTTAAATGCAACAGAGGTAATGGTATCAACGCTGGTCGGCCAGTGCAGAGTCTGCGAAGGAGAGGAAGATGGCCGCGAGAGATCGTAGATTGAAATGACAGACGAGGCGGCTGCAAATGCAGGCATCGAGCGGTGGTGTGAGATACTGGTAAAGGCACTCGTGCCCAGATAACTTGTCATGGGGGGAGCCTCGGAGGTCGTATTGTACGGGTCCCACAACTTGATGGTTTTGTCGCTGGCGCAAGACAAGAGCTTTCTTTCCGCAGGCAAGAATTCAAGTCCCTTCACCATACCTTCGTGCGCTTGCGTTTGGAAGATCTCCTCCCGGGTTGTGAGGTCCCACACCTTTACCACACCGTCACCACTGCCACTCGCAAAGCGCTCAAGCGAGAGAGGGTCCCTAGCCATAGAGTAGACACCATCGATATGTCCGTCACCCATTTGACCCAGGAAGGGCGCAGCGAACATGCGCTCCATCTTGATAGCATTCAGAGCCCGAGTGTATTCTCTGGCCCGCTCGAAAGGATGCTGGGCTGGATCCAGATTCCGTGATTGACGAACGGTAGCAGACCCGGGGGCCTGCTGCGACGCCACTGGGCGAGACAGTGCTTTGATTTTCTGCAGACTATTAGCATCTTTTCTAAATCAATAGAATAATTTAACAGGGAACTCACCATGGTGGACTGGCAAAACAGACGTACAGAAGAAAAGAGCAAAGCGGAATGAACTTTTTTTTTTCTGTTGACGGGATGATTTGCTAAGCGGGCGGTGAGACTGCAGCTGCCAGCTTCAAGCTCCCCGACTCACGCTCGACCTATCTATCAACCCTCCATCCTCTCCCACTTGCTGCGCCTTTTCATTGTCTGAAACCTCTTTTTACAGACCATATCTTACTTCTTGAACACTGAAATTTTCCACAATGGCCCCTCCCTCCCAGGTCTCGCCTCGCATACAGGAAGCCCGGGACCTGGCGAAGCAGGACCCCTCGAAAGCCGGCAGCAGTTATCAGAAGATCCTCTCCGAGGGCCCAGGGTCTACAGAGGCCTCATCGCGAGACTATGAGCATGCATTGATTGGGTTGGGAGAGTTGTACCGGGACGCCAAGAAGCCGCAGGACATCGCAGAGCTCATCAACACCAGCCGAGACACCTTTTCGTCATTTGCCAAAGCGAAGACCGCCAAGTTGGGTAAGCAGCAATCATCTGGCACTTAATGACTCATAACTGACGGCTTGTGTTAGTTCGTCAACTCCTCGATCTGATCAGCGAAATCCCCAACACCCTCGACCTCCAAACCACCGTAATCAAGTCATGCATAGAGTGGGCTATCACCGAGAGACGGTCGTTCCTCCGACAGAACCTCCAAGCACGATTGGTCGCCATTTATATGCAGAAGCAAGCGTACTATGATGGTCTTACTCTCATCAACTCGCTTCTCGGCGAACTGAAGCGTCTGGATGACAAACTCATGCTGGTGGAGGTGCAACTGCTTGAGTCTCGTGTGTACCATGCTCTGGGCAACCAGTCCAAGGCGCGCGCTGCGCTGACTGCGGCACGGACGTCGGCCGCGTCTGTTTACACTCCTCCCAATCTGCAGGCCGGGCTCGACATGCAAAGTGGTATGCTGCACGCTGAGGACAAGGACTTCAACACTGCATTCTCGTATTTCATTGAGGCACTAGAGGGATACAACTCGCTTGACTCGGGAGAGCTGGCCACCGCCGCCTTGCAGTACCTGCTGCTGTGCAAGATTATGTTGAACCTGGTGGATGATGTCACACAACTTTTGGGTTCCAAGCAAGCCCAAAAGTATGCCAGCCCACGTCTGGAGGCCATGAAAGCCGTGGCCCGGGCCCACTCCAACCGTTCTCTGGAAGAATATGAAAAGGCTCTTTCCGACTACCGTTACGAACTCGGCAGTGACACCTTCATCCGGAATCACCTTCGCCGTTTGTATGATGCCATGTTGGAACAGAACTTAATCAAGGTGATTGAGCCTTTCAGCCGAGTGGAGCTGGACCACATTGCCAAGATGGTTGGCCTTGACACCCAGCAAGTGGAGCGCAAGCTCTCACAGATGATCTTGGACAAGGTAATCATTGGTGTATTGGACCAAGGCTCCGGGTGTTTGATTGTGTTCGACGAGACCGAACGCGACCAGGCCTACGATTCTGCACTTAGCACCATTGAGAAGATGAGCAATGTGGTGGAGGGTCTGTACACTAACCAGGCGTCGCTTCTGGAGTAGAGGAATGGATTCATGGCAATACAATTATGTTGGTTTTAGGGAGATAATCTATGTGATGCATGAATGTCTGCAATATCTCAATATTTCTATGTGGTTTGATTAGTGGTTTTATTAGTATTCTCGTAGTATAATTCCAAGTAAAACTGGGTTCAAAGTTGTATTATGTAGTTTGGATGGTCGCGACATTCCGAATCGGGTAAAGCGTGACGGCAAAAGAATCGCGACTTCGCTCATCTTCATCCTCCACCCACTCCATCCCGACTGGAGCCCCTACTTTCCACCGGATCCGCAATGAACGCTCCAATGCAGCCCAATTTTGCCCGCGGCTTTCCCCCGACCGCCCAGCGGTCTCCAGCCACTCCCCGTCGCGTACCGGGACCAGGTTTGTCCCCTTTCCCTTTCTAAGCTCGCGCCCAATCTAACTCCACCAGGCCAAATGCCCGTCCAAATGCCTCAGCACGCCATTCCTGCACAATATATGCCCACCCAACGTGTCATGCAGGCAGCCCCAGAGCCTCCTCGTCGCGCTCAAAAACCTACCGACAAGAATATTCCCGATGGCGTTGAAGATGTGGTTATCGGCGGCGGTGTTGAGCAATACAAGAGCCTTCGCGATCTGGAGAAGCGACTCGATGCTTCCGTGGTGCGGAAAAGACTAGACATCCAAGACTCAATCAGCAAGACTGTGAAGAAATATCGGACCATGCGCATCTGGATCACCAACACTGTTGAAAATCAGCCGTGGCAGGGTGCCGGCAACAACCCAGGCTCCGGTCGGTATAAAGTGCGCATTGAAGGGCGACTGCTGGATGATCACAGCGGTTCTCCTGAGGAGGAGGAAGGCCAACGCGACGCAGCTGGAGATGATTCGATGGAGCAGGACAAGAGCGAGGATGATAAGAGCAAGGAATCCGACTCCAAGAAGCCGTCTCAGCGCTTTTCGCACTTCTTCAAGACCATCTCGGTCGATTTTGACAAGCCGGCTAATGCCATCCCGGATGAAGTCAAGCCGGTCAATTGGTCCAAACCACAGCTGCCTCCTAATGCGACATCAGCACCCCCAAATGCGGAGTTTGATAGCATCCAGTTCGCGCGGGCCTCTCAGGACAATTTGAACATTACCATTGGCTTGGTTCGGGACGAGACCCCTGAGCGATTCAAGCTGAGCAAGGAACTGGCCGAGGTACTTGATGTTGAGGAAGAGACTCGGAGCGGCATTGTGCTTGGAATCTGGGATTACATCCGTGCTATGGAGCTGCAAGAAGACGAGGAGAAGCGCACAGTGCGCTGTGACCACCGCCTTTATTCGGTATGCAATGTCTCTTATTTTGTTATGTCCAGATATACTAACTTTTCCCTCTAGATCTTCGGTCGTGAGCAGATGTTCTTCCCGCAGATTCCTGACAGCATCGCGCCCCACACCAGCCCTATTGACCCTATTAAACTTCCATACACCATCCGTGTTGATGAAGAGTTCCACAAAGACCCCACCCCAACCATCTATGATATCCAGGTCGCTGTTGAAGATCCTCTCCGCGCCAAGATGATGGCCCTCATCCAGAACCCGCAGTACACCTCTGGCATGCGCCAGATCGCCTCATTGGACGACCAGGTCGCCCTCATCATCCAAGCGCTCACGCACTCCCGTGCCCGTCACGCCTTCTTTACTGCTCTGAGCAAGGACCCAGTCACCTTCGTGAAGCGTTGGGTTAACTCCCAGCGCCGGGATCTCGAGAATATTATGGGTGATATCAACTCCGGCGGTGATGCCAGTGGACCTGAGTTCCGTCGGGGTGGTGCTAATAGTGTTTGGGATTCTGCTGTTGCCAATGAAGCCGTACGTTACATGCTGGCAAAGCCTGATGCTGCAGCTGCGCGGTAAGCGTGCTTTTGGTTTATGATGTTATTCAAGAGCCGCGGCTTTTACTGCTCTTTTTGGTTTCTTGTTGCGGGGCGCTTATGTGGTGTTTGGTTCGGTGTAGCTAGGACAGGCTAATTTCCCAAAACTTCAATGTTCAATATCATATATTTACTTCAATCATCTACACCTAGTATGGGACGTATTTCTCAAAACACCTCGTGATCTTAGCTTCGCAGTTCAAACAACCGAGGTATCTGGATGCCACTATACAGCACGGGGAACGTACAGGAGTCAAGGAGATCAAACAAAATGATTCAAAAAAAAGGGAAAGAAAGAGGAAACGATAAGAAACATCGATCTGGCCGAGAATCGAACGCGGGACCTGTTGATTGTCTCTATACTTGCAAGGACATTGTGAATAGTATCATCAACATCGGCCAGAAACTCGACTAAAACTTCTTTCCCTTATCACTCACCACATACTTAGAAATTGGCAGATGTGACTTCAATTTTGGGCTCAGCGGGTCAAGAACTAGCTGATTGGTTTTAAATTGTTGATTGGGGGACTTGGATGTAATACATAAGGGAAGGTTGCTAATCTACCATTTTTTTGACAACCCTCCCCCTTGTCTCGCCCTTCAATTATGTTTTCCCTTCAGTTACCATCAACAAACCACTTTGCTAGCCTAACATAATCATACCTCCATAGGTTATTGCTCCATACTACAGTAGAGTAGGCTTACACAATAGAAGATCCAGACTTAGCACAAGATAGTGTATCGGTACTCGAGGACATTCAATCGTTGGCCAGACGCTACGCACGAAACTTGAACACAATATGTAAGCCCTTATTATATCAAGAACACTTCAATGAAGCCACTTTGCAGGACACCCCCAGTGGGAAGCTATACACCGAACATGAAACAAATCAAAGACGCGCGCGAACTATGTAAAGGCGAAAATATAGAAACTGGGAAAGAAAAACACCAACAGACCTTCAAAATGCGCTTCGCTGATACCAATCAGCAGCCAAAAGCAGACATTCTCACAGAGAACAGTCCACCATGCAACCCCACCGTTCGTACCATCTTTCCAAGAGACATTAAACAGCAAAGATAGACCCTCTCACCCGTCTACTTTATGTCTCCACTATATCGGATAGGCATCCGCTATGACCCAGGCAGAGGGACCTTCGAAACAAGATCCACCCTCCGCCTTCTCAACTCCTCGTTCGTGCCAACATCAAAATCTCTGGAGGGATGCTCGCGCAAGGGGGAGCCCTCGGCCTCCATATTAGCGGCTGCCTCGAGGATAATGTCCTGAGCAGGGCCCTCCAACTTCGCGGACTCGCCCTTCTTCTCGCCGCGTGCGGGCTTCGTCCCCGAAGCTTCCGGTGTGCGGAATCGCTTGAGAACAGTCTCGACCATCTTGAAGAACCAGAAGTAATTCAAGAAGTTCAGGACCAGGTTTGACAAAACGTAAGTCAAAACCAGCCATGTCGGGACACCTGCAGCGGTGTACTCCTTGAACTGGGAGATCTCAGCATTGGCGCGAGCACAAGTCTCATCGATGCACATGCTGCTGCGGGTTAGCTGGAAGACGTTGGCGTTGATGTTGACGGGCTCTGTTAGCGGGCCGGACGAGGCATTCCAGGTCTGTTGGAGAGCGGTCCACATGTCACTGTAGACAACGACAGATTGCCAAGTTCCCCAAATAAGGCGGCAGGAGAAGAACACGGACAGCAGCGCCATGCCATTGTACCATTGAGCCTTGCTGCCGGTCATGTTGACTTTGTCAAGGAACCAGTGGATGTTGAGGAAGGGGGTCGAAAGCTCGTAAAGGATGAATGTCGAGGCATAGTAGTTAAGGAATGGTTTCTGTACAAAGCGATGTCGCAGTTAGAATTGGGGGCCGAATTCATTAGCAGGAGAGTATATCAACTTACGAATCCAAGACTGAATACCCAAAGAGCACTGATCGCGTGGAAGAGTGTTCCGATACCAAACATCTTCACATAGATCGTGCTGACAATCAGGTCGTAGATGAAGTATCCGACAGCCAGTGCCTGAATCAACCCGCAGGCACCCGTGTACCCGAAGACACGCTCCAGGGGAGACATGGAGTTACGCTCGTCATCAACGAACATAACCCACAGGGCGAGAGCGTTGATAACAATACTCTGCACAAGAGACACGACATGGATATCCCAATTCAACTTGGTGCGGGCAGACAACTTGCTGTAGGACTGCGGGAAGAGGATCGGCGATAGCACCGGCGAGACTACCGAGTGGATGAACTGGTAGAAAGCGAAGGCCAGAAAGACCTCATGAATGTGCTCGGTGAGTGTCGGACTATCTAGCAGTAACGCATAAGGCTTGGTGAACTCTCGCAGCCATGCTGGAGGGGGCCCGAGAGGGTCCAGCATAGTTGATGAGCCGGTAGCTTATCAACTGATGTGGGGAGCTTCACGATCCTCGAAGGAGGCTTGCTAGAATCGGGGAGGAGGATTCTATGAGAGGGAGACGATTTCTCAGAATTCTATCATGGGCTCACAAGGACAACGCTCCTTCTTTACAGTTGAGCGCCATGCATAGACGCATAGCAAAGAAAGGCGGACTGGGGTTCCAACCGTCGGAGCACGCGGCCTCGGCTCTGCCTCAGGCAGGATGACCTGTCACATGACCATCTGCCCCATCGGGCAGCTGACGATCTATAGCGGAATGACTAGGTCATGCATGTCTAGAACCTACAAGTCGGTTTTTACGATGGAAAATTGAATGTTACTTAGAGAACGGTATGGTTAGTCATGAAGAATGTTAAGAATGATCATTAATAGAAACATAGGGAATTCATACAGGCAATGATAACAGAATCAACACAAGTGGTATATGAAAGCACAAAGGAAAAATAAAGAAAAACCCAAATCCGAACTCCAAAGGGAATCAAAAAAAGAAAAACAACCCGAAAAAATACCAAACTGTCATATTGTTCATGAGACAGTCATTTCAGTTCCCAATCCGCTGTCAGGAGGAGCCTCCAGTAGCTTTAGGACTTCAGCCTCCATTGCTGAGGCAGTGTCAGAAAGGTTGTCGTCCACATCATCCTGGTGGTCCTCTGATTCTTCATCTTCTCTATCCGAATTAACATCCTCGTCATCGTCTTCACGGGCAGTCTGAGCATCATCCTCATCATCATCTGATGCTAGCTCAGATTCCTCGTGCTCCCCCGTCGCACTGCTCATGCCACTAGTGCGCCGATCTTCTGAGATGACACTATCAGTAACTCCAGTGACGACACTGTCGGTACAAGTCTCGGCGTAGCTGACTTTGCGATCAGTTCCTGCATAGCTTGATTGCCGGTTAGAACCCGCGTAGCTGGATTTGCGCTCCGTGCCGGCATCAGTCTCGGGCTCGCTTTCGGGTTCCTCTTCTTCCGGGAATGCCTCATTCTCTTTGTTTGCAGTAGGGCCGGCCCAAGAAGTCTTGCGAGCTGAGAAGTTGGATTTGACGGAGTGGCTGCGCTTCAAGCTAGTGATGCCGCCATTGGGTCCCGATTGACGACCAGCATCACGATTGCCTGTAACATGGCTCAAACTGAGAATTCGGCGCTCTTTCCCAATGTTGGGTTGAACTGTTGTTGGTCCAGGCTGGAGGCCGTTGAACGTACGGCGCTTGAGAGCCATGCCGACACCATTGCCGAGAAGGCTGCGTGCATCCTTTGGCTCTCGAGCAGTGCTTGTAGTGGTAATGCTAGCCATGCTAGGGCTACGGGCACCTGCGCGGGATGAACGCGTGCTTTGGTTGCGCTTGAGGTTCATGCTGTTAAGGCTGCCAGATCGACTCAAGAGAATGCTGCGGGCATGGTCGAGGACACCTTCCAAGATGCGTTTCTCTAGACCATCCGCACGCTCCTCCATTTGCTGCATCTCCTCATGACGAATCTCCAGAGCGGTCTCCAGGCCAGAAAGTTCCTTGCTCATCTTAGAGGTCTGCTTGGCAAGTTCGTCCTTCTCTGCCTTCAGAGTTTGGAACATCTTCAGTAGAGACTCCTTCTCCTCTTGCAAGCCGACAATGTCGGCCTCGACTTGCTCGCGCTGGGCTATCCTGCGTTCCAAGGCAATTGCAGCTTCCTCCGCTTCACGACGCTTGCGCTCGGTCTCCTCGGCAACGAGTGTGGACTGAACGGCGAACATCTCGTTCATCTTACGAGTATTCTCCATGATGTCCTTGTGCATCTCATCTAGCTTCATCATCTGGGTGACCGACTGTTCAGGGTCAACGGTATTGACTGGTCGGCTGAGCAGAGCATCAAGCTTCTCATGAATAGAGCCCGTACCATTGGTAGTATGATCAAGGATCTGGTTCAGCTTCTCATAGATATCACTGTTCGACGCAGCGCCATGCTCCAGAGCGCGGTCAAGCTTATCATGAAGTTGAGTACTCTTCGAGTGTTCCAGTAGCGTGTTCAAAACATCCTGTACGGGGCTGTTCTTGGCGTGCTCCAGAAGATCATTGAGCTTATTGTGAACAGGGTCATCTTCAATTTCCCGAGAGGATTCCGGAGATGGCAAGGCGGGCAACATGCTGGGAATGGCAGTCGGAAGAGACATAAGCTCTGACTTGACTTCCTCCGCCGACTTTTGCGAGTGGTCGAAGTGCTGGCTCACAACAGTCAGGATCTGCTGAACAGTCTCCAAGATCTGAGGATTGAACTCAAGCAGCTTGCTCTCCACGCGCTCGGTGGCCGCAACAACTCTCTCGTTCTCGCCTCGGGATTGCTCCTGATGCGATTTGGCCTCGTTGTGCATCTCTTCCATCCGGTTGTAGGATTCATCAACTTTCTCAGCAAGAGCCTTGGTCTCTTCAGTCGTGCGCTCACAGGCCTCAGTGACCGTGGTACCCATGGCACCAATGACAAGCCTAATGTCTTCGGCGAGAGATTTGGTGCTTGTCACCGCTTCAGCATGAGCCAGGTCTCGCTCCTCGGTCTCCGAGAACTTGGAATGCAACGAAGTATGCGCCTCTTCGTATTTGGCGATCACTTCCCCAATTTTCTCGTCGATTTTGGCTCCCAGCTCAACAATGACTGCAGCCCGAGTCTCGTCGTGCTTGACTAAAGCAGCAGCATCTCTCTCCTCTTTTTCTAGCCTGCCGGCGTCTTCCTCACCGCGGGCACGCTCGAATTCGCGATTGATGAGATCAGTGAGCTCCTTGACGTTTTCGACAGTGGTAAAGTTCTCGGCAGAGATAGCCAAGCCCTCGAGCAACTGCTTGAGCTCCATGAGGCCTTCGCTGCTGCCATCAAGCTTACTCTTAAGCTCGTCTCCAAGCTCACCAACGACAAATTTAGCTTCGTCAATTTTCTCGTCTATTTTGACGGCGAGGCCACCGTGCTCGGTTTTCCGGGCCTCAAAGCCTTGCGCGGTGAGGTCGTTGGCATTCTCCATCTTGTCACGGAAATCGGTAACAAGTGCCGAAAGCTCTTGAATCTCCTCCTTCGTGGGAAGTGTTTCCACATCAGGCAACTTGAGCTCGTCAATCTGAGATTTAACCTCAAAGATCATAGCCTCGACAGTTTGAAGATCAGACTTGAGAAGCTTGCCGTTGTCCTCCCCTTCATCCCCTTCTGTCTCCTCCTCTTCTTTCGCCTTGCCCTTCAACTCTTCAAGGGCAACCCAGACATCCTTGATCAGGCCTTCAAGAGTACCAATATCAGACTTTGTAGAGCCCTCAGCCTCCAGCCGAGTGGATAATTCAGCAATAGCATCCTTTGACTCTCGGATCATAGTCTCAAGAGTTCCAATATGCTCAGAGGTGGCAACTTCGTCGAGAGATGGGAACTGGATCTCCTCAATCTGAGCCTTGGTGCCCATGAGAAGACTTTCGATAGTGTCGGTATCCTCCTTCCGAGCACCCCCCTCAGGGATATCTCGGCTCGCACTCATCTCACCAACGGCGAGTTGCACTTCTTGGACAGCCATCAAAACCTCATCGAGATGACTGCGGCTCAGTGGAGGCTCGGCAGACTCGCTCGGCTTCATCTCCCCAATGGCGAGTTGCACTTCTTGGAGAGCCATCAAGACCTCATCAAGATGGCTACGATTCAGAGCAGGCTCTGCGGAAAGCTCCTCGGCAGGCTCCGCGGCGCGAGTAGTTTCAATGGATTCCATCTTGTCTGTAAGCTGGGTGATGAGAGTCTTCAAGCCTTCGATGTCGGTACCCAGGGCAGACGGCTCGTTGGCAAGCACAACCTCACCGCCACGCGTTGTCTCCATTTCATCGGTCGCACTCTCCTCCACCTTTTGGGACTGGCGGAGGGAGTCGATTTCCAGTCGCAGCTCCGCCATACCGTCCTTGATGGTGTCAAGGATCTCGGAGCTGTCGAAGTCGGCAGGCTTATCTAAAACCTTCTGCACATCATCGCGGATCAGGAGGATACCATCATTGAAGGCATCAAGCAGTTCACTGGTGGCAGACCCTGTGTTCTCGCCGCCATCCTTATGCTGCATGGTTTCTTCACGAAGGGCATCAAAATGCTCGCGAATAGCGGCGATGATATCCTCTTTCTCAGACGGAGCAGGCTCGGATGGAACCACACTCAGCGCTGTGGATTCACGCATTTTCTCGAACTCTTCCTTGATGGAGTTTAGAATCTGCTCATCAGCTGGCTTGGTGTTCTGCTGCATGGTTTCTTCACGGAGAGCGTCGAAATGCTCTCGGAGAGCAGCGATGATGTCCTCTTTCTCAGATTGAGGCTCCGAAGGAACAACACCCATTGCCGTGGACTCGCGCATTTTCTCGAATTCCTCTTTGATAGAGCTGAGGATCTGCTCATCAGCCGCCTTGGTGTTCTGCTGCATGTTGTCTTCGCGAAGGACTTCGAAGTGCTCTCGAATGGCGGCAATGATGTCTTCTTTCTCCGATGGAGGAGGCTCAGAACGAACAACACTCATCGCCGTGGACTCGCGCATCTTCTCAAATTCTTCCTTGATATAGTCGAGAATCTGCTCATCAGCCGCCTTAGACTTCTGCTGCTCACTGGCATCACGAATTGCGTCAAGGATCTCAAGCTTGTCACTGCCTCGATGGCTGTCTAGAAGGAGATTGCTCATTGAACCACGCAGGTGCTCAAACTCCTTCTCCATAGCATCGAGCAGTTCCGTGGTGTCGGGGGGTTGGCATTGGATACAGCGGTGTCGGTGATTGTTTTTTCCATATCAGCCTGCAGAAGACGGAATCCTTCCTTGACAATGTCGATAATTTCATCTTTGCCGGAAACCGCCTGGGTGGTGGCCACATAAGACTCAATCTCTTGTCGTACAACAGCAAGGCCATCCTTTACGGCGTCCAAGACTTGCTCAGTATCCTTGCCATTAGCAGCGGAATATTGTTTGAATTCCTCCTTCATGCCATCAACAACGTCTGAAAGTCTTTCCAGAACTTGGTCTCCGACGTTCATGTTGGCAGAATTTGTAGCTTCATGAAGGCCTGTTGTGATCGCTTCCATGAGGTCATCTTTATTCAGTTCAATCTCACGAGTCATGGTGTTGGCACTTTCAAAGCCATCAACGATGGCAGTGAAAACCTCCTCTCGGGTGATACCCGGCTGTTGGACCGCGGTGCTCAAAGCTGATTTCTGAGACTCATATGTCCTCTCGAGACCCTCGGAGATAGCCTCCAAAATCTCCTCACGGGAGATAGACGAAGATGGCTGGACATTGGTGCTGATTGCAGTCTCCTTGGCTTGGTTGGCAATCTCAATGCCATCCACGATGGCATCCATGATCTCTTCGCGGGAGATAGCAGGCTGGGGACTGGTGGTCAAGGCGGACTGCTGGGCATTGAAGGCATCATTGATGGCATTCACCACATCCTCCCGCGAAACGCGTGGTTCATCCAGTTCCTTGGCGGAGGTGAAGTGGGCCTCGAGACCGTCGGAGATCGCGCTCACAATGTCATCACGGCCGAGGCCAGAGTCGAAGGATTCCTTGCTTACCATACTCTGAGTAGTCATGGATCTAGTAACTGCATCTAGGATCTCATCACGAAGAGAGTTGAGGTGCTCAAACTGCTCTTCATGAACAGATCTTGGAGCACTAGACTCCGCAGTCTCGATAGACTTTTCGGCCATGGCATGCAAAATGTCATCTCGAATCGAATTTAAGTAGTGAATCTGCTCGTCATCGAGGGATCGGGTAGCAGGTTCGGGTCGTTCGGCGATTGCATGCAGCAACTCATCACGCATTGAGTTCAAGTAATGAATGTGCTCATCATCCAGAGATCTATTAGACTCTGATCGTTCAGAGATGGCGTGAAGAATCTCATCGCGAATCGAGGTCAAATGATGAAGGTGATCCTCATCCAGAGCCCTGTCATTGGGCCCTGGTCTTTCGGTGATTGCCTGCATCAACTCATCGCGCATGGAATTCAAGTACTCAATATGCTCGTCGTCCAGAGATCGAGTTGTGGATTCCGGTCGTTGAGCCATTGCTTGGAGAATCTCATCGCGGATAGAGCCCAGATGGTGGAGATGCTCCTCATCCAGACCTCGACTTGTAGAATCTGGCTTTTCAGCCACTGCATGGAGCAGCTCATCGCGAATGCTATGAAAGAAGTTCACATGTTCATCTTGCAGGCCCCGCGAATGAGGCTCAAGTCTCTGGGACACCGCCTGAAGGATCTCGTCTCGCATGGAATTAAGGTTGTTTGCATGAGTGTCTTGCAAGGCACGAGAGGTGTCTTCTGGCTTCTCAAGGCACTCCCGGATAGTCAGAATGATTTCATCTCGGGTGATAGCTGGCGGTTGTTCCATTGGTGGGGGAGTGAAATTCTGCATGCCGGTCTGGACAGCAGCTAAAACTTGGTCATAAGTGATGGCTTGGTCGTGCTGCGGCTGGTATGATTTGAGGCCTTCAGCCAAGCACTCCAAGATCTCATCTCGCTCCAGGCCAATGGTCTGCAACTCGATCTCAGGCTTGTATGTCTCCCAGGCATCGCGTACAGTGTCGAGGATGTCCTCTTTCTCCATTCGAGTGCCATCGGGCTCCTTTTGAGGCTGGGGAAGCTCCAGCTCATCCAGTGCCCTCTTCACGATTGAGTAAATTTCAGCACTGTTCATGGTTGACTGGAACTGCGCAAAAGCAGAGGCCTGGCTTCGACTTTCGTTCACGTTAGCAGCCAGCTGCTCCTGCAGATCACCGAGACATTCGCGGATGATTGTGGAAATCTGGTCTGCATTTGGAGCTTCAATTTGTGGCTGTTGGTATGCTCCCTCGGCAATGTTCGACTCAACTGCCTCCAGCTTGCGCGCAAGCTCACGACCCATACCAAGCACTTCGCCACGCAGTTCACGCACCAGGGCTTTCACGTTGTTTGTCATACCGCCTCCTTCGACGACACTGCTCTTGACAGTGCGTAAAATTGCCAAGACTTCATCGTTATTTGGTATGTTGCGCTGAAGTTTGTCGTCTTTGGGCACATCCAGAGCGCGCACGGTGGCTGTTTCATCAATTGATCCAAGCGAGGTAGATCGGAGACCTCCATTATTAGCATTGGTCGGCGGAGGAAGGTTCTCGGTAGTCATCGAACGGACAAGCGCTCTGCTTGACGGGTCTTCCTTGACAAGGTTGAGAATCTCTTCCAGCATGTTGGTGATCTTCTTATCGGCATCCTTGTCGGACGGGGTGGTTGCCGGTCGTGATTTGATTTCATCCACAAGTTCCAAAAGCTTTTCCTCACCTTCCTTTGTGGCCATCTCACGCAGAACTTTTTCGAGCAAAGCGATACTAGCGGATCCATCGGAGATTGGGGCAGGCGAGCCACATACGTCCCGATCAAAGGCGAAAGGATTAGGGCTGGGCATGCGGGGCACAGAGTAGCTTCTTCTGGAATTGGGAGAACTATCCGATTCAGTGGGGTTAGGGCCGCTTTCCGGCTTCAGGAATGCACTGAGATCCAACCTTGATAGATCACCATCGAAATACTTCGATGTGAGATTAGAAGACAAGTCCTTCAAACTCTTCCGAATATCTTCATCGCGAGCATTCGTCGCAGCCTTCAGGCTGACCAGATCGGTAGCGTTATCTTTGCTTCGGCGGCTTAAATTCGACATTTCTTTCTGCAAATTGCTGGCAATATCGGTGAGGCTGCAGATTTGCGACGCTAGTGTATCCATGGTGTGAGCGGGTTCTTCGAACCTCACTCCCGTAATCATTTTAGGAGGTTTTGAGGGAGATGGCGGGTCATTATCAGAGGGGAGTTGCATATTTTGCAAAGCAAGCATCGTGGCGGATGGGGGAGTACTTTCTCCAAGAATAGGTTTTGACAGGTAACGTCCTGACACGTAACTAGGGATTTCCCGCTCAGCAGGACGTGGTGGGGATCCAAAAACTTTGCTCGAATCCAGCGGCATGTTCGTGGGATCAATAATTGTAGCCCGAAGAGGCCGCTCGGGGGATCGATTCTCTAGATAGTTCAAGAAATCCGAACGAGCATCGCCCTTGGTGTCGCTGGGCTGTAAAGACTGCAAGCGCTTATGGTGGTGGCCCTTGACCAAGGACCGTTCTGGTGATCCAGTCTTATTGGGCATCGGGTTTGTTGTGTAAGAGCTAAGAGCGTTCTCACTCGGCTTGTCCGTGAACTTGGCTGCCACGGCCTGGATATTTGGCGAAACGCCGTGTCTAGTTGCAGGGCTCATGGACCGGGGGTTCAAGGGCAATGGAGGAGGTGCACGCTCTGGGTCGGAGCTGTCCCACCTGATGATCAAAGCTTTAGTAACTGGTTGACAGTTGAATTGAGATGAAACAACACTTACATAGGAACCAAGGACCGGCTGGAATCGCTGTGGGTCGGTCTGTGACGAACCAGTTCCCGATCATTGTTGGGAGTGTCCCGGTCTTGGGGCGGCATGATGGTATGTGTGTAGAGAGATATTCAAGATGTCTCAGAGGTAATGACAAGAATAAGGGTATTGGAATGTAGGATATTGCGTTGTAAAGTTCAAAACAAGGGTCGTCAATGCATATCAAAACCACAGATCGCTAGAAAACAAAGCAGTGGAAAAGGACGGTGTAACGAGCATCAAACTCCGGGAGATCAGCTTGATAAGAGGAAAGCCCAAAAGTGGAGGTGGATGACAGGAACTACTACGCGGCCTACACATCACACATCGGCGACCATAGCAACGGGCTAGTTACGTCGTCATGTAAACAAACGTCAGGGCGGTGAGGCCCAGCCAAGACAAACTACGATTGTAAGGCTAGAATCTTGGAATCTGGGTAAGATTAGGTAAGCGAGTTAGTCCGAACTCTGGACTAATGGGGAAATGCCCCTAATCTGGACTAGCCACTGTCAGTCGGTAAGTCAGCCAATCAGACCATCGCACACAAATCTCACTTGCCCTGAACCCTCTCTTACCCAAGCGAAAACTTGAACACTTCGATCTTAGACTGTTCCGTACTCCGACAACCAAACCCGCCAACCTTGCCGCTTACCGGGACTCCAGAATGAAGTGTGCGTATTCGATGCCTCTACGACCCCGTCCTTCGATTCCATGCTGACGAGAATCTCGCGATAGTCATGAAAGTGGGCCGTGTGGCCATTATCACCCGTGGCCGTTTCGCCGGTAAGAAGGTACGACAATCGACGCTCCCCCGGATACAAGAGAAAGAGGAGATGGAAAGAGAAAACAGCATTACCAAGAGGAGGATTCTATGTGTTTTGTGGCCGGCAAAAGAACGGGCGTTCGAGGAAAATCTGGAGAAATAGTTAAATGGGGAAAATGCTGTGCGACAGAATGAAGATAACTGACAGCGCAATTCGACAGGTCGTCATTGTCCAGCCTAGCGACACTGGCTCCAAGGCTCACCCCTTCCCCTTCGCCATCGTTGCCGGTATCGAGCGTTACCCCTCGAAGGTCACCAAGCGCATGGGCAAGAAGCTCGTCGACCGCCGCTCCAAGGTCAAGCCTTTCATCAAGGTCGTCAACTACAACCACTTGATGCCCACTCGTTACACTCTCGAGCTTGAGGGTCTTAAGGGTGTTGTCTCCTCCGAGACCTTCAAGGAGGTTTCCCAGCGCGAGGACGCCAAGAAGACCATCAAGAAGGCCCTTGAGGACCGCTACACCAGCGGCAAGAACCGCTGGTTCTTCACTCCTCTCCGTATGTTCCGCCAACGAATATCTCCATGACAATTTTCGCTAATTGAGGCTTTAGGTTTCTAAACGGTTTACCCCCGGCGTTTTTTTCGAGCGAGCACGGTTCTAGGTGAAGGCGGGGACGAAAAAACCATCGAGCACATTCAGTCCCTGCGATGGGATGGAAAGACATATACCAGAGCTGGAAACAGAAGAGGGAATGTATCGATGTCCAGTTAAAGGAGGTTACCATACAAGACCTGGTGCCTCTGAATGAAATGGAAAATATGAACAACTATTCTTTTCTTGTTTGAAATTTTCCGCTACTACTCCCATGGTCAACGTGTACGACACCTCGCGTCCAGTACCGTTCCGTTAAAGTTCCTATGCGACCACGATGTTACAAAACTTCTCCCAGTGTCACTTCTAGGCCTTTGCGCACTCCCGAGTTTTTACTTCGTACACGTCGGTGTCGGGGCCCATCCATGGGGCGCCTTGACTCTCTCTACGCTCAGTTCCCCGGGTCACATGTAGCTTCACGTGTAGCTTCACGTCACCTGGATTCCACGTTACCTGAAATAAGAGTAAATAAGAATGGTGGCTTTGAGTCCATGTGATCGAGTGTCAATCTTATCTCAACTACATCGATATGTTGACCTCATCGCATACAACTCATCAACGTCCCGACCCTCCACATCCCCCATTGCATGTGAAACGCCACATTAATCATGAAAATCATAAGCATCCGCGGCTCCCAACAAAACTCCCAGTTCAAATCGATTGAGACCATAAAATAATTGCAACATCCGCCACCGAAAACACTTCCCCGATCCAATCGGGTCGTCGGGCTCCCTGTCAACTATGATCTACCCCCTCAATATACAATTCAAGTAGGTGGTATCATATGCCTCTGACCGAAGGCAGAACTATTTAGATTACAAGCTGGCAATGTACTGACACTAACGATAACTGACGCAACTCGCCCCATCCTCAAAGCAGAAATGATAGTCTTGAACATGGGTTTGCATACACGAGCCGGGGTGACGGGGCAGGGACGGAGTACATAACTCGGGGAATACTGGTGGTTACGTACCAACCGGCGTACTTTTGTTCTCTCGGCTACAGGATTGACAAACATATGCTTGCTGCGGCCCCAGCCCGGGGTAAACGGTATTCCCCATCACTTCTCAGTCCGTGCCTATCACGTCCGCGACCGATCTACGCTGATCTACTCCGTGCATCTGTACAGCACATCGGACCTGGACCCCATGGTTGCCACTGAGATCGACAAATATACATCTCATTCTCTCATCAGTGTAGCTATAATGGCCACAAGAAAAAGGATTCACAGGAGAACAAGGGGGCCAAAGAGCAAGGATTTAATATGCGCTCTCAATTTCTCGACAGATCATATTATAATTTAGCACAAGCTTGCACCCGTTTCCGAGATTTTCCCAACGTGTCCGGGGTTGATGCTGACTGTAGTACCAGCGCATGCAAGTATATCCCAAGGTATTGTTAGGTACAATGCAATAGGTAGCGAGAAATTAATCACCAGCCAACCGCTTCAGACAAGGCCCGCGCGTAGAAACGAAAAGAAATCACCAAAAAGCAGCCCATGGTTTCATACTATCCACCCTCATAACCCGATCGCCGAGAACCGGGAAGTTTCCTGAACGAATCGCCCATCGACTCAGTAGCACGACGCCCGGGGCACATAGACCCGGGTAAGCGGCGATCGCGAACACGGCCAGAACCCCTTGTGTGCCATGAAGGACTACATACCTTGCTAGCCTAGCTTCGCACCCGGTCAATGCCAAACATCCTCCACAGGGCGTTGTGTTGTGGGATGGCTGAGCCGAGCAATGGCTGTTGTGCCTTCATGATTGCTCAATGGGGTACTTGAATTAGCGAGATGGAGGTGGGGTCGTTATAGTGCCATGCATAGCTAGGTTCGGGCGGCGGCGCTCAGGCCAGGATGGTGGATCCCAGATGCAGAGGCGAGGCTGGACTCGCGGGATATGAAGCAAGTCGACCCCGGCCTGCAGGTATCACGGCCTAGATTCATGGGGCGGTTAGTAGACACTAAAGTATGCAAGGACTGAATGGCTGATAAGGTGTGTGGTTTTGGCTCTGAATCTTGGAACACGAGAGGGGTGGGGGTTGGAAATGGGGGTTTCGTAAGCGGGGTGAATTGAAGTTTGTCATGTATTTCATATTTGATATCTTTAAGTGAAAACAAACCCCGAGCTGATTCGGATAAGGAAAATGAGCAATAAACCTGTATAAAGATGGATCGAAGCGGTAGGTGTAAAATGTAACTACAAGGTGGATCCGAATGCGTCGACGTTGGGACCCGCTATCACATGTGAAACCAGGCCTTATCAAGTCGCAATTGATGCGAATTGCACAAACTGCGCAATAATTCCAAGGTTATAATGCGTTCCATATGTCGGTAGATTCGATGATACGATTTCTTCCAAGGTTCCGGATCGAGATTACAAGTTGCGGTCGAAAGTCAAATCAGGATGGCGTCAGGGCCATCTGCATGGGCGTAATGAACACGAATATGAACTATGTCTAAGATAAAAAGAATTAAAACTATATATAAAACGGTAAAATAACCATGAAATTATTTCCAAAGCTAAAACAGCACAGATGGTGCGATTGCGCTCTGACCTCGAGAGGCCAATTGCATAAGTAGGTCGCAATCACATGTGAATCTGGGCTATATACAACCCACTTCTCTTTCCTGGATTTTTTTTATCATTTTCTTCTTTTCTCCTCTACTCTGTCCGCCCTATATCCCATCAAGTTCCATCTCTTCCCCTCAATCCTTTTCTTCTTCCATATGCCCCACGCCGACTCTGACACTATGGGTGAACCGATCGTCAACGGCGAGAAAGTCCATTCTCAGTTCATCAACGTACGTTGCACCACCCCAACAACCCACATGCCTATCTAACCTTATTATAGCACCTTACTTCCTACCCCGTTGTCTCAGACAGCATCTCCTTCTTCAAGGGCAACCCCTACGGTGCCAAGTCTCTTGAATTTGCCGACCAAGGCTACAACCGCTTTGCCAAACCCGTCCTACCCTACTTCGAGACACCTTACAGCTACATTGCCCCCTATGTCACTCGTGCCGACTCTCTGGGAGACCAGGGTCTGAGCCAGATCGATACCCGCTTCCCTATCTTCCGCGAAGAAACCCAGAAGATCCGTGGCAGTCTCTACAACAATGCTTCCTACCCAGTGCGCCTAGCAGGCGATGTCAAGGCCCATGTCTTTGACACCTATGGCTCGGAGTACAAGAAGGCAGGTGGCAGTGGTCTGGTGAACTCTGGAAAGGCAGCCTTTACCACCAGCTTGTTGCTGTCGCAGGAGTCGCTTGGCTGGGTCTATGGGCTGGTCCAGAAGACCAAGGAGGAGGTTAAGGAAGCTGTGAACGAGAAGACCAACCAGTGATCTAGATCTTTTGTTTATGGTTTTGTTGAATTCCCAGCGTTGTTTTATCAGTTATTGTTTAGAGAAAATAATACCTCCCGTCGCTATTGATTCTCGGTCTGCGTTTGAGATGTTGAGATACCAGTTATTATTATAGTTAGCAGAGAATCAAAATGCCATCAAGCCACACAATCATTTTCCCCCGAATTTTCCAAGTTCGAAAAATGCCCTGACCCAATTTTCATATGCTGCCCTTTTTTCATTGATGTGTTCTCGAATAAAGAAATCAAAGCCCGAATAAAAGAGAAAGATAAAGCTGTGCACAGACCAATCCCGATATGGTAAAATCAGCGCAACTCTTTGATCATCGCGTCGCGCGTCCATCAAAGAACGCCCACTCCGCTCCCCTCCACTCCACCTCAAATCCTTACATCCCTAGAATCTCCCGAGATATCCAACGCCGCTTCAGTACTCGCCTGCAAAAGCGACCAACAAATATCAACTATCATGCCTCCGGCACGCAAACGCAGAGCGGTACGTACCCGATACCCCACAGCAAACAGCAAACAAGTCCAACCAGATCTAATAAATATTACAGGCTGACCCCGAGGACTCTGACGCTTCTCAACCTCAACACGCCCGTCGTCGACAAAGAAGCAGATCTGCATCCGAAGACGAAGACATGTCCGATGCCAGCCACAACAGCGCACGCGCGCCGACCAGTCTTGACGCGCTGGTAAAGAAAATGGTGCGCTTTGCGCTGGCGAGCGAGTACGCGCGTATACCCATTCGGCGCGCGGATATCAGCGCCAAGGTACTCGGTGAGCAAGGGAAGGGTATGTTCAAGAAGGTTTTTGAACAGGCGCAGAGGCACTTGAGGGAGAAGTTTGGGATGGAGATGACTGAGTTACCGCCGAGGGACAATCAAACCACGCAACAGCGGAGAGGTGAGTTATTTCCTTCCATTTCTTACTTGGGCAGAGGAAGAGAGACTGGAGATACATCCTCATTCAATGATGAAGTATGAAACTAACAGAATCACCAGCCGCTCTAAGAACCGAAAAACCATCTACCTCCAACAAATCTTGGAACCTGTCTACCACCCTCCCACTCAAATACCGCAATTCATCTATCCTGGTCCCAACCAAAGCCCCCTCAATCAGCACAGAAAGTACATACACGGCGTTGTACACCTTCATCATTGCCGTGATCAAGTTGAATGGAAACAGGCTTCCCGAACAGAAACTCGAGCGATACCTTGCGCGCACGAACTTGGATCAGTACACACCCATTGACAAGACGGAGAGGCTACTACAAAGGCTTTGTAAAGAAGGATATATCGTTCGCAACCGGGAAGTGGAGGGAGGCGAAGAGACCATCGAGTACATAGTTGGACCAAGGGGAAAAGTCGAAGTTGGGTCCAGTGGTGTGGCCGGCTTAGTGAGGGAGGTCTATGGATATGGGCCTGAAGCGTCTGGTACAAATGGAAATACAAATGGAAATGGGAATGGGAGTGATGACGAGGGGCCTACACAGGCAGAGCGGGAGGTCAAGAGGGACTTTGAGGTGCGGTTGAGGCGGACACTTGAGATGCCCGCTCTTACGGAACAGGCTGAACAGACGGAGGAGCCGCCATCGAGGTCTCAGGCGAATGGACATCGAGAGGAAGAGGAGCAGGGCCCCAGGAGGACTTCGAGGAGAGCTGCTCCCGTTGAGGAAGAGTCTGAGGAGGAAGAGGAAGAAGAAGACGAGGAAAGTGATTAGACTTCCTTTTTGGTCGTTCTGCTTGGATATGCAGATTGCCTGCGTTGATAGATACCCAAAGAAGTATTGAAATTGTACATTGCACATGCAGTCCCGACATACACCCACGTCAATGTCTCCTATCCACGTGTCTACGTATACTGTGCCCTCGGCATGTTCAGCCACATACTAAGTACGTATTCCACCACCTGGGCAGATCGACCTTAAGGTATACATGTAGAGTGGGATGTCAAGAAAAAGAATGCACATGCATCGACGACGCAATGGGTACAGACACGTGCAAGTATATATACCAAAATTGACTCAATTTCCAAGGCATGCTGTTCAAATTATATTTGAACAAGTCAAACCCCATAAATCTTCGAGCAACCGCGCTTACCCCGGTAAATTCGTGTACCTACGGAGTATATATCCTGAAAATATATAGTACACACCACGCCCTGACAGAAACAAACATGAGCTCGATTTGATTTACGCTCAAAAATTCAAGGAGAGTAGTCCGAGAACCTTGGTAAGCCTCAGATTATGGACCAATTAAACTCCCTTCTCTTATCAGGCATTAAGTTTGGGTTTCCGCTTGGAAGGATCATGGATGGGGAGAAGACGTCAGACATTGAATTTAGATAAGGGAACCGAGGGATAAGCGCTTGTGTTATACCCGTTGCCAAAAATGCGTTTTTCTGAAACAGGAAGGTTGTATATGTAAGGGTCTGAATTTGGATTTGGATATTGATGTCTCGTACATATGAATTGGAGGTGAGCTTTGGTCCTTCTGGTCCTGTGAGGTGTCAACTGGTGGGGAGAGGGGAAATCGAGTTTGAAGAGGCCAAGGTGGACGTCCGCGGCAAGTCATCGAAGACTTGGGCAACGCACAATACAATTTTGCGCTCAACTTAGGCTTCATGTACAACTACTTTAGATCAAGACTACATTTACAAATACTTGGATGGAGGCACATTGGAAAGATATTGACATGAGTCACGAATCTGTAGGTAGTTATTTTTTTAAACTACTCAGCAAAGTCTAGCTCCACATAAAAGCATTTTGAAGAAAAAAAATCATCACGGCGTCTCTTTAGTCATCCGCAAATCACTTATTTCTTGCCAGCCTTGGTGGCGGCCTTGGTGACCTTACCGGCACCACCAGCGGACTTCTCGACGGACTTGATGACACCGACAGCAACGGTCTGACGCATGTCACGGACGGCGAAACGACCGAGGGGAGGGTACTCAGTGAAGGGCTCGACACACATGGGCTTGGAGGGAACCATCTTGACGATAGCGGCATCACCGGACTTGATGAACTTGGGAGAGTCCTCAACGGACTTACCGGTACGGCGATCGATCTTCTCGAGGAGCTCAGAGAACTTGCAAGCAATGTGAGCGGTGTGGCAATCCAGAACGGGTGCGTATCCAGCGCCGACCTGACCGGGGTGGTTCAGGACAATGACCTGGGCGTTGAAGGAAGCACAGCCCATGGGGGGGTCGTTCTTGGAGTCACCGGCAACGTTACCACGGCGAACCTCCTTGACGGAGACGTTCTTGACGTTGAAGCCGACGTTGTCACCGGGGACACCCTCCTTGAGCTGCTGGTGGTGCATCTCGACGGACTTGACCTCAGTGGTGACGTTGGCGGGAGCGAAGGTGACGATCATACCGGGGACGATCTTACCGGTCTCGACACGACCGACGGGAACCGTGCCAATACCGGAGATCTTGTAAACATCCTGGAGGGGCAGACGGAGGGGCTTGCCGACGGGACGCTGGGGGGGGCTCAATGGCGTCAATGGCCTCGAGCAGGGTCTTACCAGTGACCTTGCCGGACTTGCCCTCCTTCTCCCAACCCTTGTACCAGGGGCAGTTCTCGGAAACCTCAAGCATGTTGTCACCGTTGAAACCGGAGATGGGGACGAAGGGGACACCCTTGGGGTTGTATCCGACCTTCTTGATGAAGCCGGAGGTCTCCTTGACAATCTCGTTGTAACGGTCCTGGGACCACTTGCAGGTGTCCATCTTGTTGAGGGCAACAATGAGCTGGCGGACACCGAGGGTGAAAGCAAGCAGAGCGTGCTCACGGGTCTGGCCATCCTTGGAGATACCAGCCTCGAACTCACCGGTACCGGAGGCAATGATGAGAATGGCGCAATCAGCCTGGGAAGTACCAGTGATCATGTTCTTGATGAAATCACGGTGACCGGGGGCATCTGAGAGGGAATGTTAGTGACATGATTCAATCATAGAAAGAGTAGTAGTAGTAAAGCTTACCAATGACGGTGACCTCGAACTTCTGGGTCTGGAACTTCCAGAGAGCGATATCGATGGTGATACCACGCTCACGCTCAGCCTTGAGTTTGTCAAGAACCCAGGCATACTTGAAGGAACCCTTTCCGAGCTCAGCAGCCTCCTTCTCGAACTTCTCGATGGTACGCTGGTCAATACCACCACACTTGTAGATCAAGTGACCTATTATGAATCAGTATCATGTTCGAAAGGGGAAGGAGGGGTAGGAGGTGAAAGCTTACCGGTGGTGGTGGACTTGCCGGAATCGACGTGGCCGATAACGACAATGTTGATGTGGGAACGCTCTTCCTTACTGAGAGGGAGGTTAGTCTTGATCAATGGATGATTCGACGTGATGATGGATGGAAACATACCCCATGGTGACGGTTGAGGATAAAAACTTTTAAAAGGTTTTGAGATTGCACAGATTTTACGGCGTGCGTAAAGGTACTGTGAATATGTTAGAGGATGAAGGAGGAAAGAAGAGAAGAAGGTAGGGGAGGGCAAGTTATACGTACTGATGCGGACGAGGGGAAGAAAGAAAAATTTCAGTGGGAGGGGGAGGGGGAAATCCTTATATGGAGGGGCAAGCGAGAGAGGCGAGTCGTGGGCGGGTTCAAGCCCTTTCCAATCACGCGTTTCCATTGGCTGGACCATGGATCACCTACCCCACCATGGCGGGACCAACGCAGAATCTTCCTGGTGGGCTGTTTGAGTACTAGCTACTTGATTTTGCGCATATTACTGTATGACGCTTGAAGTACCTTATACTTAATCTACTCTCACTTTTTCGCCGTTTCCCTGGTTTCCTCTTCCAGAGGTATCCACTCTGTGTGAATTTTTCTCTCAATCGTGTCCTCCTTCCAGTCCACTCTTCTTAGACTGGGCCGACTGGGCAGCAACGCAGTCCGGTTGGGTAGGTTTGTATTGTTTTGACCTTTTGTTATGGTGGGCTTTTGCTAGCTTCCCCTAGAGCAGAAATTTCTGCTTCTGTGCTCTAATTGTAACATCCCACCTGCCCCTCAGCCGCGGGGCAGTCGCCGTCACCGCCAAAGCTTCAGGACCCACTATGATTCCGACAATGTTATGCATCGAAAGGTTTTGATTTTTTTTTTCGCCACACAGACATGGTTTCTATTATTCAGAGGCTGAAACAATCTTTTGTCACGCCGTCGGGGTCTATAATAGGTATAGCTAGTCACAACAATGACTCCCATCTAAGCTTTCCATACACCAGTAAACCAATATCAAAAAGTCAGACAGACTTTTTTCCTTTCCTTTCTGGTTAGTATGAAATCGGCGGGGACCCATGGGTTGGTTTCTATGTATAAACCCAATTTTTTTCTTTACCTTTTTTTTTTACCTTTCCTATCCGGGCCCAATAGTACTCTGTGCGTCTGACGTAGATCAAATTTTGGGTATCTATCTCGCTTTGTTGTGATCTAAACGCCAATCCCTCGTAGCCTCGTAAATGCGCCATTTTACATGCGAAACAAACCCCCAGCCTCTAGTAAATGAGAGAAACTGAAAATAAAATAAAAAAACAAAAACACTCAGTAATAGGCACTGATAAGCCCAGAAAAAGTGGAAACAAACTCCCGAGCTCTTCGGGCATTAGTTTTCTCTCCACTGGGTTGCACATTTCACACACTAGCCACAGCTGTCAGTTTCGTGCTTCGGCCCCATGCAAGGAGGGGAAAAGGTAAAAAAAAAAATAACTTACCCGCAAGAATGTAGTCATCGGCTCGTCTGCACTGCGAATCTGCAGCTGGTAAAAGTATGCTCGCTCACCATTGCACCCTTCCTTCGGGCATTGAGCTACAACCATGTTAGCTTATGATCCAGATCATCAAATCTGAATTACTCGATGAAACTCACTGGCCACACTGTCCGCATTCTTCCACTCATCCTTGCCACCAAGCGCCTCCTCAACCTCCTTCTGCTTCATGTCGGTGCGGTCATACCACTTCTTTTCTAGCGCCCACTCGTAGGGACAGGTTCGGCATTCGAAGCGGTTCACACCCATTGGATGTTGGTTGGTAGAGTCAGCGCGAGCGATTGTCAGCGCATTGCTGCAGTTGGGGCAGACTAAATAGGACAAAATAGTCAGTCACTGTCGTAGCTGTAGCTGTCGGGTGAAGCTTTTTTTTTTCCTCGCGCGGGGAAGAGGGCGACGGACAAACCAGAGGCATCTTGCCTGATCAAGTCTATTAGATATAGAGAATGGCTTGTAGATCGCACAGTTATCACGAATAAAATCGTTGACTAGATCCTTTGCGCTCGAGTCGCACCCATGAGTCGTCAAATCGTGAATCACCAGTGATTTGCGGGCAGATCTAGGCGCGCGGCTAAACTTGCGGCGGGGGTTCCGGTAAAACACGTGATCAGGCGTGGGATGTCCCTGGGGAAAGCAACGGTCTGAACAACAACAACGTCGCAAGCAGTTTCAAATCGCCTAATCTTTGCAAATCCATTACAGTCAGATCTCGGATTGTACATAATCCCTTCATACGGCCCCACCGGAAACACGTTACAGGTTCACCCACCCTGAATCCCGCCGCTGCGCCACTCTAGGCTCAAACATTTCAAACCAACTTCCGCGGTAACCGCATCCGCGCATCGAGAGTACTTGCTTCGTTTCTCAAATCACACGATTACATTGACAATTGATCACCATGGCCGATGATGAAGTGAGTAAACTGGATCGCTGGGTGTATCGCATGGCTCCCGCTGACCGCTATTTACTTTAGGGTGCTTCCCCCGCGAGCTGGTTGTCGAGGCTTGTCGCCGAGACCAGACAGACCTGATCGAGCAGATTCTCAACAGCATGAGTGAGAAGACAAATGAGGAGGTGGCAGAGTTCTTCAACAGCGTGACGGATGCCCTGGGAAACCACGCATTGCACATTTGCGCTTTATACGGGAGCTGTACGTCGATGATGATCTGCGTTGATCTCCTATATCCCTGAAAGTTAGCTAACAAGTTTATCCTTGCAGACGAAGTTATGGACGCCTTGTTCGACATTCAGTACTTCGAGTGCGACCCTCTGACCCGCATGGATAAGGACACACCGCTACACATTGCCGTACGCTACGCCAACGATAAGAACCCTGAATTAGGTGAGGAGATGATTAGTATGATGTGTGAGGCTGGTTGTGATCCCCGGGTGCGGAATAAGCATGGTCAAAAACCCGCGGATTTGGTCTTCAACAAGCCGGAGATCAAGCAGGTCTTGCAAAAGGCTGAGTATATCCTGGCGGAAGGCATCCAAGATGAGACCATGGGCTCTGATAATGATGTTGCTAGTGATAGCGACTAGATTGAGAACCTTCAGGTGTTTTAACTATGTGTCTTATCTGTTCCTGCTAGATTCCTGGTGGATTGGGAGAACTGTCTTTGAGCGAGAGCCTATTTCTACTGCATATGAACTTAGACTAGGCCATGTCCTTATATTGCGCATAACTACGAATATTACGAATAAATTATGTATTTGCATATTTGAAACCTCGGAATGCCCCGTCGGAGGATGAAATGGCTCCAGGGCTTGAGAGCCCCCATAGAGCATGGAGATCTGTAGATCCATGGATGTATATCTTATCAAACATATATCGAACGGGACCACCGTATCGTTCAATAGACAAGAATTAAATTTAGGACATCTTAACGTCGTAAATAACCTTGGAAGTTAGCCTATAAGCGAGATACATTTTGGCTTATTGAGAACCTTCTAAAATCTAGGACCCTCATCTATTCCCACCCTTCATCTAAACGTTGTCTAAACTCCGCAATCATCTCCGCCGTGATATTGCTTCCACCACAAACAACCACAACAACCCGACTATCCGAATTCAAATCAGGCATAACCTCCTTCAACCGTCCCGCAACAGCAACCTCCAAACTGATCCCACAAGCTAACTCAACCTGCAACCGCATCTCATCTGCCAACCGTAAAATACCCCTCGCAGCATCCGCATCCGATCCAACAAGACTACTAACCTGCACACCAGGCGGCGGATACTTAGCGTTAGCCAAAGTCTTCTTAGCCACACAAAGCGCACCAAGTGAAGTCGCAAGCGAGGTAATAGCATCCAACGAACTCAGCTGGCCCTTCTTCAAAGAATGCGCCAACGAATCAGCTCCCTTAGTCTCCACAGCCAAAACATGCACCTTCTTCACACCAGGAATATCAGTCCCACTCCCAAACTCATCCATATGCTTCTCAAGTCCCGCAACAACACCATTGAAAAGACCTCCACCACCAACACTGCACACGATCGCATCAGCCGGGAATGCACCCGCCACCTGACGCCCACCCTTTTCGCGGGCTGGTAATTGCGCCGCAATCTCATCAACCATACTTCCGGCACCCTCCCAGATATCGGGATGATCGAATGGAGGCACGTATACGTTTACCGCGTTCTCTTCAGGCGATGGTTGCTTTTCGATGAAGCTCTCCCGTAGGTATGTGTCTGCTTCGAACCAGCTTGCGCCGTGCTGGACCACGTCCGTTGCGCCTGCGGAGCGGAGCTTGTTGATCATCATTGGTTTTGTGCTGTGGGGGACGACGACTGTGCAGGCGCAGTTTAGGTCGCGGGCTGCGTGGACGGCTGCTAGACCGGCATTTCCGCCTGAGGAGCTGTAGAGGTGGACTGCTTTGTTTTTGTTGGCTGGATTTTTGATGGCCGAGAGGATTAGGTTGCCAACTCCGCTGTAATTTCGTTAGCATCTTGAGGCTGGAGTAGAAGAGACCGCTTGGGATGAAATGATTGGCGTACCGTGATTTGAAAGACCCGGATGGCTGCAGGAGCTCGAGTTTGAGGAAGATTTTACTGCGATCCTGTTAGTTGACGAATTGGTTCGTATTTGCCCTGCTGGTCTTGTCTTTGGGTAGGAATGAGGGTTTGACTTTGTAGGGAACCTACCATCCTGCGAGCTTGGATAGCGTTGCCGACTCAATGAGTGGTGTTTCGATCCATGGCTTTTTGATAATGGGGGTTGACTGATGCATTGCGACTGAATTGAAGGGGTAGTGCACTTGAGTACCGTGTCAAGTCTAGGGCGGGCAAATTCATCTTATACTGGCGAATTTCCCCCGCACGTATCTTATCGGCTGTGCGGGCAAAGCGCGCCCTGTGCCTGACATGTCATTTGCCACACAAGGAACATTGCAACGGTTGTGAGATGTACAGCATTTGGTCAAGTATGTAAAAGATCAGTTTCAAGGACCAGTCACCTAATATATAAGGTATGTGCCTGTTACTTTTTTAGGTACCTATCCTGGGGTACGACGCGCCTCAGCAATCTCGACGCGATATGCTTATCGTGCCGATAAGGGACAAACTCCAAGGACACATTGGAAGGCACTCTTTGGGATTTAGCAGGAAAATACCAGGACTTAGAAGAGTAAGTGTAGCGTTTTTGACTAAAAATGAGAGCTCAAGTAATATAAACTCATTGCCAAGCGTCTCCACGTAAACGCCCGACGGATTCCGCGCCTTTAATGCAGGTCGTCATGATGTGACGTCTTATTGGATCTCGGCAGGTGAAGATATGCGTGGTGTATCATTCGCGATAAGGTGACAGCATTCTGTCATACTCGCGAGTCGTGACACCTTCCGTTAGTTGCCGAGGACAGCTTGAAGATCGTGTGATAGTTGGTTTTATAAACGGTTCAAACCAATAAAGCCGTTTATCTTGTACAAACGTGCAAGATTGACCGATTGATTAATTGGCACCGTAGTGTATTGCGGGACTCGAGGGCTTGCGTCCCGAGCACGGGGACGCATACAGCGCTACACAGCTGACTAGCGAGTTCGTTTATGGTCCTAGCTACAGCCACTTTGATAAGATACCGCTCAAAGGATCTGGGTCAATGCCACATACCCTGAACAAACTCCTAGCGATCAGAGCCCTCAATCTTGGCTTCTAGCAGTCCTCAAGTGTGTCCTGCTTTGGATACGATATTCTAAATCTTCTGGGTTCTTCAAAATGTCCGAGTCCCCAGTGGCGTTTTGTTCCAACAGTGACAACACCTTTGTGGTCAGAGTAAACCCCAACTGCCGGGCGTTTGATTTCACGCTATTCTTCGAAGATGTCTTCTTTTCGGTTTTGCCTGCAAGCACTTTTCTCTTACTCGCTATACCCCACATACTCATCTGGCGCAAACAAACCATCAAACTTAGCTCACCTAAACTCGCCATTTATAAATTGGTAAGTGCATCCAATACCCAAAGGAAACCCGTCACTCGTCATTAATCATAAAACCAGATACTTCTCTCGCTGTTATTTGCTCTGAGTAGTGCTTTTCTGGCCTTCCGACTGCGTGATGAAGCTCTCTTCACAAATATCGCTTTGGCATCTTCCATTCTGGACACAGCGGCCAACGGCACTGCAATCGTGCTTTCCTTTCTTGCTGATCAGCGTGCGATCAACCCTTCCTATCTACTCAGCTTATATTTCTCATTAGGCAGTGTTCTGTCCATCCCCAGACTACGCTCATTGTGGCTTATTAACTCCGATCAGACCTGCCGGTCCATTTGGACGGCCATTTTCACATTGACGGTACTGGTTGCCCTCGCAGAGTCAGTAAACAAAGAGGCAATCTTGTTGCCGGATGTCAGAGACAAGGCTAGTAAAGAGGAGATCCACGGACTTTGGGGCCGGAGCTTCTTTACCTGGACAAATTCTGTTTTCAAAAACGGATACCGTGCCGCCTTGCAGGTGGATGACCTACCTGACGTGGATAACAGCTTGCAGGCATCGCTCGCTGGGGAAAAGATACATCGAGCATGGACCAAGGGTAGTCACGAGACAAAACGCTATCGTCTAATACGAGCAACGCTTCGAGCATATTTCTGGCCTTTTTTGTCTGCTATAATTCCTCGCCTGATCTTGATCGCTTTCAAATTCTGTCAGCCATTTTTGATCACAGCAGCTGTGAATTATGTTAGTAGGCCGAAGGCTTCCCCTGACTACTTTGGACAAGCACTCATCGGTGCCTTTGTCCTTGAGTACTTCAGCATGGCAGTTGTTACTTCCATATATTGGCGACAGGCCTTCCGCTTTGTGACAATGATAAGGGCAGGGCTGGTATCGATGATTCATAGGAGGCTAATGCAATCAAGAACGGTAGATGTCAAGGAATCAGAAGCTGTCACCCTCATGGAGGTTGATGTAGATAGGATCGTCAGGGTTCTGCGCAACTTGCATGAAATATGGGCTTGCTTGGTGGAGATCATTATCGCAATCTGGTTGCTTGAGCGGGAGATGGGGGCTGTCTGTGTGGTACCCGCATTGATATCCATTTGTATGGAGGCCTTCCCCACGATATGCTGAGAAATGGATACTAACCATCTTCAGTATCCGTTGCTGCCTCGCTTCCTGTGTCAAAAAGATTCAAAATTAGCCAGCAACTCTGGGTCCAACGAATTGGAGAGAGAGTGATTACGACTGCAGGTGTCTTGAGCAACATCAAAGCGGTGAAGATGTTGGGATTGAATAAAGCAGTTTATAGTCTTGTGACTGAATTGCGAGAGCTAGAGTTGCAAACCTCACAACACTTTCGGAAGCTATTAATTTGGACAATTGCTCTATGTAAGTTCATGTCCTACTGAGTTATTCACCCCCCGCAAAAAGACCCCTTACTCACTCCTCTAGCTAATGTACCATCTGACTTTGCACCATTTGCAACTTTCTTGGTATATGCAATTGTCTCGATTGTGAAAGGAAACGGGTACCTCCTATCTGCTCAAGCATTCACATCTCTCTCCTTGATCAGCTTATTGACCAGCCCATTGCTCACATTTATTCAAACAACTCCTGGCCTGTTTCAATCCGAGGCATGCTTCAACCGAATTGAGGAGTTTTATACTCAAATCTCCCCCGAAGATTTGGATACCATTAATGATAGGGAGCAGGACGATGAACTGATTATCTTGGACAACGCATCTTTTTCTTGGAATTCTGATTCACAGCCAGTCCTGCAAAATGTTGATCTCGTGATCGGAAGAAAGTCAATCACATTGGTCACAGGCCCTGTTGGGTCTGGCAAAACCGCTTTGCTAGAAAGCATTATGGGTGAAACAACTCTCCGAGAGGGTACATTGACTGTCAAGACATCACGTATCGCTTACTGCTCTCAAAACGCTTGGATTATCAACGATACCATCCGAAGTAACATCACTGGGCATGGTGAGATTGATGAAAAGTGGTACGACTTCGTCTTACAGGTCTGTTGTCTGAAGGGGGACCTCCAAAGAATCCCTCAAGGTGACATGTTCACCTGCGGCAGCGGTGGAGTGGCTCTGAGTGGAGGGCAAAAACAGCGTATTGTATGTTCACCTGTGCTCTCGTAATTATATGATCTAATTTACTGTCCTAGGCACTCGCTCGAGCGATCTATTCCAAAGCAGAAGCCATTGTTCTTGATGACATCTTTGCTGGACTTGATCCCAAAACCCTTAGTTCCATATCAACGCAGTTATTCAGCGATAATGGCTATTTCCGGGAAGCAGGCAAAACGGTCATCATAGTCACACAGAATCGTGAGTTTTTGGCTTCTTTCCGAAAGATGAGATCATAACGGTATTGAATTGTCATAGCTCGCTTAGTTCATTTTGCCGACAACACCATCAGTCTCAATAATGGCATACTCAGCAGTCAAATTAAGTCCAAGGGGGAAATTGAACTAGATAAGCCGGAATCACTAGGCGAGTGGGAGTTTGCAGAGGGGCCTTCGGAAGAGACTAGCCCTCTTGAGTCTACTGACAATACAGCAAACACGAAGTCCCGTGAGGACAAGAAAGATGACCAATCCAGACAGAAGGGCGGGTCGGGTGTCTATCGCTTTTACCTAAAAAGATCCGGAGTTGGGGTAGTAGTGTGTTTCATTGCAGCAATGAATCTCGAGGCGGCCTGTGGAAATGTGGCATGTAGGTTGAACGAAAATTTCCAATTAAATATGGATTGCTGACGTTTCGAAGCTGTTTGGATCCAACAATGGTCGAGCGCCAATGCAAAGGATCAGAAAGATCATGTTGGCATGTATCTTGGAGTGTATGCAGTTTTTTTGATTGCATCAACCTGTGGATTAATGGCAGGTTCTTGGTAAGGAACTCAACCGCTTCGGAGTATTCAAGTTGTTCTAAGGCTGATATCTGCAAGGCTATTGTTCATCACAATAATAAACCGCACGGCCATACGAATGCACTCAGATCTCTTGGGATCAGTTCTCGGGTGAGTTCTTCTTCTAGTAATGTGCTTGTGCCTTTTTCCACCGAATCCCGCTCACCAATTGGATGTGCAAAGGGCCCCCTTTCATTTTCTGCATAGTACCGATTTGGGATCGCTGGTCAACAGGTATGTACAGACCTTATAGAGAGTATATCTCTCTAATTGGGTTTAAACGGTTTCACAGTTGACGAGATGACAGATTTAGTGAAGATATGACCCTCATTGATATGAATCTTCCTGTTGACGCAATCAACGTAGCTGGAAGTAGGTTGCTAAGCCCCCATCCGCCTATCTCTTGAGAAAATAATAATTTGCTGATAAACTTGATGAAATATAGGTAGCGCAAGCTGTATTGCAAAGGTCATAATTGCTTGTGTCTTTGGCAAGTATCTCACTGCAGCAATGCCCGTTCTGGTCGCTGTTATATGCCTTGTTCAGAGCTATTACTTGCGTACATCACGACAAGTACGATTGCTAGATATTGAAGCAAAAGCACCACTTGTTTCTCACTTCTTGGAGACAATGCAAGGAATCACGACTCTGAAGGCACTCGGCTGGTCTTCACATTTCCAGAAAGCTTTCGAGAGTAGCTTTGTCGTTTCTCAAAAGCCATTTTACATGTTATACTGCATACAACAGTGGTTGACATTGGTCCTTGATTTGATCACTGGAACAATGGCCATTATTCTTATTGCAATCACTGCGTCATTACGAGATCACTTTTCTGGGGGCTCTGTCGGTGTTGCGCTCTATATGATCATGACCTTGAACCAGGCTTTGGCACAGCTCATCAATTATTGGATATCGCTGGAGACTTCCATCGGCGCAGTTTATCGTGTGAAAACATTCTTGCAAGACACTCCATCGGAATCTGATCATGCTTGCTCTACAGAGTCGTCGTTTTCGAAAGGCGCTATCGAAATTGCCAATCTAACTGTTTCGTATAAGTGAGTAAACCTGCTTCATAGGCTGATGTTTTGTGAATACCTAACAGACTTTAACAGTCCTTCTACCGCACCGGTTCTGAAAGGTCTTTCTCTAAACATCCTTCCGGGAGAGAAGGTCGCTATATGCGGGCAGTCCGGAAGTGGCAAAACCTCATTGGTACTTGCTCTTCTCCAGATGATGGAGGTTCAAGATGGATACATCAAAATTGACGAGACGAACTTGGCCGGCCTCAAACCTGATTCTCTTCGTGCATGTTTGAGTGTTGTCTCTCAGGATCAATTTCTTCTTCCTGGCACTGTCCGATTGAATATGGATCCGTATAAGCGAACCTCGGATGAAACGATTCAACAGGCTTTGAACCTTGTTGGGTTATGGAACAGGATAAGTTCTGGGGGAGGTTTGGAGATGAAACTCAAGAGCTCAGAATGGTCTGTTGGCGAGAAGCAGTTATTGGCTCTTGCTCGAGCTATGGTTATTCGATCCCCCGTCCTCATCTTGGATGAGGCTACAAGCAGGTGCGTCACACTCTTACTAAGAACGAATCCATGAGTTGACTGTGAAAATAGCGTCGATCTAGATACCGAGGCTCTCATGCAGAGGGTCATAGCGGATCATTTCAGCTCTCAAACTGTCGTTTCTGTCATCCATCGCTTTGGAAATATTCGACAGTTTGACCGGGTTATCTTGATCAAAGATGGCGTTATGGTTGAGAACGACTCCCCGGCGACGCTTCTCGGTGCGGAATCAGAACTTCGCAAACTTTATGACCTCACCCAACAGACTATATAAAGCGAGCAATATCTGTTTTATTTTGTTTGGTTGAAGTGTTCATTCTATTCTTTCAGATGCAGTCATACTTACCTAGAACCGTTAGAGTGATTTTGTACATTGAGTGGCCAAGGAGTGTCTGTGCATATGAGATGAATACAATGGCTAATCAGTACAGACATTTCGGTTTTTGACAGTAGTATATTCAACATGACGATCTAATAGTGGGATCATTAGTAAACCCAGTAGGAATGAATCAAAACATAGAATACAGATCACATTGGATATCATCTAGCTCGCAAAACAAAAAAATACAGAAATCCAAGTTCTCCAAAGATACAAAAGTGAAATGGCTATATATGCATCCCGCAGCCCAGCCCGGATCATCAACTCCTGATCGAAACCGACTTTTATTGTTTCATAAAGAAACGTAAACTTCACTTCTTCTCTATGACTTCTGAGCCTGCTTGGCCAGCAGGTTCAGGGCACTACCGGCAAGGATGAATCCAGACTGGTCCTTGCTGAGAGTGTGGTTGGTAGGGACAAGGAAGGTCTCGCCAGTCTTGCGCTTGGTGACGCGCAGCTGGATCTCACCCTGGCCACCGGCCTTGAGGGTGTCGTACAGGCCGACGGTGTCGACGGTGTCACAGGCATCAATGCGGTCGTAGTCCTCACGGTTAGCAAAGGTGAGAGGGACAACACCCTGCTTCTTCAGGTTGGTCTCGTGGATACGGGCAAAGCTCTTGGAGACAATGACACGGCCTCCGAGGAAACGGGGCTGCAGGGCAGCGTGCTCACGGGCAGAGCCCTCACCGTAGTTGTCCTCAGCAACGACAAGCCACTCCTTGCCCTGGTTCTTCCACTGCTCGGCGAGCTCGGGAATACCGGACTTGTTACCGTTCTCGTCGTAGGCGACGTTGGTCTCGCCAGTGGCGGCGTTGACGGCACCGATGAGAGTGTTGGCAGAAATGTTGGGCAAGTGACCCTTGTACTTGAGCCAGGGTCCAGCGGCCGAGATGGTATCAGTTGTGCACTGGCCCTTGACCTTGTACAGAACCTGCAGACCGGAAAGGTCACCCTCGGGGAAGGGAGCGAAAGGCTCCAGCAAGGCCAAACGGTCAGAGGTGGGCGAGACCGAGACCTCGACGCTGGCATCGGGGATGGCGGCAGTAGGCTGGAACTTGGGGTTACCAGCCTCGAAACCAGCGCTGGGCAGGTCAAAGCCCGAAGGGGCCTCGAACTTGAAGGCCTCGCCGCTTGGGGTGGTCAGGGAGTCGGTCATGGGGTTGAAGGTAGTGGTACCAGAGTAGGCGAGGGCAGTGACCAGCTCGGGGGAAGCCAAGAAGTTCATAGTACGACGGTTGCCATCGTTACGACCGGGGAAGTTACGGTTGTAAGAAGTGAAGATGGCGTTATCCTCGTTCTTGGGGGTCTCATCAGTACGGTTCCACTGACCAATGCAAGGACCACAGGCGTTAGCGAGAACAATGCCACCAGCCTCGGAGAAAGTGGACAAAGTCTGGTCACGCTCGAGGGTGGCACGAATCTGCTCACTACCGGGGGTGATGAAGAAGTCAGCCTTAGGCTTCAAGCCTGCGGCGGTGGCCTGCTTGACCAAGTGCTCAGCACGGGTCATATCCTCGTAGGAAGAGTTTGTGCAGCTACCGATAAGACCAGCACCGAAAGTCTCGGGCCAGCTCTTCTCGCGAACGGTGTCGGCAAACTTAGACAGAGGGACAGAAAGGTCGGGAGTGAATGGACCGTTGATGTGAGGCTCGAGCTCAGACAGGTTAATAGTGATCACCTGGTCGTACTCGGCCTCGGTATCAGCGCGCAGCAGGTTCTGAGGGCCAGAGGCAGCAATCTCAGCAGCAGCCTTGGCGACGTGACCACGGTGAGTGGCCTCGAGGTACGGCACCATGCTAGGCGAGAAGGGGAAGAGCGAAGTGGTAGCGCCAACCTCAGCACCCATGTTACAGCAGGTAGCCATACCAGTGCAACTCAGAGTCTCCACACCAGGTCCGTGGTACTCGACGATGAAGCCAGTACCACCACGCACAGTGAGCTTGCCAGCGAGGTGCATGATGATATCCTTAGGAGAGGCCCAGCCGCTCAGCTTGCCCTCAAGGCGCACACCGAGGATCTTAGGCGCCTTCAACTCCCAAGGGGCATCGACCAAGGCATCGACGGCATCCGCACCACCAACACCAATAGCAATGGCACCCAAACCACCTCCGTTGGGAGTGTGGCTGTCGGTACCAAGCATCATCAGACCGGGGGCAGCGTAATTCTCCAGCACGCTCTGGTGAATGATACCAGCACCAGGGGGCCAGAACTCAATACCGTAACGCTTGGCAGCACTCTCCAGGAAGTCGAACACCTCGCTGTTACCCTTGATCGAGGCGGGAAGATCAGTGTCGGCACCACGCTCACCAACAATCATGTGGTCGCAGTGAATACTGGCAGGAACAGCGGTTGAAGGCAGACCGCAGGACATGAACTGGAGCAGGGCCATCTGGGCGGAGGCATCCTGCATGGCCACACGATCGGGCTTCAACTTCAAGTTGGCATTGCCGCGAATGTCACGGCCATTGTTGGTACCGGAAAGCAACGATTCCTCGGGATTGGCCAAATGAGCGTACAGAATCTTCTCAGCAAGAGTCAAGGCACGATCGGAGCCGAGAACCTTGCGAACCTGCTCGAGGTTTCGGACAATCTTGGGGTAGGGCGGCATCCGGGAGGAGGAGGCTTCGGTGGCCAGGCCACGGGTAATTCGTTGTGGGGACAGGCGCGCGGCCAGCTGTTTGAGGTCAGTAAAGGTTCAATGCCTGCCATTCAGCCTTCTGGAGTCTCTAGAACTCACCCTGCGAGAGGCATTAGCCCGCTGCCAAACTAGCTGGCTCACCATCTTCAAATGTGGAGGTATGAGAACTGGGGATGAGTCAGGGTTGAGGTTTCAAGGGCTTTTTTTCGCCGTCGGAGTCTGAATTATTTGCCTTGGCCCTGATTGGCCGGATGTTGCGCCGATACCGGTTGTTTAAAAGAATTGTGGGGAAATCAGATTATACGATCTACAGATTACGTAGCGATCTTATGTTAATGGTCATTTGTATAAAAATGGAGAGTCCCGGTCTGGTAACAATCATGGCTAGGATGACACAATGGCATTATATTGTTACCTTACAAGCAACATAGAAGATGAAGTAATTTCGAGATAAATTGTTCCAAGATTCAATACTCAGATACCAGCCCTCCCTCCGTAAGTAGTACCAGTAGCAAAATCGATTTCAAGACTGCCACATATTAAACGCCTCGTGAATACAAGAAAGGAAAAGTCATTAGGTCAAGCCCAAAAAGTACAGTGGCAAAGCATCCGGGGCATTTCATAGATGGCCAATCCATCATACAGATGGGTAGGAACAACACATAATGGAAATGAAGAAATAAACAAGGCGGTCGAGGCAGTCATTAGGACTGGCTTTCATCATCTGCCACGGCGGCCCGCAGTTCCCAGACGAAATCATAGCATTCTGCGAGCAGGGCGTTCACACTTCCTTGGCCCTCAGGAATGTCGGGGCCAACATAGAACTTTCCATCAACGCGCATGTTGTCGATTGAATTGAGCTGCTTCAGTTAGACGACCATAATGAAAAATGCGTGCTGAGGGGACCGGTTTCATACCTTCATGCTGTATGGGTACAGCTCTCTCGAGTTTGACACGCCGCCAGACTCTTTGACCTCGATTAGACAGCGACGAAGGGTCTGCAGTTGGTTGTAGACCGGTAGCAAAGCCTCGGACACGGGCTCTGAAGAGATCAGAAGGGCGTAGATGTATGCATAGCTTCTTCGAATAAGGTACAGCAGGGTCTGTTTCTCAATTAGCATGGTGATTTTGCGATGAATACAACGCCATTACTTACCCTCTGCGCGTGGAGATCAGCAGGTTGCCCTTCAGCGTCAACAAAGTTGCCATTGACGCGGGCCTCATCAATTCGATCGAGTTTGCGCTGGTATCCGAAGAGGTCTGTCTCTCGAAGCGACCAGGCCTGCGTGACTGACAGTCGGTCTAGCTGGTTGCGAATTTCAAGCAGACGCTCATATTGGTCCTGGAAGCGCTCCAAGACTTTGCCTTGCCTGCATTGAAATTAGTCACGAAAAAAATTATTATCATGGGCAATGAACATACCGCTCAAGAACAATCTCCGTCCACCGCCAGCATCGCTCCATCAGTGATTTGACATCATCCTGGCCAGGAAGAATGTTACCCTCGGAATCCACAAAGTTCCCATCCTTCATCTGGCTCTCGATCTTTTTCAATTGATCTCGAAGGCCGTTTACTTCCGTAGCCGAGAACTATTTCCAGGAGAGTACTTTAGCGTAACTCAAACAAAGGAAAGGGATCTAATGCCTACCTTCGAGCGGGTGTTAACTGCAGACGTGGAGCGCAGGATGGAAACCAGGGTCTCGTGGGTCTGGGCCAAGGGTGGGGCCAAGGCCGCAAGTCCTTTCTGCAATCTGTCCAGGGAAATCTGGCATTGTTCTAATCGACTTTCAAGGAGGGTCAGAAGAGCTGGTGAGTATGTATTGCGGCCGCGCTCGAGAGTTTCCCGCATCGATTCGAGGGTCTTCGTGATTGAATTCAAATCTTTAGAGCTGTAAAACCCAGCTTCTTCAAGGTGGTCAAGCAGACGCTATAAGAGAAAAAGGTTAGAGGCGATTTCGAATACCAATGGGAGCTTAGTCTCAAAGAAATACCTGGATGGTAGTTGCTAGCGAGTACCTAGACAAAGAAATCAGTACTGATAAGGGAACCGCGGGGTAGTCGATAGTCTGCTTACACTGCCGGGGCCTCATTATTCTTGCCCACAGTTAAAAAGAGCAAGGAAATCAACTGGAAACAATCATCCAACACATAGTCCACTGTCAATCATTGGCGGTAAGTCACGCTGTACATGGGGAACGCACGGGCCTATCGGCCTATTCGTTACTCACATCGGTTATGGATCAAGCGGCGGTCTTGCTCTTTACGAGCTGCATTGAGCTTCTCCACTTCTCCAATAACCTCCTCGTATAGAGGAAGGACATCGCGAGACTTAATGTAGGACGACTTGTCTTGTTTGAGGAGCAGGAGAGAGTCGCGGGTCCGAAGCAGGCGTTCGAGGATGGGCTGCTCCCGCGGATCCAGCGGGACCGGGATGGCGGGGGAGTCCATTATCGAAAGGGTCGGGAATAGGTCAGGTAGGGACAAAATCAATACAGGATGAGAAGATGATGTAAAAGCAGATCTGAGATCTGGAACAATATCACACGTGAAATAGAATGATAATGCGTTCGTGGAAACCCCACAGTCTGTGATGTCAGTTCGGGACCGATTGATATGGTCTTGCGATACGCTGATTACTACGGGATTATGTCATCCGGGCCGGATTGGGAGTAGCGCAGACTGCCTCAAAGTCACGGGAAAGAGGGATGCACTAGTCCCGATTTAGCCAAGCCCTAAGCGAGGGCTTTTCCCACACACGCCAAGAAGCAGTTGCCATGTTCGGATAGGCTTTTGATACCCTTCACTCTTCTCTTCTCTTTCCATCACTAACTTCAACCCGGTCAACCCCAGTCGACAAAATGTCCACCTCCGAGCTCGCCTGCTCTTACGCCGCTTTGATCCTTGCCGATGATGGCATTGAGATCTCTGTACGTATTTCCTGAGATCGAGGAAGTTGAAGATGTGAAGTGGACAAGCCCCCGCCAGGAGTTCTTCTACGTGACTCTTGGATCGCATAGGGAGAGGCAAATGGCGGGCGCTGGATCTGCTGCGCTACAACATATATGAGACATCGGCTAATCTCAATATCGTTTCACAGGCCGACAAGATCCAGACTCTCCTGACTGCCGCCAAGATCCAGGAGGTTGAGCCCATCTGGGCCACCATCTTCGCCAAGGTAAATTTCTGAACCCGCCTATTCAACAATCAATCGCATTCTCCGCTTTGTCTACGAAAAATCGGGGGGAATTTGCCCATGCACAACGAATTCAAGATCACGGACTTACACGATTTTTCTTCTACCAGGCTCTTGAGGGCAAGGACATCAAGGACATGCTGACCAACGTTGGCTCCGCTGGCCCTGCTCCCGCTGCTGGTGCCGCCGCTGCCGGTGGTGCTGCTGCCCCCGCCGAGGCCGCCGCTGAGGAGAAGGTTGAGGGTAAGTTTTGGCTCAAGTGGTCTACACACTATGATGGTTTACTAACTCCCACACAGAGAAGGAGGAGTCCGATGACGACATGGGATTCGGACTTTTCGACTAAGCGGTTTAACCGTTCCGAAGTTGAAGTCGTTTCCTTTTTGCCGTTTACCTTACCTTTTATCCCGCTGCCGCCTTGCGGCTCCCTCGACGATTCTCTCTTGTACTCGATACTCCACGACCCCTGCTACGAAGACCTAAATCACGGGGAAGAAAAAAAAGAAAATAGCAAAATTCAAACGGACAAGGACATTCAATGGAGACTGGGTGCTCGGTCTACCTCCGCCTCGAGTGCCGGAGGTAGAATCGATCGGATGCCTTTGTGATTCCGAAACTTATGTTGCTTCCAAGTTATTAGGGGAATTCAAGAGACGTTTGGCACAACTTTTTTCTTATTTGATCATGGTTTATGCCCTGGCCTGGCAGGTAGATGTAGGTTGTGTTTCGATTGCCCCATAGATGAGTCTCGGCTTGTTTATGGTCTTTATGATATGCGCCACGACCTATGAAATGCTTCTTTTCAATTCTGGTCTGGGGTAATTCCGTAGTTGATCGATCACACTTGTAATCTGAGGACTGGTGTAGTATGACGTAGGAGCAAAATACGGGCCTATCAAATGGATATACTTTCAAAACATGAATGCGGCCTTGCGTGCTCGTGGAATAAAGTGTTATTATTGATTTGCTTTTGGCTTAACTACTCCGCAACAACCATGATAAAAAACGCCATGTTCGCTCCAAAACGTTTCCCGGCCAAACGCATGCAGACAGTCCGTCAAAATAAAAACCATCGGGTACAACGGTTGCATATGGATCAGCACGATATATGCGAGTACAAACACAGTTAAAGATCCAAAAGAGAGACAATCTCAAGACACTGCCAACAGGGGTTCCTGTGTAGCATAGATGCGGAATTGGCAAAAGATAACCACATCTTCGGCCATGGTTCCCAAAGAGCCAATCAACCAGGGCAGGTTGGTTATAACATATTCTCGTTCCATCGAGTGGGCCAGGATCTGCGTAATGTCAGTAATTGATTGGTTTTCCTATGCACAGCAATTCAAGTATCACATACCCCGGCGCCATAGGTCAGGTTACCCAGAAGAGAGAGGATGAAAAATAAGAGTGACAAGCCTATACCGCGATTTTAGTTCGTGTTCTGTACGAGACACAAAGATTGGATAGACACACCTTCACATGACTTGTCACTGTAGTTCTTGTAGATCTGAGGCAATCTCGCTCTATCGCAAAGTCAGCATCAATCTCAGTCCACCACCAGGCACAACACTTACCCCAGATAACAAACAGAACTAAAGTATCCCAGGATCTGCCCACCAAGGGCGATGTCCACCGCACTCGCATGCGCTTGCGGCGCTGGCGCTGGCGTCCACATTCCAGTCTGCCAAGCAATCGTCCAACCAGCCATGCCAATAACGAAAATGCCCAACACACTGATACAGTTCTTCAGCCAGGCCTTGCGTCCGTACTCACTCTCCTCCACGATCTTCGCCAACGGATCCTCAACCTGGCTATCCCGGCGCCCAGCACCCTGGTAGCCACGGCAAGAACCCGACGACCGCCGCCGCCCATGGGCACCCTCTAGTGAATCGCTGAACCGGCGACCAAGGAGCGGGGTCGTGGGATCAAACGTCTCGGTTGAGGAGCGCCGGCGCCGGTGCACGGACTCGAGGCGGGTGTTCCGTGCTTTATAGTATAGGCATTGTGAGATAAGAACACCGTCTGCGATGCAGAAGTATACGGCAATTGCAATAATGACGGGTACTAGGCCTGCTAGTAAACCGCCTATGAGGTTGGCGATATCACCGATGAACCAGACGAGAACGAAAAGGAAAGAAATTGCTTCCGCGTTACCGTTGCGGTAATTTTCGATTAGCTGGGGGACCTATTGAATGGAATTGTTAGATCCTTTTTGTTTTGTTCTTATTGTTTTTTGTTGCGCGCTTGCGCTGTCCACCCCCGTCTCGGTTGGATTATGGTGACGTACCAACAAGAAAACCCAACAAGTCATAGACACCGAGCCCAGAAGCCCGGACGCCGCCTCGGACGGCGTAAGGGGTATAGGGTCTAGCGTCATGTCGTTTAAAATATGCGCCAGATTCACAGATTTGTGCGGTCGCAAGTCCCGAGAATGCTTTCAAGGTTTTCGCGGGGGCCGTGAGAAAATTGCGGGTGCGGCTGGGCCGTGCTATGACACAATCGACCCTGGATCACTTCCGGGGCAGCTTTGAGACGGAGAATGTCAGCGCGCATGGGCTTGAGTAAGACTGAGGTGAAAGCTTGAAACTCTTTCAAATAGGAAGAGGGGAAAAAAAGTATAGCACTAGTCTGCTGAGTTTTTAAAATAGATAAGGATGAAAAAATTAGTACGCTGCACCTGTTGCATCGATAAGGTGAAACGTGCACTTGATCAGCCAATCAGCGATGCGGCTCTACTTGATTACCTGCATATGCAATGCAGATTCGGAGTGTAGACGCGATCTATAGATGATGAGATTGAATCTTAATATTTGCTACTGGCCAAGTCTTTTGACATGCTCGTAGTCATTTCTGTATGGAATGTTGGTTTCGACGCGCGACGTATGTACAGCGATTGCCCAATTGTATATATTCCCGCTGGCCATCATATGTATACTAAACTACATCTGCATCTGCATCTACACAGCCACAACGCGGTCACGCGTGAACTTTCTCAATAGGGAAACTTGATTAAAGGGATTTTCATGCAACCTTCCGAGGCTGGAAGTTTTTACATTTCATTCCAGAGCTGGCGTGACCCTTGGAAACTATAGAAATGGATCCTATCCGACGCCTTGGTCTCAATCCAAATCGCTAGGATTGGAGATCTCTTCCTGCATCATCTCAAGTTCATCCTCAAGCATGGTGACTGCAAAGTCTCCGATGATCTCCTGGACTGGGCCATGCAGCAACCGCTGTCGAGATGTCTCTGGTTGGATTTCCGAGAGAGCCTCCAAATAATCCGTCAGCGGAGCATAGTCTACAACGTCGCCCCAGTTGCCACGGTCCACACCGTGCTCAGTCAGGAACATTTGTAGGGATTCTAAACCATCCTGCAAGAGCCATTGCTCAAGGACTTGTCCATCCCCTTCCAATCCACGCGGGCGACCGCCTGCATTGTTACCAGCGCTATCTTCGGCGAGATCTTCATCCCCATCGGCACCCTCTTGAAGGCCCACCTGGTCTAGAAGATTGCGTAGCCACTGTGGCCGTCCGGCCTCGGGTATTCGCGAAATATAAGAGGGAGTAGGGTCGGACTGTTGGCGGTAGGCTTCTGATTCATACGGAGGTAAAGGATCCGAGGCAGAGAGTCGACCGGTCACGAAACGGTTAGGGAGATGAGTGGTGACGCTGGGCGTGTCCGACAAGATTACATGACGAGCAATGTCCAAGGTGATCTCAGGTGGCTCAATGGGCTCTGGTTCTCCAGACAGAGTATCGGCAACTTCCATAATCAGGGATACTGCTTCGGGAGTGTTCCAAAGGTCCTTAGAACGGACAATGTAAAGTTCTGTGAGAAGCTCATGGGATCCAGTGGGAGGCATCTTGCCCCAGATATGCTTGGGGATATGTTGGAGGTCCAATTCTTGAGCCAACCGATTAAAGATCCACGGGAAGCGAGACATGGCGCGGTGAAGCTGCTGGCGACATTCCTGAGGCTTTTTCAAACGAATATATGCCATCACTAAAGAGCACTGAATATTTGGGAGGTCAGCCCAATCGCGGCGGAAGCGAGTCTGAGTGCACAGCTCCACAAACTGTGCATACTCTCGACCGCGTAATGCGAGAGAATCGATCATCAACTTCATGCAGTAGGGGTCGGAATCATTCAAGCTGAGAAGTAGCTTGGCCCATTCGTAGGCTGTTCGCCATGTTCCCTTCATTCCTAGATTCGCAATATATCTCCATCCCACAAGCCATAACTCTCGGTTCTCCGCATGCAAAAAGTCAAGTCTGGCTTCACCATCCTTGAGTCTGCTGCCAAAGGATGAGTGGGCAGAGCGACCAATATTGAACAGTGCTCTTTCCAAAAGATCGGCTGACACAGCATGGTCGCTCTGGTGCTTAGCAATCTCAGAGACCTGGAGAAGAGTGGAGATGTGATAAGGATTGTATTGAAGATGGTGGATCAGTCTCTGAGGATCCATCGACTCAACACAGAGCTCGAATTGATGTTGCACGTCCGTGTATGCCGCGTTGTGTAAGATTTTGTAGAGTATGCCACCTGAAGGAAGCCTTTCCCCCATCTCCATGCCTAGTCCTCCGCTTGGAGCTCGAGGCCATTCGTCCTTTCCTTGCATGAGGACATTTCGTCGTAAGGTGACACCACCCAGGCTCTGACCTCTGCTGGCTGGACTGTATCGACCCGTCAAAGCGCGACCTAGATCGACATTTTCTTCCCGATTGCGATCTCGACGGCGGCCCGCTCCTGCATCCGAATCGAAGTTTTCCAACGCCACATTTCCAAACAGCCTGCGCATCTCATTTGTAGGGTTGAGGAACTTGGATTCGATCGACAGCAGCTCATCGGTGGTTTTTGGGAAGGTGGCATCTTGGCTCGAAGCAAGAACAGCTGAAGGATTAATCCCAGATGGCCCTCCTTTGACAGCTAAATCTTTCAAGGCCTGATCAATCTCATCTAGCTCAGATTCATCCTTGGCTTGCTCTTTGGTTGGCTCTGCGGCGGCCTTCTTGGCCTTCTTCTTCTTCTTTTTTTTGCTTGCACTCTTAGGTTTTGTTGGCTCGGGCTCGGGCTCTGGGGCTTGCACCGCAGATTCTTCCAATTCCTCCTCTGGCTCATCATCGTCGTCATCATCACCGGCATTTAGGAGATCGAACGCATTGAACTTGGGCTTCGTGGGGCGCGGGGTATCATCGTCGCTTGACTCATTATGCTGCTCGGTTTGCTGCAGCTCCTGCTCGCGCAGGAGCTTCCGAATTGCGCGAGAGGACATTTGGAAATAAGAAAACAAAAAAAAAAAGGCAAAATGCAACCAAAAATCGAAGTTTTGCGACAGAGAGACTAGAATTGCGATTAAAATCCGCGGGGAATGACGACACTTCTTCATTAGGCCTAGCGCGGTACCTGTTACACGTGACGCTCCTTATCATCTATCGCTCTCTTGTTGTCCTCCATACCATTCTAGAGTGTCATTTTGCCGGACCTCTTGCTAGATATTTTTCAAAAACCACAGTCCAGAATCGCTGCTGCCTCTACACATTCGTGAATATTGTCAGAATCAATGCGTCGGGCGACTGTGCACGCTTTCCGTACTGCTAGGCGCGCCCCAGTATGGAAAGTTGCCGGTAAACGGCCGAGTCCGCTCTCTTTCACCCACAACCAGGTACGAGGCCTACGGCCATACTCCGGCGGTCGACGTCCATCCTACATCCCAGCGGGTCTGCAATCCTCCATGCAACTCCGCAACTTTTCCCTCGCCGTGATTTCGGGCGTGGTCGCTTCCGGGGCGTGGTATGCGTATCAGGGTGACGGCGCTCAGTCATTAGCAACACAGGTTCGAGGATTCGCCTCCAGCGCGATCACATCTGCCCACGCCGAGGGCCCTTCAGACCCGGCACGCCGCGCTCTTTGGGTCAGCAACGACCAATTCTACACCGCGACGATCTCCGGAGACCAACCGCTTTCGAAAACGACCGACGATTCGGAACGGCGCATGTTGAACATGTTGACGCCAGAGCAAGCTACCGAGCAGCTGAGAAAGCACGAGGAATCTTATTTGGTCAATCGTGGCAAGGGAGTTGTTCGATACGATATTGTTCAGGTTCCCAGCAACTCGCCGATCGAGGACGACCATGCTGAACTGATTGTTGAAGTGCCGTCGACAGTGGCAGCTAGTAAGAACGGAGAATCCAGCAGTGACTGGTCTTTCTGGGCAGTATTTGACGGCCATTCGTGAGCGATACTTGATGTACAAAGATGGAAGACTCGCTAACAACGTGGTAGGGGCTGGACCACATCTGCCAAGCTCCGCAACGTACTCATCTCCTATGTTGCGCGGGAGCTTAATGCCACATACAAAGCTGCAGCCACTGACCCGTCCGTGTTGACACCCTCATCAGAGGCTATCGATGCTGCTATTAAACAGGGATTCGTTCGTCTTGACCATGATATTGTGAACGAGAGTGTCGATAAGGTCCTCAAGTCCAAGTCGAAGCGCATGGCCGCGGAGCTTCTTGCGCCCGCCCTCTCGGGATCCTGTGCCCTACTTAGCTTCTACGACTCCCAGTCCAATGACCTGAAGGTTGCAGTTGCAGGCGACTCCCGCGCCGTTCTTGGTCGTCGCGGCCCCAGCGGAAAATGGACTGCCACAGCGCTTTCCGAGGATCTGACTGGTGGCACCCCCTCTGAGATCAAGCGTCTGCAAGAAGAGCACCCTGGTGAGCCCTATGTGACTCGTAATGGCCGTATTCTGGGCCAATTGGAACCTAGCCGGGCCTTTGGTGATGCTGTCTACAAGTGGAGCAAAGAAATCCAAGACAAGATTAAGGGCCAGTTCTTTGGTCGCACTCCCTCCCCACTCCTCAAGACGCCCCCTTATGTCACTGCTGAGCCTGTCGTTACTACCACCAAGATTGATCCCTCCAAGGGTGACTTCGTTGTCATGGCCACTGATGGCCTGTGGGAGATGCTGAGCAACGAGGAAGTTGTTGGCTTGGTCGGTCAATGGATCGAGCAGCAGCAGTCTGGTGCTGGGTCCAGCAAGGCCTGGCTCCAGGGTTGGTTCTCTTTCGGCGGCCAGAAGCACCTACCTGTTGAGGCAGCTGGCGACGTGTCCACCGCAGGCCAGCGCCGCCCAATTCGCCAGCAGCAGTATGATATTTCTGGTGCTGAGGACCGATTTGTGGTTGAGGACAAGAACGCTGCCACCCATCTTGTGCGCAATGCCATGGGAGGCAAGGATAAGGACATGCTGTGCGCCTTGTTGACTCTTCCTAGCCCTTACTCTCGCCGATACCGGTATGTTACGTTCCTTGATGATGATTCTATGCGTGATCTAATACAAAGCTAATATTTATCTCAGTGACGATGTCACCGTTGAGGTCATCTTCTTCGGCCAGGGTCCCGATTCTCGTACCGTTGAACTCAACAAGGAAGCCAGTGCCGCAGAACAGACCCCTAAGGCTAAGCTTTAAGGTCTTTCTCACTTGGATTTTATTCCTCCTATACGATGCCTTACCTGCATGACTCTTTTTCATGCTGAAAAGATGGCAAAATATAGAAATGATCTATTTCAAGATTTCAAGCATCGTCTATCCTCCGCACTACTGGAGTTTTACAGGGAACACGGCTGGGGTGGATGTTTTCTCTTTAATTGTTTATTCCCGATATCCTCTGTACAGACACTTTTCTATCCTAGTTGAATGAAACAATTGAAATTGAGTGGTTTCCGTGACGATAGAACCCTGGAACGAGCAAAGCCCATGGTCCAATGCCGGTTCATTTTCAAATATTGGGAATATTCAATAGTATACATATAGGAATGATATAATACAAGAGATTGTACAAGCTCCTTTCTTCATTCAGTTGCTCACCAATGCCGCGCAAATGGAGATCTAAGACGATCTTTTTTGCCGAGGTGGCTTCAGAGAGTTGTGGCTTTGTCTTCTCCCCCAGCATGTCTCATAGATTTCTGTCTTCCCGTGCAAATCAAGGTGACGGGACAGTCGTCATGCACTGAGTGGTCCAAGACACGATGTATGAGTCATATCAGACAGATTTTTAGGCTCAGAAAGCCTTTTGTGATGTCAATCAATAGCCTTAACCGGAAGAATGGTAGCATATGACACCGAACATTCAAGATCTCCGCAATAGAAACGGCCATAGTCTCAACGAGTCTTCAGCTTCAATCTGAAAGGATCCCCAGCATTTTGGTACTTCAAGTGCTGAGCCTTGTAGGCCGGAATCGGCGGCCTTGAAAACATGTATTTTTCCAGTAACCAAGTTTGCAGAGTCGCAACATTGGTACTGGTAATCCAATAGATCATGAGTGCAGTAGGCATCTCATAAAACCATCCCGAGAATCCAACATTGACAGCAAGGACCTGAATAAACACTCGCAGACCCGAGAAAAAGATCGTTTGATACATCTGGAGCTTCGGCATCTCAGACATCTCCAGTCTAGAAGCGGATTTCCACCCCATATTCACATTCAGCAGAATGGATGCTGTTAGAAGAACAGGCAATGCTCCTGTCGGGTCACCGGCCAGCAGATCAGGGAACCAAAGTGCGCCTTCATTGGCAAGTGATGGTTCCACCGTTAAATGGAGGGACTGGACGGCTTCTCCTGCTGTGTCCTTGGCTGGTTCGATCAACGAGAGCAACCAGGGTACCAGGCCGTTTGTATTCCCACACATTCCACGGAGACTTTCCATAAGCGATATCCAGACGGGGACCTGGGCGAAGTTTACCAGTTTATACCAGGAATTTACTCCCCATCTTTCCCGCATATCTTCATTCTCCTTTCGCACTACCTTCATCCATTCACGTGGGCCCACATTACGGCGTTTCCTCATTTTCTCCAGCATCACTCTGGTGGAATGCATTAAGGGCGCTATATCTCTTTCGCGGCGTGCGTTGATCCGTGTAAAGAATTGTAGTGGTAATCCGATGGCGGTTCGGACAATAACCGCTGTAAGGGGAATGGAGACGACCCATGGAAGATATGTGACATTGTGTACACCATGGATCAGGCCAGCGGAGGCATCCAATGCGACATTGATGAGGTTGGGAGCTGGTTTGGTCGGGTGGAAGTATCGGATATGCGACGGAGTTACCGGCGACCAGGCATTTCGAGAAGCCCTCAAGGCCCGTGAAGAAGTGCGAAGAGAGTTCATGACCGACAAAAGGACCGAGATCCCAGACCACGGGATTTCAACTCGCAATTGTGCTTTGTAGTTGCAATGTTGGAGTTGAATCGGAGAAAGGAAAAACAGTCTCCACATCATGTGACGCGTATCGGCAAGTTACGCATTCTAGCAACACGTCAACTTCTTTGAGTTGATCTAAACCAGTTTGATCTTCCCATTCTACTACTTCCTAGTAGTATGCGCGGATCTTGATCATACTGCGACCATGGCCTTTTTGTCAACCGCCATCCTCGCCCTTGTGGTCCTCATTACCACCGCCTTCTTTCTTCCACGGCTAGCGGGGACGCTGCTTGGCCTAGTATTCCGCGGTGCGGGCTGGCTGATTCGCCGACGGACACGATCTCGTCGGGATTATGTGATCGCGCGGGCGCGATCTGATGAAGAAGAATGGCGGGCAGCACAACCTAAGGCTTCTACAAATTCTCTGGCTCGGAGTCAGGGTGAAGATGAGGATTGGGAGAAGGTTGATAGCTCCGGTGGGGCGAAGACTGCCACCAGCAGTGATAGCGGAGATGGTTCAAAGAACGAGGGAGCTAGCTCTGACGAATGGGCTGGCATCATTGGATTCTTCCACCCGTTTTGGTATGATATACACATCCTACTCGTGTAGACGTGGCCTTGTTTACTAATTGTTGGCTAATAGTAACGCCGGCGGAGGTGGAGAACGTGTACTTTGGGAAGCAGTTCGCGCAACACAGAAGCGCTGGCCGAAAGCTATTTGTGCTATCTACACTGGTGACCATGAAGCCACCAAGGCTAATATGCTGGAGCGGGTGGAGAATAGATTCAACATTCAGTTGCACGCCCCGACAGTCGTCCTGCTTTACTTGACGACCCGCAAATACGTGGTCAGCAGCTCATACCCGTATATGACCCTGCTAGGCCAATCCCTGGGATCGCTAGTGGTCGCATACGATGCTTTCACGCTTCTGGTCCCCGATGTCTTTATTGATACCATGGGATATGCTTTTACGTTGGCGCTGTGCAAGTGGCTCTTCCCTACAGTCCCCACTGGCGCATACGTCCACTACCCAACCATCTCAACCGACATGCTCGCCTCTCTTGACGACCAGACCGGCGTGCAGGGCATCAACTCCGGCGCCGGCAAGGGACTCAAGGGAACCGTCAAGCGCCGCTACTGGCAGCTCTTCGCTCAGCTTTACGGCTGGGTCGGCCGCCACGTGGACGTGGTCATGTGCAACTCATCCTGGACATCAGCACACATCCGTGCCCTTTGGGGCACCGGAAAGACAATCGAAAACACCGACAACGATGAAGGAACCCCCGCATCACCAGCAGTCGTGTTCCCACCGACAGCAGTAACAGAGCTCCAATCAACCATCACCGTCGATGCCGAGAGCGAAAGAACCCGCCAACCCGTTCTGCTCTACATCGCACAATTCCGACCAGAGAAGAACCACCCGCTCGTCCTGCGCTCATTTGCCCGCTTCCTTCAAGAACGCTCCCGAAACCCTGTTTTCGCTGACAACCCGCCCCCGCGACTCGTGTTGATCGGCTCAGTCCGCCAAAACAGCCCTGACGAAACACACATTTATAACCTGCGTCTACTGGCTCACGAGCTGAAGATCCGTGATCAAACAACCTTCCTCTGCGACGCTAGCTGGCCCGCAGTGCTTTCCCACCTCGGCACGTCTTCCGTCGGTGTGAACGCTATGTGGAATGAACATTTCGGTATCTGCGTCGTCGAGTACCAGGCCGCGGGTCTGATCTGTGTAACCCATGACTCGGGCGGGCCCCGGGAGGATATCGTGATTGATCTGGGTGACGGAGCGACAGGGTTCCGTGCCGAGACGGAAGAGCAGTTCGCTGCGGCGTTCGAAGCGGCGCTTGCACTCCCTGTAGAAGAGAAGATTGCGATGCGGCAGCGGGCAAGACGGTCTGCGTTAAGATTTACAGAGGAGGAGTTTGCTAAGAAGTGGTTGCGCCAAGTGCAGAAGTTGGTTCAGGCGTCCCGATAGATGTCTTGCATGTTCTGTCCTTGTGTTTTTTTTTTTTGCCATAGATCAATTCTTAATGTTCCTCGTTTGGTCATCATCTTTGTAAATATCTGTCTGATCTGATGCCTTTTGATTGCTTAATATACCCTTTCCCTACCTAGAGTAGGTATGAATTTGTTGTATGTTCCAGCGTAAGTCAAGTTGGTTTGACTGTAGAGAGCTTCTTGGCATTCTTCTTTCTTCTGTCTCTTCACATTAATACTTGTTAACACTTTATCATATTTTCATTCCTGGCTTACCGGATCCACGTCATCAATCTACTCTTTCCATATCAATTGATAGTCAATACTTTCTTTCTGAAAGTTGGCAAATCTCAGCAGTGGCCGGATCTAAAGAGCAGACGGCAGTCACAATACATAACATTCATAAGGACTATGATTCTGACCGAAAAGCCGGACGTGACGAATTCCGAGCCTAGCATCCTCGATAGCATACGTTTGGCCCAATCCATTGACAAGGAGGCATGAAACCTCAACGCGAGATGGGTAGGAGGACTCCGCGGAGACTTGGATTGCTTCGTGGGCGACATTCCGGGGAAATTCGCAATTACTACTTTTTGCGTCGTGTTTAAAAGTCACCATGTTAATATCAAGGAAAACAGGCTCATGATCAAGGGTATTAGATCTAGATCGCAGGATGTACACATCTAAATCGCCATTGGTTACAATTTAATCATATTGGTGTAGGTTAATGCTTCATTGAGGTATATCAAAAGACAGAATCGAAAGAGCCAGACGGCAGACGGGTATGATAAGGGGCAGAAGTCATCAAATGCATCAAAGAAAGCTTCGTGGAAGCAATAAGATGATAAGCTACAAAGTAGCTGAAAAAGTAAACGAATGGCCTAAACCAAGTAGAAGTGAAAAAAGCTAAAAAAGACAATCGCATGCGACAAATGTCGGTGTATCAGATAAAAGCCAAACCCCTCGTGTCCAGCCAAAGATGAAAAATAGAAAAAAACAAAATCCTGAAGTCTCCAAACCTATATCTCAACGCCAAACCTTCTCTATTCCACGCAAAAAGAGAGAATCATAAATAAAGGCACAAGTCAAAAGATGCAAGAATGCTCACGAGGGTGGTGCTTTTCTCATGAGTGGTGTGAAAGGTGAATAGAGGTTAAATTTCCCGCCATTATCCACTCCATTTTTGCTCCTGGTATCCAGGATCAACTCCGTACATGCCAGGTTGGTTATTGGCATAGCCACCGCTCATGCCAGATACGTTGCTGATGCCCGAGTCATCCTCATCGAAGCCAAACTCGCCTCCGGAACTGGCATCGTAGCTGCTATGGCCACCGATGTCACTGGGGTCATCACCCGCAGCAGGTATCTGATCCCACTGGAGAGTTTGGAGAGCTGGGTACTGAGCTAGCAATGCTGCTGGCAGGACGAAGTTACCTGACTGTCCATCCATTCCGGGAACACCTGGCATCACCAGCGGCTGCGGAACGGGCTGTAGATGACCAGATGGCTGCTGTTGTTGTTGCTGTTGCTGATGTTCCAAGAGGACTCTTTCACGCTCCAGGGATTCTTCATCAAGGAGTGGCTTGATACAAACTCGCCCAGCCTCGGATCGGAAATGACGTCCTAGAGCATCTGCACGCGCGAATCGGCGACCACAGCCCCAGTTACCGCCCCTTGAGAGGTCACCCCGACAAACAAACTTCTTTTCACCTGAGTGGAGTCCTTCGTGGCGTTTTCGATCATGTTGTCGAGCAAAAGCCTTGCCGCAGACGGTACAAACGAAAGGTCGCTCATCTGTGTGCGTTCGAAGATGGGAGCGCAGGTTATATGCACGGGTGAATCGCTTTGGACAGAGAGTGCATTGGAACGTAGCGGGATGCTTCTGAACGCGCTTAGAGTCTCCAGACACTGCACCCGGGCGTTGGGGGTCTGCCAGATCCAAAATATAATTGCGGCTTTCGATTGAGGAAGTTGAAAGGCGGCGATTCGATCGTGACGGAGATGCATCGCGCGAACCAGGATTGCTCCGTGAGTGAGGTGATAACGAACGTGGCGAGGTAGGCGCATGAGCTTCTAGACTGGTTGCTGAGGCAGCCGGAGATCTTGAACGAGAGGCAGGGTGCGCGTAAGGGTCGGATTTACTGCGCACTCGAGATCCTGGGGTGGATTTAGCAATCGAAAACTAACAATCAATGATATATGGAACTTACGCATTGCTGGAGGGCTCAAAGAGTCAAAGTCGGCAGCTGGCTTGGAGGGGCCAAAGCTTGAGTTTCGTGATGGGGGAGCGAATTCCACATTGATTGATGGTGGTGCCATCTGAGATGCTTGTCCAATATCAGAGCCGCCGTTCATGCCATTCATCATGTCATCTGAAGGCATGCCGTACGGTGCAGAAGGAAATTGATTATTGAGATTGGGGGACAGATACGGCACATGTGGAACCATTTCCACCCCCTGCTGCGGCATGAGCTGTGGTGAAATATACGGACTATGGAGTGGACTGATTCCCTGCTGTTGTTGCTGTTGCTCAGACAGTGTGAATTGCTCAATACCCAGCGCATTGTCATATAAAGCAGGGTCATTCTGCGGTACCAATGAGGGAGAAGCATTATTCTCAATGCCTTCATACTCATGTTGAGATAAATATGGAGAGTGATTGGCTGAGGACACTTCTGACACTTCGGATGGTGCTCGACGATGACCTTGGAAAGAGGTATGGTTCATAACCGACTGCCAGTCTTGATTGGACTGCGCGCTCAGGTAGGCGGCAGTGGCCGGATCTAACGAGGTATGTCGCGAATGCTGAGGGGTGTAAAAAGTACCTGGTGTAGATCCCGGAGGGGACATGGGACCGGGTGATGATTGCTGTTGATCTTGCGACGACGCGGAGGGATTTGAGATGGGGCTGACCAGATCGGCGGGATTGACTGCTTGATGAATCGATTGTGGCCGGTGGTTCATGTGGGGGTCCATTAACAGAGACGAGTCATACTCCGCAGAGCCGCTATTAGGACTGTGATTGTTGTAGGCGGCGAAGTCCATGTCGGAGGGGTTATTGAGAAGATTGTAGTTTCCATCTGGCGGGCGAAAGCCGGAAGTGTGATCCAGCTGATTGACCAGGCTTGCTTCGAAGGACTGCGAGCTGGGGATATTGCCAGTGTTGATGTTCGGAAGGAAGGGTTGATCGACAGGTGGAACAAGGCTCTGTGCTGGTGGAGGAGCAGAGAGATATGAAGGATAGCCGTACGCGTCGGTACCGGTCATGCCCGCATTATGATTCGGGTTCTGGAAAGCAGGGTTCGCGAATGTCATGGAGGGGTCGAGGCCAAGTCCTGTCGGATCGAGATAGTGCTGCGAGTGGGGTGATGGGCTCACACTACGATGTTTGGAGTCTCCAGGCGACGCGCCCGCGCCCTGGCTCTGGTCATGAGACTCCATACTGATCGAATAAATATGGTGCCCAACCTAGCGATTAGGCGCCGGATGGAGGCGTGGAAGCGATTCGCGGAGGGCAGGAAGCGCGAAGTCGGTGTGATCAAAGCGGGCGGCGGATAGGAAGCGCAGGGAGGAGCGGGGATGGTGAGGGCGGAACATTCGCAGAGAAGAACAACAACACGCGCACTGTCAGCAGCGAGAGCGCATCCTCAAGGGAAACGAGGTGATGAATTAAATGATGATTTCACGTGCAGAAGGCGGTCTGGGGTCTCAAGAAAGCGTATTTCCCTTCCAAGTTGGTGCCCTAAAGTGTGTTTGGCTTTGGCCCACTTCCCAGGAAACTGGGGAATCGTGTTTCACCGAAGAATTTCTTACAGAGGGTTTTGACGTGAGAACCTGGGATGGATCATCTATACCTCGCGGGAGATTCTTCCCCACCCTGATAACAGATACGGCAACTATTTTTAAATCGCGCCTCTAAAAGGCTTAACCACGCAAGATTGACCTTCTTAGGCATCCAAAACCCATGATTTGACCAGCAGATTCACGCTGGAGGGTGTTCTTCCGACAATTTGCAAGTGGAGATGTGGGCTACGGCTAATGCATACATGTCCTAGTTCTCTTTTGCACAGCCACGCAGCTGAAAGGTATCCATGGTTAGTGGTGATTGGACCAGATCTATCCCTAATCAGGCTTAGCCGCGGAGGGGTCAAGTTGGGGGAAAACACCCCAAGGCAGACTGACAGAAATCCGCCTTGCATGTTTCATGTTTGCCTGGTGCCAAAAATATCCATTGCCTAGATTCGGCATGTTTATCTTTATCTTTCCTCGTTGCCTAGCGATTCAGTCCCTTACGTGACGTTTTGTGGAATTAGAGTAGCTTCCCCTAGTCTCAACTAGGGGGGTTTCAGTTTCAACTTTGACAGTTGCTTATTCTTAAACTTGCGACAAAAGGACCATATCAAAATAGCCCATAAACTGGGAGCCATACTTAAAAGTCTAAGTTTAATATTAATTAGCTCAATTGGCTTGGCTAGCTTCGACTAGTAGTTTATTCGACATGTCTTTTTCAGAATTCACATTTTACGCACATCCGGCTATTAAACACCCTTCGGCCGGGAGATTCTCGGACTTTTGTAGTATGGTTCCAAGGTTCGACCAAAATTGATATTCATACTTGTGTAGTAAAAAAAAAATACTCATAATCAGTTGACCTAGTTATTCACATATGCGATGATGCGCTTGTTTTTCGAATACTGAGGGCAATCGTCATGACGATCCGGCGTTCGGTTCCACTATCCGCATTACGTAGTACATCATCATGGGCATGTATTGCCTCCCGGTGCGACCCCATCTCTTCTAGAAATTTAAATTCCAAGCCAATGAAAATAGCCAATGAAAATATGTATGTATTCACAAATCATTTAAAGAAACATCTTTACCCCTATGCATTCGGTAGCTACAAACAAGCTCGCTCCCATTCCGGCCCCGAGGACTCTGCCTCTTCTGCCTCCCTTTCAGCCTGTCTCTGCTCCTCTTGTTCAATTTCATCTTCAGCTTGAACTCGAGCAATGTCACTCTCCGGAAGGTTGGCAATGAGCTCCAACACATCAGCATGCCCATCGGCACTACAGGATTTCGCATAGAACAACAAAGCCTCGGCGTAACCCTCCGGGTTGCCAACCCTATAGCCCAACGCATCCTCCTTTATAACTTCGAGAACAGTCATATTGTCTGAGCCGCGAACGATTCCGTTCTCCACATCTCCACATATATGATAGCGTGCCCATATAGCGTCTCCGAACCTTTCCTCGCGTACCGCGTTGACGTATAGGCTAGCCCAAGGCTCGACTGCTTTATATCTTCTACACTTGTTGAGAACAGCTTGAATAGGGTAATCCAGGAATAACTGCTCTACTAGTCTGTTTTCTGAAAGATTCGTCATGGCTTTTATTGTGCGTTAGTCTGCAGTTCAAATAGAGTTAAAGTCAAATTGAAATCGTACCAAATTACCTTTGCCTTCTAGACGGAGAATGTATGGAATATGTGCATGGGATCGAAAGAAATCAAAGAAATCAAAAGTTTGAAATCAAAAGTTGAAATAGGGCGGGGCTTATCTGTCGTAACTGCCTAGCATGTTAGTCTGCCACATGTCTGGGAATTATGTACATTAGTACTCGTTTGCATTAACAGCTATTTTTTTTGCATACTTGATCAGGTGTCGAGTGATGGCCCCAAAGCCAGTAAAAATGTCTTGTTCTCTTCCACATCCCTCTCTGATAGCAATATAGTCAACTTGACGACATATTTGCTTTTGCTCCCTGCTCTGATGAACATGCTCCGTGGTATTGCGCGTCGACTCATTACAAGGCTGTCGCCAGTACCATAGTGTGCTGGAACCAATAGATCAAAGCCATGATCTGTCCTGGTCGTCATTCTTGAGTCCAATGCCAGGATTTTAGCTGGTGCAGAGAGAGTGTAAATTAGACACCTGAGATTGGGTGTCGGCACCCATACCTCGTTTATTTACGCCATTTAACTAAGGCAACAAATTACCTAATTCAGACATGGGAGAGGAAGAGAGGACGTGAACCATGACTCGTGATAGAAGAATAAGTGATTCGATGCTTGTACTCTATACATGGTGATACCTAGTTGTAGATTCTCCAGGTACTCTGCATCTCATGACCCATATTTACCCCACATTATCTCCGATGTTGCCTGATTTGTCGAAAAACAAGGTTTCCTCAAGTGATCTTCACTGTGCCTGCTTCACCACCTTGCTACCTCCTTTCAAGGTTGCATCGAACTCCATTTAACCGGCATTGAGCTAATGGTCGGATACTATTCTCCCGAGCTGCATATTCAAACTTGATTTCCTGGGGTTTTTTATCCGTGATGCTTGTTAAGTACCAACGGCCAGACGGGCTTGGATGTGACAAGAGTCATAGGCTGGAACATTTATTCACATTACATGGTACATCATGCCTGGTGTATTCTCTCGCTTGGTAGTTCCCACAGTTTTCTTGTGGGCGCTCAGTCTATCCTCCGTCCAAGCAGACCAGTCAACAACCATCACGACTGACCTTTACCCCGAGACCTGGAATGGCTGGGGCGTATCTCTGGCTTGGTGGGCTAAAATATTCGGGGACCGAAAGGACCTTGTAGATATTGTCTTCAGCTTGGATTCGACTTATTGGAGTCCTGGTAGCGAGACGCTGCCTGGTTTGGGATTGAATATCCTGCGATACAATGCTGGTGCGTGTTCATGGAATACCATTAACGGCACCGTGAGTATGGTCGCATCCGAAAATATCCCCGCCTCCAAGCAGATAGAAGGATATTGGTTGGATGGGCTGAGTACCAATCCTAGCTCCTCTAGCTGGAACTGGACCGTGGATGCAAACCAGCGCACTATGATGCTGAATGCCCAAGCGCGAGGTGCAGATACATTTGAGCTCTTCTCCAACTCGCCTATGTGGTGGCAACTGAGCAACCTCAATCCAAGTGGTGCTTCTGATGGTGGAAGCAACCTGCCTGCGTCCCAGTATCAGAATCATGCGATTTATCTTTCTACGATTGCCCAGTATGCCCAAGAGAACTGGGGACTTACCTTTACTTCGATCGAGGCATTTAATGAGCCATCTTCCAGCTGGTGGGTGTCCACCGGTACCCAAGAGGGATGTCATTTTGATGCCGCCTCCCAAGCATCCTTGATTCCCATCCTTTCGAAGGAAATGAAGGCCCGTGGGTTGGACAACACCATCATCGCTGCTTCCGATGAGAACACTTTCGAATTAGCCCTTGACGGCTGGGACACTATTACCAAAGCAACCGAAAAAGCATATGTTGGACGCGTCAACACACACGGTTACGAAGCTCTTAGCGGACCGCGCTCTGACCTCCGCGCTGCAGCTACCAGCGCTGGACAAGAACTCTGGGACAGCGAATACGGAGACAGCGACAGTACCGGCGCGACACTCGTTCAAGTAATCATGATGGATATAAAATTGCTGCAGCCCAATGCTTGGGTACACTGGCAGGCTATTGACTCCTCGGACTGGGGACTCATTAATGGCGACATCACATCTGATACACTTAGTGGTGCTACTACCAAGTACTATATGCTGGCGCAGTTCAGTCGGCATATTCGTTCTGGAATGCAGATTCTCAACAGTACTTCGAGCAATGTCATTCCAGCTATTAATGAGAGCAACGATACGCTTGTTATTGTTGCGGCGAACTGGGATGATGAACAGACTTTTACTTTTGATCTTTCGGCCTTTTCTCAAATTCCCGATGATGGTACGGCGGTTAGTAGCTGGCTGACCGATACTGCTGGGGATAATTTGTACGCCAGTAGCGACGGGGTGGTTATTGAGGATAAGAAGATCTCGGTATCGATTCCGAGTGATACTGTACAGACATTTGAGATTTATGGCGTGCAGATCTAGGAAGATAAAGCTATGAATGAGAGTCCATATGTTCAAGCTGGGGCTTCAATTCACAATCTAAGAGATTCATTGAACAAAATCCTGTGATCGTGTTCAACCTTAGTCTTCCTGCATCTAGTTGAATACGAACCAACCCTTTTTAGTTGACTTTATTCTCATAGTGCCAAACATGCGGTAAATTTGCAGATTTGTACATGAATAAGACTAACAGTTTCTCTTGGCGAATACCATTTCATTCGGTAATCGGCAGTGTAGACAGGTTTTAGGTCGAGGAATAGTAAAAAAGTAAACATTGAATGCATTTTCATAATCTGCCTGCACAAGCTCTCACTACCAAAAAGAGCTACCTAAAGCTCTCCCAATGTGGCAAAGCTAGCATAAGCCTCATCATTGGAAGTGCTAACCAACAAATTATCCGCACAACTACTACCCAAAGCGGCATTGCCCACCCAAGCAGGCTCCCAATAATAGATACCCAATCCACCGGTGACAGCCTCAACAACAGCCGCCAACTTCTCCAAGTACGTCTCCTGTCCAGCAACAGAGAACGGTATCGATGCCAAGTCACTTGGGAATGCATACGCAGGATCAGGGCACGAGACAGGCCAGTTGGTCTCGACAACCACGATATCCTTGCCGTATGCGGCGTACATATCCGTCATACTAGTCTTCAGCGACGCGAGAGTAGCCGATGAGCTGTAAAAGGGGTAGTAGGAGATACCCATGTAGTCGAAGTCGGAAGAGACGAGGTCAGTGGTGGAAGCGAGCACCTCGTTGTAGAAGTACTCCTGTTCGCTCCAGCTCCAGCCGTTGTCGAGGTGGATCATGATCTTGGGTGTTGTCTCTAGGTCTGAGTCCTTTACGCCCCAGGCGCCGGAGTGCAAGAGACTGGCGATGTTATCGTAGTTGGGTGTTTCGCCGAGTGGCCAGAGGAGGCCAGCTGTGATCTCGTTTCCGATTGAGACGATGTCGACTGTGAGGCCGTTTTCGTAGAAAGTGTTGCAGACTTCTTTGGTGTAGTTGTATAGTTGCCAAGTCAGGGTGTCGATGTCGGTTGTGGACCATCCAGTCGGGGTTGTCTTTGGTCATGTTAGGGATGTTCTTGCAGTAAGGTAGGTATCCTCATTTGAGACTTGCTCACCTGGTCACTTGGGTCCGCCCATGTATCACTCAGATGCAGGTCAAGGTAAGTTCCCATACCCTGGGCCTGCACTCTGGTTGCAAGCTCGATATTGTAATCGAGGTCATAACTGCCATCACTTGGGTTCACCCAAATACGTTGACGGACGGAATTAATTCCCAGATCCGACATGATCACTTCCAGCTTCTCTGTTGTCCCGGCTGAATTCTTGTATGAAATACCGGCTTCCTCTTCGATGAGCAGGGAGGAGATATCCGCTCCACGAAGGGACAGCTCCGCGAACACTGCAGGAACGAGGAGCTGGGAAGCAAGAAGAACCAATGAAAGCATGATGGGCGATTGCACTCAGCCTGTGAGCCTTCTCAGTGAATAGATAGTGAGATGCGATCGTGGGTTGAAAGAAAACCGTCCAACTCTGCGAGACATCCTCGCCTTTCTATACTTTCCATTTCAGCCGACGCGGAAAAATTCCCCCGATTATGCTTTAGACTATATCCCAGCTGTCATAGTCCCTGTCCGGAGAACATCCTGCTTGGGACTAGCACGTACGGTGAAACGCCCGTCTAATGGTGCGGCGGGTGGGGATTGGGACTTCAGGGATCGTTGTGAGAAGGGATCTAGGAGGTGGCTTGGCTTCCCTGTCTAATCTTTAATTTATATGACGCACGTGGCTCTTCTTTTCTTCTTGGAAATGCTAGCTCCGGTACGCAGTACATGTCACTTGTACCTGATTTCTTGCCGGAGGATTGATGTGCCATGCTTGTTTTCGCGTGGACGCCCTTGCCGATCCGGGTTCACAAGGTCCAACTTTGTTCCCCACTATGTCTTTCCGTGAATAATGGGCCATGAAATTCATTGGTGGAATTTGAGATACAGGCTTGAGCAGCTCTATAAGCGAGGTTGGGGACAGTACTTGATGGGGCCAACATGCAGAGGATTTATTGTCACCCCGCCGGGATAAACGAATGGAGCAAGGGAATCATACCCTAGCCGATAAGAGACAATGGTTTAGATGATTTAGTATTACAACAATATGGGGACCTGTGAAATCGACGAAAATGACAGCTTTCGACGCCTGAACGGCCGCCTTTCTACCCGTAACTTTTGGGAGCCGGCGCTTCACCGCCCCCAGCACCATCACTATTTTACACCCAGCGCCTTTAGTCATTCCCTTTTCCACTGGCGACTAAAACGACGCCGAAAATGGCTCCCCTCTTAGTCCTATCTAGAATCCCTCCCTCCTCGACCTACCTAGCCGGGCGCTTATAAAATGCTTCTTTTCCCCCCTCTCTTGCTGTCCTTATACTTCCCTACTTCTCTTATTATCTCCTATCCCCGACCCCTAAATCGACCTCGCGAACCTTATTGCTCATGTTTCTAGATTCTACTCCCAGTCATTCATCCTGGCTTTCCTAAATAGTAAGTCCACTCATTCAGTCAGCTTAGGGTAAGGAGCACCAATAATAGACCGATATTAACCTAGGCTTTGGTAATGGGGCCCCATTCCCTACCCTATAAAATCAATACCCCTAAACAGGGGCCTATAGGGCCCTAATAGAACTCCTATAGGACTTAAAGGGGTCTGATCGCGAATAGAGGTTCGCCAAGGCTTAGCCTACTACTGGTATAACGGGAAAGGGATTGGATCAAAGGAGGACCATGCTTATTCCCTCTGTGGTGAAAAGTCATCTTAGCCACGAGACGTGCCAGGAACATATACATAAAAAGCATCGGCTTACCGCAAAAGATATAGTGACCAAAAGGAGAAAACGGCGAGACCTGGATTCTTCGAAACCGCGTAGAAGGTCTCCCTAACACGTGGTCTGTCACTGAATTTTAGCGTTGATCTTGACGAACATGAGGCGTCTTACCTATCATATCTCTATCATACCTACCCTTGCTGCATATGCAGCACCCTAGTACCTGAAATGGGGGACTTTTGTACAACCAAGAAGGAAGCAAAATCTGATCAACGAACCTTGGAATCATTGACTGCCAACCGGGGGGCACCACAGTTTACCCCATTCAACCCCATTCAACCCCGGTCTGTCCTTCCGCTGACGCACTAAGATACTATTTGTAGGGTAATTGACGGACTAAATACTCCGTAGAGCTTGCTAAGGAACGTAGAGCAAAAAATGACCAAAGATCATCGATATATTGCTCGGCCGAATCACATGCTATGGATGTCCAGAGGTTCTATTTAGCTCCCACCGCCTCCCCGTCTTCACTACAGCTTCTGAGATGTGTCAATATCCTCCAATAAACATCCTCAGCAGCGTTCTTTCCGACAATAGGATCGAGATGACCATACCCCTCGGCGAGGAATCTGCGATAGTACCTCTCCCCAAACCGTCGGCGCAATAACTCATAATCCTTCAGTGTCGATTCGGGTTCGAAGACTTGATTTTCCGTTCCCGAAATGAAAAGGATCGGTAGCCCTTGTAGGCGCTGCAAGTTCTCATCGTTGAGAAGAGAATGAGATGCATTGTCGGTACACCCCCCTCGTGTTCCCATGCGGACTACTTGCTTCATGATCTTGGTGTGGGTCCCTTCGAAGAACTGATGGACATTGTCATGAATACCCACGTCAAGGTTCTCATGGTTCCATAACAGTCCAAAGGCAAAAGATGTTCGATGACACGCCGTGGATGTGCACCGATCTCGTTTATCTCCCACGGGATAGAAACGAAGTAGGGCATCAAGTAAACGTTGGAAGATGGCATCTCGGGCACTGCTGGAGATCGGAAAGAAACTGCCCGCGATGGTTTCGTATAGTTGTATTAGGAGAGTAGTCCGCCCTTTGACCGCGTTCCAGTATCCGAAGACCATATTGATGAAGACGGAGTTTGCAGTGACACCGAGAAGATCGCTGCTGGATATTGTCCCATCGAGAAGTCCCATGCCGAGGGCCACGGAGCCTTGACAGTGGGCTATCACATATGGCTTCAGAGTCTCCCGGCTTCGGATGAAATCGACCGCTGCGGCAACGTCAAGGCGACAGTCGAAAACGGTGGATCTTTGAGCCACGGAGGGATCAGCACTCCAACGAGGTGAAAGCGCGTAACACCGGTGTCCGTGTTCTGTGAGATAATCGATCAAGTTGCAACGCAAGAATGGCAAGGCGTAAAGATTGTGCATCGCCTTGCCGGTGATACCTGGAAGCAGCAGAATTGGTAGAGGCGTTGGCCTGTCTTCCGAAGTACCTTCCCCTTCCGAAGGAAGAGGATCATAAATCTCAAGTAGCACATGCACGTCATCTATGGTTTTGATCTTGCATGATCTTGAAGGTATCCTTTGTTTTGAACGAATGTTCTCTCTAGTCGACGGCCGAGGAAAGCGCACTGGAACGAAGGGACTGAAAAAGAAGAAGCTCACGTGCAGCACAAAAGAGAGTAGAAATTTTATCAAAGCCCAGAACAGACCGACTGTCAGAGGTTGGGTCGGCCAAAATGTTCGAATCTGCTTTTGGAAGTCCAGCAAAGAAATATGAAGGGCCCCTGACCCAAATCTTGCCCCATCGGGCCGAGTGATGCTGAAGTTGACTGTAGTTGTGGCTTCCCAAGTCTTTCTGACAGAGAATGCCATGTTTGAGTTGATAGCTTTGTGGCCTTCAAGATAATATTGCCTGCCTTCTACTGAGAGAAGCTGTAGTTGGTATGAGATGCTCGATGACTCGGCCTTTTCTTCTATCGACGTGAAGAATTTCACAGTCCCATCAACGATCTTTAGCGTGTATGCCGATAGTGCGCAGCATGACACTGTTCCAGTGCATGTCCCTTGATATCCTGACCCTAGAATCGTAATTTATAAGCGTGAGGTCACGATATGTTATCTTGCTTCTTACCTTTTTGAGGCTCGCAGAGGTCTACTGTGAGAAACATCCGCATGGCACAGGATGAGCCCTTACTGGCCTCATCGGAGCGCCCGGAACCTTCTTTTCTCGATTTTATGCGAAAGATCCCGTATAAACTCTCGGTAAACTGCCACCCTATAGGGTTCGATTTGATGTTCGTAGTTTCACTGTGATTCTGTGGATTCCTTGAGACTCTGGGTTTGCTATAGGTATTCAAAACACCGTTCTTGGTCTCAAGGTCAATTAAAAGCCCACGGTCCTGGGCAACAAGTTCGACAGAACGTTCTGAAAGAGCCGTTATTGTCGCGAGCGGGTTCACACCCAAGGCTGTTGGAATGATGGAGGCATCACAGCACACAAGTCCTTTGTATACTTCGCTACCTTTGCCAGTGAAGACCTCTCCAAGATGGTTAGTCACGCCTGCGTGTCCTTTCCCATCGCTGCTCATATTGGCTCCCCCAAGTGGATGAACAGTAACTTCTTCCTCGTGGCGGCCTTATCTGAGTTAGCTTGGACCCTCGACAGTATCGATAATTCTTACCGTAAAAGTATGAGAACCCCATGCTTGCTTGTGTAAAGCCGAATAAAGTATTCAACAACTTCTTGATCTTCTTGGAGTTCTCAGAGCGACCTTCCGAGGGAGCCTTCAACCGAAGCTGATCACTGTCTAGGGTCAAGGTCATCTCATTGCTGTCATGAGACATCACGAGATATGTTGAGGTCCGCTGCAATGCTCCACCACGTGCATATGGGCCAAATAATAAGGACTTCAAAGAGGCCAAGGTTCTTCTGCCACCCTCAAGAGGATTTGACACGTAGCACTTGACTTGGTCTCTGAGCGTCTGCAGGGTAAACATCATTTGGATCACTGGGATCATCGGCTCAGGGATGCAGCCATCCTGAATAATATATCCGGAAAGGGGACTATCTGCGGGGCCAACAAGGCGGTTGTCGATCACTCCAGTGATAGTTGGGCCTGGGGCCTTGATCGCGTGGGAAGATCTGCGGGCAATCGCGTTGACATCGGTTTTTCCATTGTATCCTAGACCGAGATCAGATGTGAGTAATGTGAAGTAGCCGGTGAGGCATACCGAATACCAACATATCACCATTACCGGAAATATTCCTTCCAACGAGCGGAGACATTTGCAGGCCGTACTTCTTTGACCTGAGCAGGATCTCAGTGGTACCCATAGTACCAGCCCCGAAGAAACAGAAATCTGTCTAATGATGAGATGTTAGTATGTCAAGTTTCTTTCAGTGGCCCGAAAAGAATTTGGTTGCATTGGTACCTACTGCCTTGACCCAGAAAAGCTGTTCCTTGAAATATTTTGAGAAAACAGATCTGCCACTCCCATGCCATGCAAAGTGGATGATGTACCCATTGCCATGGACGTCTTTCTCCACATACCTGACCTCACATCCGCAAAATATTTCGGCGCCCCAATTCCAGGCATCCGCAAGATATGTTGTCGCTACCGAATTCTTGGAGCCGTCGTTGAGGCCAGTAGACTCATGACCTGACCCCGTATTTGCGTACATTGGTACACCAACATTATTATGACCACTATGGAAGAATGTAGTGAGTGGTGCTCTGTAGAAGCTCTCCCCTGTCTCTAGTCGTCTGGAATCTTCTTGCAAATGCTCGAGTTTGCTCAAACTTGGATACTCTTCAGGATATGTGGAAGGCTGTAGCATCTCTTCAGCTCGCAAGTAGTCTGTCCCCATTAGTTGTAAGATTTCCAACATTTAGCGAAAAACAGGCGCCTCACAATCATCCAGCACTGACGGATCATTTCTGATCTCCGATGGCCACGGACTCATTCTTAATGTGTCTTCGTCTGCTTTCAGGAAGACACCCGCATTTATCAAAGAGCATCCTCCGAGCCCTTTGGTGCGTTTCAGAAAATGTTGCCATTTTGGTTGAGTCTTGACACGTACCTCGAGCGGTGAATGCGTGTTGCCCATTCCCTAGAAATAACTGAAAGAGTCGAGTGGGATTTCCGGGTGATACCCATTTTGACAAGAACGAGTTTTTTGAAGACTTTCCCGAGACATTGAAATCCATGAGACATTGAGGCAGGCTGTGCGCATATGAACCGGCTTGATTACATGTTAACATACACATATCAATGCAGCCCCATAATGGAACAATGGAACTTCCATACTCTCATAACGGCAAGAATTCAATAAATGAAACGCGAAGTGTACTTACATCTTCTTTCCCAGCCGAGCTCCAGCACGGCAACGCTCTTCCCTGCTCGAGCCATTCGGCTTGCTGCAACGGCCGCTCCATAACCGGATCCTATAACCACGACATCATACTCCGATCTCATCGATTCAAATGGGCGGCTCAATTTCGGATAGTCATCCGTTTTGTGACCATAATTTGACATGTTTGCTGTCTTCAGATGCCTTTTCTGAAAGAAGAAGTGAGGCACCAAGAGGATTGCCAGAAGCTCAACGATCTGTGAGCAATGAGCGGCGCCGGAGATGGACACAGCCAAAGAGATACCAGCCAGAGATATCTAAGACGGTCAAGATGGCAACAGACAGATACATGGATCATCTTCTCAACACTGGAAGCTTGTCACTTTGGACCTCGGCATCGGAGCTGCTACGTAGAAGGAATGGTTAGAGTCAGATACACTCCGGTAGGTTCTACTCGGATATTGTCGCAGGCTCGCCACGCACGGGCCGTCGCGCTATATTTGAACCTGCACGCTTTGGGCCCCCTTGCATTATAAGCTTTCATTCGCGAACCTTGAGATTTCTAGTTGAGGTAGACTGATGGGAAATGTATGATCTGATCGGTTTTTATTGATATCTAAACCACGAAATTGGAATACCCATAAGCCCTAATTCTTTTTTCCTCCGCCAGGATAGCTTCTGAAGGCTGTAGTGATAGGGAGCGAGTATTTCAGAATTCTTTCCTGCATGTCAGCCGGGGGTAGCGATCTGCAAAAAGACAAAGCCCCTCCTCGTATCTTGGTGTAGTCTACTGTCAAGCGGCAAGGCAAACCACAAAAACTGAAGACGTTCAGCCGTGCAGCCATATGAACCTTGTGCTGACAAGATCGACATCTCATGACAGCCTTCCATGCCATGAATGACCTGTCATGTTGCGAGTTTGGTGATTTGGCGCGAGATTAGTATCAATAGCGGATCGGATGAGAAGCCCAGGAGGGACATAAACCAGAAATTTTCAAATAAGAAACTGGAGAACACTTAATTCAGGCTATCGATCAGTCCTCTGTAATTTATATCCAATTATCAGTTCAACTGCCGACCGGTGGGAAAAAAGCCGAAACTGCGATGTTCTAGCTGAGTCTAGGTCAGCATAGCCAAGCCACCTTGGGCTAGTAAAAGCATCAAACCAGGCTAGTATATGCAGTAGATTGTCTGACAGTTCAGCTAGAACAAGCCAAATGAACGACTTAATGGGCGATTAGCCCATGGAGTTTGATCCGAGGCGGCATCGTGGGCCTACGATATGACAAGATTGTGCCTTCCTCCTGTTGGTGAGAGAATTGAGAGAGCGCAATGCCGTAAATGGAAAGATAAGAATCAACCAGTCGTAAATCAGATACAATCGAGTTCAATAACAACCGCAGAGGTCATCGGCTCTCAGACTCTCAAAAGACTAGATAAGTCGACAACGGGCCACCACTGATGCTTCCCATTGGTACCCATTCTGAACATGGGAACACCCATCCGAGCCCATTAGGCAGAAACCAGTCAAGATCAGGCAAAATCAGGCAAACGCGTGCCCATTGGGGGCCCATTGGCCCCCAATGGGCCTAGCATGTATTTTTTGGGTTGGGTTGGACCCTGGAATTTAGTTATGGGCCGGGCCCATGCCGAAGCCTAGACTAGACCTTAGTCCTATAGGCGGGACTAGAATTTCTCTAGTTCCTATTATAAAAGTGGAGTATACTCCTATAGGACTAATTATTAGCTAAATAGACCTTAGTATAAGTAGTATAACTTACATAGTATTTATTATTTTCTTTTTTAGTATTAAGCTAATAATAAAAGGATAGATTTAATACTTAAATTCTAATATATTTATCTCTAGTCCTACCTATTACATAGCCAGCATCACTATGGTGTGCATTTAAGGGTCACTGATTAGATACGACGAGATCTAAGAGACCGATGATGACGATAATAATGGTGTGCCATTGCATTTACTAATAAGCGGCCAAGGGTGGATCTACGATGCTAGGAGCTATATAATGTAACTTCTAGTCTAGTGAGTGGTGAAGAGTCAAGACCATATAGAGTCGAAGATAGTAATTAATATCGTTGAAATAGCAAACCATGTCCGCGAAGGGATTAATTCGCTTAACGGGACGGCTTCAAGGCTAAGTGTGATGTCGACGACTTCGAGGTCAGATTCATGAGTGCTTCTATAGATAATGGCCAGCTATATAGTAGACTATGGCCTAGACCACGGCGATGTTTCTGCTCCTGGGAGTGATTACATAGCGTGGTAGCCAACATTGGCCAGTACAACCTTAGCGTTGGATAGAGCGGCATTTTCTGGTGTGTAAAAGGTGTAGTGCATTGGCCTCAGAGCTAATACGAAAGGGTCAGTGGGGGCAGAAATGGAAAAGAGGGGACAACAATAAGTACAAGGTAGAGAGGATAGAGCGATAGAGGAAAGGAAAGAGGCCGAAAGGACAAGGCGAGCTTTTCATGCCGGAGCAATGAAAGACGGAGCTTACAGAACGAGGGATTAGGGCGCTAAACTAAAAGAGGCAAAACTAACCGCATGTAGTAATTCACAGGTCCGGGTATTACAAAGTATACTCGAAGTTTGATCCATTAATCATTTTCATCAATTGTCATTGCAACAGGCGTCCCCACACCTCTCAGCTTCATATATCATGCAGGCATCCTTAGCTGAAATCCAAGAGATCGCAGAACCCCACTTCACGTCAACATTACATACAAGTAGAGTGTTCAAAAAGACCCGAGCGCTTCCATACAAGAGCAAACTCGCGGAAGAAATAAAAAAAATAATGGAGTGACGCTGTGCCAAGTCGGGGTTGACTGGCACCATCCCAGACAGCCAGAAGCAAGAGACCTCGCATCATGACGGGTGGGTTATGCCACCGATGCGAAATGTATATATGTACAAGCCATGTAGAATGTATCTCAACAAGCTCTAGGATACCACATGGTCCAGAAGTGACTCGGAACAAAAGCAATGATGTACAACGACTTCGCCGGATAGAGGAAGTGTCGAAGCAGTGAAAAGGGGAGGGGATGAGTTTTGGGAGGTATGCCCAGGTATTAGGCGCTGGCTTTCTTGCCAGTGGGAATAGGGGCTTTGGTAGATGGCTTCTTCTTTCCAATCACAAGAATTTCTTCTTCTGACTCTTCGTCCTCGTCCTCATCGTCACAGTAGTATCTGGACTCGTCTTCCTCGGATGGGCGAGGGGAGGCTTGATGGGCTTTGATTGTCTCACCCGTCCGAAGGATAGAAGGCACCGTCGTTAAGTCATCCGAGTCTTTGTCTTTAGACTGGTAAAAGCTATCACCAGAAAGAGATGAAGCACCTGAGATGACAGACGGAATGCTAGGATGAGAAGCGCTCTGAGACATGCCGCTCGTGAAGTCATCGGCAGAGGAGGAAGAGATAGTAGCAGCAGAGGGGGTAGAAGTAGTCAGGCCATTGCGAGGAGGGTCGGCAGAAGGTTGGGGATCCAAAGGAGGTGCCAATAATGGCAAGTGGAGGGAGTCGGTTGAGACCATCGCGCTTTCAATGTGAGGAGCCAGTGCATTATCTGCACTGGGCTCGATGTCGCTTCTTCTGCGGCGCAAAAGGGCCTCCTTGGTGAGGTGGAATGATTCTGCAGATGAATTGCTCGTAAGCTGTTGAGAGCGGTTGCGCCGGTGTGCAGATGCCGTAGCCGGAACACGAGAAGGTGCAGGGCTTGCAGCATGCCATAAGCCTGTCGTTCGCAAATGACCAACTGCTGAAGCATTGCTCACGGCAAGGCTGGGTTCAGACCGACGGTCTCCATCCAAAGCAATTGCATCGCCAGACGGGGAAGTACGACGGCTTCGGCTACCATAAGAACCCCGGGAGCCGCGGCGGTGAGCACCACTGAAAAGACTTCCAAAGCTGGAGGTTCCCAAAGCTTCGATGATCGACGGAGTCCCAGTTCGCGGTCTGTTCGTCGGCGTAGCGTCGAAATTGGACTGCTTGACGGTCTTTGTAGAGTCTGCAGTAGACATCGAGGACTTGGCGCGCCGAGGAGGGCCGGGTCGGGATGTTACACTCGGGACGGCAGCAGTCTTTTGAATTTCGGGTATAACCGCATCATCGAAGTAATTGCCCCAGGATGATACTTCATCCACTGGGCTTGCTGTGACACTCTGAGCGAGTGGATGTTCTCCTGGGATGAACTTGGATCCCCGAATGTCCTCATCTCCTTTCAAACTTGATCGGCGACTACCAGACGGAGTTTTGCCGAATGTACTTATGGTCGAGACGGAAGACAACGTGTCCGAGGAATTATTTGTTCGCTTGCGACTCTCCTTATCCTTGGAAGACCGGCCGCCAAACCATTTTGCGACATTGGAGCGAACCCGCTGGATGAATGGCACCTTGCTGACAGCGCTGGTGACTTCTTCGTTGGAAACCTCGATCCTCTTGCCCTTGCTTTGATAGCCTGGGTCACTCTCCTCCACCCAAGCCCGTGGATTGGGAAGACCGTGTAGGGTCCACGGGTGGTGTTTGATCTCCTTCAAAGTAATGCGCTTGAAGGGGTCCTTGGTCAACAGGCGCCGCAGCAGGTCGTATAGCTCATCGTCAATCTCCTCGTAGACAAGTTCATCGCTATTGCGATATGATTCCTGAGCGACGTCCAATGATTCGTCCATAACAGGGACTAGACGTTTACGTGGAATGAAGACCTCCTTCTTCACGATGGTCTGGAACATGCTGTACTCGTCATCTGACACGAAAGGGAGACGTCCAAAGACCATGCCGTACAAAGTAACTCCCAGAGACCAGACATCGATGGCTCCTGTAATCTTGGGCACTGACCCAATGGTTTCCAGGAAGTCATCACCAGTGTAACACAATTCCGGGGCATAGAACGCAGGCGTACCGACGGTCTTGGATAGCTCACGGGCATCATCCAACTCTGTTGCATCAGTTTCGCCTTCGCCTAGTTGCTCCTCTTCCTCATCATGCAATGGCCGTCCCAGATAAGACACGCCGAAATCGGAGATCTTAACGCGATAGTTGCTGGTGACCAGGAGGTTGGCTGGCTTGATATCACGATGAATGATACCCTGAAAATGGAGGTATTCTAGTCCAAGGACGGAGTCTCGGAAGGCGTTTCGAGTCTCAGCAATGGTCAAGCAGGGGACATAAGACAGGTCATCCGCATCGGCAGACCACTCTGGCTCGGACGGAGCATAGCCGAAGCTGCTGGATGCTGTGCTGAATCGTCTTTCAAAGGGATAATCTGAGTAGGCACCGTACATAGTGCCCTCGACAGCAGCCAGGGTTGAATCTTGGCCAGACGATTGACTGGGGGATGAATCCGTGACTGCGACCGATCGGGTGGATGACCGCCTGATTGCTAGCCCTAGCCCATCATCATCTTCTTCATCCGAGGAGTCTGCACCATGCTCCAGACTCCAGGCGGGAATAGGCCCTTGTTGTGCATCTGCGGCCTGCGCTTCAACCCGTTCCCTGGCCCTTTGTCGTTGACGGCGTAGGTGTTGCGCCGTCCGAATGAATTGCTGACTCTCTTCTATGAATGCGGGGGGTATCAGGTATTCCAGCCATCTCACGCTCCAGACGTAGCTTGTCAACATGAACAATCTCTCGTAAGCCCTTTTTTCGCCAGACAATTTCTCCATTTTCAACGTATTCCAACACAATGTAGACTTTTTGCCGGTTGGGATCATCAATCACCTCGAGCAAACTGACAACATTGGGATGCCGAGCTTTCTTCAGGATCGCAACCTCTTTCTTCACCTTGTCTTCTGGATTGCCCAGCTTCCCGAGTCGACGTCGCTTGGAGTATCGTTGGACGATCTTGATGGCGACCTGTTGCTTGGTGGTGATATGGCGACCCAGCTTCACTTTGCCGTGTTCTCCCCGTCCCAGTTCCTCAAGGATCTCATACTGATTGATGACTTTATTCCCAGTCACCAGATCGCGATCCACTTCGGCGGTGTGAGTTTCCTTGGGCGGCTGCAGATGCGTGGGGTGAAGAAATGGGCTGCCAATCGCATTTCCGTCATCCGAACCCATAGACGGGGTGTGCCGATGACTCCTGATCGAGAAGAGACCGGGGCTCGACAGCGGGGTGTTCCCGGCCGTACGAGATACGCGGGGGAAGCGGGGAGTCGGCTCTGCCTGCGATGGGTAGGAACTGCGCGACCCGAGATGCGGCAGCTGGTAGGTCGGATGGATTTGGGACTGGAGGGAGGCATAGGACTGGTCGGGGTAAACGGGATATTCAGGAATGTGTTCGGAGTGTCGAGAGGTCCTGCGAGGGCTGCGTCCCACCCCACCTTGTTCCGACCGAACATCGACCACGATATCCTCATTTAGTGCCTGTAAAGAACTTGTTGACGAGCGGGTGGAGGGTGCTCGCCCAGATGCGTAGACGTGAGGGAAAGCTTGTCGGAGGGTTGCTTGTGCCTCGGATATTTCTGCGGCGGCGGATTTGGGAGCCTGCTTGGTGGTAGTTTGTGCAGCCTGTCGAGGCTCTGGCTTGTCGTTTAATAATGACAGGGCCTGCAATGTATCCTCAGACCGATGCGTTGGCTTGGGGTCCAAGCCATGGCCATTTCGAGTTGCCTGCTCCGGCTCCTCTAGACCAGGGACAGAGGACCCGCGTTCCGTCATTTTTATTATTCCGTTGCGTTTATATGTATGGGGAGCAGAGGAACGATTTAGGTGTGCGGGCAAACGGTACTAAGGTTCCCGTTGAGCATCCTTCTCAAAATGTGCCTTGAATGAAAACAAAAATTCTTCACAAGCTGGTGAGCTCGAATGGCACGCACGAAAGAAGCGGCATTACTCTGCAAATCAAGGCAGATTGGGGCGAGAAACCGTGTACCGGACAGCGGGCCGCCAAAGGGATCGTAGACCTGCTACTGCACGAGGGAATTCGGCCGATCCTACACGTGGAGGAAAGGGGAACTCAGGTATTGACCGGAAGGCAAATTAAGGAGCGCGATTCGAGGTATAAATAGGCGGTGTCGGAATCGATTTCGAAGGGCCACGCTTTCGAAGAGGGGGAGGAAATGCGAGAACCGAGGGAATAGCCGGCGAACAATTTCGAGAAGGAGTGTCCAAATGAACGGCAACACAGAAAGGAAGGATGTCAAAAGTCCTCGAAGAAAAGGCCAAAAAGGGGAGTTGAGGAGCTCGAAGGGAGAGAGGAAAGGGAGGTTGGGTTTGGGAGTGGGTAATAGGGCAGAGCGAAGATCGGATGCCAAGGGAAAGAGAGAATCAAATACCAATGACGATGCGCCCCACGAGAAAAAAAATAAAAAAAAAGTCGGCTTTACAAAAACAGAAGTAAAGTTTAGAGACAAGACTTCAAAAGTAAATTTACTCTGGGATTCCGATACAAAAAGGGACCTTAACACCAGAAACTGGGTGGTGGGGCTTGTCAGACTCACTAAGTTAGTACTAGTAGAGTCACTGCTTCGGCCGATTCTCCGGTGTGGCGATCTTGATACTATCTAATCTATCCTTGAGCAATTTGTGCATTACGTCGAGGACTCTACCTTGGCGCACTGCCACCTCCGGAGTCGAGGAACGCGAATCATGTCTGATTCCCCGTGATTAGTATGAAGATGCCATGGGTCTATTGCTCATGAATCTGGTTTATTCTGATTGTTCTCCATTCCTCGTATTCAGGTCCAACTGCTAGCTGGGACACGGATAAACCTGTGGCTGAAGTCTTCAGAGTACTGATACAGTCAATTGCCAAGTACCATGGGCGGTCACTTTTAGACTATTTTCCCATGGACTGACCTGAGTTTTTTTGTTATTTAATTACTCAGAATGGGCATTGGATGACCCTACCATCTTCCTGTTTCGTCTACCAGCAGCAAAAGTCTGACCCTTACCCCGTACTCGTCATCCTTGGTGAACGAGCCTGCCATCTTGACCGCCAATCGTAAACCTTCCCCGCAACTCACAGTTTGACTCGGTACCGTGCAAACTAGCTTCAACCCGAGCACCTGGGGTCAAGAACTCCGTCCCATCTGTTTGCTCGTCGGGTCCGTGGATAGTGGATACGCCTTCCAATGGATGGCAACTACCTTCTGATGGGCTGGAACACACGCCAACATTCCGACTGTGGCGAGCCAGGGGTTGTAAGAGCAGGGATGTGGCCTCGTATGCATATCTTTTGCGCACTAATTGCTAGTTCGTGGGGACGGGCCCCAGGATTTGCGGAGGGGGATACATACCCACTATAGGCTATAAAATAGTATATTTTAGTTTGTCAGATACTCATTAGCTGTCTTTGATATAGAAGACGTTCGGTTTATTATTGATTCCCCAAACACCCGCGAGGCGTCCTGCAAGTGCCTCTTTTCGAAGTCTCGACGCCCGAGCGTCAAAATGTCCGTGCGTGGTCGAAACCGGCGATTACGTCATACAAGGGTCTGGGCCCGCTAATTTACACTGTTAACCAGTTTGATGCACCTTTAGTCCATTACGACTTTTACTGAGCGCACTGATCATTCAGAGTGTCTCTCTGACTCTGTGGCGCGTCTTTGGGCTCTAATTTCTGGAAACTGAAATGTCCCCAAATTACTTGACGGGGCATTTGAGTGGATCCACGGAGAGAGAAGATAAAGGATACAAGTCCAACACATATTATGGCAGGAACTTACAGGTGGTCAGAGTTCAGAGCCCAATACTCGAAAACAGTGCCCGATACCGATGGCCTAAGGCCTGTCCTCCAAGGAGCACCGAGCATGGACTAAGGGCTAAAAGTTCCCGCTCCAGCACACGGAGAAATTATGAAAAAGGAAGCTGCTATTTTCACCAGACTTGCCCTCAACCCCTTGGCGTTTTGACTTGGCTCGCAGTCTAAACTTGGAATAGTTAGCTTCAATTTCCCCTAACCCCGCATTGGAACTTCGGGCGGTTTACCGACACCGGACGACCCCCAGAATCCAGATATGTTCATCAGGTGCTCCGTGCGAATGTGAATAACAAATCCTCCGGACTTTGCGTCTTAGGCCCCGGGATCATCGGACTTGAAAGAACGCTAAACTATGCAACTAACTAGAAGATAATCTAGTCCCGGTGCCTTCTAGTGTATGTGTGTACCTTACCTCCGAGCACAAGTAAAGTCGGAAATGAATCCCCGAAATCATGTATTTTCATTTTCATTCATCTTTCCATACCCATGCAACTTCCAAGCCTTCTGCATACAATACACTTCGCCATACTTTCTGCCTTCGTCTCCAGCGTCCTACTTCTGAGTCCTGTTCTCCAACGCCGCATGCGCAAATCATGCGCAAAGGCGACCCATGCACATGTGAAGTCGCCTGGTCTTCGCTGATCGACCACCGGGATCTGCATTTTCAATCTCGATCCTCGTTGGTCCATCCCTCTGTGTGACACAAGCGGCGCGCGCCCTCGTCTTAATCCAGTTGCGGCGTGTAATATCCCACCTCCTATAATACTCTGTGTTAACGTCCTTTGAGGCCGATTCCCAACCCGACAGGGTACACCGTGCCTGCGGCAGGGTATCACTGGTAGTTAGTAGTTAATCGAGAGGGGTAAGAGATACACTTGGTTTATGGCAGGATATAGATATCTGCACTTTGGTACTTAATTAAACCTGATCTATACGGGATGTAGATTTTGGCTTATGCGCCACGCACATGCTTTTTCATTTTGCATTCGGTGTGCATTCGAGTATTGGCTGCGCAGATGTTTAACACTCTGATATATAATATCCGGTACCTTCCTTACTTATATGCCTGGTCTTCTTGGTTTCGGGTTACACTAGAGAAAAACTCGGGATTTTTGACCTGGAGATCTGTAACAGTTTACGGATGTGGAATTCTCTGCATGGCCAAGTGATTATCAGGCCACTGTGTCCGGCTATTCATATCGGATTTCAAAGTCGTTGGGTTTATAGTGTGATTGTGGAGATAAACCGAGAAGACCTTGCCTGATGAGGATTGGATGCTCGAAAAACTGGCTCCTACTTAATGAAACATTTCACTTTGACTGTGAATTTGTTGTCACTGGTGGCAAATATGCAATGCTTTTTGGCGTTGAGGCTTAGGGTTTGTAATGCGCGTCGCTTGTAATAGCCGTATATCGTGTCCGGTGGCAACGTGATCGAGTATAACCAGGCGCTGATTGATATCGCTTTACTCAAACCTGCTACGTAAACAAAGTGCTGCGGTGTTTGTAATCTCAAACGCATCTTCCACTTCAATGAGCCATGTACAGATATGACAGGGATTTCCTGCGGATGTATTTCAGGCCACTAGCTGAAACCCGTGCGAACAGCCACATAGAACTTTGTTTTAATCAAATTATCCAGCCGTCTCACTAGACTCGAAGCCAGAATATTACTATACAAAAAGGGTCTATGGGTAGGGTTTAGACTCGAAACCATTGAGGCGAATACCGCTGGTTGGTGCATTGCGTCAATAAACTTCAAAGGTCCATGAGTCAAGCCAAGCAGTGGCAAGTGATACAATGAGGAAACGCCCAGTTTGCCGAGCTAGAGAACGGCCCGAGCGTCTGCAGCAAGTCAGTCCAAACCAACCTCGAGACCGTTTGGTATGGATGCGTCTAATCCTTGTTCTTCCCAATGGCAGGATGCAGCATTCGGCACGCCCTACGCAGACGCAGCGGGTGGCTGTGTGCGGACCCAATACTGAAGACGAGGTATAAGATTTCTTTTTCTCAGCTGCCGTAATAAAGTTTGCTGTGAACTCCTACCAGGAGGCTCTGATTAGTCTTTCTCGAGTCGGAAAAAGCAAAACGCTGTCAGTGCATGAACCTGCAAGGCCCCTGACAGGCCACTTTACGCACAGAGCCTTGTCAGCATAATTAATGGATTGCTGCTACCCGGTGCCAGCCGTCCCCCAGGATCAATGCGGCTAGTAGGCTTGCATTTGGTGATTTCCCATGCATGGCCGGCTAGATAACCCTTGCCTGTGATGGACAGGTACCCCGAAGATGCGACGTGCATAGCGCCAAAGTGTGTAATTTGCACTTTTCAAAATGATTGGTCCGGTCAAGACCAATTGATTGCTGGATATTTCCTCAAGTTCCCATTGGAAGTGACCCTGATCTTGCATCCCGAAATCGGCCTTGTGTCGTGTGCAGGGGGGGGGGTTTCTGGTGACTATTTCTCTCTTCGTTATTCAGGTGTGTTGGCTATGTGCTCTATACGGAATGTATGGTTATACGGGGATTCTCCCAGACAAATTCTCGCTGATGCGCCCTATGCAGCGCATTTTGATTCGCAAATTCTGGTTGAATTGGGGATCGCTCTGCTAAGCGTTGGTACAACTGGGATTCCTGATATCTGCGAACTGGCTACACAGATTCAGCATGAGCCTGGCTTGGGTTTGGGTGGCTTTTGCCCCTATAGCAGGGAATGTTCGAGGCTAGACCTTCCCGTGGCGGGGGTTGGCGTGCCAACCCACTACCCCCGAGGCCGTGATCCGTGGTTTGATGTCAGCCATGGGCCCACTAAGGGGCCACCTTGGTAGGGATCAATGACCTGAAGAGTTCCGAAAGGATTGAATGATGATGCTGTAGGCAACAACATAGGCGGGGACTTTGGAAGGCGAAGATGAAAACTTGGCAGTGTTGAGGGCGCGCGGCATGTTGTTGGGTAATCAATCCTTCCGCCTTTGGGGTCCAGTACGAGTCTGAAAATTCTAGAGTAACGTAAAGAAATAGGAAAGAAGAGTCTTTAGTGTCCATAGAGTGAATAGCATCATGTCGCATGCTTTCAGGTACTCTCGCGTCGAATTGTTGAGCTGTTGTGCAACACTAACCACTGTGCTCTCGAGATCGGGTTCTGATGACTCCACATTTCAGACTAAGAGAAGCTTTGATGAAAAGTCGATATCATAACGAATTTTCATGTCGTACGCAGCTTCTTCTGTTGGGATCTCTGCTCAAAATTTTAAGCGAAAAGTAGCCCTTGCTTGGGTAAAATACTAGTTGCGGCCTTGGAGGCCTAACACAATCACCAGTATCCATGGAGACGTTAGCCTGCTTCCAGTTTGTATAATCTCTAGCCAGAAAACAAGTATTCCTGCTACAGAACCCCCATTTTATATTAATTTTATATTAAAATACGACATCAACAAGCCATTGTGAGGGGCAAGATAAAAAAAATCCAAATCGGCACTTTAACACCCCGCTTGGCGGCATTGATGATGCTAGGCGCCTAGCAAAGAAGCAGGAAAGTATAGTGTTCTGCAGGGCATCTTATAGTCCGAAAGATCCACTGCATTAGTTTCTGTTGATCACATTCGCTGAGCACAGCATAGTGGCGGTGATGGAGCACAATCCACGCAATCGTGGTGGTCCCAAGCACCACAATCGGTCTCGTTGCCGGCGCAACCATGTTGATCTCACGCCGATCTAAGCTCTCGGCAATCTATTTGGTTTCCGCAATTCTTTGTTGCGGGCCTCTCGATTGTAAGGGAAAATATTAAAATGAAGCTACTGTTATTCTGATTGGTGTTTCATGTTTTCTACAGACTTTCTCGGCCCCGATCAGCCGTGTTTACTCGTAGCTAAATAGATTCGGCATTTCGATGCATCTAAACATCACGGGGCCACATTTACGTATTTTCTTCCGTTTGACCACGCTTTCTGACCGTTGAACTACTCAACTTTAGATCCGTGTCTCAGAATCTTGCGCTAGACATGTCTATCGCGTTGCAATAGACATCGCTCTTGCCCTGTCAACCGCGTGGCACCATGCTTAGCGATCCTGGAATGCATCCCTTCTCTTGATCCTTGTGTCTCAGATTGCAATCGCTGCACCATGAAACCCCGCCTCCGCTCAAGAATCCGTCGACTCGGCTTCGCATCGCTAACTCTACCTACTCTCGCCTCCTTCGCCGCTGCGATTCCATACACACCTTCCTCCATATTCATTGCTCCGCAATACAATGATTCGCTGGCGTACCTCCTCCAACCGAGCAGCTCGAGCGCAGGTCAGACGCAGTTTCTCTCTCTGAATATTTCGTCTAGTATCGACGGCAGCAACACGTCATTTACGCAGCTCCTTGAAAAGACTCCTTTTCAAAGCACCGACCAGACATCTACCTTCCTTCCGTTTATCGATGACCAAGGAGTGATCACCGTCTATACAGGGAATTGTCATAACTCATCCGATAAGCAAGAAGTATGGCAGTTTCAGTCCGATAAGAACAGCACCATCGGCAATGGAACATGGACTCAGATATCGGTTGAGTCTGGTGGGGAGAAGACAAAGCCAAGCTACCTGGCCGCAGGATTTACCTTTGCATCCTCCAACAACAGCAATACCTCCATGTACTCATTCGGTGGAATGTGTCCCTTCGCGAATAGCACGACTCAGACCTGGATATCTGATGCCGACTACTCACAGTCTATGGTCGCCTTGAACCCGAGTGCCGAGAGTACGACCTATGATGCGACAACTACTGGGAATCGAGCACCTCCGGTACCCGAGGCTGGAATGGCCATTGTATCGCTTCCAGCAACTTATTCGAGGACGGAGATACAGCAAGATTTCCTGTTGGTTGGTGGGCATACACGGCAAGCTTTTCTGAATATGTCCCAGCTAGCCATATTCTCTTTGCCGCAAGAGAGTTGGAGCTTTGTCACCGTCAACTCGCAAGAAAACCCAAGGACGGAGCTAGCTATTCGAGATGATGTTTTGGTGACGCCTCGATCGGGTCATGCTGCAGTTCTTTCGGAGGATGGTACGAAGGTCTTTATCATTGGAGGGTGGGTCGGTGATACTTCGACGCCAGCCGATCCCCAGATCGCGGTCTTGGAACTTGGTGAAAGCTATGGTGGCTCTGGAGACTGGACATGGACTGTACCATCATCGACAACCACTGAGGCTGGAATCACCGAGGGAACTGGAATCTACGGACACTCGGCTGCAATGCTCCCTGGAGGTGTGTTGATGATTGCTGGAGGATACACGATCCCCAAACAGTCCACAAAGCGGTCATCTACAGAACAAAACTCCAATGTGTATCTCTACAACTCGACATCTGGTGGCTGGGTCACCTCTTATACAAATCCTTCAGCTCAGACTTCCACATCCACGTCTTCATCGCACAAGCATGGCCTCTCATCAGGACAGAAGATTGGACTTGGAGTTGGGTTAGGCCTTGGAATCCCTCTTGCCATAGTACTCGCTATATGGGCATGGAGATTCTATCAAAAGCGCCGGGTACGAGACCACCGAGATTCGCAACTTCGCGAACTCGCCCTTGGAGCCGAGCGTGCTCATTTCTGGGGTCGGGGTGATCCACAACAAGCCAGCAGTATCCGCAGCTCTCAGATGAGTGAGAAGGCAGATCCATCTTCTATGTACCCCTGGTCTGGAAATCACAGTGCGACTTCGCGGCCTTCTTGGAATGATAATGATAACCAAAGCGAAAACTATGGACTGCTGATGGAGGTACCCAGCCCGGACAAAAACATTCGCCCGGATAGTCGTCCATTCATTAGTACAAAGGCTTACAGGATGTCTGGGTATTCGGACTGGCGTCGAAGCGAAGCTACGAGTGAAATTCACCCCATTGATGAACGTGAAGAGGACGAAGAGATCCTCCGAGAACGCCTCATGTCAACTATTCCCAAAGAGGAGCAAAGGCCTAAGATTCAAGACCCCGATGATCCGTTTTCAGATACACCTTTTTCCACGCCCCGAAGCACCATCTTCGGTGTCGGCCTGGGTCCATTCTATACTCGAAAAAGCGGTACAGATAGTGATGGTCGTGTTTCTCCAACGAAGAGTGATCGAACATCTACCAATCTCTCCGAGTCCTCCGCCTTCTCCTTCTCATCCGCTAAACAATCTGGTCATCTTTCGCAAGTGCGGGCCGTTTACGTCGATAGGCCCCTGAGCTGGGGTAGCAGTGGCGGTCAATCTGTCGACGGCATGGCAGCTATCTCAACACACAGCAGAGAGACAGCACACACTGATGTGGACGCCATGACCGCTCCATCGGAGAAATCATACTCAGCAGACTCCTACTCCACGGCGCGCACAACCATCGCAGAACGTCAAGCAGAAAACTCATTCCTCCTCGATGCAGATGTAATCGACACCTCACCTTCCAAACTCCCTTCCTCAAAACCCAGAACATCAGACTGGATGCTTCAGACTGTTCGCCGTGCTCTCACACTCACCCGACGCAGCCCAACTCAACTTGAATACGAATCCGAATCCGCTCCGCTAGCCTCGGGCATTGACCGTCGCAGTACCGTTATCGGACCAGGCTCATACCCATCGAATGGTAGTGCTACTACACCCCGGCGTGCTGTTTCTGCTTCGGCAGAACTCTTCCGACGCAAACAAGGCGCCAGAGACTGGAACGCTAAGAAGCGTATGTCGGACAACTATACGATGGCACGCTCCACGCGCGATGATCTCTTCATCGGTGCACCGGGTTACCTTGGTGATGATGATACCATGGACGAGGAGGAAGAGGAGGACTGGGACGTCGAAGGTGCAGCTGAAGGACGCAGTGTGCAGGTTACATATACCGTCCCTCGAGAAAGGCTTCGAGTTGTCAATGCCTCTGCCGCTGACAATATCTCTGAACGCAGTCTCAGTCGCACGCTTAGTGGTCGTCGTCATGTAAGCGGCTAAAAGGTTTGACCAATTTGGCTCTGATCTCGGTATTTTACTTCTTTTTTTCATGTACTTATGATGGGATTTCTTCTTTTCTGTGGGGAAAGATTGTACACAAGATGCGGCTTATGTTTCCATGATTATGCACGATCGCTATTTTAGGGCGTGGGTTTTTGATTTTGTTTTTCGTTCTTTCATTCGTTTGATATCCATGATTGATGTGATGCCCACTTGCAGTTCGGTTGATTTGGGCTTTGAGCGTGCGGGCTTGTGTGTGAAGATTGGCGCTTGGCAGATACTTTGCTACTTTACAAATGAATCCAGGTTTCAAATATTTAGGATAGTGTTCCAAGACCCTGCCTTGGAGGTACTGGTAAACTAGATAATGTTTAGGCTGTAGCATGTAGTGTCTGTACGTATTTATGGTAGATCTTGGGGTGTAGTTCAGTGATCATAGCTCATGCATCTCATTCAACTTCAACAATTTTGTATCTGACACTAGATAGCGAGGATATATAACAGGCTGAAAGAGGATGTCCATGCAAAGAATCCAAGATCAAGATAGAAACGAACTTAAAACAAATGATATCTATAGAAATTTTCATGGCCCCGTGATATTTTTTATCCTTATATCCAAATTACGCACCATTAGGGGCGGTAGCCGGCTTGTTGGGAATAGTAGAAGGCAGCGGCGGGAGCAAGTTCTTAGCGCTCTCACGGGCGTACTGAGCCATGAGGGCATCCATAATGACAAGGGAGGACATAGCCTCAACGATGGGGACAGCGCGGGGCACGACGCAAGGATCGTGACGACCCTTAGCCTCAAGGATACCCTCCTCGAAAGCGTAGGTAGCAGTGTTCTGAGCCTGGCCAATAGTGGCGGCGGGCTTGAAAGCGACGCGGAAGTAAATGTTGGCGCCGTTGGAGATACCGCCCTGGATACCACCGGAGTTGTTGGTCTTGGTGGTGAGACGCTGGGTGCCGTCCTCATTGGTGGTAACGACGAAGGGGTCGTTGTGAATGGAACCAGCAACCTCGCAGCCGCCAAAACCGGAGCCGATCTCGAAGCCCTTGGTGGCGGGGATGCTGAGCATGGCGTGCGCGAGCTTGGCCTCGAGCTTATCGAAACAGGGCTCGCCCAGGCCGACGGGTACGTTACGGATCACACATGTGACGGTTCCACCAATGCTGTCCTGGCTGTCGCGGAACTTCTCAATGACCTTGGTCATGCGTGCACCGGCCTCGGTCTGCGGGCAGCGGATCGGGGCGAACTTGTCCACGGTTTCGCGGTCAATGGTCTGCAGCAGCTTCAGGTATTCGGGGTCGGTAGAGGCGGTGGGGTGTTCGGCGGTAGGAGGGAAGAGGTGCTCGTTGCCCACGGAGGAGACGAAGGAGACGATCTCGACACCGTGCGACAGACGCAGGTACTTCTCGGCAATGGCACCGGCGGCGACACGACCTGGTGAAATGGTATTAGTTGGGCGTTCCAGTCTATCTATCTGTGTTCAGGATCGCTCACCAATGGTCTCACGGGCACTGCTGCGGCCACCACCACTGCTAGCCTTGACGCCGTATTTCTCGAGGTAGGTGAAGTCGGCATGGCTGGGGCGGGGGTACATGTCCATGGTGCTGCCACCGTAGTCCTTGGGCCGCTGATCCTCGTTGCGAACCACCATGCCAATTGGAGTACCCAGAGTGACTCCAAACTCGGTACCTGACTGAATCTCAACGCGGTCCTTCTCATCACGCGGGGTAGTCAAGGCGCTTTGTCCGGGACGGCGGCGGGTCATCTGGGGTTGAATGTCGCTCTCGGTGAGCTGCATGCCTGGAGGGCAGCCGTCGACGATGCAGCCGACGGAGCGGCAGTGCGACTCGCCATAGCTGAAAAATTGGGTGAGAAATGGCAGTTGTGGTTTTGGTATTGCCTCTCAACTTACGTAGTGACACGGAAATGTTCACCCCACGTCGACATGATGATCGATTTTAGTGCGCGGGAATTGGTCGGGAAATGAAGAGAATTGAAAATAAAATAGGACAATGAAGGTATCTCAAGTGACCAGTGGTTAAGAGCCCAACCAGAAGAAAAGAAAAGTAGTTATTGGAGAATGAAGAGTCATAGAAAACCAAAAAACCCGAAACACAAGAAATTCGACTCATCAGGCCTGCCTATCTGGGACTAGCGTACCCGACAATCGGCCAGAAAACGATGCGCGCATCGATAATCAATCAATCAAAACCGCCCTTACTCCCAAATGATTTGGGGATGCTTCTTGTCGACAAGGTGCAGTAGCACAAGGCAATGGGCCCGTCACAATTCGTCTTTTCCTGTTCATCGATTCGCCGAATTGGCCCGCCGCCCGGCTTCACGGCACCAGATCTACCAGTCATTATCGACCGACCCTTACGTCAATCTATCAATTGAGCATTTCCTGCTGGAAAATGCCCCGGCCGACTCGAGCATCCTCTTCCTCTATATCAACAAACCGTGTGTGGTAATTGGCCGCAACCAAAATCCATGGCTTGAAACCGGTCTCCACGCGTTGTATAATGACCGCCGAGCGAACACACCAGAAAATGACGATGCGGTATTTGTCCGAAGGCGATCTGGTGGTGGCGCGGTGTTTCATGACGAGGGGAACCTCAATTATAGCGTGATATCTCCTCGGACCTCTTTCACGCGCGATAAACATGCGGAGATGATGGTCCACGCGCTGCATCGCATTGGGGCTGTCAACACGAGTGTCAATGACCGACATGATATTGTCATCACGCCCCCAGAGGACCTGGCGCAGCGTGACAGCAATGAACCGCCATTCCGGAAGGTCTCCGGTTCTGCATTTAAGCTGACACGGCACCGGGCCCTTCACCACGGCACCTGTTTGCTGGATTCGCCGAACATCCATGATCTCGGCAAGTTTTTGCGGTCTCCGGCGCGGGGGTACATCAAAGCCAAGGGGGTGGATAGTGTTCGATCACCCGTGGGGAATGTCTCGAGTGTGCTGGCGGACTCGTTCTTCTCCATGCAAGCGGTGATGGATAATGTGGTGGAGGAATTCGCCGCGTTGTATAATGTCAATTCGGATGCTGTTCGTCGAGCACGCCGGGCCCATGCAACAGAGCCTGAAATCTTTGCTGGTGACAGCTGGGTTTCAGGAACGGTGGGAGATGTGCAAGGTGATCAGGAACCGGATATTGGTAAAGGCATTGCGGAGCTACGAGTGAGTGGTTTGACTTTTATGTGTATGTGGCTTCACTGACCTTGTACGATAGTCTCTGGAATGGAAATACACCCAAACTCCACAGTTCACCTTTTCGACATATCCCACTGAAGAGGATCCCCGTGAACGCCCACCATTGCCTTCCTCGCTGCCTCCTTCTGTAAGTTTGACTCAATCCTGATTGTAAGCAATTGCTAATTTTGTATCCAGACTCGTGCATTCCTCCGTCTCAAGTATGGAGCGATAATTGAAAGCAATATTTCCGTCGCTTCGGATGCATCTATAGCTTCTGATCAAGCTACTCGCGTGCATGAACTCCTGAACGGACAAAAGTTGCATGAAATGTCTGTCGAACGCTGGACAGATGTGTTACGGCAGGGTCTTGGCACCGATGGAGTGGATGATGCGCAAGAGCTGGCAAACTACTTTAGTGACTTGCTAGGTGGGCATTGATGCCGTATGAATGGCATCCTGTATAATATTAAAGCTGTTATGTATAAATACAGGTGATGTTCACCTTTTCTCTCCGACTTTGTTGTATCACATGGTAATATAGCTATTAGCGGCAGTCATTGAGCATAGCTGAACCATGATACATGCCATCGTAGTCCCTCGCACTATTCAAAATACTGTACCAAAATAGCATATCCTAGTTTATTACTCTTACTGCCAAGACAAATCGCAAGTAGCTTCCCCGCAACCCGAGTCAGCAAAGATCGACTCTTCCCCGGATAAAATGACTTTCTCTAGCATTTAACCAAAAGTGATGTAGCATCGAGCCCGTCCCCATAGGAATCAGCCTATGTTACCCTGAACCTAAAGACTCAACCCCCACGACCCCGCTCGTGGAGCTCGAGCTAGAACTTAGAGAGAAGAGCAAAGACATAATCAATGCCCAATGATGCTCAAATATCGTCGTCTAATACTTACCTCGGATTCGTGGAAGTTCTCTCCCGTCTTTCCTCGTCTTGTTTAGGTTCTTGTCTCGTGTCTGATAGGTGGGGATACAGGGCCAAGAAAGGGCTGGGCTTGGATGTTGGTGCATGGGACCCTGAGGTGAAGTACCGAGTTAATAGTAAGCACTGAGCACCGTGGCTATATAAAATGTAGCTCTGGATCCATGTCTAGTTTGTTTCGTTCTTGTTTCTGCCCGCCGAGTATATTGGACTCGAGGTGCTTGATTACTTCTACTCAAAATGTCGGCGTTATTGCAGAGGATTGTCCACAATGAGGCGATGAAAACGGATCCAAAGGAGATCTATGGGTGGAGGGTCTACTTGCTTGCCTGTTCGGTAAGTAGCCCATTCTTGCAGAGTCTCTATTCATACTGATAACTCTCAGGCGTGCTGTGGAGGAATGTTATTCGGTATGGACTCAGGAATCATTGGTGGTGTCCTAACCATGCCGCCCTTCAAACAGTGAGTGTTCTCAGCCATCTGATTGCCAAATAGGATGTTGATTGCTTCTGTGGCCCAGGACATATGGCCTGCAAGACCTTGATTCTGTAGCCCAGGCAAACTTAACCGCCAACATCGTCTCTACTCTCCAAGCAGGATGCTTCTTCGGAGCTCTCCTCGCCTCCCCCGCAGCAGAGAAATGGGGCAGAAGAGGCGCTTTGATAGGGTCTGCGTTGATTGGAATTATCGGTGTCATCATGCAGGCCTCCGCAAGTGGCCATTTAGAGGCCATGTACATTGGACGGTATGCCCCTACCCAAGCTCGGAATGATTTTTGAAGAACTCAAGCTAACATATATTTTGTCTGCAGTCTCATCACCGGTTTCGGAGTCGGCGGCGCCTCAATGATCAACCCTCTCTACGTCTCTGAAAACGCACCACGTGCAATCCGCGGAGGCCTGACGGGTCTATACCAGTTCTTTATCACTATGGGAATCATGCTGGCCTTCTGGATCAACTATGGCTCGCTGCTTCACCTGACTGGATCAACAATGTACCTCGTCCCTCTAGCAATGCAGGGTCTCCCAGCTGTGCTCTTATTCGTGGGTATGCTACTCTGCAACGAGTCTCCACGGTGGCTGGCAAAACAGGATCGATGGGAGGAAGCACGCGCGACCTTGAGTAAGGTTCGTGCGCTGCCGGCTGATCACCCATATCTGGAAGAGGAGTTCCAGGCTATTGCATTGCAGCTGGAGCAGGAACGTGCTCTGGTCGGTGGCTCTGGATTCTGGGACCTTATGAAGGAGATGTGGCTCATTCCCGGGAATCGGAAGCGGGCTATGATCTCGGTATTTTTGATGATTTGCCAGCAGATGACGGGGACAAACGCTATCAATTATTATAGTCCACAAATTTGTGAGTTTCCCAGGTGCTCCTTCAGTGTGAAGTCAAGCTGACAGATAGCAGTCGAAAATGTGAGCCTTCTTGGATTTGATTCTAACACGATCACGGTGTACATCTTTTTAGATTCGGGGATACTGACAGATTTGTTTACAGTTAGGAGTTACCGGTAATGCAACTAATCTCTTCGCAACGGGCATCTACGGCATCGTCAAGATGGTCAGCTGCGGCGTCTTCCTCATTTTCGTCGCTGACTCCCTCGGCCGCCGACGCTCTCTCCTCTGGACATCAATTGCGCAAGGGCTTGCCATGCTTTATATTGGGCTATACATCCGGATTGCTCCTCCTGTCGAAGGCGCCCCCGTTATTTCAGCGGGCTACGTTGCTCTGGTCTGTATCTTCCTTTTCGCAGCTTTCTTCCAGTTTGGCTGGGGACCCGTTTGCTGGATCTATGTCTCGGAGATTCCAACTGCACGGCTACGGTCTCTGAATGTTGCATTTGGAGCTGCGACTCAGTGGTTATTCAATTTCGTGGTCGCGAGGGCTGTTCCGAATATGCTGGCTACGGTTGGTGCTAATGGCTACGGGTGGGTTCCTTTCTTTTGATCAGTTGTATGATCATGGCGCTGACGATCGAAAATGCAGCACTTATATTATCTTTTCTTGCTTCTGTTTTTCTATGTTTGTCTTCGTGTGGTTCTTTATTCCAGAGACAAAAGGCGAGTCGGAACACTTGCACATTATTTTCTCGCACATCGATCTTGCTAACCCAATCTTTCCAGGCATGTCGCTTGAGAAGATGGACGATCTTTTCGGCGTTACCGAGCTGCTTCAGCAGAAAGAAGACCTGGAGCACAATTCGACTCCAGCTCAAGTGGACAAGGCTACAGAATCTCATGTTGAACGAGTGGTATGAGATATGGGGTTGTTGGAAGAACTCAACCCACGCATGGCCAATTGATGGGTGCTCTAGCATAAGTTAATCCCAAGATTGAATATCGTGGTCAATGGATATCTGCTTCCAGGGTATTTTTATTGCTGGTAATACGCATGTTAGCTGATGCATGACTCGGGGTCAAAGACCTACATTAATGAATACCCTATCATCAAGATAAATCCAATGCGGCTTTTAGCTTGAAGCAGAAAACATGTGGGTTCAGAAGAATGGAATTATCTAAGAGCGTCTGAAGCTTCCTGATTAGAGAACATGGAGTTTAGATACAGTTGAATCGATAATAAGATTGATCAATAATTCAAAGCGAGCGAGAGATCTATTAATAGGACACTTGGGGCGGAGGGTAGAGCCACGAATCAGGCGTGTCTTCAATCCCTTGCGAAAGCGGAAAAAGGATGAGAAGAGGAAAACTTGGATCACTGCTGAGATGCTAGATCGACAGACAACATTCAGTAAGCGCATGTGGGGGAAAAGGGCGTTAGTAAAAGAGTTAGAATGGGACTAGATGATAGCTTCGATGCGATTAGACATTTGGGTTTCTATTTGCTGATAAATCTTCTCCTGGTTAGGCTTAGCGTTGTGAATCATATCGCCTGCTACCAAATTGTCATTTTCTTTTTCTTCCTTCACCTCTACCAGATACACTGAGCTCTCCTTTCTCTACTTCACAGCAACAAAAGAAAAGAGAAAAGAAAAGGAAAAAGAGAGAAAAAAGAGAGAAAAAATAGAGAGAAAGACCCTAACACTTACAGACCTCAATCAATTTATGGCTCTGGCATTTCAGCGCAGTCATAAAGAGAAGGCTTTCAAAATACTCTCTAATGGCAACTCGTTCGGCCTCAATAGTCTGTCTATGCCCACTATATCTTGAAGTCCACTCTCAAACGGCGCGAACCAATCAGGTCTGGTTTTACCGACCAAACTGGTTGGTAACTATGAGCCTGATTGGATAGCATGGGAGAGGACGTGCACCAATCAGGCTCAACTTTACTATCCATCCGGATAGTCACATGGCTTTCATGTCCAAATCTGGCACCTACGATCGTAGGTGCCAGATTTGGACATGAAAGCTTTTTCTCCCAAGGTTTGGTCCCACTGGCAAGTTGCAGTCGAATACTCGAAAGCAAAAAACACAAGCTGTTTACCACTCCGTAGAGAAAAAAAGAGGCCCAGGTGGTTGAAGAGTCATAGACTACTCACTCCTTACTTCAAGATTCGTTTCTTCTCGTTCAAATATGTCTACCACCAGTCGCGACACCTGCGCTTTTGTTTTTTGAGCCCTCCTAGCCCCGCAAAATTAATCAGAAAGGTACAGACTGGTGAGCCCCTGGGCACCTTTGTGGATCCCAAAGGTGAATAAACTAAGATAAGCCCACTGGTATGTGATACAAGTTGAAAGAAGGATGAGATTGGAATCACGCGAGAAGTGAAAAGTAACCTGAACAGCAAAATCGGTGGGATTCGAAAGTGCAAGATGAATATAAGATCGTTGAAATCTATGCAACAGAGGGGGATGGTAGCAGGGGCAAGCATGGGCGGTTGGCCCAAAACCTCACGAGTCGCGGATACTTAGTCCTTGTGATGGATATTATGTCAAAGTAGACGCTACCACGGAACCCCTTCCTCCGTCATTGGTCGAATGTGGGCTCCTCACGGGTTGTGGTCTCGGATCGTTTCCCATTGCCGTGTTCTGATTGCAAGATCCGCGACTGGGCCCACCTAGAAAAGCGGGGAATATCAAGGCGTTGGCCACACCACGGTCTTGGTAATATGATAGGCCAGATCTATAAATCAGTTAACAATCTAAAGGTTAAACCCAATAAGCTGGTCTAGAGAGCACGACCTCACCATCTTGCGCCCAACTAGAGACTTACGTGTAGCCTGCAGGATGAACCGCCAGAAAGCAGCTTATGGCTTTTTTAGAAGCAATAATTATTTCATGTCTTGCAATGATTTGGTATATAAGCTATCCCACCGACGCCTATTGCCCATTGCCCATCAGTGCTATTACCTGTCACTTAGAAGGGTCTCTCTCGCCTCTTAAGATGCAGTCATTGCATCAGATTTGAGCCCATCTTAATGAAAAAGAAAAAAAAACTCTCCCTGCTACTTTTCTTTTGGTCACCGATCATGCCGTATGATCAATTTCGCGAATATACAGAGACCTCAAATGATCCTCCAACAATGCCTATAGCAACTCGACAAGAAAGAGAATTGTTGAACCTTGATGAAACCCTCCTACACGAGATCCCAATCGATGAATTCCTACGCGACCTCCCAACTGATGCAGCCGTGCACGATCTCTCACTCGATCTTGTCAATGCATCTACCAGTTTCCAGTCCCAGAAAGCTTATGGCAATTTGGGATACACTGGCACTCTTCCACTCAACACCATGAACTATATGACAAATCCACTCCCAGGGCAGATACCTGAATCCCGAGTGAACTACTTTCAGCCAACGTACCATGAACATAGCTTCACACCCATACCCTATGTTCATCCTACTGCTTTTGAAACCGGCTTCACCATCCAAGAACCAATGTTAGCGAGCATTCCACCCACAGCTTTTGGCCCCAGCTTCGTCACTGCAGAGCCAACTTTATGGAGCATCCACCCAACTGCTTTTGGTTCCAGCTTCACCACCCAAGAGCCAACTTTAGCGAGCATCCACCCCGCCCGATTTGAAGGCACGCCGCAATCTCATCGAAACAACACTCCAACTCAGGCTAATACTATCAGATGCGACTGGCAGGGTTGCACATACAAAGGCACCTTTGGTCGCAGGTATGACCTGAATCGCCATACAAAATCAATACACATTTCTCCAAGGGCATTCAAATGTCCAGAATGTGGGAGGGAGTTCAATCGGAAAGAAAACCTCCAAGGTCACTTGGAAAGTGTCCATATGTCATCTCGGCGACGCAGGTGATCTGCCACTTGCTGGGGTAGACTCGTCTTCTCTTGGCCTCACTCTTTGTTATTTGCCTGTGCTATAATCCCGCTATATATGGTGTCAATATGCCCACTACTCCCTACTTTGATGGATCACCCTTTGGTGAGATGTTCTCGTTGGTTTTGCTTTTCAATACATATGATCTGGAATGGATGAAAGACGGAAGAATCGAGCCAATTGGCACGGAGTAAGGCTGCATGGTGCTTAAGTAAGAACCCTCTGTGATTAGAATCTTATAGCGTGTCTGTTTATCCGGCATGGAAGGTTATAAACCCCGTCACTTTAGTCTTGAACGTACATGAAGTCGATATAATATGCCTCATCAATCCTGTTGAGTCTAAATGAAATACCGCCATTCCACACTACGAACTCCGTCCCTAAGCTGACTAGTATCAACCTCGTCCTCTCGTAATGTAACGCCCTGTTCCCGATCACGGCGGCGATTCTCAGATCGCATCCATACCCCAAATCCCGTCACAAATAAAATACATACAGCATTGCAGCAGCAAGTGGCTACTAGGGTTGGTATATATCTGAGCAAAATTAGCAACTGCTTAAATCTCTGGACTTTGTGAAACTTACTTGGGCGCATATTCAGTCCGAAATGTGGATGCACTCAGAACCCCCGCTATGTTGCCTAAACCAACGAAGAAACCTGTATTGGCTGCTCGAGAATTCTCGTTGACATTGTTGTTATTATGCCAAGCATGCACAAGGCACGATGGGATATAAGCGCCCGCAGCCATCATAAAGCAGGCAAAATAGGCTACTCCCTTATTGTTCAGAACGTCGATGGCAGACAAGATTACCATTCCGATTAGGGAAATGGTCAAGGAGAACACGATATGAAAGGTTCTTTCGCGAAAGTAATCAGATGATTTTGCAACACACAGTAACACCACTGCACCGACAAGGTTAGGTGCTACTGTCCACAGGTTGGTCTTGACAGTGGAGAAGCCCAGACGCTCAACGATCTGCGCCGGTTAGCTATGCTTTCGGAGATGATAACTGGGCCACCCACCAAAGGGAAAAAGTTCATTGCAGTCGCATAGGCAACAGGATAGGTAAACGTAATGACACACCACACGGGGAATTGCCAGTTACTCCACGTCTGACGACAGGCTTTCCAGCTGAAACTCGTAGAGACCTCCGAAGATGAATCACGAAGCATTCGAGCGGTGGCTGCTTTCCTCTCTCGGTCATCCAAGAACCAGGCTTTCTGGGGGGTATCCGGCAGCAGAAAGAAGCCCAGAATGCCAGCAATCAAGGTCATGCTGCCTTCGATTATAAACAACCACTGCCACCCCTTCACTGAGGAGTCGTTGATCTGAAATACTCCAAACGAGATGAGTCCACTGAAGGCAGAGGCTAACACAGCAAAGGATTGCATAATTGCCAGCCGGAATCCCATCTCTCCACGGGTATAAAATATGGTCATGTAGAATGTGGCGCCTGCGAAGAATCCGGCTTCAAAGACTCCGAGAATTATCCGAATCGAGAGAAGGGATCCAAAATCCTTGGCTGCGCATTGGCAGAGAGCCAGGATTCCCCAGACAATTGACACTATATGAAGTAATGTGGTTAGCATTTTTACTATGATTTGGTTGGGTGGACTGACTTGACGAGAGCATCATTCGGCCAGAATAGCGTTTGATCAGGAGATTCCATGGTAGATCAAATAAACCAAAGGGAATATAGAAAAGCAAAATGAGAAGTGAATAGTCATTTCCTTGAAAATGCAGATCCTCGTCGAGCCCGTCTGTTTTGGCATTTGCTAGATTGCTCTGAATTGGTCAGTATTTGAATCGACTAGGATTTTGAGTACTTACTCGATCCATGCAGTCAAAGAAATACATCTAAAGTCGTTAGCTGTTATAATTCGTAGAGCCATCCAGAATACCTCACCATGCAAAGCAGGGGCAACACCCAGAAATCGACTTTCTTACAATACCTCTTTTCCGCCTCTGTGTCAACATAAACCGCGCTCTCCCCCAGATCGACTTTGGTCTCGGATTCACCCATTTTCTCCGTTTTGACTTGGTCGGCCATGTTGATCCAAATTCATTATTTTGGTTTGAGGTCGCGCGAGCTGATGTTACATGCTTTATATGCCCCTTGCATACCTTACCAGCACCCTAGTCTGTTCACCTTGTACCTCTACATGTAGTACATCTGGAAGTATAAGGAGCTCAACATATGAGGCCCAGCAGCCAATCAACTGCTCTCAAGATAACAATGTTCTGGACAACTTTCCCGCTTCCCCGCAGATCATCTATCGTGCGGACTTGGTTATCCCCCATCTTTGACAGACCCCCACCTTGAGCTTTCTGGCCTCGAGTTTCACAAATTTGCGATTCAATGACAACAATTCGGCATTCTGTCCGATCTGAGAACTCCTATGAGGGGTCATCGAGATTGCTAGGGGACATATACAAACTGGAAATGTTCGACAAGTGAAGACCCGAATAATAAACAACACCACCGAATATTCCCAACATGTCGACTCCATCCGCTCCCCCAATTCTGGACTTCTCCCCAATTTACGGAGAAGATGGCGAAGCAAAGACCAGGCTGGTAGAAGAAGTTCGTAAGTGCTGTCACTACAATGGCTTCTTCCAGATTACCGGTCACCGCGTGCCATTGGAATTACAGCGACGCGTGATGAATTGTTCCAAGAGATTTTTCGATCTGCCTCTGGAAGAGAAGCTAAAGATCGATAAAAGTGAGCAATCTCATCTTCCCAATCTTGACCTAGCTAACATCGCAGACCTGAACTCTTTCAATCGCGGCTACGAACTCCTCCGATCGCAAATGCTGGAAGTAGGCACCGGCCCCGAACTAAAGGAAGGACTCTACATTGGCGAAGAAATTCCCGAAGACCACCCCTATTTCTTGCAGAAGAAATTAAACAGCGGTCCGAATCAGTGGCCCCAAGCCGTCCCAGACACCGAAGAGTTCCAGAAAACAACAATGGAATACTACCACGCGGTATTCGAATTGGCCAAGGACGTTCTTGCCGTCCTGGCATTGACTCTAGGTGTGGAGTCCAGCTATTTCGAGCCCCTTACCGCTGGAGCAGTCGCGACAATGCGATTCCTACACTATCCCGCACAGCCCAAAGACGAAGACGAGAAACTGAACCGCGGGATCGGAGCGCACACGGACTTTGGCTGCGTCACTTTACTGCTACAAGACGAGGTGGATGGTCTCCAGGTCTTGGACGCTCCAACGGGGGAATGGCTAGATGTAAGTCAACTAAATCCTGCCTATTTGGTGCATAATACTGACTGGATGAATCAGGTGAAACCCGTCCCCGGAGCCTATGTCGTGAACCTGGGAAACCTCTTCATGCGCATGGCCAATGATAAATACAAATCTAATACTCATCGGGTAATCAACAAGTCTGGCAAGGAGAGGTACTCGATTCCGTTCTTCTTCAGCGGAAACCCGGATTATCTGTGCGAGTGCTTGCCGAACTGTCGTGAGTCGGGCGAGGATGCGAAATACCCGGCTATTACTGTTCAGGACATGGTTACTGCATCATATAAGGAGAGCTACGGCCGGGCGGAGAAATATAAGAAAGAGATGGAAACGAAGAAGATGGATGAACTACCCGCTGTGGCTGCGGTTGGTGCGTAGATTCTTAGACTGTGAAGTCACTCTGTGTATCTATTTTCAAGTATCTACTATGCGCTGAATTTGTAATCAATTAGCACTTTTCATCTCTTTCTCTACCTCTAGCTCATATCTGACTCATGGGAAGTTTTTGCTAATCAGGGACCACCACCAATTCCAGCCCTTTACATTGACGCTGAATAGCCCCCGTCCCGGTCCAAGCTTGAGAATGCTTTACCCCTAGCTCTCCCAATGCCCCAAAAGTGGGGGGTCAGGCCATCATATCGCGATTTTCCCACCTTTGTTATCAATCTAAGAAGCTGTATTGCCTGTTTTCGATTGGTCGATACCAAATGTCAGCATAGCTCCCAGCCCTACCCGTAAGGGGGACTGAGTATATGAGTCGACGTATTCTAGGAGAGACCAGAAGTAGAGTCCTCCAGCGTCAGATTCACAATGGACGAAATACATTCTGAAAAGAAGAGCTCTCCAAGCCCCGAATACCAGGGCGATGAAGGAACCGGGAAGGTCATTGCCCTCGATGACCACGAAGTTGAGCAGTTCTATGGCTCTTCTACTACGCAGTCATACCGGCTCAAGTCGGAATTGGTAGGAAAATGCATGGAAGAGATTGGTATGGGAAAGTAGGCTTCCTTCCATAGCTCTACGTTCTTGGTAAATCAGTCTGACGATGTCAGGTTCCAATGGAAACTTTTTGTTGTCACCGGATTTGGCTGGATTGTGGACAATGTATGTGCTTTCACTCACGCTCTGTACATCAAATCAACTAAACAAGTTTCTCTATAGTTCGCATCACAAGGCATCGGCAGCGTGCAGCCTCCCATCGAGCAAGAATTCTCCGATATCACCAAAATCAGCTATAGCTCTGTTGCGTATTACGTCGGTCTTATTATTGGCGCCTCATTCTGGGGTCTCTCTAGCGACTTGATCGGTCGTAAGCCTGCATTCAACTGCACTCTCCTCATCGCAGGTATATTCCTCTGTGCGACGGCTGGAGCTACGAACTTCATCGCATTCAGTGCTTTCTGGGCTGTTATCGGTACTGCAGCTGGAGGAAATGTACCCGTTGATTCGATGATTTTCTTGGAGTTTGTCCCTGGAAGGTGAGATCCGCATATCCGTCTGCAATTCGCAGTGCTGACTGTTCATAGTCATCAATACCTCCTCACTGCCCTTTCTGCATGGTGGAATCTGGGTCAATTGATTGTCTCTCTACTTGCATGGGTGTTTTTGGCCAACTTCAGCTGTCCGACAGATGCCACTCCGGCAACTTGCTCTCGTAGCGAAAACATGGGATGGTATGTACAAAGGCTTCTTCCTTCACTTGACCTGTCTTTTAACTCTTGATCATAGGAGATACACGATGATTACGCTCGGAGCTCTTTCCCTTGCTTTCACCTTTATCCGCATGTTCCTCTTCAAGCTGCCCGAGACCCCAAGATTCCTACTATCTCAAGGCCGAGACCAGGATGCTGTCGACGCCGTGAACTACGTCGCAAAACAGAACGGCAAACCCGAGATACTGACCATAGGCATGCTTCGCGAGATCGATGCTCAACTAGGTCTAATAGTCAACGAAGAGGAAGCCCCCACAAAGCTTTCCGTCAAAGAAATCGTGTCAGAAAACATGGACGCATTCAAAGGCAAACACTATCGCGCTCTATTCGCAACACGGAAGCTCGCTCGGCAGACCATCATCATCTGGGCCGTGTGGCTAACAGTTGGTAAGTTATTATCTCTTCGTGAATGGATCTTGCGGGATAATAACATCTATTAGGCATTGCCTATCCACTTTACTTCAACTTCCTCCCGTCGTATCTAGCTACCAAGTTCACTTCAAGTTCCTCTCTTAACCTCACATACCGCAACTATTGCATCGAATCGGCCGTTGGAGTCGTCGGTCCCCTCTCTGCTGCCGTATCGGTGAATACACGCCTAGGTCGACGATGGATGATGGGTATATCGGCAGTAGTCACGGCCGTATTCCTATTTGCCTATGTGGGCGTCAGCAGTCCAACCTCCAGCTTGGCGTTCTCTTGTATCACCGGCCTTCTAGCCAATTTTGGTAAGTCCCGGAAAGAAGTTTTGTTTCGGTGGAAGCTAACAAGTATCGACAGAGTATGCGATCATGTACGCATTTACCCCCGAGTCATTCCCCGCTCCTCATCGTGGAACTGCAGTAGGCACTGCAGCTGCGTTGTTGAGGTTTGGAGGACTTGTGGCTAGTTTGATCTCGTCACAGACCGGGTTCACCAGTGCTCCTATCTATGCTAGTGCGGCACTGTGGGTGCTTGTTGGAGTTTACTGTATCGGTATACCGTATGAGACACATGGGCATGATGCCCTGTAGACTCGCTTCAGCCCTGGGGAGAGCATGTATTTGGCATATCACTGTTTCCGAATTTTGGGTGTACTGTTAGTAGACAATTTTGTTTCATTCAATTAGTCGCAGAAATATGGAAGTTGATGGAAGTTGATGGGTATTTCTACAATTATTGCACAAGTGTAGACTTCTCCACAATATATATCTGCTATCTCAACGTTGGAACTTGGAAAACTATCAAGATTGAAATATTGAAATATATACCCCTAGGTCAGTATTAACATTTGAACGTATGCATGGTTGACCAGCATTTCAACCATGGAGCATCTGATATCGGGGAAGCTTAAATGGAAAGCCCGTCGTTGATGTCAACCGTGCGTATGATTACCAAGAACGGACATCCGAACCACCTGGGCAAGCGCGATTCGCCATGCGACTAATATCAAACTGACCAGCCATTCAGTTGTCTTGATTGCCGAGCAGATCCCCTCAAACAGCGGGATATGCATGCGTGCTGCACCAACCCCCACCCTTGATGTAGCGACTCCCATAATGGGGGAGCTCGATAGCCGACACGCAACCCCTCATCCCCTCTTTATCTGAGATACCCCCGAATTCTATTTAAAATCAATTGCTCTTTCAATTACCTATCCAACCTTCCCTCTTATCTCCAATCCTAAACTACACGCAATCGCAGATTCAGAATAGTCAAAATGGGCAAAAAGCGCGTTTTAGTCGGATACGGCGTCGACATCGATGCAGTAGCCGGATGGCTAGGCTCGTACGGCGGCGAAGACAGCGTCAATGATATCAGTCGAGGTACGAAGCCATTTTTCAGCCAGTAACAAAGTCAAACTAACCCAACACAGGACTCTGGGCCGGACACATCGGTACAACCCGACTCCTGAAGCTCTTCAACAAATACAATATCAAAGCGACCTGGTTTATTCCGGGCCACTCACTGGAAACATTCCCAGAAGAATGCGCGCAGGTACGCGACCAAGGGCACGAGATCGGACTCCACGGGTATACGCACGAGAACCCAACCTGCATGACCGAAGAACAGCAACGCGATATTCTCGATAAGACCTACAAGCTACTGACGGATTTCTGCGGGAAGCCACCGCGCGGTATTGTCGCGCCGTGGTGGGAAGCCAGCTCGGAGATGGTGGATCAGCTACTGGCATATGGAATCGAGTATGATCACTCGATGTCGCATGAGGATTGCCAGATGTATTGGCTGCGCACGGGGGATACCTGGACAAAGATCGATTACAGTAAGAAGGCGGAGACGTGGATGAAGCCACTTGAGCGGGGCCAGACGACTGGACTGGTTGAAATACCCGGGAGTTGGTATATTGATGATCTGCCGCCGATGATGTTTATTAAGAACTCGGCGAACAGTCATGGATGGGTGAATCCGAGGGATGTGGAGGATATTTGGAAGGTAACTTGGCATCCCGGGGTATACTTGATTTGTCACGACATGGGTATGCTGACTTGGGTTTCTAGGACCATTTTGATTATTTCTACCGCGAGTACGATGAGTTCGTCTTCCCGATGACGATCCATCCGGATGTGTCTGGCCGACCGCATGTGTTACTCATGCACGAAAGGTAAGACGAACAGAAAGCTGGGGCTACATAGAACTGACGCGGTACAGGATTATTGAGTATATCAACAAGCACGAAGGAGTGGAATGGGTGACATTTGAGCAGATGTGTGATGAGTTTAAGAGCAAGAATCAACCACCCGAGGGTGCAGTGATGCCGGCGGCACCGGGGAGTATTCTCAAAGAATGAGGATATGTGTATGACACAAGTTCATATTGTGATCACAACTGAAGTGAATCAATGGCATGGTATTGTAGCATTGTAGCATTGTGTCTTGTAGACTCTCCACTAGATTGGGTTTGGCCTCCATTTCCTGTCTTCTGATTGGTTGCGGAAGCGATGCCTCGGAATTCCGTCGATCGACTTTTCACGGGAATGATCGAGACTACTGTACAGGCATCGAGACTAAGGATCTATCACCGATCATCATTTATTTCTGATTCCTGATTATAGTGCGTAGTAAGTTGAGGCAAAAATGACCTGTTCAATTTTTCTTTTATTTTTTTCACAATTTTTCTGCAACCGATAACGCTTCCCGACCGGAGTAAAACCGGATGGAATCCACGGCGCAATGTCCCTTGCCCCTTCGCCTCCCGTTGGACCCAACCAATGGATGCACCAGCTCTCCAATCAGCAAGCCACCACTTCTTCTCCCGAAGTTCCGGAAAAAAACCGTTGTTGGTTCTCCATGTGGATCTGACGTCGGCACCAGTGACCTTGAGATTATGTGCTACTAATATAGTACAAAGTCCGATCTAGAGCGGAGAGCCGTGCGACCTTCCGCTTGGTCCTCGGACTAAGGTTCTGATGGTCTGGTAACTCAATCCTCTGTGACACGTCTGCGCGGGAAGCTGCTTCCCAGAGCCGGTTGACGAACGTTCTAAAAAACAAGGGGGAACAACAATGGGTAAACAGGTCGACGAATCAGATTGTAGGCGAAAAAGTTGGAATGGATCGGTATGGCATCATAAGCAAATCAGGGAATCCACCGAGCCACTCCACCGGCCCTTTCAGAGGCGATCTAGACACTGCCGATCTCGCACATACGGAAACCTTGACTAACGCTCCGTCGAAACCCTAGAAACTTGATCGGAAAAAAATGGGGTAAAGGGTTCGGGGGCATTGAGTCACACAGATTACCAAGAAGCCCCCTAGAGGTAGAACATAAAAAAGAAATCGAATACCGTAGAAGCATTCCGGAAGAATTGCAGACGTACAATCCATGGTTCAGTTCGCCTGTCAACCCCCGGAACGTAGCGGAGTCTGGCAAAACTGAGAATTTTGCAGTGACGGAGTTTACTAAGAAAAGATTTCCATGGATATACTCCGTCTTAGCGTCGTTTCTTAACTCACTAATCCTCTACCTTTGTGCTCTCGCCCCCAAGCCCTTTTAATCTATTCCACACGGCCCTGCGAGAGAAATCTTCCAAAAATACCACAGTCACACCAGGATCTGGGGAGTTCCTTGTCAGGCGCATTATCACCCGCCCGTTTGCCGACATTCCTGCCCAGCCAACGCACTTGAAGACCTTCCGGTTCCCCCGAATTTGCCATCACACCGCTTGCTCTACCTTTATTACGCTGGGTTCCCTGATGCTACAATACATCGACTTATACTCCTCGCAACGCGCGCTTTCACAATGCGTAAACTGTCTCACCTCATCGACACGCGAGACTCGTTCGACGCGCTAGATTCCCGCCTCCCCTCCCCTCTGAGCGCCAATACTTCTGCCCCGGCCTCGCCGGCCCTGTCTCTGTTCTCTAGTCACCTTCGTGTTTCCAGTTCAGTGTCATCCTTGGTGCCTTCAGTAGGCAACTCCATGGATAGTCCCAGTCGCAATCCCCTCTCCGGGGTCAAAGAGGAGGATCTCGCTCGTGATTCATTGGAGGATCAATATTTTCGTACGTCCTTGGACTCGCGCACGCGACATGGAGATGCCCCCAGAACACTCTCCCGCTAACAGTTCATTAGAACATTTCGAATGTGGCACGTCCACCGAAGAGCCCGACTTTATCATGGATCCCACCGATGGTTACGACTTGAGTGATACGGGTATGGACTTTGCGCCCTCGCCGAAAAAGCGTCGATCCGATAGTCTCTCGATGAAGGGCGTCTCGCGCATCAGCTCCCACATCTCTACCATGTCAACAAGATGGAAGTCCAAGCGAGCCTCAGGCAGCCCCGAACGAGACTTCCCTGATGATCTGCGCTCGCGTGCCAACTCAGCGGCCTCCTCCGCCTTGGCGAGCCCAGCTTTGTGCCCGATCAACCGCATCGATTCGATTCCTCCGTCCCCAGCCCGGACCATCTTCGAAGAGCGCATGAGCGATTCCGGAGCCCGCCCCATCGACATCACTCGCGCGAATAGCATGGGCCAGGATGACAATGACAACCAAGCCACGACACCGCTCCTCCCCCCATTCATGGGCGAAGATCCCACCAGCGCAATCGCCTGCCGAGTCCAATCCCCACTCCAGTCACCCTCCATTGCCGATGTGAGCGTGAGTGACTCACCAAAGTACACAGTGTGCTCTGAGTCCCGGTTCGCAGGTATCCCCTCACCGCCACTATCATCAAGACCTTCCATCGCCTCAATGAGCCGTCCCCGAGCCAGTACCACCTCCCGGACCGTCTCCGGTGAAGCGGCCCCATTCATGCTCTCCGATCCCAACGACGAATGGGCCAACAAGCTAGGCCACGCCAACTTCACCATCCAGCCAGAGCCCTACGAACCCCCCACCTGCGATTTGCACAGCTTCCACCTGTTCCGCGCAGACTGGGATCTCGCTCGCTGCAACTTTGCCAAGCACCTCGTGCGCACAGGCGAACACTACGGCACAACCTCCAACATCTTCAAGCTCACAGGCGAGAAATGGGAGTTCCTCAACCGCCAATGGCGCCAGCAACACGATGGCCTGCTCAACCAGCTGGAATTGATCGACGGTGTCGCCCTCACTCTCACCCAATCAAATATCCACCAATGCGAGCAGGAAGTCCGGATCCCACGCCTCCACGATAACGACAAGTTCCCCGAAATGGGAGACGAGGATATCGTCGGTCCGATGACTGTTGCGCCCGCCGCTGAGATCAGTGGATTCTGTCGAACAAAGTCCTTGAAGAAGCGGAATTTCTTCAAGTTCTTCCAGGATCTTGTCTCGCGGCCTTAAGTGGCTCTCCATCTCTCGCCTTTCATATTTTTCTTATATTCTGCTTTCGAGCGAATCGCCTACGATAATGACCTATAGACTTACCAGCGCGGCGTTCAGAGTATTCATGCTTTCATGGATGGTCTGGACGATCATGTCCGCCCATCATGACATAATGTCTCTCATCCTATGTTTTTTTGGATCTTTTGGATTGATTTATGACTCACGACTCACGATTCGGAAAAAGCGACTACTGTCTCGCGCCGAATCATGCCTTTCCTTCGTCTTCTTTTTTGAGTCATGACTTCGTTCGTTGTTCATGTGGATCTTGTGGACCTGTACCTGGACACTTGTTTCCGACTCAGGGCAAAAGCCCGTCCATTCCTTGTTTTACGATATACCCAGCTACATTGCATTTTGTGTATCCCATAGATTAGACTCATTGCGAGACAAAAGCTAGCGTGACTTGTCTTTTTCAATCGTTTGTATATACCTATAGATTTCTTATCTCGTGGAGATGGAAAGCATCTTGTACACAATTCATCTTATCTTACATTCTACACTTGATCATATTATCTAGATACTCCAATGATTCCAGATGTTGGAATACTATACACCGTATAGACCCAGACCCCTAGGCGCCTGTGTACCAAGGCTGCACTAAACCCAATACTGACCCCAAATCTTACGCTCATCTTCAGTACCTTCAAACCGAAACTCCACGGTTATGATATCCTCAAATCCCTCATCAAGACGTGGCGCCTTAAACCGGCGCCCGAAATCTCCAAACGCAATGCCAGGAAGAGAAGTGCGCGCCTCGGGATTCTACCCAAAAGAGGTCAGTAAACAGAATAACCAAAACCAAGAACAGGCAAGCAATGCATATGGCAGAACAAACGAACCATTTCTTTGTTGCCAGCGCGGACGGCATTGTTGTGCCTGCATAGGTCAGGTGGAGAAAGAAGGTGCACACAACGAATCGGAACACCCAATTCTTTAGCTAGCGTTATCCACACGAGTCTTGTCTCCGGGTCTGCGTTGGTGTTGTCTGCGTTGGAGGAATATTAGTGGCGTTCGTGATAAGCTTGTTGGCTTGGCGGGTATGAGCAAGTTGGTGCCCAACGAACATGCCCCAAACGAACTCGGGTCCGCAAACAAGCTTAGGTCCAACAGAGCTTGAGTTGACACATGGGCCGAGGATGTATGACTCACCGACAGCGACGGATTTCTTTGCTTCAAGGTGTTCACGGGCTACTTTGACGCATTTCGGGCGCTAATGTGATGGTTTAGATGATTGGTTGCTGAAGCCCACCGATAGCTGAAGATTAGGTACTCACCGTCTTCAGGATATCTTGATTGACACGTTCGTAGCCCAATGGCTCTAGATTGTTCCGGAAATAGGTTGATTTTCCTGATGCTGGGCTGCCACAGAAAATTACCAGTTCGAGGGGGTGTTTGCGAGTGAAAGCGTTGGGAACTAGGTAGCAAGAGCTGTTAGCAGGCAATCAACAACCCATAGCTGCATTATCACATACGAGATTTGCTGTTCTCTGTCTTCGTGTATGCAGTGGGGTCGAAAATCGTAACAAGTTCCTCAGAGCATCCTCCGAAATAAACCTCTGGTGTCTTGAAAGGCAGACCAATATTTGCCGCGAAGCCGCTAGAGCAGAAGTCAGACTAATTTCGACACCAATGCTTAGTAGTATCTTACAGATCTGAAGAGGAGTGATCCTTTGGGCGTCCGGCGGCATCGCCCACGAAGAGCGAGTTCTTTTTATCAATACCCACCACGTCGAGGTCATAGTCGTCCACGAACTCATTCCACATACCGATTCGAGGCTTCCTATACTTGTCATCTTCGGTAGCAGCATAAACGCTGATGGGCAACTCCATCGTGGTCATGATAGCTGTGACTTTCTCTTTGAATATCGCCAGGCTCTTTGAATCGGCCTTTCCTGCTTTCATTTCCTTTTGGATGCTGATTTTTTTCTGGTTGGAGAAAATTACCAGTTGGTACCTAGACAACATTAGAATTGCTAGCCAAAATTCATGAGAAGTGTTTACCCTTTAGCGTGTAATTTCTGCAACGTAACGTGGACATTGCCCTCGAACCATTTCCAGTCGTCTGCTGATCTAGCAAACACATTTCCTGAACGTGTCTTGATCAAGGTTGAGTCCTGTCATTACCATCAGCAAAGCTCTTTCTGCCTTATATCCTTGCAAGCCACCCGGTACTCCAAGAGGGATTTGACTAACAAGATCAAATGCCGCGATCTTGCGGTCCTTCTCCGGCAGTGTGCTGGGGGTATTTTCGGGTGTATATTTGCCTACAACGAGGCTCGTTCCAATGACCCGCCATGTGATCGGTTTTGGCTTCTTTTGAGAGGCAGGGGTGAAAAAGGAAGCAGCGGATGCCTCTGTTGAAAATAGATGTATCAGTATCATACAAGCTTGTGGCTGATCCAGATGCGCTCACTGTTGATACTTGATCCAACTTTGCGGCGAAGTGGAGGCGGGGAGATGCTCCGAGTGGGGGAGGCGGTTCGCTTGACTCCCCCTTCGGCCATCTTGAGGGCTCTTGTGAGGGACGTGATGTAGGTGGCCCAGGTTCAGGGCGCGGAGGCTGATGTCGTTCGCAGCAGTGAGTTTCAGATGATGTCAGGAGCGGACGCGTAGTTGGACGCGAACTTTCACGAAGTCACATGCTCGATCACCCAGATTGGCAAAATTGATGACCCACCACTTTGATATGATTACGGACTGTACACTTCATGTAGATATCATTTGTAGGAGAATATTATTCATGCTTTGGCTTGAACTAATTTTATGCACAAACTCGATGTTCAATGAAATATGACCGAACTTGATTGGAGGCTGCCTCTCCGGGTATTTATGACAGCCGGACAAAAATGCAACATCTTATGGAATCCTTTACTTCGCCCTGGTATCCAGAGACAGACGATCCGCCTGCTCCAGCTTCACCGCAGATTTGAGCTGTTCTCGCAGCCCGAACAAATGCTGGGAAGCCGTCTTCATGGTCTCCTGGTTGCTACCATCCTGGACGATGATGGAAGCCTGCAGCACATAGCTTCCAGTCTTCTCGAGTGGTGCCATCTCCGTGAATGCCGGGAGCTGCTGTCGAGGCATCCAGGACTCATGCTCATGCTCTGCAACGGGGTAATGCAGCACCCGATGCAAGAAAATGGTGATATCATTGTGGATAAAGATATCTCCCTCCACCACATACTCAGTCACAAAGCTGGAAGACCCGATTAGCATCTGACAGTCATAAGATCCGCAATTATAAATTTTAAAGAGATCACACCACATACCTGTAGCCCCACGCTTTCATGGCGGGGACGATATCGCCCCGTGGCAGCGAGGCACTGGCCATGACACGGGCCGTGACAGCGGATCGGGTCCCTGCCTCGGGGATATCTCGAAACTCCAGTTTCCAGGGTTGTTGCTCATAATCATATGGCACATGGGACTCGGGCTTGGAGTCATCCATGCCAGCCATTTGAGTGTCCGAATCAGGGGCCGGGGCGGCCCCAAAAGCCGAGGCCGAGACGGGGCCGACAACTTGGGTGTAGAACATGCCACCATTGAGCATCTTATTGACGCGTTGCAGGTCTGCCGACTGCAGGTCTTGGCTGCCCCCAGTGCGAACCGTGGCTAGACCTGGTTTCCGATAGGCCTTGAAGATCAGCCGACGCTCGAGAGCGTGGCGAGGCTGCATAGCCGTCAACCCGGTAAGCTGCTGCAAAAGCTCATGATGCTGATGAACCGGGACCGAGGCGAATAGCAATAACTCATGCATTTTGTTGAAGATTGGTGGAACGGGCGAAGTCGGGATGTGGTTAGTCAGGGTCCAAGCTTCCAGTGGCGCGATCCGAGCTTATCAATTCAGATCACTAAAATTGTGCCAGCAATTGGTAATGAGATTCGCCTCGGCAGATAAAAAGCAATTTCGATTTTTCACTTCTACTCGGTGAACTTTTTAGATGATTCTTTGTCGAATAATCCAATGTATATATTCACAACCAGAGTTTTTGAGTTGAATAGAGACAAAAATCGAAGGAAAAAAAAAGGTATAGAATTGTAGAATGTCAACACCGTGTGGGGGGACCGGAGTGCAGAAGATCCAAACGTTCGCACAAGCCTTATGAGGAGTAAGAACGCGGTAGAACGTCTCACGGAGAAAGTCGAGAAAAATGATTGGATGCTTGGCTAGTCACCCATCCAGGCAGGTAGATCCTCAAAGTGCAGGGACGGGGAAACTTCACCGGCGAGTCGAATTAGGAAAGGGATCGGAGAAGAGTAAGCAGTTCAATGCAAAATGCCGTGCGGGGGAAATGGGAAACAATCATATGAGGAGTAAGAGCGGCGCCGTCTGCCAATAGTGTAGCCAATAGATCCGCTGAATTGCGTGACTTGACTTAAGAAACTTCCCTCTCAAACTCGGGTCCATATCGGCTCCGAGCGGCTCGACCAAATGCGGTAGTCAATGCTAAAGCACAGATTTCTTATCTTGCCTCTCTCTTCTCTCTTTACCCCTCTAACTTCCTCTCAATCCTTTTCTTCATATTCACCTTAATAAAAATCTTCACGAGATCCAACGGATCATACCGCATATAGAACTTCATACAAAATTCACCAGTCCGCTACTTCGCATCGGGTCGGTTCGGATACTACCGGACCCCATTGATTTCCTCGCACACTCTGTGAAATTGACCTTCCTTCACTACACACCACATACCACCGCCACCTCCAACTCCACCTCCACACCTCTATCAAAATGCGTGCCACCATCGCTCTCGGCAATGCTTTCCGCACCCCCTTGATCCGCTTCGTTGGCAAGCGTTCCGTCCCCTGTACGTGACACCCTTGAGCTTCTCCGAAGCTCTCCCCCCCGAAAGAGCTCGCTCCGAATTCGCGCTAACATCCCTCCAGCTGCCGTGGACCACACTCCTCGCGTTCACCCTGCCTCCCCCGAGGGTGCCCTGCCTGACTCCTTCGCTACCTACCGCGCAAAGGCCCAGCAGCACGGTCCTCTCGGTCGCGCTCAGTTCACCGGCGGCATTGGTGGCTCAGCCGGTGCCTCCCTCGGTCCCGTTCGTCCCGGTGCTGGCGAGTTCTTCGACCGCGCTGAGCTCCCCACTCGCTTCGGTCGTCTGCCTTGGAGCCAAGCCGAGATCGAGGCCATTGAGACCGGTGGCGCGAGCATGTACGCGTAAATAAGATCATTGTGATCTTATTTCTGCCGGCGGAGATCTTGTTTTGTTTACATATTATACCATGATGCGATGGGGTATGACTTTTCTGGAAGTTGTGCGGTGGATTTACTGATACCTGCTGGCGACTGGGTGTCACCACCGCGACTGTTGGGAAGTGAGTCGAGGACTTGAGTCTGCATTCAACCGCGGCAATTGTGCATGTGCACATCCGAGAATCATCCACTCCCATGGTCTATCCTGCAAGTTTAACTTTCCATAGTTAGTTGGACGTTACTTGCGACCTGCTTTTCTTTTCTTTTCCCCTACGGTTCTTGTTTTTCTGAACCTGGCGCTGGTGGTTTTGGGGTTCTTTTTTATCTTTGGGCAGCGCAACAAAGCTTCTCGTCTTGCCATTGAAAAGCAACGAGTATAGATGTTGGATTCTAGATTCATTGTGACATATTCAGCTCTGGGAGCATTTGATTTGGAGTACTCCTCCATATTCAATAAAATTACTATTTATCTCCATGCATAGATCTTCTCTTATATCGTATATTGCATTATTTTATAGGTCGGGGAACGCGTGTTTCCCCGCACGTGCCCCTTCGATTACTGATTCGTGGCTCTTCAACTTCCATTTACATTAAGCAACTACATTATGACGTCTCAGGCCAAGGACAGATTGACCTTTCATGAGACAGACGAGGCAGATACTCCTACTGCAACCTATGTCTTCTCCAAGCAAGATGTGCCAAAGGAATCTCGAGGGCGGGTGGATGTGATGGTAGGCCTCCTCATTTCCATTACCCTTGGCCCCGTTGATATCCGATTGGCTCAAGTGCGATCATTGACCATGCACAAGACGTGATCTTCATGTGAAGCATGGTAGCAGTCCTTTGGAATCCGGATGAGTCTCCGTGTGGCCACATGTCCTCAGTCCATGGCCTTGTCGGTTCTGTTCCGTGGACTATTGCACATTCATATACTCGCTAGTGGAATTATAGACTGATCATATCACAATAACCAGGACGCACCTTCGACTTCATCATGGTCCACCAAGCCCCTAGTAGCTACTCTGAGTGACATCTTCTTGCCGTCAGGATTTCCACAGAGTGTGAGCGATGACTATCTACCGTGAGTATCTGAAACCCCCATATTTGCTCGCTTTACTTGAAGATATCTTCAGAAATACTGATTTATAATCGGCAGATACCAAATATATGTGAGTGAACCGATTCAATGCAATAGAGTCCGGACAGTCCCACAGAGTTAAGACTGATACGATCTGCATTGCCAATAGGATTCCCTGCAAGCATTCTGCAGCTCTATCGCTGGCCTTCTCTCCTCGAGGGCAGTATTGCAAGGTCTGTCAAATACCCCGGTGTAGCAAAATAAAAAGTCATCTTAAACATCATACTGACTATCCCCAGGAGTCGGTGTGGGTAATGCTAGCGCGTCCCCAACATCTGCCCTTCTTCTACACATCCTGCAAGACTCGTCTGGCCGTGTTGCGACAATTCTGTTCGCGCACCGAGTCGGAACAGCCCTTGAACCAGAATGCAAGACATACCGGCTAGCAGCCGACGTGTTCAACGATATCGCCATGATCCTTGACTGTCTTTCGCCAATGGTCCCTGCCGGTGTCATGCGAGTAACTATCCTCAGTACAGCGGGAGTCTTACGAGCTCTGTGTGGAGTTGCAGGAGGAAGTTCGAAAGCGAGCCTAAGTGCTCACTTTTCCAAATGGGGGAATTTGGCAGAGCTCAATGCTGTGGGTGCATTGTCCGGGTACCAGTCATTGAGCAAAACTAATCTGTTACTATAGAAAGATTCCTCCCAGGAGACTGTGATATCCCTCCTAGGCATGCTTGTAAGAACCCATCTCATGCATACAGCTACTAAATACTAACGACCCTAGGTTGGCTCGGTCGTTGTATCACACATAACCGGCTTCAAGACTACCTGGGCCGCACTACTTATGCTCCTCGCAGCACACCTAAGCCTAAACTACGCAGCCGTGCGCTCAGTACAGATGACCAGTCTAAACAGACAACGAGCAAACATAGTCTTCTCAGCTTTACTTTCATCTGACCCAAACACACTCAACATCCAAGACAAACCTACCCAAAACAACTCCATCCCCGACATGAACCACCAAAATAATTGGACAATCCTCACCCCTGCCCAAGTATCCAAACAAGAACGCATCTTCCCTCGCGACGGCGTCCTGGAATGGGTAGAATCCCCGACCAAACCAAGTCAATACCTCGGCACCGCCGAAATAGGCATATCGCTGCCCAAATTCTTCTCCGCTTCAAGCAATTCGTTCCAGACATCAATCCCCATGACCACACTACACGATCTCTTCGCCGGAGAGCAGCATGTTCTCTTCCTTTTCCCACGTGGCGCGACTTGGCACGCTTCTATCCTTCTCAAGAAAGGGTGTTCCGTCCAATCACAGCTTAAAGCGTGGATGCATGCGCTTTTAGCTGCACGTGTTTTGTTCGACGCCGATACTACATCGGAGAGCGAGCAATTTGTTTACCAGGTTGTCGAGAGTACGCTATGGTTTTTGAATGGTGGCGAGAGGGCTGAGAGGTATTTGGCTGCATTGGCTAGGGAGGGGTGGGTACTTGATATTGGGGCTTTAGAGACACGGGGTGGACGACGGATTGCTTTGAGTGGATAGTGAGATGTAGGATGAATAGGGTTGCATTGTTACATAGTATTCCTTCCCTTTTTATGTGGTCCAGTTGTAGACGTACGGTTACATCTAAGCTAAGAATCAAACGATTCTTCGGTCTACTGTCATTTACAATATGCACAGAATTAGAGTTGAGAGGGGTATCAAGTCTATCAATTCAAAGAAATACCGCACCATCCTATCGTAGCAAGCTATCGACACAGATCCACCAGTGCCAGAAATGATTCAAACATTCAAAAAATAAAACGCCCTCGCTCATCCAGTCAGTCTATATGAATAGGAAATTTTTCCTGGGCCAACATGAACAAAGAACCAAAAAAAAGGGCATCGTATGCTCGCTGAACGGTTTGAACATAAGAAACCATCCGAACCAAAATGTAAATGAAAATAAAAACGCCGTGTTCGTATGCTTGATGCATCGTGATTCTCATACACCGCCAATGTAAACGCTAGCAAAACAAAATCGGAGCAAGTCGTATTGTGATATAATGTTCAGGTTTTGAGGTCATGCAAGGCGACCCCAGGTGTAGGGAGGTTGAGGGGTCGTGAGTTGAGAGTTGTGGGTAATTTTGAGACAAAGAGATGGAGAGGTATCGTCAGGTCAGGGTCGGGGTCGGTAAAGGACATATAGTAAACAGGTGAGGAAGGAGAGATGGCATCCTAGTCATCGAGACCGAGGATCTTGGGATCGCGAGAAGAAGCACTTCCGGTAGAGCGCTTCTTGAAGCCCAGCTTCATCCCCATCTTCTTCCACGGGTTCTCGGTACGCATCTTGGGGCTGTGCATGGGAAGATGAGGCTCACTAGCCGGTGGGGTGGTCGGCGGTGTCATAGGCTCCTCAGCAGTGGGACTTGACTGAGGGCTCGAATCATCGGTAAGAGCCATGCCGATGGAGTCACCACTTGTACTTAGGAGGGCACCCGAAGTCCGTTTCCCGATAGCGTGGACGGCTCCTAACGAGTGATTCCCACGGCTCAGCGAACCCGGTAAATCCCTGACAGATGACTGCGGCGAGATACGTTTTACCCTTGAGCGAACCTTTTTCATCGGGTGTTCGTCCAAACTGGTGCTCGACAAATTGATGGAATCGTCGGCGGCGAATGGAGGCTCGGAGGGATACACGGACGGGGAGGTCGTGTGACTGTTGAGAAAAGGCAGGAAAATTGACTCCTCCATCAACTCGTGGATGTTCTTCACGGCAAAGTCGAGGGTCTCGGGGACAGGCGGGAAGGGCGCGTTTCGGTGGTCGAGGAGGGTATCCCGGACTTCACTGGAAAGGTTGATTTCTCGTGGGGCACCCGGGTAGACATAGGCCACCAATAACCGCTGCCATAGCATCTGTAAGTGCTGTGCCTCGGGGGTATCTGTGGTGACGGCGACCTCCCCTAACCGATCGACCAGGGCGTGGTATGTTTCCCGATAGCGTTTGGCCTCGAGGGTGAATTCGAGGGTCTCGAGGCAATGGTTCTGGGATAGGTAGGCCATGAATGCGCTGAGAGTATATGGCGGGGGAGCGGTGTTGGCCAAGACATCGTCGAGGGTTGGTCGCATGGGACAAAAGGCTCCCGACGAAACGGCCAAACTAACCGGTCGGGAGCCGGACGAATCCATATCCTCGTCGGAATCACTGTCCGACGAGGTAGGTGATAATTCGGGAGTGGTGGACGGGGAGAAATTCCAGAAGAAGGCAGGCGCCAACGTCTTCTTCTTCAGCATTGCGGACAGCGTTTGGCGGGGTCCCTGAAACCGTCGTTTTCTCACCGGTCCTCCCCTATGTGATGGACGGGACTCCAGCTTGGGGACCGGAGAGAAGGTTATTGAGATATAGGAAGTAGTAGAAGCATGAGCGTGGGAAAGGTAGATCCGGGGGTTGGTGGACGGATGAGGCAAAATGAATTAAACGGGAAGGGAGAGAATGTATGGGCGAACAAGTTCTAGATAAGTTAGGGAAAGACCCCAAGTCTCCACCCGCACTTCCAGAATCATTCTGGGTCGATCATGACGAGACGTAATTTACAGTGGAGAATGTGTGGCAATCGGTAATACGGATACCCGTCACGCAAGGGATTGCCAATGCAGGGGGAGAAAAGAGCGCTTCCAGAACGTCATTTAGGTGCGTGTGCCTCTAATTGAACGCGTGGCGATTCACCTCGTGGGAAGTTTGGTACAGGTTTTTCTCATTGGGAGAAAGATTAGTCCTATCTCTACCCAGAGAATTCCCTGGCCTCCATTCTCCTATCATAGACCAGCACGGAAGCTAATCAGCCAATCTTTAGGCTCAATGGCCCCACGATGTCCAACGCAACGACGCTAAGCACGCCATTATCCGGTCTCGGAATGTCAATCGTCCAAGACCCACGGTTCAGTATAGACGGCGGCACCAATCATAATGAGGCCGGTGGATCGACCTGTTTTTTAGTGACACGCACATCCCCCTTGCGTTTCAAAAAATGATCTTTTTTGCACGTCATTTCCATTAGGAACAGAATGTCTTGTATTCCTTGCCCTGCCGATCTCCCTTGGAATGAGACTCTAAGCTTTTACATTTTTTACATTTTTTAGTGTGCACACCTATTGCCTATTCCTATGCCCATGTCAATTTAAATGGTGGCAAATGCTAGATCTCGCTAGTCTTAGTCTCACCTGGTAAATCTCTGTTAAGCCCCAATCTAAAGCGACCCGATCTTCTAGAATTCTAGAATCCCCGCCGAAGCATACCCACGATCGCCACACCCGGTCCCCCCGAGACAAATTTTCTTCTAAATGTGACATCTGATCCTGGTGCCTGAATCCTGCCTAGCGTTTGCGTGTTTTTTTTTTTTTTCTAGTGCAGGGATCGCTTCTATAATCGCCACTGTATGCATTTTTCTTGCCCTCATTTGTCCGCTTTGCATTGCCAAGCCAATACTACATATAACAGAGATTTCTTTTCCCCTATTTACCCCGATCCCGGTCAATGGGAGATCTTAGTTTCCCGTCGGGATACAATTTTCGGGGCTGATCTCCAAGGCCGAGAGAAACCGAGAGCCAAGACAATACGGGACCCATACAAATGGGGCTCAGGGACCTTGGTTCTGTCGATCCACCCTGACTCACTGATAAGCCGGCCGACAGCGGAGAGTTTGACGATTCTCGATACGGAATATGGTAGATATGGTAGACCTGATGATAAGGTTGAAGGCACTTGGTATTCAGATCCAGCTTTTGACGTTTGGGTTTGGTAGCGTGACATGCGACATGAACCTGTGTGCAGAAACTATGCCCGCCGTGCATTTTAGCTGCAGGGCATTCCCACCAATCCCACGCCGTCGATACGAGCCAATCCACATGTAGAAATCGAGAAGAACAACGGTCTCCCTTGCTTGAACCTCCATGTAGTACGGTATGGCACAGACCTGTACTGTACGAGAAGCTCGAGTTTCGGCGCCGGTAATCTCCCAATCTACCATCCCCTTTTCTAGGAACCAATCCAACCCCGTTCACCATGCACCTAAGCAGCCTCCCACCTTAGTTCGGAGTCCACCTACCATACACCATCTCTCATTTCCCCCTTCTCCAGATCCACAATTTCCCCGACTCTAAGACCTCGGTAATCAGCAAGGATTCCCCACATTGGCGCGCACGGGTTCACGACGCTTTTCCTTGCTGGTCAGTTGTGTGACCTGTACCGTCCTCTCATCCTTCTAGAATTGCGCCTTGTCGGCTGGAAGCGACCGGTTCCAAAGAAGGCGTATGGGGTACCTTAGTAGTCCACTACTGCAAAGCCACAGCGGGGGGCTCGTTAGGTCTCGTGTCCAGTCGTCTGCCCATGCGTGTACACAGACGCTGTAAGCGTGGAGGTTTAGTGTCAAGGGAAATTGATTGGACAATTGCACAGCATAATTGGCTCGCTCATTTTTCTTGCGAATCTGTCTGGTTACACATAATTCACTCGGTTCCATTATTGTTCAGTTTTCCTTGTCCGGAGAATAGTCCGCCCTCGAGTAAATCCCTCAACACAAATACATTGACTCCATAAGCACCATCACACAAGAATTGTACACATAACACAATGGAAATATGAACGTCATTCCCAACATATCAAGAACTACTGTAAATGACGTGCAGCGGTAATAATCTTTCCCGATCGATCAGATCGTAGACTGGGGCCGCAATATAGAATATAGGGAAAAGCAAAAACAAAAAACAAAAACAAGATAAAGAACCCAAATAACATTCTCATTTCCATTCCGATCATCTCCACTGAAAAGTTCCAGACTGCTTCCCTCCACACGCATCTTCTCCCGCGTCCAGTCGATCAACCGGAGCGCACGGCAGAAGCCGCGTGAGTGACCTCATGGCCCCACACAATCAGCCAAAATCTTGATTTTCACTGGGACTAAGGAAGGAAAAAAAATACTTCTATGGAGTATGAAGAAAATGATTAAGCCTAAATTGAAATCCATGGTTTCACAACGGGATCTTCGTCGTCTTTGATGTCGAGTCAATTCGTGTAGCGCCCTGCTGTACAGGATTCAAGCCGGCGTATGGATATGGTCAGGCGCTACGTGAAACAATCCTGAGCCACACGCACAGTACAGATCTAGAACAGAAAAACACCGTAGAACCACAAAAAAAAAAACAAGAACAAGAACATCTCGTGCCCTAATGCTAAACTATGTTTTGCGCGGCAGATCCACACTATTGCAACCTCAATCCAAATCATAACCAAGGTTAACCTCCACTCTAATAAACACTAGCCCTTTCGAACCAACTATATCTTGGAAGTTACAGTATCATTTAGCCAAAGTCACACAGTGGAGAACAGCCTTCCCTGTTCACAAATTGGACTATGATCTGCACTACAGCAGCACTAGAAACTCCGTGTCCACACCCAACCTGGACGTATTCTGATTTCAGACCCATTGCACGCTCATAGGTCCATGAACTCCACAAAGACTCCATTCCGGATTCCTTTTTGTTTCAACGGCGACTTGCAAATCCTTCCAAATCCCGTACCTACGCTAGTCTGTTTAGTTTATTAACGCCATCCTGATAGTCTTGGCTCCTTAAGTCGATTTAGCCGCTGGGCTGATATTTTTGTTTCACTTTGATGGTTTTGGCAGTCTCCACGATCTGCGATCTAGGCCTTATTTTCTTTACAGAGGCTGAAATTTGTGCCTGATGTGGAGTTTACGGTTTCAATGTTTTGGATATTTGGCAAGTGGATTTCATGTCGTCTATTGTTCTGTACAGGGATGATATGATGTAACTGTTGGCAGCCCAATGTTACTATGTTTACGTACTTTGATGAAAATATCTGCAGGTGCATAAGCTCTTATCGAAGATCGACCTGCCTGCAGGATTTTTGACTTAAGAGTTACTATTCCAAAAACGGAACGAGTTCCGTGCTTCTTTACCCAATGCCTTACTTTAACCCGAGCTACCGATATCGTAAGATATGACAGTAGGACTTGGGACTTTGACTGATTATTGAGGTAATGTACCTACTTGCTCGCCCAATGACTAGCATCGTACCCATCCATCAATGCGGTATAGTCACTTCCAGACGCAACCCAGCCCTTGATACCCCCCTCAAGAGCAAAGCTTGCTAGGTCTGTATCTTGTTGACTCTCAATGTAATCCGCAAACCACGCGGCCGCCCGAGTCCCGCGTCCTCCGCATGAGCCTAAAACAATATCGTAAGATAGGACCCATATGAGGCGCCACCCGCTTATACAAAGCAAAAGAAGCGAAAAGCGCTAAAAAGGAAGAAAGGCACTTACCACAGTACCAAATGACTTGTTTGACATTGCTACCCGAAAGAACGGAATACAGACTCGGTAGCGAAGGATATAGACTCTGGGCCGGTAGATTCAATGATCCACGGATGGTACCACCCTAACCCATAGTGTAGTTAGCTAACTGGCTAATTCCGTTTACTCCTGGCTTTGGGTTTGGATAAGGTTTGATTGGGCATGTATATTGGATTTTATACCTCAAAATCCGCGCGTCGCAAATCAACAAGCACAAAGTCCTTCCTACCCTCCTTCATCCATTTCAGCACCTCTGCCCGGGATATCACCGGTGCTGTGCATTTCGGGGCTGGATAGGCTGCATGCCATGGCTGAACCGGCGTTTCGGGCGCAGCACTATTGGATAAGCTAGCCATAGCTGTACTTAGACGGGAGTGAATTAGATTAAATGAACGGGATATAATGAAGACGAAGCATGAATCAGGTAGACATCCCAGGGGCGGAATCGAATCAAGCCATTTCTGCTCAAAGTGTGCATGTCGGATGATCTGATTGGTTCGAATGAAAAGGTCCAACCGTTGCCCGCGGGAAAACGGTCACATGGTGTAAAGCGGCATGACAGTGAGTGTCTGATTGGTTATAGCCGGCTCGGATTAACTTAGATGAGGTCTGTTTCCTCTGAACTGAAGTACTTAGAAATTGTGGTGCCATGGCTTTCTATTGCTGACTCGACAATACGGGTTTCACACGTCTCTGGCTCCAGTGCTGGTTCTAGATGTGGACGGGTATGATGCTCCTTTGGGAGGACGGCGTTAACTGAATCACTTATCTTTCTGCTACTTTTCTGGCCTGAGTTTCAGATAAGCAAGTCAGCCTTGAATCATCAGGGTCAAGCCATCATGCATTCCATTCTGCGGGGTATCCGATGAGGTTGATTCAGGCTGAATGGTCCATAACTGACTGCATCGTCATATGTATGATTTAATTGCTTTCCCCGATGATTAACTTCATAGCTCTAGCTTGCATCGTCCTTCCGCCCCCACTGCTGCCCAAGCACAGCATAGCTTCACATAGTAAAGCCAACAGCCCGAATTGAACTATACCTTTTTCAAGCTCCAAAGGAGTCCTCGGACTTTTCGTATATTCAATCAGCTTCCCCAGATAAGCCATTAGATCGACAGGTTGATACTCCAAGCTCGGTCCTCAATCGATCTACTGCACCTCACGAGGTCCGAGCAACATTCGACACGCTGTTATCAGCAACAAGTCAAGGATAATCCCACACCAAACACCACAACCCTGACACCTAACCTGCCACGCTCCAAAGATCATCACGCACGCACACACCCCCTCATCTCTGTCTTGTAAGTACCGAGCGAAACCTCAACACAGCCCGATCTCTGCAGAAACAAAGCCAAATCCGACTCCACAACACCAACACCAACACAACACAGGCCACACGACACACGACACACAGCCACGAAGATCCATCGGTCCATGCCCCTCCCAGCCCCAAAAAGCAAAGAAACTCAAAAAAGCAAAAAGCATGGTTGCCTGGGACTCACTAATCAAAACACAGCAACGTGCAGCGCCAAGAAAACACCACAACATTCCAGATGCGGGGGTAGGATGATCTGAGTGGTCGACTGGGAAAGTCAATCACAGCTGAAGCAAAATCACGACCGAGGCCCGACGAGAGGGATCATGACATCCAAGGTTCCAAACTTAGTACTGTACTTTTGGATGTAGCTGTGACTAAGGGATGGAGCCACAATTACTAGGTAGCCTAGCCTAGCTTAGTCCCCAGCACGTTGGTGTGTACCGCATCGGGAAGAGATGTCCATCGATCCCTGTTTCTCCCCGGGGAGGTTTATACATTATACGTCTTGCTGCGTGTGTTATTGGATGACCTTGTTTACTAGGGATTTCCATTCTTTCTTTACCGGGGGGTTCTCGTTTTGACTTTTTCAGTTAGTTGTACCAGATGTACAGTGTCGTATGTTGGATGCAGATCGCGTGGTCTCAGTCTTAGTCCCCTGTCTGCAGAATGTCATCTTTATTTTCTTCCAATGTGGCAAAGTATAACACTATAATAAAAGTATAACTTATAACTAATACTAAACAGACTAGATGTACATAAAGCTAAGCCGGGTGGCGCATCTATATGAGTACTATATTGTACTTTTCTCCAATGTGTTATGTGTCTGGGGTGCATAGTGATTGGATGGCTTCTACTTCTGCTCATTGGCGTGGCACTTGAATTGAGTTATGTTCTTTCAAGTTATTGTGATGGGATGTGATACTGTTCATCGGTCGCCACTCAGTTAAGCTATCGACGTCAAGGGCTGCTACCTGCCTAGCTAGTGCGGTAGTTGGGCTCGGGAAATGCCCGGTGCTGCTTTGGGAGGTTTAGTACGGAACGGCTTGGATGGTGTGATGCAAAGCCATGTTTTGGGCGTGTCTCGTGTGGCTGATATGAGATCATTGACATTTCGTAGACCACCAATGATTCTCCTGTACGGAGTACATTGTAGAAACATCGTTTCAAGTCACTTGAGTCGGGCGACGAAAGTTGACGTGAAGGATATGTCTGTTCAATGACAGGTCTAGAGTGCTCTATGATACTACTGGCAACTACTGGAATCTACGTTTCAGACCACTCGCAGATAAGCACGCAAATGTATTAGTCGCCTACTCCGAAAAAAGCAGGAATTATGTACGCCGCTCGGACGCGTTAAGCTCCAGGCCGAGGCATCAGAACCAGAAAGAAAACACAAAGAACAATGCTATCTTATGCCAAACACTACCAGAAAACAAAAACAGAAAAGACTCGCTTCTCAAACGGAGCAAGAGACAAAACAGACAATTATAGACACGAGCAGTAGATTCGACAAGGGCGAAACAATCAAAAGGCAATCCAACAAGAGGTAGGGGAATAGGACCGGGAGAATATATGCATGCGTCGTTCCGCCCGGTTCGGTAAGACGGGTTGACATCGCCATGCAGGTGCAGGACACAGCAAGCCCCGGGGTAAGGAGGAACGACAGGAGGTCATGAGGCGGTATGCCGAGAAAAAAGAATCCAAACGAAACAAGGACATGCAGGTGCTCATCCTACCCAGCGGTAGGATGAGATGGAACCAGACTGCTCCCGAGGGGTATGACGGAAACTCCGAAACTTGGTCGACGGTCTTCATTCGTCGTCCTTTGCACAGAGGGACCATTCATTACCTGGTTAGAATAAAGCAAGTCAAGCAGATCATGTCCCAAGCGGGGACAAGAATTGCCTTGCAAGATCCCCAGTCTAAAAAGCCCCCTGGAATAGCAGAATGCAGATGTGAAGAGCCAGTTGAATGTCGACCTCTGAATCCGCTCGTTGCCGAAATTTTTGGGATTAGACGGTTAACGCCAAATATAGTGATGGGGATGCAAAAATGGGCAACAAGAAAAATAATCTCTCAAAATTCGCCGTTCCCAGCCGTAGCACCGTGAAAAGAAAAAAGGGGATGAAGACGTAAGCATCAATGAGAGAAAAGTCGTTCTAGCCACATGCGAGTTGTAGGCTGAAGCGTCGAATGGGAAGAAAGAGTGTCAAAAGGGGGGTGGCCATGTATGGAACTGATCATCACCTGGACATAGCCGGGCGACGACGAGTTACCTAGTCAAGATGGCCGAAACAAAAGAAACCAGACAGACAGTCCCATGCCGACTTTGTTGTTATTCTTCGGCCGTATTCGAATATTGTGGGCAGAGCAGAGAAAGGTAGGCCGAGTCCAATCTAGGATGCCGCGGCGTCGCGTCATTTAATTCGAGTTCAACCTGGATCTCGAAATGAGCGAGCCGCAAACAACTAGAGGAAACCACAGCTAGATCACCTACCGCAGCAGAGAGCCTTCATGACTTTCTGGACGAAAGTGGGCTGCGCGTCACTGTTTCCTTGCACGCCGCCAGCCTGTTGGCTATTCAGTCCTTGGTTCCCGGGACTACCGTGGCGAGGCAGGTGAGCGTTGGAGTTCTGGAACTGCGCTGTGGTCGATGCTGCCGGGGTCCCGGTCTCAAAGCCCCCGCTCGCACGTTTCGGCGGCATGCCGCTGCCGCTTGGGCGGTCTCGGGGTGTCTTGCCGGGTCCCTTGGCTGGAGAAGGAGGAGGGGGCTGCGCTGCGTTTAAACGGTCGGCAGTCACTCCAGGCCTTTGTTGGCTGTGACGCATCTGACTCCCGTGGATATCGCGCCCCGTCGAGGTCTGGTACTGGTTTTGGAGATGAGCCTGTGACGAGTGCGACTTGTAGTCCCATCCGCGGCCATTGTTCAGCTTCATCCAGTCATACTCTCCATCTTCCACATCTCCGCCATTCTTGAGGGCCTGAGTCAAAATGTCACGAAGGTAGTCGTAATCGGGGGTGTCCTCGAATCCAAGGTTTCGAACGTAACTCAGGTACTTGTTGAATTCCTCGGGGTACCCATCACAGAGGTCCTTGATGGCAGTGGTCTGCTTCTTCTCACCGATTTTCTCATACTTTTGCTTGTTGGTAGCAGCCTTCAATCCCTGCCAGGGGAGACCTCCACGGAGGAAGTACATGAAGACATGTCCCAGAGCCTCCAAGTCATCACGTCGGGACTGCTCGCGACCGAGATGTGTGTTGATAGACATGTACCGGGCGGTACCGGACAATGACTTGCGCTCACGGTAGGGGATGTGCTGCTTGGTCTTGGGGTCACGGTATTGCTTGGCCATACCAAAATCAACGACGTGGATGACGTTGGCAGCCTTTGTACCAGGGCGTCCGATAAGGAAGTTGTCAGGCTTGATATCCCGGTAGATAAGATTCTTCTCGTGGATTGTTTGCACGCGGGAGAGCTGGACGCTGTTAGCTGCTATGTCTGTCGGGGGGACTGTTCATAAACGTACCATCTGCTTAGCAACCATGACAACGGTCTTGGTAGAGAATCTGCGGTTGCAGTGATCGAAGAGATCCTCCAGACTAGGACCGAGAAGATCGATCACAAGGATGTTGTGCAAGCCCTCCTGTCCGAAGTAATAGACATTAGGAATACCGGCTGCAGGAACGGTTAGTGAAATGGTGGAATAACATATCAATACTCGACACTTACGGCATCCAACCAAGATCTTGTAGGTCCGATACTCATCGCGGAGCTGAGGAGCATCGCTCTTGCGAGGTTCCTATTTTCGGTCAGTTCGGCTGTTTGTGTGGTGTTCACAGGAATGAGACGCACGAATTTGATAGCAACCTGCTGGTTGTTGAGGAGGTTGGTACCCTCGAAGATGACACCAAAAGATCCCTCTCCGATTTTCTTGCCGACGCGGTAGTGAACACCCACTACGTTTGATGAAGACGACGCCATAGATGCGAGTGCAAGGGTTGCGATCAGAAACTAGAACTTCCAATCACGGGGTGATCTTAGGGACGCAGACACGTGACGGGGCAGTGTCTTGAACGGCAGTCAGCACGAAGTTGAAGAGTAGGACCACAAAAGGCCACACATGCGATAGGGTTAGTAAACATACACTGCAAAAGATAACTGATCGTCAACCGATATTATTCCGGTCACTTCAATGGATGCACAGCTCCGACGATGTCACTGGTTCGCGCGGAATCGTTGAGCCGAGGGACGTTGTCCAAGCGTGACGAGACGAAGGAGTGGGTGGGAAGCTTTCCAATTGAGACAGGGATAGAATTGGGCGTGTCGGTACAGAAATTGGAGACTTGGTGGTTGGAGGATCGGACGGGGCAATGTCTGGGGGCGAATCCAGTCGGGGCCAAGCGCAGATGCGAACGGTGGCGAACACGAAAGGGACACAACGCTAAACGGAGCGAACCAAGAGGAAGTGAGCACCCACGGTACTCGACAACGAGTACGAGCCGCACTGGTTGGAAGAGCAGGGGAAGGGGAGGGTGTGGAAGGGGGTTGTGGATGAGGAAGAAGAGAAGAGAGGGAGAAGTTGGAAGAAAGGGAGCGGAGGGTATTGGGTTTGTATTTGGTACGAGGAGACACCCAAAGTTGCTGGTTGAAGCGCCCGAAGTTGTTGATCGCGGGTGGTAATTACCCGTAACACGGTAACAAACTTGGAGCGTTGGGGGAAAAAGACCGGAGTCTCCTCTTCTACACACTAAACTACTAGCGGTACGGACTTCTCTATCAGAGTAAGCTTTTTTTAGAGAACTACCCTCTCCGGTAAAGAGAAAGAGGAAAAAACGTATTCACTAAAATATGTGGAAGAATCATAATTCGATAAAAAAAAAAAAATTAGTTGCTTCACTTAGGGCTTCGTGAAACACCCAATGGAAAGACTAAGGTGCCTGGGTGTAGTGCTGGCGCTTCCCTGCGTCACAGAACCTGCAGGCACTAGGAAACCTGGGAAACCTGGGAAGAACTGACAAGATTTGAATAGTTATGTCGGGTGGTGACGGAAAGAGACTTAATTTAGAGATCGCTACTACATCATTGCCTGTGTGAGCCCCCGTTTTTTTAGCTTGGGATTTTTGTTTTTTTCCCCTGCTTTACCGCTCTCAGGGGAGGTTGTCTGGACTCGGTCTGGAATGCGCTTAATCAAGCGGTAAGATTGCGGTCTTGGCATCCGGAGCTTCATCGGTTTATAGTTAGAAGCTAGATGAACAGCACTGACAGTAATAGATTTCATCGGTGACCAATTCTTATTCAATACAGATGCTTTTTTGCCAAGCCAATATATGTAACATCTTGACCTGACAGCTGCAGAGGGTACAGATTCAGGTAGAGAGACTAACCCTACAGTTGCATTTGACACGTCTGCGACCCACTGGGGGTGATCGTTCGACGGGGCCCAAGATACGGTGTGAAAGCTAGTGGTTTCAACAGAACAAGCCGATCCAATTGCCGGACCCAACTGCCCTGGGACATCAAATAGAAGAACCGCGATATGTCCCCTTCAAGCACATGCTAACATCAGAGATGCTCAATGGGACACACTCGTCATCAGGAATGCATTAGGCTTCATTTCCAAGTTTTTGGTTAATGAGATCCTCATCTCCATCCCCATCTTGATCGGCGGCATCCTCCTCTTCTTCCGCGTCTTCCTCGTCCTCATCGTCGTCATCGCTATCATCTTCATCATCATCGCTGGAGCCACTTCCTTCACTGTCACCATCGGTCCCGGGGTCATAGTCTTCTTCATCCTCTTCCTCCTCATCTTCAAGCTCCCGTTGGGCTTTTTGAAGCTCGCTTTCCTCTTCTTCACCGCCGGCCTCGGCAGCTCCATCCTGGTTTTTGCCAGAGTTGACATTATACACTTTCGCGCGCCGGGCCTCAGCTAAACTTGCATCTTGTAGGCCATGTCGTTTAATGTAGGTATCGATCCCACTGAAGTCGGCCTGGTCTATCATCTGAAATTCGATTTCCATCTGGTCTTCTTCGGATCCGTTGCGTGGGCGGGCTAAAAAGTTAAGATTGAATGTTCGCTGAAGAACAGACGTATATGAAACGGATTCGATGGTGTCGAAGGAGAAGAACAAAAGGGGCTTCTTGAAAGCGAACAGAATCCCAGTAGACAGGAAGAAAAGGTACCCTGATGAGAAATAGGCATGTCAGTATCACTGTAGACCAAAAAGGAGTCTCAGCATTCCATGGGATATATACCTTCTTTGCTACCCCGGAAGGCTTTGACATGATAGGCCTTCTCGCCCTTGCGGTGGGCTTCAGGCATAGCGCTCACAAACTGTCTCTCATCGGGCCGCACGACATTCGTGTTTGGCATGGTATCATTCAGCAGCTTCCGGATCAGACCTTCCGCAGTTTCGCCCTCATTGTGACCAATCTGTTGCCCCAGTCCGGTGAACGCAGCCTTGGCTGGGCCATCGGCCACTGTGAAAACCATACAATCTGAGCCATTCACGCCCTCGGGTGGTGGTGTGATTCCATCGGCGTACTCGGGAATGATACAAAAGTTGAACTGTTTCTGGGTCTTCTCTGGCACGGGGAGGCACAAGGCATGACCTAAATTGCAAGCGAAACCACACATTAGTTTCTTGTCTCATTCAACAATAGAAGCTGAGAAAAGAAAAAAGAAAACTTGACGGATTTGAAAACTCACGGATTCGGTCCATGGAAACACCAAATTCAATCTCTTTTGTAGCCTGGTTTCTTGCACGAAGCCCGCCACTAGCGGTTATCTCGAGCATGAGCTTCTTGCGCTGAGGTATAGCGAACGACACATCCTGAACATAGAATTGAACTGGGGCATTGGGATCTTTCAAATCCGCAGATGATTGCACCGTCACTTGCGGCTGTCCATTCTCTATTTTGCGCTTTTTCGCGGCAGGACCGTTGCTGGGCGGCGGCACGAACGGGAGGGATGTGGTAGTGGCAGCCCTGGCCAGCAGGGAAGAGGTATATCGTGCGAGGTCCTTGAATAAGGGTTCGTGGTAAGGTGTAGAGCCTAAAAGATCGAAATCGATGACGGTCAGTGGGTGGGCGACAGGGTGATGGTCATCGCCATCGGGAGGGCGTAGATGCGCCGTTGGCTACGCACCGATCGCATCGTAGACTCGTTGCTTTAGAGAGGGTTCGGTCGCAAAAGCCTCCTCGATCTCGGCGATCGGAGCCCCGGCCGAATTGATTGCTGCGAACGCCATGTTTCTTTACAGCTGCCCGGAGGTGAAAGCTGTGTGAAAGGGAATGGCCGGGAGGAAGTTGGATCAAGAATGATTGCCCCAGGCGCGGAACTTTCGATCTCCCCTGTCGGAACCGCGGATCGTCATATGAAAACCCTACATCAGCACAGCCTTCTGATTGCAACTTTCGGCATGAACCAACATTTGCTAGAGTTTTTTGTGTAGACATTGTGTGGCAATTGGGTAAAAAGGTTGTGGATGAACTCAGAAAAATAGATGTAGGCGCAAATTTCCATGCTACTAGAATACATTGAGGTTTATACAAATCGCTATCTTGCAAATATAAGACAAATCCAGCTTTCGCTGCCGCGGTCACTGGTTCAAGCGGAAGCCTGAGAATTGGTGGACTTGCTGGACTTTGTCGCATTCATCCCCATGAAGCGGCTGATAAAGTCGTTGGTCTCCTTGTCCATGACCACATTGCCATTGGCATCCAGCTTTGCCAACTTGGATGCCATACTGGCATTGGCCGTCGCCAGCTTCTTCTCACCCTTGGGGGTCAATAATGACTGGCTCTTCAAGTATTCCTGTCGGTATTCCTCCATCACCTTCTCCTTCACATACTCGGGGTCGTGCCGTGTTCGGAATCTGGAGTATTTGTTGCGCAGTTCATCAATAACGCTGGACGGAAAAGGCGACTCGTCCATAGAAGGAACCCAAGACACGTCTGCCACTTCATTTCCTCTTGTGTCACACTCTGCGACCTCGGCATGGGGTGGCTCCTCAGCAGGCCACGGAATTTCAATGTCCAATCCAGCGATGTAGCGAGAAAAGCGAGGAAGCTTGCTGTCGTGGAATCGCTCCAGGTACGGAGGACCACCGTAAGCGTGCTGTACGATGTGATCTTTAGTTCCGTCTTCCATCTCGAGGGCAACGACATGTCGAATATCATTCATGGACACTGGCATGCCCTGGGCAACGGTGTCGGTGGAGATTCCCATGGAAAGTTTTGCAAATTCAGGGACGGTGACTTCGGCCTGAACAAGAACAATGAATTAGCGATACTTCGTGCCAATTGGCATATACAGCAGGTCTGGAACGCACCATGTTGACATCTTTGATGATGACAGTCTCACTCTCCACATTGATCTGAGTAATTTCATTGATCTTGCCCTTATCCCGACCCCTAATAACACAGACTCGGTCTCCTTCGGCGAACAGGATCTCTTTCCGGCGGAGGTGCTTGGGGATGGCCGGGGGGGTGCATCAAGGAGACGTCAACCGCACCGTACCTAGTCGCGTCGGGTCCGACATGTCGCATCGGAGCCAGAGATCCCTTCTCCCAGTCCTCCCAGCGGGCATCCCGCGACTCTTTCAGACCAGTGATCAGAGCTCTGTTGTAATCCTTCCGTTGCCGGAGGACCTGCTGGCGGTCCACAACTTTGACGGCTTGCTGGGCCCGGTAAACCTTCTTTTGCGCCTGCTTCCGGGCTGTTGCAGCCCTCTGGATAACCTTCTGCATTTTGAGGAGTGGGGGGTTCAGCAATGGCCGAACGTTGCTACTTGTCAATAATTAGCAATGCGCGGACGGAAAATTGCGGCCAAATTCACGACACGTGATACTTCACCAGTTGTATTAGGTAAGCGGTCTGCACCCCTCGCGTGAAAGTGCTCAATGAATAGCATACGTAGCTGTGAGTTTCTTTTGAATATATTATTGGTCTTTTATCGAGGTCGTCAATCCTCATCTCCGGCTCTTCTAATCCTTGATCTTGACAAAATTTGGAAGACGACATCGACATGCATGTGTATCTCCATATAGGCCGATAACAACTGAGGCCTTATTAAGGTAACAAACAATCCTGTAATCGTGCCCGATTTGGGATGCAGCCAATGGATTTTAGTTTCCATACTATGGCCTCAGAATACAAAATATCGGTCTTCAGAGTTGGCTATCGATATAGTATATGTATATAGACTGTACTGACTTTGGATGTGCAAGTCGACCTCGGGAAACATATAATCCATGACATCTGGAGGATCCGGTCATGATAGTAACTAATACGTACTAAGCAATAGACCAGGTAGCAGATGAGCTACCTATATATATAGCCGGCTGAAATTATATCCGCTGAAGCAATTAAGGATCACAACAATAAACCGTGGACTAGCCGTTACTGTGCATGTATAACTAAATACAATATACATAACCAAGCAGAGCACCTGGCAGTTCGTGGCCGAGACCCCGGGAACTGCCCAGGTGTACGTGCTTAGCTCGAAGTACAAGCGTATTTATAGGTATGGATTGATTTGAAAGATTTGCTCACAAGCAATTTTCGATTTCAAATTGAGCATCGAGGTATGGGCAGTTCCATAAGATGATCATATATGCAAGCCTCTTAATATACACATCTCATTGTACCAGGCGTCTCAGTACGGATGGTCCACTCACTTGGGCGCCACCAAGTCCCTTAGAATTTCAGTGGCGCGTCTATGTATAGTAAAATGTGAGTCTCCAGTGTATTCTTTTAAAACAGCATGGGGGATACGTCCAGCCATGTAGCGCCCCAATGTAACAGGAGTGTTATAGTCTTCCGTACCATACCACAAGCGGATATTCTTTAGGTGAATTTGGTCCAGCTCAAATCCCCAGTCCGACGTCAAGACTCGTCCTTCATCCACTGTAGCATCTACACCATGTCTAAAGCTTTCTTTGAGGGAAGCCTGCAGGAGATCCAAGCTTTCAGGTGTTTCACAGAAGTCTCGATCAGCAGGCTTCATGCGCTTCGTGGCACCAATCACCACCTCCCTCATCTTGACCGGATCCGAGCCCTTGACCATCTCACCAAATATGGTGTTCAGCATAATGCGAGCTAGCCAAGGCGCATACGCAAGGCAATTGAGTAAAAGTCGCAGGTCCAAAGTCGCACCCCCGGTGCCCAATTGCCAAGGACCCATGCCCGACACAACGCCCACCCCCAGCAGCTCCGAGTCTGGTAAACCATGAGCACAGGCAAGGGCATACGGCCCGCCTGCAGAAACCCCGAGAACATAGTATTGCGCCAGATCTAGGCGTTTTGCCAGCTCACGTGTATCAGAGGGCCAGTCCATAAGCTTACGATTCGGCTGTGGGGAGGAAAGGCCGAGTCCCGGGCGATCGATGCCGATGACCCGCACGTTCACTTCACGCGCGGCATGATGAAATGACGCAGACTCGAATCTCGACCCAGGAAGTCCATGGAAAGCGAAAAGTGGAGTGGCATTTTCACTGGTTGAGCCAAATTCTGCGAAGCCGAGTGTACGACCGTCGATGAGGGTAATCGATTGATGAAGCCGTGCCTGGAGCGATGGGTCCTGGAGCAGGGAGCCGCTAGCCATGCTTGTCGATCGGGCTCGGTGGCTTTTCGCTAGTGTCATGAAAGTGGGAATCCAGTAACTTTCGTGTAGGAAAAACCGGGGCAAGCTCGAATAATGACTGGCTTTCGATGTATCATTTGAAATTGTGTGGAGCGATAACGAGCTAAGAGTACGTGGAGCGCCAGAAACCACGCTAAATGATTTTGCTTCTAACCTGTACCTGTACTAGCCTTGTCTGAAGCCCCCGACTTCCCGTGAGAAAGCCAAAGGCACCAGTATTCGAGGATCTCAGCCGCTGTCCCGCTTACACTATTTTTAGTCCCGTCACAGTTTCTGATCCCGAAGGCTGCGCAAGAATGAATTTTTTTCTTCTTCCAGGACATGCCCCTTTCGTCTCCACTTTGAATAAGGTCAACCTTGAGGATGCACGTTGCAAAGTGGATTAGGTGCGGAAGCATGACGGAAGACAAATTTTGATTGGCTTGGTAGGGGCATCGTGGTTCAACGTGGATAATTTGAGCTGTGGCCCCTGGATCGTAATCATAGCGAAAAATTCCTTGGATAGCGTGATTCAGCCTTGGCTTTTCGTACTTCTTGGAGACGGAGCAGGACTGTGGTACACGTAGCGGAAGATGCAGAAGCGATCGTCACTGGAACGAGTCAAGCATTTCTGGATGGATCCCATATGACCTACAATGTTATACAGTTAACCGCGTTGAACTGTTTCAAGCTATGATCCGCTCTGCATGTCCACCCGGGCAGTATTAAGTTACAACGGTACATATACAACCTGAATACCATATATCTTTTAGAAGAGCTCAATTTAATTCAAACTATCGAACCTTGGAGTATATAGTAAAAATACTTTTCACGGAAAATGGCCGTCGGCGCTCTATCCCTCTCTGCTGCTATTCTTGGTTCAGGGAGAAAGTGCAACCATAATAGGATCTCAGTTCTGCAACGTCCACGGGTACCAAATAAGGCCATGATAGAGTTTAGCATCAACTCTGAAACTCACCCCCTTTCCTGGTGATATCACATACTCGTAGCAATACATACCTTTCTCTGCAGCCACGGTGGCTGTGCCCCCAGGATCAAAAGTGTGGATCTTTTTGTGACGCGGATACTGACTTTGCTCAGCCACACATACCTGCTAGGGCTGGCATGGTAATGGTATTACCGTCCCCTAATCAGAGAGAGGTCTGGCCACGGCAAGGCAACGGATAGGAGAACATGCGAACTGTAATAGGTTGAAAAGATCGTAGATCAGGTACAGGGTGTAGGTGATATATTTCACCTAGTCCTTCAAATGAAGAACCCAGGCTCCAAGGACCTTAAACATGATCAATAATGACTTGTGGATTTAGGGGGGAAGAAAAGCCCGGGTTATAGGAAAAAGGAGGAAGCCCATCAGTTCCCCGTCGACACAATACCTGAACGGGCGGTACCACAACAAATACAATACTCCGAGAATACGGCCACCGCCCGGGCAAGTCTGGCCTCTATCTTCCTCCACCTCCAAGTCATCAAATATTCTTCTCCTCCATCCCAAATCCTATTTCCTCCATCCCTGGTTCGTCTTCTTGCTGCGACGTGGGCTATTTTCTATTCAAATTAACCTCTTTCAACCGCAGTATTCCAGTTGTTGAGATTTCACAGTACGATCACCCTCCTTTTCCAGAGCCAACCCCCCCGGGACAACCTGAACTGGTCCCTTTCCCATCCCTCACCTCTGCCCCTTCTACCCCCTCTCCCCCACTCCCCGCGTGCTCCATCTTTTGAGTACACTTCACCGCAAGAATACCACTGTGTTGCATCACTTTTGATTGTGATCCGTGATCGCTGACTTTGTCTCCCTGAAGATGGCCGAGATCCGTCGCAAGCTCGTCATCGTAGGCGATGGTGCCTGCGGTAAGACCTGTCTTCTCATGTAAGTACTCTGACATCAGAGCTGATTTCCCCCGTACTACCACCCCTTGATATTGTGCCTGAAACTGATCATCTATCTCGCAGTGTCTTCTCGAAGGGCACCTTCCCTGAGGTGAGCTCCTATCTGACCCCGATCTTGATCACATGTCCTATCTTAGGATTACCGATATAGCCCCATTTACCTCCGCCGAACTATTTCTAATACATGTCTTTCATGATTGCAGGTCTACGTCCCCACCGTCTTTGAGAACTACGTCGCCGATGTTGAGGTTGATGGCAAGCACGTCGAGCTTGCTCTTTGGGATACTGCTGGCCAGGAAGATTACGATCGTCTCCGTCCTTTGTCATACCCCGACTCGCACGTCATTTTGATCTGTTTCGCCGTCGACTCGCCCGACTCGCTCGACAACGTCCAGGAGAAGGTGCGTACCTCGCCCGATAAGCCCCAACACTCTATAGTGGATTCTTATGGTCCACTGGAGCAAACTTGAGCCTATGCTGACATCGTTCGTAGTGGATTTCCGAGGTCCTCCACTTCTGCCAGGGTCTTCCCATTATCCTGGTTGGCTGTAAGAAGGATTTGCGTAACGACCCCAAGACCATTGAGGAGCTCAACAAGACCTCCCAGAGCCCCGTCAGTGAAAGCCAGGTAAGCTGATATTCCCATGCCGTCAAGGATCTTGGATGGCCCGCTGATTCATGTATACAGGGTGAGGAGGTCCGCAAGAAGATCGGTGCCTACAAGTACCTCGAGTGCTCTGCCCGTACAAGCGACGGTGTTAAGGAGGTCTTCGAGGCCGCCACTCGCGCAGCTCTGCTGAAGATCACCAAGGGTGGCCGCGGCGGCAAGACCAAGAGCAAGTGCTTGATCCTGTAAACTACACCCAGCCGTTGAGGTAATCCGCCCCGACCACACATCCGGGACTCGGGCAGGTTTGGTTCTCGAAAGGGGGGGGAGGTGCTTCTGGGCCTTGTTTCTTTTGCGAGATTCGTGGATAATATTGAGCCCGGATGCCTAAGTTGCGGGTGTCCTCTCTTCTTCCCCCCTGCAGTTGGTCGACCTTGTGTTTCTCCTTTTTTGCCTTTATTTTGCAGAATTTGTCTAGGGAGGCGTTGTCTTCATCATAACCCTGTGGGCTTTTCTCTTTTTTTCTCCCCCGTTTCTTCCCCATTCGACTCCGTGGATCACAATGACAAATTTGCCCGATTCGTGGGCAGTATAAAACATTAAGAAACCCCAAAAAAAACTGTGGGAGAAAGCCTTTGGACAGTAGCGCCGGTTGTGGATTTGGACATCGCCATGACGAGCCATGGCTCATGGTTCTCGCCCTGTGTGATGATAGATGATTCCCGTTTCTCCCTTCGGATATCTCCCCCCAGCGAAGAGCTTGACTCTTGTTTTTCTGTCTTATCTTACTATATTGATTTCTGCTAAAGCTAATGCATGGAACATCTGGTCTTGGACTTGTGCTCCAGTTTATCCTGTACCTTGGAACTAGTCTCTTGCGTAAGCCTGGTGAGGAATTCGCGATATATCGTAGTATAATACTTCCATTCGCATGGAAACAATGTCATTCGACGGGATACTACTGCATTGGTGCTTAATGTTCGAAGCAGGACAGGTACCTAAGTGAGCAAACACGGCATAACTCTCTAGGCCTTTTATATCCTTTGTTTAGAGTCAAAAATAAGTAGGATAGGCCCAGTAGATCGATACAGGAATGCAAAGAAAGAAAGATCACTTGTTAAATCGCAGTAGCCCCTCAACATATCTCCGAGCATCCAGTCCAAGCCCCTCCACTAGTTTCGAGGGAGTAGTAGTATCAGCACTACGAGAAGCCTTAGAAGACGATCCACCCAAGTCACGGAAGAAGCGTGCACCGCTACTCATTCGATCCTGGTTCGCAGGGGAGACATAGTCACTCGCCTTGCGGACAAGAAAAGCTTCTTGTGGTTCTGGAACACCGGGTGGCAAGGAGTGAACATCCTCGGTTTCCGCCTCAGCCATGGATGATAGGGCCACAGATGAAGATGCAGAGGAGAGAGCCTGTGGTGGTGATGGGCCCGTCGGTGGGATGCGGACCCAGAGAATCCACCAGCCACGGCTAGTCTTGCAGGTGCGCTCAAGTTCTTGCGGACGGGAACGGGTACCGATGTAAGTGGACAAGAGGCGGTGGTGAATGGCGAGACTCTCTAAACGGGACCACTTTGGTGCAGATGATAGTTGGATGGATGAGGGAGATGGCGTGCGAGGAGATTGTGGTATTCTGGGTGATTGGGAGGGTGTGCCTAGACTAGGGATGTTAGGGATGGAGGATCGGATTGTTAGATTGGACGGGTCGTAGACTAGATCGTGGACTGGTTGAGTTCGGGAGGAAAATCGGTTTTTAGGGTCGGCGGTGCCTTCAGATGTTGAAATGCGGGATGCAGCTGTTGCTGGGGAGGTGGAAGACAGTAGTGATTTCTGAAGGGGGCCTAGCTGGTGATGAATGCTGGTGTAGAGAGATGGAGATGAAAGAGGTGTTGTATTCGCATCGAAGAGGAAAGTGAACATGAATGGTTGGTGCTGGATTGGTGTTAGCTAATCGGATTTGATATCGGACAATGAGAACCCTTACTACATAGATCACGGCCTCAAGCTTTCGTGAATCACCGTCTCCACCCGATCCATCTCCCAAATGAAGATGAAGAGTTCGATGCACGATGCGAGTCTTGGATTTGTTCGCGTCTGACTCGAATACCGGACTGCCTTCTTCCAGGTCATCCAGTATGTCCAAATCGTCGCGAGGTCCCAAAACGAAACGACCAGCATCCTTATTAGGTTCCTGGTGTAGCCTACTTGGCCCGTTTGAGGGCGGAGTCTGAACAGGGTTGGTGGATGGCTGACTTCGTTCTATAATACCAGTTGATGGCTTGCCGACATCAGGAGCCGGGGAACCAGTAAGTGACGGAGTGGACATGCTAGAGAGACTCCAAGATGACCCATACCCCAGAGTCAGATATTTCATGACTGCTTCGGTCCCAAAGACTGACTTGTCGCTCTTTGGATCGCTTCCGGGTGGAGCAACCTCATCTCGCTCGGCCGTGTTCTCGCCCTGACCTTCTGGAATAGTTTGCGGTGTGGCCAAGACAAGCGGTCGAGGTATGCCGGGCGTATGAATTCGCTCTGGAGTTGACGGGGTTTTGCCATCTTGGCGACCAGCGGAGCTCCTTTCTCTATGTCTTCGGAGCTTTCGTCGGCGTAGGGAGACTGGGTCTCGCCCTATACCATACGTCGCATCGCCATATCGGTAAATCGACTCCATCCAGTGTGAAACATGAGCGACTGAGCGCCGCGATATGGTATCGACACCCGAAAAGATGACACCGTCAGCCGGTCGAGGATCGGTGTCCTGCCCTAGCCATTGCTTTTCCTCATTGAATTGAGACGGGGAATCTCCGGAATGGGCCGATGAGTCGCCGAATCTCGAGACTACCAGATCGATCAAGCCGTCTGTTCTCCCCACAAAGTCTTCAAGAACCTCTCTCTCTCCGCTGCCCCATTCTTCTTCTCCGACACCGATTCCCAACTCGCCGCCCGCAGCAAGTTTGATTCCATTATAGATATCAACGATTGGATTTCCGGTTAAGAGAAACTCCCAGTTCCATGCGAATTTCTCCCAGAACCGTTCAAGGAAGAGACAAAATGAGGATCGACCCGCACGCTCGTAAAGATCGCTCAGAGAAAAGTCATGGAGAAGAAGAAATATTGAGTGGGCGCGGCGCAGTTGTTGAATGTGGAGCCGCGGGTGTCCCATTTCCCTTGCCGAATAATGAAACTTTGTACTACTAGCTGTATCATTTGCGGAGGTTTGCGTTGGCTCAGCTGGTAACCGCGTCAGGTCGATAGACTAGCTTTGGTCTTAGTGAATGTTCGCGCTATCAGTGCTTCGGCCACACTTACAGCAACCACCCACCAGTCTTTCTCCAGCTCGAGGAGCACCACTCTTGTCTTTGCGGTCTCAACATAGTCCAATGTCTTGCCTGACGAAAAATCACTGTAGGATGGATATGAGCCCGTGTTCATCTGAGCGATTTGGGCAAGAAGTTCCCACCTAGCGAAGTTCACCATCCCCTGCGCCAAACCTATCTGGCGCAACCTCTCATTTTTGCCACCCTCGGGAGGCTTGCTACCCTCCTCTTCAGTAGGCGATCCCTCTGTCCGTTGTAGGTAGTCCGATCTCGAGGTGTAGAACACGATTTGGTCTTCGAGCGTCTCGTCGGTGGGTCCGAGGGTTGGGTTATAGATAGCGAGAAAGGAGAGTTGCGCGGGGATCACCGAGCCAGCTTCGCTTTCCGGCATGGCATCATTAGGATCTGTAATTAACACTTAGCGATTCCACGACAGTGAGAGAGTCGTTGGCGCAAGAACAGTGGGACCGATGATGTTGACATCACGTGGTGCTTATCGATAAGTCGCACGTCTCGGAGTTTCGGGCATGTTAAACTTCATGATCCCCAGATTTCAGATTCAAAGATGTGGATCGTGCGGGGGCCGAGTGTCTTTGCATCATGCAGAAATATCTATGCTTCTCGACGGCCTAGCTATCGGTTCTTTGCAACCCAGTCTTATGAGCCTCTCCGGATTCTCTTTTGCGGCTCTGACGAATTTAGTATTGCCTCCTTGAAAGCTCTCCATGTCTACCATTTGAAGAAACCTAGTCGAATTGCCTCAATCGATGTTGTTTGTCGACCAGGGAAACGGGTTGGCAGAGGCCGGAAGACGATTCGAGAAGGTTTGTTCAATATATAAGCTTAATTGAAGCTCCCGCGAGTTAACTATGAGCTTCCATCAGTTCCTCTCAAGGAGGTAGCATCGTCTCTTTCGCTGCCGATCCATGAAATCGATACTTTCACGGGATGGACGGTAGGCCTTTCTTTTTGCATTCAAGTTAGTAATTGTACTGACGTCGGTACTAGCCACCAGTCACGTCGAATGGTCCCGTCAACTTAATTATTGCCGTTTCCTTCGGACTGTTTGTGCCTCCACGTATTCTGAATGCTGCCAGCTATGGAGGCTTGAACGTGCATCCCTCGTTGCTTCCAGAGTATGTGTTTAATTGAACTGGTTCAAACGTTTTTGTAATCGAAAAGCTGACATGATCCTAGCTTCCGTGGCCCAGCGCCGTTGCACCATACTCTTTTGGCTGGTCGAACCACCACTGGTGTGACTTTGCAGACATTGCATCACAAGAGCTTTGATCATGGGACGATCCTTTCTCAAACCCCATCTCCTGGGTTTGAAATTCCTAGTCCCGAATCTTGCACTGTTCCTGAATTGGTGGATCTAGTTGCACCTAAGGGAGCTGAAATACTGGTAAATGGCATTGAAAACGGCCTGTTTGTGCCACCACTCAAGGATGCCGGATGGCGTGCCGCCGAAGGCACTGATGATCTGATCCATGCCGGTAAAATCAAGCCGGAGGACCGATACATCGACTGGCCGAACTGGTCACTGCTCGACATCAAGCGGCGCAACACAGTTCTTGAGTCTCTATGGAGCAATGCACTTGCTCCGGTCACTGCTGCAGATGGATCTACATCTTTCCAGTACAAGCGTGTCATCTTCACAGATATTGAAGAAGTGAAACCACCCAAAGGAAGCGATTGTTTCTCGGTTGTTCCAGGGCTACCATTTGCAAATACTGCCCATCCAGTTGGGCCAAAGAAGGGAAGAGAACTTTACGTCTTTACCAAGGATGGAAGGGTCCTGCGCATCAACAAGATGAAAGTGCAGGGAGAGGCAGATGCTGAGGGGCTTCGTGCTGCGATCAAGGCTCGCATGTTTGGTGATCAGTCTTTCCAGTCGGAAGGCATGGACTTTACTCCATTCCGTAATCCTCTTTCATAAGCAGCATGAAAATGTACAATACTGTATTTTATTTTATCTATCGACATAATACCCTCTATAACGGTCCCAATATCTCATGCAAGATAAGAACCTTCTCCATCATTTCCCGAGGCATATGTTTATCGGATCGCGAAACCGGAATCTGCAAGGTCAGTTATGTACTAAACTCCGAGTATCAGGGTTCATACCAATTTGGACTGCTGCTCCAGTCATGGATGAATTCTTTGCAATCGACAAGAACATATCCGCGGCATCCTCTACTTCGGGCTAGGAAAAGCAAAATCAGACACGAAATACTAACAAGTAATTGGACAACATACCAGCTTCTTCAGTGTCATTTTATCTGTCATAGCATCAATCTTCTCCTGACTAAACTGCTGACCCTGCGATATAGTCAGCTAATGGATTCGAATAACTTTGGATGTCAAGAGACAAACCCATTCGGTGAGCATGAGACCAGGGCACACGGCGTTGACACGAATCTTAGAGCCCTGGGACTGCGCAAGGCACTTCATAAGGTGAATCAAAGCCGCCTTTGTGACGGCATATGGCACGCTGCTGCCACTAGGAACAAGACCCTAGTAGAAATGTTAGTACAACCATGAGCACATCTTATTCTCCCTTTAACTTACCGCAGTCGAGGCAGTCATAATGAATGCTCCGCCCTCGGGGTTAGCATCCAAGGTCGATTTGGCAGCCTTGAACAGATAGAGGCCACTCTTGACATTGATGTTCCAGCACTGCTATGGTTAGCTTGAACTTTGGACATGAGAATGAGAGGATCTTATCACTTTATCCCAGTCATCATCATCCATAGCGTCCAGATCCGCGAAATTGGTCATCTTTGTCCATCCCTTGAAGAACCATCAGCAATTTCCAGTAACTCAAAGAAGATTCCCGGTGTGCTGCTTGACGTACCGCATTCGAAATCACAACATCCAGACCTCCCAGTTGTTCAATGGCCGTTTTAACCGTATTTGTAGCTTCGGACTGCTTTCCAGCGTCCTAAAAGTGGATCACAAAAACCATGTCAGTACAATCTGACACGACGACCAATCAAGGACAGGAATACCTACACCCTGGATCACGACCGTCTTCACGTTATATTTGCTTGCAATATCCGTTGCCACTTTCTCAGCGGTTTCCTTGCTCGACATGTAATTGATTGCGATATTGCTACCCTCGGCGGCAAATTTCGCGGCGACAATGGCACCTAGACCTCTTTTATTTGGCATTAGCTATATCTCTTAAAATTGAAGTAGTTCAACCCTTTGCTGCAGGGGGTTCATACCGGGATCCACCGATGACCAGGACGTTCCGACCCTGAAGGGAGTAAGGCATTGTGATTAAGTGGGATTGGTATTGATTCAAGCAAGACAAACTTGTTAGGATGATGGGAAGATGTAGCGAAATAATTCCTATTCCCCGCAATAGGGCGGTCCGATAGCGATGCGGGGCGGTGCCGGGTATGACGGGACTATTCCGATGCTCCTCCACTCCGGATGCTGTCTGATCTTGACGAGGTGGTTCTGGGTATTGGGCGGATAGAAAATCTTAGTGTACCTAGATTAGGGGGTTCGATTCTCATTTTATAACATTGTAAGGTTGTCTCTACTTTAGATAGCATTCGGCAAACTTGGAGACTCTATGTATACTTGGCCGGAAGCCTGTATATATATATATTCTTCAATGGTCAACAAATACTGCTCGGTACACAGTCACAAGTAAAGAGCTCCTAGGGGGCATAGAAAAGCTCTTTGCCTTTCATTGTCCATAAAGTCGGGCCGTCCGAAAGATGAGAGCGATAAAGAGATAACGGCTGCGGTAGCGGCGAGCGCTAGGAATCCCCACATCGGAATGTGGAGGGGACCGCAGTGCGTTGGCCTCGTTCGTCTTCTCTCTGGCCTGCCTTCATGCGCTTGTCTCTCCTCTTTACGGCGACATTTGTTCACCAGCTTGTGACACGAGCCTACTTGTGCCTCAACAACATGGGCCCGCCGAGCTGACTACTGAGTCGCCCGATCCCATAGGTCGACTGGATGGTGTTAGGGTAATCTAGCTTGACTAGTTGTCTCATCAATACATTTCAAATTTGGTTCTACTCAATATTCAGCAAGGACAGCCGTAGTGTGTGTAGAGGGCCAATAAGCCCGTGAATCGTTGAACCTGTAGGCTGCGACATAAACCACATACAACGGACCCTAGCATCTTAGCGGTGGTTGCCTTCCAGGATTCCCCTCTTCTCTTCCAGCTACGTAGACATACCTGAATATGGCTACCGGATATTGGGAAGTGATGAATTTGCGTGCTGTGATCACTATACTTGTGCCTTCATTGGTCCTCTGGTTAGGACATCGAACATACTCTCACTATTTCAACCATGCACCCTCCTCCTCTTCCGCTCCTCGAGGACAACTGGAGAAGCTGCAAGGAGAACAACTCAAGAAGCTGCAGGACGAACAACTCAAGGAGCTGCAGGCGGAGTTAGACAGTGAAAATATCACTCATCAAGATTATTTCGCGCATGACCACGAATACTGGCTATATTATCCGGCCAAAGCTGGGCTCATAGTCACAGGATGGCCGTCTCAAGGGGGAGTCTACAAACTAGACGTTTGTAGCCGCCTAGAACTCGAATTCTTGGAACTTGATTTATTCAACAACACCTTACGCCCATCCACATCAGATCCGGAGTGGCAGAACAAAGAGAACGCGCACTGTGATCGAAGTATGTCAATGATCAGGTATTCAGTGCAAAATGTACCTCTAACAGCCTCAACAGTGCATCGTCTCGGTCCTACCTGGTGGGAAAGCGAGATGGCTTATTTCTATAACCAGCTTGATAGACTTTCGGGATATGATGGGACCCAGGTAAAGCGTAATAACTACATCCGAATTGGTTGGCCGACTGGAGGCGGAGTGTGGGTTTGGCAACCAAAAGACGAAGCAGAAGCAAGTGAGAAAGGTGGCGCAAAGTTGCAAAATGCCAATACAATGGACGAGCGATGCGAGCTGATTGAGAGCCTGGGTGGCGTTTTCTATGCGGATCCCCAAAGTTGTCCCTATCTCGACCTTCCTTAATGCCGATATCCCCGTTGTTGTCGAATTGACTAGTTCCAAGATGGATGCGAGATTGTCAAAACTGAAATGAATAATTCGAATTAATAATTAATGAAGTAAAGCAAAGAGACAACCGAGCTGTGGTGATCGAGGAAGTGTAAGGAAACCACTCAAACTAAGGAAAGGGCGAATAGGTCTCGATTATAATGAATGTAATGCAAATGAGGCTATTCTCAATGCATCTCTCTTTGTACTCGGTGATCCAAGGCAAATTGATACGATCTATGATTGAATACAGACTTGAGAGAGATAATGCAATTATGGAAATATTAGAAGTTTGGAGTAGAATCTAACATTTTTTGGAAAAGATATTACACAAGACTCACAGCACGGCCCAGCCGACGTATGAGGTCTTCTTCATCCCCCACCAAGCCCGACGGCCCGCTAGACCAGGCCATTGAACAAGGAACTGGTCGGCAAGTGGAAGCAACAACACGCCCGAGGTGCTCAGGGTGGTGATCCGTGCCCATGATTCCACGAAAACTGTCCGAAGCCTGGAGATCGCTGGCTTGGAGCTCTTACCTGAGAGCACACGGGAGATGAAGATAAAGAAACGGAGTGTTTTGGCGGCAAGGACCATGCACACAGAGACCGCAGGACCATTGGTGATAATGATATCTGGACATGCCGAGGTGTATTTCCAGGGCAGTCTCCGTTGATTGGGGTATTTTCCGCATAGAACCAGGAGACAGGCCCAGAAGGACTGGATTGTAGTGAAGGGAGCTGTCCAGTATGATTGGTGTACTCTTCGCGCCCGTGGAATTGTGACAACATCAAAAGAGCCTGGATCGGTGAGGGTCTTGTTCTGTTCCAGCTGGCGCGCGACGTGTTTGGCCTCAAATTCTGTGGCTTTTTCAGCGCTGAAATTATCCCCCGAGCTCACGACATAGGTGCGATAGGTATAGACTGATAGGTCTAGGGCTTTTTCCAGCATGAAGAACATCTCGGTAGTATGGCCACCACTGCCAAGGACGATGAGCAGATGGACAGGCGTACCCCGACGACGGACCTTGGGAATTGCAGCATTTTGGGAAAAGGCGAGCGCAACAAGGATGATCTACCAGATTTATAAGTTAGTTCTGTTCAAATCTCATGATCGAAGCTGTCTGCAGACACTCACAATCCCTGCAAGGATCGCAATGGCTCCTGCGGGGAGGATAATCCTCAGTAGGAGCGGAAAAAAGGCCATGATGTCACTTTCTGCGGAGGGCGGAAAAAGAGGGTTCAGAGATTCCGCAGCTGATGACAATGTTTCATGATTGAATTAAAGCAACAACAAAGCAAAGAACATAGTTTGTAGGGAGGAATTTAGTAGCAATGTCTGAAGATCAATTTGGTCACTTTGGGTAAGACTGTCGCGTCGCCCACAACACGTGCCTCCCGTTGGTGTCCGCCTTCATTATTTTCCTTGTTTCCCCATCGCATTCACTCCCCATTGTCAACAATAACAACCACCACCACTTTCGTTATTGCTGCATATGGTACTATGCCACCACGACAATGTTTTCAAAGCGCTTGACCTGCTTTTACTGTGGGGCTCGTCCCGCCAAAGCCGTTCTTGACTCGAACAACAAGTTCCATTGCGACCATTGCGATGCCGACAACTTCCTTGACCAGGTGCGCGCCCCTTCAAGCCAGGCGATCTGGCAAACACTAACAAAGAATTTAGAATGGCGAAATCACCGATCCCCCTAACGAGATCACCAACACCCATGTCCAGGATGTCGGCGCATCGAACGAGCGCGTTGCGTCAATGGGCGTCCCCGAGTCCGATTTATTTTGCTCCCAATGTCTTCGCAACCAGCATTTGTTGACCAGCTCGCTTGCCGCCTATGTCCCAGAGGATGATGATCAAACCGATCCCCAATTTGATTCGACCTACCAAAGCTACCGCCAAGAACTCGAGACACTGTATCCTCAAGTCTGTGAAACCTGTGAGCCTCGCGTGAAGCAACGAATCCGAGAGGCCGGATATGAGGCGAAAGCAGATAACCTCCGACGTATGATGGATCAAACTCGTGCTTCCAAGGCCGTGCAGCGAGCCCGACAACACAGCTGGCAGAGCTTTGTTGTTTATCTTGGCGCCCTTGGATTCTGGATCAGCATTCTTGGTCAACTTGCTTGGGACACTATTGGTGTCTTGACTCTCTACCCCGTGCAGGGCGATGCTGATATGTCCATTGATACTCCCATGTCTTTGTTGTCCCATGCAAAGCAAATGATCGAGTTAAGAGGCATTCCCCATGATTGTTCTTTTGACTTGGCTCCTATGGCAGGCATAGCCCTTGTTGTGGGCTGTCTTTCGATTTGGTGGAACCCGAAGCTACGCATGAAGGTCTATGGAAGACCTGGCAGGTTCTCCGGCCTTGGAGAGTACTACCAGCTGCAGCTGTTCTCATTAGTACTGCGATGCGTGTTCTGGTCTCTGTTCAAAGACCCACCTGCAAGCGGAATTGACCCCAAGGGGTCTTTCGTCGGCCATGTTGTTATGGCCGGCATTACCATTTTAGTGAGTGCTCATAATTTTTTCTACTTTGACAATGCTAATCCAAGATAGTGTATCTTGGCTTCCCGTCATGTTGTGAAGTACAATCGTCGAACTCTGGTGGACTGGTCGGACCATTCCTGGGAAAAGGCACCAATGCGTAGCCCTGCTTCATCACCCCCTTCTGGGCGTCAATCATCGAATCCTGAATTAACACCAAGACCAAATAATGGTGTGACTCGTGAGCCTTTTCCGATTCACAGATTGGCTTCTCCCCAGTCTGCCGTGTCCAGGACCTCGGCCTTTCCAACTCCTCCTCCTGAATCTGATGATATGGATTGGACTCCTTCCCGCACATGTGAAATTCGGCCTACAGTCAGTGTTTACCAACGGGACAAACCATCGGTTTTTGAAGGCCCAAATCCATTTTATGGCAGCATTCCTGCCGTTTCAAGGCCTCCCGCATGGCAACTTCGCACACAACCTTCGATAAAGCCCGTCGAACAGGTCGTGGAGCGAAATCCATTCCATCGCAGCCCAACCAACTCGCCTACCTCATGGCAACACAAATCGGCCGGCCCCGGGCCGGTGTTCAAACCCCCAACATTCTTCCCAACTAGCGATCACAATTCTTTTACCGGCTTGGAGACTCTCTTCGATAGGACTTTCAGCATTGACCCCAATAATACGCCTCGACGAAATGGGGAACAACAGTCACGCCCTCGCACCTCCCGCACCTCCCGTCCCCCCCGCATTCAAGGCCGTGTTCTCTTCCCACTATTCAGATTCCTCCTCTTGCTATTCTCCATCGGCGCTTGGACCTTTTCCCAGAAACGTATGCTCCCCATACATGGGAACTACATTGAAACATTTGCCTTGGGTAGTGCAAGTCTCATAGCAGGGCTTGCCTTCCTCGAAGTTGTTAAGAAACCCATCCCCGAGTGGGGTGGTTTAGAACTGCTCGTCAACATCACCGAACTCATTGTGGCTGTCCACCTTGGGGCACATTTGCCAAAAAGGTTCAACGACCGAGAGTACTTTGATCGATATGGCAAACTACTTCTGATTTTCATGGCCGTGCAAGAGGTCATGGCATTGCTAGCAGTCTATCGCACTCCAGCAACTCCTGCGAAACCAACAGGAGATGCGCAAACGGGGCCTACTTCTCCGCTTGGATCACCACAGTACGGAAGACCTCAACTCGAGGCTACCGTCTACTCTCCAACCAGTTCTGCAACCACACTCTCCCCAACTTATAACTCCCTCAATTATGCCCCTTCTTCCTCATTTGGAGCTTCTACCGGGTCGTCGAACTTCCCGTCAGGACTTCCTTCTTCATCACTCTCGTCCCAGAGCCTCCATTCCCACCATCCACACCACCGCAACCCCCACAGCTTCACCATGCAATCTCTCAAGGAGAGCGAGCCTTCAGATTACGAGCAGGACTCGGACAGTGAAACAGTTGCCACCAATACGACAGGCTGGACGAATACTACTAACCGGAACATCCGGTTAGGGCAACGGCCTTCCACAGCCCAAAGCAATGACCCCTTTTTTTCTCCACGGCGAAATCAACTCACTCCTGGTCTCGGTGGCTTGAGCCTCGAAGACCGACCAAATTCTCGGCGAATGACTCGGAGCCAGACCCAGCAGGGTCTCAACGGACGGGGATTTTCTTCTCGTGCTACCCGATGGTAGTCTCTGCTACCACCATTTCTTTGTTTTGAGCGGTTCAACTGAGCGCACTTCTATCTTTTCATCTTATCTTTTTATCTTTCTCTAGTTTGTCTTTTTTATCTTGTCTTTTTTGCATTGCACATAGCGACAGCGATTCATTTCGGGTTTGGCGACCTGGATAGGCCCTTACCATTACCAGTGTTTGATGACATACAGAATGACTGATGAACATATGTGTCCATAGAGATGCAGTAGGTACAGCTACATTAGTACCTCAATGATCTTTACACCTTTGAATTAGTCTGATTTTTTTTTTCTAATCCCATGTGCAGCCTGAGCATGCAGTCTGCCGACAGTACTCGAGAGGCCTGCATTGCGCCTTAAAATTCATCGCGAGCGAGTCTTCGAATCCAAAAGTGCGGATTTAGTGTCACAATTTATCCTCTTTCACATTCCAAGGTAGCCCAGGGCGAGTAGGAATCTGAGATCGTAATCGATGATATACTATGAATTTCGAGGAGTGCAATAATTGAACACCATACTAACGGTGTTAGGTAAGGCTCAGTGCTCGGGTTTCACAATAGTTATATTATTGAGTTGTACATGCCCAAATGCCTACTTGCTCATATTACTCCGAAGACTGTCCTGAAATGCGAATGTGTGGAGGTGTTACTCACTGAGCCAGCGCCTTCTCTTGCCCATTTAAGAATTTTTAGTGTCTGTTTTGGCTCAAATGAAGCGTTATATCTATGTCCTTCAAACAATACGCAGAAAATGAGGTAGAGTACCGCTAGCATTTTGTCTGAATTACAAGTACTGCACTACATTTTAAATGCGGTTAGTGAGAGTGTTCAATTAGAGAGCTCAGAATTTCGAATCCTGCGCCTTGCCTAATGCCGTTAAAGTGGTGTTAAATTTAAAATACACATGCAGCACAGCCTAGCCAGATGGGCGCTTGCGCCTAGCTGGCAGGAAACGCTGAGCCCTTCGTATTCAAGCTGACGAAGGCCCCTCGCACCTCGTGCTGGCCATTTTACGCAATCCAACCGCCAATTTGCGACCAGTCTAGCTGGTATCCAAGCATGATGGCGCGCCGTCTCAACCGCGACGAATACACGGTCGGGTGGGTAAGCGCCTTGTCGGACGAGTTCACTGCAGCGCAGGAGATGCTCGACGAAGAACACCAAGACCTCCCTCCAGCTCCGGGTAGCAACGATTCAAATATATACACGCTCGGGTGCATAGAGGGTCATAATGTGGTCCTTGCATGTTTGCCCGCAGGCCAGACGGGTACAAATCCTGCTTTGGCAGTGGCTTTCCAGATGAAGACCACGTTCCCAGCCATTCGATTTGGGCTAATGGTGGGAATCGGAGGCGGCGTTCCTAGTAAGAATGCGGATATCCGACTCGGCGACATTGTTGTTAGCCAGCCGGTAAACGGTCATGGCGGGGTAGTACAGTATGACTTTGGAAAGTCAATGCCAAACGAGTTCAAGCGGACGGGATTCCTCAACGCCCCACCCGCAGTTCTTCTCGCCGCCGTTACAAAGCTTCGATCCAATCTAGACCGAGGGAGGAACAGTCTGTTACCGCACCTGTCGAAGCTTAGTAACCTCCCTAAGTTCAGCCACGATCAAGCAGGAAGCGATGTGCTTTTTGAAGCGCAGTACAACCATGTGGGAGAGGATAGCTGCGCATCATGTGTAAATGCGAAGAGGATACAGAGAAAGGAGCGGCCGAACAACTTACCTATCATTCACTACGGTACGATCGCATCAGGAAACCAGGTGATGAGGGACGGTGCAGAGCGGGACAAGATCAGCTCTAAATTTGAAGGAGTTCTCTGCTTTGAGATGGAGGCAGCTGGCCTAATGAATAACTTCCCATGCTTGGTGATCCGCGGAATCTGCGACTACGCCGATTCCCACAAAAACAAGACATGGCAGCCATACGCGGCGGGAACAGCAGCTGCATACGCAAAGGAGCTGCTAGGAGTGATACCGGCGGCGGATGTTGTGAAAACGAAAACTATTAATGAAGCGATACGAGGTTAGTGTAGTTACCACAGCTCGAGAATTCAGAAACAAGACTCACATGCCATAGAGCCGAAGCGTAGTTTCTACCTCCCTTTACTACAGAATCGCCAGTTTGTTGGTCGAAGTGTAGAGCTCGAGACGCTGAAACAAAAATTCCTTGTCAATGAAGACTGTCAGAAGGTGGCGCTCAGCGGCCTTGGTGGTATCGGCAAGACCCAAATCGCGTTACAATTCGCATACTATGTCAAGGAAAATTATCCAGAACTATCTATCTTTTGGGTACAGTCATTGAGTATGGAGACCTTCGAGCAGGGTTTTGTGGAGATAGCAAGAGCATTGGGAATACACCAGGAGCAACAGAACAAAGAAGACGTGAAGATCCTCGTACGACAACGGCTATGCGCAAAGAAAGCCGGAAAGTGGTTACTAATTATCGATAACGCCGATGACCTTGACTTACTTCGTGGGCGCCATCAAACAGACGGCCTGTTGGCCTTTTTACCAGAAAGTGAGGATGGCTTGACCATATTCACAACGCGACATGGAAGTGTAGCGCAACATCTAGCGGGCAGCGATGTGATTGAGATAGGACGGATGCCGGAAAAGGAGACGATCGACCTGTTGGAGAAGTCGTTGGTTCGACAGAGCCCCTCTTGCAGCCGCGAGACCATGACGAACTTTGTCAGAGAGCTGGAGTATCTCCCGCTGGCTATTACTCAGGCCGCAGCATATATCAACGTGAACAAAAGCTCCATCTTCGAGTATTCGTGGCTTTTTAAGAACACAGAGCATGATGCTATTGCAATAATGAGCACGAATTTTGGCGACAAAACACGATACCAGAACTTGACAAATGCAGTCGCTAAAACGTGGACGATAACGTTCAACAAGATCCTCGAACGCGATACGTTAGCGGCAGATCTCCTCGCATTTATATCTTGCATCGAATGTAGAACTATCCCATACTCCATTTTACCATTGGCGTATCCCGAGGCACGGTTGGCAGGGGCCATTGGCACACTCTGCTCCTACTCTTTTCTAGACAGAAGAGATAACGGCACTAAGCTCGATATGCATAGGCTAGTGCATTTGGCTACCAGGGTGTGGCTTCATCAGAGTGGTCGTGAAGCAGAAACGAAAATGGCGGCTTTGAAACACCTCTCCAGAGTCTTTCCATCCGACGACTACAAGAATCGTGAGATCTGGCGGGATTATCTGCCACATGTGGCACGCATAGAGAAGTTTGAGAACTGCCAACGCACAGAAGAGATGACCGAGCTCTGTCTGAAGGTAGGCAAATGCTTATACGTGGACGGGCGGATGAAGGAAGCCGTTCTTTGGCTACGAAGGTCTTGTAAGTGGAGGGATAAAAACCTTGTCCAAGATGACAGATATCGGTTATTATCTCAACACGAGCTCGCCCGAGCATATCACGCAGACGGCCAGGTTAAGAAGGCGATCAAACTACTAGAGCGTGTTATCGCGACACAAGTATTCGCAGAAGACCACCCCAATCGACTAGCGTCGCAGCACGAGCTTGCCCGAGCATATCGCACAGACGGTCAGGTTAAGGAGGCGGTCAAACTTCTAGAGCATGTCGTCGCAATACGCGTGGAAGTGCTTGTCACAGACCATCCTGATCGACTAGCATCGCAGCACCAGCTCGCCCGAGCATACCTAACGGACGGTCAGGTTAAGGAGGCGGTCAAACTACTAGAGTATGTCGTCGCGATACGTGCGGAAGTGCTCGCCGCAGACCACCCCGATCGACTAGCATCGCAGCACCAGCTCGCCCGAGCATATCTCGCGGACGGTCAGGTTAAGGAGGCGGTCAAACTGCTAGAGCTTGTCGTCGCAATACGTGCGGAAGTGCTCGCCGCAGACCACCCAGATCGACTAGCATCGCAGCACCAGCTCGCCCGAGCATATCTTACGGACGGTCAGGTCAAGGAGGCGGTCAAACTTCTAGAGTATGTCGTCGCGTTACGTGCGGAAGTGCTCGCCGCAGACCACCCCGAGCGACTAGCATCGCAGCACCAGCTCGCCCGAGCATATCTCGCGGACGGTCAGATTAAGGGGGCGGTCAAACTACTAGAGTATGTCGTCGCAATACGTGCGAAAGCGCTCGCTGCAGACCACCCCGATCGACTGGCATCGCAGCACCAGCTCGCCCGAGCATATCTTACGGACGGTCAGATTAAGGGGGCGGTCAAACTGCTAGAGCTTGTCGTCGCAATGCGCGCGAAAGTGCTTGCCGCAGACCACCCCGATCGACTGGCATCGCAGCACCAGCTCGCCCGAGCATATCACAAGGACGGTCAGGCCAAGAAAGCGGTCAAGATGCTAGAGCATGTCGTCGCGATACGCGCGGAAGTGCTTGCGACAGACCATCCTGATCGACTAGCGTCGGAGAAGGTACTTCGCTGGATTCTGCGAGGATCTGCCAAAGAGATCTGACATAGATTAGGCGCATGCAAAGCCGAGCGGTACTACTATAAAAAGAATCTTCGTGTTGGGGCTAAACGGCATGTTCAGTAAGGTGAAGTAATGCGGACATTCATGTTCCGTAGGGAATTTTGTGTCGCTCAGGGGTAGTAAACTGACCAGACACCTGGCAAAATACTGGCTTGGCAAAGATACACTGAATTGCCTGGAACCTTTGGAAGGCTTTAAGCTTCTATCTTAGGCTCATGTTTCTTCCATATCGCTATTATTCAAAGCCTGATATGATTTGGCAACTGATAATGTAGGCACAAAACTCGTGGTATAAGTATTACCCATTCTAAATTTAAACCTATTCTTGAACACCAATGATACTGGGTAAGGCGCAGTATTTGAGATTCGAAAAGGAAGAAATATTCATCTAGTGCATAGCCAAATACCTAAAGAATGAAATAGGCTAGCTACTCTAATATGATCAAGGAATGATTCTGAGTCGGCACCCTTTCTTAACTAAGATTGAATGCCAGCGTTTTATATCCCGGCTCGAATGAAGCGCTGTCTCTCATGTTGACTTGCACCAAGAGAAAACATATGCTTTAATTTCTGAGATGACATTTTGTCTACATAGAAGATTACCGCGCTGAGCCAAATGTGGTCAGGGTCGACTGACTTTTGCAGTGTAAATAATCACACACCTTCCTTAAAGTATCATGTGATTAGGGCTTGAAAGAGCAACAGTGCTTCCTGATAAGCAAGGCAATAATCGTACTGTATACATGCCGTGGCTACATTCTGGGGTACGTGGGAAGCATGATAAAAAGACTTGGTACTTTTTCACTTGATTAGATGAATCATCTTATTGGTCAATCGTCGTACGACAAGATAGCAAGTATACATCAAGCTACGCCAATCATTAGCTGCCCCCCGCATCCTTATCAGTCACCTCGGGCTTTACCCCGACGTTATTACCCCCACTCTAGAGCTGCAACAACTGAAACTCATCTTTGTCATGTATTCATTTTCAAAATGAAGACGCACGCTTGTCAATATCCAAGTTGCACCAAAAGCTTCACCCGCGCCGAACATCTGCGTCGACATGCGCTTAATCACGAGCAGCCGCGTCATGGATTCACCTGTGAGCGCTGTTCTGTGCACTTTCAGCGGCCAGATTTGCTAGGTAAGGAATTTCGGTTGATTCCCTGCTCAAAACACTACTAAAAGTTCAGAACGGCATATGGAACGGCATAATAAACGAGACACAGAGGCAGGTGGACCGGGACTCGGTGTATTGAAAACACGCAAACGAACCCGGAGAGCTGGTGATGGAACCATTGTTGTACGTCCGTCGCAGCGAGAAATAAGATCGGCCGTACGATCCTCGATCTCAACTGCCAGTTCCGATCGGGGTTGGACGGAGGGAGAAGAGGATTTCGCCAACCATGCACCTCTGTCACCCCCTGGCTCTGGGACGGACCTGACTACACTCTCCATTGACGAGCATGATCCATTTTTGGCTCCTATGATGCCTGGAGGCCCTTTTGAGCCATATGTTGAACCTGTTCCTGGACAATTTGACGCAGCGGATGGGTCATTCAATGCCGGCGATGGGATGGGTGATTTTTTTGGAATGGACACAGGTATGAGCTTCGATTCCTGAAGCGATGATGACAACTGATCTGTATAGCGACCGATTTCAATCTGCCATTTGCTGCAACTTGCAATTATAATTGGCTGTTCGATGTCGCCTCTCTCGATGACGCCTTCCACCATTTCGACTTTCCATTGGGATTCGACACAGGACCATTCGCAGAGAGTATGGAACAAGTCAACACGCATAATATGGACAAAAACGACGGTCCTTCCGCTTTGTTGGAGGTCGCCTCGATGATGGACAGGATTCAAACGCTACAGGAGACGCTGCCATCAGTCACACCAGATCTGGTGGAGATGGACTGGATGTCTGGATCATCTTATCTGGGTTCGAACCCGCCTCAAAACTTACCACGACTATCTGAAGATGCTAGAACGGGAATTTTGTCTATCGTAGCTCAAACGCACCCTATGGGGATTGATGGACAGCCGATGGCTCTGAATTCCCCATTACTCACGTTGACCGCGTTGCAGAAATACTGTGATCTATTCTTCACTCGCTTCAATGTTACATACCCACTGATTCATCAGCCAACCTTCAACCCAAGTACCGTTGATCCAATCCTGCTTGCGGCCATTTTGTTCATGGGGGCTACTTACGGCACACGCGAAGCACACCAACTGGCAGTGGGAGTTCATGACAACCTTCGAATCCAACTTCTGGGACATCCTGGCTTTTCGCCGCAGCCTGATCTTTGGGTTCTACAAGCCATGCTCCTGATTGACTGTTTTGGAAAGATGAGAGCGGGTCCAAAGCAGCGGGAGAATGCTCAACTCTTCCACTGTGTTCTCATAAAACTTATTCGTCGCAGTACTTGCTGCAGCATCCAGGACTCGCCTCTAGCTCAGTCGGATGATCTGGAGCATGCGTGGAGACAGAGCATGGATCTCGAACAGAGGAAGCGTCTGGCTATGCTTTGCTTTATGTGGGATACTCAGCACGCAGTCTTATTCTCGCAGTCTCTGTGTATGTCCGCCTTCGAGATTAGATCGTCCCTACCATGCAGTAGCGCCGCATGGGAAGCATCGTCCGCTCGGGAGTGGGTCAATCTGGCTGCTCGTGAGACAAATCGACCCTTCCTCACAGTCCTCAAGGGTTATATCACCCCAGGAGCATTGCCCCGTCCTCGTGATTTGAATGTGTTCGCGCGCTCTGTGATTCTGCACGGCTTGATGTCAGTATCGGCCGATCTGAAGCGCCGTGATCAGACTACACTCCGATCAGAGACCCCAGAAAAAGTCGGAGCATGGATCCCACGCATGAGCCGCTCATATGATCTTTGGAAGGTAGACTTTGACGCGGATTGTCTAGCCATGAAACTAGCCCAGACAGCCGACCAGCGCCGCTTTACCGGGCTGAAAGTGGCATCGCATGCTCTTTACCATGCAGCATGTCTTGCCTTGAATGTCGAGATTCTTGATTTGCAGGTCGTTGCTGGTGCAACCAATATCCTCGGACGGACTGTAACCCCAGCGGATCAGTCGCGATCTCAGCGAAATGTTCTTCGCTGGCTACATGAGGACTCGGGTGCATCTTGGGCTGCCGCGCGGCACTCGTCAACTCTACTCCAAGATGCTGTGCTTAGTCTCCATGACTGGGATCAAACGGACGCTTTTCATTTTCCTTGGTGCTTGTACCTGACTACACTGACTTGTTGGGTATTTCACCGGGGAATGGATCTTTCTTGCTCAGAATCCCGGATTACCACGGATCTGTCTTCATTGATTGTGATGATGACCAATTGTCCGAGTGAGACGGAGTTGGCTGCCTTATCAGGGAAGTATGATCCTAAGCCTTTGGCAGCAGCCATGGCACAACAGTTGGCAACTGTTCGGTGGGCTGTAGTACACGATGCAATGAAGGTTTTACTGAGCTTGTCTTAAAATTGAACTGTATTGCTTGTCTTGATGGTCTGGAATCTGTCTTGATAGTCTGGAAACTGAATTGTATACTTGTTTGTTCTTGCCTCAATCTATGTACTGTAGAAAGGGTAGTCGGTATATCCCTTCTCGGCAGGATCAGCCCCGTAGAAGGTTGTGCGATCATACTTGTTCAAAGGCAATCCCTCTTTCAACCGTTTGGGCAAATCGGGATTGGAGATAAAGTAGCGACCAAAGACAACTGCATCTGCACCATCATTGAGAATCTTTGGGCCCGAATTCTCTGTGTTGAAGTTTCCGGCCGCTAGGAATGCGACACTGCCCTTCTTGAGGACCGGTCGGAATACGTCCAAGGAAGGTTTCTCCTCACACAAAGAATCAATTTTGGCGCTCTCATCTAGAACTTCGTCGAATCTGGGCTCCACCATGTGTACGTAGGTTGGTTTCGATTCAGCGTGTAGGCTAGCGATCGTGGAGCACAAAGTGAACCAGTTCGTGTTGGGACTGGAATCACGGGTATCTTGAAAGTAGTTGTAAGGCGACAACCGGATTCCGACACGACCAGCACCAACGGCGGCGGTGACTTCTTTGATGGTTTCGATAATAAGGCGGGATCGCTTCTCAATAGAGCCTCCGTAGTCATCGGTGCGGTTGTTGACGTTGTCATGGAGGAATTGGTCTAGGAGATATCCATTCGCGGCTGCACCCCGTTAGTTTTCAGAAATGATTGAGTAGTCTTCGTTTTGATGCTTACCATGAATCTCAACGCCATCAAATCCTGCCTCCATCGCCCTCTTCGCGGCTGCACCGTGTTCTTTCACAATGTCCTGAATGTCCTCCGCCGTCATTGGCCGCGGAGGCGAGGCGGCATACGCGGTCCCATCCATTGCGTTGCCACTAATTGGAATATCGCTTGCACCGATAGGCTGCACCCCACCAAGAAAGGAGGGACAAGTGGCACGACCAACGTGCCACAGTTGGCAAAGAATCAAGCCACCTTTAGCATGTACGGCATCGGTGACTTTCTTCCAGCCGGCAATCTGAGAAGGTGTGAAAATACCAGCAACACCTGGATACCCCGCGGCCTAAATATTCATTGTTAACACATCTACTTTTGAAAAAGTAGTCGTATACTGACCAGGCGGCTAATTGGAGTTCCCTCTGTGATCATCAATCCACCTGCGGAAGCACGTTGGGAATAGTATTCGGCCATGAGATCATTTGGGACAAACACACCATCAGACTCCTTAGTACCTCGCATACGAGTACATGGGGCCTGAACAACACGGTGTTGGAGAGAAAACGCTCCCAATTGAAGGGGCTGGAAAAGAGGTCCGATAGTGTCAATTGATCCCATTTTGTGTGGTAGTAATGTAATTGAGGTTTGTATTCTTCTCTGATAGATGTTCTCAGTCCTATTAAATACTTGGAAGATTGGAGAAAGGGGTAAAGAGCTCCCATTGTTGACGATCTACGAAAGTGGGATAATAGTGGGATGTGGTGCATCGTTGTGAGGTTGAGCTGTAGCTCGACCCCCACCATTCACTATAGCGGATCCTAGTCCGTGGAGCCCCCCACTCTACTTGAGGCTTACTAACCTGGGGCTATGCCAGTTATGAAGAATCAAGCCCTCTTTAATGATCCCGTGCTTTTGGCATATCAAGTGGCGAGCTCTTGATGGTAGTTGTAATATAGACCTGATCGAGTTGAAATGGCCAATGTGCGTGATTGATACTCCAATTTTTGGAACAAGAACAAGGGTAATTTCAGTTGACTCATTTGTAGAATCCAGGTAAGGCTCGATTTCTATCTGCTACCTCAATTACAAAATAAATTCAAAGTACTGTTCTATCCATCTGCTTGCGTCATGTGCCTCCCACTGTTGCCATGTCCCAATGCTTCCGCAATATCCATCCGGACGTACTATCGCAATTCCAACTTGTTCGTTTGGAAGGTTTCCAAACCACTTTTCTGTAGCATTTGTATCAAGATATAATGTCCATCGACTATCCTGCAACAACTGCGGCAGATCTGCAATCTCAAAATCCTGCCTGGCAGACTGAGTCACCATCGCATAGGTAAAAACGTCAGACACGGCAGTGTATCTATGGGGCGAGAAGAATTCATCTGCTGGAACCAGCCCTCGGGGCTTCTTCGCATATGACTGCCGTTCTCCAGTGGATAGCTTCTCGCGCCCATTGAGTTCGGCCATGGCCTCACAAAGAGTGTTCAAGAAGTTCGACGATGATGGAACGTCCGGGACAAAAAGGTAGATGCGGAATTGACCCAAGAGGGGAATATCAAGTTGAATGTCCACTGGATTTGCATCGACGTATCTAGTCACCTTTGCTGGAAGTTGTAATTCACCTGGCTGAAGAGGTGTTGATAAACCGTTGCTGGCCCGATTCAACTTGCCAGCAGAGTACTCGGCTCCCACGCCAGAAATAAATCGAATATTCTCGTTAAAATTATTCGCCAGCGCCTCTTCACCTTGCTCAAATGCTTTGCAATGCTCCACGTCAAATTTTATTAGATCATTGGCAATCTTGCGTCGCTCTTCCTCATAAGTGAATAATAAAGATGGCTTGGCTAGCCCGCGAATCACGAAATTGAGTTTCCATGCAAGGTTTAAAGTATCGTGCATGCTTGTGTTGGCGCCTTGAGCTGCTAGAGCCGAGTGGCAGTGACCGGCCTGATTTTCAGATTAGAATGGTATAGCGAGGGTAGATTGGGTAGACCTACATCACCGGCGATGAAGATCCTGGCATCAGGATTCATGAAATGCTTCGCGACTCGTTGACCGACCACGTAATTTCCGAACCACTCCACTGTCTTCCATTCAAGCTTGAATGGATGCATTGCCTCCTTTGCGCGCTGCATGACATATTCAGTTGTTGCCTTCGCCCTGTCTACTCGTTCTCCTTCCGTCGCGCTTAGCTCGACATATAATCGTGTCATATTGCGTTCTCGTGGAATCCAGAGAATTGACCCAGCAACATGGGTGCGAACCGCTACCTTGCTCCACAGGTCAGGGAAATCGGTATCAATGACACCTATAAATGATTTAGTATGTTCGGACAAGTGGACGATCATCCAAACATACCGTCTAGAACACCCCATGACGCGTTGGTCATTTCACCCTCGAGCTCAGCATCAGGAATAAATGTTCGCACTTTTGACCTTGCGCCATCACATCCGATGAGATATTCAGCACGGATCGTTTTCATCGTATTTGTTGATAAATCTTCATAGAAAACCTCTAGCTGGCCTATACCAGTCATGGAACAAGATGAGAAGCGGGCATTTCGAGTTACAGATACACCTCGTGCTTCCATATCGTCGATCAGAATCTCTTCAATCATGCCCTGGTGAGCTAAGAGGATATAAGGGTCAGAAGCTCCCACAAGATGCTCGGGATAGTGGGTTTGGCGACCTGTTCGCCGGAGTGGCTCGTCTTCGGTGGATTGCTATAAATTGTCAGTGGCATTCAACCACTATTTGGGAAAGACTCACCCAGAATGAGATATCATATACCCGAGCTGCATTCTTCAGCAAGGGCTCTGCCAGTCGCATTTGCTTGAATGTTTCGATGGTCTTGGGCTGCATGCCATCTGCCTTGCCAGTGGAGGTTTTGTCAGGGCGATCGTCGAGAACAACGACATCAATGCCAAAGCGAGCAAGATTGCACCTTTGAAAAAGCATGTTAGCCACAGCTTGAAGCTGGATTGGGAGTGACCTACGCGAGCATCAGGCCAGACGGCCCTGCGCCGACAACAACAACTGTAGTCGCACCCACGGGCTCGCCAAAGCTGTATCCTTCATGATCTGCACCAGGGGCCATATTTTCTAACTTATCGGTATGCAATTGTTTGTGAATGGGGCTCCTCTCCATTTGTGCGATTAAACGCTTATGAGTTATAAATCAGCTTTGCAGATGCGGAGAAGTTACAACCCCCACTCTTGATATGTATCTGCTACCAGCGGGTCACTCCCCCATCCACAATAATATCCTGCCCCGTCATGTATGCGCTCGCGTCACTAGCCAGGAACACGCATGCCCCCATGATATCCTCCGGCTCGGCAATCCGTCCGTTCATCGCTTCCGATTTCCAGCCTTCGAGAAGATGGGGGAACTATCCGAATCAATCTAATTAGTAGTTATTCAAGCTTTAAAGATGGGGATTTGTCGTACAGAGGCGGTCATTTCAGTTCGTACATAGCCTGGAGAAATTGAATTTACACGAATGTTCTGCGTTGAATTAGTATCCGAGCTTTGAATTGGCAATGATTAAACTCACGTATTGTGCTAGCTCTTTTGCGATCGCTGGACACATAGATCGAACGGCACCCTTAGTCCCGCAGTATGCGCTGCACAACTGACTGCGCACCGCGATATGGCTCGCCATACTGGCTACCAGAACAATGCTGCCATGCTTAGTCCCATTCGCGATCATCTGCTTCGCTGCCAATTGAGCCGTAAAGTATAGTCCAAGTACGTTGATCGAGAGCAGGTCTTGGTGGTCTTTGTAGGTGAAATCTAGAAAGGGGAGATGGCGATTGATCCCTGCGCAGGGAACACAGATGTCAAGGGCGTTATCGAAGTCCTTTTGGAATTGCTTGAAGCCGGTTTGGAGAGATTCTTCGGAGGATACATCCACTCTTCTTGGATTAGCTATTGTGTAGAATAGTATAATGAGAGTCACTAACTTGTAATAAGCGGTCTTCACAGAGCAATCTTTTTCAATTGATGCGAATGCTTCATCCGGTGGTATAACGTCGAAGATTGCGATATTCGCGCCTGCTTCTGCCAGTCCACGCGCAAAAGCTAGACCGCATCCTCGGGCGCCTCCTGTCACTAGTGCGGTACGTCCTTGGAGAGAAAACTGAACAATTAGATGAGATATCAAGATGTAGCAAATGACATACCTTTGACATGATTGGAGTGTATGAATCTGAGGTGCAAAAAGGATAAGTGTTCTACAATTCCCTTTGACCCCTCACATATCTTATTTGTAGATATCGGATGTCGGCAGTAAGTACACCGACTAACCCCCATCTTTGCCAGGAGCTCTGCATCAAGCACTCCGATCTTAAATACCCCAATCATACATTCATGTTGTCAATATCGCAAGAAAGTCAACATCACAACCTACCTATACCATCACCATGGCACCTCGTATTCACATCAAACAACAACAAACTCGTTCCGAGTCCTGCCAGCTACATATCCTAGTGGTAGGTGCAGGTCTGGCAGGACTGGGGTCAGCCATTAGCTGCGCACTAGCTGGACACAGAGTCCACATCTTCGAAGCAACCCGTGAGATAAAAGAAGTCGGTGCCGGGATTCAAGTTCTGCCTAATAGTTCAAGGGTCCTTCAACATTGGGGTCTGGAGGAGGCGCTCACACCACATATGACATTTCCGCGCGTGTGCAACTTTATTGGATGGAAGGGAAATCCGATCTCGTCTTTGGATTTTCACGAATCTGAAAAGGGTTATCCGGGGACTTGGTACCGGGATTTTCATCGTGCGGATTTACAACGGTGTCTTGTCAATCGGGCGTTGGAGCTGGGCGTGCAGATCACGTGTAATGCGAGGATCACGAATGTTCGTGTGAGGGATGATGGGGCGGTTGCGACGGCTGTTGCTGCGGATGGAAGAGAGTGGGAAGGAGACTTGGTTCTTGGGGCTGATGGGGTTTTTGGGAAACTGACGGAGGAGCTGCTTGGGCGTGAAGATCCGCCGGTTAAGACGGGCGATCTCGCATATCGATTGCTTTTGTCTACAGAGGAGATGCGCAAGGATCCTGAATTGGCTCCTTTTGTGAACGACCCTCAGGTCAATTATTGGCTTGGCCCAGATGCTCATGCAGGTATGTTTCCCTGGCACTACTGTTCATTCTGATTCTAACGGTACAAAGTGAACTATGTGCTTCGTGGGGGAGATCTATTCAATATGGTTCTTCTCGTGCCCGATGATATACCTGAAGAGTCCCTTGCTACTACGATCGAAGGAAATGTGGAGGAGATGTGTTCACTATTCCAAGGCTGGGACCCAAGGTAGGTTCTGAATTGATGGTCATTTGCAGAATTTGGTATTGACTGTTACAGGATTCAAAAACTACTCAAGCTATGCGAGTCGGTACAAAAATGGCGCTTGTGTATCCGATTTGGAGACTTCAATTGGGCTCATCCATCCGGAGCATGGGTGATGCTGGGTGACGCAGTCCATGCAACCCTGCCATATCTAGCTTCAGGGTAAGTCTGCTCAGACAGTTTGCGAGGGCTTTCTGACAGTAACAGAGCCGGCATGGCCTTTGAAGATGGCGCTGTTCTCGGCGAATGTCTCTCCCGACTGCCAGACAATCCACTTATAAGCAAAACCTCGGCTGAGTTTCTGCATGCCAAGAGGCATGCTTTGGCAGTCTTCCAAGAATGTCGAAAGCAGCGAACAAAAATGGTGGTTGAGCGAGGCAACATCCAGCAGTATCTATACCACCTCCACGACGGACAGGAACAACAAGAAAGAGATTACAAGATGCAGATGACACCGACGCCAGAGGGAGAAGCTTTGGCTTGGAGAGACCCTGGTTTGGCACCAAAGCTTTTGGGTTACGATCATATTGCAGACGTACGTCTTCCGATCACCTTATTTTACTGAAGCTAACCATGGAATCCAGGTGGATCGTTGTTGGAAGTTTTTACAAGGTGATATGGTGGAGTCTCGACTTTAGATAAGATTTAGTCATTATCGATTAGAAATTATTGTCTTCGTGTGTCAATATTGCCTTAGGATGGCGATGAGCCCCCACTGCCCCCATTCTTGATAAACGTGTGAAATTAACCCGGAAAGGCCCCGGGAGCTTATCAGTCTATCCCTGCTCGACGTTATAGTAGATTGTTCATTAGCTTCCCCGCACCAAAGATTATCTATATATCTGGCCATTCGAGTTATGGAAGATGGGGGTTTGAGAAGCAATTGAGCTTATAGACCCGCGTTTCACTCCAAGATGTGGCAACTATTCAATTGGTCCTCAAATAACCCTGAGAAACAATCTTCAAGGGGACTTCCAGCATCATGGTATCGCTCCGAAGCGATGTACCAGCTGGAGAGGCGCGCCATTTTCTCCAAAAGATGGCTTCTTCTCACACATTCCAGTCGGTTCACCAAAACAGGCGACTTCCTCTCATTCACAGTCGCAAACCTATCATTCTTCCTGATTCAAGATCGCGATGGAAACATCAACGGATTTCATAACGTATGCCGGCATCGCGCATTCCCAGTCGTCCAAGCTCAATCTGGCACCACTTCAATTCTGAGCTGCAAATATCACGGATGGTCCTATGGCCTCAAAGGAAACCTCGCAAAAGCACCTCGCTTCGAGACGGTCCCCGAGTTCGACAAAAGTCAACAGGGTCTACTACCCATCCATGTCCATACCGACAAAGCTGGCTTTATTTGGGTGAATCTTCAAGCTGGTGATCCCGACGTAAAGTGGGAAGAAGAATACGAGCGCATTGACGAACAACCGAGAATGCAAGATTTCGATTTCGCTGGGGAATATACTTTCGACCATTACTGGGAGATGGATGTTGATGCTAATTGGAAGGGCTTGATTGAGAATTATAATGAGTGCTATCATTGTGCGACCTCTCATCCACTTATTAGTGGTGTGTCGGATTTACCTCGGTACCGCGTTGAGCCTAAGGCTGGTTATATGGAACACCATATCTTCAATAAGGAGAAAATCGATACGCAGTTTAAGAGGGCTATCACTTACTTCTTTCCTACAACGTCTATTACGGTCACGTAAGTGCAGTCCCTCCGATTGTGAACTCAGAGCTGACAAGAGGGAAAGCGATAAATTCTTCTATATTCAACGAATGGTTCCACTTACTGCCACCACGAGTAAAGTTGAAAACGAAGTGTATCGGCATCGAGACGCTACGGACGAGGAGTTTGAGAATATAAATGCTTTTTATAGGCAAGTGTTGGACGAGGATAAGGAGCTTTGTGTTGGGACACAGGAGAATTTGAATAGTGGGGTGTTCACCAATGGTGAGCTTCACCCAAGCAAGGAGAAGGTTTGTCGTTCCCTGCGAAGTTGTGTCTGGGTTCTCTAGCTGACGAGCATACTGCAGGGGCCAATCCACTTTCAAAACAGCGTACGGGAGATGCTCATGGAGCATCGAAAACAAGAAGAGAAACAAGGAGGCCAAGAGATATGGCCTGCTGTCCCTAAATTTATTGGCGGAATGACTGCGAAGCTGGCAGAGGAAGAGCGATTTTGCTCGAAACTGGAGGCAGCCAGCTGTGTGAGCAGATCTGAGCTTGCATGGTAGGCGAGATTGTACACTATCATTATCTTCTTGTTCTGTAGTTGCTATAATATTGCATGGTGAATACGAGATAGATTGATGTGATTTCCAGACGTTAAAAAAATACGTGATGGTCAAGTATCCCTAATTATTGTCCCTGACATGAATTATTTGTTGAAGAAACGCTTGAATATTCTATTTAATGCTCAACATCTTCCCAGTTTTGCCATCCTCTACCCTTCACCTGCGCAAGTTCCGCATCTGTGTACTTCTTGCCGGTAGTGAAATAACCAGCGTTAATCTTAGCATCGATCTCAACCCGAGAATCCGAGGGAATCATGTCTGTGATAAGGATCAGCAAAATGAGAAAGAACTTGACGGATTTTCATATTGACTTACGATCGGGAATAGGAATTCTCTCCAAGATGGGAATCCCTGACTCAACAATTGCATCGTGTTTCATATTGGACATAGAAAGCATGCGGTCGATCTTCTTGACGCCCAGCCAGTGTAGAATATCGGGCATCAGAGCTTGGAAACGCATCTTGAGGTCATTAGTCTTGGATCCATATTTTACCGAACAAGGAGGATTAGCTCACATCTCTTACACCCGCGATATTCTCGGTACGGGCAAAGTACTTATCGGCCGTATCACCGCCACGCTTGCGTGCATTGTAAACCAAATACTTGACGACTTCACCAAGAGCACGTCCTTCTTTCCGGAAGTAGATGGCAACGCCAGATCCACCATTCTGAGCTTCCTTGATGGCTTCTTCAATTCCAAAGGCGAGGTAGGGCCGACATGTGCAAATATCAGATTGGAAAACATCTGATCCGTTACACTCATCGTGAATGCGGAGGGCAAGTTTCACATTTGGGTCTGAGACCTTCTCAGGGGCACCAAAAATATAAACAGTAAGACCACCAATTGGAGGTAGGAACACTTTGATGTCTGGACGAGTGATTAATTCAGGGAAACTGCCTCCACACTGCTCAAAGAGTGTGCGACGGAGGGTGCCCTCGTCGATTCCGAATCGCTCAGCTACACCAGGTAGGTACCACACAGGCTCAACTGCTGCTTTTGTCACGCGAACATCGCCTTCCTTGCTGATAACGATGTCACCATCAACCTGCAACCGGCCTTCTCGGATAGAGTCGGTAATCTCGGCTAGGCGCATCGTGGCTCGCGTCACAGCGATAGTTGGGCGCACGTCTAAGCCATCATCGAGGTGCTTCTTGAAATGCTTCACAATGTCGTGGCCATAGGGATCCATGGCGACAATCTTCGTCTTATCTCCCCATGCAGCCTGCTGTGGGAAGTCAAAGATAGGCTCGGTGTTCTCGAAACTAGGCTTGAAATCTGGAGGAAGGTCGCCAGCGGCAATGGCCAATGCATTGTAGATTGAATAGCTTCCGCCATGCGCTCCGATGGCGTTTCGGTGGGTGATGGTCTTCTTATTCCGTGAAACTAGAACGGGCCCTCGCTCCTCGGGGTTCAATTTGCCCCATTCTAAAGGTATCGGGTTGACAACACTTTGACCGGGGTATGTTGTTAACTTTTTCTTCGGTCAGCATCATGATCTGGTTTTGTTCATTTTGTAGAGAAGCCAACTGACAATGATGCGCTCTCCAGAGTCTCTAGTCATCGTGACTGTGAAGACGATGTCTCAAATTATGGAAATAGCGAATAAAGAGATGACGGGATGAAACAAAAGTAGTTTGACATTCTATACAAATGCTTCCCGGAGCTCTTTATAAGCTGAATCACATGAGAACAACATCATTGCAGGTATCGGCCTAATCATCGTGAAATACCATTGAGCGATAACGCGATAAGTCGATAACAGTGTTACGATAAGATAAGAGGTCCTTATCCTAATCAAAGCCAATCTTATCGGCTTATCGAAGCTGTGGGGATCAGGTTTCGAGATTGGGCTATCGCTGTGAAAGGCAAGGAGTGGCAGGTTCCTTTGCTTGGCCTCGGAGAAGCAGCTGTTTGCTTGACCTCTGGTTCCCCGCTTCTCGGAAAGAACTTCCCTTTGAGATGGTCATCTGATCATTGTTTAACCACCACCCCGCCAGTCAGCATTGGAACTTGTTGAAACCACTACTCCATTAACAACAAGTCAAGAAAGCGACAGAGTGAAGAGATGACTCAAACTCCCGCAAAGGAAAGTGTGCTGGGCACATCTTCCGCCGTGTTTCCCAATTCTCACGAGAAAATCACCGACCCGAAAGACACGCCCTACTTCGTTGACAATGAGTTCCGATTCTCAGCCACGAAAGATTTCATTGATGTTCACGACCCCGCGACCAACAATTTGGTGTCAAGAGTCCCAAAGATGACCACAGCTGAGCTAGAAGATGCTGTGGCATCTGCGGAGAATGCCTTCCCAGTCTGGCAAAACATGTCTACAATTGCCAGACAGCAAATCATGTTCCGCTACGTTGCTCTCATTCGAGAACACTGGGATCGACTCGCAGCAGTCATTACGCTTGAGCAGGGTAAAACTGTTTCTGACGCGAAAGGTGACGTTTTGCGCGGTTTGCAGGTGGCGGAGGCCGCATGTGCAGGACCAGAATACATGAAGGGCGAGGTTCTCGAAGTCGCGAAAGATATGGAGACCAGGACATACCGAGAACCACTTGGCGTCGTCGCCGTGATTTGTCCATTCAGTGAGTCTGCAATCCCACTCTGCTTCTGAAATATTCTAATAGCTTGAAAGACTTCCCTGCTATGATCCCGCTATGGTGTATACCTATCGCCACAATCACCGGAAACACCGTCGTGTTGAAGCCATCCGAGCGGGCACCGGGCGCGGCGATGATTCTGATGGAATTGGCGGAAAAGGCAGGATTTCCCAAGGGCGTGATCAATGTCGTACACGGTGCACATGATACTGTGAACTTCCTACTTGATGCGCCTGCTGTCAAGGCGATCAGCTTTGTCGGAAGCAATAAGGCTGGAGAGTATATCTTTGCCAAGGGATCAGCCAATGGCAAGCGAGTACAGGCAAACCTTGGCGCGAAGAATCATGCCGTGGTACTACCTGATTCGGACAAAGACTCGACATTGGATGCAATTATTGCTGCGGCATTCGGCGCAGCTGGCCAGCGGTGTATGGCTCTATCTGCTGTGGCCTTTATCGGAGAGACACAAAACTGGCTACCCGAGCTCGTTGAGCGAGCTAAGGCTCTCTCCATGAATGGTGGCTTTGAATCCGAAGCAGACCTTGGTCCTGTCGTTACCCCGGAGAGTAAGACTAGGATCGAAGGCCTGGTTGCAAGTGCGGAGACTGAGGGTGCGAAAGTGCTCCTTGATGGTCGTGGAGTCAAGCCTTCGAAATACCCCAACGGCAACTGGGTCGCCCCAACCATTATCAGCGAGGTCACTCCATCCATGCAATGCTACACAGAAGAAATTTTCGGTCCTGTGTTGGTCTGTCTCCAAACGGAATCTCTTGATCAAGCTATTAAGCTGGTGAATGAGAACCCTTATGGCAATGGCACGGCTATCTTCACATCCTCGGGCATTTCAGCTGAACGATTCCGGAAAAATATTCAAGCTGGGCAGGTAGGTGTCAATGTACCTATTCCTGTGCCACTTCCCATGTTTTCTTTCACTGGGAACAAAAAGAGTGTTGCTGGAGGGGGAGCCAATACCTTCTATGGACGACCCGGTGTGAACTTCTATACACAGTTGAAGACTGTTACTTCGAAATGGGCTGGTCGTGATAGCCAGCCCGCCAAGACAACACTTTCTATGCCTACTCACAGCTAATAGCTAATGTGGCTAGAAGCCGTTAGACATGGCTGGGATTTGGGAGATGACGCTCAGAGTTAACTTATATATTGCAAAGTGAACTAAGAGCCGAACACTGTTGAACACCTCACTACCTAGCCCATGTCAAAACTAGCGCGGCAATTATAATTCAGACAAATTACCACTGCAAGCACTTCACATACCTGGTTTTCAGGTATCCAGGGGTAAATCATCTGTCAAAATCAAGCTGGCATGCAAGAATACTTCATCCAGGCTGCGGTATAGGTAAGAAAAGGTGCCGTCTCTGTACCCGCTTTATCACCTTCACGTTCCTTGGTACCCTAATGTGTTTAAGTAGGTATCTGAGTATGTACTCGATAGGGTTACTACTATATATTACATTTATCGCGCAATCCCAGATGTAGGCTAGTGAGGTGTCCTACCTAATTTTGTGGTGTTCAATTATTGATCTCCAATAAACCATCCTTATGCACACTTTCTACCAGTCGAAGTAAACGTACTTATGATTCGAGCTTAATATCAATGTGAAGCCAGATGTATGTAGCATATTAATATCGAGCCAACAGCCCTCAAATGAAGTCTCCACAGAAAGCTTTGCGTATTTCTCACCGATGCGGGTGAGCATGGACAGGTCACCCACGCGTCTCCACCTTTCATGATTTCGACTCCTCCACAATCTTATCGGGTATCTTATCGATTCTCTTATCGCATATCGGTATAGATTCAGCTCTATCATCTACTGATTAGATTTGCTGCAGGAAATTTTCTGACAGAGCCCCACATTTAGGAATACGCCTGAGAGTTGAGACTGAGGGGTGAGCTGGATCTTGAAAGATTTAGGTCGCGTGACGTTTTATAGGATCCTTGTTCTCTACTCCGTTTTACTCAGTTTGGCTCACAGCTGGTTTTTTCTGCCCCCTCATACTATTCAAAGCCCTACGTGAACACACATTGACCAAGAGTCATCATGAGCATCACTCATACCGAGAATATGTCGACGGCTGGTAGCCACAAGCCGGGGGCTCTTGATTCTCGAGTCTCTCTTCTGCCACAGGGCAATCACTTACTCAGCCTGATGACTATACTTCGAGAGTCAAACACAAATGTCGCAACTTTTGCGGAAGTGACCGAGAGGATTGGCGATCAACTTATCAGTGCTGGTACGTATTTTATATCGTGGTCAAAGTCGGAATGGACCTTTCACTAATGTTATGTCAACTAGCACTCGACCTACTTCCATCTAAAGCGACGACAGTTGTTAGCCCTACCGGAGCCGAATATCAAGGAATCCAAGAGACTGCCGAAGTCTGTGGTGTGAGCATTCTTCGCGCAGGTGCCAGCCTTGAAAACGCCTTGAGACGTGGATACACGTAAGTTTCTCGTGGCTTAGGTGAGATAGTGAGACTGATTCGGTTTCAGTGGCCCATTAAGTTTTGGAAAATTGTTAATTCAACGGGATGAGACAACGAGTCTTCCGACGCTTTATTACTCAAAGTTTCCCGCGGGATTCGCTTCTAAGAGTATGATACCCAGAGACAACGCACTTTGTCTCATGTAACGTTTACTAAGCTCTCATTAGCTGTCTTCATCCTTGAGCCGATGCTAGCCACCGGTGGCTCGGCTTGTGCAGCAATCGACGCGATCAAAGAAGCGGGTGTTGCTGAGGAAAATATTATTTTTGTTAACATTTTAGCGGCGCAACATGGAATCAGTGTATTATTTGACCGTTTCCCTTCTCTTCGATTGGTTACCGCTGCCATAGATGAAGAGCTCACGCCCTCAAAGTAAGTCAAAGAAAGATACCAAACTTCATGGATGACACATTGACTTGTACTAGTCATATTAGCCCGGGATTGGGAGATTTTGGAGATCGGTTTTACGGGACTCATTAAAGTCATTTTTACCTCATAACATTCTACTTCTGCTATTTTAAGCTTGGTCAATTCCTATCTTGCATCATTGTCTGGATGAGTATCTTATACTTAAATACCTACATATCAAATCCATCGTCTTTATTACGCCCGATTTTGCCATCGGAGTTACTGCGAATCATAATTCCTTCAAAAATTTCCTAGCATCTCAGTCGAGGTAAATAATAGGGCATTCCACTGAGCAGCTGTTTGTTTAGGCAGCAGTGGTACTATAAAATGCCCTTCCTCTCTCTTTCCTCTTTTCCTTCTCTTCCAACACCCATCAACCCACTTTGGGTAAGATGATTCGTAAGGGGCCTCTCGGGTAAGTCAAGCCAACTTATACTTAATCTGGGCCCTTTGGCTGACATCAGACGCAAGTAAACAATCCGAGCAACATGCCAGATCTGAATGCAAAAATGGACAGATCCTACACGACACCGTCACCTTGAAGACGGTAGCGAAGATGACCAATGCAGGAAAGAAGAAACATGTCTCCTCTCAAACCGCGACTGGGACTCAATGACAAGTCCGAGATGGGTTATAGAGGAAGGGATAGGCGATGCCCCAATGAATTCCATCCATGCTTGTTCTGAACTTGAAGCGAACTCTTATGGGCAAACGGAATTTTTGACACACGCATCGCTATAGGAAACACCGCGTTTTGTGTCCATGGACAGATCAGGTCTCCGTAAAAGTGGAATTACCACCGTTGGTCCCTGCGGGATATGCAATGCATGTGAGGGTCTTCATACCAGCTTTGATCAAAATTCCGTTTCGTGGCAGCCTTCATCGTGGCTTATCCGAGCTCCGTGAAGCCGGCGACGACGTCCTCAAGGTTCTCACCAAGCACTCACAGTTATGCTCTGTAATCCAGCCAACGATAAATGACATTTACTCAGGACAGCATCTCAGGAACGGCCGAGGAACAAATTCCTGACCACAATAATCCAGGAATGGGAGTGTTCGCAACATTCGAAATCTACGACGCACCTCAGCGATAATACACATCTCACTATTGCCAATTTTGTGGCTTTCGTAGCCGGGTGTCTCATTGTATCAGCGACTTCAGGCCGACAAGGAGACATCATTATTCACAGCTAGTTTGAAGTGCCTCAGAAATACAACAGGGCTAGGTGTCGAATCCAGATGTTAGGAGCCCGGCCCTGGAAGATTCGAAAGCGACTGAGGTCTTCTGGTTGTTGCACGTGCAGCCGTTGTACAAAAACAAGCGCAAGGATGCTCAAAAAGAAACCGCACAGTCTACGAAATCATGGCACATGATAGGGCATTCCAGCCAAATGTTTGTTTCGAAACCCCCCACAATCGCAATTGTAAGTCACCAGTTTGATTTTTTGTCATATCCTTCTAAGCTGAATCTCACACCATAGCCTGATACTCTCCCTCGAGACATTTCAGGGGTATAGGAGTACCTCGTAGCTGCCTAGAATAAAGTCCCATCTCCCTGGATTACAATGGGACTAGATTTAGTCGAAGGACGATACTTCGCTGCAAGTTCTCGACCTCCCTTCCAAGTCCCAGCCTCTAGCATTTGTGCCATATTCAACCGAACGCCTTGCTTGGCAAAACTATCTCGAATAGTCTCGTAGAGCTGATCAAGTAAAGCCACAGTCATAGCTCGCCACTCAACGATCACATCACTTGTAGCTTCGAAGCTTGGTGTCTGCTCCCGAGAGTTTGCTCGCCCTTGCTGTAAGACGGGCTCCTTCAATTCAAGAACCCCCATATCAACAAATAATCCGCCATTGCGGTACTCAGGAAGCCCTGTTCCCAGGCTGAGATTCTTCCACTCAAAATCTAGGACTCGAATAAAAGGTACTGACAGGGAATATGCAAGCCATTGTGTCAGCTTGTGGAAGGGCTGGATGTTTGCGGTTTTGCTTTCGCTTTTGCCTTGGTTCAATCTTGCTAGGACTTCCAGGGGCCAGGAGTCTCCAATGGGAACACCGTCCACCTGAGTTCGATTCTTGGGCCATGCTGGAAGAAGAGTTTTTTGAAGGACATTCCACAATGTCTCATATTCCAACTCATTCCCACTTTTCTGAGCCAGGATGTAGTCTGTATCTTCTTTAGCAATGTACGTGGTAGTACTAGAAAACAAGCTTAGCTTACCAACTAGGTTTCCAGGTCGACCAGCTTCACCCAAAAATCTCGGGTAGACTCAAGAATGACTTTCCAACACTATTCAAAAGACTGACACGAGATACATCTCCGATAATCTCGTTATCGGCTGTGATCTGGAAGTGTTTTCGGAACGTTTCGATGCTAAGCGCAGCAAGGCCCTGACCTTTTAAACGGACCAACGTCAGCTCTAGATTAGTAAAAGTTGACACTCCCATTACTGACCATCAACCAACTCGCTATCCCCTGCTGCTGACTTGCTTGTGAAAGAACCCGCCTTGAACATGTATAATGCAGCGACGGCAATTCCTTCACTCCGACCATAGGCATCACCGGTTCCAGGCTCGGTAAACTTCCAAAAATCACCGGCACCAGCATCTAATAGCACCGCGACAAAGAAGAGATCAATCAGTCGACGAGTGACCTCAATATTATCATATCCCTCCTCCTGCCAGGACTTGATGAGCTGATCCACTCGAGGAACACCTCCAATCTCGAAATGTTGCCACCGACCGTGGGGAGGAATTTGGTCAAATTTGTCGGGTCCAAAGTCTCGCTGGAGTGATTTCTGTTAGATAGCTGTTGCTTTATTAGGAGCTGGCGTTTCAGGACATACATTGATGATGCCAGTCACGTATTCCGCCACTTCGCCCATCTTATCCGGGTGATAGGAGAAATGTGTTAATTCATCGTTCTCGGCAGCTTTCAGGACCAGGTTCGCGCGCTCGCGCACAGCCTGCAGGCTCTTCAGGTACTCGATATCGGCCATTATGGCTCTTGCAGACAAGATTAGATAGAGAATGGAGGTTCAGTCGATCAGAGGTATCTCTCTCGTTGGCAACGATATGGTGTTGCCAGAAAATTGGAATTGGAATAAATAGGAATTTCACCGTCTGTTCATTTTCGCAACCGAGTTTGTGTTACGTACATGCAGGTCTGATCAGTCTTTTCCGGTACAACCTTGGACCTTGGACTTCAATCCCCGCATCCGATAAGCGGGAAACTAGGGAAGTGATAAGGAGTTCGATAAGAAACGGATAAGATAGAGTCCGATAAAGAGCTTATCATAATCTTATCGTATTTTGATAGCGATAATCAGTGATTGTGCCTGATCTACGGTGGATAGCTTCGAGATCTTAAATATAATAATAACACCTTGGAAGCTTTTATTCCTCATCTCTCCGTTCGACTCTCCCAGGACTCATATCTTCAGAATGGCGTCAAATATCACTCTCATCGAAAACGCAGAAGCGTCCAAAACCCTCTCCCAACTCCGCGATCAATCCATAAGCTCCGCAGCTGTCCGTCGGCTCGTGAGTGAATTAACAGCAAACTTGACAAAATCCGTCATCACACCCCCAACACCCGATGAGAGAATCGCCGTGATTGTTATCTTGCGTTCTGGTCTCGCCATGGCCGACTCCTTCTTGGCTGCCTTCCCCGAAGATGCGGACACCGTTACATACCATCTTGGTCTTTTCCGCGAGAAGGTGTCACTGCGTCCGATTGAATACTATAATAAGCTTCCAGCAAAGAGCCCAAAAATTAAGCGGGCTTACATCCTTGATCCCCTTGTTGCTACTGGTGGGACTGCGAAGGCTGCAATTGATATCTTGAAGTACGTAAAGAACACAATTGTTATCTAGATCATGCTAACTTTGTTCCAGGGACTGGGGTGTTGATCATATCACTCTATTTGCTTTACTTGGAAGCGAAATCGGTCTGCAGAAGGTTGCGAATGTATGGCCGGAATGTACGGATGTCTTTGTCGGTGCTATTGATAAAGAGCTTGATGATAAGGGATACGTCAAGCCCGGACTTGGAGATATTGGGGACCGTCTTTTTGGAACTAGTCTAGGCTAGATACAGTCACCAGAGAATAAATGACTAGACAGCTATACATTAGTCATATCATTCCGACTTGACTTCATACACGTATATACTTTACTCAACCGCAAACTTCCTCTCTGAAAACGCCTTGGGAATGTCGTCGCCCTCATTTTCATAGAATCTTCCCGAAGAAGTAGCGACGTCTGTAATCTCTTCGTCCTTGGTAATGGCAGAGTCGTAATAATCATCCTCAGGCGCCAGCTGTTCGCGTGCCAATCCCCTCTCTTTCACATCGCGCATGCTAGATGTTGGCCAGAATGTGCAAATCACGTAATAAGACACGAATGATGTTAAAAATGCGGTTAACCACGCAATATCCATGATATGTGCCGCTGAGCTGGAGACTTTGGCGCCCAGTTCACCACAGAATCCTGGGAAGGGAAGTGCAATGCCAATGAGATAGGCTATCACAGCTTGAATATTTACTCCACCGTGGTACCAGTAGTTTTTGTTCGCTTTTGTTGGGACAAATAGTGAAGCAATTGTGACATTGCCGCCCGTAAGGCAGAAATCTGCATATGTTAGTGAATCTCCTTCTAGACAAGGGCTTATTTGGAGTGTCTCACAATCGCAGACCATAATCGCAACAACGCTCGCCTATAGATAATTGTGAGTACTTGCATTGGGACACCTGTTGTTGAGCACGAACCATGAAAAGACCGTATCCACTAAGGAAGGTCTCAAACTTTGCTGCGGATGTCATAATCTTCCACGGGCAGGCTGCCCAAGCAAGGAACTGAACGATAAACTGGCCACGGCGGATGTTGAGGAAAGAGGGGAACAACATGGCTGAGTCGGCGCCGAAGGACATCATGTTTGCGGCGATGTTTGTTCCAAGGATCTGGACAAACCATGCAAAAGCACAGAGGAAAACTGCAAATCTGGTCTTTGAGGACCAGTACTCGTCCAATATCAGGCTCATCATGTCCCATTGATTCCTGTTTCAAATTAGTATCTATTTATACGAATCTGCAATGGAAGCTCATACCAAATATCAGTGCCGTACTTAGCATTGACGGCGCTGGTGGAAAGAATTCCCAGCGTAGCTGAGACTGTGACTGTTATTGGATTAACAATCTAAGAAATATCAGTAAGATTACTCTCAGCTTTCATTCAAGGCCGGGCTCACAAGCTGTGTCCAGATAGGCGCCCCGCGCGATCTCGCCCAGCGAGCATAATCCGGCTGGTTAGTGATCAAGGTTGCAGTGTTCCTGAGTATGGATCAGTATGAAAGCCCAAATAATGAGAGCAAATAGCAACGTACCCCAAGCCACTGTTGATTCCAGCCAGAATAAGCCAAGCAGTAGCACTGGACGATCGCGAAGAAGCGTTATACAAGCTTCCAATTTGGCCATTCGTATTCACCATAGCCCAAATGAACAAACCAAACATAGATGGTAATGAGACAATAGTCTTGAACCAGAAGAACTTCCGCAATTGATATGGTCGGAAATAGCAAAATGGAAGATGAACAAGCCAGCTGAGGAAAAATGCAAGCATAAGGGAAGTGGTGATTCCCGCACTGGCCGGAAGTCCATTGGGTATGTTGGTGAAGTTATGTCCGAAGATTGCTCGTAGCATATTGTGCATGTACTCGGCACCATAGTACACTGTGGAGTAATTAGTATCGTCATAGATCAAAATTAATTGCGTTTCAACTTACTTTGCACGGAATACCAGATTACGGCTAGGACTGCTCGCGCACCGACGAAGTAGTAACTTCCCCACATTCCGAAGACGCTGCGAGCGACACAAGGGAATCCAATGTGATACACGCTCGCTGAGCGGGAATTCAAGGCCATGGCGATCGAGGAAATCATTTGCGATACGAAAATTACGACGATGGATTGCCACCAATTAAGGCCGATGCCAATCATTGTCTTTCGTAAGTGTTAGATTATTTGTAGCTTCAGTGACGAGTGCAGTAGCTTACCGATCCCAGTGTCCAATTTGTGAAGGAAATCGACCAATAGAAGGTCACATAATTCCACCATCGCCAGGCTAGTCACCCTCGTTTAGCCTTATCACACATGAGGCGCAGGGGTTATGCTCACTTCTTTTTTCTGGTGGTGTAGGCAAGAGATCTGGGGAACGTTCAAGTCAGCCACAGGTGATCAAGGTCAGATTGACATTGTTTCTGGTTACCTTCATTGACCCACCGCGTATGTTCCATTGTCCCATCGACTTCCTTGAGTCTCAGGCTCTCCTGTGCCCATTTCAAATATCCCGACATCTTGACGTACGCGCGATGGCAAGGTACTCGAGATGCAAGAATTGAAGATCGGACAAGGACAGGAAATATTAAATGCCGACTGAACAGTTATCGCCACGAAAAGTGAGACCGCTTATCTCCGAATATTGGGCCATTTAGGTAGAACGGGGTAGCAGTGGCTGATAGCGTGAGTGGAGTTCAAGGAACTAAACAGAAATCCTTAGCCCCCATAGGTGATAAGGGCTGGGAGTGGTGGCAAGCTACAGGGGTTTATCCAATCATGATCTCGCATTTTTTGGGGAGAGTTTGACTTATGCGCAAAGCACACGACCCAAGTGCCCGGAAGAGGGGAATAATGGAACGATATTCGCGGCTCCCGTTCTTTCGCGTGTGACGCTATACTCGTTGAGTGCATCCCCGAGTTACTGGGGACTCCACTCATCGGCTTCCCATGCCAGATTGGCTCGTTTTGCCTCCACTTCGGTCCATCTCCACTCTACTTATCAGCAAGCTTTTATGGTTTAGAGTAGCCAGATCCTTCTTTTCTTGGGTTTGATTTTGGGTTTTTTTCTCTTCCGTGATGTTTATTTTAGTGCGTCGGGATGCTTCCGTAAGGCTCCGGTTGATTTACATGACTTTTTCTCATAGTAAAAATCATAAAATAAACCTTGATCACATTAAACTAAAGCCATGCCATGGTTAGCTCCCAAGTCCCCAAGTCCCCAAGTCTCAATTGAGTACACCGCTCATTTTGCGTTATTTTCGGCCGGAACACCATTCCTTCGCTGTATATCATTGATCCCACCGAGCCGAAACAGTTTTAGTGGAGGTAAAAAAGGGCCAATATGTTTTCCCTGGGCAGTGCCTGTCTGTTGTAGGGACTTGATTAGTCAAAGTGATCTACATTTAACGCTCGTGGGAGAATCTTTGTTTTCTACTTACCTCCCATAAATGAACCTTTGTTGCTGGTTCGCACGGCAGTACCGTAGGGTGCTGAATAATCAGTAAGGCATTGCAAAGAGGATGGATTTCACACATACCAATCAACGGAATGTTGATGCCAATCTGACCCACATTGACCTGGCGCTGAAATGTTTTCGCATGCTTTCCGCTCGTAGTGAAAATCGAGCAACCATTACCGTCTAGAATCATCAGTCCACCTCAGACTTTAACATAGTTACCCGATAGGATCTCACATTTATTTTGGTTGATAAGCTCAATCGCTTCATCCATTGTATCGGCTTGCATACATATGAGGACGGGACCAAATATCTCTGTCTGGTAGCATTCCATGTATGTTTCGACGCCAGATAGAATGGTGGGCCCAAGGAAATTCCCATTGGGATACATTGGGACGATCACATCTCGTCCATCGCACAGTAGAACCGCACCTTCTTCGGTGGAACGCTCGATGAGACCTGTGATTTTTGACTTCGCCTCTTTGTCAATTAAAGGTCCGATCTTGGTTCCCTCGTCACTGCCGTTTCCGACAGTCATCGACTTGGCAACTTCCACAAGTTTGGGTATCCATCGTGCGGTATTGCCAACAAATATCGCGACACTTAGTGACATACACCGTTGCCCCGCGGCCCCGAAGGCACTGCCCGCAATGGCAAAGAGAGTAGGCATCATTTCAGCATCTTCTAAAATGACGCCGTGGTTTTTGCCGCCACATTCTGCCTGCACTCGCTTTCCCGCTTTGCGTGCAAGGTCGTGAACTTGCTTCGCAGCTGACTCGGACCCCACAAAACTGATTGCTCTCACTAATGGTTGCAGAATGAGCATCTGTGACACCGAATGACCTCCGTGCACGAGGTTGAAAACACCAGGCGGAAACTCAGCCTTGAGAACGGCTTCGGCAAGGAGTGCTGGTACTGAAACAGCTCTTTCAGATGGCTTCAGAACAACAGTGTTTCCTGTAATGAGGGCATATGGGATAGACCATAGGGGGGTCATGAAAGGGAAGCTAAATGGCGTTATAGTTGTACAGACACCCTTGACAATGTCAGCTAATCTCTTTTCCCTGAAAGCGGTCTTTTTCTCACCTACCACTGGCTCATAGAATGTCTGGAGCATCGTAGGGTCGTTCCCGAGAAACATGCCCGCCATTTCAGGGCCAACAGAGCATGCAGCGTGGATACAATCCAGCCCTCGGTGGAATTCCGACTCTGCATCTTCTATTGTCTTGCCCACCTCACGGCACAAGCTCGTGACCTGGACTGGATTAATTCAAGTTACATTCAAAGAGCCTCTCTTGCCACACCAAACTTACAATAAGCGAAGACACATCCTTTAAAGTATCTATGAGCCGTAGTAAGTACTCCCGACGAGCCTGGAATCCTATACCCTCCCAATCCTCTTGGGCATCATTTGCAGCATTTACTGCATTTTGCACTTCTTGATGAGTGCAGCAAGGAACTCTGGATAGTAGAGCTTGGGTCGTCTTTGTAAAGGTTAGCTAGGAAAGCATGATACACATCGCCATCTCCTTTGTACTTTGTGATATCCTTACTGGATCCAGAATGCTAGTCCATTCCTTAGATCTGGACATAACCGGCTTGTTATTGATGAAGAGATGCGCCACGGCAGCGCGCGGCTGCGATGCAGTCGAACTTGGACTTTCGTCATAGGTCTGGCTGGAGACAAAATCCAGAAAGGCGTTGGAGCCTGCGCCTAGCTCGGCAAGCTCCGACAAGCTAGCCAATACCATCGATTGATCGTCCTGAGCGAATGTGGAGTCCCCCTTGAAATGAGTCAATTTGAGCCCCTGAGTGTGTTGACTCTTTTCAAAAGTCGCCTAGTCTTAAAGTATGGTTTGACATACCTCAACTAAATATGCGGGGAAATTGTCAAATGATGGGAGCATGGTGTCTTCATTAGCGATAACAGGGGTTCTTGAAGTTCGTGCGAACGGTGTGAAACGGGCCCCTCGTCGGGGTGCCACGGCTTTCGGCATGGCTGTGGTCCTTTTATTCGATTGGTTGATACATTCAGGGGAAAGGACGAAGATAAGCCTATCTTAGAGAATACTTGAAGGTTCATGTTCCGTGATTCGGGTCGACCCCTCACGAAACTGCGGGGAAGACGCTAATGCACGATCCGGTAGCTTGTATTGGCCACGTGATTTGTAGGCACCATCAAATCGCATCTTCATTTTGAATGTCGAGCTTGAAAAGTGAAGAATCCCCCAATTCACTGAGAACTGAAATCGTATTTAGTATCTCCCATCGACGAAGTACGTCACACTGTGTAATCGCAAATTACGGGCAAGGTGAAAGGGAAAAACCAGGAAGCGTAAGGAATAGTCTATTTTATCTTCTAACTTCTAATTTCTAATTTCTAATTTTCAACTTCCCAAGTAGCATATTATAGTATCCAGCCCCGTGCAAATAATGAAAAATAGCCATATTTCAGAAGTTCCACTGCTTCAGCCAATTTGACATCAATGATGCAGAGATAGGCTGAAGCGACTTCATCGTCTTGCTAGCTTCCTTCGTTTTCTGAACATCCAAAGCCACAGACATCGCGGCTTTAGTATCATCAACAAGGCCACGGTAGAAGCTGAGCAATTTGAGTGCAGGTTTCTCGGCCACCTCTGCAGTAGACGGATTCTGAATGCTTTCAAGTTCCGCTACCCAAGCGGCAAACTCGACCGGCTCGACGTTGTATTCTTGTTGTATGGTCGGAATGAGCGATTCCCATGAGGCCGTCTTGTAGTTTGTGAGATGGAAGACTGCGTGGGGGAGGTCGGACTGGTCTCCGTGACGTGTGTGAACAATGTCGGTCATTATTGAGGCGAGGGTGTCCTGAATTCGGTTAGCAACACCAAAAAGAATACAGGGTCAAGTAAAACTTACGACTGGGACCCAGTCCACCGGCATGGCTCCAAGGCGGCTAGGAATTTTGCCCAGTGCCTTTGACGTGGCGACGATTGTCGGGAGCCATTCGTGTGGGTTCCATTGTCCGCTCGCGGTTGTCGGTCCTGCAATTTGTCCAACGCGGTAGACTGTGGTGGGAACACGAGAACGACGAGAGGCTTCGAGGCAGATTCTCTCTGCAACATGTTTAGATTCACCGTATCCTTGTGGAAGAACGACGGAGCTGTTCTCCATGGGGATTTCTGGTACTAAAGGTCCCATCTCTGGTGTGAAGGAGCCCACTGTGCTGACAGAGGACACAAAGTGGATATGGGCGTTGTGCTTGCTCTTCAGACTGAAGTTAACGACGTTTCGAACTCCCCTAATGTGGGTCTCTTCGAATGACTCAACCGAGTGATTGAAGTCAACCTTCCAAGCGTTGTGAATGATGGTATCGACAGATTCGAGAAGCTCTTCATACTTGTCTTCACCCAGGCCGAAGTGAGCTTCTCCGAAGGATGTCGTCAAGAACTCGGTTTTGGAAGCCCAGTCATTGGCATCCACCAGAAGGCCCTTTTCTTCGAGGCCCCTTTTCTGCCTTTCTTCAGCGTCTGAGCGGTTCAGACAGTACACCTTGGAAATTGACGGATTCTCGAGCAGGATATGCAGTAGATATGTTCCGAGTGAGCCAGTAGATCCAGTCAGAATAACCGTTGATGGCGAAGCTGACTGCTTCGTGTTTTTGTGGCCACCTTCAGGCAGATCACTGGTGTACTTCTCCACCATCTTTTGAATCTTCTCATCACGAGGAACGGCTTCCTCGGACTTGCCCTCCACCATGTTGGAGATCACTCCCGCTAAAAGCTCCACAGTTGGGTTGGAGTAGATGGTTTGCGGGTTGATGGATCCTGGCTTCACCTTTTGCTGGAGATTCTGGATACCTCGCTGCAGCACCTTGGCCACCTGCATAGTCATCAGAGAGTCAAGTCCGAGGCTGTAGAGATCTTGGTTGATAGGGACCTCTGGTTTTTCCAAGACCTGTGAAATAATTTCACGGGTGTATTTCAGAAGGCCAGCCCTGTCCAAGCTCTCTGGAAGATGGTTATCAAGATCTTCCTCAAGGCCGGCTTGGTAGATTTCATTGATCTCCTTCTCGAAGTTTTGTAGAACAGATCGTCGCTTAACACTGCCTTTCGGTGTCCGTTCAAAGGTCTTTCCCCTGGGAGCAATTCCAATCCGGCTCTTCATCACTCGACCATGAGCAGCAATTGTTTGGTTTGCAGCTTGAACGGTAGGCCAGATCTCTTGGATGAAAGTCTTGATGTCCATCTCTGGGGTTCCAGTATATGGCTCTACCAGCAAGCCAGCCTGGAAACGGGATTGTCCAACAACAACAGCTTTGGCGACCAGATGGTGTCCCTCGATGATTGTCTCCATGGTTGTTGGGTTGAACTTTTCACCGTTGCTCAGAACGATGACATCGTCGATGCGGCCATTGAACTTCCAGAGATACGGCTTGGTGGGGTGCTGGTTGTACACGTCCTTGGTGCGATAAATGTCGAGGTCTGGGAAGGTGTGGAAGATGCCCTGTAAAGCCCGAGATTTGGGGTTACGCACAATGACCATTTCATAGAGCCCGTCACCCACACTTTGCATATCGATACCATAGCTGTCGTTCCATTCGAAATAGCTCCAATCTTCTCCGTCTTGGGGCACCATCGCTGCGATCCAGCCGATCTCGCTAGTTCCAATAACCGGGATCAACTGGGTGCATTGGCGTAGCCTGTCGCCAGTTTCTGGAGCGAGAGGGGCACCACCGAATCCAATGGACTTAAGTCGTTTGAAGCACTCCAGTGATTCTTCGGAGTGGCTCATATCCTCCAAAAGAGATGGCGGGAACAATCCAGTTGTAGGACGAGTCATTTGCATCATTTCGGTGAGATATTCCACTGATAAGGGCTTGTCGGGTCCGACCAAGGCAGGAACTTCATGCATAATTGAAAGGACAATGGCTAACAGTCCCATCAAGTGAAAAAATGGTGTTGTTGCCAAGGCAAGATCTTGTCGACCCAGGTTGATGTAAAGGTTTGGCTGACGACCTTCTGGCCAGGTCAAGCTATCCACGTTATCCAAGGCGCTCCAGAATCCGTTCGTAAGAGGCACCGGCTTTGGCATGCCTGGAAGATAGGATTGACCTATTAGTCTGGCGAACATCAAGAATATTAAATAGCACGATCAAGCTCACCAGTGGTTCCCGAACTGTGAATTATGCACATTGTTTCATCCTCAACTTCCTCATAGTTCTTCTCATAGCGGTAAGGGGTCAAGCCACTCTCGTCAGTTAGCATCAGTTTTACTGACGGGACTTGGAAGATCTCGAGATCAGGATAGAGTTCCTTCAACTCCAAGACCCGTGTGATTCTTTCCTCGGGAAAGAAGAACTTTGTGCATTTTAATTCCTTTAGCAAATGGATATGAGCTTCATCTGCGTTCCTTGTCGAGGGCAAAAAGGCCTAATGATCTTGTCAGCTTAAATGCAAAATCGAACTGTCTGTGGCGTGCATACCTGATGGCCAGTCTTCTGACAAGCGAGAACAAATACACAATACCGAACATCATTGCTTCCCATATACGCCAGCGTTTCTCGAGGGCCACCTGTACCAATTGTATTTTCAATCCATCGACAAAGGGTGTTCACAGCTTGGGACAATCCTTTCATCGTCAGGTTTTGGAAGCCATCGGAAAGCTCTGACCCCTTGGGGATGACGGCGAACAATCTTTCTGGATCAGCCTCGGCGGCGTGATCCACAATACTTGCCAACAGTCTCCGTCGCAGTGCCATGGTCGCAGTTCTATTCAATGAGATATTGGGTATTTGTTGAACAGGTGTCAAGACTGAGACTGAGAAGGAACTATCTGTGGCTCAAAGTTTGGTTCATCAGGGGCTTTGCTTTATACTTCACAGAAAGTATCATACGTGTGCCGATCCTCCGACTAGTACAAGGACCAGGATTTTGGAATGTTCTTCATGTGGGTAATTCGGTCTAAACATGGTCTGCAAGGTTCTAATGTTGGAAAGACTATCAAAAGGGCTCCACTTTCCACCCACCATCGGTGAACATTATTCCTATGCTTAATTTTGGTTTCATAAGTGTTCAATGCACCGTCCATAACTTCGGAACAGTACCCGATGTCGGCATTAAACCTGCATTATTAATGAGGCATATTGCCTAGTTTCACAGTAGTTTCACACGTCACTGATTCGTCAATAATTCAATTTTGGTTCCATGGATTTGATATGTTATATTTTTTGTAGACCGTCATTGGCTGCGAACGTTTGGAATTTGTCATAACCCAGAACTCCCGTTTAATCGTAAAATGATCTTTGTTACTGCTGCTTCTTGTTTTCCACGGTTGCTCCCGAGTATCTCGTCCCGTGTCCTTTCCCGCTTTGTGGCTTTCTGACCCCACTGGGCGTCCAAAGTCGATGGTTCGCTATTGTCTCCCCTTTCATAGTCATCATTTTGAAATAGTGGGAGCGCAGATCTTATCCAGATCAAGAAGTGAAGTCACTTTAGCGGGAATTCGGCATTCTGACCAAAGTTGCCGAAATCCGGATCACGCAGACAACGCACAGAGCTCAGGGTTGTATCAACAGAGTCACGGCATTTGGTTTCATAATGCTTCTATTGGCGCCACCTGTCATATCCTGTCGGCATAATGTTTCCTGATTCATACCGTTGACAAATTCCTCCAGATCTGCGCCTTTTCGGAACGATTGTCTCTGTATAATGGCTCTGGCAGTCGCTAGAGGGAAATGGATTATACATTCCTTATCTACATTATGCAACATGATACGAATAGAAACATTTATTGATTGACGCCATGTAGCGGATCGGCTCGCGTTGCTGATTACTACGGTGATTAGTCATGACGAGAACTGCTCGTACTTACTCCGCTTTAGCATCAACAACCAAGGGGATTTTCCATAGAGCCAACCTTCTGCTCACAAGACACAGATGCTAAAGCTTTAGAAGCACTCTTTCCTACTGAACCACATATTGTTTCCTACTTGGTACCCCAATGCAGCTCAGTTTGTATCTGGCGGCCGCCACGGCCGTCACCGTCGCCCAAGCTTCTCCGCACCCCCCACACTGGCAACAGCCGCTCCAGGAGACATCCCTCTCGCCCGCGCGGTCGGCCAGCCCTAATCACGAGCTATCAAACATTGAGGATGTTATCAGCAGCTCCCCTCTGCTCTCATTCCACCGGGAAATTATTGGAATTGAGTCCATCTCCGGGAACGAGCACGAGGTCGGCCTCTTCGTCGCCGAGTTCCTCGAGTCCAAGAACTTCACCGTCGTCAAGCAGGAAGTCGCCCCTGTGAAGCAAAAGCAGTCCAACGACCATAAAGCAGCCCCCAAACAACGCTATAATATCTATGCCTACCCGTCCTCTCTCGGCGAGCTGCCCTCCATCCTCCTCACCAGTCACATTGACACTGTCCCGCCATTCATCCCGTACTCCACCAGCGAACCTAAGTCGCAATATACTGCATTGGACTCCGAAGACATCCTTATCGCTGGCCGCGGTAGCGTCGACGCAAAGGCCAGCGTCGCCGCGCAGATCTTCGCTACCCTCGAAACCCTACATGAGAACCCTGACGCGAAACTCGGTCTCCTCTTCGTTGTCGGCGAGGAAATCGGCGGAGACGGTATGCAGACCTTCTCCAGCTCAGACTTGAACAAGAACAGCGCCTACCACACCGTCATCTTCGGTGAGCCTACCGAGCTCGCACTCGTCTCCGGCCACAAAGGCATGCTGGGCTTCGAGATCCTCGCTCACGGCAAGGCTGCCCACTCCGGATACCCCTGGCTAGGCCACAGCGCCGTCTCTGCTATCATCCCCGCGCTCGCAGTTGTCGACAACCTCGGCAATATCCCTGCTAGTGAGGGTGGGCTTCCATCATCCCCGAAGTACGGCCGCACTACGCTGAACATCGGTACCGTGAACGCGGGTGTGGCGACCAATGTTGTTCCGGCTAAGGCCCGAGCGGATGTTGCTGTGCGTCTTGCGGCTGGAACACCGGAGGAGGCGCGCGAGATCATTACTCGGGCCGTTGCGAATGCTACGCGGGATGTTGAGGCTGAGGTTGTTGTTGACTTCAGCCAGCACTCGGAATCTTACCCGCCTCAGGATATCGATACTGATGTTCCTGGCTTTAAGATTATCCCTGTTAACTATGGTACTGATCTGCCCAACTTGAAGGTTAAGGAGGGTGTGAAGCGGTACCTGTATGGACCGGGTAGCATTTTCGTTGCTCATGGCGATAATGAGGCTCTTACTGTGCGCGATATGCACGATGCGGTTAATGGATATAAGAAGCTTATTGATGCTGCCCTGGAGAGAGAGTAGAAGGCAAGCTCTCATCTAACAATAATTTAGGACTTTTCGGGGTATCTTAAGCTCGTATATAGACTAATGTCCTGCTTTATGCAGACTTAAATGTACCTACATGGAATATGAGAATAGCAATTTCGGTTTTTTTTCTCTCGCTGCGAGATTTCTGATTAAGATGAAGAAATGAGAGACCAATGTATTTGCTCTAGCAGTGACTTCCATCGGAAGACACACCAATAATAAACCTTGGAATCATAGGTATTCGGGAGGCGCTATAGGAACTTCCTCATACCTCGGAGGATGTCTTTCCAAGACTGCTGGTCCTATATCCCTGTCGTTGCATCCGCCAATAAACAATGGGAATGACGCGTTAAGAGCTACGCGTATAGGCTTGCGATCGACAAGAGTCATGGTACTCCGCTCAAACGTGTCCTCTCCCGTTAACAAGTCAAGCTTCAACCGATGCTCAACCGTCATCACCAGCTTTTCCTTCGTAGTGGACATGTAATATTCCAGAAGGTCCGGGGGTAGCGTCCTAGGATTCAAATGCCCTGGGTCAAAGTCATAGCAAGATAAGTCTGTCCTTTGTGCTGGGTTGGCATTTTCTGGAATCGTGAATCCGAATAGAACATCCACAGAGCCGCTGCGATACGCGTCGCACTGTTGTGTTCCAGGGGACTTCTCAATTATTTTCCAGTGGCTTTTCTGTCTTACATTGCAGATTTCGCGTATAAATACACGCTCAACTTCTTGGTTACTTTCGTCAGATTTGACAAGGAATCTCGTGACTTCTTCTACCCGGCACCGAATTCCTCTGACTGTGGGACATTTCAACTCCGATGCACGTTCTCCACGGGTCGTTGGATTTCGGAGCTTGATATTCATAGAGAAGGAGAGATCAGACTTCGTTCTCGAATGGAGGTGTTGCGAGAGACTGATCTCAGTGACCACCTTGGAATTTGGATAGGATCGTGCATATTCAATAGTTGGCTCATCTGAGATGCCTTGACGGTATAAGTGGATGGGCTGCCTCTTGCTTGTAATGGTATCATTCTCGGCCATCACGCATGCAGTGAGGTCGTAGGAAATCTCGCCGAGGTTTGTTGTCACAGACCCGGGTATATCGACTGAAATCGGGATTGTGAATGGGATTTGGATGTTTTGGCTTTCCGTGGACGAGCCATTAGTTTGGCTATATAGAATTGGCAGAATGTCTTCTGTAACCTCTTCTATTGTGGAACACGTTCTGTTCACCTCTGCGGGTTCTGTCTTTGTAAAGCGCCGGCGCATGTATTCCAATAGTCCTTGGCTCTGGCATGTGGTGGGTGGGTTCGGATTAGACGTGATGATACGAATGAGTTGCACTCTGAGTTGCGTGGGAGCAATGGCGTTAAATCCTTGAGGGGGTTGAAAGCAACAATTCCATTGATTGGTCGACAATAGCTGTCACCTTGGAAATTGAAGTATAGGTTATGTGATTTGGGAGACACAATATATAGTGAGGAGTCCATGGTTGTAGAAGAGATTTGTTATTTTGATAGAGACAGTCCATCTTACATTCGGAGACGAGGCCGCTTTATTCTAACAGTACGTAGCCGAGGGTAGCTCGACTGGCGCATTTGGCGAGAGTAAACTCGCTGCTTCATAATCACCAATGATGGCCTCGATGTACGCTAGCCCCAATATGGCAAGAAAAGTGCGGAATTAAAGTTTACTGTGGGGCTATGAGAAGCTTGCAATCAACCTTTGGGCCTTCACAGTTCTAGTTAATCAAAATCTCTTCTTACTATTCCTTGCAGTGAAAACGCAGTGGCAGTCATCGTGGCGATTGGGTCATGTGATTGCGAGAGTTCATCACGATCCTGAGAAAAGAAACACATCTCATCCTCCCATCATCTTATAACATCGTCGAACGTCATCGACCCCACTTTTGAACATACAACATTGTGGCGGCTCTTTCTTGACGCTGATTGATCACATTTCGACGTATATTTCCCGCATAGTCTTTTCACACGTCTGAGACCTCGATATCTTGGCAATAAGCCCTGCTTCTATTGATTTGATGGATACACACGCTACCAGTCTTTTGGGTAACCCAGATGTCCACAGATCTTCCTGGTAGCACAAGTGCAGAGAAAGGTACTTCCCTATATACCCATTCGCCATTGGCATGATCTAACCAAGCATAAGACTGCCCAAAGTGCAGGACAAGACGCATCAGTTGTGATCGGACCTTGCCAAAATGCAGAAAATGCATTGCCCGGGGCTTTGAATGTCCTGGCTATGGGTTCATTCTGAGATGGAACCAGGGTGTAGCCAGCAGGGGTAAATTAGCGGGTAACAAGTTGCCAGTACGAAGGTCAATCGTTAGCGGCACCGGCGGCACTGGCGGCATCGTCTCGCACTTAAAGCAGCCAAATGATCCACACCGAACCGTGAGGTTGGAGCAGAATCCCGCATCAATCCCTCGAGGACCAAGCTCTCAAATTGACCATATGACTTTGGAATTGATGAATCATTTTCATCGGAATATTACTGGGAAACTTGCTTGGGTTGATCTTCCAACTAATCCATGGAAACAAGTCATTATCCCTCTTGCCTGGGCATCAAAGACAGTCCTGCACGCTGTGTTGGCACTTTCATCCGAAGACATGGCTTCAAAATTCGAGCAAAGCCACCCTCGCTGTCATTATTTACAACGCGTTTCCTTGTATCTGCGAAATCAGGCTTTAGCTTCATTGGCGGAGCAGATTGGCCGTATGAGACAGGATCCTTCTTCGGGACTTGATCCAATCCAAACGCAATACGCTCTAGCGTCAACACTAATATTATATAATGTGGAACTGCTCGGAGCAGAGTCTCTTAAATGGAGAATGCATCTTCAGGCTGCAAGAGTGATCCTACAGTGGAAAGAACAAGCCTTTCCCCATCCTGTCCTCTCGGATGAGATTGATTCATTTCTTCTCTACGAGCAGTACTATGCGAGTGTCTTTGCTGGTCTTACAACTTTCGATACACCACCAGACTCGGAGAAGGTCATTCAATATGCGGATAGCACTGCCATCTTCAGCGATTTCGTGAACATCATCAACCGAGTCACTCGGACTGAGCGGCTGCAGTATGGACGCAAACATACACATGATCCAGCTTTGCTTGAAACCATGATTCAAGAGCTAAACGAAGCGAAGTATCGGATGGCCCAATTTGGACACATACTCCCCTTTCAGACTGAAAATGCACGCATAAGCTTCATGCATCTTGTCTGCATCTTTCATCATGCTAGTTTGATATACATCTACCATGTGTTGATGGATGACCCCTCAACCTCCAAACTGCAAGCCTTGAGAGACTCGATCCTGGATCATTCGTTATCTCTCCCTGATAAACGTGCTTTTGCTTGTGATTTGGTGTGGCCTCTGTTTATTGCAGGAACGGAATGCCGAGATTCACTAGAAAAACAGGAGATTGTGGCTCATGAGATTGAAGTCGTGATGGCAATTAGTGGTACTTTGGATCGACGTAAAGTGTTGTCGTTCTTACGGCAGTTCTGGTCATTGGGGCAAAATAGGAGTATTACTTGGATTCAACTTATGAGGGAGCAGGGTCCAGATTGTCAGATGTTGATCCTATGACGTATTATCATATATCAATACCTTTAATAAACCTAAAAGTTGCAAATAAGACATAGTAATGGTTCTCGTATCTCAAATTCTTTTATTCAATTACTGGGTCATTGTTACTACCTCATGATGACGAGTTCATCTCTAATTGTTTATCCAAATAGGAGCTGACTAACCTTGGTCTGAAAAGGGCACAGCAAATCACTCTTTGGATTCGCGCACTACCCCAAAGCCAAAGGAGGTTACTACCCCAGACTTCAAAGGAGCCTTGTACTTCCATTGGATGTCAGAGAGGCGGGATAATATGTGAAGATGCAGAAAAGCATGCTGCTTCTAGTAAGTTTCCAAATAAGCGCACGTCTTAGGTCAGAGAAATGGCTGCAAATATTTCTAGACGGTCATTATCGCCTGACTATTAAAGATTGGCTATGAGACGAGCAGAGAACAAGCTGCGAATTATGTCTTCTGATTATTCGTTGTTGGCTAAAGATACATCTCACCACACAATATATTTATTTTCATGCATCCCAAATTTTGTGAAGGAAATCATTATGATAAATAATTGTCACACGTCTTGACCACTAGGTGGTGTGCTGACCAAGCCTCCTGTCTTGGTTAGCCACACTAAATTGTCAACCCACACTAAATTGTTAATATTTACACTTTTTGAGACCTTCTAGCGTCACACCTTCTGTATCTACTATATAGAGTGGTTTTCTATTATCTCCTATAACCTATCCCTCGAGATCCTCGTTTTCTTTATTTTGGTCTAATCTTTGCGGAGTTGAGACCGAACCTTGTATAGCGGCCTGGAGCATACATATATGCTCTATTCTCTTCTCTTCTTTGTTACGCTTCTAAATTCGCTAATTAGTATCTAAAGGTGTTAAAGTAGTAAGACTTGATAGCTGTTTTTAAGTCCTTTTAGTCTGAATTAGACGTTGACGGGCTTAAATTAATAGCAATTTTGTTATGGCATATCTACAAGAAGGCCCGTAGAAGGGTCGAAGAATAGGCGTATAAGGACCTAAGAACACTTCTACGTGCTATAGTTCCGCTATATAACGGAACTGGCTAGAGAAAGGTTAACCTGGGATCTCGGGTAATCTGATTAGATAAGCCGCATATTAAAAGTAGAATTATGGAGAACACCCCTAGAGTTCTCTAGTGATTATATTATTATTAATATCAATCCCTGTAGTATACTTGTATGCTGCTTGTGTTATCACTCTTATCTAATTCAACCCCTAGATATTAGTCCTAATATTATAATCACTTCTTAACCTAGACTTGACTGGTAATATGAAGAACTCGTAAAGAACGAAATATTGTATAATACGCGAAACCGTGCAACGCGAAGCGAAGCACTAGATAACCCTATAGAAGAGTAATAAGAGGTAACTAGAGTAGGAGAATACCTCTATCTAGAAGCGTAGGAATCTATAACTAAGGATATAGTCCTAGTAGGAGAACCACCTAATATAGACCTTAGCCTAATATAGGTGAACCTTAAGGCCGCCTATACCTAAGTAGAACTAATAGAGGACGCCACTATAATAGAGTATAATAAATAAATAAATATATAAGAGGCTATAGAAAACTCTAAGGAGGTCATAGACTAGATCCTAAAGACCGCTATAGCGGCTAGGAAGCTAGAAGAGGTTAAGATCCTCCTATAGTACTAAAGATAGGTAGTAGAGGCATAAAGAGAGATTAATAACCTTAAAGTAGAGGCCGCGGAGTAAGAGAATATATATAATACCCATAAAAGAGGACGATCTCTAGTATAGTATCCTATAACTATACTAATTAGATTAAGAATATCTTCTCTAATAACTACTACTAATACCCTACTATAGTAAGAGTAGAAGTAGGACGATATACTAATACTAGATATAGAGGAGCTATAGAATAAGCTTAAGGCTATAGACCTAGAGAAAAAGGTACTAATACTACTAAAATATATTAAACCTTTTACTACTAATACTATAAAAGAATAGGCCCTATTTAAAAGTGGACTAGATATTTACTTTAAATAGCACTAAGGCTACTATAAGCTATAGTATAAAAAGGTACTCTAAGCCTCTACTCTCCTTAAAGATAAGCTAAGAGTATAATAGAGAAGATATATTAAAGAAGAGGAGAAGAAGGACCTAGAGCGAAGGTTTACCTAGTAAGAATTTAGTAACTAGTATTATAACCTTATTATAGACCTAGTAACTCGCTATACTAATATACTATAGTAGTAGTATAGTACTAGGTAGAGATATAACTAATTAGTTATAGATTTCTCTATATACCTAATAAATATCTATGCGTCGCTACTTATATAACTAGAAGAGTACTAGTATATATAGAAGCTAGTAAATATAGTAGTGCCTAAGCTATAGATAGAGCTTATAGATTACCTAGTCTAGGGAGATATATATAAAGCCATATTATAATACCTATAGTCCCTAGAATCCTATATACTAGCGAGAAAGGTAAGTATTAATAAAATAAGATATTATAGAGAACCTATCTAGAACCTATAGTTTAGGGGCGTAGAAAGAACCTATTAACCTAGGGGATAGCTAAGAGTAAGCTAATACTTAACCCTATACTCTCTAAGATAGGGAGAGAAACATAAGTATAATAGTAGCCTATTTATTAGATATACTAACTATAGTAAGCGGGGATACCTTATATTAGACTACTACTTTACTAGTAGTAAACTAGATATAACTAGTTAGATAGAGAAGTAATTAAAAAAATAATTCGCCTAGTATTCCTTACTATAGTAGCACTAGGTATTAACCTAAAGAATAAATAGATAATAGGTCTAGTACTAGTAGTAGAAGCTAAGATCTTTATCTTAAAGAAGAATAGTTAAATAGTATTTATATTAGTAGACTATAGAGTATAGAAAAGCTTCATAAGCTAGAAATAGATAAAAGAGAACCTATAAGATATACCCTCTAAACTAAGAATTATAGAAGCGATCAACAGGCACTAAATATAGTTATATAGGACCTATAGAATCACACTTAAACTTATAGATAGTAAGGGAATCAAGAAGAAATATATATAAATATTTAAAGTAGTTAATATATAAGGGTTTAACCTTATATTAGGGTATAATTAGTTATAGCTTATAAACCTAGAGATAGACTAAAGAATAGAAACTTAGAAGTTTAAAGAGAAGAAGAAGACTAACCCCTAGATAGAAGAACTATCTACTAAAGAAACTATAAGAGAGATCCTTAGAGGAATACCCTACTCTCTTATTTATCTATAAATTAGTGGAGAAAAGACTATTAGACTTAAAGTAATAAGCCTCATAGAAGAGAAGTAACTCCCTAGCGTATATATAGACTATATAGACGTCTTTAATAAAGAGAGAGTAGGTATCCTACTAGATTATATAGAATATAATTATACTATTAAACTATAGGCCAAAAAATAACCCCTATATAAGCTAATCTACTCTCTATTAAATAAAGAGTTAGAAGCACTATAAGAGTATATCAATAATAACCTTATAAAAGGGTAGATTTAACTATTAAAGAGCCTAGTAGGAGCTCCTATACTATTCGTCCTAAAGAAGGGAATAGATAAGCTATACTTATATATTAATTACTAAGGACTTAATAAGATTATAATTAAGAATAGATACCTACTCCCACTAATAGTGGAATCCTTAGATAGACTAGTAGGATTAAAGATATTTATATAGCTAGACCTCTAAGATATATATCACTATATATAGATAAGAAAAGGAGATAAGTAGAAGACCATATTTAGAATAAGATATAGATACTTTAAGTATAAGATAATACCCTTTAGATTAGTAAATATACCTACTATATTCTAAGTATATATTAACTAAGCTCTAAGTAATATACTTAATATCTATGTAGTAGTATACTTAGATAATATCTTAATCTTCTTAAGAATAGAAGTAGAATATATTAAATATATATAGAACGTCCTTAAAAGACTAAGAACCTATAAGCTATACACTAAGCGCTTAAAGTATATCTTCTATATAGACTAAGTAAGCTTCCTAGGATTTATTATATTAATAATAGGGATATCTATAGAGCTAGACTAAGTAGAGAGTATTATAGCCTAGCTAGACCTATAATATATCTTTAATATTTAGTAATTCTTAGGATTCGCTAACTTCTATTAAAGATTTATTAAGAACTACTTAAAGAAGGTAATACTACTAAACGCGCTAGTATATAGAGAAGGCGCGTATAAGAAAGGTAAGAATAAGAAGATACTAGGCTTTATATTTATAGAAGAAGCGAAGAAGGCTTTTAAAGACCTAAAATACTACTTTATAGAAGTACTATTACTAGTATATTTTAACGCGGACTTAAAAACCTATATAGAAATAGATACCTTAGGATATATAATTATAGGCGTACTATCCTAGCTATATAAAGATAGGTAATAGTACCTAATCGCATTCTTTTTAAGAAAGCTTATAGATATAGAGACACGCTATAAGATATATAATAGAGAACTACTTACTATAGTTAAAGCTTTTAAGATATAGAGATACTATCTAGAAGGGAATAAGCATGTCGTTAAAGTCCTAATAGACTATATAAACCTACGACCCTTTATAATAATAAAGGAGCTAAGTAGAAGATAAGTAAGATAGATAGAGAAACTCGCTATATATAACTTTATTATTAAATATAACCCTAGAACGAAGAACCTAGTAGATACCCCTAATTAAAGACCTAACTATAGATAAGATACGTAGGTAAGTATAGACTATATCTATAATAGTAAGCTATTATAAAGGCTATAGGAGAGTCTATAGACCCCTAGGAATAAGAATAGGAGTATAATAATAGCTACCTTATAAATAATAGTTATATAAGCTAAGCTAAAGATACTTAGGCCCTAAGCTAATTAATAAAAAGGCTTAGATAAGTACCCTAAAGCTAGTGGAATAGTTAGTCTAGAATAACTCTCTATCTAAGTAGAAGTAATAGTAGTGTCTATAGGAGAAG